TAACCCTAACCCTAACCCTAACCCTAACCCTAACCCTAACCCTAACCCTAACCCTAACCCTAACCCTAACCCTAACCCTAACCCTAACCCTAAGTTTACCCTCACTGTCTATTTACAGCCAGTAGAAACCATCCTTTCTACCCTACCAAGCCTCACGCATCATAACATTTGCGCTACTTTAATAACTGCCAAATACTTTAGCATGTAATTCTCTAGCCTATACTAACCATTATCATTGCGCAATTTTAACACTGCCAAACTGCTAATTAATGCACTTTTGTATAGCATGTCTTTGTATTAATGGTTGAAAAATACAACTATTGCATTTAAATACAACTAGTCTGCCTAGTCTGCCTAGTCTTTACGCCTTTGCTGCTTTACCTTATCTAACAGCATTATACCTTCTACTTGCATATGCTTTTTTACTGCCTTGCAAAACTTGTCAAACAAATTACCTTGCTTTTTGGTAAATATATATAGCAGCTAGTCTTTATCATCCTATTCCTATATCTACTGCATGTAACATAATAACTTGCAATACACTTTTTTGTAATCTGCCTATATATCCTCCTTTATCTACCTATCAAATAGCTTTTTTTGCTTGACATAAATCTCCTTTTTGTTAATCTTAAACAACATTGCATGCCTGCGCTGCTTTACTATTGCCTTTTTTGCCTACTCTATTACCTACTTTATGCTTTCCTATATCTACTGCAATACTACCTTGTCCTTGCTAATTAGCTTAACTATGCTGCATAACTAGGCTAAGTCTAAATGCTTTAAATGCATTAGCTAACTAATGCAGTCTAACTACCTATTTGGCTTAGCCTTTTTATCACCTGCTTTAATTAACTGCCTTTTTGACTTAAACTGTGCTGTCTAGGTTGCATAGATTTATGTCAGCTACTTTTTTAATATCTCTGCACCTACTTTTGCTACTATTGCTAGCTTACTGCCTTAGCTAACCTTAAACTACTTGCTTGCTATATGCAACTGGAAAAACTGCTAGCAATGCATGCTTGTTATCTATAGCACTAGCTACTTCTGTTTCGCCTTTTTTACTACATTGCTGCCTTTGACCTATTTGCTTTTCTATCTATGCTTTTTCCTACAATAATTTCTTATCTACTATTTGCCTTGCGTAACAAACCTATACTTATTGCATTGCAACTTGTTAGACTTAGGCAGCGCAATAAATAAAATTAGGTTAACTATTAGTAGCAGAAACTAAAATGTCTGCAACTTATCCTAGTTTTGCACAATACCTTCCAATCTCTCTACTACTTTTATAACTTCTGCTTGCTGCCTTGCATTTATATAATCATGCTTTCTATGCAAATAGGTTTTAGCCTTACCTGCATAACATCTAACCTTGCATTTTATGCAAATAACAAATAGATATTTAGGCAAGCAGTCAAATAGCTTTATAATTTCTTGCTTAAACAACAATATCTTAATGCTTTAAACTATTCTACTCAACCTTAAAATCTCAGCCTTTTTCTACTTTTTTGTTTACTCTTATTATGCTATCTTTGCATTAAATAGCTGCTTTGACTAGTTGTTAGTCTTTAACCCTAGTCTATCGCAATCTTGCTCTAACCTATCCTAACCTTAACGCTTACAATTCTAACATAGCTCTACCTTTTTGCACTTGCTGCTTAGGAAACTAAAAGTTTCATAGCTAGATTTTTCTCAATTTGCTAATTAAAAGCATACTACTTTTGTTTATTTTGGCCAAGAAAAAGTCTTTAGCAGCTACTTTTCTTTTCTTTACAACAGCTACCCCCTGTCTTTAATTATAGGTTTGCAATTTGTATAGCGTTTTCTTTAGATAACTACTATATAGCTTAGCTATATTTGAAGGTAGGCTAAGTCTAAACCCTTTAAATGCATTAGCTAACTAATATAGTCTAACTACCTATTTAGCTTGGCTTTCTTGTCGCTTGCTTTAATTAACTGCCTTTTTGACTTAAACTATGCTATCTAAGTTGCATAGATTTATATTAGCTACTTTTCTAATGTTTCTGCACTTACCTTTGCTACTACTGCTAGCTTGCTACCTTAGCTAATTTCAAACTAACTGCTTCTAAAGCCTAACTAGAAAAATTGCTAACAATGCATGCCTGTTGTCTACAACACAACCTACTCTTGCTTTGCTTTTTTCACTACATTACTGCTTTTACTCTAATCATTTGCCTATCTATAATCATTCTAGCAATATTGCTGCATCTTTCTTACCTTTATGCTAACAAAGTTGCATTAGTTGCATCTTAAACCAACAACTAGTAGCTTAATAAATAAGATAGGTAAGATAGTAGGTAGCAAGAACTTAAACTCTTTCAACTTATCCTAGGTTTTTGTAATGTCTAGGATTTGGCTTATCAATTCTGCACTCCTTAACTATTTGCCAAGCTTGATAGACTTATGCTTTGCTTGCAAATGACTAATAACCTTGCCTGTCATGCATTTAATTCTACACTTGCATATTAAAAATAGATATTTAGGCAAACAAACAAACAACTCTATAGTAGTTTAAATGCGTGTCTTGGCTAACTACTAAATAGTTACAACTATAGCCTTACACTACTGTTTGCCTCTATTTACCCTAGACAATAGGCTAATGAGGAGGAGAGACACAAAACCACTTACCTACCTACCTCTCAATGTAGTATACTGCTTCTAAAGCGTAGGCCCCAACGGCAGTAGCCACGTGATTGGCTGGCAGGCAGATGGAATCGTGCTTCTTCCTTACCTCTGGCGCACGTGACTGGTCAGGTGACCCTGATCAGCCCCGATATGTCTCGCGGTAGTGCCTAAATCTAGTCGTGTAAGTAAGGTAGGAAAACGCCAGCGGCGTGATCAATTGAATTGAAGGCGTAAGGAAGGAATGGAATGCGGTAAATCAAGTATTATTGCGTAGAAAGCTTGGAAATAACTAAGGTGTAAAGAGTGCTGCTTGTAAATCCGTGTAAGTCTGCGTAATTGATGATGATCTTACAATTTGAGGCCCTAATCACGCTCTTATATGGAAGCGCAGAAAATCTAGTCCGAAGCTGACTCATCCTAGCCTGAAGCGGCCCGTGCCTTTTCCATTCACCACGTTACTAATGCATTGTTAGCCTCTATAATGCCACACTAGCTTAGATAATGCTAACAAACAAAACCTACAGCTTTTCCCACCTATAAGCATTTTACTAACTTGAAAATGGCACCAAAGATTTCGCCTGCATTTAAGCTTTATGCGCATGCCGATTTTGTCAATTTTACTGCTGAAAATGTCTACAAGCTCTGCCTTCTGTTTCTCTACAAGCTCTGCCCCTTGTCTTCACTAGCGCTATTTCAAATTACATGACATTTTCTACAAGCACAGCCTGTGCTTGTCGCTGTATTTGGAGGTAGGCGTAAAGAAGGAATAGAATGCGGTAAATCAAGTATTATTGCATAGAAAGCTTTGAAATAACTAAGGTGTAAAGAGTGCTGCTTGTAAATCTGTGTAAGTCTGTGTAATTGATAATGATCTTACAATTTAAAGCCCTAATCACGCTCTTATATGAAAGCGCAGAAAATCTAGTCTAAAGCTGACTCATCCTAGCCTAAAGCAGCCCATGCCTTTTTCCATTCACCACGTCACTAGGGCAATATTAACCTAGGCCTTCGAGGCGTAAAGCTAGTTACTGCGAATACTCTTTAGCGCTGTTCATTATATCGCCTTCTTTTATTAGCCTTAAAGATCAACGCAAAATATACACACCTCAACCCAAAGTTACAGCAAAGCTGCAAGAACAATACAAAGACTAGATAGGTGCCTCTTAGCCTTGCATCACCACCTTCTCTAGGCCTAAGGGCATTGCCAACGGCTTTTCGCTTGCTGTTTTGCAGACTAAAAGAGCGCTCGCTACCCACAACGTATTTCTCCTTTTTACCTCGCCACTCTCGTCAAACCTCCTTTAAATCACTACTTAGTTCCATTGCATTTCAAATCCTCAGCCTAGACCCAGCGAGATACAAGACTATTGGGGCGCTTCACAAGGTCATAAAAGCCACCGGTGCTTAGACGCAACCCCTGGGGTATCGGTGAAGAGCCTAGATCGCATCATCAAACCAAGTCAGCATCAAAGCGCACCGGGAGTCAACATTGAAAGATAGCCATTCAGAAGATCACAGATTGCGACTGTCGTCGTAGTCTTTGCCAAAGGTGGTAATATCAATAGCCTCCACCTTGATCCTGCAATTCACAAGCCCATTAGAGACTCTGTGTAGTTCGTCGACACTGGTTGCAGCCCCTTTTAGGAGGGCATTGTACGTCCCGATCTAATCAGAGAATCCACTATAGTTAGGGTTGAGTTTGCCCTCCCGAGGGGTTGTCGGATGCGGGACGTAGGGTGCAAGTTACGATGGTCTAACATCAAATCTGATTCTCCATTGCTTTGCGCAGAGATAAAACAACTGTATAAGATTGTCTAATTATACACGAAGGGAGCCAACGCACTCAACTAGAGAGACGCTTACGAGGGTGGGTATCAAGATCTCCTAGCCCAGTGACGCTGATCATTCCAAAGGTCTCCTCCGTGTTGATATCTAGGGTCATACGGCGCATTGCCCGGGGCTATAGCATCAGTCCCAAACTCGAATTGATTACTATTAGGTTGGCGGTTCCACCTCGACGTCTGGGTATTAAAGACGTGCCTGTTTGGTTGGACTGGCACGCCCCAGTTTCGCACAAGTGTAGCCGCAGATTGGCCGCGCAGGAGATCAACCCCCTGGCCGCCGAGCCCGTTGACATGCTCGATGAATTGGAACAGCAGCTGATTGACGGCGTTGCCGCCTCGGAGTGCGTTCCGCGAGGCCTGATTCCAATGGCGGTAGGCCCTTTGGCTCCCGCGGGGGGTGTTTCGCTGGGTGGCGCAGTTGAAGATGTCTCGGGGGTTGGTTCTGCCATTCAACACCCACGCGCCGTCTGCGGGACCCTGAAGCCCGGCGCGCCCCCGCCGCGAAATGTACCTGCCGTGCGCGACATTGATGGAGGTGATACCGAGACCCTGAGTGTTGGGGCCGTTTGCGTAGTTCGCACCGCCGGCGAAGTGGATGTGGAAGACGGCGAATGGCTGGCCGGTGGGTCCCATGAGGGACTGGTCCATTCCTGTTGTGCCTGTCCCTAGTAGGTATACGACTAGAGAAGGGAAAAGAGAAATGGCAGTTAGCGTAATTGACTGGCAACATCAAGTTTTGAGTGAGTCGCTGGTATCACTCACTCTCCATTTCAAAGTCAGTTGATGCTGACGGCCCATTCCCCAAGTTCTGTCCAAAGCGGAAGAAATTATAGAATTCGGGTCTCACACGTCCATCAATAATTGCCTGGAGGAGATGTCCAACTCCTGGATTGACCTGTGGATTGAAGGGCCCCTCGCCGGAATACCAGTCAAACTCGTTGAAGACTCGCTTGTTGAGAGAAGTCTCGTTCAGAGAAGTCGTCTCATCACCATCTGACAGGGTTCGCTTGGAGCTTGTCCCCGTTGGGATGACCTCACATATGCCACTCGTGGGGACGGCAACCATGGCGAGGAAACCGTCAACACAATCTCCGAGGCAGCAGAACAAGTCGGCAAGAGAGCCAATGGGATCACCGTCGTCGCCATCGGGAGATCCAGCCGCCAGAACTTGCAGATTGCCCGAGGTCAAGGCATGGAATTCCGGCGATGCATTTTGCACGCTATCATTCCAGACATCCAGGTCGGCCTGCTGCTCGGAATTGAGGAACACACCGGGCTTGAGCAGGGGATACAGCACCGCAGCCATATCCGAGTCCGAAACCTGCTGACCGCCAAATTGTCGTGCCGACACAGTAGGAGACGTGATGCTCCGGCGGGTAAGCAAGTGAGAGTCACACACGCCATCGCGAATCCACCTGTTGACGAACTCGGCAAAGTCCTGCACACTCCTGGATCCCAGCGACCCGAGGGCAGGATCGCAGCAGAACGACCCGTACCCGCTCGCGCACGACGGCGCCTGGTTATCCGTCGCCATCTCTACCTTGCCCGCCGGACAGCCCGGCGTGCACACATTGTGGAACGCGTTCCGGTACCACTGGCAGTTGCGCACCGGCGGCGGATCCTGGCAACACAGGCTACGATAGCCTAGGGTGCATGACTGCGCCCCGCCGTCTCCGCGCAGCGTCTGCGTGAGCTTGTTGGGGAAGTCGGAGGGACATGCCGCTGCCTCGTTGGCTGAGGCTCCGCAGAGAGGAGGCGAGCCGGCCCACGTGCATTTTGCCCAGATGTTCAGCGAGTTGGTGCCCTTGCAGCACATGCTGACCTGGCCGCCGTTGGGGCAGAGGTTCTCGCCGATGCCGAATAGCTGGTTGGTGCTCGCCACGGCGATCTCGCCGGACTGGCATTGCCCGTTGCAGGTGCCGGCGTTGGTGTCGGCTTCGACCCTCCATTGGCACTCCGGTACTTGGCCGAAGGGGCAGCAGAAGAGGCGCGCGTTGACCTTGCCGCCTACGGCACCGGGGCATCCAAGTGGGTTGGCTGGCCACGTGGACTCGGCGACGGTGTAGCCGGCCGGGCAGGAGGTGGAGCACGCCGTCCACAGGCAGCTACCGAGACCGTCCCCCAGCTTGACGATTCCTACGTTGAAGTCGTCGAGCTGGCCCGTCGCTCCCGCCAGGGCTCTTGCGGCGGTGCCGGCCTTGTCGTCGAGGGAAGCGGCCCACACCATGGTACCGCCGAGACAGTTCCTGTTGGCAAAGTCGACCTTCATCTTGAGGGTCGTGGCGTCGTCGTAGGATACCCAGTTGTCGTCGCCGTAAACGAGGATCTGGGCGGCGGCCTGGGAGTCCAGTCTTGGCGTGTAGCCACCTTGGATGAGTTGCTGGATCTCCGCATAGCCCAGCGTGCCCTCGCTCTGGGTGCACGGCCCGGCATCACCGCCGGCTGTGAATACACATCCAGGGGAGGTGCAAGATGGATCCGCGAGCTTGAAGCTGCGTCCGTAGAAGCCCAGGCCGAGGACGACGTTGGAGGGGTTGATGTTGTTGCGCCAGAGAAGCTTGAGCCCCTCGTCGATCTCGGATAAATTGGTGTGGGCTTTGACATAGGGACCTTCCCATTGGTTGATGGCATCCCAAGTACCGTGGATATCATAGCTGCGATTCGGGTCAGGGTCCAGTCAGGGTCTTGGAAGATAGCAAGCAGCAGGACAAGAAGGAAGACGTACGTCATCATGTTGATCCAGTCAACGGCTTGCTCAATGGCTTTCACGTCAAAATGTTGCAAATACCAGAAGCTAGATGGGAAGGTGACCGTAATGCCCCAGTTATGACCAGTTGCAGCGAAGGCGCTGCGCATGTTGCGAAGCATGGCGGGGAAGTTCTTAACATCTTCGGGCCTTCCTCCGCGGTCATCTGCTCCAGGGTACTAATTGTGAATAATTAGCGTGATTAGTCTTGTAGGTAGCATAAGGTTAATGGGGCCAATACACACCTCCCAATCAATGTCTACGCCATCGAATCCATAGGTAGTCATCATTGATATAAGAGAAGAGAAGAATCGTTGCTGATTAGCAACAGAACCAGCCAGGTCGGAAAAGGTAGTCCGGGTTGGGCCAGGGTCGTTCCTATCGGTTGAGTGTAATAATTAGCACGTTGAGGTTATGTGGTTCACTCAGCATGACAGACGCAACGTACATAGACCAGCCGCCGATGGAAATCCAGACTTGCAGTCCCGGATTCATCACTTTCAAGTTGGTCAAACGAGAGTACAACTCCCTGTCGGTGTCGATCATGGGCGCCACCTGGAAGGTGTTCGGGTCGATGAGGGCAAATGCGAAGTTGAGATGAGTGTAGGCACCAGATACGAGATCCTCGGGAAAGATGGCGCCGCATGGTCGAGTGATGCCCCATCCTTCAAAATACCCAATCGTCCTCTGTGCCGCTGAATTGCCTGAACAGCTCGGACTGGCCACGACATTGCCGCCGCAGAACTCTTCGGTCGTTCCACCTTCACATTCTTAGTCGAGGACAGAAGCAGGACGAAAGGACCCTTACAGAAGCCAAATCTGCTACAACACACGTTGAGCGGGCATGCCGTATTGGCAGCATAGGTGGGCCCCCAGTTGGCTGGGTCACACTCTGACTTGCGATCGCAGTTGTTGATGCAGTTGCCAGGACCACAGAATTCTGTGCATCCTATTAGCCTCGTTGCTTTCGATTATGGTGATGAAGTAACTACCTGGGCCCATTCCACAGATACCATACGTGCCGCAGCAGCCGACAGCGCATTGCTTGGTCGCAGAGCAGGTGATATCCTGGCCGGGATCTTGAGAAGCCGCGAGGGGCAGTAATGCCACCAGGACAAACGAGAGAACCCCCGTTGCCCTCATCTTGCCTCGGATGGTTTTCGGGTTTGTTCTAAAGATGATGAAGAGGTCGATTGTATCAAGAATTGTAGAAGTTAGAAGAAGAGGGCCTTGATCACATTATATCAGGCCTTGTGTAGGACAGTGGTGATGGCACTGCAGCCGCTTCCTGTTCCGGTTAATACCAGAGACCTGGAGCTGTTAGCCAATGTAGCTATACATGCCAGTATTAATGATTGCTACTCCGATGAGTAGACAATGTGGATACTGCCGAGATCAAAGGAGTCGATAGTCTTGGGAGATTCGCACATGTGCTCAGTAATCGTTGTGGATGCTACGCTGAGCCGCACCTCGGAAATTATCACTGGACCGGAGTTGAGGATATTTTGACGAACTCCGTGAGCTCTGCCCTTTAATCTGCCCTATGAATTCCTGTAGGCCCCCCGTAGGTTGGCTCACGCGGGCCAAACTGTCATGGATCTAGGCGCTACCTGCTCTAGGACGACCTCTCTGGTCGGCCCGTGGACCGTAGTGCTGACGTTGGAATAGGGTTAGCAGGACCCCCGAAGTGACCCTGACCACAAATTTCATGCAGCTGTTCCAGAACCATCGATGATACCGCCGCTAATTACGGAAATTAAGCTCTCTGCACAAGCCTTTCGCCTCCACCCCATGCAGGTACACAGTAATTTGTCATCTCGTGCATTGGCCTGACTCATCACCTTCCTTATTTAGCAAATTTTTAGCCCCAGTAAGGCCCTGTAAGGCCCTGTAAGGCCCTGCAAGGCCCTGCAAGGCCCTGTAAGGCCCTGGGTGATGGTGGCCATGTGCAGAGTCGGCACCCCCCTAATGATACCATGCGGAACAGGGTACCGAAAATTGCTGTGTACCGCTTCAAAACCCCTGCATGACGATGGTCCCTTTCGTGCACTAGCGATGTGATGTGCCTAGTCAGCGCCCTACATTGAGATGATACCACGTGAGGCCGAAACACCAAAATGTCTCCGAAGTGATTTCGCTAATAATACGAGTTGCAACGTTGAGATCTTGGCAGTGTAAGCACTTCCGCTAGTGTATGGCTAAGCTGAATCAGCGGGAAACATCGAGCTGTCGGATGAATTCCAAGTTTGGGGCCACCCCTTTACCAACTTCGGCGTATTTGCTACAGGCCATGGCTTCCTTCAAAAGTGCTGCCGCCGCATGCCGTTGAACTTCAGGCGTTTGGACTCGACATCAAGTACACCCACCGCGGAATCAAGAGCCCTCTCCTACAGATAGGGTCGCTCAGACAAGGGAGAATGCCCGTCATGATCCTCCAAGGACCGACCATCCATTCCGTCATGTCCCTGTTGACAGCCACTCTGCTGTTCGGCATCTCTGCAGCCAACTTCGTTCTCTTTCCCTACATGGGGAGCGATGTCGTCGACGCCGATAATGGCTTTGGTAATACCAGCCCTATCTCAGACTCTTGTGCCCAAGCACTCAATGGCACAGTCGAGTGCGAGACGCGACTCCAGTACATGGTAGGCTCATTCACACCCTGGAACGACTCTGCCACTTCGTCGGCTCTGTGTGCGCAGACATGCCGTTCGTCTCTGGACAATTACCATTCTACCACAGAGTCCGCCTGCGGTTCCGTGGATGCCTTCGATGGCCTTCCAGTTTCATGGCGAGGAGACCAGATTCGTGACTATCTGAACGTCATGTGCGCCAAAGACTCGGCCTCGGGAGAATACTGCGTTGGTAAGTTGGCCCACCAGAGCACCATGGAATTTCTTATTAATGCTCCCCGTTAGATGTCCGTCAGCAGCAACTTATTTCGCATCCCGGGGTTGCTCTACTCGATCTTCCCCATGATGTTCTTTGCTCCGACTGTCAGATTGCTCTCTGGCGAGCCATCCAAGGGTCGCCGTACAATGGTTACGACGACAATGCCGCAAAGACTTGGACCGCTGTCCAGCTAAGTCCGTATACTCCCTCCTTCCCGCCTCCTTGACGATTTATTGGCTACCGCCAATCTGTAATTAGTTGACTGACACTCGTCGACGTAGAGTGCGGAACATCATACCCCACGACAGTGCAGACTGTGAACCTTACACTGCCTGGAGTGGAAACCAACAGCACTGGTACCTCCTGCGCCAGCGGCCACACTTACACGGTCAAGCCTGGTGACACATGCCACAGCATTGCCGTCGCCAATTCCGTATCAGAAGGCTTGATCTGGGCCATCAATAATCTGAAGGCTGACTGCGGGTTGCTCGCCGTTGGTCAGGAACTTTGCTTGCCCAATACCTGCACCACCACGACAATGTCAGCCAACGATACCTGTTTCGGTATCGCCCTTGATGCCCACGTGAGATATTCCGCTTTCCTCAACTGGAACCCAACCATTGATTCGGCTTGCTCCAATCTGAACCCGAATGGTTCGGTGGTCTGTATCTCGTCTCCATACGAGACCTGGAACAACACGGCAATTCCGGGCACAACGCCAACAAAGACTGCCGAGTACGCATTATCGACGTCCCCAGCGCCAGCCCCCACCGCCCACGGCACCACTCTGCAGTGCGGTAGCTGGTATGTCTGTCTTCCAGGCGACGACTGCGCACGGATTTCTGTCCAGTATTCCATCTCCGTGGACCTGTTCAATCAACTGAATCCCTCCGTCGACGAACTGTGCGACAATCTCCTCCCAGGTTTAGCTTACTGTGTGCTCCCCACGGTAGACTGGGATGCTGAGGCCAACAATCCACCACCAGATAACTCGACCACCGTCGCTCCTCCCGCCCCAACCGAAAGCGGCACGACAAACCAGTGCTATGTCTGGCACGTCGCGCAGGCAAACGAGACGTGCGAGCTGATTGCCGCGTCATTCGGTATCAGTTTCCAGACGCTGCGATTCTGGAACCCTTCAATCGACGAAGACTGTTACAACTTCAACGAAGGCGAAGCCTACTGCGTGCGTGGCGCCGTGTGGCCGACCGAAACTAGCGTCCCAACCGTAACCCCAACAGGCAGTTCACCTCCCTCAACCTCGACCTCCTCGTCGTCGACGTGCTCCAAGACATACACTGTCGTCAGCGGAGACTACTGCTCCAAGATCTGGACCAGCTTCGGCCTCTCGGAAGCGCAATTCCGCGCCCTGAATCCGTCTCTCAATGCCGACTGTGACCTCGACATTGACCAGGTCCTCTGCGTCGCCGGACCCGGCTCCGGGACCACGCCCACGTCATCACCACCGTCCAGCCAGCCAACCACTACCTCCCCGCCAACAACGTGTGGGAAGACGTACACCGTCGTCGGTGGGGATTACTGCTATAAGATATACGACGCAAACGGGCTTACCGAGGAGCAATTTCGCGCGCTGAATCCGCAGCTGAATGAGAATTGCGACTTGGATGTCGGGCAGGTTGTGTGTGTGGCGCCGCCGGGAGCGGGGACGCCTACGACTACGGCTCGGCCGACGACGACGACGACGACGACGACGCCGGGAGCGGGTTCGTGTAAGAAGACGTATACGGTTGTTGGGGGGGATTATTGCTATAAGGTTTATACTGATAATGGCTTGACGGAGGCGCAGTTTAGGGCTCTGAATCCGGGTCTTGATGCGGATTGTGCCTTGGATGTTGGGCAAGTTCTTTGTGTTGCGTAATTGGTGGTCTGAGGGTTATGTACATGGAAGCTTGAGAAAGATTAGCGGTGGTATCTTACTATAACGAGTGAAGTTCAGGGTTAGATGACCCCAGTGAGAGAAATAACTGCAGCTAGTCATGAGAGCGAGAACACAAGTCACGTCAAATATTGATAAGAGCATAGCAATGCATTGCATCGCTGGTATCCATGCTTCATATAATAATTATCAATCCTTCCACCCCTCCACGCTTCCGCCCTTCCAGCCCTCCACTCTTCCACCGTTCCACCGTTCCAGCCTTCCATCCCTTCCATTCATCCAGCGAATGCCTTAGCTTTCTTGGGAGCGGCAGCACCTGTGCCCGTGAACACGGGAGGGCCGGGAATGACGTATGTCTGAGGAGCTGAATGATCATTGATGTTGAACTGATCCAACCACAGTTAGCACTGACTTTGAGAACCTTTCTTCTTCTTCTTCTTCTTCCCCTTCTCCTCCTCCTCCTTCTTCTTCTCTAGGGGGCAACATGTCACTTACCGAGATGTTGGGGTCGGACTGCTTGCAGTACCCCGGAATGGCCGCCTTCTGCGAGGCGCTTGGCTGAGACGTGCCAGAGCCGGTGATAACAATCTGCGCGCACTCAGGGTACCACTGCGGGGTTTTCGCCTGATGCAAGGCGATTAACTCGTGTCGGACCAGGTAGTTGCCTGGGGCAAGTCCTGCTGGGATCGTGCTAGTCCATTGCTTATTCCCGCCCACAAGTTTGGCAATGTCCCAGCCAGAGTTGGTTTCAGAATCTAGGAAGACAGTAGTGCCGTCTCCATGGAAGCCAGCTGCGTCGATCTTGAACCATTCAGCGCCAGACCCATCGCAGCCATGAAATGCACCTGCGCACTTATACATCCAGACCAGGATTGGGCCCTGGCTATGTGTCCACTGTTGCCAGGTAGCAGAGATTTTGTCGCCTGGCGCAGCCGTTGCATTCAGGGTTGCCGAAGTGCCGCCATTGCAGCGGAGTTTGGAGTCTGTGGCAGACATTACAGGGTTGTAATCAGGCCATTGCCACTGGATAACATTGGGAGAATTGGCAGGGGAGAAGCCTTGGTATCTACAAGCTGTTGATTAGCTATTACTTCATGTTGCAAAGTTTCAAAGTGTACCTGGCCAAGATTCACAAGAAAGATGCTCACCCTGGGTAGTTTGTGCCAGCAATAACGTAGCTAGTGACAGCTCCGTGGGCAGCAGCCCCTGCTGCAAACAGCGCGACTGTGCTGAAGACTGTGGAGATCATGATGGATTCCCGGGTTTGGTAATGCAGATCGAAACGACAGAAAGTTGGAAAAAGCCAAGAAGGCCAAGACTTACCAGAAAACGGGAAGCGATGCGATTGTTATTATATCAAGTCTATAATACTATGAGAGCTAACATCTCCCCCATCTTCCCCCGGTTTTCCACTCTTGTCTCTTTATCAATTCTCCAGCTAATAACCTAGTGCTACAGGATATTGCACGTTAATTAACACATGACGGGTTCCACGGACAGGGATTGGTGGAACCGGCTTTTCGGCAAGCGACAAAGGTGGCAATCACGTTAATATAAAGTACCCGCGTCGCATGTGCCACCCTGTCATCCTCCGCAGTACCGGAAAGGAAGGCCGACTTTAATAACGCCTGGAACGAAGTTGGAAAGACAAGGCACGCGACAAGTGACTAACGCAAGATAATAAATATAACGAGCAAGTTAGAGCAGAATGGTATGTAAGGTGCTCGTTTACATCTTCCATATCCTTAGCAATGACGTACACAATGAGGCCAATGAAAGTATCGGAAATTCATCCCGATGAGAACGGCCTCTCACGGAGCAGTTGGACTCACCCTCTCGTGGTGTCCTTTCTATGCAGCTCACAAGACATCCAATCGGACTTCGCCTTGGGAATTAACATGGACATCACGTTCAAGGAGCAGCTGGACTATTCTCTCGTGGCCTTCCGCTAATGCCGCCTGCAAGATGCCCCCAATCGTCTGCCTTGGGTATTTGTCAAACTGGAAACACCTACTTGTTTCTGACAAAGTAGCTCGGATAGGACCGAGCCGAGCCCATAGGCGGCGAGTGGCAGTATGGGCGGCAGTTCGGATGCCGTCATCCGATCTATCCTTGAACTTTTATCGTTTTCGGTCTAGAGCTCAAGCACACCCCGTTGGGATGCTTGTTACAACGGTGCTATGTGTAGCCTGACCGAGGTCTCCGGCCCAATTCGTCACATGGTCCAGTACATGGTACACACGTACCCTATGTGCCTGAGCACCATCACCTAAGACTCCAGACTAAGCACTCGATCAAGACGCGACAACTCGTACGGCTACAAGGAAGACTTAATATTAGGCACACACTTACTGGTTCACACTTTTTCAGTTCTAACGCAAGTTTGTAGGTGCCAGTGAATGGACTCCAGCGACGTGGGTCCGGGTTTCGGGGAGCTCCTAGGGATGTACACATCCAAGTGCCTAGTGTCTATCCGCCCGTCTTTCCAGCCCGAAACTTCTGTACCCGCCGTAGATCACTGAGGATCCTCCTCTCTTATTTCTCGAGATCGACCCGCCGCTTCACGAAACTCGCCTCGGCCCTCACGAGAGCCAACTGCTCCTGTAGCTCGGGTTCAGTTTCGGCATCAGCACCAATTGCCGCAGCCTCCTGCTCGACGTCAGCGATGAGTGTCTCCACTTCCGGCGTCAGGACCACGGCCTTCGGTAATCCGAAGGTCATCCTTTTCTCTGCCACAGCCTCGTCGGCGCCGACGCTAGGTGCTTCTCTTCCAATTGGCTGAATCTTCTCTGTCACCGCAACCGCTTTCTCGGGCGTCTTGATCTTGTGCGGCTGAGGCATCTCGGGAGGCTTTGGCCTGTCCAGAGACTGCGGATTTACAGGAGGCTGCAGCTTCTCAGGAGGATGCGACTTCTCCGGTGGCTGTGGTTTATCGGGAGGCTGCGATGTCTCGGGAGGTTGCGACTCGGACTTCTCGTGAGGCGCTTTCGGTGTCTCGGCCCCGGCTGACGAGGGGGTTGAAGACAATATCGTTCCCCTTCTTCGACCCGGCGGTGAAAAACGCTTTGACGGCCTGGCCGACCTCCTTCGCCGAGGTCTTTGAATCCACGTCAGCGCGAATCGATATCTCGGCCTCGAAGCCAGGCTCGAACGCCCCGTCCGCAGGCTTGGCGCGCCTGAGCAGCAGCGCCGTCTGTAGCAAGTGCGGGATGCCCGACTCCGTGTCCCCGTTCTCCGAAAGAGACCAAATGACGCTGTTGCTGGGGCGCTTCTGACCGCTCCTGTCGAGCAGGGTGCGCTTGTTGCCTTGGATTCTGGCGTGGTCCGCGAGGGTAAGCGTGTCCTTCCTGTGCCATGTTTAGCCCACGCCGGCCTTAGCGGGGCCGTAGGACGCCTCAATGCTCGGGCTGACGTTATGGCTGACTTCGTGCGTCTTCGTGGACTTCATGATGACGAACGTGTGCTCGTGTGTGATGGCATACACCTCGCCCACCGAGAACTTGAGGATGATCTCGGCCGACTTGAAGCGCGCCGTGCGGGCGCGGGGGACAAAGGCGAACTGGAACACCACCAACGTCGCCGGCGAGCCGCCTACCACCATGCTGCCATGCACGATCTCCACCTTGTCGCACTTCACTGTCAAGCGGTCCTTGCCCAGGTCCTTATTAATGAGATCCTTCGGCTGCTCCTCGCCGCCGAGGTTGGTGCCATTGATGATGTGCTCTACCTTGAGCACGATGCCGCCCTCATCATCATCGTCGCCGCCTGTTTCCTTGACGAGGACGACATCTAAGTACGTGTCGGCATCCTCTTTTTCTTCGTACGCGCAGGCCATGGCAAAACACTGCGTCTTCACGGGAGAATGGTTGTGTGTGGTGCCTCGGATGTTGAGATCGCCAGGCTACCTGCTGATGTTTCTGCAGGAGCAGTGCGCAGAGTAGGAACCCTGCGGCAGCATGAAATCCTTTTAGTGCTGTAATAAAGACAGTTCACACGCTATCTGCTCTGGGCCACTGCAGACTGCCACGGTCCAGAAGGTAGGGCCAATAATGCGAGGATGAGCTGAAAATCAGTAGGCCGTGACGTGGGCCATGAGAGTCGCGCAGCAGGACAGGCAATATAACACGAGCCTAGGGTGATTGTCACCCCGGTACGAGCTGTAGTCCTAATTGCTGGCTCCCGACCCCTTACACCCGCAACTCAGTCCACACTATTGCATGGCCAGGTACGCGTCTGCACCGCCGCTGTGCAGCACCAGGTCGATGAATCGGTGCATAAAACACCAATGTGCTCGCAGGATCCAATCTCCGCCGCCTCAATCAAATCAAGAAGCATCCAGGAGTTCTCCGGCACATGTGGTGTATAATTGTTGGGTTGTCTACTCTAGGAATGCAGGAGTGTAGCTCTCTTTTATCGAGGCAAACCCTAACTAGCACCGAAGCTCTAGCAGGGAGCATGGACCAATTGCCCGAGGTAATCATCTAGCACCTCAGGTCGCTCCCTGTTGATAGCTCTTGATTATCCATCGACACCATCATTGCCAGCCAAGGGCAACGCATTGCCCAAGTCCCCCCCCCCCCCCCCCCACACGAACTCCACGCCAACCTCACATCCAACAAAGACGGGGAGGTTAGCCAGAGTAGCCTTGGTATGCTCGACCGTGTCGCTGATCGGCGCCACAAAATGAATCCCGTCCATGGACGACGGCGAGAGGTTTCCATTGCAAGGTTTGTGCTCGCACACGAAGTTGATGTGGATGCTGGGGTGGATCTCTTTGAGGGAGCCGCACGTCTTGCCGGTCCTGCGTCCGGCCTTGAACACGGTGCTGGTGAATGGATCCTGCACCGACGCGTGGATGAGCGCCTTCTGTATGACAGGATCGCCGTCGACAGGGTGTATGGCGCCGACTCGCTGAAGTTTGATAGCCGTATGCTGTTCGGTGTTGACGAATGAAATGATGGCGTCCCAATCTAAGGCCTGTGACCCGTTGGGGTGGCCTGGTTAGTATTGGGTTGGCCTCTAGACCGGGAGAGAGGCAATGAGGGAGAGAGGGAAAGAACGAGAGAGGTGACGTCTCGAGTTCCAATGGGAAGTCGATAGCAGGGAAAAGGGATACGTTCGCTAGAGAGGTGATCAAAGGTTCCAATACTCTTGTTGTCAAGCTGATCAGGCCCAGTCAAGGACGAAACCCGATCCAGTGGCGACTCTGCCAACTCCTGAGGTACAATAAATACTGCCTAGCTGATGATCAAACGTGTAGACTTTGTCGTATTTCTCTGCATCAAGCTGCTCCTCCTCGGCCTGCTTAAGCATCTGGGCTCGGTTTTGAGTGGTTATACCAATGATCTTGAGAGACACATGTGCCAACGATGAGTTGTCAATCTTTTGTTTTCCATTCTTCAGCCAAGCCTCCTAGGCTTTGCTGTCAGAGTCGGATAGGCAGTTGACGACACTGGAGTTTGTAGATGGGTGAATTGGTTGTTGTTCGGCTAGACGGAATGGAAGAAGTTAGCAGGGAGAAAGGAGAGGAAGGAGACATTGCAATGCAGGGCAGTGTGGTACAGTGCAGGGCAGAATGGGTAGAACGTGCAGCTCAAAACATGGTGGCAAGTGAGCGCCAGATGTTCCACAAGGTCCTTCCCTGTATCGCAAGACATGACCCGAAGTTGAAGATAGCCGCCCAATGTTCCAGTGCCTGGCACGCCTGACAGTCCAATGCTGGATCCAAGAGGGTGAGTGTTTGAGTAGCAGTCCTCATTTGAGTAGCAGTCCTCAATGGAGCCTAGGTCCCGGAGTGTTCGCTTGTGGGAAGACAGGAAGGTATCAGCCTCGACAACTTCGATCGCAACATCGCGGAGAACTTCGAATCTGCCAGTCACTACAGCACCCTCACATTCGGAGTGGCCCAGTTTCGATCAAGGGCACCGCTCCTTTGCCGGCCTGTGTATCACCCTCCTAAACGTGCTTCCCGTCCCAGACCCCAAGCTGATGCTGGTAGGACATCCCAAGCGCTACGCCGACAGCCGTCGCCAATTGGGGAGTTGTCTAGCTGGAAACAATGCAAAAGGCGAAGGCAGCACAGGCTTCTGCAGACACGCTCGTGTCATTCCCGCCGTCAAGTTTGGCCTAGGGACATTGGATGGGATGTGGCAGCTTAAGAGTAACTCACAGCGATGCCGAGGCAGCGTGATATCCCAGACGCTCCTTATCGCCTTACTCTTGAACGTGACGATAATACAAAACAAGTTGTGACAGCGTCACTTCAAGATTGGCGAGGGGCAGCCCTGCCTGCCCTGCATTGCGCTAACACCTTGCCTCGCGGAAGGAAGAGGCATACAGTTTTGCAAGGTCGCGGGGGAAGCTCTGCCGAGAGTGGAGACACTGGATCCCCGAATAGACAAAGCCCCATTCAGTCCAACATGCTCTCGTGGCTAGTTGCACCGACGAACCATGCTCACTCTCGGATTCGTAGATGAATGAGGCGGAGGATGCCAAGAAGCAACAGCCATCCTCGTTGCTGGTGTCAACCTGTCGTCAGTATGGTGGCAGTAGAGTTCCAGAGACTCTCGTGCCTGGGATTCAGTTAATAGTATCATTATTGATCTATTAATTATTAATTAATCTATAGGAAGAAATCCCAAGTCGTTCCAGTTCTTCCCATCGAACAACACCTCCTTCACCTTCCCGCCGCTCTGGAAATAGCATCGGTTCATATCTGTCGCCGTGCTGATAGCAACCTTGTTCTGGTCCCATGCAGCCTGGGTCACGCAAGCGATGTTTGTGCCTTTGTCCGCACCAGCCAGGGCATCATATGTCTGCGGCCCCTTCCAGCCAGACTCGTCGTCCTGCCAGATAACCTGCAGCAACCCGTCCTCATCTTGGTACAGGCTGTAGGTGTTGACAAGGTTGTATCTTCGGCTATACACAAAGGCAGCAATCGATGTGTCGGCCGGAATGCTCTTGCCAGAGAGCGGCTCTCCTATTGGAATATCCCCGTCAGCATCGCCCTCGTAGCTGGGATGTCCGAGGGAAAAGGGGCTGCCACCGCAGGTTAGGTTGCGTACCTTGAGACCACGCCCAGTCATCCTGAAGAGTCCCGTTCGTACTCCCGATATAGGTGCTCAAGTACCCAGCCGCGTTGCGGTACAGAAACGCTCCAGAGTCAAAGAACTTCGTCGCCGCCGACACCAGCGCCATGCCTGAGCCAGACGACCCTACAGCGTCCCCCAGCGTGTAGTTTTCATATTGATCCTCACCGATCCAATGTATCCACTTCATTTCCCCGTCTCTATTCTGCGCAAGAACGTGAGGGTGGTACCCGGTGAGCCGTGATGTGCTGTCGATACGCATCGGAAAGTCGTTGATGTCCGCTGAATCGCCCGTTGCGGGTGTGATACCGGACCGGAATTGCTGGCCGCGGAGTATAGAGCTTCCGTCGACGTAGTAGAGATACAGTTGGGGCTATGTGTTTTTGGTGTTAGATAGCTGTATGATGCGAGTCCTCGTTCGCGAGTGAGGTACGAATCTTACAGGCACAACGTGTAGCCAGGTGCCGGCTGCCAAGGGTGTCTTAGCCTTCGGTGCCAGGTCATCCAGCTTTACCGGTGGTGCCCACTTGTCGGACACGCTCGCGTAGTCGGAGAAGCGCAACACATTGTCGCGGCCCTGGTAGAACAGCCGTATACTGAAGTCGCCGTTGCCACGGAAGCCTGTCACGGCGAGGCTTGAGCCTGGTTGGATGGCCTTCACCGTCTCGTTGTGGCCGCTGGGGCTTGAGGAGTTATTCGGCGGGGATGAAGGGGATGAAGATGAGGATGAAGATGAGGAGGAGCCTTTGTGTGAGTTTCTGCTTCCCACCACCCCTCCCACAACGGCGCCAATGATGACCGCAACAACGACCACACCGCCAATGATCCACCATAACCGATTGTGTGATTTCTTTGGTGCTGAACTTGGATCGGCTACCGCTGTCGACGTCAGGTCATGCTGCGATTTCTCTCCCCCATAGTGTACAGGAATTGGAGTTGTCGAGTAGTGGTTTTGATCTGGTGCGACCTCGAGACCCGGATAATTTTGATGTTGAAATGCATCCACCTCCAAACCTGGATAGCCTTGACTGTAGGATGGAGCCACCTCCAAACCGGGTTGTTGGTGCTCGGCTGCTGACATCGTAGACACCCACGCGCGGGGGGGACTGGAAATTAGAAGGTTTGGATTACTGGTAAGACAATCAGAGTCGGGGGGGATGAGGAAGGTGGGCAAACATCGCCAAACACCAAAGGGAAGTGATGACAACCTGTGAGCAAAGTGGTTGGGGACCAGAGGGAGCAGGAAGAAAGCAGCCACATATGTATAGGTATGGTATGATGAGGTGGTTAATTTTACTGGACACACAAGGTCCAGGCCTCCGAATCCTTCGCCCCACCACCACCAGGATTTTCTCGTGTCCCTGCACACACAAGTTATTATTAATGGTTGGCTTGTACGGGTGTAAGACCTTGGCGCATCCTTGTGGCGGCGAGCGTGGGATGTAATTCGCAGATTGAAGGGGTCAGGCACAGCTTGGCAAGGAGTGGCACGGAAGACCCCACCATGTATGTACATAGGTGCAAGTCACGGCGCTTCCACAAAAGATTTTCAAAAAAGTCCACGTTCACAGTGACTGAGAGTGGGGGGAGACAGAGTCAGAGAGAAAAATGTTTTTGAGATGGTAGGTACGCTACCCTGTGAAACCCTGGTGGAAGTGTCAAGTGGTGGAAACAAAAACCCTCGCACGAGTTACCCTGTTTACTAATAGGTTAAAAGTATCCACTAACAATCTCTCGTGGCTTTCCCCCCGAGTATTATTAAGGAGTGACCTAGAGAAGTTAGTGACCTGGGTAACTCGTGCGAGCGTTTTTTCTTCCACCACTTGGAAAAATATGACGTCTTCGTCAGCTGATTGCTCATCAAGATCTTTTCCAGGCCAGCATACAGTCTTTTGATCCCTCAAGTGTCGTACCAAAACAGCTGAGGATGTCCAAACTTCCATCATTCTTCATGCCAGCTGAATGGGCTCCGCATGCACGCACAATTCTAGCATGGCCGAGCCTGAGAAATCCCACCTTCTTGACCTCCCAGTCCATAGCAGCTGCGACAGACGAAATATCATCTATCGCAGAGGCAGTGGCACAGTTCGAGCCTGTCACCCTCATTGTCAGCAGAGAGCGTCTTTTTGCGGCTCAGGAGAGATTCAGAAACGTCTCCTGCAAGCACAAAGTCCAATTACATCCCGTCGCCGGCAATGGGCTGAACATCTGGATGAGAGACATTGCACCCACATTCGTGGTCAGCAGCCAAAGACCCGGAAATTCGAGCGAGCAGGTGCCCCAGAACAGTCCCCTGCTGCGCGGTGTTGACTTCAACTTCAACGGTTGGGGAAATCGACATCCAACCGAGACATGCTCCGCCTTAGCCCAGATGTTGCTCCACGACACCCATACAGAACGAATCCGGGCTAGCATCGTCACAGAAGGAGGTGCGCTTGAAGTTGACGGGGAAGGCACCCTACTAGCCACCGAGAGCTCGATGATAAACGAGAACCGGAATCCAGGCAAGACACGCGAGGACATCGAGACCGAGCTCCGGCATCAACTTGGCATCTCCAAAATCGTCTGGGTTCCTGGCATCAGAGACGCTGAAAGCACCGACTGCCACATAGATGCTCTGGTGCGGTTCGCACGGCCCGGATTTGTGCTCCTCAGTCGACCGACTGGCGTGCGAGAGGGGATCTGGATGCGCGTCTACGAAGAGACTCGAGATATTCTTCGCCGGTCGCGTGATGCCAGGGGGCGGCCTATCGAGATTATTGACATTCCGGAGCCCGACCTAAGCCGGCTAGACCTCGGTCATGATGTGTTGGCGACTGTGGAAAACGCGGATCCCTTGTCGCCAGTGATGAGTTATGTCAACTATTACCTTCCAAATGATGGGGTAGTTGTCCCTCAATTTGGGGATGAGGAGGCCGATGATGCTGCTGCAGAGATCCTACAAAGCGTGTTTGGTCCTACCAGGCAAATCGTGCGGGTTTACATCAAGGAGTTGCCAATGCAGGGCGGGGGGATTCATTGTGCTACACAGCAGGTTCCTTTCCACGGGTTAGAGGGGGTGAAGGACGGGACATTGTAAAAGTGACAGTTGACTTCACTCAATGTCACTATGCAGCTGCGAAGTCATAAATGATTAGACATTATGCGTGCCAAACTTGGCATCGGCGATGCTCTCCACGCGGGCGTATATGTTTTTGAAGTATAGCTTCTTGAGAATGCTCGCTTCAGCCGATCGGCCATGTCTTCGGGATCGAGTCGACCTTGTTGAGCAGTGTGGACAGTTCTGTGCGTATCTCCTCCAACTTAGAATCGCCCATCGATATCTCATCGACCACTTCCTTCTAGAGTCGCGCTCGATCGCCTGGTGAACTCCCATAAGCTCTTCCGTACTCTCCAAGGACAAACCGAGTCCTCCTTCTTCCCTCGCAGCAAGCTTAGAGTTGGCAGACGACTGTTCTTCACTATGTACCCCTCAGTGTGATGTGAGGGAATGGTGGACAGTCAGATTGTCTTACTTGAGGTGAGTGACAGCTGCAAAAGCACTTCCAGGAGGAGAGAGTTGAGTTTATAGTCGATGGCCACAACCCCTTTCTCCTTCTGCACGTTGTTCCATTTCACGTGAAGACTACGCCAAATTTTATTCCCTTCCTTGCGTTTCAGGACCACAAGAATGCAGTTTCTTAGACACGGCCGTGCAGTCGCTGGCGAGTTTCTCGAGGAATTCGCGGTGTCGAGTGTCCTCCTCCTTGACTTCGGCTCGCAGGGTCCTTGTAACGTCATCCAAAACCTCGTCAATTGGCTGGGAACAGATGCGTGCAACTATCGACACTGCAGTCTCCACTTTCCGGAAGCAAACGTCGGAGAGCCTTGCTCCGCCGTCTTCAACTCGGAATAATAGCCTCATTTCCCAAACTTTCCGCAATTTTCCCGAAGTACGGATAACTAAAGTATGTTTTCTCCCCAAACAAGGCTCCTCGTATGGCGACCTTGGCGTAAAAGCTATTGGAGAATGTACTGATGTGCTGGGTTAACTCTTCAGATGAAATTATTAAGGCTATTCGGCAGAGAATGGAGTTGCTTTCGCCGCGGAGATTGCGCCTGGAAGTAACTTGGCGTATTTTACAGATATATATAATTACAGCCTTGAGCTACTTGAGATCACTCTCCTTCTTCTAATTCGCTTTCTGTCTCTGGCGTCGTGTCTTTTCCTTGTCATACCCACTACTCAAGACCCTGACCATGAAGTTTTCCCTTCTCCTCTTTACGGCAAGTGCGCTTGCAGCACCAAAGCAGCAGCGCCGGGATGTACAGGCGGACGTGCGGGACCTTCCCGTCGTCAGGGAGGGTTCGGCGCTTTTGCTCGATGGGAAACCGTGGAAGGCGGTGGGACCGAACGTGTTCTGGCTTGGGCTAGACGAGGATGCCGGCTACCCCACCAAAGGCAGGATCACGGAGGCCATGGCCACAGTGAAGGCCCTGGGAGGGACTGCGATCCGGGCCCATACTCTTGGCGTTAGTGTGGAGCACCCTTTGAGCGTGATGCCGTCGCCGGGGCAGGTGAACGAGAAGGCATTCGACACCATCGACTGGGCTGTTTACCAGGCTCGGGAGTACGGACTCAGGCTATTGGTTCCTTTGACAGATAACTGGGTATGCTAGGCTTGTAGGTTCTGACGCTGTCTTCACTGACTTACATGATGGGCAGGACTATTACCACGGCGGGAAGTACACTTTCCTCCGCTGGGCGGGCTTTGCCCTCACGCAGAACCGCGACTCAAAGAACCCGCAAATCCAGCAGTTCTACACAAACGCCACCATCGTGGCATCGTTCAAGGACTATATCCAGAAGCTGGTTACGCATGTCAACCAGTATACAAACATATCATATGCGGACGACCCCACCATCTTCGCCTACGAGACGGGGAACGAGCTCGAAGGCCCCGTATCTAGAGACTTGGACGTGCCGGTGGCTTGGGTCTCCGAGATTGGGAAGCTCCTCAAGTCGCTGGCGCCAAAGAAGCTAGTGGTAGACGGCACCTACGGCGTCAGCAAGGCGCACCTGGACGTTCCCGAGCTCGACATCTTCTCAAACCACGGCTACCCGGTCAGCGTGTCCAAGTTGCAGTCGGACTTGAGTTTGGGTAAGACGAGCACCCACAAGGTCCCGTCGCTGGGGAGGCGATGTTCGTGGCTCCGCTGCTGACATGACCGTGAAACAATTAGTGGCGACGGTGAATAAGACGTTTTTTGCAGGAGAGTACACCTGGAATAGTCAGGCCGGCGGCGACTCCTCCCTGGCCTCCTTCTTCCAGGCCATCGAGCAGAGCCCAATAGCCTCGGGCGATATGTTCTGGAGTCTGTTCGGCCACAATGTCCCTGACTGCAAGGTGGGTGATCCCTATCTGCGTTGATTCTTTTTTTCCGTCGGAAGCTAATTAACCCCGAATCAATCCAGACTTTTGTCAACCACAACGATGGCCTCACCTTGCAGCTCGGCAACCCAGCTAACTCGGCATTCACCAATAGCCGGATCCAACTGATCCGGCAACACTTTGTCAAGATGAGCCAGGGTTTGACTATTGCTGCGGATGCAGCTCTCCCGGTTGTGCCGTGCCCTGCGCCAGAAGTCCCAGCAGATGATAATTAGATGAGGGTGGCACGCTATCAGCGCATACGTGGACATAAGCAGACGGAAAGCTGTCTAAATGCTCATACAACCGTGCTAGAAGCCCGAAATCGTCATGTGTCCTAGTTTCATCCGTCCTAAAGGCTGTGTTGCTATCAAAACCCAACAGTCCCTTATCACGGAGCTTCATGCAGTATTGGATTCAGAGTTGTATAATGCCATTCGTACTGGGTTCGTTTCGTATTACAAATGGAACATCATTTTCCTGCTTCTCATAACATATCGTACAGTCAGGCATTCAAGCACTTAAAAGCAATAGTCAAACTTAATAAATCCTCATTACTGGCACCTTTTGTATTTGCGCCTCGTAAGGTTGCCGGCTTGTCCAAATCAGCAAGACCAGGGAATCTAAAAGTCCTGCAGCGCGTCAAGCGAGTAGTCCTGCAGGGCGGGGATATTGACAGCGACGGCGACAAGATGCAGCCTCACCAAGCTACAGTGCAAGGCTTGGTAGCCAGGGCTCGGCTTGCGTGGTGTACACTGGTCGGGTGGTCTTCCCAGAGATCCCGGGCTCCTTGGAGCAACAGTGGTCAAGTCCTACATCCTCCCCAGTGGCGAGATAACCCTCCACATAATCCACACCCTCTACTCCATGGGTCTTCCAAGCCATCGCCATGTAATCCGAGGTAGACACATGCGGCCCCGCGTAACCTCGCCCTCTACCTCGGCTACAGGGGCAGCCGCAGCGTGGCGGACACGTACCTGAAAGGGCTGCCGATCCTAGAGATTGCCGACTCGGTCCGCCTACTCTATTATCCAGAGCTATCGGCTCCTATCCAAGAATGTCGACTTCGCCACCGCTGTCAAGGCGGCCAGGACGACCTGGACCGGCCCAACTCTAAAGCAGATGCGCCAACCCCGCCCCAATCACTACTCCTTCCGGCTAGTAAAGCGGCCGCTCGGCAATGTCCCCTCAGCCGTCCCGGGGGGGTCAATTCCCAGCTGGCCCAGCCCGCTGTGAACGACCGCGATGATTCCCAGGCCGCACACCCCGCCGCATTTCTTTACGTCTGAAGGCCTGGCTACCCTGTTTAGCGAGAACAGGACCGTCCGCTGCAGCAGTAATAGGCTCAGCGTCTGAGTCACAGGCTCGAGGCCACAGTGGGCGAGGAGATCGGGCGACGAAGCGTGGCTTCACTCGTCTAATATCCACGACAGTACATACTCGGTTGGGAGTGGGAGCAGGCGAGGGCCGTGAGACGAGTCTGGTTCCAGGTTATCATTACTGAAACAACTATTGAGGCGTAGGGGCAGATGGAGCGTGCTATGGAGCGACCAGAGGCGTTTGAACTCAAATGGAAAGAGATAGATGGGGCTCCTCCAAAGGGCTATCCCGTCATCGGGTGTATCGGTCAGGATTACCCAAGTGCTACCTACCGGACGATGGTCGCATTGCAACAAGATTACGGACACCCTTCGAGTAAGGAATTCTATAGAATAGACAAGCAGTTCGTCGAGTGCTTCTAATGACTTATATGCACAATAATTACTCTCTATTCGCCTTGGATTGCACTGAGCCCGGGTCTTGGCTCTTTTTCTCCCCTGATTCTCCCCCGGCTCGCTCTGCGACTTTCCTAGCTTCCCGCAAGCCGAGCCCCAGGTGGCCAAGGTTGAGACAGAACACGGCGATTGTAATTGGGCTACAGCCATTAGTACAACATCGTGGTGGCAATGAGGTTCAAGCTTACATGCTCTCTAGGCCATAGAATAGCCTTTCGTTGTGGAACACGGGGCCGAGGAATCCGTCGCTGAGTTCATCGATACGGTAGACGCACCGTACCAGTATCAAAAGGATAGACAAGCTCAAGAAGGTCAAGTATATTTTAAACTCGACATTCAAGGCCCTCCTGCCTGGAGCCCGGAGAAATCGTATGAAGTATTCGGCGGCGACGATAAGGAAGACGAGAATCGTGAAGACCTGGAGCGAAAGACCCCCAAGGACGATATCAGCGCCTAGCTTGCTGGATCCACTTGTTACTGAGGAAATGGCGCCTCCAGCTCCCTGTAGCGCAAGGGAGACGACGTCGCAAGGAATGAAGACCCAGTAGAGAAGCTTGGGGTTGAATCGTGATATGCTCGGGTCAAGGCAACGAATTCTATAAGTATACGCTTTTGTTAGCGGCATCCCGCATCCCTAGGCCTGTGTAAAGGGGCTTACGTCTTTGATAGCGTTACATAGATGGCGGCGCAGAAGAACAAGGGTGCGGTGGCGATACAGACTGCAAGATGGGTTAGCAACTAGTCAGTCGTCTGCTTCTCTTTATGCTCTGGAAACCTAGGCCTACATATATTGACAAAGAATCCCGAGAAGGAGAAGGGGTTGCCGTGGAGGACGATCCTTCCGACGTAGCCGATGATCTCATCGAGGCATCCGAGAATCATGCATGCCATGAATCCCCACGTCTGCCATCGGATTCCTTCGACGATGTGAATGATCATGGTAGTGGCGAAAAGGCCGATGAAGATGCCACTTGCTGCCAGAGAAGGTCGGTACTGAAGCGCACTCCATTCCACCGGGCAAAGCTCAAGTGTGCAATTCGAGTCGGGTCCATAGGAGATGAGGCCATCGGGAAGGGACATGGTTGTAACATAAATGCCCGCCGGAGGGGGGAGGGGCGGGGGAAAACAAGTTAGAATAGCTGAGAGCTCGAAATTCAAAGTTGAGTATCCGAAGAAATACAAGACATGGCACTGATTAAGTACACATCCATGAGGAGGCCGAGAGAGACAATCTGAAGCAGGAATGCGTCTGATATATACGGATTTTGGGTTGCTTGGTCCCCTGTATGGTAATAAGGGACTAACCATGCTTGGAATAGTGTGGCGCCACGGGTGGGGGAGCGCGGCTAGATGGACCCGGAAGCGCGGCAAGATTGCTTAGCCACGTAATCCGTAGTAGCGGATTCTCCAGCCCCCGTGTACGGTGAGGCTCTTAATAAACCCCCCATGTCAAGCTCATATCGAGTCGCGCTCGAATCTCTCATCTAGCCGCGGTCTGGTGAGAGCAGGCAAAAGCCGGGCCGAATCTATGCGATACCACGACTCGGCATCTGGTGCCCACTGCCCGCAGTACGTTTCTCCTTGGAGAGGCAATCATGACTCCTGGTTCAACGCCGGCTAAGTTCCCCACGAAATTGCGCCGAAACACTCCTCGGACCAAGACCGGATGCCTCACGTGTCGTCAGCGAAAAAAGAAAGTATGTTGTTACTTGGGCTAGAGTTGAGTAGGACTAACGATAATTTGCCTCAAGTGCGACGAAGCCAAGCCACGTTGTTCCGGCTGCAGTCGAAACGAGCTCGAGTGCACGTGGTCAGAGAAGACGCTTGTCATCCACCCCCGTCGTGACAGTGGCAACGAATCGGACTCTCCACAGGCGCATGCCGGGGGCACAGCCCTGGTCCATGTTGCCGCGAACGCCGATCCTCTCACTGCCATGACATGGTCCGAGGCCTCAGGTTCCTTCATGAGCCCCCACAGGGCCGCGCTCCTTACCTCGAAATCCAGCCAGATGCTGAAGCACTATATTTTTGCCTCTAGCACGCTACTCTCCTTCGCGAGCCCAGAGAACAACCCTTACGTCTCGGTCGTGCTGCCACTGGCATATGTCGACGACCTGCTTATGCACTGCGTCACCGCCATAGGGGGCGCGCTTTTGTCGTGCAGACACCCGGAAAGCGTCGATCTCCAGACCGCGACGCATCATCATTACTCCTGTGTCTTGCAGGGGCTGCAGGCTAGCTTGCGTGACTTGCAACCCCGACACATCAACAAGGTTCTGCGGATCTTACTTGTTCTCGCAATGTTGTCGACTTTTGAAGTGAGTTATTTCCCTTCCTTTTCGTTCCTTTTCTCCCCCTTATTGCCCCCCTCTCTTTTTCTTTCCTACTTGTGTTCATTTTATGACGCCCTCTGCCTGCGTTAGAGTCTAAACTGTAGTATGAGAAACAATAGGGCGTCTCGATCAGCTGCGCCGACGGAGGCGTATTCTCACACCTTAGGGCTAGTCGACAGCTCATTATGTGGCTATTAGACGAGCAATACCGGCCGACGGCCGAGGATAGTGAGGGTGTCTTCGGGTTCGTCTTGGAGATATACGCCTACTCAGTCTTGGTCAATGAGATCTGCCCGCACGGCCTTTTGGAGAATCGAGCGGTTGTCCACGACGAGTTCATCTTGTCCCTAGAGCTCCTAAGTGGATGTAGGACATCCGGGGTGGTGTTCTTTGGTTACCATCTCCTGTTGGGGATGATACCCGAGATTGCACAGCTAGCAGGCCGACGGGTCCAGGAAGGGGAAACAGACCCGTCAGAAAATGATGAGTCTTGTTACGCCGAGCTGGACTCGAGAATCCGAGGGTGGCAGAACCCTGGGTTTCCATTGGACAACCCAAGTGCCCAAACAACAACACAACACAACGCCATGGGAGAGGTATACAGACATGCACTTTGGATTTTCCTGGAGACAGCGATGAATGGAAGCTCCATCCCGAACCAGGGGCTGAGAGACAAGATCGGACCACATCTAGAATCGATGGCGTCTCAGCTGCTGGGGTACCAACTCCCTACCTCCCGCGTCGCGCCGATGCTGCTGTGGCCCATCATCATAGCTGGCTCGATAGTCCTCGAAGACTTCGGGCGTATTTTGCTATCAGAGGGGTTGAGGAATACGCCGTATTTGGCGTGGAGCTCCATTCGAGCGGCCGAGCTTCTGGAACTGCTCTGGGCGGACGATGATCCCAGGGCCTACGGCCCATACGGGCTATATCTGGTGATGAAGAAGCACAACATCAATTTTTGCGTGTCTTGAATTCTCAGGTTTCGCCTACTTGGCGCGAGGCGTATGATACGAATTGCTCTAGGTCGTTGTATTGGGTCTCTTTTGTAGGTTTGGTGGGGTATTTTTTATTTGATTACAAGACAACTCGCGGGCTCCACGTTATATTAACCAGGCTTTTGTCAGTATTTAGTGGCTGGGGAGCTGGTGCATTTGACATGGATTATGCTGAGAAGTTTGGCCAAACCTAGCCAGAAGTGCTCTCCAGTAAGTGTGATGAACCATCCAAGAGACTTTATAATCTAACCGCAGCGATCGGGCCAGCAATACCCCCTACAAAGACACGAGTGTTAGCTTCCAGAATGCGCACTTCCACCATCCTCTCTCTCCATGGCCCCCAAAGAAGATTTGTAATTGCGCAGAATCATTGCTGATTAATCCGGTAGCAGCGCCTTCTATGTCTTGATCGGCACGTCGGCACTAGAAACCGCTAGCAACACTAGTAGCAAGAGATACGGGTATAAGTAGGGAGTAGTCCATGGCAATGGCTGTCCGCCAATTGGCTGCGTCAGTGGAGGATCAATTGGTTATTTCCCGGCCCCGGCGCCCACGCCCACTCCTGGTGCTGCGCCGCTTGTTTTTTTGGTTGCAGCCAGCATGCCAAGCACACCCGCTCTAGGCGAGATTGCACAGCCGCATCCTTCGAGCTCGAACTTATCTTCTGCGGAGGCAACACGCGATAGGTTTTACAACAACAAGACAAACAAAAAAGCCATTCCCGCATCGTCCCCTTGGAGCTCTATACGTCCATCGTCCATCCACGACGCTACCGAGTAGCCAAAATGCCGCCGCGTTTCCTTCAGTTAGGCGCAGCGGTGCTGCTCGCCGCCCTCAGCACCGGCTCCCACGGCGCAGCAGCCCAGGAGCCGCCTCTCCTCGAGGTAGACGTCATCTTCCCGCGCAACGAGACGTACAAGCCATCCGACACATTCCCCATCGCGCTTGCGATCCAGAACATGACGGCGGTTCGCTCTCTTGGCAACATCTCCTTCTCCTGGGACGTCATGCCGTACTCCGAAGGCCGCATCCCCGGGGGTCTCTACTACGACGACGGCCAGTTCGCCCTCCCGGGTCCCGGAGACGATAACGACACGTTCATCTTCGTCGCCAACTCCAACGTCTCCGCGTGGATCGACAGGAAGGACGACCTCGGGGATAGGTTCGCGCTGCAGTGGCACCTGGTTTGGCTCGATTTGGAGGAGCGCTGTGGACACAGGCACGTCTTCGGACATATCCTGTTCGGGGTCGAAGCGCCGTGGGAGAGTCAACTCGGTGTGGACGACGGGCCCGACGTTGCGAATGGCGTTGCCCCGGATGTTATGAACGTGCCTGAATGTCCCATCTTGGGCTCCGTGGTCGAGATTAGGCCCAACGCGACCGAACCTTCTTGCCCGTCTGTGGTGGATGAGGATACTGGCAGAGAAGGCACCCCTTGCGCTGTCAAGGTCGACAAGGCTCTCAAAAGCAGTATCGCAAGCCAGGCCGCAAGCTTGGCTACACCTCCTCCAACGCCAACGCCAACGCCGACGCCGACGCCGACGAAGAATGCAGCTCGTGGTGTTAGCCCTCCTGCGCAGACCGCGCTAGCAGCTGTTTGTGTTCTTGGTTGTCTAACATATGTATATTCATGAAGCATTTTGTATTGCGCAAGTCCTGATTAGGTAGTTATTGGCCAGTAATCTGCGATGATGGCTAGAGAGGTGGGTAGATACCAGAATCGATCAATCTAGAAGGCCACACATGGCTAGAACCACTGCCTCCGACGACTTTTCTCCATTCACATCCCCAACATAACCGAGCTTGCCTAACCCAACGTCAGCGAATACCACTGCAGCCTCAGCTGGGGTTTCGCTCGGAGTGTACCAGGCCGCCGATCTCTCCACGTTCTTCACAAAGACGGCCTTTAGGCTGTACGCGGAGGGGAGCCGGCTCGCTAGGTGGGCCCCGACAACACCGCGGCGCAAACTGACTGTCGTCCGGTGATACGATCCTTGCTCCCAGGGAAGGCCAGCCCTAGCAAAGAAGCGATTGAACTGGCCCATGGTCACCATGCTGCTGAAACAGCCCGCCAGCACGACTGTGGCCCCCTCACGGAGACGGTCTATGACGCGCTCCCAGAGCTTCCTCCGGCGTGTTAGGGCTGCATCGGCGACGAGGATAACCGACGGAGGGGGCTCCTGGCTCAGTATCCCGAGGGCGGCTTCTTCCGTCGTAGCCCGCTCCATCTTGGCTTTCGAAGTGAGATGCGAGACGAGGTCCCCAAAAACATCGTCGAACAGAGACTCGTAATCGAGGCACAGCGCAAGGATACGAGGGCCTGGCTCGGTCCCGGCCGTCGTGGTCTGGGAAGGGGTCTGGGAAGGGCCTATCCCAATATCTCTAAACTCGACCTCGGCCGGCCCCTCGTCGGTCGCCTGCTTTGCCGCTGTGTCGGCATCGCCGTTCAGCTCCCTTGGGATTCTCCAAAGCTCGACATGCAGGCCATGGTCCTTCCACCTTTCCACCTCGCCCAGTAATAGATCCCACAGATCCCTATTCTTGACGTCGCCGCCGGTGCGCGTCTTCCACCCGTTGCGCACCCAGCCCTTGACCCAGCTGGTGGCGCCGTCAACCACGTAGGACGAGTCGGTTGCAATGACAACGCTGTCGAAGCCCTCGCCCCGCCAGTCGCAGAGGCGCAGCACGGCGATGGCCGCCCGCAGCTCAGCTCGGTTACTAGTCGCCACGCTGTCATCCCCAAACGGCCCCTTGTTCTCGAGTCGGCCGGACACAACGCAGGAGTTGCTCTCATCGCCACGATTAGACGGTCCGCACACAACTGCCCAGCCTGCCCGAGGATCCGGCTGCCCGTTATTCGCACAGGCACCGTCGGCGTACACAAGTACCTTTCTTCGGTCATTGCGGTACACAAACCGGACGGTCTGACGGCGGCTCATAGTAGTTGGGGGAAAGAGCTCGGCCGGAGAGGATGTCGGCGGCGAGGGCTTGAACCTTGATGGAAACACGTTTCCGGTAGCCCGCCTTTTCTCCATGTTCTTTGCTCTCCCTTCTGGGCCTTTCGATCGACCGTCACCCGCACCAGCGACGGCAGCCGGACCTTCATATACGCGGGTGAATCTCCAGGTCTCCGAATCAATCATGATGATGGCGTCCTCGGACTCTCGCCAGGCACTTTTACACTGATACAGAACCAGATCCGCCTCCTCTGTGGAACCGGGGCGATAGTGCGTTGGCGGGGCAGGAGTCTCTTCCGCTTCGTCGACCAAAGCTCCCCAGAAGTACGGGTTCGCATCATTTACCGCTCGGCAGAGTCTGCGGTACTGACCTTCCAATGCCTTAACCGTCCTCGAGACGTATCGCATGTCAAGAGTTCGCAATTTTGCTCGTACAAGCCTTCCAACAGGCCGGTCGAACTCGGCATCGGAGTCGTCGAACCCGTACCCAAATTCCGGCTCCTCAGATGCCGTAAGGTCGAGACGCATACGCAACTTCAGAAGGGTGAGGATCACGAGGTGGCTGAGGCTCGAATTTCCTGAGCAGAACATGTCGATGGGCTCGAAAGCGTCGGCGTCGCGGATGTCCAGATACGGTAGCGTGACATCGTCCCAGTCGTAATATCCGTTGTAGTGAGCCTTGTTGTCGATGACGGCCCACCACTTGAGAAAATCGTAGCACTCCTGCTCCCGGCCGAGCCGCAGCAGGAGGCCAGGGATGATGTTTCGCACACGCAGGTTGTCGCCTCGACAGAGGCGCAGCAGGTCGGTACAGTGCCCAAGAGCCTTTTCGACGGCGACCACCGTATTGACTCTGAGGAGTGCCTCGGCGGCTGTGACCCGCGCGCTCATGTAGTCTCGTGTGCCCCGTATGCCCCAGAAGTGCCCCACGCCAGTGTTGAAGACGTCTGCCGGCAAGGACGAGTCTCCGGGGTGTTCTCGAAGTGCGGCCTCCTCACGCTCAAGGGCTTCCCGACTCTTCCTAATGGCGGCACAGGTTGCCTTGTGCTTCAATTGGTGGGCCGACTGGTGTGTGGTGCCGCAATAGCTGACAATCTCGCAGCTGTCGCAACGTAGCAATCGAAAATTTGACCCACAAACGGCACATCCCTGCGGCGCGAGGCCGCACGGGAAAATGTCGCCGTCTGAAGTATCTGAGTCGTAGTCGTCCTCCATCGCAGCGGAAGTGCTGAAGCTGGGAGCTTTTGGCTGCTGAAGGTCTGGCCTTAAGTGTAACGGGTCGTAGGACCTAGGTCCGCAGCGGGACCGAGGCACGGCGGTGATTAGTCCCACTGACTTGGACGAGGTGTCTAATTGGCACGGGTTCCGACTGAGAGTGCTGTCAGGACAGAATCACTAAGAAATCGGGTAGGAAACTGTCTCAAAGAGCTTCGCAGTCAAAACGTTTATTGAAGCCTCCCCTCGTAAACCTTCAGGCAGGACCATCGCGACTTTTAACTCAGGGCTACCCGGCGGTCCCTACGCAGGCCCCCCGCGGGGACCCCGGACTAATTACTAAAGGCCTTCCAATAGTGGGCCGCGTTTGCGCTGATCACTCCAAGCCACTTTATGCCGCGGACTCAGCCACCAAGCCTTTCCAGACTCGAGCGTGGGGTGCCCGAGATTCTATTAGCCCAGGCCTACAGAGCGTAACACTAAGGCGGAGGGGAAGGCATTCAAGCTTTCCCGTCCCCGCCCGCGGGCGGTCAACTCCCCCTCCATACCTACACGCAGCTGTTGTAACTGCTGTGCTTCTGTGCTTCTAAAAAAGTGAATTACTGCTAAAAGTAGTCATCGATTTCGACCATGTCTCCATGGGACATATTTATGTTACGGTATCTAATTGAGCTGCCATGTCATGGAGCTAGACTCCTCAAGTCCGTCGGCAGAAAAAACTCAATGTCCATCAGCACAGAGCAAAGTCCCGATGGCAAATCCCGTGGTAATTATGTGGTGCCATTATTAACCTGGAGATTAATTAATTGCAAAACAACAGCAATGTTGCCTACCAATCTACGTTAACTAAGATACATCTTCAACAGCATCGCCTAGTTAACGGCGAAGTTCACCAATAATATCGATAACTTCGCCCTTTTTCGTCTCTGAACAGCGTCTCTCGGTCTTCCTCTGGCTGAGTCTGCAGCTTCCGGGCAAAACGCCGATTCAGCCACTTGAAGGCCGTCGTCTGCAAAATGAGAAGTGCGAGCCACACCGCTCCCAGAGATATGCATGCTGCCCAGGCTTTGCGGTAGAGGGGCGCATCACTCTGATAGGCTGTCAGCTCAGTTGACCACCGGAGCTGGAGGACTGGAGATTTACGTACCCCTCGGAAGACCTGGTTCCCATATGTTCCGCCCAAGTTCGAGCATCCGACTGCACCACTGGTTAGAGATTACCCCAGTTGCAGCAGTACCCTCCTTTACTCACTGTAAACAGCGTAGGCGATGGCTCTCTTTTGGGGCGTCTTGAAATTGAGAGCAAGCCAGACTACATTGAGTGGCTGCCACGCTCTAATTAGCGAGAAAAGTGTTGTTAGCATCGGGAATATCGTCTTGCAAGGTTCCGAACAAGACCCACGGAGCGGCCTGCGTAACTATGTACGCAGCATAGAAGGACCACGAAGCCTTGGCGGTCACCGGCAAGTGCTACAGACACCGATGAGATTAGAAACCCAGTTTTTGGTCGAGGACCTCGATCCGCACTTACATAGAGAGCAATCAAACCGGCCAGAGTCCAGAGTGCGGAGAAAATGATTGCGTACCCGAAACGCTTGTATCGATCTACCAGAGACGCGAGAGCAAGGCCAGTTAGAGAGCCCAGAATGGGACCTGGCGCGTTGAGGAGGTTGGCCCGGATCCTGCTGAACCCCAGGGATTGGATGATTGTCGCGCCCCAGGTCGACAGGCCGTTGACAGACTGGAGTCCGCTTAAGCAGACCAGCAGGTATGGCCAGGTTTCCCATGTGAGCAAGACATCCGTGCTGCGAAAGGCATCGTCAGTGGAGAGTTGCAGGTTCGTGTTGTTGCTGATGAGCGTCTTACATGTCTTTCAGTGTGATCTTGAGCTTTGCCGCTTGGCCTTTTCTCGGGTCACGTCTGATGATCCTCGCGACGAAGACGTCAGCCTCGCGCTCAGAGAGCCATCCACGGATGGGAACCAAGCCACCGAAGAGGCGGTCGGTGTGGTGAGGTGACTTTGGCACGAAAGCGAAAGCCAGGACGCCAACAGCTACAAGTCATATCCGGTCAGTTTCCCCACGCTTGGGTAATTAAGGCTAACTGGGGGAGTTTCACCTATCGTCGATACACCACAGATGATGAAGATCCTGTCACAAGAATTTAGCATGGTGCCGCAACGAGGACTGTATGTAGTCAACTAACCATTGCCACCCTTTTAATCCTCCTTCTCCTTCAAGCCGAAGTGCTCCAGCGGAGATTAGCGACCCGAACGCTGCCGAGATGGACGGTCCCAAAAAGAAGAGCGTGGTGCGCTTGGCGAGCTCGTCCTGCGTGTACCACCGCGAGAGCGTGTAAAGAGCTCCCGGGATGAACCCACTCTCACCGAGGCCGAGGAACAAGCGGGCCGCATACCAACCGCCGGCGTTCTTGACGAATGCTTGGAGCACCTCGATCAGACCCCATACAATGACCTGGGCCGGGATCCAGTAGTGTGCTCCAACACGGTGCAGCACGACCTGGCAAAACTTTTAGTTAGCCGGTGATACATGTGCGGGTGCACTGGGGATCGACTCACGTTTGATGGGATCTCAAGCAGAACAATCCCGAACCACAGGAGTGAGATGCCTGTGTTTGCTTGGTCCCTTGTCATTCCAGTGTCCTTGAGAAAAGTCGTCGTCAAGACACCGGAGACGTTGGTGCGGTCGATGGCCATCCACGTGAACATCAACTATGGGCGCGATCAGACACAGATCTTACAGCTCCCCAAAACAGGGTCTCCGATATAATTACCGCAAAGAGTGGAAGAAAGAGGAAGTCGGCCTTGCGGACCACGCGCGCCTCTTCGTCTTTGGTCCAGCTGACGAGCACCTGCCTACCGTCCTTTTCGATGTGCTGGTGGCGGAGGCCGTCGTCAGTGCTCTCCATGTCGGACTCTGACTTTGGAGTGACATCTGCCGTGATGGGGACGGCGTTACCAGCCACTGCCGGCTTCTCATCGTCGGTGTCAGTTGCGGCTGGGGAGTGAACGCCAGAGGCGGCAGCGAGATTCCCGACAGCTTGGGATGCCATCTTTGCGAAATGCACGTCACAGGAGCTGTAGGATCTGTGGGTTGAGATGCTGCATACCCGTGAGCCCACGTGGAGATAACCCGGTCTTTATTCACGCGCGCGCATGTGTGTTCTTAGGATACGGTCGGTAATTAACCAGTCACTACACGCATTCAATCTACGGATGGCGTAATAGCCTAGTCCCGGTTCTATGGATTCCACACATGCAGGCCGTTGCGGGTCTAGGATGTGCAATTTGTCATGTCTATCGATCATGGATTTACTTGCTCAGCACCAATAGGTGCCTTGCAATTAGTTATCGTATCTTGAGCAAGGTTTCTGATCCCTCAGGCCGTCGAAGAGAGTTAGAATCACAGTGTTGTCTTTGACCCCCGAGATGTCGCCATTGGAGAGCGGGGTACCGGAGCTGCCTCTAGATTCTACTCTCACAGGTGCCGAGAGTAGTCAACGTCCTCGCACTGGATTAACAGAGGATTAATGACGGCTACTTGGTCATCCGGAGACGCACCGAGGTGGACCATGGAAGTATTATTCCGTTGCGTGGGATAACAGGCTCTCGCTCCGGACTTGGGATTGGGAACTGGACGGGATCTGGACAGGAGATAGACGTTACGGACAAGCCAAAATTCTCCACATAGTGGATAACGATAGTTTGCTTCGATATGCTCTTCTCTGCCTTACAAAGATGTTGTCATATGACAGACTTGCGCCGGCAGCCTTTTCCGAGTGATGCTCCTTTCCGGGTTCTTCCACGATAAGGCCTAGATTATCATTTGTCGATTGGGCGTCCCCTCTAGCCTGGACTGGTAAGACAGACGAGCGCCGATCTCGGGAATGTTTATGGGGACCGCGGTGGTGGGCCAGGCGATGACACCATCGCATCCCAAAACACGCGAACGCTATAGCTCGCAGAACACAGGCGGGGAAATCCTCCTCCACGGGTGGTGCAAAGCGGGCTTGTAGGTTTAAAGATAGACAGAGTACACTTCTTGCTATACCATAGTTAGTCCCCGCTTCCCAGAGATTTTGTCACCCAGTTTTGGACGCTAATTATTTCCCATCATGCCCTCTGCGATCCAACCGCCCCGGCCGCTTCCTGTTTATTTCATCGGCCATGCCGGTGTTGGCCTGCTCTTCAGGGAGGACGATAACAACCCTACTGTGCAAAATAATTTGAAAGCAATAGGCGATGAGATTCGGGCCATCTCGCCGCCGCCCAAGGCAATCATAACGTTCAGCGGTCACTTTGAAGCCGGCGAGATTCATGGCCCTGGTGTGATCGAGGGTGGGTGACATGAGCGACATCTTTTCAGCTGGGCACTTGCTAACGATAATACGGACGACTGTAGTCAACGTAAAAAGAAACACTCATATCCAAGTCAGTGCTCGATCGTAAAGAAGAGTTTAGGATACATCACTAAACCATCGACTCCAACAGCACGATTTTGTCAATGACTTCCACGACTCCAAGCCTTTCGTCTACGAGTATGACTGGCCTCACCGCGACGCGCCTGAGCTGGCCGCGGAAGTTTGGAACCATCTGCGAGAAGCAGGAATCAAAGCGAAGCGTGTGGAACGCGGTGTGGACCATGGCATCTGGGTGCCATTCAAAGTGATGTTCCCACCCGATCAGCCGCTTGAGATACCCATCATCCAGGTGTCCACGTTTTATGGCTACGATCTGGATAGCCAGATTCGCCTCGGAGAAGCCTTGCAGTCTCTACGGTACGTGCTCGTCGTTTAACTACAATATGGATGAAGAAACTGACCGTACACTTCTCAGTGGTGAGGGATATCTCATCGTGGGCTCTGGCATGGCTGTGCACTCTTTTGCCTCTATAGGAGAGATCCATCAAGCGGGATCAGAGCAAGAGAGAAAGGATACTACAGAGAAGGTCTTGGCAGAGTCGAGGACTTTCGACACTCAGCTCCAGACCGCCGTGATAAAGAGGGATGCAGCCGAAAGGAAGGCGGCATTGCTCAAGCTGGAGTCACTGTATGAGTTCAAGCGCTCACATCCTACCGTCGAGGTGAGTTTGGTTACTACGTCTCCCACGGCTAGAATGTTTGTAGCCTAGTTTGACAGTGGTGGCTGACCTCATACCCAGCACTTCACACCTCTTCTGGTAGCAGCTGGAGCAGCGGGAGATGCAGACGTGGAGCCTGTTGGCAAAGATGTTGTAGAGCCAGGCATGTCTTACCTAAATATCCGATTCAGGTAATGCTGCAGTTCTTTCGTACTTAATTATAGCTATAGTCCTACAGTGTCTGTCCTCTTCAGGAAACTTGATCGGGTTTAGAAGTCGGCGATCCTTCTGCCACCCCACAAGACAAGACGTCAGAATCGCGTATATTCCCAAATAATCCCACATATGGTAACAAAAAACGGCATTGTGAACCCAATGCCGATGCCTGGAAGTTGTCAGTAGAGTGCGAAGCAGAAAAGCCGCGTCTCCCGATCGTGTCTGTCTCGATGCGCCCGTTGACCTTCTCGTACAGCTCGCAGGTTGAGACAGCCGTTACCTTCTCCATGGTATTGGCCTGATCGGCCACAGGGACCACTTGCGTGACGACCATGGTACCGCTGGTCGCCCAACACGACGACAGACCCGAAGGGGAGACGAAGAACCGGAAAGATGCGACGGGAAAGAGCGGTGCGAATGAAGCACAGGACGTTGAAGATGGTGGCAGTAGCAAGAATAACAATAGTGATCATTCTGCGGCGCCTCCCTGCCTTTGTAGGTCCTTGGTTCCAGCTAGGCGGTTATCCATCTAGGCCTGGGGGAAGAGGTCGATGACGCCAAGCTCGTAGATATAAGGGGGTGAGCTAGGTAAATCAGGGTTAGCAGGCGGGTTAAGGCAAGCCCAAGGTGCCAGGTCGTGTCCTTGCATATCTGGATGATCTGGTCGAGGGGATTGTTCTTTCTGGGATCAGTGACGCATTAGGAAGGACTGGGACTAGATAGCCATCAAGGTGCTTGGAAGCTAACGTCGACTCTGTTCATGGATGCAGAATAGGACTTACTTGGTCCTATTGGAGATGCGCGGCGGTCTTGCATAGTCTAGCAGTGTACGGTGCAGTTATGTACATGTATAGGTGTTTTGAGGGTACAAATTAGATGGGAATGGACAAGGGGGCCATCTTGGGAGGAAAGAGCCAAATGAGGCTAAACAGGCCTTGATGAACCCCAAACATTTGAATGATACATATGACCAATGGATATACGTTTCGCGTATACTTGAGGCTTTGGGTTTGCAGCAACCATGTCTGGATCCTTAGGCCTTCCCTTCTCACATCGCCGGCGTTGACGTTTATCCTGATGATTGTGGAAATCACACCATGGAACACCATCCATATCTTCTCTCGGCGCTTGATTGTCGAAGATTGAGACGAGCACTTCCGTCAGAAAGCTGGATGGTAGCATAGCAAATCGGCTCTTGTCCACCCCATGATCCTTGCCGAAGAAGCTGTAGCAGTGGATGAGGTACGCACACAACGGGGACTCAATGGGCAAGTTGTTGAGAGCTTGTTTCGTCACTGTAGGACACGGAAATGTCTCGGTGTAATGCGTAAAGCGTTGCCAAAGGAGCATGACAGCTGTCTATAACACAGGAACGTCGTACTTGGTGGCGAAGGTGTAAAGATCCAAGAGGCGGCCAAAGATACGGCACCTGCGTTGTAGACTAGAATACCAAGGACGTCCTTCAGGGTTCTGGCCGTCTGTCGCAGAGGCAGCGCAAGAATCGCTGTTGGCACCATCGTCTGTTCCTCCAGCGTCGTCAATGGCGATGACAGAGACTTGCCCATCACTAACATCTTCTTGGTCAGATGCGTCATCATCGTCATCGTCATCGTCATCGTCATGATCGCCGTCACTGCTGCTGCTTCCGTCTTCTTTGCCATATTCGTCCTCCAACTCAGTGACTTGGACAGACTTGGTGTAGATCCAGCAAGAAAATGCCTCCATGACCTCAGCAGTTACGCTGTCGGGGAGAACCAGGGGTTCCGGGTTGTGGGAAGACTCGAAATATTGACGAAAGTGGATAGATTCGCTGCATAGGAGGTCTTTGTGGATGTTGAACGATCGAGTCGCGGGGCTGACAACTGTGAGCGTGACGACTGGCTTGGCTGCGATGCTGCACAATGGAATTAGCCGGATGATACGATAGCAGACAAATGAAGAACAGTCGATGCTTACCACGAATTCTCCACTTTTCCGCCTTTTGGCCCTTCCTTGGGTGGATTCGCCTCGAGTGCTTGACATTGTAACCGTCGCCGGGCTATTCGCTGGCCAGGCCTGGCTAGCAACGAGCTACTGTACGTTGTTGTGGAGAAAAGGGGACAATGTTATTTGAGCTCATGATCAGCATGCAAATTTTCAGGTCATGCGCACTATCACATGATAGGTACAGGATGGAAGACGCCTCTTTTCGATCAGTCACAAGTAAACTGCGGCTGAGTTCCCCTGTTCTCCCCGACAAGAAAAGATTGAGGAGAAAAGTGCCCCAAGCTTGAGGTGGCTGAACTGCAGTTTTGCGCTAGTTGTGGCCAAGCTGGCTCGAGGATTAAAAGCTTACGTATGGGAATTCTGTGACGCGAGAAACATCTGATTTGTTTAGCAACGTAGGAATACTTGCTGGTTTGGAGACTGTTGATTTCTTCAGTCGGCTAGTATGGGAGACATAGTAACCTCCAACCTATCTCAGAAGCTATTGTTCCGGTGCTGAAAAATATAGTATGATTGACAGGGATTAAAGCGCACGTGGTTTTATGCAATTGCTATGTATATTCGCCGAGAAATAAATATTCGGAGGTCGGTGGATCATTGGTGGTCATGCACGGAAATTCCGGCAAACCGGGTGGTAGCCCAAGCGGTTGCACGTGCCGAATTTAAGCGCGCCATCTAATCTAATCTAATCTGATCTAATCAATCAATCACGTATTGATTGCTTATATAAGCCAAGAACTTCTGCACAACTTCACACGGATCGAAGCCCAAACTCACGCAACCGACAACAAACTCAACACAGCTGCTTACCTCAGAAATGTCGGAACATCTCAAGACACGACCGCTCTTCATTTATGGGACATTGCGCGCCCTCCCCTTACTCGCGTGGGCTCTGACAGGAGATGCCTCAAACACCGCAGCCGTGGCAAGTCTTGCACGCCCAGGCAAGGTCTATGGCTACGCACGATTCTTGGTGCGAGGGTGTGATTACCCAGGGGTTATCCAAGGCGACAGGTGCTCATCAGTCGATGGACTTCTACTCACATTCGAGACGTCATCTCAGCGGAAAAAGCTGGATGATTTCGAAGGAGAAACATACAGAGTAGCACCTGTTTCCGTTACTCTTGACACTGGAGAGACGGTCGAGGCAGACATGTACGTCTGGGCTGGAGAAAGGGGTCAACTTTCTACGGAACCCTGGGAGTTGGCATCATTTGTCAACGAGAGGCTCCAAGACTGGCTGGACCTTTTTGAGGGAATGGTGTTGGTTGGTGAAGACTGAGGGATCGGTTGATAGCAGGAAGCTTTGGAGGCTTTTAGCTCCACTGCTGTTGCCGACACACGATTCTCGCAGCACCAGCGACCGCGCATACATATGCAGCCAAGCGCTAGGTTCTTCGAGGGGCATCAAGAGGGGTTGCATGGCAAGAATAACATCTTGAGGGTGGTTTGAGTAAGTTTAACCCACGCTTTCGCTTGTCTCTGGCGACCTAGCTCACGCTGTATAGTTCAGCGACTGCTGAAATTAGATCGCGCTTGGCCCGAACTGAGAACTGCATGGCGGGTAAGATCCAGCTAGGACGATCAATGGTGGTGGATGATTTTGCACAGCCAGCCAGATGGCATGCCACAAATGACGGGCAATCTTTATCGGGGTGTTTTCGACTTCCGCATTCCGTTAGGCTAGTTCGGACGATGAACGGAGGCTACTCGTCACGCTCTGTTCGCCATACCTCCCATCCATTTGCAAAGCCAGAGTCAAACAAACGCAACGCCTCCATGGGCAATCAAGTGGTAGAACGAACTGCATCTTTGCTTCACTATTTACAGCACCAGTGTCCACCGTCCCACGAAGTCTCCAGTTGCCATGTGTTAACCTACTGTCCACCTGGGCCGATAAGGCGGCGTAGATCATCGAAGCTCTCGCCTGGAGTCGTAACTTGGTCGAAGGACGCATGGATAGCGAAGTCGACGAACTTCATGACAAATCGAGCCCACTTGATCATTTCGTCAGGGTCAGTTGTCCCTTCGTGCTGACGGAACTCGATTGTATCATGCTTCTGGAGAGACGTGAAGTTCGCCTTGATCCCTTTATGAGTAATCGGCAGAACCTGAGGTTTTAGACTCTCTTACCTTGAAGAAGCGTGAGTCGGCGTATCCATCATAGCCAACGTCTTCCGAGCAGTAGTTGAATCAACTGGCAGATTTCAACGATGCTTGTGGTATTGCTGATCCGATCATAAACTTGTGGCAGTTTCAAGTATCGGAGCAGGTCATTGTTGCGATTGGGCATGATGAATTCATTATCCGTGGAGCGATGCGCCGGGTGGAACTGTACATACCATATTGATGGAGAAGCGCAGACCGCTTCTAATGCGATAGAGGTGATGTTGACGCCGTTTTTTTCTTGCAGAGGGAAGTCCACGCGTTTTGGGTTGGAAACCCAAACAATTGGAGGCTGATTGATGTGTAAGGTACGGAGTACGGTGCAGCCCCACACCTCAGTCCTATACCTCAGCCCTACACCTCCGCCCCACCCACCTACACTTGGCACTCTGCACAAGGTGAGAAATACTCGCAGGTACCTAGGTACTGTACCTTGGTACGTACTAGGTGGATCGGGAGGGTCCGCTCTCACGTACTGTAATCTTACGCCTCGATTTGCTAAGTAATAACATCGCTGATACAGTAATAGCATCGCTGATACATATTCGATGGTATGCACAGTCGGTTGCTGATGTGTGTCGGCATGTTGGATTTGGGGAGAGGAGTGGAGGTTCATGCATGGTACCTGTGCCTGGCTTCTAGGTCCCATCAGCGCTAAAATACGTGGGGGCCTCTGTCACATGAAGGGGAGACAGCCCAAATGGCGAGCACGCACGTGCCACGCCGCGTTATTGTGGAGGGGTTACATAGGTAATTTGTTGTTTGCAGGCTGACTTTCGCTTTTCCACTTTTCCTCCATTCATTGTTGCCTGCGCTGAGCAACCTTGTCACATACCCATACTAGGGGACAGCAAAGATGAATGATCTCAAGAATCCAAACCCAACCAGCCCGGCATTCGAGTAGGGGAACTAGGATGCGTCGCTTACTGGTAAAGTCTGCACCAACAACAGCTTGGAAGATCTGATCGACCAGATGACAGCTAAGCATCCACCACCAACGCATCTCCGAGATGGCCCGACTCTTCCCCAAAACATGTCTAGGCGACTGGACCAAGGGGTAGAATGTTGCATTCCGCTCAATCCTCCGCCATTGTGTGGCGGGTGAGAAGCTTGATATCGATTGGCCTTTGGATATCGGTTCCGCCACCCAGTTCTTGCTGGGAACTGGCCCTGATGGCCGACCATCTTATCGACATGCTCGACCTGCCATAGCCTAACAGCCATATCTGCATCATGTGGGACGAATACGCGTGGATCACCACTGTGGAGGGCAAGATCCCCGACTGCAAGCACCGCCGGGGCATCATCTACGACGAGCTTTTCTCGCGCGGCTGCTTCGTGCGGGGCGGCCCCGAGCAGGGCGGGCCGTTCCTCCGGTTTATCAAATACGTGGCAAGCGCACTGGTGGAGGCGAACAAGTCCCGCGAGGGCACGATGAAGCAGATCGAGGAGCTGGTTGCTTTCGTGGATCGGGCGAAGGAGGTCAACAAGCAGCAGGCTTACTTACCAGATGCCTGAGGTGCGTGGTCAGTCGCAGGCTTGGCGAAGGTCGATTGGAGGCAGATTCACGATTCTCTTCGCCCCGCTAGCACTGGGGCGTTGAGTGGGCAGTTCTGGGAGGGAGCGGGGTTTGATCGGAATGACCCGCCAGGATGAGAATTCGACAGGACTTGCTTTGTATTTTTAACTACGATATGACGACGGCGGTGGGATTGCATTTTTAGCTTCGTGAAGCCGACAGGGCCGGCATTGTACTTTAGAGATGATACCCCGAGACCAGGACACACACCGCTTGATCACCACGAACAAGTTATGCCCACAGCAGACAGTCTACTTATTCGAGTGACGAAGAGAGTTGGGAGATCTGCTGCAGATATACCTCGCCGCGTTTTCTCCCAAGAAACTACGGAAGAGGTCCCTCCAGGCCCAAATGCCAAACTTCCTGTAGATCCCGTGCACCTCTAGTTGACCTCGCCTCGTACTGCATTCATGTTCTCGGGATAGAGGCTATACCGGAGAATCCCGGTGTCCCGAGCCGGTCCGGGGCGACCTTCCCGTCTTTGGCACTCCTTGGATTGGAAACTTGGCAAGATTGACCGGACACAGGGATTACGGATTCAAACGAGGGGCCCCAGCGAACCAATGAATTGAGATCTGGAAAAGATAGCTACTCGGGGGTCTGTGCGGCATTCTTTCGTAAGACCCCTCCCACAGGGAAGGACAGACCCCCGAGTAGGACGCTAATGGAAACCGCCTCCCCAGATCACTCCGGGTTGGCTTGGTAGGTAGCTCCCGTCGCGTCACCACTTGGCGGGGAATCCTTAACCCGCCAAAAGCTATTTCACAACCCCGCCTCGGCTAATGTAGGGGGTGGAGAGTCGGAGAAAGTGGAGTCATCTCCCCGCACCGGAATGCTCAACAACCCGTTCCGAGTGGTAAAATTGGAGTTTGCCACGCTCCTACCCCAGACACTTCACCGTGTCGATGGCCCAAGTCAACATCAACAAGGCGTTACAATGGCCTTTGTTCGTCGCAATTCCATGGTAAATACGGCATCTGGCCACGCTAGAATACTCGAGAACCAATCCGGTGATGCACAAACAGAAGTCTCCAGGACTGGTTCCCCAGCTAAGCGAAGGAAGATATCAACAGCCTGTGAGCCGTGCCGAGCTCGCAAAGCACGCTGTGATGGAGAGAGGCCCATATGCGGCGCCTGTAGCCATAGACCGCAGGGCCAGGGGCATTGCTTGTACCGAAGGGACGAAAATGGGCACAAATTCAGCAACAGGTTGGTCGCCTATATTCTCAATAGCAAGTCGGCACACCAGCTAATAACATGGTGACACAACAGAAGATCGGATACCACGGAGCTTTTAGAACGAGTGCAGCAGATAGAACGGCGCCTCAATTCTGGCCAGAGTGACTCGTTATCCCACAGCTCTCCACACTTCCCCCAAGCACCTGTGGAGCTAGCACCGACCCCACAGAGCGAACTCCGGGCCCATCATCGCGGAAGAAGCACCACCCCTCCGGAGGATACCGGATTGGAGCCGTCTGGCCCTCCTCGTCCGTCTCACCGAGAGACAGTGCGGCCCGATGACACACCCTCACGGACATCGCCCCGGGGTGCCTCGACGGCAGTCGGAAGCGAGTCAAACCAATACCCGCCCAATCCCGGTGAGGATCCAGCATGCTCGCTCCCCCCCAAGGGCAAAGAGAGCCCTGTCAACGCCATGGGCGCGATTTCATCCGTGGATGGCAATCTACTGTCCAGCTCCGGCGCCTTCTACGGCGGCTCATCTGCGGCCCACTTTCTGCAAGAAGTCCATTGCAGTCTAGGCTGCAGCGCCAAACCCCACAATACGAACCGAGCCTCGTACGGACAGACTATGCGACATCCCGCTCCGCACCCCCGGCAACCCCGTCCCGCTCCCGGACTGGGCGCACCTTACGCATTCCAGCAAGATCTTGTGCTCCCGACCCGGCAGCTCGCCGATTACCTGCTAGACATCTACTGGACCAAATCCTACAACCTGTACCCCTTCATCCACCGCCGGTCCTTCCAGCACGCCTACGCCAACCTCTGGGCCAGCGCCCCCTCCTCCCAAACGTCCTCCCCCACCCCCGACCTCGGCCTCGGCTCTACCGGCACCTCGGACCCGCACTCCCCCGGCTTTCACTGCGCCCTCAACGCCGTCTTCGCGCTGGCCAGCCAGCTCGCCGGGCCGGAGGTGCCCCTATCCGACCGTCGCACGCTATCAGAACGCTTCTTCCGCCGGGCCGAGGAGCTGCTGCACGTGGACGTGCTCGACTACGGCAGCCTGGCTCTCGTGCAGACGCTGCTGATCCTGGCGCAGTATCTCCAGAGCACGCAGTTCCCGACGCGGTGCTGGAACGCCGTCGGATTGGCCTGCCGGATTGGGCAGGGGCTGGGGTTGCATGTTGAGGGTCCGGAGGGGGGCCGTGGGGGGGTTGAGGGGGAGATGCGGAGGAGGATATGGCATGGTTGCCATATCATGGATAGGTAGGTTCGATGGACTTTGTGTTGAGAGTGCCGTGTTTCGGCTTCACCATGCTGACTTGCTTGTCGTTAGCGTGACTAGCATGACTCTCGGACGACCGATGATGACCCAACAGCGAACTATTTCCGTGCCCCTTCCGTCCCCACTTGGCGATGACTTCGTTGAAGGTGAGGAAGTCGCCGGGCTGGAGGGTCCATCTCATGTCATCTTTTATAAGGAGACGATCAAATTGTACCACCTGCTTGGAAGGATCGTAACAGAGGTGTACAATCCTTGGTCGGCCAAGACGGCCGAGGATGACTCGAAAAAGGCCCTCCCGGCGGGCAACGATGAAGTCAGATCCATACTCGATATGAGCGAAGAGCTGTGCAAGTACGAAGAGAACCTCGCAGATATTCTCCACTGGCAGAGGGGTCAGCACCTGCGAGATGCCCTGCCCGAATCCGCATTATTACGAGGTACAGTCCAACGTCAGGCGAATGTTCTCCACGCAAGGTACGTCGATCCCCTGCATCATTCCCGTCCCGTATTATGGGGTATTTAAACAACCCATTATAGATATCTCCACGCCCAGGTCCTGCTACACCGACCATCGTTCATGCGTATCTGCCGCATGCTTGCATCGAACTGGCACTCGGGCCCGGCCTTCAACCTGAGCGACTACAGCCATCGAAGGTTCCGATCGAGTCTCGGGCTTCAGTCTTCGATCCAGTGCATCGTGGCGGCTGTCGACCTGATTACGACGTTGCACAAGTCGACGAGTGTGGATGCCGCCGGGGCGTGGTGGTACACCATCTTCTGTGAGCCTGAGATGCACCCAATTTCGACCACTGGTCAAGTTGCTATCGGTAATTGTATGCTAACCGACTCCGTTCATGTTAGACCTCTACTCAGCCGGACTAGTGATTGTATTATCAAAGTCTTGTCTGCCTATACATGGTTATATCGACAAGGATGCGGTAGACCAGGCCTGGTCGGACTGCCGTGCGACAATGCAACTTCTTGGGCAGTATGGAAGTGCCGCAGAGCACGGGCTGCGCAGCCTCTGTGCGCTACATGAGCGTCTTGTTGTGACAACTCGCGGTACGTGAACTCTTGGCGTGAGCCCATTATCAGCTTTGGCCGGCTGCCCATGGACTGCCCATGATCTTTTCCCACCCTGGGCCCCCGGGGGGGATTTCACGTTCGCTGAAACTAACTATACGACTGTCCAGAGTCGTCCGCAGTTGAATCCTGTCCTCAACACGAGACGGATATGTCCGAAACACACCAACTAGCACAAGGCATATCTAATCCATTGCCACACGTGCCTGTCAGTGACAAGGAACTACATCGAGAGACTCTCGACGAAGTGGGGCGGGTTGAGGCGGACGACATCTGGGCTTCGAGACTGCCGCTCATTGATTTCGTGGATCATAATAACGATTTGATGCTTCCTAGTCTATTCTATGATAGCTGGTGATTAAAGTTCCGAGCATTTACTGGACATACATATAATAATATCATGGTCTAATTACATGTTCACGCCCCCACGTTTCTTCTATGGTTATCTGTGGCCTGGCATGGCGACTTTGCCACCAACTGCTGCGTGATCTGGTGCAGACGAAAGAAACCCAGCGAAGAAATCTTCCAGCACATCGTGTTCTTCGATTCCAATTATTGCCGATATATCTGGAAAATGGTGAGTATGAATCCCTACTAGACTGGGAGTGGAAGGAAGGGCAAACACTCACGTTGGTCTGGCCGCACGATCACCATCGCCCCGGTCTTCTCGGAACATCCATAGACCTTATACGCATGGCCACATCCAGAGTTATAACTCTCGTCGTCTACGAATACCTTGTTCAGGTCTTAGGGGTAATCAGTTAGCGTGTCCGCATGAGTGACAAGTGGGAGATAGAGCACTTACTTCGCAGCGCGAACGGGCCAGTGTAGGGTAAGAAGAAGTCTGGAATCTGCTCTAGCTCCACTCTCGTTCTCCTCCCCGACAAAACGATGATGCATTCGATGATACTGTCCATATCGCTTGTGGCAGGCGTGCATCGGCGAATGGGGCTCCTCTCAGAGTCCAAATAAGCGGCGAGCTGTACGCATAATCAGTCACTGGCACGATTCTGGAGGGAATCCGATGTTCAATATCATCAGACAAGAGCCGTCTCACCTCATTCAATCTCTCACTTGCCCCAGCCTCCAGAACGTCGCCCGCGAAGATCACAATCCGCCATCGCCCATCCGACCGAAGCGTCTCCGCCAGCTGCATCGCGCGCGCATCGCAATGCCGAACTACCTGAGCGCTCGGGAAGCGCATACCGACGGTTAGCCCCGTCGCCAACGCCAGCGCCGGCGCCGATTTGCAGTGTGTCGTGTCCATGGTAATGATCGAGTCTTGGTACTTGGTGGCAAGTCCGGCGGTGATGACGCCGGACCGAATAAAATGCTGAGCGAACACCTCTGCTGGTGTGGCGTGCCCGTCTGTCGGTTTGGATTTTGAGGAGAACGACCTTGCAAATTCTCGATCGAAGTTGATTAGATCGTTTGCGACTTTCCCCCTTTCCAGCGTGTACGTGTCGAGGATGCTTGGCGACGCCTCCCCCCTCAATACGGCCGCCAGCTTCCAGCCGAGGTTGTACCCGTCCTGCAGGCTCGTGTTCATGCCCTGTCCAGCCTTTGGAGAGTGCGTGTGACACGCGTCCCCGGTTAGGAACACGCGATTGTGCCTGTTGAACTGGTCGGCAACCCGCTGGCCGATGGAATAGGCAGACCACCACACCGTGTCGCGGACTTCCAGCGAGTACGGCGAGAGGATCTCTCGAGCCGAGTTTTGGAGATCTTCCAGCTTGACCTCCCTTGCTGTTGTGCCGGGCGGCAGCTCCACGTAGAACCTCGTTAGTGTACCGCCTTCTCGAGGCACGATAAGGAGGCTTCCCAGGTCTGTCTTGATGACGGTCTTCTTCCGGATATCGGGAAAATTGGTGTGGGGGTACACATCCATGACTCCCCAGACAGAATCCGTGCTGTCTCCGACCATTTTGATACCAAGGGATTTGCGGACAACACTGTGTGCACCATCACAGGCCTGAGGATGCAGCCTGGTCAGCTCTGACAAGAGAGTGCAACAATGATGGGTGAAGATGGGGCGAGGAAACGTACAAGAACATATCTTGCATTGAACTCAACCTCCGAGCCGTCCTTGTCTGCAACAACGGTCACACAGAAAGAGTCAGGATCGGCCACAGCCGACTCATCGACCTCGACACGCTTCACCGTGAAACCGTAGCTGACTTCCTGGCCATTGAAGTCCTGCATGGCATTCAGAAACAGGCCATTTATCCTGCCTTGATTAAGTATCACATGTGGCTGGTGCGAAAGCCCGGGCTGCGTATCCGCAGTCCTCGCGGTACGGACAATTCCCTTGTGGGCGTCGTCTCCGCCAGGGTGGTTGGACCAGAAAGTAGTTTCAAGCACGTGGTAGGACTCCCGGAGGAGTTCCTCCGACAGGCCAAAACTCTGGAAGATCTCCACGGTCCGACACTGGACGCCGTCTGCCTGTCCGAGGTGTAAGGGCCCGTCCCGGGACTCGAGAATCTTGCAGCGCAGCCCTCTTCTGGCGAGCCAGGTGGCGGCGCAGAGACCCGCCGAACCGCTGCCGCAGATGATGACATCCACCTTTTCGGCGACCATGTTGATTTAATAAAAGAATATGGTCCCGTGGAGAGAACGGCGTAGTACAACACAGAAGAAAGAACGTTGGTGGCGTAGAGGAGATGGGGTTGGCGGGTATGATGTCGTCCTAGATCGGCTTATCCAACGCGGTGAGTTCTCGCGAAAGTGAGCTAGCTCGGTCCGGGGAGACAAGTTGAGGGCATGTTGAATATATAACTACAAGAACAACAACATTCCGGGCGACGAGGTAATTAGTACCCGAATCTATGATGCGCGACCGTCGAGTCGAGCAGACCGGCAATTCGAAGCGGAATCGCAAACGGAACGGAACGGAACCGGGTCGTTCCTTACTACGTTCCTGTCGTACCCAATGTCCGGGTGTCATGAATGGCCATGTGGTGTGTTTCCGGCAAGTCGGTTGGTCGTTCTGCCCCAGCCAAGACCCGACACTGCGACTGGCCCGGGATAAAATCGTTCCAATTCCGTTCCGGTCCCCACTTTGGACGGGATCTTCGGACCTGTTCCGGTGTGGGGTGCAATGGCCCCGAATGAGTAAAGCGTGAGGGGCTAGTCGTTCTAGCAGGATCCGTTCCGCTCCGAGCATCTCAGTGTCTACATTTGTGGGCTTCGGTCGGCATATGTAATGTAGGAGGAGAAACTCCCATCTCGCAGTAATCCCAATTGAGCGTGCTTATGTTAAGGCCGACTTTTTGGTTGTTCCCACTTACAATGGATTTGGTAGACTTTGAGGTTATGATTGTGGGCGGGAGACAGCACTGGGGGCATGACAAGCCCATCCGGATAGCAAGATCCTACTGGTCGAATCGGAAGGCGGCTTAGGAGGCGCTGCTACTAGTCGAAGGGTCGACTCCTACTGTGGGCTCTAATTGCAGCTGAAGCAGAAAGCAACGAGGGCCGTGGCGGGCGTGTGGGATGAACGTTGTGGCCCACTGCTGCTGGCACCATCAACCCACGGGCACTCTCTACACGCCGGGGGGAAGGCCTTGGGACGCATCTGCGGCTGCCCGGCAATGGAGGGAGGCCGTGCAGTTGCCCAGGGTGGCAGACCACTGGCTGAAGACCGTCATACCCAAGGACGCAAGCGTGTTGATCCGCCTGCCACTGTCTTGCAACATTTGCCGCTATATGGCCTCCGCGGTTCACAACGTCATGTCTTCTGAGAGTACAACTCGCGCCGAGCAGGCAGGACGGAAGCAAGCGTAAGAGAACATGAAGATATTAAACTCACTTCTAGGACACAAAGAAGACATGTTCAGTACCTGGTGTCCACGGGAACGAACTTTGGCATGAAATCCCAGCACATCAATGCGATGCGAGATGTTCTCGAGGGGTTACGGTTCGAAGACACGGTCGCAATCGGGGCTTGGGGTTTTAAATGGCACGGCAGCGACAAAGGAACGCTGGGCCAGCCCTCTCACCATCCCCCTCGGAGGATGTTTCGATATCCCGCTGCCATGTCCTTGGAGTTCCGACACCCCCAATCTATTTGCCGCCGGGTGATGTGCGGATGGCGACCAATATGCCGGGAACGCCATCAGACTCATGGGACGGCGCTGGCGACCGGATAGGCTGCTGGTGTTGCAACCGCTTTTTGTGCCAAGAACCGCGGCGACCCTGCAATAATGTAACAGCCAACACCCACAACACCCACAACACCCACAACACCCACAACACCCACAACACCCACAACACCCATACCAAGCCATGTACCAGCCCCGCCAACCACAAACGGCATCCTCAATAGCCGTACATTCCGTCTTGTTCTTCCGGGGCCGAGTCGCGGGAATCGGCGAGCGGACGGGTATCGGAGGGAAGCGCTATCTGACGCCAGATGATATTGGAAGTTGCATCATTTTGCGCCATCGGCATGTCTCCCTGCAGCAAACCACCCCACGCTCTGCAGTCGCCATCCTTGACTCTGATGGCATGTAAAACTCCGCATTCTTGCGCCATCACAAGGATTCTGTGAGATGTCTAATATTTCCCTTGCGCCATACGCCACCATCTTTGCAATCGTAGACATTGATAACCAATCTCCTTGGCTGCATTATAAACCCCCGTCTTTACTCACCTTTTTGGCCAGCATGGCCGACCAAGCCCGGCCGATGTCCGAGACGAGCACGATCCATCAACCAATTGCGGTGAGAAACGGGCTCCGGTTGAAGACCCTCTTATAGCTAGCGGCTGTACCGCACTGTTGATTCTGTGGCTGTCATGTTTTCGACCATGACTGCTGCCGAACATGCGTGGGGCGCCTGGCATGCCGTCCTTGGATTTGTCTCCCAAGACTAGCCTCTGATGGGAGGCCATCCGCCTTCAGCCGCAACCGCGACTCCGAAAGACTATCCTTATTCGCAACTGACGAGCATCTATTGCACCATGCCCCGTCCCCATTTCGACTATGGCGGCCACAGAGTCCAGTCCTGCTCGTCAGCGTGAATTCAAGGTCGAATACACAAGGGCCTAGATTCTTCAGTGGGCATGTGGTGTGTCCATTGCGTGCTTCTCCCTAATGATTGGAAATCAACTGCCGCAGGAGGATGCAGTTCAGGCCTAGAACACCACTCAAGACCTTGTCTCCCCGCTTCCCTGTTCCCGTCTTGGGCCCAGAGTGTGTGTGGTGAGAGGAAATCCGTGAATATAAGGTTCTCCTACGGACCCGAGAACCAGCGTGTCGGAATGAACTTTCAACCACCCGCATCCCTCATGCCCTGGACCGGCTCAAGGCCCAGTTAAGCGACAGGATGCCCGTAGTTATCATCAAGCGCGCGACCGGCGCAGTCCAACAGCCATCCGTCCTGCTCTCCCCGTCTTCCGACGACGATGATAAGAAGGCCCCCTACGACGTGACCACCGCTCCGGTGTCCGACATCCCCCCTCTGGGGGTGGCGAGCGAGGAGAAGCGGTTCTGGTGGCAGCGCACGCGGGGCTTTGACGGAGAGGCCGTGGCGACGCTGCCATCCGTGTACGACGACCCGGACACGGCCAAGCGATACCAGCCACGCAGTGACTGGGAGAACTTGCACCGTTTCGACCCGCTGGCCCGCTGGTCTTGGAACGAGGAGAACCGCCTCATTCGCAAGATTGACCTGCGCATCATGGTGTTCGCGTGCATCATGTTCATGTCTCTCGAGCTTGACCGCGCAAACCTGTCGCAGGCCGTTACGGATAACTTTCTGGGCGACCTTGGGCTGACTACGAATGGTACAGTGCTCTCTTTTGACTCCTTTCACTCCCTTTCTTGGCCAGTATTCTTGGCTTCTCCGTTCACACGGCTAACGCCCCCCTCCCTGCAGACTACAACCTCGGGAACACAGTCTTCAAGCTTGCGTTCCTCTGCGCGGAGCTCCCATCCCAGCTTGTCAGCAAGTGGGTGGGTCCCGACCGCTGGATCCCAGCCCAGATCATGCTCTGGAGCTTCGTCTCGCTTAGCCAGTTCTGGTTGAGCGGGAGGCAGTCGTTTCTTGTCTGCCGCGCGCTTTTGGCCATCTTCCAGGGCGGTTTCATCCCAGATGTGAGTTGCCGATGGTGTTTGTCAGTGTGCATGCGGTGCAGGAGCTGACTTTTGATATGTTTATCTGCTTGTGCAGATCATTCTATACCTGTCGTACTTCTACAAACACCATGAACTTACTCTGAGGCTGGGCTTCTTCTGGACTGCCATGTCCCTTGCCGACATTGCAGCCAGCCTCCTAGCTGCTGGTATCCTTCATCTGAGGGGTCACAATGGCCACGCTGGGTGGAGGTGGTTGTTCCTGATAGAAGTGAGCTCACCGATCCCCATTCCCTTGCAGACACTCTGATTAACATTGAAGCTACAGGGACTGCTCACCTTTGTTGTTGGGGGTTTGGCTTTCGGTCTAATGCCAGCGTCCCCGACACAGACAGCAAATTGGTTCAGGGGGAAGAAAGGATGGTTCAGTGCTAGGTAGGGACGCATGCTGGCCTTTACATATTCAGGGCATACACTGACGGCCAATCACAGGGAGGAGACCATCATGATCAACCGGGTTATCCGTGACGACCCCAGCAAGGGTGACATGCATAACCGGCAGCCCATCACTCCGAAGCTGCTCTGGCAGAGTCTCAAAGATTACGACCTCTGGCCGCTGTACGCCATCGGGCTTACCTTCCAGATTCCGATGACGCCCCCTGCCCAGTACCTGACGCTGACACTGCGCGGCATCGGCTTCGACACGTTCCACACCAACCTCCTCGTCATCCCCAGCACTGTCCTGCACATGTGCACCCTGATGGCGCTGACGTACGCCGCCGAGATTGTGGGCGAGCTGACGTTCGTTTCCATGATAGCCCAGATCTGGGCGCTCCCGTTTGTCGTCTACATCTACGCCAACGACATCACCAAGATCAACCCGTGGGTCGCGTGGGGGGTCCTGACGGTGCTGCTCTCTTATCCTCTGCGTAAGTGTCTCGAAGTCCCAAGCTATCCTAGTTGAATAAGCAACCCGCCTCACCACAATCACAAAATATGAGAGATGTAAGAAGACACCAGAGAGCTAACCTGCATCCCCCGTTAACAGCCCACGCCATCCAAGTGGCCTGGAACTCCCGCAACTCCAACACGGTCCGCTCGCGCACCGTCTCGGCAGCCGTGTACAACATGATGTGCCAGGCCTCGGGCATCATCGCGTCCAACATCTACCGGGCCGACGACGCGCCGCGCTACCGCCGGGGCAACCGAGCCCTGGTCGGGGCCGTGTGCATGAACTTTGGCATCTACTTCCTCACCAAGGCGTACTACGTCTCGCGCAACCGGAGCAGGGACCGTAAGTGGGCGGCCATGACGGACGACGAGAAGAGGACCTACCTAGAGACGACGACGGACCAGGGAAACAAGAGGTTGGACTTTAGGTTTGCGCATTAGATGGGCCGGAGGGGATCCCGCTAGGGATGGTGTGGTGACTGGAGAGGTTGGATTAGGGAGGTTGAGGGGCTGGCCGTGGGGTTGGTTCTGATATTTAAATGATATTATTCTGTGGCTGTTTGATATTGGTTGACTCCCCTGCTGTTGTACTCCCCTGCTGTTGTACTCCCCTGCTGTTGTGTTAGGTTTGTGAGCTGGTGGAGACCTCACTCTCTCCGCTCTCTTCGAATCCGATGGCAGCATAATTACTTGCTACTTTTATATTTCCTAGACTGTTGCTATCTACAATCTAATTTTGCTGACTCTAGCAACGCCATCGGTTTCACATCAGTCCCTTTCATTGTACCGACCCTAATGCGTCGAGGTCCAGCGATGGGATCGCCTTAAGACGAGGCGCCAGTAGTTGACCCAATGTCACCCCATCGGATGTTGGAGAACACCACGTTGGCGTCAGGATGGTTGGCCTGGATATTGGTGGGGTTGCCCTCGGTGGTGTTGCAAGGCCCATTGGTGCCACTGTCCAACCATTGCATGAACTGGCCGCCGTCGTTCCAGATGCTGAACACCAGGACCATTCCCCGTCCGAGGGCCTTGCCCATTTCGTCCAGCCCCCCGTACGGCGCGGCCGATGTGCAGCCGGATGCCGTGATGGTGTCGGTGCCGTTTGTAGACGCGCTGGTGATGGTCTTCCCGTCTTGGATATAAGACCGTGTAATCTTGCTGAGACTGCCCGTCGTCGTGCCGTCGTCGGTGATGAACTGAGTAACCACAGAGAACGGTTTTGACGTGTCGACCTTGAGACCGGGTCCATAATAGTCCTTGTATCCCCGGGCGTAGGGGTTGAATCCGCATCCGCTCTTGTCGCAATCGCCGTTGGCACAAGGATGGGGAGTGAAAGCGTTGGCAGCGGAGTTGGCCTCAAGAATATCCATCTCGTCGCAGCAATAGCCGGAACGGTCCGTGTTCAGTGTGCCGTTTGTCCAGGTCTGAACTGGACACTGGGCATCGCAGTATCCCGAGCCATACTTGGCTCCGCCGGTGTTGTCGGCGTTCCTTCCGCCTGTCCGGTCCATCTCGGAAAGATACAGGGCACCGTTCTCGCCGCAGGGGAGTGTAGACAGATCGACTTCGAAGCTCAGCTCCTGACCAAGGAGCTGGAGCATGGCGTAGTCGCCGTCCGAATCGAGAAGGTAGACGCGAGGAGAGACGCTCGAGGTCGTTCCGTTGTTTTGCATGAATTGCTTCAGGGTCAAGGCATCCTTCGACGTCGTGATGCCGCTGGACTCGTAGTCGGCACCTTCGATGAAACAATTCTCGGCGCAGGTTGCTTCATCGGGACACAGCGAAGGGACCACCCCACCCGCCGCCGTGCAGGAGGTGCTACCGTCGGCGGTATGGATCCAGCGGTAGTTCCAATCGAGGACCACCGAGGTGTTTTGTTGTTCGCAGCCGCCGCTTGTCGTACACTTCCACGTGGACAGCTGCGGGTGGACCTCGGGGGTGAAGTTGCCAGGGTTCTGGGCCTTCACACACAATGGCAAGACTGCCAAAGCTAGGCCTGCCAGACTTTGTACGACTTTGTGCCCCATTTTCGGCAGTTAAGGGAGACGGGAGCTTGTGTTCGTTGAGGGAGAAAAATCCAAAATGCTGGGCGAGATGCCAGGAAATCCAAAATGTCAAGGGAAGGCATTTATCCCATTTATTCTCTTCGTACATCGAGCACCAGTTTATGAGCAAGATCCCAACGGGGCTGCCTCCATGCAGATCCGGCAGCTTTTGGTCCGCGCCTCGGCCCGTTGGTCCTGGAACGGCAGATCTCGCCCGCACGGACTAGCCCGATCCAGATCTCGGAAGCAGATCTTGGCAAAGCCCCGTTTTCTCCGGGGTATGAACGCCGGCCCACCCACGCTGGCGTAACTCTCCGCGGCTCATTTTCGTAGGGCAAGGTCCTCCAAGATGCAGGCAGCCTTGACGTCATTCATTCCATGGGGAATCATTGCCAGGTTGAGGAGCAATGTAGCATCGAACCCCCGGGCCAGAGAACAGACAAGACTGGCGATCATCCACTTGTTGTAACTTTACCAACCCGACAACGGAATCATGGGATCTTCAGGGGGGCTACCGGCCTTGGCCAACTCGGCCCTATCTTGGCGATACACATTCCGGGAACATGGCGAGCTGGGATGTTTCAATATAGATTAATCTAGTTTAATATACATATTTACAATACGTGGTTCAGGTTATCTCTGCGCCCTATGAAACCCTTTTCCGCAAATTTCGAGCCCCTCTAACTATCCCAAGGTGGCCATTTGTCTCAAAAACATGGTCTCGTTGGGTTACGACGCCTATCAAAATGCGTCGTTCAGCAAACTTGGAAGAAATGTCGCGGGCAAAGCGTATTATTATTGCGTGGCCAATCACCTCCCTGATCCAGACAACCGAGCAAACCGAAGGAGTTAATTAGCGTCGAGAAATACAACCTTGCTATCAGTGGACAACCCAATGATTTGGGCAATTGATCGACGATCTTCCCAAGCCAGTCTCTTCCACTCACTTGTACTGGCGGCTCCAAGCTCCAAGACGAGGGTACACTTTGCAACTCCCCTCCTGTCTCTTGAGAAGGCAGAACGGCAGTGGTCAATGCTGTTGCAGGCAGTGTGCGAGTTCGGTTGTTTGGTATGTATTGTATGGTATAAGTCACCTGATCTATCATTACTGTCTCTACGTTATGCCCCTGCTGCTGCCGTTGCTGCCAGGCTAGAGCGAGACCCAAAAACAGCCCCGTTCAGAGGTTTTTAACTACCCACATACCGGAACGGAATGGCAGACGATCAAACTTGACGTGTGAAGCTCTGTGAGAAGTGGAATTGACATGTGACGTATACAAGAAGACGTGAGGTTGCCGCCGGGGGCGAATATCCTCGGCAGCAAGGATTTCTCTTGTATAGCAGACTTCATGAGTGACGGGCCGATAGACCCGACAGAGTTGACGTGACGTTTTAAGAGTCTCCTGATACTGCTGTGTTGCCCAAACAGTCTCTCGGTGCTGCCGCTTGCGTTGTTGAGCTTCTGTGCCCGTCTCTTCGGCAACACCATCAAGCCGTTTTGACCGAATTTCTTGGCGACGAACTTGCTGTCCAAAAGCCGAAGCTGCATCGAGGTCCAGGCTATTGGAGGGATGTAGAGACGAGTTTAGCAATTCTCTCGCATGATGGCGTTGATTGACCCCGGTTCGGGCAAGGCAGGAACAGATTTTGGGAAGCAATGGGAGACCCTGGCTGTAGCTGCGAAGCTGGGGAGTAATATGAGGGAGGAGGACAAGACACTGCGGTGGAGCTGGGAGGTAAGCTTCTGTATTGTGCTTTGGTGCTGCTTTTTTATTACAAAAATCCGTGACAGATTCGCAACCGCCTGCTTGCATAGCGCCAATGTGGACACAACCATTTCAAGGCGAATAAACTGCCAGCGTGGTTGAGGTGATCTATGCTCCTCGCTCTACCATGCTTAACATAGATAGGTGCCTGAATTAGAACCTCCCAAATTGTATTTGTACTTTAGTGCCAAGAGATGGTCCATTTGGATAACCCCCACGCAAGGCCAAAACTCTGGTTATTCTCTAGGATATACGTAGCAGCACGAAATATTGTTGATGCAGGGGGAGAGGAGGGGGCGTGGTGGTATTAAACCTAGCGGGATGATCTCTCAAATTCACCCGGCTTAGCTGTTGGTTGTTAGTTAGTATCTCCAAACATGACATCGTGTCGCTTTCTGCTGAATCAAATTCCTTCCCGTTTCTAATCTGTGAATCACACCGAGGACTATTAATGGATCTGCGTCGCGTCGGTCTAAGCCCCCAACTAGCCACACAACCCAACCGAAGCCAACACCTCGGCCACAAGAATGGCACGGGCTGGATCCTCTCTGCCGCACCCGACCCCCGCACCCAACTGACACGGCGGTTTCCGCCGCCAAGCAACGACATGCACTCTACTCCCCCTCCTCCCTTTCAAGTTCCTGTGTAGCTGACTCGACACTCTTAATAAATGTTTAGTTGATGACAGGGGTACGGTTATTATTATTGAGTCAGTGACGGGAGGAGAGCGGAAGTAATGCAGATTCAACGATGGAAGAATCGAACAGTAGTTATTTGGGAGATAGTGGAAAGATCGTGTGGAACGATAGTCTGAATTGAACTGTCGATGCTTTTCGGCGTAAAATAACTCAAATATGTCCTCGTGATGTTGACCAAAAGAAATTGAAACTACAGACCTATCGTCGTGTGCTGCTATTAGCGAGGAGGATACCTCTTGACGTTTACATCTTGGCGTTTACATCTTGACGTTTACATCCCAGCTAAACAGCGTAAACTTCCATTTACCCCAGCCAACATGAAAGTCAAAGTGACTCGACAGGCCCATGGAGGGCGGATCCGTCTGGCTGTTTTGGTTGTCGGACACTGGGCTATTCACAACCTCCCACTGCTGACCATCAGTCCTGAGCTTCTCCTCCTGGCTGCGAGCTTCGAAGGAAGATTCGGACCACGTAGCGACGGCAGTTCCTAATGCCCTTCGAGTCAGATATGCACTACTCAAGCTGAATAAATAAGGGGGAGGTGAGAGGGACGATACCAGCTGTAGACTCCTCCTGGCCATCGGTCTTGCCGCCGTCATGGCCGCGTGCTTGAGATGAAGACTCGGGCCGCGTGGAATTTGCTGTTGCTGTTGCTGTTGTGTTTGATGGTTTTCGATACGTGCCTCCTTGCTGTGACATTTTGGCAGATGAGGTTACGGTAGGTAGGCGGTTCTCATCAGATGACTCGAGAGTCTTGGAAGGCAAGAAGGGTAAAGTGGAAAGATCAGAAATGGAGGTCAATTTAGTCAATGCCACGTGCATATCATCTAACCAAATCACAGCCCACCACGTGCCGTTTGTTCTACACACCATAGAGGTGCACTACCCCGCTCATGGCCTCAATGACACCCTAGTGATATCCCCCCTTTTTCTTGCACCCACCACATACTAGTAATCATTGCTGCACTTATCGCTAGGGGTCAAATAGACACCAAGGTGGAAACCCTTGGGCGGATGCTGATCAACTGTGCCGTTGGCGAAGATGACGCCAGTGAAGACGGCAGCAGGGGCTGCACCTGTCTGGTCTGCAGAGTCAGGGACAGTAGTATCGGCAGTAATATTGGTGCTGCTACTGCTATTCAGAGCCCCATCGGCGCGGCTTTGGATAGCGGCGTCGGCGGAGGGGTGGGGAACCTTGAGCAGCGGGTTCTTGTTGGGTGACACCTTGCAGTTCTGGCTGACCATGTACAGGTTCAGGCCGATGGCGAGGGTCTGGATCTCGGCGCCCAGCATGTCGAAGTGGGTGGCGCCCTCGTCTCCCACCCTGTTGGTGATGAGCTGGCCAATGTAGTCCTGGAGAATGACGGTCGGGAAGGACTCGGGCGACATGGCGTTTACGCCATCCCAGTACAGAGCGGGATTGCTCGCCTTGACAGCGTAGTTCTCGAGACGCCACGCCGTGGCGGCGGTAAAGTCTGGGGTGCATTGCCACTGCATGATAAAGAATTTGTCGGCACCCGTGTTATCCCTGGACACGCCGTGCATGCGGTTAATCTGCGCAGCAGAATTGTCCTGGGGAGTCGTCTCCTGCGCCCAGTAGTCGTCTCGGCCCATGTAATCGGTACCGTGGTAGATGCCGGCCCCCGTCCTGAAAATGGGCTTGCTCCCCGTCTTGACGTCGCCGTCTGTCAGCAGAAGGACACAGCCCTTGCCATCATTGCGATCCATGAGGGACCCGGCGGTCTGCACGTCGAAACCAGGGTCTAGATCGCTACACCGGTTATTGATCTTTTCGAGCGTATCGAGGAAGTCGTTCGCCCTATCGGCAGTCCAGTATATAGCATCTCGCCCGTGGGCGGGGTCGTACTCCCCCACGTTGACCATGTACTTGATCCACCAGATGATGACTTCCCCAGGATTCTCGTCGGTGAACCTATTGACGTCGTCGATCATGTCATCCAGTTTAGCCCCGATGGCACCGTATGGAGACGTTGCAAGCTCGTCGATCAAATGCGCGGCGTAAAAGGTTCCGCCCTTGATACTGACCAGCCGCATATCAAAGTACCGAGACCCGACGCGCAGCTGGTTGTACATTGTCTGCGACTGCGTCTGCGTGTTGGATTTTACCCCGGCGCCTTGCCAAGCAGTGCCGATGGTCGACATGCCGGCATCGTGAGACCCAGGCATCACCACGTGCCTCAGCTGTCGGTCCTTGATGGTGTGGTAGATGCCCCTCATCCAATTGTACGGCTGGAAAGTCAACGATGATACATAGCCGTAGTCGTCGCTGCCTGTGATGACCAGCGTCACCCCCGAGGTCTGGTAGGGGTTGCGATACTCGCGCTAGCCAAGCCCCATGCCGGACAGGTCAAACACGGTGCGAATCGGGAAACCGTCCGGGATGTGCGTTGTCGCGTGTACCATGAAGGTCTTCCCGGTCCCCTCAATGCTGTAGTGCGCCTCGCCGTTGTCATCGACCGTCGTCTTCCCCGTGTACGACACCTTGTTCTGGCGGGCCTTGCCTGGCGGGATGTCGCCGAATTCAAAGGGCGAGATTCCACACGAGTGATTGTACGTGAGCACAAACTTGTTGGGGGTCAGGTTGACGATGGTGATGTAGTAATCTTCGTGGAGCGGCCATATGCTGTCGTTGAGGTACGGCATATAAAAGAACTCCCCATCAGGCATGTGGGCGTTGCTGTACGTGCGGTCGTTGGCATCGCATTGGTCGTCGTCCGACGGGGCGGGACTGATGGACGTCGGGGCGGGGCCGTTGGACGGCACGTCGAAGATGGAGATCTGTGCCCAGGCCGGGTGCGCCTCGATGGCGAGATTGTCGGTCGAGAGCACACCCTTGCCGTTGGCAACGAGAATGTTCTTGGCCCCGATGGCAATGACGTGCTGCAGTCGGTTGTTGTCGTGGTTCCCGTCTATCCACCACAGCGTCTTTTGGCATGTATGCCCGTCGATGCAGTCCTGCGTGTATGTGCTGAACCACGAGTATGTTCCGGCGCTGCCGATGTGGATATTCTGGCACCCTTCCATGACCACAGCCCACGACTCATCGCAGCCGTCAAAGTCGCCACCTTTGCAGCTGTAGCTCGGATCGCCGGGGAACTTGCCCACCACGTTAGCGAAGGGCGCGGGTGGCTTGGGTGTTGGCTGGTAGTAGGGCGACTCGGTCTGAATCATGGTGGTGAAGATGTTGCGGGCGTTGTGGAAGTTGTACTGGTAGTAGATGCTGTGCTCTGAGGAAGTGCCGTATAGCCAGGTTGCTTCCGTGCTCTCAACGAGGAAGCCCCGGGCGCTGTACACGGACACTTGTGTCATGTCGTTGGACGCCGAGTCGAGATCGTCGTCGTCGATCATATGGTCGGCCACCCACAGCCACATGTTGTCAAAGTAACCCGATGCTTTGGGCGTGATGTGCAGCAGCAGGCTTGCTGCGTTGCAGCGGGTTGGGTTGGTGCCAGTCGTGATGGGCGGGCACTCGGCCGGTGTTAGGCCTGTGCCCGCTGCTCCTCCGACTCGAGCATGCACATCCCACATTGCTGCCTGACCGGCACTCTTGGCTTTGACGTTCCACTCCATCAACACAGCGCCCGCAGTGCTGCCCTTGGTGGTGAGGATGAGATCCTGCATCTCGACAGAGCCCACGTCGCCCTCCTTCCCGACCTTCAGCATGACGCGCGGGTTCGCCGGGTCTGAGAACTTGTCCCCGTTGGCGGCAAACTGTGACCAGGCCTCGCCGACGATCTTGGTATCTTTGGGGATTGTCACCGTGTCTGTCAGGATGTATGTCCCAGAGTCGACAAATATGATCTTGCTCCCGTCGCCGTATCGACTGAGCGTATCCTGCACAGCTGCCGTGTCGTCAGTTTTACCATCGCCCTTTGCGCCGCCGTCCTTCAGGTGCACAAAGTCACTCGCAGACTTGTCTTCGTACTGTGCCCGCTTGCGCTCAAAGTAGGGGGATACATCGAGACCATCGGCAGCCGCGCCAAGAAGGGTCTTCTCCCGGGCGTATTCTACCGGGCCCTGTTTCCACGTGCGGGTGCCTTTTTGGTAGACAGGACCAACAACCCACTAGTATTTGGTCAGCAAGCCCTGTGTCAGAATTCCCTGGCAGGAGGAGCAGACTCACGCTCTTGTAATATCCCGAAGCAAGCAACTGATTCCCACTATTGTCGGCGACATTGCCACCCAACCGGACATTGTCGAGGATGAGCCCGGTGGTTCCAGTTCCGGGGTCCTTAGACAGGGCACCCATGATGATAGCCGAAGTCTTGATGTTGGAGAAGGTCGAATCCATAAAAGAGACGGAGCCGATATTGCCGTCGCCGTTGTCGCTGACAAGCCGGAACCCTACATCGGCGCCATCCACCTTCACACTCTTCCACACCCACCCCCAGTCCCAGATGAGCTGCACTGCCGTCGCGCAGCCCTTGAAGGTCATCCGCGTGGCGCTGAACTGCTGGTTGCCGCCGTCTGCGTATTCACATTGTTAACAGGGTAGATGTCCTGGGGGCGATCAAGTGATACAGGGACAAACTCACAGAAGCCAAAGTTGCCGCCAGTAAATGTCACGTCAGACATGACGCCGCCGCTTCCGTTTTCGGAGAACATGCCTTGTTGGGTCTAACGCAGCGTCCGACTGTCAACGGAATTGCCCCAACCGACCCCCCTCACATCTGTCGTAAGAAAGAGAGTAGTGACTTACAGTTCCCGTCGTGGCAATCAACTCAACATTCTGAATACTCGTAGCCTGTGCGACCTGGTAGTGGACAGCACAGACATAGGCATCTGGGTCTGTCGCAGTGATGTCGACCCTGATGTTCCGTATCTGACTGTAAAACCTCCCAGTGTTGATGTACCACTCGAGAGCATTGCCGTCAGATCCATCGCCGCCACCATCGACGTACACGTCAGTAGACAAGACACCGAGGCCAACAAAGCTAGAGGCACCTTTTATGATGGGCCAGTTGTTGGCATCTCCAATGATCTGCGTCCCGAACATGATGGATATGCTGCTCGAGACAAGGTACGTGCCTGACGGGAAGTATACGATGGCGTTCTTGGTCGTTGAACCGTTGCAGCCTGCGCCGCAGCGCTTGCCGTCGCTGATGGCCTTTTGGATGGCGGCAGTCGAGTCCTGAACCGGTTAGAATTTATCTCTTTTCACTCTAGCCGGTTCTGCCTTGACGAGAAGGGGCAAGGGTGTTCACTCACAGTCTTGCCGCTGGGGTCAGCGCCGTAATCAGTCACGACATTGCGGAAAACCTGGTTTGGCAGAGTAAGCAAATGCGCTATTCTAGACTGGCTTGTTCAGGGAGACCAATACCTTGTAGCTACCATCATCACCCCATGGAATCGTCCCCTTTCGCTCCAGATGTTCCATCCAAAAGGTTCCTGCACGCCTCTGAACCGGGGAAGAAGCAGTGCTATTCGCAGCTTCAACGTCAGCTACAAGGGCAGCGGCACGGGCAATCTCCGGCGTAATGTCTAGCAACAAGGGCGGAGCTTCATCATCAGCGCCAGCGTTGTCCCTCTTCATGATGACAGTGCTAGGCTTGAGCTTGTAGCGGTTGCGAGCCGGTTTGTCGAGCCGAGCTTTGTTTAGCTTGGTCATCTGTACGATAGCCCCCTTGACGATCTTGCGCGCGGCATCAATGTCCGACGCTGTTGGGTTGTCGAGAAGGGGGGGAACAGATGCATCCTCATAGCGGACGTGTAAGGCATGGGGGTGCTGTCGCGGGAATACGGCAGCATCTGGGCCATGGGTGAGGCCCGCAAAAGTTTGGAAGGAGAGACATGCCCATGCCAAGGCTAGGGTAGGACTCTTCCACATGATGATGGTAACAGAGGAGAGAGTTAGAACGAGGGAGAATGAAGGAGAACGAGGGACAGCAGTTGATCAGCGCAGCAGACTGTGGACCCAATGATTGAGAGAAAGACAGTTGACAACCCGACTGGGGATGATTGTCCTCGATGATCTTTATGGGTTCGACGGCAGAGGATAGGGGGCTTGCCCTCTCCTTCACGATTCAACCGGGTCTATATTGCCACCCGCACATTCTCAGACCGAGTCCTGTCCCCCTCTCCCCCAAGCAAGAACCAACAAGGTATCCTTCACCACAGGAGGCCAGCGAGCACAGGCATACATCTCGAGAAGCAGTCACCACAACTCACCCATGCATGCAGGTATAATACCTATCCGTACTTTGCATAACCAACTGTCTGTGTGCAATCTTAGTGAGGCAAAGCTATGTGGTTACAGGCTGGACGGCAAATCTTTCTAATCTCGAGTTTTCTTGGCATCCCTCGATCTTTAGCTGTAATCCCCGAATTAGCTATGAGAGTCGTGTGGGTTCGATATTCGTAATAACTTTATTCTACGCTGTTGGCGTCTAAAGTAGGCGCGGGTCGTAATCTCGACGAGTTAGGAAGCGCGCTTCCCGCTGCAGGGTGCAACATATACTGGTGCATGATATTCCCCTCCCGTACTAGATGATTTCTCTGCTGCACACGAACTGCTGTGTAACCAACTGCATACCACCACAGCGTGCAATCCTGCAAAGTGGCTTCATCTCGGGTAATTGCCTGTTTCCTGCTATCCATTCACAGCCCCTTTCTGGTATCCCGCGGGAGGCGTGTTCACGCGGCTAAATTCGCACCTTCCTTCTACACCTCTGGCGCGACGACCATCCCCCCTTTCTTCTTTTTTTCTTCTTTCTCTTCTCTTCCTTCCTTCCTTTTCAAACGCAATCACTTCTGCAAATTAATCCTGCGCACTCCCTCGTCCTGTTCATATTCACTGTATTCTTCTCCTCCAATGTCGTAACCTCGAAAACACGACATCACAACGCTCCATCATTACATCTTTGCACAGAGACAACTAGCCCTTTTCTTTCACTCCGGCGCGCAACACCATGATACCAACGGCAACGGTGAAGGCAAGGGCGAAAAAGCTCCTCGCCATGACCACTCCCTTCGTCCAACCACCCGACTGCACAGACGTGTTCTCGACGACAGACATTGTGACGAGCTTCTACTGGGGCAACTACTCCGAGACGACACTCCATGTCTCCATATCGGGCCCAGACGGCTCCCGTTTCACATCATGCCAACCTTCGGGGTGGGCCAACGTTGCGCCGCAGAGTCGCTTCCATTTCAGCCCGGCTGTCTGCCCCAGTGGTTGGACTGCATATCATCTTGAGCCCTTTCAAACCGTCACACCTGCTATCACGACTGCGTATTGTTGTGCAAGGTATGGATTAGGCCTTCACTCCTCACGTCTTCAGATCCTTTGCTTGTATTCCCGGCACTCACATGCAATAGCGGCTACACGTTTGACTGGCATCCCCTCGACTTCACATCGCTGGGTATCACCGACCCAGCATGTTGGAGCGAAATCGGGGAGACTCCCTCCGTTCCAACAACAGCAGAAGGAACGGTATCGGAAACAACGGTATCGGAAGCAACAGTAACAGAGAGAGCCCTTCTCACTTACTACCCAAATGGCGTGGCAGTGCACAACGTCTACGAAATAACCTGGCAGGCAAGCGACCGACCCACTCTAACACCTATGCCGCCTGATATTCCTTGCAACGACACCCTGCGGACTTGGGTTCCAGGCTCGCCAGTGGCACCTTCCAGCTGTCCCACCTACACAAACAAGTCCGAACACCTCCCGGATGGTCCCTACCAGTTCTTAATGATAGGCCTGCCGATTATATGCATCCTGTTGATATGTGCATGTTGTGGAACCTGCTTCCATTACAGCCGAAAGGATCGGAAAAAGCAACGTGTTCTCAGAACTCAGGGTAGAGTCGATGCGATTAGTATGGGGAATATTGGGGGGAACAATTGAGAAGGAATCAAGAAGTTGCGGCAAGCAGTCTTTCAATAAGTTGTAATCGTAATTACTCTAGGCTTCACTATTCCATATTCATGCAGATGTGGTAACTACTCAACTAAGTATCGAATGTGCTAGGTTAGAAGTATTATTGCAAGTCAGTAGATAAACAACAAGCAAGGCAAGGACGACATGGATCTCGTCACGGTTGTCCAGTTTAGTAATGAAATGGTGGCAGTGGCATCGCAACGGCAATGACGTTGTCTGGAACGCGTAGGGGATGCACGGGCACGCAAATTGCGCGGCAGGACAACATTGTCACCATCGTACCTAGGCGAGCTGCAGCATGACGTAGAGTAGGGGGTAATTAAAGCGCATGGGCAGGTCAGGGTAGTCATGTGCAATCGAGAAGGCAAAGACGAGAGAGCTGGAGCTGCTAGACAGGGAGACTGAGATGGCGGCCACGCAAGCTACCTGCGTTGGACAGCAGTTGACGGTCAGGCAGACAGGGTGAGTCGCCCTGTCGTGTATGTGACGTGGCGAGCTATGCAGCTCAGTCTTCAGAAAGCGCGTCGGCATCAAACCCTCCGGCATGTCACTGTCTACAACTTCCCATCCCTTGCCTCTCAGAAGCGTCACTAAATCTCTACGAAGCGCCTCGACATCGTCATACTTGCCCTGCCAGGTCATCCTCACTACCTCGCCCATAAACCGAGGTTCCGTGGGGGCCTGTGACATCGAACCGAGCCATTGTGGATTCCTATTTCCAGACTGCTACCTTTTTGGGGGCGACGAAAGGAGCTATGGGCTGAGGCGTTTTGAGTAGGACAGGGTAAGGTGAGTTCTGACCAAGACATATCTGGAGGTGGTAAGCTTGTGGCAGGACAAGCAGAATATATTGTGTCTTAAGAACGGGGTGGATCTTTTTCTAGACCGGTGCGGGCAGATGTCGCGACATATCGAGAAATCTATCAAGTATAGGTTGACATTTGCACACTGTCAAAACCAACCCCCTAGTGACGCTGAAAACCAGGATGACAAGAGAATTCAACTCCCCACTAATTACAGGTGCGAGCTACAGGGATGCCAATTTCTCGTGCCTGTTCTGTGCTGGCAGAGAGATAAGAGTGTCTGCCCCATGCCATTGGCAATATTAACATTCAAATAAATCTCCCTCTATTAACAACCGCACATCATGGTTATTTCGCCATGTTTTGCAGCGTCAAGCTGTTTTGGTTGCTTTGAGTCAAAGCGGTGGAGTAACCCGGGGTAACCTGCCAAATGTCAAGGGATATTTGTGGCGCGCACAGTGCCAGTTTTATTCGCGGTGCGCGTTTGTATAGTGTACGTGGGGGGCATTCCAATCACATGCGAGAAACAGCGTGGCGAGAAACTCTGGTGTGCTAATCCGTACAAGAAAACAAGCCCCACATTATACAACGTCTTCCGACGTTGTCATAAGCCACAGCCCCTCGAATGAGAGCCGCGCAGATCTCTGTACTACAACAACTGTTAATTAGCTGGTGAAGCTCCTCGCTGCCGATTTTCAAGCTCAAGCCAATGTCGACAGCCAGGAAACGACGACAAGAAATTTAAAATTTAAAATTTGAGTTTCTCTTATCCCTGTCATTATTAATACCCGGTCTCAGGACGGTCTCAATGGGGTTTAGGGCGCAAAGGGTAGAGAAGAAATTTTCACCCCCTGATTTAGTGGATCCAGGAAAATGGTGCAAGGTGGTCTCCGTCCTGCTCTTTTTTTTTCGGTCCTTTTTGGGTTTTGATATTCCTGCCGTATTCACTCTTTCAAATCAGTTCCCAGTTTCCAACTTGTTGTCATGTCTACTCTCGCTGCCACCTTTGCCGCTTTGGCTTTGTGGCTGAAACCAGCCTCGGAGCTGGGCTCCAAGCAAAAAGCAGCACCACCACCACCACCTACCGCTTCGAGTGCGAGTGCGAGCGCCATTGGCGGTGACGACCCAGCCAGGGCAAAGCAGGTGAGTGTGGACCTACCTACCTGCGGGTTGCTGGTTGCGGGTTGCGGGACATGGCAGTGTTAACGCTTGACCCAGATACACAAGATTCGGCCTGGCCCAGCCGAGTACCCGGACATCAACACTCTGCGCAATGCCATTCCGGCCCACTGCTTCCAGCCATCTCTCTGGATATCATGCTCATATCTCGCGCGGGATATCCTCCTCATCGCAGCACTCGCTTACGCCGCGATAACTTTCATCCCCCAGATCCAGCATCCGCTTCTGCGCACTGCCGCCTGGATTGTGTACGGGTTCGTGCAGGGTCTGGCCTGCACTGGCCTTTGGATTCTTGCCCATGAGTGTGGCCATGGGGCCTTCTCCCTGCACACCCGCGTGAACAACGTCATCGGCTGGTTTGCGCACTCGTTTCTCCTGGTCCCTTACTTCTCCTGGAAGTTCTCCCATGCGCGCCACCATCGCTTTACGGGCCACATGGAGAAGGACATGGCCTTCGTGCCTCGGACCCAGGCCCAGCATCAGTCGCGCCGCATTCTCGGCCTGAAGATCGATACCGAGCTTTTCGAGGACGCTCCGATTGTGTCCTTGATGAGTCTGCTGGTCCATCAGCTCTTTGGATGGCAGGCGTACCTTCTCTTCAACGTCAGCTCTGGCGTGGACAGTCTCCAGCCCGAGGGCTCGAAATCCTGGTCCCAGAGTCACTTTGACCCGACAAGTGCCGTCTTCAGGTCGAGTGAACGGCTGTACATTGTCATCTCCGATATTGGCCTCTTGGCAACTGCTGCCATGATTTATTACGGGTCGACCATCTTCGGCGCATCGACCATGTTCTTGCTCTACGGCGTTCCCTATTTCTGGGTGCACCACTGGCTGGGTGAGTGACGGGGAATTGCGAATGACGACGCCAATTTGCTCATGAACTGACTGACCCTCCTCACAGTTGCCATTACTTACCTGCACCACACGCATCCCGATCTCCCCCACTTTGATGCCGAGAACTGGACTTTCGTCAAGGGTGCCCTCGCCACAATTGATCGCGATTTCGGCTTCATTGGCCGATATCTCTTCCACGGCATCATCGAGACACACGTTGTCCACCACCTGTTTGCGTAAGGAAACCACGATCTAATTGTGTTGACCGGCTGCTAACTTCTGCTTGACAGGCGCATTCCCTTCTACTATGCCGATGAGGCGACGGAGGCCCTCAAGCCACTTTTGGGGGACTTGTACCACTGCGATGACACGTTCCTCGACACACTTTGGCCGACGTTCAACGAGTGCAAGTATGTCCAGCCGGACTCGACAGCCCCTGGCGAGATGCGGTGGGTGAAGGACGAGAAGGATGAATGATTCTGTTTCTGCTCATCATCATTCTTGTAGATTTGTCTTCATGTGTGCTTTCAATGTATCTCTGGTTCTTTTCGAGACATAATACATTGAGATAGACGGTAGACGCCACATTGGCATGAGGCTGTTGATTTGGTTCATGGACAGGCGGGGTGTGAGGATAGACTTTGATGTAATTATATTTAAATTAGAAAGCCGAGGGGCTATACAAGAGGCATCTTGATTTAGATTCATGGCCATCACAATGTACCACTCAACTTAATTGGGTTCCCGACCTCGGTCAGCATTGTGACGGACCGACTCTCTTGTTGTCTCCTAGAGTTGATTTCGAATAAATGAATGAGAGCCTTGTCTTCCACGTTTCGCACAAATATTGAGCTGGACATCAGACAATAGGAACCCGTCAACAATCTGGGCGTATGTGGCGAGTGCAATCTCACTGAACAGCCCGTTTTTAAACAGCTCGAGCAAAGATATTTCAAGGCTGGTCAGCTAGGCCTGTAACGGAGCGCTGGGACTCTGTGTCGAGGTCAACGGTGTCTAGCTTTGGCATGTCTTGCCTGCCCATTTTTGCAAATTTGACGATGTCAAGGGTGTGTTGATTGGGGATGAATCATTCTGATCAAGGGACCTCATGCCACATTATGGGATGGAGGTTGAGGGCGGCCTAATTCTTAATTAATGCTTGACTCAAGAGGTGAACTTTCCAATCAAGGGGGTGGGAGCCGCAGCTCAGCCAACAATCAAGGGAAATAGGTGAAATCGGGTCCAAGAGAAGGGGAGGAGGCCATGAGTGGCTGGTGTGCCTATTGACTCGGTTTGGAATAGCTATGAACTCACAATATGCAACATGCCATGCAAAACGGGACATTTAACACTGCAGTGGTAGTTTCCGTTGCATGGTTTTGCGCACAGTCCAGTATTTTGCCCAAATTGGGTGCCTGTCCGTTATTCACCACCTTTTCTCTTATTCACTACCTATCTTGGGGGAGAGTGTATTGCCTCTTTAACCATACTTGCGAAAGTGTGAAAGATATTCACCTGCACCTTGATTCACGCCACTTGTCCCGTTCTCTATATATTTATTGCTGTAAGCGTCCTATCTCCCATTAGCGTCGCGTTAGAACGATTGATATCCCAGCCTTTAAAAGTTGAAAAGATGGCGTCCGTTATTCCCAATGCAGTTCCTTCCTGACATAGTTCAACATCGGCAGACGGAGGGATTACTCCAGTGTCCTACCTATCCTTCGTCATTGGACCTTCTGCCACACCCAGCAATGGAAAGCACCAAGCACGAAGCCCTTGGCGGCACCTTGCTCGCGCGCAGCTCGCACCCGCTGCCGGGGCGTGTCTTTGTCAACTACCTTCTCGACAACAGAAAGGTCGTTTCAGCCGTTGGTCGGCATGCTATTGTCCAAGCCTGGGAGGACGCTTCTTCCTCTCCGAGCCTCGTCGACCAAATCATTGCCGAAATTGACCGCTCTCCCGCGCGAGCCCAGCTGAAACAGGTCGCTGTCGTCCCACTCTGCGTTGGTGCGGCCGGCACCGCGGGAACTAACCCAGTGACGGTGCTTATCTTGGTCTCTCCCGATACTATGACATCCGAAGACGCGGAGAAAATCGCGAACACTTGCCATCATATTCTAGTCCAGTATGTGAACCAATCTTCACTTCCCCTTCAGTTTGGACCTGATGCTGACTCTTGATGGCTACGTAGGCATCATATTGAAGATGTCGCGGTTGAGATTGTCGAGGCCTCTATGGAGCCGTGCTGGACTGAAAACTACGACCGGTTCGATCATGGAATGCCAGCGTGGGAGAATGAATAATTACGCCATCAATCCTCCCGTCGGAGGCAGCCTCGGAGTTGTCAACGGCAAGGGATCGGGCACTCTTGGCTTCTACATCCGCGCAATCGTAGATGCCAACGCTCCGAGATATTTCGCCGTGACATGCAGCCACGTGCTTGCTCCCGAGGGTTTGTGGCTCCCCTCTCCCCGTCTTCCTTCTACCCAGTTCCTCGGCTAACCCTGTGTCCAGGCCAGCTCGATTCTCCCTTTCGCCCAAACCAGGTCAATCAATGTCTCCAGGTGGAGAGTCCGTCCCCGGCAGACCACGACGCGTGGCAACAGAAGCTTCAGGACACTCTCGCACTCGCCACAAAGAATTGGGAGAAAGTATGCGAACGTCGAAATCTCGCCAGTACCGACCCTTCGGTGCCGTTTACCGAGAGCCATCTTGAGTGGCTCAATTCCCTCGAACACGAGATAGCAGTTCCTTTCTCTGTCCACGAGATTGGACGCACCACTGGGGCCAAACAAGGCAGGCTCAACGAATTGGGTGTCCGCATGGTTATGTATCGTGAGGGCACTGTGGACGAGTGCCGGGTCGAGACGAGGGCTTAGTTGGGCCTCGGCGGATCCGGTACCCTGTTCGGAACTGAAGGCGATTCCGGCTCCCTAGTCATCGATACGGACGGCACGGCGGTTGGCTTGCTTATTGCTTGCGAAAGCACTCTCGGTGTCCCATATCATTTTGCGTTGATCACGCCGATCGAAGAGGTCATCAAGAGCATCGAGAAGGCGATCAAAGTCGTGGAACAAGAGGATATGAGCAAGGAATCGGAGACGAAGAACCCGAAGTCGGTCAAAATTGACATCCTCTAGATGGCTACAGACAGAGGACAGAGAGTGGGGAGGTAGAAGGACGTGCCTGCTAGGCCCCCAGACGGTGCATTCGTGGCCATGTACAGAACTCTAGGTTTCTTTCCCTTGGTAACTCATGTGGAAGTGCCAAGTGCGAATCTTCATAGACGCAAGAAGAGCTGCAAATAAATGCCCGTTGCTAATACGACCACCGCCATGGAATTGATTGCGACTCAGGTGAGCGAAACGTACCTTCTCCGAGGTCGCCTCACGTATGGACGAACCCTGTAAGCTTACCGGGGTGAAGTAGAGTAGATAGAGTACAGGCGAGTAGCCCGCGGACTGTAGGCACAAAGAAGCGACTGACGAAGTTGAGTCCTGTTTATGCCACCACTTGATTACCAACAGCACCGATATGCGAACCTGAAAGCAAATGATCGAACCATGTCTAGTTACAGGCTAATTACCTCCCTTCGCCCTCGCCGCCGCCTCGAAGATGTTCAGGTGCAGCTTGTACGCGCCTCTGCGAAACAGGTCTCTACGCTCAGGGGTGGTCCTGAGCGCATCCCCCTCCTTAACCCTGTCGTCCAAGGCCTCCATCGTCAGACCCTGGCCCGTGTACACGCCACACCTGCCGGCCGTGCCCAGCGGCTCCCACGGTTCCTCGCCGTACGCAAACGCCGCGTACGACCGGCTCACGTCGTCGGCGACGCGCTTGTAAGCCGGCCGGACCTGCGTCGACGGGGCGTAGAACAGGAACGGCACGTCGAAGGCGTGGTACGCCCACTGGCCGGGCCCCAGGAACGGCAGCCACGGCTGGTCGTCGTCGCGCTGGTCGAAGGCCTCGAAGTAGACCCGCCTGCCCTGGCGGGCCGCCTCGCGCGCCGTCTCCACGGCGTGGCAGACGAAGAAGCCGTCGCCGACGAACTTCTGCATCGCGTAGAAGGCCGTCGGCTGGTCCTCCTCCCCGGATCCGGTGATGCCGTAGGCGTCGGCGACCTCGGCGAGGAAGGCCCGCGCGGATGGGTCGGGACCGGCAGAAGCCACGATGCCCGATCGAATGACGGAAGGGGAGGCGGAGACGTACTCGGGCAGGCAGAAGGAACCCTCTTCCTTCATAGTGCCGATGACGACGGCGTCGACCCAGCCGGGCCATGTGCCCCAGTAGTTGCTCTCGCCAATGGTGGCGGGGTCGTAGTCGACGAGGAAGCCGTCGTCGACGCACGGGAATGCGGGCTGTGAGCCGTCGTACGCTGCGACGACCTCCTCCGCCGAGAGACTCCTGGCGGCGGCGAGCTTGACTCCCGTGGGGGCGTCCGGAGCGATCCCCAACTTCGCAAACAGAGCGTCCCATTTCAACTGGTGGTCGGCCCGGGTGAGCGGCTGGTGGAAGGGCGATGAGTGGACGATTGCGCGCTGGAAAGCCGGGTACGACGAGCGCATGTGCCAGAGAATGCTGTGAGCGCCGGCGGACTCGCCCATGGCTGTGACACGGGTGGGCGATCCCCCAAACCGGTGGATGTGACGTTGGATCCACTGGAAGCCGAGGCGCTGGTCGTGCAGGCCAAGGTTGTAGTAGCCATGTTCACCCAGGCTGTGTGCCTCTTCACGCAGTTCTTTGCAGCCCACCAGGCCGAGGAGGTGCATGCGGTAGTTCATCGCCACGACGATGACGGGCTTGCCCAGCTGGACCGACCGCCGCACGAGGTGGCTGCCGTCTGTTAATGCCAGTCAGCATCAGGTTCCCGTTTCCATTCCCGTCCCGGTCCCGGTCCTCAATACAGCACACAGCGGTTATGAAGTAACAGGTAAGAGGGCATGGCATTTGTAGACAAACCTTGGGTGGCATTGTGTCCCCACATGTATCCGCCGCCATGCACCCAGGCAATCACGGGCAGTGCCTCGCCCTTCCCCTCCAGTGCCTCGGCGGGAGCCCACACGTTGAGGTTCAGGCACCCAAACTCGGACTGTCGGATTTCCGGGTGGTTCAGTGTCGAGGCACTGGGCGGCTGCGGAACTATGGGCCCATACTTGGTCGCATCAAGCACTCCCCCGTCGCGCCCGTCAAAGGCATCAATCAGTGCCGCTTGCCTCCATCGGGCCGGGATTTGTGCAAACGGTATCCCCAGGAAGCTCGCAACGGAGCCGTCGGGAGATAGACTGCCATTGATCGACAGATTGCCCACTTGAAGCGTCTTCGGAGTTGCAGTCATTGCTTAATTATCGGTCCTTTCTTTCTGGCGGGGATCGGTGGTGGAGGGAAGGGAGGCCGGGAGGATCGGGGATATGTACTCGACTAGGGGCGGGGAAAGGATTTGGGTGGCTGTGCCTAAACTTCGGCAGTTACACAGCGCTGCCGCCACGAGGAATTACATGAAAGGCTAGGCATTCTTTTTCAACCCCATTCGGGGTTCGTGGGGACTTTGCAGTGCCGGCATTGATGAGAATCTTACGGCCTCGTCCAATTTGATCTGCAAGATGTCTCTGATTGCGCGGGGATGCAGCACTCAGCAGGTTTATTAATGTGGGAATGACTTCCTTGCCATTTGGGGAAGAATTACATTCACTAAATATATATAACCCGCCAATGCCACTCCACATCTGCCAACTCCCGCTTCGTGACGCCTTGCCAACTCCAAAGTGGCTGGTATAGAGCTAAGTAGTTCGAGCCCAGACGTTGAGCGGCAGCAGTGAGATAAAATAGTAGCGTCTCGACGTGCGAAATCCGTTCAGTCGCTTGATAAGCTGGAATCGTCGTCGGAGCTGTCGTCGGAGCTGTCGTCAGACTCCTTCCGCTTGTCGGCCTCGGCAGCCGTCTTGGCCCTCTCAGAATCCTGTCGCGTCTTTTCATCCGTGAATGGGCCTTGGAACTTGAAGCCTGCTGCTGCTGCTGCTGCCGATTCTTCTTTTACTTTGGCGTCCCAAAATTTGACGGATAGGACACAACCGGCATTGGCTGGATTTGTGTCCACACAGATGGCCGGGTACAGTCTACCACATATCTTGCTGAAAGCTCGCCCTGGGCTCAAGTCAGTCAACGACCCCAATGGCCAACAGAACCAGGCAGCGCAGAAGGCTTGGAACTCATCAGCGTATCGTCTGTAGAGATGTGACGTACCGATGACTTCTCCGTCCACGGTGTAGAAGGCAGTCTCTTCCCTGAAGTTGACGCCGCATCCGATAACGGCACCTTGCCCGTACTCTGGACCGTAGGGATCTCCGGTTGAGATGCGCTGCCCGTTGTTGAAGACGTTACCATCGTCGCCATGATATCCCCAGGACCCTTCCGCCCAGCCAAGCATGATGTCCAACGGAGTGTCCTCTTCGCAGAAGCCCACTCCAAAGCGCCTGTAAGCTGAGAGTTAGCGCAGCTGTTCACATGATATTTTTGATCCAAGGGGGGAGGGGGGGATGTGGTCAGTTACTTGGTGCCATCGCCGCCGTTGACGATCGTCACCTCGAAATAGAACACGCCGTTCTGCCCTGGGACCATAGGATGGTTGGCTCTTGCGATGGCCTTCGGTTCAGTAGTGGGGCTTGGATTTCCTAGCCAGACCACCTGTTAGCCAATTGACTCCTCGGGACCTCCAGATCGGTCGACGCACTATCCACTGTGATTGAGTTGGCATCTGGCTGACGGAGAAGAGGCTGCCCCATGTCTTTGGGATGCCACGCTGTCGGAGGCTTTGGTTGAGGTATAGAGCCCCTTTCCATGCGGCCTGAGATTCTTATTGCATCCTCGATCTTCGCCACAACGCGGGTCCGTCCGTACCTCGCCGCCGTGTAAGTCGCAGTCCACCCGTCGTCATCCACCTGCAATGGGCTATATAGGATCTCGCCCAGCAGCTTCTCGACGAATTCCGGCCTATCAGCAGCCGCAGCAGCGCTGATGGCATTCTGGAAGCACGCCGGTGTCGCGCTAAGCGTCTGCATGGCATTGAGAACGCACTCAAATGTTTCCATGCAGGCCACAAGACTGGCCCAATACAGGGCATCCCGTCTACGCACGTCCTTGACGAGGGGATCGGCACCTTTCTCAACGAGTTCGGTGACGATGGAGCGGTAGTCGCGCATGACGGCGTGCATGAGTGCCGTCGCGCCCCATCGGTCCTGGAGGTCAAGCTTCGCACCTCGCTTGATCAGATCGCCCACCTCGCTGCCTTGTTGGGTTGTATGCATGAGAGGCGTCCGTCCCGCGTTATCCTGCTCGTCGATGCGGGTGTCTGGCTGCGTCCAGAGGTACGGAATCAGGTCCCCGCTCCTCGACATAATGGCGTGGGAGAGGACCCCGCGGCCGAATCGATCTCGGTACGAGAGCTTGGCGCCATGCTCGACCAAGACCTCTAGGATGGGTAGACGGCCCTTTCGGACGGCCACCTGTGCCGGCGACTCCGCCTGCTCGGACGACTCTACCTGCTCGGACAACTCCACTTGCTCGGGTGACTCCACCTGCTCAGACGACTCCGCCTTTCCTACCCGACACAGATTGGGATCCGCGCCGCGCTCCAGCAGCTTCTTGACGTTGGTCAAGTCGCCGACATTAATGGCTGCGATTAGGGCGGTGCCGTGAGCTCCCTTGCTCACCAGGTCCACGTCTGCGCCTCGTGCCAAGCATAAGTCTGCAATTCCCGAGTGTTGGCACGACAAAGCAAGCTCCAGCGCTGCCGACTTCTCACCGGCACGGTTGATGTTGGCGCCAGCGGCAAGGAGAAGCTCGACATTGGCCTGATTTCCGTCGGCTACGGCTGCACAGAGGGCGCTGCCATATTTCCCGCCCGTGGCGTTGACGTCGGCGCCAGCGGCCAGAAGTGCCTTGATGGTGGCCTGATCAGCCGACCATGCAGCGGCTTGAAGCGCCGTATAGTACGGAAACTTTGGGCTCGTTGCATTGACGTTGACCGTCCGTTTTAGCAGAAGCTCGACTGTTTCAGAGTGGGCAGACCTCGCCGCTGCCATGAGCGCATTGCCTGATTGCCCACAAAGAGCTTCGGGGTCCGCCTTGTGGTCTAGCAGATGGCCGACAACATTCGTATGGCCCTTGGATGCCGCTAGATTAATCGGCGTGATGCTTTCGCCAGTCGTCACATTGACGTCTGCCCCGCGGGTAATCACAAGCTCGACAATCTCCAGCGCTCCGACATTGGCAGCCAAGTGCAAGACCGTACGACCTTTGCCGTTGACTATGTTGGGGTCCACATCGGCGTCGAGATAATGCTGGACGGTCTTCAAGCCGTCGTAGTGGTCAACAGCTAGAAAGATCGGAGCATCGCCGAAATTGTTCGTTGTTCGTGGATCTGCGCCTGCGCTGAGAAGCAGCGCCGTGATGTGTGGGTTATCGAAACATGCGTGGAGGACGGTCCACCCGGTCGAAGGCTTTTGGGCCTTCAGGTTTGGCAATGGTGACCACTTGAGGAACTCTTCGACGGCTTGAGTTCTCCCATAGTAGGCCGAGCGCCAGAGGGGTGTGACGCCGTTGTCGTCAGTTGCCTCAGGGTCCGCTTTCCTTTCCAATAGGAGCCTGATCGCGCCTGCACTGTCCCATGAAGCTGCAGCCCAGTGCAGGGGGGTTTTTCCCTCATCGTCTCTGGCATCAACGTCTGCACCATGCTCGAGGAGCAGCGTCATCACGGATACATGACCTTCAGCTGCGGCATGATGCAACGCCGTGTCCTCGCGCTCTGTGCGCGCGTTGACAGCCCAGCCGCTCTGCAAGAGAAGTGTAACTATGGCTCCCCGATTACTCTCGGCGGCAGTTATCAATGCATATTTCTGCCCCTGAAGCTTCTCGGGAGGCAAGAATGTCTTGAGGAGCGCGTTGACGATATCAATGCGGTCGCTCTGCACGGCCAACATGAAGGCTGTGAGGCCAGAGTTGTCTTCTATGCCAATGAGGCTGACTCTCTGTTCCGGAGTGCGATCCAAACGCAGAAGGATCTCGTTCACGGCGTGGAGATGGCCACTTGCAACGGCAACATGGAGGGCAGTCTGGCCATCATCAGTCGTATCTTCAAGTCTCGCGCCGTGGTCGAGAAGCGTCAGGAGCGACTGCAGCCTGCCAGACTTTGCGGCGAGGTGCAGAGGGGTCCACTTGGATTCATTGGCTGCGTTGACGTCGAAGATGGCCGCTGACTCGAATTTTGCAACCAATAAATGTGCAATGATATCTGGATGCTGCCGCAGGGTGGCCAGGTGAAGGGGCGAGTTTCCGTCGGTGTCCTTGAGAACCGTTGTGATTCCGGACTTGAGGAGTTCATCGACGACGTCCATGAAGCCGCCTACGGCTGCCAGTAGCAGCGCCGATGCCCGACTCCTCTCCGAGTTGTATCTGGGGTACTTGAACAGTTCTCGCACAACGTGAACATGTCCATGGGAAGCTGCAAGATGCAGGGGAGTCAAGACGCCGGCAGAGGCATCAAAGACGTCTGTAGGTGTCTGCTCGTCTTGTTCGTTGGGCTCTTGCACGTCTTCGGACCTTGTGTGCGTATCTTCCATTTTTGACTCTTCTCTTCCCCGGGTCTCGTGATCGAGAACTGTGGATCCTTTGACTCGTCGCTCTTTGGTTGCCACTTCGTCTTCTCCCATTTGGTCCACCATCTGTTTTGATCGCGAGATCAGCCGCTGCAATATGTCGAGATACCCCGCCTTGGAAGCCAGGTGGATTGGCGAGAATCCTTTTGACGTTACAACTTGAAGGTTGACGCCGGCCTCGAACAACAGCTCGCATGTAGAGACATGCCCGTGCTCGACCGCGTGATGGAGGGCCGTATATCCATTTCCATCCTGTGCGTCGATGGCCGCTCCGTGCTTCAGCAGAATTGTGACAATGTCGTCAAATCCTCCTCCCGCTGCCATCATAAGCGCGTTCTCTTCACTGTCGGTGGTTGACTTGACGTCAATCTTGGCCTCGAGCAGCAGCCGAACAATTTCTGACTGGCCCATGGCGGCGGCAACGTGGAGGGCGGTAACGCGGGTTCCCACAGGTTTGTGGCAATCTGCGCCCTTTCCCAGCAGGTAGGTTGCAATCCTGTCGTGTCCATTCAGAACTGCCATCAAAAACGGAGGCCTTCCAAACTTGTCCTCATTGTGGACGTCATCTGGTTTGGCGCTGAGCATTGTCTCCAGGATGCTCATGAAGTCGCCGCCAGCTGCGAGAGAAACAGCCCAGCTAGACTCTGCTCCCTCCTCTACGAGCAATGCTACGGCTTCTGAGTGGCCTTGACCTACAGCCAGGTTCAGCGCACGCGAAAGCTCATCTCCAGCTTCCCCCGAGGCTTTTACTTGCTGAACGGCGTCTCTCACCACGTCGACGAGTCCGAACATGCTGGCGATTGTCAACACGCTGTCTGGCCCCGAATGCGTATCGGCCCACTCGCCATGGTGCTTCTCGTAGAGATTAGCCCAGATTTTGGCGTTCTTGCCGTGTTCCTTGCCAAAAAGGTCGAGCACTCGCTGGTTAAACTGGGGCCTGTCATTCGCTCTCATGTAATGCTGAGGCCAGTTTGTCACTGCGTAGTTGACAAGACCAAACTCAGGACCGTCCATCGGTGGCAGTTCGTAACTAGCATCGGAATCCGCAGGCTCACCGGACACGGTTGTCGCGGACTCAAATATCGTCTCTAGGTAGTCTAGGCACTTGGAAAGGATGATGCTGTCCGGGTTGTCGCCTGCGAGCCGCCACTGCTTGGCGAGAACTGGTGCCAGTGTTTTATGGATGGGGTGCACTTCCAAGCCAGATACCCTCAAGAGCGTTCCATTGACCCTCTGCAGATCATCCATGATGCGCAATGGTAAGACGAGTGTCAACTCGGTCATGGAAACCACGTCCTGAGAACCCAGAGCGGCCACGACGGCGAGTTCGATCAAGGTGAGTGGTCGAACCGAATGCAAGATCCATTGCAGCAAAGGGAATAGTGCAACTGCACACTCATCCTGAGCTCGCCGCAATGCTTCGGCATACATGGAATCAAGCGAGAGAGGGAATTCCTTGACGACGCCGGCGGCCGCAGCCTTGGTTGAGGGAATCCTTGACGTTTCTAGAAGATGAATTGCTAAAGTCGCTTCGACAAAGGTGGTCCGGCCATCGCATAACTTCTTGTCGATGTCGTCTTGGAGGTCTTTCCACTCTAGGCAGCTGCTCGCCAGCCTTTTGGTTCTGGAATGGACGTAGGCTTCCACGGAGGCTGCGCGATAAGCCTTGTCGTCAAGGTCGACGTCTCGGCATATCCCTGAAGCATCGTAGAGTATTCCACGTCGAGGCTCCTCGCCAATGACTGCTACCTTTAGCCGCGTAGTAGACGAATGGTGCTTTTCGAAGAGGGAGATGACATCGTCAAGCGAGAAACGGTCGCACTCCGGAGTTCCGTGAATAACGCAGAAGACAGGATAAGGAGAGCAGCCCCTCAACAGCGAGTGGAATAAAGTCCTGAGAATCGCATGGCTGAATACTATGTCACGAACAATCCAATCGCAGAAGGGGGAGACACCGTGCAACAAGGAGGGCCGGCTGAGAAGGAGCTGTCGTATCAGCGAGAGGTAGAAAGTCGTGATGGACTGAGTTCTCAAGTCCCGCTTGCTGAAGGCGAAACTGACCACGACGGCGTCGGCCACGTCCTGAAGAGTCGTAATCAGGTGAGAAGCAAGGACGGCACTCCCCGATCCGCTTGGCACACGAAGATAAAGGACGCTGGGCGCTTCCGGATCTGGGCTCCGCCATTCTTGGTAAGATTTGTGTTGGTCGATCCAGTCCAGCGAGTTGGGAAGCGGCCTAGCCAGCCGTGGTTGATGGTTGCTCGAACTCAACTTCGACGCAGCGAACATGAAGCGGTAGAACTTCTCGGAGAGGGCTATGAAAAGCAATCAGCTCACGCATTTTTGCCAGAGAATTTGTCTGACTGACGTTGGAGGCTGCGCGTGACAGCGTCATTGATCAGGTCGAAAATCTTCTCCGACGTCGTTTCTCCAGGGAGAAACCGCCACAAGTCTGCCCCATTGGCCGCGGAACTGAGCACCGTCCGGTGGCGCGCCAATCGTGACGCCTCCGCACTCTGTATACGTCAGAACCCTTGGCTCTAAAGCCTCCCGGGGCTATGCCTATCAAGGCACAGTGACACCTACAGTCGGTGGGCTGGCGCTTCTCGAGCTTCTCTCGACAAAGACAACGTCGTAATGCCTCTGGATACTGGCAAATGCCCAGAAGAGCTCCTCCAATGTGGACGGGAGCTCCTGTAGCAGTCCGAGAGGGGGACAGCTTTCAGCATCGACGTCGGACAAGAGCCGAAGCACCTCGGGCACCCAAGCGGTCTTGTCCTGCACAGCATTTGGAGTGCCGCAGAAGATCTGTCCACGAACAAGTGAGTTGAGCGGACGAAAGCCGAGATCATCCAGGCGCTTCTTACCAATAGGGTTGATTCGGTGGCCAAACGGCCATATTTCCTGTCTTGCGACGCCAATACAAGTGCCTGGGCGCAGATGTCAGCTGGTCGCCGCGCCATGATGTCTGCCAGATTCATGCCGTTACTCGCCTGCTGAATGAGGAAGCCGCCCAGATCGTGGCCGAGAAAAACACACGGAAGGTCCTCGTCGAGCCGGGGGGCGCTCGCCTGCACCGAGAAACTGTCAGCCTGTCCTCAATGGCGTCGTTCACGATGGGCACCTACCCAGCGCTTCCTGTCCTGCTCGACGGCCTTGAGCAGCGACTGTGTCCTCCCCAGAAAGCTAACGCCTTCCCAGTCTTCATTATCAGGAAGAAATGCAAAGTCGGTCACAAGGGCATTCGGGAATCGCGCCGACCAGAATCTGCAGGATTGATGTCGGGAGGCGCGCTCGTCAACAATGCCGTGAACGAGCACTAGGCTAGAAAAGTCGTCAGCATTCACTTGGTGGGCATGGTAGTCGACTCTCTTGCTCACTGGAAGCGCTTGTCGTCGTTCGGCTCCATCGTTTGGACGCTTCGAGGCAGAACGTCGAGCGCCTGTTATCATTTCGCCAGAGCGGAGGACCGCGGTTGCTGATCTTGTGAATGCCTGTTGGATGGGAAGGGGGATTCTTCACAAGCCTGTGGCACGACGCCATCGGCCCGTGGCTTGGGCCGAAGAACTCAGAGAAAGACATACGTGTACTATATACAACCACCAGGTATCGCTCAGGCGATTGGCTACTGAATCTGGTCAAGCTTGGAGACCATTGGTGCCCCCTCCACAAGCAAGCAGTTCTTTTTTTTTTCGCTCATGCAGCGTGCGAGAACCCGGTCAAGACCGATTGGACCCCCAGCAGCCACCTCGGCCATTACTAAATGCAATGCGACGTCGTGGACATGGATGGGATGGTGGCCCCCAAACCAATATCGCACGCGCGATTTCCTCAAAATGCCGCGCTCGGCTCAGGCGGGAACCTCCAGCAAGGTAGCCAGAACGACATCGGCCTGCTTCCCAATGTCCATGTTCCGCATGTTGGTCAAGTCCTCCCCCGTCTTGGGGTCGAGGCTAGCAATCCCCAGCTCCTCCAGATCCGTACCGTCGTCCAGCTCTACCGGGTCGACCGGGTCTGGCTTCTCGAGCCCGAGCAAGCGCCGGAGTTTGCCTTCCCAGTCCACACCAGTCTCGACGTCGATGGTGAAGCGGAAGGGCACGTCGTCTCGATGGCGCAGCAGCACCGCCGTTCGAAGGAAGCTCGGGATGCCCTTTCCCGCATCCTCCTCCATGTTCCAAATGACCCCATTGTCCTTGCCAAAATCGGAAAAGATGCGCTTCACCCCGACCAGGGACGTGGCGTGCGTCACCTCCTTGACTTTCGTTGTGTCCCAGACATAGCCGAGCTCGCCGCCCACCCCCGCGAACTCTCCCTTGAGGCTGGCGTTTACAGCCTGGTGCACATCCCGCTTAGCGGTAGTTTTGTTTATGGCAAATGTGCCCGCCGGTGCAATGGCGTAGACATGGGGCCGGTTCTTGACGTTGTTGCTGGCGTCATCGAATTTCAGGATGATTTTGGCGCTAGTAAAGCGCCGCGAGCTCTTCATGGACTGGAAGCTGAACTCAAAGACGAGGAGGCTTGCCGGATCCCCTCCAGTCGTGAACTGGCCGCGAGTGACGCTGACCAAGGCCGCGCGGAGGACCAGCGCGTCCCCGCGGTCGATGAGCACGGCTCGAGCCTTGTCGCCAGGAGCGTTCTTGGTGCGGAACCCCGAGTTGGGGTCCCCTTCCTCGAGGAGGAGGATGTCGACAGGCTCCATGTCCGGCTCAGTCGATCAGAGATATGAGATACCTGCCTTTTGAAATTGCATCTTCTCTCCATTCGACATCTCTCTCCCTGCTGGCGCCACGTGTCATATATATCTGCGCCAATTTTCCAGGCACGAGGCAGTTGATGTACTGCGTTCGTACAAGGTACATAACTACATGTAAACACGACGACTCCTACAGAAGACAGCCGTGGGCACCGACCAATCCCCCGCGTCCACGTTCCTGCAGCCAAGGTGGCCCGAGCAGAATTGACAAAGAGGACAAGGCATCACATCACACTAGGATTCGGCCAGAACCCCGCATGGGTCGGTCCGACCAATGTGCTCTTCGCAAGAGACTTGCTTCGTACTGAGGGTGCTTGCCCACGCCCGCCCGCTCGCCCATGTCGCCGATATCGACCACTCAACTCAGCTCCAAAGCGACTCTCTCCTGCGTGACTCGTGACCTTCACTCTCTTACCATCTTGGCAACCTGCCTTTGTCCCGGTCAGTCATTCATTCTCAGAAGTCCTGGCACAATCCCCCGTTGTGTAACTGACATAACGCAGCTGCGGTCCTTGGGAACTGAGGCGGAGTTTGTGCTATGACGGCCTACAGAGTCAGGTCACCTATCAAGCATTGCAGCTACCGCGAATGAGACAACAGGCATAATGGCGCCACCACAAACAATGGAGAAGGACGAGAAGGAGGCAAAGGCGATGGAGAATCGTCGCGGAAAGACCAAGGGCCCGAGGAAGTCCGATGCCGAGCGCATCCTCTCGGCGGCTTTGGAGACCGACTTCACCCAGCCCGCCCAGGCCCAAGAGTTTGAGATCAAGTGGAAAGAGAAGGTTCAGAAGAAATCTGGCAGCAAGATTCTCCTCGTCTTGGCAAAGAAGAGTCGCTGGCCCGATGGCATGCAGTGGTCTCCCGCCAAGATCAAGGAGTTCCTCGACTGGGCTCTAGAGAGATATCACACTCTACTGGCAGTCAAGGAAGACGATTATTCGCCCCTACACCTGGCGGTTACGGACGGAAACGCGGCCTTTGTTGATGCGGTCCTCAACAACCAAAAGATGACGAGCCTGGGGTTGGGGCAGATCCTGTCCGAGACCTGCCAGCACGGCAACGCGCTGCACATCGCCATCAAGCACCGCCTGTCCTTGATCAACCTGCTGATTGAAAAGTCCGCGCGGTTTAGCGAGATCTTCTCCAAAGGAGATCTTCGGTCCCAGAACACGCCGCTGCACGCCTGCATGGCGATGGATCTGCGTGAGGAGGACGAAGGAGACGAGGAGGCCAGCTCGAGCTCGAGCGACGAGGATGAGAGCGACGAGGATGAGAGGGACGAGAATGAGAGGGACGAGAATGAGAGGAACGAGGATGAGAGAGACGAGGATGAGAGCGACGAGGATCAGCATAGTCGTATCCACCACGACTACGATGGTGGTTCCGCGTCGCGATATGTCTTGGACATCGTCGAGCTGCTCGTGCGGAAGCAGAAGGAGGTGCTGTGGCAGCTGAACGGGGACAAGCGCACGCCATACCAGGAGCGAATCAATCAACTGCGCTCATCGAAGTTTATGGAAACCGAGTTAGCCAAGGCCGACAAGCTGGCCGCCGATGATAACAAACTGGCCGCCGATGAAGAAAAGCGCAAGGCGGCGGCTCTGCAGACGATCGTGGCCAGGGACCCGATCGCCTCCTTCATCAGATACTACTGCATGACGCAATTTACGAGGGATAAGATCATGACTTGTCTATACCAGCCGGGCCAAGGTATGGTTCCCTCGTGCAGCCGAGGGTGCTGCGTGACCTTGGGATTCTTATTGACGATGGCAGAGCGACATATTGAGTTCGACCTCGGCGGGCTGCCACACCCTACCATCTCAGCAGACTACCTCGATCGGCTCTCACAACACCTGCAATTTGAGAGCATATTGAAGTACGTCGCGTTGCCGAAAGTGACCATGGAGACCACGACCGTGACTCGGAAGAAAAAGAAAAGGTAACTAGGCAGAAACAGGCCCTGCTGTGTCACAGACATGCTAACATGGTTTCAACAAGCGAGAATTCACCGATCCAGCGTGGATTATCCGACCTTGTCGCTGTCTTCGATTGGTTGCGTCGCAACAATGTCACAAAAATCATCAGGGTCATGGTCGTCGACGACGGGGACCCGGCCCACGCCGACAAGAGCATAGTCAAAGCCCTCCAGGGGTTCGAAGTCGAGCAATGGGACTGGAAACGGTTGGATCTGTGCACAGACGTCATCTGGAAGTCCACGAGCGTAGTCCAGGAGATATCGCTGTACTCCACGGGCAACAACGCCGTGCTGATGGGCTGGGCGAGTTCACAAGGATTGCTCAGCAACAAGAATTTCTCTAAAGTAAGTTGGTCTTGGAAACTCGTCTCCAGTACCGAGATTGATGAACTGACAAACTTTAAGCTCAAGAAAGTGACCCTCTTCATTCGAGAGGTATGATCGAGAAGCTTTCTTAACAAGCTATCAAGCTGATTGACCGCAGGGCCTGGAGGATGGCGAACAGCTAAAGTCGTACATTAATGGCTTTAAGAAAAGGATCGGAGATGGAACCCAGGACAGGGTGAAGGTGTATCATTTTCTCGATAACAAGGACGTCAGCTACGCGTCCGACTTTAAGAGAACTGGGCTTCACCTGCAGCAGTTAGTCGTGCAGCTCCCGAAAACCCGAGAACTTTCGACCTTGCTGATCAAGAGATAATAGGGAGAACTCCTGGATCGATTGCATGGCGAACTTTGCCAGACTCTTACGCACCGCCCGCAAGCAAGACGGGGGCAGCGTGGATCCCATCAAAATCGCCGTCATCGACGATGGCGTGGACGCGTCGCTGGTCAGCCTTGATAGTAAGATCGCCACCGGCAAATCTTTTTGCCCTTATGCAAACTCATCGGATCTGATAAGTCCGTACTATGTGTCGTCGGGAAACCACGGCACCTGCATGGCCACGCTGATCTCCCGGTTGGCGCCCAACGTCAGCCTGTACGTCGCCCGTCTGGACGAGCGACAGTCGGTCGGCAATGGACAGCGACAAATCATGCCCAAGTCGGCTGCCGATGTAGGTTGGCCTGTTTTCTTACTCTTTCTTCTCATCATCATCATCATCATCATCATCTTCTTCTTCTTCTTCTTCTTCTTCTTCTTCTTCTTCTTCTTCTTCTTCTTCTTCTTCTTCTTTTTCTTTTTCTTCCTCCTCCTCCTCATCCAAGTGCCAAGTGATTCCTGTCGTGCGACTTCGCATCGTCCTTCGCACATAAACTACAAGAAAACGCACTGTTACGAGGCCGAAAGCCTGTGGAACTGACAACTTCGATAGGCAATCCGCTGGGCTACCTCCTGTGACGTCCACATCATCTCGATGAGTTGGACGATCGAGACGCCCGTGGCGGGCAACGAGGACATGCAGAGCCTAGAGACGGCCGTGCGAGATGCGGCCAACAAGAACATCCTCATGTTCTGCTCAACGAGCGACCAAGGCTCCTCTACCAAGGATATCTGCTATCCTGGTGACTTCGAGGGTTGCATCAAGATCGGTGGTGCCACCGACACGGGCGAGGCGTTGGCCTGGGTAAATGCCGAGAAAATCGACTTCCTGCTGCCGGGAAAAAACGTACCCTTCGCCAACAATGAGGGCACCGTCACCTCGTACGAGTCGGGCAGCTCCGTCGCCACGGCCGCGGCGTCGGGCCTCGCCGGCCTGCTCATCTACTGCGCCAAACTGCTTGGGGAAGGAGACCGCCTACAGAACCGGACGAACATGCGCGAGGCCTTCAAGGCCATGTCTACGACGGACAAGAAGTTCCCACGCGTGCAAGAGTACTTTGAGCAGCACTTCATACGGGAGCTGGCACGGCAAGACGGCCTTGGCGACAAGCCGAAGCGGCTGTTGTCGTCGTACAACGTTTCGACTGAAGAATGGAACGACAATTGCAGGAAGGCCTTGGAATGGGTGATGCGGCTGGTCGGAGGGAGCAACTAAGTCGTCGCTCGGGTCCATGTATGTACGAGGCAGGACTCGGTAAAAGTTTGGAGGATGCTCGCCCGAGTAGAAACCGAGCAGGGTATTGTTAAATACGGCGAGGCCGGGTGTTGGGGGAGATCAAGTCCACAGGGACCGCCATTGAACACTTTGCTTCGTACCTGGTCAGCAAGTCCGCCTTCGCGCACAATATCCAACTCGTGCCGCACAAGCGTCCCTCCGACAGACCTTGCTGGGTGCTTGCGGGTTGCCGCCGCGATTCCCAACTTTTCCATTCAGGAATAACCGACGTGCTTACAGGGCGGCGTGTTCACTACTAGCACCTGTGTTCTAGGCCCGGATGTAATTATACTACGTTACTTGGGTCTTAACAGAGACCTTGAGGGGGTTACAAGCGCCTCGGTGGCATCAAATAGCTGACGAGTCAGGTATTGTACAAGTTAGACTTCCATACGTTTCGCCTTTCTCCAACTGTTGTTCTCTCGTCATAATCTAGCCCATTGCAATACATCATGCTATCTATCAGATGAGGATATCATATCGTTTACAGCTCCTCGAATGCATCTTTCGGGGTTGTGGGGTCATCCAGACCCTCGAAGAGATCCACCCCCCAGCTTTTCCCAGGATCGTTCATACGGTGCTTACGGTCCTCCTTGGCGATGGCGCGCATCTCCTGCTCGGTGAATGTGATCCCCACGGAGCCCAGATTCTCGTCAATGTAGTCATTGTGAACACTCTTGGGGATCACAATGGTACCCCGCTGGATTCCCCACGCCAGCACAGCCTGTGCCACAGTCGCGTTCTTCTTCTTCGCCAGGGCCTTCCAGAATGGGTCTTTGAGAAGGGCTGGGATGCCTGAATCGTAGGTCGGGTTCGTATTGGCAAGCGGTGAGTACGCAATCACCTTGATGCCCTTCTCAGCGTGGAAGTCGACAAACTCCTGCTGTTGCAGGTACGGGTGCGCCTCGAACTCGTGAGCGTACGGGCAAATGGTGCAGGTTTGCAAGACTTCCTCGACACCCTTGGGAGCGAAGTTGGAGATGCCGATGTAACGGGTCAGGTTAGCTCGAACCAAGTTTTCCAATGTGCGCCACGTGTTTGGTGCGTGGTGGTCGATCTTTGTCCCTTTGCCCGGTACAAATGCGACGGGCCAGTGGATAAGGTAGAGATCCAAGTAGCCCACGCCAAGGTCGGAAATTGTCTTTTCGATGGCCGCGCGCGCCTCAGCTGGTCGGTGATCTGCATTCCAGAGCTTGCTGGTGACCCAGATGTCGGATCGGGGAACGCCAGCGGCGGCGATGCCTTTGCCAACCTCCACTTCGTTCCCTGCCACTGCTGTCAGCAGGTTCAAATCGGGTGAAATGGTTTCCTGCGCTGGGGTGATTACCGTAAATCAGAGCAGCATCGATGTGGGTATAGCCTGAGCTCAGGGCGTGCTCAACGGCATCGGACACCTGGATTCTCGGGTCAGAAACTGGCCGTACATCGATATCGCCGTAAAAGCCAAGAAGCTGACCTTGTCTTTATCTGAGAGCCAGGTCCCCAAGCCAATGCGTGGAATATCGACATGGTTCGATGTGAATGACCCTGATGCTGATGAAGCGTCGGCAATGTGGACCAAGAGGCCGAAAGCAGCGACAAAGGTACCGACGGCAGACAGCATTTTTGCGCTCGAAAACTACCTATGGTAGTGTAACATCCCAGGTTAACCTGGTCAATGAAGATTAATGTTTTGGTGTTAAAGCGTGGTCGGTCAACTTTCGTGACCTTGCGTCATAATTTGCATTGGATATGACATCATAGATGCTGCCCCCTCCCCCTCCTGATGGGCACTCACTGTGTCCATACAACATTCCATATAAGCAGCCTTCACAGTAAACTATTCCCCATACCCTCTGCTCGACAGGGCTTGACATGACCGACCGAGACTGGCTTATACTGTGAAGGGTCCAACCTCACCCTCTATCTGCCCAGCTAGGTCCTTGTGCTTCTTGGCCGTGTGTGTGTGTGTTGTGTTTTTCTACCATGTCCGTGGGAGCTGCAGCTAAGAGCGCCCTGCATACGCTGCTGCATGTGTACTGACGGGTCCAAAGTTAACCATGCCACTAGCCCATCTATCCGAGAGCGTGGCTGTTATAAGGGGGTACCCGACTTTTGACAATCAAGAATTCCAGAAAACGAGCTCATGTGACACGAACGACTACCCTGGCATGACTAGTAAGTACTCTTGGCCGACCCTCAGGATGACAATGCCGCCGCGAGGCGACTCGAAAGACAAAACCTTTCCCACCCGCACCTCATATTCACATGCTGTGTCCACCCCTGCCCATCCTCCATTAGCCCAATAATTACTAAAAAGGCCGGGGTATGAGCTTCCATTTGCTTCTAAACTTCGGAACCTGGTTGGGGTTCCTGATGGTGTCCACTTTTTCAGGTACCTTGGTTCTTATCAATGCATAATTCCGTTCATGAACAGCAAATATAAAAGTTTGTTATGGTTACCTTCAACATGGCAATGGCTCACCAGGGGGAACAAGTCGCTTACCCGCCTTATTTTTCTTTCCATCTTTGCGCTGATAACATCATGGTCTGACGGGCAAACTGTTTCGACGAATGCACATCAGACAACTGGGGGCCAACACAGTACCGTCGTGGGAAGAGGTGTATGGTCACTACGCTGCCGGAGAAGCCAATTAAATGAAGTATTCTGAGGCGGCGATATACGCAGGAGAAGAGAGTCAGAGCTCTGACGTCGAAAAAGAAAAAAAAAGAAGAAGAAACCATCAGTTTCTCTGACCGGCTGAGAAAGCCGCCATGGCTAAAACCCCCGATCCCGTCTTGCCCTTGCGATCTGTGGTGGCAACCACATATTTTGAGAATAATGGATAGATGAAATGGATCTTATCCGGTTGCCTTAGCCACGCTATCCAATACTTCTAGCCAACCGACTTCGGCAAATGTGGTGAGCCTCGCACACGCTCTAATATGGCCAGGCGGCGATACACCCAATCAAAACGGATGCTTTGTTTTGCCATCAATCAAGCCCACGGATAATACCCCGCCCAAGCTTAATCAAACCTACAATACACACATAATTGGCTGCGAGATGTAGGTCGATATTGACACGGAATACAACAAATTATCCCCACGGGGCCCATGACTCGGCAGCATTTTGGCACGACGGCAGTTGGGTGGGAAATGGCGCGCCGAGAAGCCAAGCCCCCTTAACTTGTTTCTGTGTGTAATCCGTATGTCTTGCTGTTCTTATAATACGATATAGACCGCCAGGACATCCCCAACCCGCTCCCCCTTCTACCCCGGTTGGCATCCATCTCATTCAAGCGACACACCAAGATCTCTCGCAATGCATTGGACATCTCTGCTCGCCCTCGCGGCGCTCGCCGAAGCGGCACCACAGATCGGCGGCGGCGATGATGCCGTTCGCAAGCTGTTCAACCGTCAAGGCGGCACGACCATGCTGCGCTTCGGCTGCACCCAGGTCGTTATCGACCGACTCGATCCCCTGGTCAACCCCGGCATGATGCCCTCGCCACACGTCCACCAGATCGTGGGAGGAAACGCCTTCAATGCCTCGATGACGACGGGCGACGTTTCGAATGGCGCTACTTGCACCACCTGCGAGTTCTCCGAGGATTTCTCCAACTACTGGACGGCGAACATGTACTTCAGGGCCAAGAACGGCACCTACAAGCGTGTTCCCCAGGGCGGCGCTGCGTATGTTTGACCCGGCTTTCCAATTTTCTGCTCTTCTGGGTCCTTGAAAGGAACTTTTAATTAGATGTAATTACCCTTACTGACTTTCCTCACAGACTCCAGTTCAACGACCAGTTCAGCACCAAAATTGATGGCGGTGTCCTTGTATACTACGTCTCGGCTCAGCCCGGTCAGATTACAGCTTTCAAGCCCGTAAGTCCAATTAGTGGGGGAGTAGTGGCGGCGTATTGTAATGAGACTGACCGCAACCACCAGGGTTTCCGCATGCTTGTCGGCGACCCCACCCAACGGTCGAGGACTGGCACCACACTGAAGAGGCAGAACTGCTACCGGTGCTACACCGGCCCCAACTTCGGAGGCGATACCTCGGCACCGTGCCAGGATAACAAGTCGGTTCCCTAACTCACTGCTATTTGCCTTGCTGGCTCACTAACCATAAAATAGGATCGACTCTGAGGGCCTGCCGACCAGGGCATGCCCAGGCGGTATCCGTTCCAACATTCATTTCCCTACGTAAGCGCTTCTTGCTGCTCAAGTCCTTTTTTCTTTGGCTGTACAATAGTACTAATGTGCCATCTCAGCTGCTGGGACGGAAAGAATCTTGACAGCCCCAACCACCAGGACCACGTCGCCTATCCCACTACAGGTCCCGCCAACTTCCTCAGCCTGGGAGGCAGCTGCCCGGCGACCCATCCCGTAAGGATTCCGCAGTTGATGTACGAGGTTGTGTGGGACACCACCAAGTTCAACGACATCGCCGACTTCTCGCAGGGCAGCCCATTCTACCTGAGCACCGGTGATAACACCGGATATGGCCAGCATGGCGACTACGTTTTCGGGTGGAAGGGAAACGCTCTCCAGTCGGCTATGGATACCTCCGGCTGCTTCGGTGCCAAGTGCGCGAACTTGAAGACACAAACCATCGATCAGGCCAAGGCCTGTGGCGTGAAGGCCGTTATCCAAGAAGACCACGACGGATGTAAGTTGCCTCGTTCTCATTCTCGGATATGCAATGAACATGTTCTGACAAGTTGATAGGGCTCACCCAGCTCCCTGGTGAGGGCGCCATGGCCAACATGTAAGCTGGGAAGGCGAGAGAGACAACGGGGAGCGACAAATAGAGCGGACGTCAGGACGTTGATCTGGTAATATTTGTTTGGGGACACACTCGTTGATTAGATTGGCGAATTCAACACGGCGAAGTCCAGCCGCTTTGGAACCAGTGATTTTCTAGAAGGATTATGCTACTGGAGGCTCTGGGATCTCCGCCGTTCCGTTCTTGTTTTGACATTTGGGCAAGGATAATTCCGGGGAATGAACCCAGCCCTGTGGGCATGAGCGTTTTGTGTATCTATCTTTCTCCCATCGCGGAAGGAGGTCTCGAGAAGCCGGGGGTCTCCCCTGGTCGATCACCTCCCTCTCGCATTGTATTTTGAGCTTATACCACTATTCCTGACCGTAGGTGTGCATCCCCCTGAGTGGTAGCATCCCTGATCACTCCCTTTCGAGCATATCGCCCCCAAATCGAAAGATAGTTTCGTACCAAAATATGCAGCCACACCAAGTATTAACGAGACGGCTGTGCTTTCCGAATGCCAACATGCCCGTGTGTCCTTGTGAACAGCAGGAACTCGTCGGCCCAATCAGGTGAGCGACAGAGCTGAGTAGTCGTTGCTCAGCATGCCCCTTCACTCCCACCGGAGCGAGCTCAGAAGCTGATTGTCTGGGACTAATGCACGTTTGGAAGCATCCAGGCACGGGAAAGCTGGGAGGGAAATTGATTACCGGAGCGCAAACCCTGGCGCTCGTCATTGGCAACCAATAGACCTCCCCATATCACACGGGTATGTGAATTAGAAGCCGGGATAACCAATCTATTAAGCTTGGCCTGTCGAGCCTTACTCTGCCTTCCAAAATAAGGTCATGCAGCGGTCCCATGGGCGTCAACCCGAATACTTCCTACGCGCCGGTCGTGTAGGCCATGGGCCTGGCAGTGGCTCATGTACTCACTGGAGGTGCGTCGTCGTCATCGTCGTCGTGCAAACCACATCCCAGTATACAGAGGCGAACCTTTTCGGTTCTACATATTCTTTCAAACTAGCTGGATGTAGGGGAAGTGGGTCACGTCTTCCAGTATTAAGGTGGATTGGAGGAAGTGTGTTCCGGGGCCGTGGACGGGATGGTGGAGAGGAAACATCATGGGCATCAGGTTCAAAGCGCGGTCCAAGAGAAAGCCGGGGGCGAGGTTAGCCCATTGGGGAAGGTGACTGGGCCATTAATATATGGCCAAGTCACGGTGCAAGTTTTTTCCTTGGGATAAATAAATACTTATGGATGTTATGCAGCAAGGTGGTGCACCCAGCTTGCCCTTAACAGGCTGTCCACTGAAAAAGTGTTTTTCCTACCATCTCCCCTTCACTTTGGTACGCATACTGACGGTAAACATTTGTGAGACTGGAACATAGCTTGGTGCTGGAACCTTCCATAATTAACACTACCAGTTGGCCGAGGCCTGGCGGCGGTTGGGCCACATTCTCCTCGCCTCTGACCCCATTCTCGTGCCTCTCCCTTCCTCATTCTTGTGTTCCGGCCTTAGGACGCGTGCCAAGCACTCATCTATTGTTAAATACAGCACTGCTTTGAGGATCTGCTGTTGCTTTAGCCGGAGCAGTGGCTGGGCTCGGCGGGTGAGTGCCACCCTGGCATAATCTACAGATTCAATCGTCAGAAGTGATTACTTTCCAGAAGATACTTTTCCTGACACGTGTCGCGATTCGCAGCCGTGATCATGGATTGATGTCATTTAACGGACTGCTAGATCGGTAATGGAGAAGAAAACAAAAGCTCCCCAGCAGTATCTCAAAACCCCGGTGAACAATGAGCGATGCCATCCAAACACCGTCCAAAACTAGAGACGATCCATGCCATGATCTATCCCATATTGAGCCAGTCTCAGAGCCACTCCACATCCGCCTCAGTCCCCAAGAACCTCCCGACCTTCTCGGCAATGTCCCCAAGCATCTCTTCCATAGGCACGACGTACGCCAGCTGGTAGGGCACGCCGAGTTGCCCGCCCGTCGCAAAGAGCACACCGACGGCCACGCCGTACTTATCCACCACCACCGACCCGGAATCCCCTATTCCCAGGCGAAAGCCCGGCGCGTGTCCTCGGAGGTGATGACGACCCACGCCTCGGTCTCGACGACGGTGCCGTGCTCGCCGATGCCGTACGTGACCGCCGTCGCGGCCCGGAGCTCGTGCAGGGCCCCGCGCGTGGTGCCGCTAGTACGGCCGACCTTGTGGACATTGACTGGGCGGGTGTCGTCGAGGTTCTCGACAAGGGCTGCCGTGGGGTGGAAGGTGGGCTCGCCGTTAACACGGGCGCTGGTGATGGTGTCGGGAGTCTGGAAATTTGGTCCGGGCAAACTCGGGGAAGGCCTGATTATCCCCTGGTCAGTCCCTGCAAGTGGCTGGTCGAAGAACCGAAACCGGAGTGTCGATGGAGCAGGCTTACATTGTTCAACATTTCTGGGTGGACGAAGCGGCTCGGATTGAGCTTAATCAAGCTCCAGTCCAGAATATAGCCATTCTCGGTCATTTCGTCAAAGCCGGAAGACATGAGGACTGTTCCGAGCTGTCGGTTGGAGCTGGCGGCTGCCTGCTGGCGGCTGCCTGAAGCAGTGCTGTTTGGGCGTCCACCTTTGCCTTCCACATAGCTAGCATGTTCTCCTGCTGATTGGTAAAGCCACAGTCACCCTGAAGCGCCATCTGCTTCTTCATTTCCAGATGGGTTCGCATCTCGACAGCTTCGCGGCGTTCGTTCTCGAGCCATTTCCTCCATCTTCCTTGGTCGGCGGGGGACGAGCTCTCGATACCGATAGGACTGTCTGTAGGGATGATGGCAGCACGGGGTGCATCTGTATCCAAAGGTGGGTAAGTAACTTGAGATGACTGTAGGAGAGAGAACTGATAGTTTCTGACGCGTTGACTTGATGGCATGTGAGGGCGTAAACCTGATCGTTGATGCGAAGATATCCGCCCAATGTTCCAGAAGACGTGGTGCCGGTGATTCCGATGCTACGACCAAGGGCAGGGTCGAGGTCGAAATCGTGTTCGAATTCATTGTTGGGATACCAGATTTGCCGTTCTACATGGTCTCCCCAAGCAGCGCCAGGGGTGGTGGCAGACTAGGCGACTTCGACGGCAATGTCCTCCAAGCCACGCCTAAATGGCCGTTGAATTAGCACAGAATAACCAAAACTGAGTAACGAGGTGCTAGAGACGCACTTGAGGAGGATTTCATGGCAGCGTGTAGCTGCGCCCTGAGCAAGTCGAGCATCGACCACGGCGTCCGTGCGGACAATGACCATGAGCGTCACCGGCCGATTAGAAGAACAGTCCACGTTGGACCAACCAACGCGGAAGACGCCGACAAGGTGCCAGAGCCGGTCAAGGCGCTTTCTTACCTCGGCCATCAGCTCCTCCAAGCATCCATCGGAACCTTCCTACTGTTGCGCGATGGGGTGCTTTCCGAGCGTGGCAAAGACCTTGAAGTCGGGCATGTTCTCAATTGATCGTCCCAGTCGGGATCCCGGGAGGCGGCGTCCGGGTGAGGAGGGTCAAGTCGAAGCCGGGGTAGTACGGGACATCGTTTCCGGCCATGTTGGTGTCTTTACCAGTGATGTGCTTGGACTCCGTCACCCCCTGGATCTCAAGGTTGAGTTTTTCGGTCCCGTCTTTAGTCTGGACCTTAAAGAATTCCGCAGCAAAATTGATGAGTTACAGAGGGTTTGGTCGAGTGCGTGTGCAAACGAACGAAATTAAATATCCCGACGTTACGTATCATTGTGAAGTGGCTGGGGGAAGTGAATGCAGCCTCGGCAGCTTCAGCAGTAAGTGAATAACATGAGCAGGCTACTCCTGGGGCAGGAGACCTGTGCGGGACACGCGGAGCCCAAAGACTTCGCTGAGACTATTCGGAAGGGCTACAGCGGGTAGCTAAGGAGGTTTTCGGGAGCGACGAAGAAGATTGGATGAATTTGACTCGAGCTGACCCAAACGAAGTTAATGCCTAGCATGGGGATTAACGTAAATCTAGCGAAAGATCTATTAACTAATAATTAAGTTCGCCAGTCATCTGGCGCTCGTTTCGATATACAACTCTCCCTCGCTCACTATTAACCGAACATAGAAATCGAATATCAAGTGTGAAAACCCCCCTTCCCGTGCGTCTGCTCAAGTCATCGCTGCGTAACTTTGGTGGGTATAATATTCTGCGTAGCAGCAGCGCAATCATGCAGCGCCGTTTTGTGTGTCGTCGTCGACGCAGCAGCGATTCCGCCGCCCCATATTACGCCATGCTCCATTCTGGAGGTTTATCCAGGTCCATTGCCCCATGTCTATCCAACGATCTCACTGCCGATAAACGGAGTTGTCAATCGAAAAATATCCAGATGGACTAGGAAAGCTCTATGCTTTCAGCACTTAAAGACAGTCAGTTGTAGCCCCTCATCATTCAGAAGAGGGGAGACTCACAAGCAAGGGCCTCCCACGTGCTGACTGTCCTTGTCTGAGGGTTTTGAGGTGCCTTTTCTGCGCCCTGCGACTTGGACGTGAGCTTCGCCTTCAGTTTTTCCTTCAAACCTCCCTTCAAGTCCACAGTGGATGTGAGGGAATCTAAGTGTCACGGAAGTTAGCCATGGAACACGGTGCCAAGGGAGTGGGCAACCCAGGCCAAGGGAGTGGGCAGCCCATGCCAAATAGGGGGCCTTACCGGAGGTGGAAACGCGAGGCTTCCCAACCAGAGTTGTTTGTGAGTCATTCATCGCCTGATAAGGGGCTGATGATAGGGACATGGGTGTGGATTGGGTGGACATGGTAGTGTAGTGGGCGAGGTCAGGGTGATTGGAGCTGATCGAGGTAAGGCGTGGGACGAAACACTTGAAAAGAAGGATTGATGTATTGGTGTATCAATAAGTCGGAGGGTCGAAGGATTGGTGGGGTCTTTCGTGAATGGGGAGCGTGTAGTGAATTAGTTGGTGATTGTGATGAAGATTGTGGTCGTCAACTTTGCAGGCGTGAGAGGACCTTAAGTATCTGGCCTGTGACTCCAATTTGACATAGAAAGCCAACTTGAGTCACCAATGTATTTGCAATATGTCAGCATGTCGTTGAGGACTGACGCATACCCCCCTTACAAATGCATGCAATCCGTAATATTCGGCGTAGATGACCCGACTCTTGGCTGCTGGCCGAGTGACTCTGACGAAATCTATTGGCTTTCCGAAGCGGACGTCGTCTATGTGGGGCTGAGTCGACATCGCACAGGGCGCACACTATTCCGTTCCTGGCTTGTCCTTCTCCACTTTCAAGCCGAGGCCGAAGCCGGAGCCGATAGCACCTGTAGACTGAATTTTCAAGCCGAGTCGAGTCTCGAATTCTCGGCTCCATTTCATTTCAAGCCGAAGGGAACTTCGGAATTACGACGGCGACGGTCCGCTAAGCCATCCTTGATCGATCCTGGGAACTTGATACGTGCGATTCTTGCAAAAAGCAGTCATGGAACAGACGGAGGAGCCGCCGCTTCTCCGACGCCTCAATGGACGAGCCCAAGCATGCGATCCTTGCCGAAACCGCAAGGTGGCCTGCGACCACGCGCAACCGATCTGTAATAGATGCCGGAAGAGGGGACAGGCAGCCGCATGCATCTACACAATCACCGACCAAAGGTCGATAAGGCCGAGGAAAGCGGCCCTGACGCCGAGCGGCTCGACATCGGCCGACTCCATCCACGCTGCAAGCCCCGACGGGCAGTCGTCATCGACGACTCCAGCGGCGTCTGGATCCGGATATCTGGGGTTCACCAGCTATTCCGCCGTGTTCGAGGAGACCCGGAACAGCCTGTCCCTCCTCCACGGATCTGACGTCGGGCTGCCCCAGCTCCAAGCCGGCGACTTTGGCGCTCCGGTTGGTGGTGGTGGTGGTGGTGACCACCCGGAACGCCTGTCCCCCACTATTCGCGACATGTGTCTCATCGTTCTGCGCAATCTTCCCGAACCCTACGGGGGGGAGGCTTCCTTCCGAAGCGCTCCCCTCCACAGCCAGGCCTGGGTCCGCCTTGCAGCCACGCGTGTCCTCCGGTCGCTCGGTGGCGTACATCGGGCCAACCAGGGGGGAAGCCGGGGCGATTCCGAATTGGAGGCAATGGCGCAGGCGATCTGCAGAAACACGTCCCGGCCATTCCTCGACCACCGCGACCCCGACGAATGGATGGGCCAATTCACCGGACCAAATCTGCGGTGGGAGTCACTCGGCCTTCTCTTCACCTTCTGGGAGCCGATTACCGATAGGGTGCCTGGCTATCCATGCGCGCCCCCCAGGAGGGCTATTGTCGAGGGCTGGTCGCGGGCGGCTCGGGAATGTCTGGCACACTGCGTTGACCTGGCCCGCCGTTTTTCTGGAGGGAATGATCTCCTGGTCTATCTTTGCTTGAAGCAGACGACGATGGACTCGGTGCTTCTCGGGGATGCTAGTAGGTCTTGACAATATTTTTCTTCCTAGCACAGTGATAGGGGACTCTCTTCTCTACAGCTATGCAGCCGCAGCTTTCAAGGTTACACTCTGCTAATATCAGCCAATAATCAGGTCTCTCCTGTTGGACCCGCCATGGAGAAACACTAAGCCTGCTGACCTTCCTCGGGCGGCATGCCGAGCAAGGCAACCCCTCGTACACTCCCTCGTTCTTTTCCGAGAACAGGCGGCGGCTCTTCGCATACGCCTTCGTGCTCGACAAGGTTATGGTGTCCTTCACCGGCCGGCCACCCCTCATCAGCCACCGCTACGCCTCGACTCCGCTCCCCCTCGACCTCCGAGACGAAGACCTGCTCTCCGACGGTCCGACGCTCGTGCAGGCGGTTGCTTCTCTGGATGACAAGGGGTGGAACACCAGCGGCGGTGTATATTCCTCTACGCTCATCCGTGCGCGGGCCATGCTCGCCTTCGTCCGGGATGAGCTCATTGAGATTGCCCTGAGCACAGGGAAGGGCACCACCCTGGAGGCACTGCTGTGCGTATTTTCTACCCATTTCCCCAACGACTAGACTGCTGGACTGCGCTGACTGGTTTGATGTACTACTTGATTAGAGACATCAATGCCCGAGGAAAGGCGATCTTCTCAGAGTTCCCCCAAGGTTTGGTCTACCGTCCCGAGAACCTCTGCGACCCGAGCGTGGACATTGAAACCATGTATGCCAGGTTGCTGGTCCAGCTTGAGCATCTCCAGAATGTCTTCTTCGCGGAGCGGCTGATGCTCCGATATGGTCAGGTAGACGAAGGCGAACTGCTGCTGACCAGCTTCGAGATGGTCAGCCTGACGCTGATCTTCTGGACGCACAAAGACCGACTGGCGGGAGTCCGCGGCGATTTCGAGTGGCTTGTAAGACCGAATATCTGACATATACTTCCCCCCGATCATTGCTCTTGGAGATCCACTGACATGTCGACAAAAGTTGATGGCCTTTGCCGCGCCAGGAGGTGGCATCCTCTGCTCGGAGCTTCTCAGGCCGACCTTCTACGGCACGCACCCGAAGAATCCGAAATTGAGCCGATCCACCATCGTCCAGCAGCTGAGTCTCCTTGTCGGCTTCCTCGACTGGGTTGGTCCGTCCGCGCCGAACGGGGCCCTGTGCGTTAATTGCAAGTCCATCATCCAGCATGTCCTGGACCACAATCTCAACGCCACGACGCAGAGCGGCGGTGCCCTCGGGGCGCTGGACTGGGATGTTTCGGCGCAGTTGGACTTCAACTTTGAACTCTTGGACACGTTCGATTGGCTAAGGCCGGATATGCCTTGAGCTAAAAACCTATCAATCGAGGAAATTAATGCTAAAAAGGATCAACTGTAGGCCAGTTATCGTATCTGGGACGTTCAGCAAGATCCACCCCCCGTTCATCGCAGTGAGCCATACACATCTCGCTACCTCCGACTGGTGGGGCCGAGGCAGACCCGGGAATGAGTCCTGGGTTTGACCAATCGGATGCAGCCCGACATCCATGTTAGGCAGGATTTACAGAGAGCCGAGTTCTTGAACATTTGTTTGGGTGATGAGAGGTATAAACTGGATCTCACAGTTGGTGGGTGCTCATTGGTATGCTATGCAAGTATACTAGAGACTGACATAATATCGTTGTTGCAGTGCCGTGCCCAGTCTGATCGACACGATTGAGATGGGTTGTATGTAACTACTGTACATACAAACACTACCTCAGTTGAAGACATTCTTCCATACCCAGAGGCTTGTGGTGTTTGTGTAGTGCTTGAACCCTTCGATTCCCCATTCTATACCGATGCCGCTCTCCTTGTGGCCTCCGAAGGGGACGTTGGGCGCGACATCGAAGTGCGAGTTCACCCACACGCTGCCCGCGCTCAATTGCCTCGCCATCCTCTCGGCGCGGCCCAAGTCGGCACTCCACACGGAAGCCCCAAGGCCGGTTTTGAGGGCGTTGGCACGGTCGATGACGTCATCCTCAGACGACCACTTCAAGAGTGGCACGATGGGCCCAAATGGCTCCTCGGTGACGATGCGCGAGTCCTCGGGCGGGTTGTCGATGATGGCCGGCTCGATGAAGTACCCCTTGGACGTCTCCCGGACCTTGCCCTCCAGCGCCGTCTTCCACCCGCACTTCTCGATCTGGGAATACATGTCCTTGACAAGCTCAAACCTGGGGTGCACGCAGTCAGACGTCCGTCCGTCAGCCCGCTCTCGGGGGAGCACTCGGAGTTAAGTAGGAGGAGAGGACTTACTGCATGCTGTTCTGGACAGGGCCGACCACAACATCAGGCTCGAAACCACCGCCGGTCTTGACGTGGTTCTTTGTGAACTCGACCATGGCGTCCCGGAACTGGTCGTAGATCTTCTCGTGGACGTAGATCCGCTTGGTAAGCATGCAGATCTGTCCCGAGTTCAGGAACGACAGCGTGGCAATCTTTGGCAGGCACTTCTCGATCACGACATCGTCACACACGATGGCAGCGTCGTTGCCGCCAAGCTCGAGCACGTATCGCTTCAGGGTCTTGGAGCAGCTCGCTGCCACCCGCTTGCCCGTGGGGATGGATCCGGTAAAGGTGATCATGTCGATGTCAGGGTGCTCAGTCATCCACGGGCCGAGATCGTCATTCCCGCTCAGAACCTGGAAGACGCCCGGGGGGAAGACGGACATGCCCAGCTCGCCAAGCTTCAGATCACAGTATGGAGTGTAGGGCGAAGGTTTCATGATGAGGGTATTGCCCGTCATCAGCGCAGGGCCGAGCTTGCCCATGCCCAGGAGGATGGGCCAGTTCCAGGGGACAATGGCGCCGCAGACTCCCAGTGGGGGGAAGGTTTGGTAAATGGTCCGCTCATCCGTGTCCTCGATTATTTCCTGCTCGATCTTCATGGTTGCAAACTGCCGCAGCCAGGTGATGGTCATTTCAACCTCAGTATGGGACAGACTCAGGGGCTTACCCTGCTCCATAGTCTGCAGCTTCTCCAGCTCTTCGCGGTTCTCCTCTATCCGATCAGCAAAGGCCAGCATGAGCTTGGCTCGCTCCTCATGGGTGGTCTTGGACCATGTCTTGAAGGCCTCGCGGGCATGCCTGACAGCGACATCAAGATCCTCCTTCCTCGAAACAGGAACCTCGTAGAGGGACTCGCCGGTGGCAGGGTCAATCGAATGCCGCGTTGTTGGGGTCGGCACAAACTGGTTATTGATGATATTGCCAGGGTAGCTCTGCCGTTTGTCCTTGTTAATAACCGGCAGACAGATACGGCAACCAAGGGTCCAGTCTTCTGCTTACCTTGATATCGAGTTGGGACGCCATGTCTTCTAGAAGGATCGTTTGCAATAGAACTCTGTAATAAGTGGTGTGGTTTCACGGCCGCGGCTGTACGACTCGAGACGCACCTTGCGTGCCTTTTGAGGCCCCTCTCCGAGCCCCTCTCCGAGCGGGGGACGTTACCCATCGGCTCCCCATTCGGCATATTCCGGCCCCCAGTTTCTCAGTGTGTCAGCCCAATCATGCCTCGCCCAAGACCCACTGGAAGGGAACGCCAAGCTCCTTAAGCAGCCAGATTTGCCGATCCGTTCGACGACGTCAGTGTAGCACTAGCCTGACTGACCTATCAACTGTCCGATGATAGGATTTACACGTCAATGTCTTTTTACGTGCAGTCGACGTGCTCTAGGCCAGCTTAGTAATTATTCCTTTAGCGCTGCCTATCTACAGTGGAAAACTTCGACAGCGCGTATTGAAACTCATTCGCGACACCATCTACCGTTGCAAGTTGGCAGCCTTGATAAGAGAAAACTACATTAGCTAGAGCCTCATCATTACACAGCATCTGCACTGATTGGAGATCGCCCTTGACCGAGCCTCTATGGTCAAGCATCTACAGTCTTCGCCCGGTCCGCTTCAATCATCGGCACAGGCAATCCAGTGTCCTCATCCGTCACTCTGTTTTGAGTCTCGGGCAAGACACGATCCTTGAGTGCGAAGCACAACAGAAAGTTCAGCCCCGCAATTGCAATGGCAGTCGCTAGAATCTGACGCGTGTTCTTCTCCCACGCGAGGATAGCTCCCGTGCGAACGGGGCTGCCGAGCGGGTAGTCGGGGTCCAGGGCTAGATAGCCCTGTTCGTAGATGGCCTGTATGGCAGCGTCATCCGCCGTGCTGGCCAAGAACTCGCGCAGGGCTGGCAGCAGTTGTTGCTGGATCGCGCCGGCAATGGCGCTGCCGGCGGCATCGGCGACACCGCCGGCCATGAGGAATATGCCCGTGACCATGGCGACGTCGGCGTGGGGCACGCTGATCTGGGCCGCCACGAGGAGGTTGGCCGTCATGACTGCGCCGCCCAGTCCCTGGAGGATCTGCGGGATGATGATCTGGGCCGTAGAACTCTCGGGGCCACGGTAGCGGTACATCAGGCCCAGGGCCATCAGGCGAGTTGCGCCGCCGAACACGGTCAGCCACTTGTAGCGGCGCGTGGCGGTGGCGACGAGGCCGCCGGCAATGCCAAAGATGACCACGGCGAGACTGCCGGCGTACAGGTAGTACGTGGCGTGTTGCACGCTATAGTCGAAGGTTATCCTGACCCAGTTGTAAGAAGGCGTGAAGGCCACCATCGTAGACAGGGCATCGGCCATGGAGATGGAAGTTGCAATGATAACATCAATGCCGGAGTCGACGTGGCGCAGGCGCCGCAGGTTGACGGCGGGATACGAGACCCAACTCTCGACGAAGGGGAAGGCGACCAGGGCGACGCCGCCAAGAACAAACATGGCAATAATATAGCCAGTGCCATAACCCCGTGGCGCTTGATCAGCAATTGTCAGAGGTAGCAGGAGAAGTCCAAAGCCAATGAGCAGCAGGAACAGGCCAGGTAAGTCGAGGGAAGAGACGACGATGCGCAGCCTGGCTAGGGTGAGCTTGGGAGTCTCTTCGGAGCGCGAGACACGGCGGGCTATGCTGAACAGGTAGAAGGCCAGTGGAGTCGCAGTGACCGGCACCAGAATGGCAAACATTCCGATACCCCACCTCCATTGGTCCGGGACCAAGGCTCCGGTAATCTTGGAACCTATGCCGAAGTTGATGATGAAGGGCATGAGCGTCAGGTTTGTGACGGTGCAGCGCCAGTGGGCAGGAATCAGGTCAGCAATAATGATGTTGGTGGAGAAGTTGATCCCCGTGTTGCCGAAGGAGAAGAAGATCATCCCCGCTGAGAGAGTGCCGATGTTTTGAGCTGTCGCGAGCACTATCGTGCCGAGCGCATATGACCCGATGGATCCTGCGAGGATCATGGGCCGCCCAAAGACGTCGGCGATCTTCGCAAATGCGGCATTGGCCACGCCGTAAATGATGGCCTGAACGGTAGAGATTGTCGTGTACTGGATGTTGCCGTTGAAGAGAGAGGCCGCCGTGTTGAGGTAGACGGACAAGGTGAAGCTGCTCAGACCCTGAACGTAGATGACCAATGCGTAGCTAATATTGCGGAATTGGGTCAAGCGAGTCAGTTGCCGTATTAACCAGGGGAAAGACGTGTTCGTACAAAATCCAGAGGAGCCACTTCTGTGTGGTGGTTGGCTGGCTAACGCTGATTTCGAGCGAGGGAATAGCATCCGGGGTGATGGGATCCAAAGTGGTTTTGTTGTCCTCCCCAGACGCCATGGTTGCGGGTAGTTTCTGGTACGGATAGGATTGCTAGACTTGTACCCTAGAATCTCAAGGGCATTTCGAGGAAGGGAAAAAGGAAGAAGAAAAAAACAGTGTATGGTTACGAGGTCGTTTGAGACTTGCAGCCAGCAACGGGCAAAGGGTATATTTGTAAATGTTTACGGACAGACATGTGCGACTCGTCCGGCATCGGCCAATAGCTCTGCATAAGGAGGCAACACGAGAGGCTAGGTAAGGCAGGGTTACATAGAACACATGACAGGCAACGTATCTTTTTGAAGAGTACGGGAAATAAGTAGAAATCAGGGGGCATTTACTAGAGGTAACTGAGTGCCCTAGATAAAGCATGCCTTCCAGAAATGTCAATCGTATACGTAATAGCGGGATTATATACCCAAATACGGCCTAATTTGATGGCCCTGTGTAGGGGCACGACTCTGGGATGTCAAGCTGTGGTGGGTCTTGATCAGATTATCTGAGAATGAGATAAGATCATCATTCGGCGATCAAAAAACCCCCATCCTGCATTGTGCTACATGTGTACTAGTGTTGAGGGGTGTGTTAACCAGGAACAGGAAGGTGTTGGACTGCTAGGCAGGGTGCTCCACCAACCTCTGGTCTCTACCGGCAGTCCGGCACCCGCCCCTGCCACCCGACGGACAGGGAAATGTCTTCCAGCAAAGCTTGATAGCCACTGGTGCGAACATTGTCCAACCCAGTGGTACCGCTTGTGAAGCTTGTCTCCAACACTACTAATTAGTGAATTTACTTTCAACGACCTCCATCACCACAGCCCTATCCGTACGCCAAGACTCTTGTAAAAAGAGTGCTGTGCGCAATAACTGTGAAAATCGATGATTATTGTACTGTACAAATGGACGTGGTTGCAGCACTAGGTACCTACGAAAGCCTGGAGTTGCAACGACCAGGTCAGTACATTTACACAAACACGCGAGGCGATCAATCATGATGTGGTGGAGTTAACCGGGAAGGGCGTTCTTATATCTGTCGAGCGGTGTGTTCGGATCCGAGCGAGTTGGCTATCCCGACGGACATTGCTTGGTGACCAAGTCCGTCCCATTGGTGAGAGTTGCTGTCAGTCGAGCCAGAGTTTCTGACGCAAAGAGCTCCAACAAGCTTTCCGTAACCAGACAGGGTATGAAGACTGCAAGCGTAGCCACAGCACGTCGGTTCGCGGAAACTGCTCCATGTTGGAGACGTGGCACAGTGGTAGGATGAATTACGTGGAAGCATGTAAGCTTCCCCATGTGCCGTGTGTTTGCGCAAAAGGCTTGCGCAGACTTTCGAGACCCACTTTTCTGGCCAGGGTTTCTCATGCGTCGTGTGTTTGCGCAAAATGCTCACAAATTCTGCGCAGACTTCAAAGTCCTCAGGCAGGGTGATTGTGGATGGCGTTAGCCGCACAGCCACATTTCGTGTGGCTGGAGTCGCCCTGGGTGTGTCATATGAGTTTCAAGGCGGGGACTGACATCGGGAAGTCTTGCGAATGCCTTCAGGTCGATTGCCCGAACCGTAGCACCTTTTAAATCTTTCTTCCTTAGAACCTCTAGAAGCCCTTAGAGGCGCTCTGGGAGTATCTTCCCAACACCAGCTGTATAAATTCGACATCCTTGACGCGACAAGAGAGTCGGCCGTAAATCTGGCCCAGATTCAGCGCGTGTTACGCCCCGAAGGCCTGGGTCAATATTGCCCCAGCCCCAACGCGCGGGGCCTAGGAAAGCCTGGTGGCCGAGGTGGCTTGGTCTGCCGCATGAGTGGCTTTAAGTGATTAGCGCAAGCGCGGCCTTTAATTGGAAGGCCCTGTAATTAGTATGGTACTGCCCTGCGGGGTAGGAAGGTCCAGCTAGCCCGGCCGGCCGGTCCTACGGGGTCCCCGCGGGGGGCCCGCGTAGGGACCCCCGGGCAGCCCTGAGTTAAAGACCGCGATGGACCTGCCCGAAGGGTTACGAGGGCAGGCTTCAATATACGTTCTGGCCGAGAAGCTACTCGAGACAGTTTCCTACCTGATTTACTAGCAATACTGTCGCGACCGCCCTCTCCCTCGGAACCCGTGCCAATTAGCCACCTCGTATAAGTCAGTCGGACTGATCACCCCCGTGCCTCCGTCCCGCTGCCGACCTGGGTCCTGCGACCCGTTACAGATTTCTGTCAAATACTTCCTTTTGTCAACCAGCATATAGATCTAGTAAAATGCTAAGTTAATACTATTGTAAAATTTTAAACATTGCTGTCTTGCTAATGTGTATATATTAAAGCAACCATTTCTCTATCGTTAGCTACTAAGTATCCTGTCATTCCTAAAGTATTGCAATCAAAGTATCACATGCAAAGCCAATCTAGGTAATTATCTAGACTGCAAAGCGTGTTAAGATCATTAACCTTTGTCAGATGTTAAGGAGCTGCTTAATAGATGTTAGAGAAGTAGGCCTGTAAGGCATCAAGAAGATCTCTAAGTTTGATACTCTAGTAGCTGGTTAGCCTTGACCTAAAATAGGCAGTAGCTTTACTTGCATATGTTTTTATTTTGATATTTGTAATCCCAGCTAATCTTGACATATCCTTCCACCATGCTCTTGCTATAGATTAAGGCCTGGATATGTTAGATAAAGCAAAATGCACTGATTAAATCCTAAGATAGTCTTCTGCAACGAAAATCTTGCAGATAGTGCCTTTCTTTTGTACATCTAACAACAGCAGCTTATCCTTGCCTTTTTCTAACTTAGAATTCCAAAGGTTTTTGATATAGAAAACACTGTCAAACTTATAGTACTATGCGTATACATTGCAGGTAAGGTCAAGGGTAAAATCAGGAGGTAAATGACTAGAATCTTTGTCTTCTAGCACTTGTTCTTAGGCTATCACAACTGCATATTTATGTATAAGCAACTTAGCTACCATTGCCAAGATCTCTAGTAGGAGCCTGACTAGCAAGGTGGCTAATAGCTTTTGCGAAAGACAGCCCTATATGAGATTGAATCTTTTTCAGCCCTTGTAAGAGGAAGGCTAGAAGCTATACTCTGTGGCTGCAAGAAGGTTTGGCATGACTGGATCGAGTCTGCGTTTGAAATCGAAGCATCTGCTATGGAAGAAGGGAATGCAAAGATTGCTTAATTTGCAAGCTGGACTGCATATGTGGAACTAGATGCGGAGGATAGGGTTAAAGAATGGCTTGTCTAAAGAGAAAGCAAAAGAGGACAAGCGTTGCCTATTATCGATACCGAAGTATAGCTTAGTTGTTGACAAAAAACCAGAGACAGAATAACGCATATGCAACAACTGTGTTGCCTTCTTCCAAGTCAAATTGGCATAACCGACATTGAATCTGTGAGATGCAGTATAACAGTGTGAAGTCGTCGTCTTTATCATCCATTGTAGCTGCATTAAGAGAACGACTTCGAAATTTGGTCTTGGGGGAAGTGAGGTGGACAGAAGGTTGACCGCCACTCTGGCTTGAGCATGTAACGGAGCCGCCACAAGTCACCGAATTAATTCCGGAGGAACTACCGTTAATCTGTACAAGGGCTTGCTCAGGCAGTATCCCCTGCCTAGCATAACGGAGCAGAACGAATTGGGCAATGTATTTCCGTTCCGCCTTCTCACAACTGCGAGACGCAGCCGCTGTATGCCTGGATGTATTTGTCTGTTGGATGCGGCTTGTGGATGGGCCATGGCTGGCATGACGTAGCAGGGACGCCCTTCGGCAAATTCTCCACGCGAACAAATGGGGACTTGGAGACTGATGAACAGGATAGCTTGGGTTTTAAAGAGCGGCCATGCCGATACTGAAGGAACGAGATATTCGAATTGGGTTGAATGTAACATCTAAATTACTCCGTACAATATATTTTCCCCCTAAACTGCTTCATGCATTTCGCTGAGTAGGCGTGATGAACCCATCCCGCCTAGCGTTCAACGAGGCCAAGTCAGCACGAAGCCCCCAAGAACACATAGCTCCTTTCCTGACGCCGATGGGCTGTGTATGCTGCACCGTTTGTCCATTATCTGGACCATCTGGCTCGCCATTTCGTTGTCGAACAACACCTCTGCGTCCTTACCCATGTGATTAGATCCCTGGGGAGTTGCAACTCATGGAACTAGCAGCTGGACGACACATGCGTCAGTTAGTTTGTATCAAGAGCTCGTAATTACCGCTACCTAACAGCGACTATGTGGTGATGGTATAGTTACCTTGCTAAGGGCAGCCAATAGGAGTGAGTGTTGTCGACGAACATTGCCAGATTGGGCAAGTATGTACGTACTTATTTCTGCATAGATGGCATTCCCATCTTGGCTGCCAGCGTCTTGCTAAGCATGCAAGCTTCTATCAAGCAATGCCCGTCTGCGCACCATCACCGCAAACGAGGTAGCGGAAGATTAAGCAAACACCACACCGTCGGGTCTTAGAATCTGCAACCCACCTCTAATTATCGACCATGCAGTCGGCAAGGGGGCCTCGACCGTGGTCACATATTGTGGCGCCTGGAGATTTATGCAGCTCCAAATCCCAATTCGTCCTTCTGAGGACCCGCAAAGTGAAACGAATCCCAGCGAGAGCCAGCTCAGATTTAGATGGCACTCGGCAAAAGCCGCGATATTTACCCGCGACTGAATTGGTGCAGGCGGGTCGGTGGTTTTATATTGCAGGTACAGCTATTTGCCGGCCAGCCTGGCGGGGAGCTTGGATCGAGCTCCTAAAATACCTGCCGTCGCCGACGGAACCATCCAATCATGTCGTCGCTAATGGTAATGCCGGTTGGCTATGACATCTAGACACTCTAAATTTATATGTTCGCCAATAGTAGGAGATGGCGACGTCAGTAGTATATTTCACGGGAATCCCAATATGCTGGACTGCTGAGTTTGAGTAATACATAAAGGGACCTCTGGTCCGGTAGAAGCCCCACCCCTGACGGAGGACAACGCCCCTTTCCCCCATCTGTCCCTCGTATACTGAGATAGCGACCCTGATCTGCCCATTTCTGAAGTTGACTCGTGTTGTTACAAGCTGCTATCACCATGAAGATCTCCAACCTCGCCGGTGCCGTCTTGGTGGCCGCCGCTTCCGTCCAGGGCCAGTACGTGTGGACAGAGCCCACCAGCAATGTGACTTTCAAGATCGCCATCCCCGAAGCTACGGCGGCGCCGTTCGACCTGGCGCTGTCCATCATCGCTCCGGTGGCTACGGGCTGGGCCGGTTTCGCGACCGGCGGGTGCATGCTCCGGAGCCCGCTCTTGATTGCGTGGAAGAACGGAGATGGCGTTATGGTCTCGCCACGCTGGGCCAGGTAATTGAGCGGTTCTTTTCCACGCCATTTTGCCCTTGTCATCTACTTATAATTACAGTCCCCTCTCATATTTGGATAGCCGTTACTAATCTTGATAATTACGTAGCGCCTACCACCCCCCGGAGCTGTACAACGGCACCAAGGCGGCCGTCTACTCGGGCTCGACGGCAAACGAGACTCACTGGGTGGCCAACATCCTCTGCACCGGCTGCAGCAGCTGGGCCGGCTTCGAGCTCAACCCTGCGGGCAATGTGACCTTCGGGTGGGGCGTCAGCAGCCACGCCGTCGACACGCCGTCCGACCCGGCCGCCTCGATCCGCTTCCACGACGTCGGCAAGGACCACTTCGAGGTCGACCTTACTGCAGCCCGCCTGGCAAAGGCGGACTTCGACGCCCTGCTCGAGTCCTTCGGCGATGCGCCCAAGCCGACAACTGGGATGGCGGCGAGATAGGGAACTGGGGAAGTCGGATCTTAATTATTACGGGGCCTTTCGACTTCGATTTACAGTAAATATTTCACTTCGAAAGTATCTAAGACTGCGTATGAGATCCACTGAAATTTTGATATAAACTATAAGGTGCCCAGGCCGTATAAGGTCTTCAGTCCAGTCAGAACCTGCCTCCCCCCCCCCCAAATGACCTCCATGGCCCCTCCAAGGAGACGATCGGTCGTGATCGTATGCGGACGGGTCACATTTCACACAGCTCCCCTTTCCCCACTCAAGTTTCGTTATGTGGCAATCAGCAAGAACGGGAGTAGCAACCACACTCTGGTCTGCCTCTGCTCGTATGAGAATGCTCGAGAGAGGTCTGCAGACGACCAACCCATTAAGGCGGTAAATCTCCAACATACCAGACCAGCCCCTTCTTTACCCCCCACATCTCATCAGAAAGGTACACAAGCTATGGCACGAGATCTTCAGCGTCTTCGGCCCGCCTCGCGCGATATACTACTTCCTTAGCATTGGGATAGACATGCCGGCAAGCAAAGACGTGTGCTATCTGCTCAACGTCGTTGGCTTTGCGGGCTCGGTGGCCGACATCGCGACAAACAGCGAGATTGCCAAAATCCCCTTCTTGTCGTTCGTCAACACCTTCCCGCCGCGGGGAATGGCGAATAAGTATAGGATCGGGGAAACGTGGGGGACGGGCTGCCAGACTGGGTTGAGGAGGAGGACGGCGTGTGGCGGTGGAGCCTTCTTGTCAAGAGGAAGGAGAACACCGGGGACCTCGACGACGTCAAGACAATTGCCAGGACCGAGGAGAGGGCGAGGAGCTATCTGCACTTGTCGGGCGCCAGTGCGATGGTTATGGAGTGTGCCAAGGCGCTGCGTGAGAAGTTGAAGTAATGGGGGATCGCTTGGGCCTTGGGAGTTTCCGCTAAAAGGTTGCGACATAGCGGAATCGACAACGAGATGGAGGAGGGAAGCCGCGTATTGATCTTGACCCGAACTAGGTGGCCGAGTTGGCGATGCGGGCAGCCACCGATCCTAATGTCGCAATCTGGTCAAGCCTGTTGGCCATCACCCTCAGCCTCCTTGAGAAGCTTCGCAATTTCCATGTGTCCTCTGAGATTCGCAACGTGAAGTGGTGTCCAATGCTTGTTTCCCGAAGTCTTCTGGACATCGGCACCCGCATCAAGCAACAATTCCGCGATCTCCAAATGGCCAACTTCCGCAACTGCAGTCAAAGCTGTATAACCATTATAATAGCTCCCATCTGCGTTAACATCGGCACCCACGGCCAGAAGTCTCCGGACTAGCTGAGCATTGCCCGCTAAGGCGGCAGCCTGCAAAGCCGTTACGCCCTTGTACCTCATCAACGGCGTGTTCACATCTGCTCCTTCGGCAAGCAGCAAGTCGACAACCTCCATGTGCTGCCCGGCTGCAGCAGCTTGCAAAGCTGTCCTCCCATTGTTATGAGCAGCCGGCGCATTGATATGGGCACCCTCGTCGAGTAGCCTCCTCACAACATCTAAATGGCCCCCTTCGGCGGCAGCCTGCAGTGCGGTCCTACCCATGTAGCGACTTGCAGGGCGATTCACATCTGCACCCTTAAGGATCAAGAAGTTGACGATTTCGAGGTGGCCACCTTCGGCTGCCATTGTGAGGGCGGTTCGTCCACCGTTATTGCCGCCTGGCGCATCCACCTCCGCGCCGGAGGAGAGAAGTGCCTCAACGATGGACAAATAACCGGCTGAGGATGCGGCTTGGAGGGCTGTTTTGCCGTAATATCCGATCGGTGGCTCATTCGGATCAGCGTTGAGAGATAGGAGCTCCAAGACGCGATCGAGGTTTCCTTCTGCAGAAGCAAGCTGCAGGTCTGAGTAGTTGTTTTCCGTGTCGACTTCTTCGGTTAGCTTTTGTTCCTGCCCCAGATGTCCTTCGGATTTTGGATCAAGGTTGTCGGCCATGGCTGCCAGCGATGAAGTTGAAAGTAGTAAATGTAGAATAAGGTCAGGTAAGAGTCGGGAAGTCGGGATGCGGGCGGGGTTGATAAAAATGCACGAACTGCGAGTAAGCTGACGATGATGTTAATCACGCGACCATGAGAGGAGTGTAATATCCCGTTTTCTGTGAAGGGCAACTCGGCGGCTCTAAATCATGTCTAGTGCACTTCACAGATATTCTCTTGGCCCAGCCACGTAGCAGAAAACCAAGTGAATCGTCGAGGTCCCCAGGGATCAGAATTCCTATCATCTATAAAAGGTTATTCGTTGCATATATGTATATACTATGTATATTCATTTAACAAATATTCAATCACAGGGGCCATCCCCCTCTGGGGCAATTGGGAGGGAGTGCTGGATACGCTCACTGGCGTATCATAGCCTTGATTGATATTTAGCAGCTTTGCGAAGACAAATAATAGAAGCAACCACCGCACCGGCTCATCCGGCTTGTGGTCAGAATCTCATCGTCCGAGGTTCTTGCTCTGCACTCACACTTAATTCGGTTCTTTGCCATATGCATACCAGGGGTTCTATTGCATGCTCCCCCGTTCTTGATATCACACCGCCAGTCGTCTTATCCTGCTATACATGTGCAACTCACTGCATCTCACACTACTTCAGGCGAAGAGCTAGCTAATCAAAAGTATGAGCTGCAACATGAGGTTACATATGTGCCTAAAAATGACATTGCAGTGAGGCTGGTTTGGTCGAGCTTCGCCTCACTGTCGCCCCGCTGTTCTATACTTAGACTAATCCGTACAGCAGCTGCTGGCTCAAATACCAATTAGCTTCTGCGTCCGGCCATTGGGGGTGCCATTTCGGGATCTGCAGAGAACCAACTAAACGAACCATTCACAAGGCACGAGTAATTAGGCATGTTTCAACTATCAAGATTCATTGGAGCGAGATGCTCCGCAGATGCTCCGCAGTACTGTAACCGGGGAATGACCCTGTGGCTGAGAAAGTCGCGCAAATCAGTGCAAGATAGGGAAGGATCGTCTGTAAAAACAGAGACACCTGCCTATTCGACTTGGAGCGCGCTGCAAGCCACAGAGAGAAGTGAGGAGTTGCACGATGTCTTGAGGAATGAATGTCTTTGGTTCGGGGTAAGACGGAGCGATCTTTCGAATCGTTACGACGCAAGGCATCGAAGTATAAGATCTCCAACGATCTTGTCTGCTACTGTCTGCATTTGAACCGCACCACCAGCACCACCAGTTTAGGAGCATAAGGAACACGCAACAACAACCATGAAGTACTCACTCCTCGCCACCGTTGCCCTCGCCACCGCCGCCCACGCGGCCGTCCAAGGTTTCGACATCTCCAACTGGCAGCCCTCGGTGGATTTTGCAGCCGCATACTCCTCCGGCGCCCGCTTCGTCATCATCAAGGTCTGAGAGCATCCTCCCTTAATCCCCTCCGCTCCTCCTCTCCCCCAGACACCTAACCCCGTTCCCCCCGCCCCCAGGCCACCGAAAGCACCGACTACATCGACCCCACCTTCAACTCGCACTACACGGGGGCCACCAAGGCGGGCCTCATCCGCGGCGGGTACCACTTCGCGCACCCGGGCGAGACGTCCGGGGCGGCGCAGGCGGACTACTTCATCGCGCACGGCGGCGGCTGGAGCGGTGACGGGATCACGCTCCCGGGGATGCTGGACCTCGAGTCCGGCTGTTGGGGGCTGTCGGCGAGCGCCATGGTTTCGTGGATCCGCGCCTTTAGCGACCGGTACCACGGAAAGACGGGGCGGTACCCCATGCTGTACACGAGCCCGTCGTGGTGGAGCGAGTGCACGGGCAACAGCAACGCGTTCGCCGAGACCAACCCGCTCGTGCTGGCGAGGTGGGGGAGCTCGCCCGGGACGATCCCCGGGGGTTGGCCGTATCAGACCATTTGGCAGAATAGTGACTCTTATGCGCATGGGGGCGACTCAGATGTCTTCAACGGCGCGTACGATCGGTTGGTTGCCTTGGCTACTGGATAGGTGGAGGAGGTCTGGGGGAAAGTCTCGGCGCGGGTAGGCTGCTGGTTAAGGAAGTTGGAAATGCGGGTGGATTCTCTCTCAACGCTCCGACTGTGCGTGATATCGCTCCAATGATGAACTTGCAACTTCATGCGGTGTGCATGTCCCTCTCTTCTTGTCATAGCCTGATGAACTCTCTCGTGATTTTCCACTTAGTCTCGTCTTCTCCTGGCTCCATGAACACCGTCAACCACGTCCCTGCGCCCTCCTTAGGGCCGATCAGCGCGTTCTTCACGCGACGATGCTCTGGAATGCCGTATGGCGGCTCTAGGTTCGCCGCCGCGGACTGGCTTGAGAGGGCCAACTTTGCCTCCGAACCACTGGGTATTGGGATATAAAATCTCGGCCCGCGTGGCCCACGTTGCGGCATGATCAGATCCGGAGTGTAACCCCCGGCCTCCGCTGTGGAGGCACTGTCGGACATGCTGTCTGGAGATGATTTGTCGACGTACAGGGAGGCGAGGGTCCCTGGAGGAAAGGTGGGTGGTTGCGAAAGCGGGACCTGCACTTCCTGTTCGTATGGCTCGGGACTCTCTGTACCGCCGAGATGAGTGGTCCTACCCTCTGTTGCATGGATGAACCCATGTTGGAAAGAATGCTGCTGATCAGCGAGAGCATCTTCATTCCACCCCGCGCCCTGGTGTCTCTCCTCCATCTGAATGACCCTCGCTGCGATCAATGCGGCCCCAGCGCCATGCCAAAGATTCTCCCTCCGATTCCTCACCTCGTCTCTCATCAGCAGTCTCAATGCCTCCCGCCTCAGCAACGGATGACGACACTTGGTGGCGGTCCAGTACAGTGGCCCTATCACCTCGGACTCGAATCCAAAGGCATCCGTGCTCTCGCCCGGCGGTCTGGCGCGTATGATCGAAGAAGCAAGGAATATGATAGAACTGAAGCCTGCCGTGTGCGCGTCATAGGCGGTTTCGGAGCGCTGGAGGGCAACGGATATCCAAACGAGGGCCGCGTGGTAGTATAGCATGAGCAGGTTCAGTGCTGCCTGGTTTAGTGCCGGGTCCCTCGCCGTGAGTATGGTGAAGGCGTTGTTCCATCGCGTGAGCTGGGAAAGCAAATATTGCTGCGTTATCTTGAATATTTCGACCTCCGCGGGATGAGGTTCAAGGGCGTAGACGGCTGACTTCCCCTTGGTGCTGAAGTCGAGTGCCTCGTCCAGGATCTGGTACAGCAGGTGTCGCGACTCGTCCAGGGAAGAGAACTCGGCGGGTACTGAAGCCGACACCTTCAGGTGCCACGGGATGGCTGACGGGCGACTTCCAAAAGTAAAACTCGATAGGCTGAGCCGCGTGTATATGGGAACCAACTCGCGCTTGATCATGTCCATTGCGGGCGAACCCGAGCTTGCATCCCCAAGTTCCGACAGGATCTTCCGCCCTTGACAAATATGCAATTGGGATGCCGCCTCGTGGCCTGCGAGAAACTCGATGCAGACGAACAGCAGGCACACCAGTAACGGTATCGCCGCCGGGTCGTCACTACACTGGGGAGACCAGCTCCTCATGGCAATCATGGCCTTGCCGTACTCGCGAAACGCAAAATTCCAATTCGACAACTTGCCGTCATTGTCTGTCCGATTGGTGTACTCGTGCAGACTGCTCAGCGCAAGGACAGAATGCCGCACCGCCGGCTCGGAGAGGCTCAGCTTCAGGACCAAGTCGGACCAGAACCCGACGGCGACGGTGCCTCCGAGGATGGTGGCTGACCGGCTTCGGTAGTAGTCGAAGGCGCGGCGCTCCGTTTGGGTCTCGAGGCCAGGGACTGCTGGCAGACTGAGCGATAAGCTCGCGAGATCCGAAAGCTTGGACTTGTAGCCGTCGCATTTCCGCCCCGTCTTGGTGCACCGGAGACAGAAAGGCCTGGCCTCGTCGCATTTGACCCTGCGGATCCTGGAACAGATTTAAGCAATCTTCCTCTGCAAAGTGCAAAGGGCGGACTTACTTGCAGGTCACGCACCCCGTTCTGACCTTCTTGTTCCCTTTCCTGCCTGACGTTCTGGCCTCGCCAGAACACGCTGGGGATGCCGACGATGGCATGGCTCCGCGGAAATTGGAGCTAATTTGGCGAGGCCTTGGTCTTATGTAGGTACGCTGACAGATCTGCGACTGCTCGTGACTAGACTGGGTCGTTGACATCCAAGTCCGAGAGGGAGAGTCCGAGAGGTTAAAGAAGGGTGTCGCGATGCCCAGCTTCGGGCTGTGCTGAAGGTGACGCTGGCGCATGACGTTGATGCTGACGAAGGATTCTGTTGGATATATTTCGAGAGTGGGTCATTTCCCCACTCCTGATTGGCTTGTTCGCACTCGAGTCTCGGACTTTCATCCCTGTCTTTTTATTTTGGTGGGTTTTCCCACCACGACGAAGCTAGGTAACGTAAAGTCATAATATGCTTAGACTTTGGTCCATGGATGGAGATCCTCTTCGCCAGGTTCCTGAGTGATAACTCGCCTTACGCGGCTTCCTAAGCCTCAATGTGATTGACACCCTGCCTGGAATTAGCCCCTGGCAGCTCCATGCGGTGGGCCGGACTACTTACTGGAAATTATTGAGATTGTTCATATATAGCCTGGTTCTCAAGTTCTATACCGAGGGGTTCAATCCTAGCACCCACCCCCTCGTTCATAGAGTGTTCCTCCATTCTCCAAGTTGTACAGCCTGGGGTCATCACCACCCATATCCAGCTCCCATGTCGTCGCTAACAAGGCTCGCCGTAGCTCTGGCTGCATGGCTCCTTGTTCCCTCGGCCAGTTGCAAAGCATGTCCCCCTCTAGGCCCTGTCCTCCCGCCCCCCCAGGCTCCAAGTCGCAGTGAAGCTGTCAAGAGCGCCGTCCAAAACCTCGCGTCCGGTCTCGACGCCCAGTTCACGTCCAAGTTCAAGGCCACCGGTCTCTCCATTGGTGTCAAGTCCATACATGAGGATGAGCAACTCTTCAGCTATCACTTCACGCCGCCTGTCCTATCGGGCCTAGGCGGCAGCGCCTCCATTGATGAGAACACCATCTACAGAGTCGGAAGCCTGTCCAAGATGTTCCCGGCGCTCGCCGCGCTTCAGAGCAGCTCCATCAACATGGATGACTCGGTCCTGAAGTACATCCCCGAGTTGCGAAACGCAACGGGAACCGACCCCACAAACACGAGTCCCTGGGAAGATATCACTGTTGGCTCCTTGGCAAACCATCTCTCGGGTCTTGCCACAGACAGTAAGCACCTGGAACCCAGAGTCTCTGCATAATACCATCTTTTACTAATCCTTCACAGCTGCCATGGACCTGGCCATCTTCCCCGCTCCCTGGACGGATATGGGCCTGCCAAATATCGCCAAAGGCACCGGCCCTGAGTGCTCCGGACTTCCCGGCACAAAGGCCTGCACGAGGCAAAACCTGATCAACGACCTCAAGCGTCGACCCCCGGTATACCTTCCCTACACCAGTCCCGTCTACTCCAACGTCGGATTTGCCATACTCGCCTTGGTCATTGAAGCAGCCACCGGAAAACCGTTTGAGGACGTCATCCGGACGGGCATTTACGACGTCGTTGGCATGGAGAGCACGTCTTTCGATGGTCCCGTGAAAGCGTTTTTGGAAAGGGGGTTTGTTCCCATGGGAGAACCCACCTGGAATGTGACCTTGGGTGTTTTCGAGGCGTAAGAAGGAAATCCCCCCAACCGCCACTCGTCTCTATCTTAACATGTCCATAGTGCCGGAGGTATGTTCTCTAACACCGTCGACCTACTGGCCTTTGCCGAAGGGATCCTCACCAACTCGTTCCTCTCTCCCCGCCGAACCCGCCAGTGGCTCAAGCCGGACACTCATACCTCGTCCTGGGGAAGCTCCGTCGGCGCCCCGTGGGAGATTCTTCGATCGGACACAATCACGGCGGATGGCCGCCTGATCGACGTGTTTACCAAGAGCGGGGATCTAGGCCTCTACCACGCCTACCTGGCGCTAATTCCCGACTACGATATCGTCATCTCCATCCTCACGGGTGGGGTCGAGGTGTCCACCGACCAGTACGCCAACACCAAGATCTTCAGCGCCGTGGTCGAGGCTCTGATTCCCGCTGTTGAACAAGCCGGCAGGGAGGAGGCTTCCTCCGCCGGTGGCCTCGTGGGCACCTACACGGACACGTCTACCGGCTCCAGCATCACCCTGGAGCTGGACGCCGGCCCGGGGCTCCTCATCACCAACTTCACGGTCCGCGGCTTCGATGTGCTCAACCACGCCACCCAGTACAGCCTCAGCTCCGGGACTTCCTCAACTGATGACGTCTTCATCGAGGGACGGATGTACCCAACCAACCTGGTCGCCAAGCAGAGCGGCGACAACCAGACCGAGCGGACAGCCTGGCGTACCGTGTTTGACACAATGACGGAGGAGGAAAAGACGGAACTGGAGGGGCAGTTGTTCTTCAAGAACGGGAGCTGTCTGTCGTGGTTCGAACTGGACCGCGCGGCGTATAATTTCCTGAGCCTGTGGGATTTTGTATTTGTCAGGGGAGCGGATGGACGGATCAAGGCGATCCAGAATCCCGCCTTCAATGTCACAATGACCAAGGTTAGTAAATGTCACAAAGGCTGAGGTTAGTAACGCTATTAAGGGTGTCCCTCACAGGGGGCCCTGTCTGGGGCGCGTGCGTCTTTTGTTCTCTGTCAGCATTGGGACTGTGCTAATATTGGTCAAATGTGCTTTAGAGGGGGTAACTTTGATATACTGTACCATAGTTTCGAAGAGTTCTTAGATTTCTAGAGTCTCACTCAAGTATCGCATAGAAGCTGTCCTTTGCTGTTTACCTAATTAGTACTTAGCTATAGCATAACATGGGTTATGCTGTCCGACTCTTGCCCTTGTTCATTTATATTGCCGTGCGTGTGCCAGTATTGTTGCTGGTTTGGCCTGTGCAGTAGGAGTGCAAGCTGTGTGAGATTGAGGCACACCCAGAGAACCATTTGGACCACTTCAATGTTCATTTTCTGCGTAGCAAATACAGAAACAAGCCTGCAGAGATGCCTGACATGATTTAACTCGGGCACATCCAAGCGCTTCTGTCGACTCTGAGACAACCAATGTTGGTTAACAGCGGGTCTGTCCCGAGTCATGTCGAACATTGGGGCATCATGCTCAAGCAGCATCTTCATTCGCTCCTCCCAGTGGTCACGATGAAGCAGTTCGGAGAAGTGGCATCCAAATCGTGACCATCTTAATTTCGTTCCCATACCCAATTAGATCTCGACTTGCCTATCCTCGTGCGTATGTATGCCTTCGCTAACAGACACAGTACTTGTTCAGAGTGTTGTGCCTTATATTTACCACGAGAGATTTTGAAGAACGAGCTTTAACCTGATATCAGATGCGTTAGTAAGATTCACATGTAGAAAGTCACCCGTCAGCCGGTTGTGCAGTACATACCTCTTGAGCCCCTCCTGGACAGCCTCTGGGTTGTCTGTGTACACCATGCGAAACCAGCCAGGGCGCAGCGCGTGCTCCTCTCCCGGCTGCAAGAAGACGCCTCCGTCAAGAGTCTTCTGGGCCAGAGCAAATTCCCTCTCCTGGTGGGACATCCCCGAAGTCTCCGGTGGCAAGTACGGCGAAAGGTTGACCCAGACAAACAAGCCGGCATTTGATCCCCGCAGGTACTCCACGCCCATGCTCCGCAGCTCGGACGTGAACCACAGGTACGCTTCGGCGATGCGCTGCCGAGAGGTGGCGAGGAACGAGCGGCACCACTCCCGGTCCTCGAGCATAGCGGTGGCGATCACAATGGACGGCCCAGACGGGTTGTGGAACCGGATAATGCTCCGAGCGGACTTCAGGAGCTGCGGGTTCCGCGTGATCAGCGCTCCGACACGCAGGCCGGGGGAGCCATAGTCTTTGGCCATGCCGTACGTGACGTGCAGTAAGCCCTCGTCGATGATGCCGGTGGAGTCGATTGATAGTGCCGACGTGAAGGGGACTGCATCGTGCTCCTGGGAATCAAACTCGGAAAGCGCATATATCTCATCGCTGATGAAATGGATCTGGTGCATCTGACAGAATTTCATGAGCGCAACGATTGTGTCTTTGGGATAGCATTTGCCTTTGAAGCTTGTTAGTGATCCCACCAGGGGCATAATTAAACTCGATAATAATAGAATAACTGGTACGTTACCCAGAGGGTTATGCGGGTTAATGATTAACAGCGCTCTAATCTTCACCCCAACGGCATTCGATTCTTGGAGAGCCTTCTCAAAGCTGTCCACCACGTCCACATCGAAGCAAGTCTCCGCTTCGGTATCGGCCCAGACGACTTGCATTCTTGCCTTGTTCCAAAAGTCAAGCTCGAACCTGCCATAGCCGGGGCGGCTTAGGAGTACCCCATCTCCTGGATCGCCGAGACTGAACGCCAAGACTTCATGGAGCGCAGTAGCACTGCCTGTGGCGATGATATCACTCCCGTCTATGTCTCGATGGGGCTTAAAATATTCATTGAGGTGGTTCGCCAACGCTTTGGGGAACCGAGAGCCTCCACCTGTACTGAAGCCGTAATATGTGAAGGCCGATGAAGGGAACTCAACCTATGGACTGCGTTAACTCGTTGCAATCTACGTCCCAACTCTGCTATTTTGCCAAAACCGCGGTTGTTGAATATGTCTTGGATCAAGGCACCCAGCTTGAGCTAGAGAAAGAGCAAATGAATCCGTGTTTCTTACCCGGGAGTTCACAAAGTCGGCAACTTCTTGATGGATTCGGGCCTATGACTAAAGTGTGAGATGTGCGACACAGTGTATGATCCAGCATCAAGCTGGAAGACTGCCTTGGTTCCCTTACATTCTCAGCAGTGGCAAAAGATATGACACCATCTGGGTTCGTTTCCGCGTCATAAATCCCGAATTTCGGTGCGAACCTCCACGGAGTATCCAGTTGCGACGACGTATGGGTAGCCCTCGAGGACAACATTTCTACGAAAGCAATTGTAATGCAACGACGGGCTGGTTTTTGAAGCTGGGAGATGATTTTATCTGAAAGTTGAGATACCTGTTAAATACCCTGCTTCATGAGGTTCTCCAAAGGGGATAGCTCCTGACGTGACTCCCACTTTCCTGCGGGGTTGGCAAAGCGAGCAAAGAACCTGGATGGCACCTTGATGGCCCGGTTTTGCGTGACGTAACAAATTGTTGAAGATCGACCAGAGGACAAGCTAGGATCAAGATAAATTGCTGTCACTCGCTGGCTCGTTTTTGTGTGATTGTTCACAGCTAGTGTGACCTACGTCACAGCACACAATACAGCCAGACATGCTGGTACCGCCTTCCACGCTCCGCGGCCCGCTTCTTCCACTTGGCACGCCCTTTGGCCCCCATTATCTTCGCCCGCTACTGCCGACCGACATCCGCCTCGGCTCGGCTCCCCTCCAACTCCCCCTCACGGTCCAGCGTGCCAGCCCTCTCATACAGCGACCCCCCGGGGCCCACCCTCAGCATCGCCGCCTGCACCGCGAAGCCCGACCGCAGAAGATGCGTCTGCCTCATTCTGCCTAGCACGGTGTGACTTTGATTACCAGTTCTGAGCTCGGCGTCCTGAACGACGACTTATGTCTGGCTGGCATTGAAACCATCCAGCCTGTTGCCGAACTTGGACGCGGCTTTGCACACCTCTTAGCTGCGTGCCACCTCGGCGACAAGGCTGTCTAGCAGTGCGGCTGCGGGGCTGGACGCGTGGGCGTGCAGCGCGCAGGGCCTTGCTGCGGACTGAGGCGCAGGTGCCGGCGTGGGCGTTGCGGAGGCGGTCTGCGCGGGATCGATGGGGTAGCCAGACCGCGGCAGTAATCGGCTTTTGCACCGGGATGGGTCATTTTATGGCCTCCGGGCTACGGCCCGCCGCCGGCGTAAACTATCACGCGCCGCCCGGGGCCCTTCGGCGAGATGTCTCCTTCAACCCCCGACTCTCGGCATCCTATTCCACCGCCTGCCCACCGACCTGGTCGAACCCCCCCAACCCCCCCCCGGGGGGAAACTGGCGCCCACGTAGTCCCAGGCGTCGAAACCACCCCATGAGCTTCCCCTCCACGTATAATTCCTAGAGAACGGCTAAAGAAAACACTGACGTAAAAAAAACCTGTCATGACCCCAACCATGTAATTAGGCATTTCGTGCCTTGCACCTCACCTATGGTGTAACCCCGAGTGAATATCGTACCTGAAAATCATTACTTATTCAAGTGCCGGGAGAGTGGACCATCCCGACCGCTTCTTTAGTTAGAGTTTATCCAGAACCTTACAGAAGAGCTAAATTACAAAGGGGCGTTTTAGCCGATGCGGTCGGACGAGGTCTCCTCGGCAGTGTCTATCATCTGGGTCACCGGTAATGGCGCCGCAGGGGTCAACAATAATTATATATGGGTCGATCAACAGCCATCTTGGCGGTTCAATAGTCCGAGACTGCCCACATATTGGGTCTTTTGACTGTTGCCCTGAACTCGGTATGCAACGCTTCCTATCCCTCGTTTCCATTGCCATTGCTCTGGCCAGTCCAGTAGCCCTCGGCTATCCTCGTGGCGTCCAGCGCTCGAGGGTTCTACTCAGCGCTAGGGATGTCGATGAGTCGTACGACTATGTCATTGTCGGTGGTGGTACTGCAGGTCTCACCGTTGCCGATCGTCTGACTGAAGATGGAAAGACGACGGTCTTGGTCGTGGAACATGGCGAGCTAAGTATATCTACACATTCCTGAGCACATTCACAAAATACAGCCCAGAAGCAGGGTTGTGCTAACACCGGCCGGCAGGCGATTCGCCTAATATCCTAAGAGTCCAAGGTGGCTCAGGGGGCCTGAATCCTCGGTTCTTATACACCTTCAATTCGGTTCCTCAGACAAATTTGCGCAACAGAACAAGCGCTGTAATGGCTGGAAACGTTGTTGGTGGCAGCTCTGCAGTTAACGGCATGATGACTGTCCGGGGGACGACTGAGGACTACAACCGCTGGGGCCAGTTCTTTGGCAACTCGTCGAACTGGAGCTGGGAAGGGCTGCTGCCTTACTTCAAGAAGGCGCTGAACTTTGTTCCTCCAACCGCCGAAGTTACAGAGTCTTCGAATATGTCGTACGATACCAGATTCTGGGGCAATGAGTCCGGGGTTTATGCAGGCTGGCCATCTTACCAGTACGCAGACACCTCTGTCCTTTACAGCGCCTACAAAGAGGTACCTGGAGTGGAATTTCCCGTTGATAGCGGAGCTGGCGGGGCTGGTGTATACTGGTATCCGACCTTTATGGATCCTTACAACGTGACTCGATCATATTCTCGGACTGGCCATTACGACCAGCTGAACCGGTCAAACTACCACCTGATCACGGGCTCTAAAGTCAACAGAATTGTGCTGAATGGAACAAGGGCGACGGGTGTTACCTTTATCCCGGCTTTGGTGGCTGGTCGAAGCTCTAACTCCACAAATTCCACAAGTGCTCCCAAGTTGGTCCTTGCGAAGAGAGAGGTCATTATCGCCGCCGGAGCCATCCACACCCCTCAGATCTTACAGCTCAGCGGCATTGGTCCCAAGAAACTCCTGACTAAGGCCAACATAACTACTGTTGTTGACCTCCCAGGGGTCGGACAAAACTTCCAAGACCATCCGGTGCTCTCTATCTCGATTACATGTAAGTATTCTTCACTTATATCCGTAGCACACGGCGTTTGGGGCACTTACACACCTCTCGACAGTCCGCAACGCCACTGTTCACCCATCTTCGGCCGACCTCATTACTAATGCGACCTTCCGTGGTTGGGCTGCAGAAGTCTGGGCCGAGAATAAGACGGGCCCGTATTCCATTGCTTCCCCCAACGCCGCATCGTGGCTCCCCTTCCCGGTCATCTCCCCGCGCTACGAGGAACTGGCAGCAAACCTCTCAGCACAGGATCCTGCCCAGCAACTGGAACCTGGAACTGATGCAACCATCGTTGCCGGCTACAAGGCACAGATGCAATCGTATGCCGCCGCCCTTCGGTCCAACAAGACCGCCTTCTACAGCTCCGTCATCCACGGCGGCCTCGGAGGCGGCAACTTCGTCCACCTGCACCCGCTGAGCCGCGGCACGGTCAACATCGACGCGGCCGACCCCGAAGGCAGGGAGCCGGTCGTGGACTACCGCACCCTGAGCAACCCGCTCGACACGGCCATCCTGGTCGACATGGTCCGCTTCACGCGGCGGCTGTACTTCAACAACAGCGTGCACGCGCAGTTCGACCCGCAGGAGACGCGGCCGGGCGACGCCGTGACGAGCGAGCCGGACCTGGCCGGGTTCGTCGCCGCGTCGGTGTCGCCGACAGACTCCCACCCCGTCGGCACCGCCGCCATGCTGCCGCGGGAGCTCGGCGGCGTCGTCGACGAGCGCCTGAGGGTCTACGGGATAAGCCAGTTGCGGGTTGTTGATGGGAGTATTATGCCCACACTCCCTGGCGCTAATACGTGCCAGACTGTGTATGCTGTTGCTGAGAAGGTATTGAGATTCGGAAGCCCGACGTATTCTTGCCATGTTGCTGACATTAATCACAGGCTGCCGATCTTATCAAGGCGGAGGCAAAATCCAAGAAGCGAGGGAGGGCGGTGCGACGGCATCTGACCTGGGACTATGACTTTTGATCAGCTGGATGAGGGATAAGTTAGATGCATTACTCTGAAGTACAACCAATTTTACTATATAGTAAGAGCAACCACCCCCCTAATGCGTCTTTGCAAAGTGCATCCCAGCCGCAAAATGGAACAGCTTTGCCGCGACAATCATGCGCTCCTGCTTTGAGTACTCGACGAGCCGATCGTAGAACTCTGCGAGCGGCACGACGACGCGCTCGATATGCTCCCCGTCCTCCAACCGTTGCTCCGGCTGCTCCACCTCGTCCCCCTCGGCCAGACGAACCTCGACCATGACCAGCTGCATGTTCGCGTCGGACATGCCCGGGTCAGCGGCCTGCGGCGGGCTGATGCTCAGGACGCGGCAGTCGTAGCCCGTCTCCTCCTTGAACTCGCGCACCGCCGCCTGCTCGGCCGTCTCGTCGGCGTCCACGAGCCCCGCCGGCCACTCCACCGTGTACGAGTCCAGGGCAGGGCGGTACTGGATCACCAGGAGGGTCGAGGGGGCCCGCGACGGGTGCAGCAGGATGTTGCCCATGGCGACGGCGTCGACCCCGGCCTTGCCGCGCGTCTTGCGCGAGGCTGCCTCCCAGATGCGCGCCTTGCCGACCTGGTCGACGTACTCGATCTTCTTCAGTGTAACCCACTTTGCCTGCTCGACGGGCAGGTCCGAGACCCGGGTGATGACGGGTTCCTGAGTCTTGTGTGACATGGCGAGCGAGCAGCGGGGTAGTTGCATTCGGCGGACTGGGGGACGGATGCGTGAACTTGGTCTCGCTATCGGTAAAAATCTGATTGTGAAAGAGGAGCGAGGGAAAAGCACGTACTGCATGTATTATCTCTCTTGGAGATTATCTAAGTTAAGGCAGGTGGGAGAGTTAGCAGAGCAAAGGCAAGAAATAATATTCACAGAGTTCACTACTAGCTTGATTACGTCATCGCAACAAGCGTAAATCAAGGTATGCACCTAGGCGTGCTATGTAATTAAATCCCGGATATACCTACAATACAATACAATACCGTATATGCGCATTGCATATTAACCCCCTTACGAAAGAATGCGCACAGACCCCCAAGTAAGCCTTGCTACATGAATTTATTGCGAGTACATGCGCCTACGTCGCATGTCACTATACGTACTCACACGGAGAAATAAAGTACGGAGGTATCCGCATTTTGCCTGGATCACTTGAAATCTGGCTCTATCATCGTGGGTCTTGTGAAGACTATGTAATCGCTCTGGACAAAAGAAGCTTGCTTTGTTGGCGACAGCAGATTCCTGAAAAGGTACACATACGACATGACGCGCACGTGCCATAATTTTCGCCCCTTTCCAATACAACATGCTCAGGCACCCCGGAAATGACCTCCAATAGACTAGTGGACTAGGTAGCCTGGGTCTCGACAACGGGAGGCCCACTATATCCACCCGGCTGGATCGCGCCGCGCATGTAAGCCTAATCAAGCTCAAGCTCTTCAGCCCACGCAATAGCGCCAATATCTGCATATCGATCCTTGACACCAGTCTAGATCGAGGAGAGCTTGAATCTGATATTGGGTCTGGGCCATGTCTCAGCGCTAGCCTAACTTTGTGCCTGCAGACAGACTGAAGGACCGCGGAACAGGGAACATATAGCAGACAGCAAGCCCATGCTCGCTCATTCTTTTCCCTTGACAGACGCAAGTGCCAGTTTTACAGTCAATACCGATTGGTGCCTTCAAGATGGTTTTCTTCCCCAAGGTTATCGCCTTCGCCGTCACATCTCTGGTCTACGTTGGTGTTAACGCAAAGCCATGTCCACCCGTGACGCCTTCGAGCTCGGCTACCTCCGGTCCGACTGTATCAGAGACTTTGACCCCGACCTCGACCCCCAGCCCTACGAATGTTCTCGAAAACCCCAGCCTCGAGATTCCTAGAGAAGTACCAGGAGGAACTGTATGGGACGGAGCTCCCTGGACTTTCGGTCCCAGTGACGATCCGAATGTCCCGTCGGTACAAGTCAGAGAGCAGGATGGCACTATACCAGCTCACTCAGGCGACTACTACGTGTACGTATTCCTAGGTCTGCCAAGCTGCATTTTCTTTTCTGACAGTCTCTAGCTTTGCGAACATTCCAATCAGATACCAACCCACCTCCTTCTCCCAGGCGCTTTCCGGCCTGGATACCGCCCACCAGTACACGCTCACGTACTACTGGGGGATCACCACCAAGCAAGAAATCCACGACGGCAGCTGCTACGCCCAGGTCAGCCTAGGCGACCAGATCGTAGACACCGCACGCATCCACCGCAACACCGCATACGAGTACCACCAGTACAACATAGTCTTCACCCCGCCATACTCCACCGCCCTCCTGACTTTCACCCTCTCTTGCGACGGCGGCTACTTCTACGGCACCGAGCTCCTCTTCGACGACATCACCCTGACCCCCTCCACCCCGGCCTGCACAGCCGTCAACCCACCCCCATCCGGCGCGACCTGCGGCGCGCTCGGCAACGCCCAGAATGCGTACTCGTCCCTCATCGCCAACCGGGGCGACTCGTCCAGCGCGGCGAACTGCGCGCTCAGCTGCACGCAGACGCCGCTGTGCCAGTTGTTTGCGTACCAGGGTGGTGACAATGGTGCCTTCAGGGGATGCAACCTGTACTCGGCCGACATCGCCACGATCATGTTCGTGCCGCTGACGTATGGGCTTGCGTATTACGACATTGGGTGCTTCCACTGCCCTGCTTGAGTGCTTGCTTGCAGTGCGGTGGCGGGGGGCATAGTCAACTGCTTTGCTAGACTGTTGTGTGGGGGCTGATTGCTTGGTCTGCCATGGAGGCATTCTCTCATCGAGAGACTCTCTTATACGGCGAGGTTTTCTTGTGTAAATACTTAATATATCTATAAATAGGTCCGTCAACTCAAAACTAATGTAGACTGTCTCTGTCACGAGGTTGTCTCCGCGGGCAGGGGTATTTAACTATTAGGGCAGGGGCATTTCGCTAGCCGTCGCTGTCGCGATTGCTAAAGCACTCTTGCTGTCGCCGTCTCTGTTGTTGTTGTTGTTGCCAATGTAAGCCGTCTAGATTAACCACAATGTATAGGATATAATATAGCTAGACAAAGATCTAGGCCTTCTTTCGCATGAAATTCCAATCCAAACACAATGACTCGCATCTTCCACCGGGGTTTAGGGGGCTGGGAACGTTGTTCCGCGCACTAGCCCCTTCTCCAAGGCCGCTACATCCACCGCACCTGGCGTGTTTTTGATGTTGCGCTTGCGCTCCCTCTTGATGTAGTACTGCCAGACGCCAAATGCCATGGCCGTAACAACCACGGTGACGATAACAAAGATGTAGATCTGATCCGAGGTATCCACGTTCTTATCGCCGTACTGGAAAAAGTTCATGCCGAAAAGGCTCTGTGGTGGACACTCAGTTGAGATGGTCGACCTGTAGTGATATGAGGAGTCAACTCACGGAGATGAATGACCCCGGCAGGAAGAGCAAGGTGGCAGTCGACACCAACTGGGTGAGCTCTCTGCCATCATTATGCCCATCCTTCAGGATCTCTTTGGCTGTTGCATTGTCATCTGCGGCAGAGAGATTGAAAGCCTGCGAAACGGTCAACCCGGTTCACAAATGGCCAAAAAAGAAGAAGAAAAGGCAATTACCAATCTGATCTCGTTCTGCAGCCTGTTATCAAAAGCCGCGGCTCGGAGCTGCAGGTTTTCCAAGAACCGTTGATAGAATTCTAGATCCGTCCCGCAGTTGCAGTCAGGCTCTCCGCCGGTTGCGTCGTGTATGCAGTACCCGTGATGCTCGGCGATTGAGGCGAGGGTTCGCGCTGAGATCTGGAGCGTCTCAATCTCGTGGATGACATGTCGCGAAAGCTCGTGCATGCTGATATAGCGCGTCTCCATGGCGTTGGCGACGGTTGACTGGTTTGACCTGATCCGTGACTAGATGGGGGAGGAAAGTGCGACGTGTCCGGTGTTAGTAATCGCTGATAATTACTCTCCTCCCTTTAATTATACAAGCAAATGCGCCAACAAGCCGGGGTAGGGCAGCCCACCTTCTCGATGTCTCGAATAGGCACTCGGAACTCCCACAAGGCGTCGTCAAAGAAGCGCGCAATCACGGGTACGATGACGGAGTAGACACCCAGCGGACAGTGGCGCCAAGCAGAGTGATTGGACTTCTGGAAGGCCTCCACGATGGATCTTTTCATCTTGGGGGAAAGATCAAAACATAGCAAGTACTGCGTTGGTTGGTCTTGTTCGATGCTCGGGCGGTACCAGAGGCTCACAAAGCTGAGGTACTGCCAGTCATATCTGTAACTATCTTTACTTGTGGGGATGATCTCCTTGATGAGGAAGCGGGACGTGGTGCCTGCTCAGCGTACAGTCAGCAATAATGATCAAGCAACAGGGGGAGCATGATTAGTCCAGAGGCTCAAATAATGCATGTAATTATACCAAAGCTGACTCCCTGGAACTTATTCGGTGACAGCGGGGACTTGTTATAGCTGAAGAAGCCATTGGCTTCATACCCAGCCCTGGTCCAGAAGAAGTCCGGGACGTTGAACACCGAGGAGATTTCTCTTGTGAGCTCGACGTTGTCTTTGATCTGGGCGGACTTGACCTCGGGAAAGAATCTGGTTCCATCTTAGCCCGTTATTTGTGTATACCAACCGTGGACAGCCACTTACATTATTTCTATCCCAGGCCGTCGGAGGTGCTGTGCAATACAAAAAATCAGCAAGCCGATTTCGTCTCTCACAAGGCTGGATATCTACAGACAACTGCGTCAGTCACATCTTGCAGAGTTAGATCCTGCTCAGGTTGCCATTGACTATTAATTAACATTAGTATTAGAATGGTCTATTTGACGCAGCACGAAACTCACTCATTTCTGTTAAAGAGCCCCTTTGCAAGTTGTTGTGCCGGTTGGGGCCTATTCGACGAACTGGCAAGGCTACCGCTCGAGGGGTTGGTAGAATTGTCGGACAGGGGAACAGCCATGGGAACCGGGGACTTGAGGGATTGGCCGGACATGGTGAAGTAATGTTAGAAATAAGAGAAACAATAGAGCAATAATGATGACCACTTTTCCTCTTTCGCTGCAGAAAGAAGGAGGGAGCGAAAGGTAATTAAGTGGAGGATAGATGAGGAGACCACCGAGCACCGAGAGAAAAACAACAAAGTTTTTGGTCAGGGGGCGATGCAAAGATAAGGAAGGAAGAGGACACCCTTGCAATTGACCACTGCAATGTCCTATTCCCTGCCTTCCAAAGATGCAACATTCAAGAAAGACGGCAATTCGATTGGCCATGAAATCCTTCGGGCGCATAGTGGAGGCCCAAGATTGGTCGATGTGTACGCCACCCTTTTTCAGCTCTCACCCTTCCGTCTGCACAGTAATTGGGGGTGCGCCTCGGAATTGCTCCGGCCGGTGTAAACACCATCTTTTCGAGTAAGAGCTGGTGGACACGCAAGTGTTCCAGATTGTCAGGTAGGCAGGAGAATGCCCTGGAATTTGCGAGTCTAACAATCTACCAACTAGTTTCAGACGATAAACTGGCCTTGGGCTTTCATTCTTCCCATCATGGCTCTTCTTGAAAACTTCCGTAATCACATCCGTGTCAATCTAGGGCGGGAGACGGGAGGCGGAGAACTTCCACTCCGGTTACCTTATCCCCGGGCTCTCCGTCCTCAGTTTCATGCAAGCCATGCAACCTAACCGCATTCCTCCAGCCACGTGTTACTTGTAGTGACGCCCTGATTCGACGGTCGGATAATCGTCTGGGCCGAGCTGGCTCAAAAAGAAACCAGTAATTTTTACTGACAGACTCTTCCGACCCGAATTGACTTGAAATAATTAAACGCAATTCACGGTCCCCGATCCTTGTTGACGAAGTATTTCACCAATAGACTGATGAGTGTTGTCTCTACATGACATGACGATGTCCAGAATGTCCGGCTCCAATTCGAAAGAGTCGGACGTCCCCGAACCCACGGCGCCGCTTTATGTTATTAAACAGACAAGCGATCACACCATGCTGGGCTCGTTATACGACTACGTCGCACAGAAGATGCATCAGGACATTCGACTTAAGGACTGGTCGACAATAATAGTTCGTGGGGACTACTCAAGGGACCCCCCGGCTCGACTATCAGACGTCGAGAAAAGTCACAAGATGTTCAACTGGCACCGGCCCACCACAACCGTACTAGGTCCCGACACCATTGCAGTCAATTGCTTCCCGGGAATCGACTATGTCGAGCACTATGCAAGCCTCGTAGCGACATTCCTGGCTCTTAAGGGCAGGGGCCCAGGGGTAGTTAGTTGTGAGCGGCCGCTGGCAAATCGATGCAGCGAACTGTTCTTGGCCTCGAACCTGCGCGGCATGGGACAAGCAGACGTGGTCATCATAGGCTATGCTTATCGGCTTCAGTCAACCCGTGGCAAGGAGTGGCTATGTAGCGATGATGGCGAAGACTTGTTATTCTCCTGGCAGAAGCGGACTCTGCCAAATGGCAAGACAGTGGCATATCTGGGGTGCATGCCCAGCTTCTGGGGGGATATCGGCGGCCACCTCGTCCGTGCTCTGCAGCACTTCAGCCAAGTCAAATGCCTGCTTTACCTGGGGAAGTCCGGCTCTCTCCGGCCGGAGTTGACCCCGAACGAGTGGTTGGTCACCGGAGAAAAAAGCTACGTTGGTGAAGAGCTGGTTACGTGGCAGAACGTTCTCGGACCGGAAGCTGCGGCATCAGAAACGGGGTTGGTGACGGGTACCATTGTGACGGTCCCCTCACCCCTTTGCGAGTCATTTGACTGGCTGGAGAGGTGGTACTCCAAGAGCAACCGGAACGGAAAAGCCTGCTGGGTAGACTGCGAGGTGGGACACATGGCTCGGGCATGCAGGGAAGGCAACACTGGTTTTGGATATCTACACATCATCTCGGACAATGTGTCCAGGCGATGCGACGAGAACTTGGCAAATGAATTCGCAGATGCGGTTGCCACCAAGAGACAGAGACTGTTCGACCAAGTCGAGACTATCCTGGAAGCGTTTCTCGCTCGATATGGAAGGGGAGATACGCTGAACGGAGATATATGCGCTTTGGTTGTTGAATGAACTTGGTTAACGACTTTGATCGACGTATGTGTGGCTGCCCGATCATTCATGAAGCAATCCAGCGGCCAGCCAAGGTGCTGGTCTCCGCCCTGGGAGGAGCCAAGTTCTAGCTCTCAGTTCCCGGCGGTGAAATGAGAGCTCCTTGGCTTTGGGGATTTCAACAGCAAGCTATCCCAGCCGCTTCATCTGTGGCAGCACCAACCGATCTCCCAGCCACGTGAGGACCTTCCGCATCGTCCCGCTGAAGAAGCCTGATTCCGGACGGAAGTACCTCGCCGGCGGCACCGCCCCAGCCTCCTCGTAAGTCTCGTCCAACATCTCCTCAGCTAAAGCCGGTGCCTTATGTGGGGTTTCCATTAACTCCTCGAAATAGACATTTGGCATGGATGCAATATGTTTCGCTCTTCCTCCATTAGCAGCACATTGCCCCCTTGCAGGACTGGCGTTCAAGTCCATTTTTGAAGGAAGTAGCGAATTCGGGAACGATAGAACCATGGATATTCTGTTTCTGAAGTGGCAGCATGAAACTACAAGACCATTAAATGCGGACCGACACATCAGGTAGGCACTCAGTTGGTAAAAGCGCCACCAAGTTGCGCCATCGAGTTGCGCCATTGTGACTCGACATTCGTGTGCCTTGGACCCTGGGGTGCTTATTCCCGGTGTGTCCTTCAGGGGAAAATACCGCATCTGTGTGATGCTGGATGTAGCTGCGTTCTTGGACTCCAGAAATCTCTGAGATGATGGGCTGATATTTGCGTTGTTTGGGAGAGGGAGCAGGGGTGTTATGAGCTAGAGCTTGTGCCCAGTGTAGATACGGATACAGACTAGCCAATTGCATTGATGCAAGCGATCTAATCTAATCAATCAGTCGGGGTCCCTCGGTTCCTGGCCATCCTCCATTGGACGGGTGGGCGCCGGCCCCACGGCCAAGTACTGTACAAGGTAAGCCGGGGTTGGGACCATCCGCGCCACCTTGATGGCCACCCTGTTGCATGCAGTGCATCTATTTAATGCTCTGTGCCCCCCGAAGGGTCCACCAGCACGGTGGCTTCGTTTGTTACGCGAAGTCCAGTGTCCCTGCTTCTGTGCCCCATATCCCCGCCAGAATGAGAGACAACAATAGCAGCCCAAGGGTTGCCGTCATAGGCTTAGGTTAGGAGACGCGTTCCCGACGATATTGTCGACCACATTTTTCTCTTTCTCTCGCTGACCTCGCATCAGGCGCACTTGGCCTGGTAACACTCAAGGATTTGGCCGAAGAGGGGTTCGAAGTGGTAGGTTTCGAGCGCAACAGCTATGTCGGAGGACTGTGGCACTTCACAGAAGAGGACAAGACCTCAGTCCTCCCAGGTATGAGAGAACGCACTCCCTCTTCTTGCTCCTTATCTCTCTTTGTTGTAGCTAGTAATGTTGACCAAGATACAGACACGGTTATAAACATTTCCAAGGAAAGGGTGAGCTTCGGGATTCTATGTGCCAAGTAATGGAAGAGCATTTCCGGTTGCTGATGGTCACTGCCACACATGGCTGCTTTACAGACTTCCCGTTCCCCGACGGTAAGAAACCTCCTCCCTTCCCTTCTCCACCGACCCCCACTCTCCTACTAACTAGCTTTGCTCACATATTGTTCTTCGACCTGGCCAGAAACTCCGAGTGGCTGCCCTGCTGGCGAGGTGGACAAATACCTCGAGAGCTACGCCGACCACTTCGGCCTGCGACCCAAGATCCGCCTCAACACTGATGTCACCCGCGTGACACGCGACGATGCTCGCGAGAAGTGGGTTGTGGATATCGACGGCTCGGCCAGCGAACTGTTCGACAAGGTTGTCATTGCGACGGGAGTCAATCAGAAGCCGCACATTCCGGTCTTCAAGGGGTTCGAGTTGTTTACCGGGGACAAGGTCCACTCTCGGGCTTATAAGAGGCATGTGTCCTCTCACCGATTACTCCTCAGTCATTAGCTCGATTCTGATGTCTCCGTCAATTGACCAGGCCTAAAGTCTTCAAGGGAAAGAACGTGCTGGTGATTGGGTTGGGAAACTCAGGTGCCGATACTGCAGTGTCGCTCGTGGGCCACGCAAAGAATATATATCTTTCCCACAGAGAGGGCGCTTACATCGTAAGCCATCCTGCTCCATCCTCTTCCTTTCACCGGCAGTACTCGCCCACTGACACACAAAACAGCTCCCTCGGACGGTCAAAGGCCGATCCATCGACCACAGCCTCACCGCGCGCGTGTTAGCCATCTAAGGGCACCTCAACCGCTTCCTCCCAGCCCTAGCCTAGCAGAGAAGCTCTTCAACAGCGTCGCCAAGAAGATGCAAGACAGCGTCTTCACCATCCGGATTAGAATGGGGCCTATCCCCCGCGCCCTCGCTCAAGTACACCATCCCCGTCGTGTCCGACGAGCTCATCCACGCGCTCTCGTCCGGCGCCGTCGAGTCCGTGCCGGGCATCAGGCGATTCGTCGGCCCGCGCAGCGTCGAGCTCGACAACGGCCCTGCGCCCCCCCTCGCGCCGCCTCGACGACATCGACGCCGTGGTCCTGTGCACGGGCTACCGGACCGACTTCGGCCTCGTGGAGCGCCGCTTCGACCCGACGCGCGCCACGACGCCGCGCTGGGCCGCCGCCCCCGGGTCGCGCGGCAAGCCGCTGCCGCGCCTGTACCGCAACGTCTTCTCGCTGGACCGCCCGGCGGAGCTGGCGTTCATGGGGTGCGCCGCCTTCGCGTCGCCCCGCGTTCCAGCTGTACGACCTCGCGTCCATGGCGGTGGCGCAGGCGTGGAAGGCGGGGGGTGGGGCGGCGCTGCTGCTGCCTGCGCGGGAGGAGATGGAGCGCGCGATTGACCGGCATCATGAGTGGATTTCTGGTGTTGCGGAGCGCGTGAATGTGTTCCCCAGCATCGTCGAGGGGCCCGAGTGGATGGCCTGGGCGGACCGCACGGCCGGCACTCGCGTCGACGAGTACCTGGGCTGGGGCTGGAAGGGCTGGTGGTTCTGGCTGACCGACTACCGGTTCTGCAACCTGCTCATGTCGGGCGTGTACAGCCCGCATCTCTACCGGGTGTTCGACGGCCGGCGCAAGAAGTGGGACGGGGCGAGGGAGGAGATCGAGAAGGTGAATAGGAGGATTGCGGAGAAGCCGAAGACTGCGTGATGGGATATATTGAGGGAACGACCGAATTATTAAATTTATTATTGCCCCTGGTTCCACAGCTGTGGGAACTGCGTAACACACGTAGCCCCAAATCCTATTTGTATGCTATAACTCAGTCTCATATATTATTACCCCCCCTTGGCCAGCTTTGCCCCGCACTCAATCCTCATGGTCGTTGTCTATGGGGACGTCGGTCCTCGGCCAGAAGCGGCTCAAGTCCCCGACCGGGAAGTTGATGTTGAGGCGCATCTCGCCCGCCATGATGACGAAGCACATGTACCAGCCTAGAACCGCCACGACGAATAACAGCGCACCGCCGGCCTGTTTTCCAAATCCAAGTCAGCCTTACGTCGGACAACCGGGACCAACATATGTGTGGGAAGTGAAGTTTGCAAACTCACAGTCTGAAGATGGCCGGCCATGGCGAAGTCACCGGTGCTGACTTTCCAGTACGCGCCGGCGAGAACCCAGGCGGCGGAGCTGACAAGCAGGAAGATCATTGCAAAGACAGCGTTGATCTTGGTGGTGAATATAAAGAAGGTGAAGAGGGCGAAGCCCCATATCAGGAGGTACATGGCAACGGTCGCGTTGTACTCGGGCGAGGCCATGCCGGACGGGTCCGCTTCGGTAGCGTAGGGGGTGGCAAGACCGAGGGTCGGGAGCTGGAGAAGGCCAAAGGAGAGCCAGAAGACGGCAAATAAGCCCATTACCATCATCGGGAAGAAGTTCTGGAAACAGTCGAACGTCAGCTCGAGCAACACCGGACGGGTGTGGAAACGGGTGGGGGGAGGGGGAAAGAGACAAAAGATTTACCCCCATGATCCACTCGAACACCATCGAAAATACAAGAAGGACCGGGCCGACAAAGAAGAAGATACCACTGCCGGTGGTCATATCACGTTAGTTTGTAAATCGCTCTCGGGAGAGGGCTAGCTTTGGCGGTAGGGGGAGTCAGGCATGAGGGATGTACGTACGCGACAGGCGTTAATCCCGAGGCTCCTCCCCATCCCATCAGAACCGTGGAGAAGGTGAAAGTCGAGATGACAAATCTGTCCGACGTCAACCCAAAGTTCCCAATTGTTGTCGTTGCTCGCGACCGCCGACTGGTGGCCCAAAACTTACCCAACAAAGCCGAGCGCCGTGGGATTGGCAAAGCGCTTGTTGTAGTCGCCGGCATGTGGGACCTTGGGCGTGAGATACAGCTGCGAATGTGTGAGCTATTGCTGTCGTGGGCCAGAATTGGAGGAGGCAGGGCCAAAAGCAAGACCTTCTCAAAGAGCTCGGGGGACATGGTCACGCCCGTGGTCGTCCTGTGTAGGCCCTTCTCTTCATCCCGCACAGCGTACGAAGGTGTGTCTTGTTTATTTTCGGTGGCCATGGTGGGTTTTGTTTACTCGGGGTAGAGCTCTCTGGCTTGGTGGTGAAATCGGCGTCACGTTTATTGGACGGCGTATTGCTGGAGGTAAATTGTTGACCCCCCAGCAAGCCAGAGCTACCATGCCGCTCTTTACATATATATTATTCTGCGAGCCGGCCCCTGGGCTGTGCCGCCTGTCGGAGGATATTTGCGGAACTCATGTCGTGCCACACACCAACTGACCGAGTAAAAGCACCATGCTTCGCGCCCAGCTATTGGCTCTCCAGCGTGCCAAAACGCCGTCTTCGCCCAACAGCATCAATTAATATTGACAGGACAGGGGAATGCAGAAGCAAAGACTGGGTAGCCAATCATGGTCTGGACTGTGCCGTGCTGTGTTGGATTGGGGATCCAAATGGGACTAGGATTTGCGGGGCCCACCGCTTCTGGAGTCGAAGCCATGGGATGAGGTGGGGTCATGAATCGGCAGATCCAGTGGTTACCAAACTTAAACCGCATCCTAGACCCCAGTACGTGCATGATGGGTTGCATTGCCAATACATTATTGTCCGCGACGGGGCTTAAATCGATGCAGGGATGGCCGAGAATAGGTGGAAATGCTAATATATTTGATGCGGGTGAGTCTGTTGGCTTCAAGTTGTGGTTTTGGGAGACAGGTGGTTTTGGCTTCCCCCCCGAGATTGGCGATGGGCTATTGTCCATGTTTCCGCCTTGAAGCTGGCACTACATGTATGGAGCGCGATTGGTTGGCAGACAGAATGCACCGAGTTTGCCGTTTGCTGTGTTTGGCTTCCCTAAACATATACATGAGGTCCTCGGGGCGGTCCGCCTTGGCTGGGGTGCTAAGGTTAGGTATGTGGGGTAAATCCCGGGAAGTTGCAGGGATTTTTGGAGTTGTCTCCTGTGAGGCTCCACGGCTTGCCCAGTTAACCTTGACACTCCGGCCGCCGCCCATTGTTAATGTAATGCTGCTGCAGTGGGATATTCCTCGTTGAGCAGACCCCGCAGTACGGGTCAACATGGTACGTACAGAACTAAGATGGGCTGGTCGACTAACACTAGAAGCGCGACATATGCTTCTACCCTCTTCTAGCAGGATTGTGGAGATGCGTGAGTCGGACTTCCATACCCGAAACTCCCAGTCTGTCCTATACGTTGCCATGCAATAGCTCTAGGCATGGCTGTTTTGTCGCAAAGCTCTTCCAGACACCACTTCTAGTCCAAAGGGCTGAGCCCAGGCAACTTCAGGGCAGGACTGGAGTCGTCTGCCACATCAAGCTCGTGGGTATATAGCACGTCATCAAAGGATCGAGATCTGAGTCTTCCGCGTCTTTGCTGTCGGGGTCAGCGCAGAGATTTCCCCGGCAGGTGGGCTCTCTGACGGTCGCTGTGTCAACCGAGCCAATCTCCGTATGCCTTCCTCTGCGGCCGTGTTTAGAGGATTGGCATTCCATTGGCTCGGGGTGAGTGCCGTCGCCGTCTGTCCTCCATGCCATTCTCGATCTTCACGCGCGCTCACTCTCTCTGCCTAACCAGCATACAGTGCCTCTGTGGGAACTAAGGCGTCAAAGGTGCTGAGGGATGTAGAGATTGCCGGAACAAGTCATGTAGACGGCCCATCAAGACCGTTCCATAACGGAGCCCAAAGAACTTTCACCCCTTAAAGGAGTTTGTCATACCAAGTTGTCTTCGGCTTACTACGTGCTTCAGCCCAATCCACCGCCAATTCGTCAGGGTCCCATTCGTCAGGCTTCCATTCTTCAGGCTCTCGCCTCGTCCTCGACTTGCTTCTTGAGTGGGGCGGGCTCATTATTGGGCGCGTTCGCGTCTGAGTAGATGTCGAGGGTCTCTGTATTTTCACGGATGTCGCCGGTGATGACACTATACTCGCCGTGTTACTGCCTACGCTTGCAGCGCGATGTCTCACGTTGGTCTCCGAAGGCTGGTTGAACACTGTTGTTGGTGCCGATGTTGGTGCCAATGTTGAATGAAGGGTTTTCGAATATCGACACTCTGCTGCGAGCGCGATTCGCGACGTTGGTCTGCGAAGGCTGTATGGCTGCTGGCGTTGGCGGCGGGGGTTGGAACCTTCTTAGGACTTTGTCGAAGCTGCTCCGAGCCCAGAACAGGTAGAATATAACATGATGGGGGTTGGTGTTGCATTGTTGCCAGCAAGGCGAGTTCCTTAGCCACTCTTGGGCATGCTCCCCGGATGGCAGTCTGAGCGTGAAAGCCTCTGCGTTGATATAACAATCCGCCACATGCGAGAGTGGAACGGATGCCGAAGTATGCTGCTGTGTCCACCCTGCTGCCGTCGTTGCGTATGACCTTGCGGCATTCTTGTCCAAAAATCTGATTGAGAGACAGGGAGCGGGGGGAAGCGATATCTTCATGCCTCTGACAACACTTGTTTGGTCATACATGCTGCCGGCCTTCTGGCGGGTGACTCAGTAATTGGTTTTTAATGTTTGTCCGGTGCTGGCTATAATTACTTCTCGTCGATGTTAAGTTAAACTTCATAGAAAGCACACAAGTTGCAACTGGTTTATCGACCAGCGTTGATTGGAATTGCGGCGGTACAGGTTAGTACATACAGGTTCCGCGCTGAGGCCTCTTATCTCTACATCAGTTCGGAACGTGGCGCTTTGTGACTGGCGCAAAGTCCTGCATGTCCTTTGGTCGACTTCTCGGGCAGTAAATCGGGCATACAGTAAGTTGCTTGACGTTGCGCCTCCTCTGTCCTGTGCTTCATTTCCAACATGGCAACCACCAGTCGAGGCTCTGAGGGACTAGCTGGTTGTCTTTGTTGGCCTGGCAGTCGAGTAGGAAAATGAGCTCTTTCTCGTTCTTTCAATAATCGACATGAAGGTGATAAGCTAGCTGTAGTGTAAGTGCTTGACTGACATTGGACCATTCTTATAATAAAAGCACAACAAAATACACAATACTGGGCACCACTGGTTGGAGGAGAAAGGGTCTGCCAGGGGCTCAGTCGATTCCTCAGGGGACGACATGGGCAGGCACCAACATCAGCATCGGTGGGGCCTGTCCCTGCCCTGTTGGTGGATAACCATGCAGGCCATGCCGATTTTAATTTATGTCATAACGGTAACTCGACGAAGTTTGAAGCTCAAGAGCCCAGGGCAAGCGAGATCAGTTTAATGGCACTGCCACAGGGGACAGGGGCACAGGGGCAGAGGGGCACTACAGAGTTTACGTAGGGCTGGTTGGTCATGGCTTTGCGCTAGGCCCAGAAAAGGTAATGGTGGCTGTCGTCATCACGAAAATTACGAAAATTTCATGCTTGGTCATCACTTGACACGAGGTTTGCGCACTCGTTGAAGCGGACTCGCACCGACCCCCAAAGAAGCGCTGCCAGGCTTTCAAGTCGCAACGTGTCAGCCAAAAGTGGTGGGATTGACCGCAGTCTCTGTCCGACTGCTTACTATTGTCACTGATGCTTGCCTTATCTCGTGGTCCCTGCCTGCTGCCTGCCTTGGGCTGCTCCTCCCAGAAGCTCCGTGAGTGATCGGGGTTTCGGAGGTGGACTACGCCGACGGCGAGAGAGTTGCGACTAATGGCCCATTTATCCTCTCGCAGGGCGACCGCAAACGCCCGGGCATCAGGCTGACACGGCCGGTCGGAGCGGATAAATAATATGTGCGGATTGATCGATCGAGTGGAGGACGCGGGCAAGTACGTGTAATTATAAGGGACCCATCAAGTGAGTCACTTTTTTTTTTCTCTTTTTTCTTCTTCGTTGGGCCGTTGAGGTTGGGCCGAAGCTTCGGCGGACTTGCATCTGGAGCCACCCCTGCAGGGACCCGTAACCATGGTTGCAGGCAGTGATCGCCGGGCGGCTGAATTGGTGGTACACGGTACTCCGTAAATAAGGCTTTGCTCCGCCTAGACCTAGCCCTAATTCCGCCGCTAGCAGATAGCAAGTCTCCGAGAGCTGACGTTATCTTGATCGTGCAAGGATTAAATCTGCCCGAGTCCGTGGGTCCCTCTTTCCCCTGGCGCCAATGGATTGGTACCATGACGGAACATGCATGACTCTATGCCGGACTTTGGAGTTCCAGGCGCCGGTTTCATTGAAGAGTCTGCTGCGTAATCCGGTATCTACCATGTCAGCGCCGTTGATACTAGGAGACTAAGCCATGTGAGCCGCAGGGTAATTATATATAATTCCAATGGTTTGTTGTCCTGCTGGATTCTGTTTGTGTTCGGTCAACTCAGTCACACAGTCTTCTTCCACCAGCTTGCCTCGCGACAAATCCCCCGCAGCCAACCACAAGAAGACACTACCAACCACTCAGACGCAATGGCTTCGACTAACAAAGAAGTGTTCGACAGCGACCTATCCACGCGGGTTCCCACCCCGGCCCCGGTATCCGAACATGAGAAGGCGGATCTCTCTGCGAGCGGCAGGACAACCAGGGCGCCATCGACCATCGATGATCCCTCGATAGCGAAGATACAGAAGGATGTCGGGGCCGACGGCAGTTCCGAGACCGTCGACGGTGCTGTGATTGATGGAGAGGTCGCGTACCCGGACGGTGCCCGGCTCATCTTCATCATCGTTGCTCTGGTGCTCAGCATCTTCCTCGTTGCACTTGACATGGTAAGTAACATCAAACAAACAAAGCAACACCCCGGCTGGCTATGTCATGGCAGGAATAGCATGCTGACCTCTCCTCTCCAAGACCATTGTCGCAACAGCCATCCCGAAGATCACCGACGAATTCCATGGCCTCGACCTCGTCTCATGGTACGGCTCGGCCTTCTTCATGTGTGTCGGAGGCTTCCAGTCAACATGTGAGTCGCGGTGTGCCATCGTCCCCCCCCACCCTGGAGTTACTGATTGACTGACTGGTTGTGCGCCATCATCGCAGGGGGCAAGGCATACAAGTACTTCCCGCTCAAGATCACCTTCCTTTTGTCCATCATCATCTTCGAGCTCGGCTCCCTCATCTGCGGCGTGGCGCCCAACTCGACCGCCCTGATCGTGGGCCGTGCCATCGCCGGCGTCGGCGCGGCCGGCATCGGGTCCGGCGCATACACCATCATCGCCTTCGCGGCCGCCCCCGCGCGCCGGCCCATGTTCACGGGCATCATCGGCGCCAGCTACGGCATCGCGTCGGTCGTGGGCCCGCTCATCGGCGGCGCCTTCGCCGACAAGGTGTCGTGGCGCTGGTGCTTCTACATCAACCTGCCCATCGGCGGCGTGTCGGCCGTCATCATCCTGCTCTTCTTCACGACGCCACCGCACGCCAAGCCGGCGCAGGCCAAGCTGACCGAGAAGCTGCTGCAGATGGACCTCCTCGGCACCGTCATGGTCATGGGCGCCGTCATCAGCTACATTCTGGCCCTACAGTACGGCGGGCAGAGCAAGGCGTGGAACAGCAGCGAGGTCGTCGGCCTGCTCGTCGGCTTCTTCGTGATCAGCGCCGCCTTCGCCGCCTGGGAGATCACGCAGGGCGAGAGGGCCATGATCACGCCGCGCCTGATGCGCGACCGCAACGTCTGGGTGCCCAGCCTGTTCACCTTCTTCTTCGCCGGCGCCTACTTCGTCATCGTGTACTACCTGCCCATCTACTTCCAGAGCATCGACGGCGCCAGCCCCACCAACTCGGGCGTCCGGAACCTGCCGCTCATCCTGGCCGTGACGGTTGCGACCATCGCCTCTGGTGTTTTCATCTCGGCGACCGGGGTTGCGACGCCGTTGATGGTCCTCGGCGCGGCTCTCGCTACCGTTGCTGCGGGCCTGATCTACACCCTCGACATCGGCTCCAGCTCGGGCAAGTGGATCGGCTTCCAGATCCTCGGCGGCCTTGGATGGGGTGTCGGGTTCCAGGTGCCGATTATTGTCGCCCAGGGTACCGCAAAGCCGAGTGACATGTCATCCGTCACCGCCATCATTCTCTGTAAGCCCTGCCTTTCTTCTTCTTCTTTACAGGGCACCCACCACGTGCCATGCCATTCTTCATAACCCCCCTTGCTAACCACCATCCAACCCCACCAGTCTTCCAAACCGTCGGCGGCGCCTTCTCCGTGTCAGCAGGTCAATCCGCCTTCGTCAACCGGCTTCTCGGCCAACTGCCCGTCTCCGCCCCCGGGGTGGACCCGCTGCAAGTGATCCTGACGGGGGCGGCGCAGATCCGGCAGGTGTTCCCGGCCGACCAGGTCAACGGTATCCTCGAGGCGTACATGTCCGGCATCAAGGCCTCCTTCGCCATCTCCGTCGCCTTCGTCGGCATCGCGTTCCTCGCGTCGCTGGCGAGCAGGTGGCGGAGGCTGAACAAGGAGGCGCTGAAGGCCGGGGGGGCAGCGTAGGCTGGGGTGGATGGGTGCTGGTACAATAGCAATGGAATAGGTAATTGGCATTTGGGAGGGAGGGGGCCGGGGCAGCGGGGAGAGGGTGGTGGGGGTTTGGATAGACTTGAGATATGGATATGCCTGAAGATGAATCTTCATCTAGCGGTATCGGCGTTTGGAGTTGAACTAGATGCATACTTTGCATAATTGAGCATTCATAAGTAGTGTAATATGACTCTAATATAGTCACCTCCCCCCTTTTGGCTCACATCACCCGTCTGTTTCTGCCACAACCGACGAAATCTGCCCGGTTTTGTCCCCCGACTTGACAGGGCCAAATCTTTCCCAAATCCCAAACGCAGCGACAGCTACAAACACAACACTACACAACACAGATGCAAGCCAGAACCCTCGTGTCTGTGCTTGGGATGTACGAGGGGTACATGATGCCGACAAGGACGAGAAAGGCGCCCGTTATAAATAAGATACCGCCAAGGGGCCAAAGGCTGACACTTGCAAGAAGACTATGGGCGACTGAGACGTGGAGTTTAAGTGCAGAACGTGATGCCCTGTAATTAATTATCCTGTATTTTGCATATATACGATCAGGCGCGCGTCATTCACATCCACCACACAACTCTTAGTCAATTTGCTTCTAAGTCGCTCCAGCTCCAGCTCCAGCTCCCGTCTCTCTCAATGCCATTACCTGCTCCGTATAGCTTTGCGCCTTGCAGGCAATCACCCGCTGCATCTATCGATCACAAACCAGTGATTATCATACGAATACGTGCCATAGTGATATCCACCACCGTTCTGAGTTTGGAAGCACTGGTTGATGATGTTCTCAAACGCGTCCCAGCACAATTGCTGAGGCATCCCGGGGCCCTGATACTCAAAGTGGCAGCTGCCGCTGTTGCGCCCATGCTCGCACTTCCGCCTCCAATTCCCTTGTCCTACAAGCGTGGTGCAGAATGTCTGGCGGTCTTGGTAGTTGCCGTTACGGTCGGTGCAGGCCCCAATGCCTGTACTGCCAACGCCATATTGGCCACAGTCTGCTGCGGAGATGGCGGTGGTGTGCAAGACTAGGCCTAGAATAGCAGAGTTGAATCTCATTCTTGAGAATACATAGCAGGTTAGTTTGAGTGTCTCTGAATAAAACGTAAAACCTTCGTCTAGAGGGAAGTAGGTGACACTTACTTGGACAGTGTATGATTGCGGCGTCAACACGATGGCGGCTAAGACACAATACTAGATGCTGTGAGCTTTTCTAGAAAAATCAGTGGCTAAGCCATAGCACACCTACAGATGATATATCTTGGAAGAACTGAGGTTCTATCTATGCCTGGAAAGGTGGCGACTTTATATACACAAGTAAGTGAAGGGGCCTGTGCTCTAGACTAGGTCTGATCAGAGATGATTGGGCTTGTAGGGAATGCAAAGGAGTGGCTTTCGTAGACTAAACTGGTAGGGAAGAGCATTTAGACAGGATTCCGGCGCTGCGAATAGGTAGCATTTCCGACATCTCGTGCAGAATATCTCGTCGCTGACTGAGGCGGTTGCACGAAGTGCGACGCTGGTACGGTAGTGCTTACACTCTAAGGTGCTATGGTCAGTGCTCACCTTGACAAACAAGGGAAGGTTAATTAGAACAAAACCGCAGAAGATCCGATTTGTGCAAAAATTTACATCGTGTCCTCTGATTGCTGGATGGAACAGGTGACTGAAACCTCCCTGGCAGGTCCTTGGCCATCTGCAAGCTAGGGTCGCAGACACGCTGATTAAGGATGTTACATGGCCAACTCTTGGCAGAGAATGTCAGCCAAGTAGAGGCGAGATGTGATACGGAGGGTCTGGGATAAGGTCGAAAAGAGCCAAGCCTCGTCGGGGCCCCCCACGCGAGTGCTACTTAAGAGCGTAATTAAGACCCGCAACTTTGACATCCACCGTCGTCGCGGAGATGATCACGCCGCGTTCCTCGTCCGACTACTCGCTCAGCTTCGGGGAGGCGCTCGTCAGAGCTGAGCATCGCCTACATTGAAAGGACGATGACAGGGTGCCTGCTATGTACAGACAGGGACGAACATTCCCGTCCTTCCTGCAGGAGTGTTCTGCAACGAGGGGTCACTGTCGTGGTGAGCATGGGGGATGTCACGCGGCTATACTTGGGTACGCATGGTAAGCCAATTACCTGCCCGGGTATCAGGAATGGCGGTATTGAACGTATCATGAAGAACCCTCTATTCTCCAACACCGAGCATCGAATAAAGGGACAAAATAAAAGGACATAAGTATCTTCAATCATATAATACATTGACATGTTGAGATGTGTCTTTCACGGAAACCTCGCTTGCCCCCCTTTCCTCCGGCCCCCTTCCGCCCTTCCACAAGCCCAGCATTACTAGGATGGAAACACCCAATACGGATTCCCCCGACCCTCCCCACCACCAAAGTCCTGCCTCTGCCCCTCCTCCTGCCCACTGTTCGCCCCGCTCATCAGGCTGTCGAAGAAGGCCGTGTCCACCCCCTGGAAGGCCCAGTCGTCCGTGGTGGCCGTGAACCCGGGATAGAGCATGTTCTGCGTTATAGAGTCGTCGATGAAACTTGGGAAGCTCTGCTGGAGCTGGTCGGTGTTGCTGCCGGCCTGGTGCAGCCCACCGTCAAAGTGCGAGTGGGGGAGCAGGGAGGTCGATTGGAGGCCTCGGCCCTGCGGCTGTGCTGCTGGAAGCGTGTTTGCGGGTGGGGACTCGAGAGGCTTTCTCGGCTCTGATGGTTGTGATGGTGGAGGAGGAGGAGGTGGTGGCGGCGGCGGCGGCAATGTCGGGTCGGCTGCCTCCTTGAATATGAGGTCCGATTTTGTAATCTTGATGGTACCGAAGTAGGGGATGCATATGTTCAGCATGTTGCTCCGGTCTTCCCCGGACCCCATCTCTGACCCGGCCAGATTGTCCGCCCGGAACGCCCCGCCCTCTGCCGCCTCGGCCTCGATGGCCAGCAGGCTCCGGAGCACCTCGGCGCTCTTGTGGGACAGCACGTCCATGTTGAGCTTGCTCAGATTCTCCATGTTCTCCAGCACCTTCTCCACCATGGCCCGGTCGCTGAACCGCTGGTGCAGCAGGAAATTGTCGTACTTGTTTCGGTGGCCGTCCAGGTGGGCGAGGAGAAGGGTCATGGCCGCCATGAGGGCGATGAAGTCGACCATGCGGCAGCAGTAGGCGACCTGGTTGAATGAGCGGAAGGTGATGAACCGGGTGAGCGACTCCCTGCTCGAGTTGACGCAGGTGATCTTGCTGTAGTCGTACTTCCGCTCCGGCGACGAGCGCAGCATGTAAGGGAGGTGCAGCTGGCTGAGCAGGCTGTAGTGGAAGAGCTGGGTGACGAGCCGTGTCGTCTCGAAGACTATCTCTTCTGCCGTGTCCAGATTGACGAAGTTCTGGGGCAGCCAGAACTTGGATGGCATGCTGTCTGCGGCCCTCCGCAGCTCCGCATCAAGCTCTTGGATGGAACCACAGTCTATCGACGACGGATCGGCCTCGTGGTGGTCGAGGATGCGCGAGGCGATGGCGCAATGCATGCGCTCCAGCCTGCCAATGGGCGTGTCGTTGGCCATGTCCCGCTCGTTGATCATGCTCATGTCGTGGGAACCCTGAGGGAGGCCGAGCATCATGCAGAGGTGACGATCCGCGAAGAGGAGCCGGAACCACACGAAGTTTGGGTGGAAACGCGTGTCTGGGTCCAGCTGCATCACGGGAAGGTTGCCAGGGCGATGAATGCCCATGAGCTGGGCGATGACCATTGCCCTCCGGATAGCTACCAACGCCCGTCGCAGGTTGCCGCTGTTGGCTTGGAAAGCACACTCCACGAGGATGCACTCGAGACCCTCGGCGCAGCAGACGAGCTCGTCATTTGTGGTGACGAAGTTGATCGCAGCGTCCACCATCTTCTGCATCCCCAATCTTGGATCATCTGAGCATCGCAGCAGGTGCTGCTGATCCGGGCGGAGGTACTGGATGACGGTGGCGATAGTGAGCATCTTCTTCGCGATCAAGACAGGATGAGCCGTTGGAGGCGGCAGCACGGCGATGTGTTCGGGCGTGAGCAGCCCTTCCCTGTCCAGTTCGGTATATGGCTGGGTGAACAGCTGTTGAAAGAAGACGCTGGTAAGGCCGCCCGAGGTGCAGATGGCGGTGGATACCTCTTGAGATGGTAAGAGGCGGTAGAGTGCATCCGATATGTTCTGATACTTCCCTGCGCTGGCCGGCGCAAGCCTCATTCCCGGTCTACCAGTGACTGCCCGCCCCCTGGGAGACGGGTCGTGCCCAGCATCCGATTGGTAGCAGGGCAATGACTCCTAGATTCCCTTTAGACGCGAACGTTGGCTGAAAGGCGGCTCGATAATCACTTACTGCTGATGTATCATCACAGTACATCGATTGGGGGCCCGACTCAGAGGCACTGTCATCGGGCGTGAGCAGGGTGGGGCCGGGGAAGACGACATCGTCTGCAGGCGGTGTTCGGGGCCGGCTGCTCATCATCCCCTCGCTCCATGGAGATGACCCTGGCGCCCCACCGACTTTCTTGACAAGCTCGGCAACTAGAGCCTCGACTCGTACAATGCGGTCCCCAATCTCTGGCGCCCTCTCGATATGCTGGGAGGGCTCCTCGTCGTACTCCTGGCTCACGCAGGCCATGCCCCGACGCCGGCAGCCAATGCAGACGTCGTCGTCAGGGTTCGCATAATTGCATCGCGTCTTCCTCCGCTTGCACTCCCAGCAGCTGCGGGTGCCCTTCCGGATCTTCCGCCGCTTGGCTTCGGACTCGGCATTGGCGGAGGGGCTGCCGCGGCCGGAGGCCTGGCTGCCTTCCGCCGTGGGTCTCTGCATGTCCCAGTACAACACAAATAATCCAGGCGCCGCAGAGTGCCGAAAAATGCCGGTTGGTTTCTGAAAGCGACCTTGCACAAAAAAAAAAAAGACGAGAGCCGGGCCGGCGGACGAAGTGGGCGCCCTTGCTTGGGGGAGTCAAAAGGGCCACCCCTTTCTGCTCACACCAGGCAGCACACACGCATGTGTCAGCCTCAGTAACCCCGCCGAGATTTCGGCGGAATAATTGTGCACTGAAGGGAAGCATTAGTCAGTCGCACATAAAAATTCGGCCGTCTCCGAAATCTCAATTGTGACGTCATATCCTCCCAGGTCGTAAGCCATCCAATCAGACTGGTGAATTCTAAGCAAGATCATTCGAACCTGACAAATGAGGAAGGAGAGAAAAGAAGAAGCAAACGATATCCAGGATGTCGGGTTCTCGCCGGGAGACTTTGCTACCTGGTCGCTGCGGTCCGCAATTCAGTCCACTGCTCCTGTGTTCCGTCAGTCCTCTTCGCTTCCACTTCGTAAGTGCCGGGACCAATCTTCTCATGTTCGACACGGAACTCGTAAGGAGATCAATCGCTGGCTCGATGGACGCTCATTTGCGGGAAACCTGGGATTGATCAGGCGTAGGATGTAAGATAGTTGCCAGCATGGATCCATATGTCAATTGCCCGCTTCTTGCCGCCTGCAATTGGGGTCCGTGGCCCGGTCATAGGCCGATTTTCCCGCACTCGGCCGTGTGCCAAAATGGGAAGTCGGGATGGAAGACGTCGGGTACCTACTTAGGTACCACTCTGGTGCATCCCGATGGATCCACTTGGAATGAGACGGGACACCATTCCTGCCTCCCGCATCTTGAATCGGCACCAGGCACCTCGCAGCAGGAAGTCAAATCCATTGGATCCATTTCGAGCACGGGTGCGGTAGGATCCGGGGTTGAACAAATCGATGCAACGGATTCCAAATGCCCAACACTTGTTGGGGAGCAATCACGGGAAGGAGGTGGTGTCCGTCACACCCGGGCACCAAATCTCACCTAACGGACAGAGCAGCGAACGGTCACGAGAGCAACGACTTCGATGCCCTTCTCACCCAGGCACAACAGCTCCGAGCCAGCATCTCCTCAGCGCTGGAGCAACATTCCGCCGGCGTAGCGGTCAGCCAGCTCCAACTGAACCTGGCAGTGTCCAAGCACGGACACGCGCAATGCAAAGCGGCCCACGCCCAGGTATGCGCCAAGCTCCAGTCCGCCCTCGTCGAGCACGTCACGACGCAAGCTCGCCTCGTACGATGCCTCCTCCTCGCTCGCAAGGCCTGGGGTCAACGGCCCTCTCCGCACCACGCTAGGCCAGTATCCCCCGCCGTGGCGGCCGACGACGACGAAAGGGCCCGTAGCCTGGTCAGGGACTTTGAGCCGCAGTTGAGGCGGGAGCTCGAGCGGCGGCGGCATGCGCGCGCGACGAGGCAGGACCTCGTCGACGCGTGGATGCGCGCCGGTGCCCCCCCCCCCCCCCCCCCCCCCCCCCGGGGGCGGGGGGGGGGCGGGGCGGGGCGGGGGCGGGGGGGGGGGGGGGGGGGGCCGGGTGCCGGGTGATGGATTTTGGCCCGCCGTGGTGGGGGGTGGTGGGGCGGGGGGGGCCGGCGGGCCCCACCCGCCCGCCCCCCGCGGCGGGGGGGGGGGGGCCCGGGGCCCCCCCCCCCCCCCCCCCCCCCGCGGACCTTGTGGGCAACAACGTCGATGCCGCGAGGAAGGGTATGCGAGTCCGTCGAGGCGTCGGGCGGGGTGGTCCGGAGCGGGGCCCGAGGCGCGCCTCGCGGAGGCGGGAGAGGCGGTCTGGGATCTGGAGAGACGTCTGCGCCGAGAGGCAGACCGCGTCAGGTTGGTTGGTTGGGATCGAGAGGGCGCTGGGGAGGGGGTTGGACGGGCGGTGAAGCTGGGTTTATTGTTGGGGCTTGGATATCGGTGGGCGAATGGGGGACAGGTCGGGCAGTTCATGGTTCGATGGGCGTGGGACGGTTGTCGGCGGTGCACTTCGCATGCAGCGATTACGTATTGTATCAGCATGGGTTGTTTTGGACTCGCCTTCCCCGTCCGCTCTGGACCTCTCCACCGAATGGTGTTGTCTCTTTGCCGGGCGAACAGCCACGCAATTGACCCCCATCTTGGGGTCGTGAACTGGCGCGTTTGGTCGTAGGAAGACATGCGTGGCGGCTGGAGGGACTTCTTGCCCTTGCCAATCACGCTGGACATGGCGAGTGTGGGGTGAACATTAGTCTCTCCTGCTGCACCACAAAAGCCAAACGTGCCTAGGGTTTGGGGTTTCGTCTGGGGGAAGCCGCGAAAGGTCGTAGACGTGGGCCTGGGGGAGCCCGCGATCGGGTAGATAACGGGTTGCGGATGGGCTTAACTTAAAATCCGCGTCTCTTTTAACTCGGTAGTTCCCTGTATTGATTGACTGATGGGTTGAGTGACTTGATTGATCGATTAGCGCAAAGTTTGGGACGCGGCGCGTCGAACTTCGGCCCATATCCAAATCCGTAGAGAGAGCAAACCACGTGCCGGCAGGCCGTTGAGGAGGGACGGGACCTCACTGTAGTGCGTAGCTCCCGCAAATGTTTCGACAACTGCAAAATACCCCATCTCGTATCAGCCCTGCACCACCAGTCCGAGTTTGGTTTTATTTTTGGATTGGTCTTTTTTTTGTGCGTAATTTCGAGGTGCAACGTTCTCACCGCCAAGAAAACATGCTGCATTCGCTCTACCCCCCCACCCCCCCAAAAAAGCGAGGGTCCTGCCCCGCGGTACCTGCACTGCAAGCCACTGCCATACCCCAACGAACCTAAAGTCCGCTGAGAATGGCGAGCCAGTATGTCCCAGATAGTTATCTCGTTGGGAAGCTTGGGAACGAAATTCCGCCTTTGCGGGTGGACCTCCAATCGTGCCACAGTTTTCCAAAAAGACAATTGGAAATTTCGCTTCAACCTAACGGCTCGCGCCGGGCGGGGTTCGTATTGCACTGTCAACTGTGCTGTATGTATGTACCTTAGTGGCCATGTATCCACCACAGCACGGGAAAGCGGCACAAGATGGGGCTCACATCAACACAAGTGACGCTGCTATTTGTACGCCCCTGAGGACTTGGTATGGATTCTATTGTACGGATATTACGGATATAATGATTATTTTGCAGATTACTGCACCCACCACCCCACCGCCCCACCGCCCTCACCAGCCCAGCGCCCGTTCCAAGCGTGGCGTTTCTTAAGCTCCGACGCCGTCGTTTTTCTTTTGTCCCAAAATAAAAGGAAGAAGGGGGAAAAAAGGATGAGAAAAAAAGAGTATGGCTGTTAAGCTACCTAGACGACGATGCTCTGCTCCGACTCGCTGTCCTCGACCAGGTTCTGCTTATCGTTGAGCTTCGGGTTCCGGAGGGTGAACGCGAAGGCGATGAGCGGCACGCACAGGCAGATACCCGTGATGGTGAGCAGGCGCTGGGCGTGCTTGTAGGCCTCGATGATGGCGTCGCGCTCGGGCGTGCCGACGGCGTACTCGGCGGCGATGACGAAGGGGTTCTCGTAGGTGAGTAGGGCGAGGGTGTCGTTGTTGAGGCCGGACAGGCGCGCGTCGAGCTCGCGGGGCAGCACCTGGGTCCAGATGGCGCCCGAGACGGTGTTGCCAAAGGCCGAGCCGACGTTGTAGGTCGCCAGGTACAGGCCCGTCATGACGGCGAGGTGCTCGTGTTTGAGGTAGGCCTGCAGCGACGCCTGCGCCGGGTAGGGGAACATGCCGCCGGCAAGGCCGAGCAGCACCTGCGCGCCGATGACGCCCGACTGGCTCGAGCTGCTGGCGTCGCCGCGGAAGCGGATCAGCAGGCCGAAGGCCACCAGGAAGAGCATCGTGCCGCCGAGGATGAACACCTTGAGCCGTCGCACCCGGTACACGATCAGGCCGAGGACGGCGCCCGTGATGACGCTCACGAACGAGTACAGCGACGTGATGCGCGTCGCCGACGTGATGGAGAAGTCAAAGGCCACCACCAGCACCGTGTACAGGTAGTCGCCCTGCATGTACCACGTGAAGTTGAGCAGGATGGCGATGCCCATGGGGCCCCAGACGGCGCGGTCCTTCATCAGCCGGAAGGGCACCATGGGGTGCGGGGCCCAGAGCTCCCAGAGGAGGAAGACGGGGATGCAGCAGATGCCGATGACGAGGGGCGCGATGATGTGGGCCTCCCGCCATTTGTCGTGGAAGCCGCCGGCAAGGGTCAGGGGCACGAGGATGAGCGCGAAGACGGCGATGACGAGGATGATGCCGATCACGTCGAGCTGCCAGAAGAGTTGCTTGACGAACTCCTTCCAGCCGAGCATGGCGAACGGCGTCTTGTAGCTGTCCAGCACGCCCGACTTCCTCGCCCGGCGGCCGACGATCACGAGGCTGGTGATGAGCGGCAGCGCGCAGACTGGGTAGATGATGGCCCACATGCCGATGCCCCACTTCCACGTCGTCTTGCCCAGAACGGCGGTGGCGATGTCTCCGCTGACCCACGTGTTGATGATGAATGGAAGCGCGGGCACGTAGCTGAACAGCAGGCGCGCCCGGGTCGAGGTGATGTCGGCGATGATGACCTCGAGCAGCAGGATCACCATGGTGTAGCCGATCTGGTAGATGATGGCGCCGCCGGCAAACGTCTCAATGTCGGTGGCGACGGCTTCGACGATGGTGCCGATGATGTAAAAGAAGATGGACAGGCAGATGAGCTCGACGCGGCCGAAGACATCGGCGACCTTAGCAGCCGTGGGCTGGGCGGCGGCGGCGATGACGGACCGCAGCACGTTGACTGCGGCGAGTAGCGAGTGCGACCCGAACGAGGACGTGGCGTAGGGCTGGTAGGTGTACCGGAGCGTGCCGTCGAGCCCGTAGGCGTAGGCGATGATGAAGACGCCGATGAAGATGAAGATGCGGTCGAAGCGGGTGATGACGGTGGAGATGGCCTCGATGCGCACGACACCGGGTGACTTCTCGCCGAAGATGGACGCACGACGAAGCCGAGGAGTCACCTCCTCGGCCGTCGGTACCTTCTCCTCGAACCCGTTGGCGGCTTCTGGAGGAGTGCTGGACATTGTGGCGGTTTTCGCTGTGCTGCTTTGGGGGGGAGGGGGAGGGGGAGGGGGAGGGCGAGGGCGAGGGGGTGTTCGGTCCTGCTGATCCGTCGCTGAGGAGCAGAAGACATGCACCTCCAGATCAGGGGAAATCGAGGCTTTAAGAAAGAGGAGGGCGAAGAAGGCAATGCAACAAGAGGAAAGTGTAAATCGTGAATAACATGGGCTCGGCCATAGCTCTCCACTCTTTTGACCCCGCCAAGGCAAGCCCCTTACGCAGCTTCTCCCGTTCCATTGGTGGGGTGGCCTGCCGGTCCCACTTCTGATCGCTGATGATGCCGATAAGATAAAAACCTACAAGTTTGACCGACTCGCGCGCCGCTCGGCACTCCCAATCGGGCTAATGACTTGGCTAATCAGATCCTGGATTTCGGGCCACCCCTTGGCGCCCTAACGACACATGGCCGGATTCAGCCTTTTTCCGCACCTCGACCGGGGTTTGTATTGGCCTAAATTTCCTCCCGGCGTTGTGCAACCAACCCGAGCGGCGTGTCCGGACGCTAGCTCAGCTAAAGAGTGGCCGAGAGTGTCCGACGCCATCATCTTCATCCGAATTTTTTTTCCTATCCCGTCTTCTTTTTCTTTTCTGCTTTGCCGCGCGTGGGTCCCAGGGACCCCGGCGTTCTTCCATGCCACGCGACAGCTTCCTTTTTCGGAAACAAGAATAGCCCAGGAGGCCAGAACCCATGGCGCTGGTCACACGGTGTCGAATTGACCTAATTGGACAGTGGGACCCATGCAATATGTCAAGTGCCAGAATCTTTTTGGGGGGGAGGGGGGGCGTGGGGTGGCAATGCCGGAGCCTCTCCCTCGTCATAAACACCCGAGTCTGTGCACTTCGATATGCAAGTCGATCAGCAATCAAGCATCGATCGAAAGTACTGCGTAATGACACCCGACGTGCGAGGAAACAATCCCTGATTTGAGTCGTGACATCGTCACCCTTCTTCCAACCACGCTCTTCGTGAAGCCCTGAGCAAGTGCCAAGCTTGACCTTTTTCTTGTCTTATTTGCAAGGGATGTAGATGCTTCGTTCGAGTTCACAGTGCAAAGGTCGGCGGTATTTAAAATGGCCCTAAGAAAAGTTTCCTCCAAATCAGGCCATCTTATTTTAACGTCGGCCTGGCTAGGTCGAATTTCTAGCTCTTCCGTCCCAACATTCGCTGTGAGCAAGATTAGCATGGTTGTCAGTATTCATGTTCAGACCGAATCCAAGTCTTCCATTGCTCCTCGGACAGGCTCCGGCGCTAGTAAGGTTGCCCGGAGACCAGCCCTTCCCTCAACATCACAAACTCTGGGGGGAAGGCCGTTTCAACGGTCGCCTTTAAAGTTGCCTTTGAAGAAACAGTGTCCAACCAAGTTTGTGTTTTCTACTGATTTCCAGCCCAGCAATGTGAGGGTAAGTATGTGCTTCTACGTTTCTATCTAGTCCATGGCCAAGGCGGACATATATTATATAGCCCGAGTCAGGGGCTCGAAAGAAGAGATGAGGCCTAAAGGAAAACTTCCTAACCCGGCCCCCTACTCTGCAACTTAATTGACAGGTCTTTTCTCTTCGACTCCGCATCGACGCCACCTTCCCCAAAAATGGAGACTCCTTGCCTGTTCGCCGCCATAACCCCGCGTAAACCCGGTTTGCAGAATGATCTGGGCTCTAGAAACGGCCCTGGGATCCGGGAGGCTTCGAGTTTGAGTCGTGAGCACGCTGGCATTCAATTGATGAGCAAGAGAAACCTGCTTGTTACAAGTTATATTATCCTTTACCCAAGTATCTAAAGCCTGCGCCGGGTATCCACAACAAAAGTAAAGCCGCAGTCAAAATTGGGAGCTGGTATTGCTCCAGATGAAGAGAGACTTTTGAATATAGATAGAGCGCAAGACGTGCGATTCCATCTCAAGAACGGAAACAATCCCAAACCGCATCTCAACATGGGCACTTCGACGACAAGGAGCAGAGAGTGTCGGGTCTGAATCCACGGCCCGATGATATAAATAGACCATCCAGCTGGCTACCCCCTTAAACAACGAGACCCTTGACCTGCCTCTTGTCCGTGATCTTGATATCCCTCCACAGCAGGACGCACAGGAAGGCGACGCCCAGGGCGCATGTGCTGGTGATGAGCATGTACTTCTGGGCATCGCCGTAGGCCAGGCTGATGCCGGCCCTTGTGGGGTTTCCGACGGGGTACGCGAGCTGGAGGGTGAGGCTGGAGTAGATGCGGTCGATGCGCGCCGTGGGCGGGAGGTGGCGACGCAGGGCGGCGGGGAAGACGGTCGTCCAGATGGCGGCGGAAACGGTGGCGCCGAGGGCGGTGCCGAAGCTGCCGAAGAGGTCGAGGATGGCCATGATGACGGCGATGTGCTGGTGGTCCGACGGCGCCATCATGGCCAACTCGCCGGCGATGACGAGCGGGCCGCCGGCGAAGGCGATGAAGATCTGCGTCATGATCACGTACCCGATCGGCGTGTCGGGCTGGCGGAAGTGGATGAGGAGCCCCACGCCCAGCGTCATGAGCGGGAGGCCGAAGTACAGCGCCACCCACTTGAACCGGCCCGACCAGCGGATGAAGACGCCGATGACGAGCGCCGAGAAGCACGAGCCGACGCGGTAGATGTTGCTGATGTACGTCGCCTTGGTGACGGACTGGTTCCAGGCCACGAGCAACATCGACGTGAAGTAGCTGCCCCACACCATCGAGTTGAAGAAGACAAAGAGGAACATCATGCCGCCGAAGAAGACGGTGCGGTCGGCGAGGAGGCTGACGGGGATGAACTTGACAGGGGCCAGGTATTTCTCGTACAGCACGAAGGCGATGAGCAGGAGGCCGCCAAAGACGATCATGCAGATGATCATGGCGGACCTGAACTTCTCGTGCTGGTAAGAGTAGAGGCTGAACGGGAGGAGGAACAGAGCCATGCCGCCGGCGAGGAGGATGATGCCGATCAGGTCGATCTCGATCATATACTTCTTGACCCCCGCCCAAGTAAGCTTGGTCCTAGTCTCCGGCAAAATATTGGCCTTCTTCGCCTTGATCTGGCTCCATATGAACAAGAAGCAGAGCGGTAGAACCACAACAGGGGTGATGATAGCAAAGATTCCAAAGCCCCAACGCCAGCCAGGACCGGCCAGGAGGCTGTCCGCCATCGGTCCGCCGATCCAGGTGGTGACGATGTATGGGGAAGTCGCGAAAGACAGCATGAGGGCTCGGTTCCTGAGGGCGGAGGTATCTGCAATGAAGACGGTCACGCAGTAGCTCACTCCCTGGGCTCTGTATTCGCGCAGCCATTGCATTAGCCCATGTTGCCCTCCGAGTGGTGTTATTCCATGAGGGGAGGGGAGGAGATGAAGGAGGTCAGTTTTAGCACCTACCCGACAGCAGAGAAGACCTGGGCAGCAGCGTAGGTCTGGACGTTCCTGCACACTGCCATCATGATGAATCCGATAATCCAGAGGAACAGGGCCAAGGCGAGACCTTGAGGTCTACCCCACGTGTCGAGGAGCTTCGCGAGCGGCAGCTTCGATAGGCCACCGATGATGCTGGCCATGATGTTCGTGGCGGCGGTCAACGAGTGCAGCTGGAATGCGCTCGTGACGTAGGGGTTGAAGACGCGCACGACAACCTCCTCGGTGGAGGTGACGAAGTAGATCAACCAGATGCTGCGCGTTTGCAAATGCGCCGTGGTCAGTTGTCTGGATTCCCGATACCAAGGGCCCCGCCAAGGCGCAACAGACAGTCTCGGCATCCGGTTCGGGGAGAAAACTCACAAGGTGTAGGCAGCGACAAGGTGCCATTTGGTCCACACGGTGGCAGCAGCTTCGACACCGCGCACTCCGGCCTGGTAACCCTCAGATCCGTTTTCTCCATCGGATCCTTCTTTCTTGTCGTGATCCGCGACATCGCCGGTGTCGCGAGGGCTGGGCGAGGTTTGCACGGTCTCTGTGACGTCGTTGGTGTCGCCGGCTGGCGACTTGGCCGAGGAGAGGAAGCCCATGACAATGGCAACGGAGTTGAGATCGGATATCGGCGATGGCCCTGGGGCTGGTTCAAGGGCAGCAGGAATGCCGCAATTTATTTATATATATATATATAGATATATAAACAACTTGAAGGGTGCCGCGCATCCCGAGCATAACAGGAATTTGCGGTGCGGTCGAATTGAAACATCAGAGCAGCACGAAGAGGCCCGGACCGCGGCACAGACATGCATACTTTGTACTAAGTTTGCAGCTGCTGTGTGCCGGCCAAGACCCGGAACTGGAAGTTCCAGCTCGAAAGGCTTGCCGGTCGCGGAGCTTCGTCGAAATGAGAGTGGGACAGCTAGCCAACAATTGCTGCACCTGCATTGAGCTGGTCCCAACTGCACAAGCCAAAAATGCGCCCGGCTGGGAAGCGGCACGGTATGATTGGGCGTATTTCGAAGCCAACCCAGTGAACCCCACACCTGTGCGCATGCTCTATGGAGGTCCCCACTGCAATAAATCCATCTTATCTGATAATCAGCTCAATCAGATCATCTGATAAAAATTCTGCACCCCCGCGCTATTCCGATTGCCAAGTCTCCAGCGTCACATTCCTCGGTTATATTAGGTGATTCCCGTATTTCCCCTGCCTCTCCGCCCGCAGTGTTTTTTTTCCCCTTAGCACCGGTCACCACGCCGCCTCTTGCGAGTGCGGATGCTCGTGCCTGGACCTGGTCGTGAATGATGCTTGGTCTGGGTTGATGCATCACTAGTGCTATCCCAGTTTGGCACCGCCCAGCCAACAAAACATGGATAAAAGTGGTAGCTCAGGGATTCCATCACCAACGAGCAGCGCACCAGCTTGCGCCCTGTGCTCTGTGAACAACCAGACTCTGCAGCAGGCCCCTCAGCTTTGCTTTTTCCCGCCGCCATCAAGGTGACCCCCCTTCAAGACTGCAAAGTGCAGACATAGGTTGTTGGTTGATACCTGCGACATCGGCACAGCCATGTCCGTCTGCCTGATGAATCAAACTATCGTCTAACCACGATGCGCCAAGATGGTTAGACACCCTGAAAGCGGCATGGTCGCGACGCCACCTACTGGGCGTCCCGGATCTCGCGCGTGTTGGTGCTTGGCACTGCATATTATATAATCTAGCCTGTCCGCATTCTCAAGCTTTCCCTGCAGCTCATCCCGTTCTTGTTGCATCCGTCCCACCATAAGCAAGCGTTCAATCTTTTTGCCACAAACAAGCCTCAAGTTTGTCTTAACTCCCAGTCAGCCTTTCAAAATGAAGTACCTCGGTGTCATCCTCGCCACAGCGGGCCTCGCCCTCGCCCAGAACGTCAACGACTACTTCCCCGAATGCTCCATCAAGTGCCTCCTTGACTCGGTTTCCTCGGCCACCGATTGCGCCCAGGACGACGGCGTGTGCATCTGCATCTTCGACAACTACGCCTCCATCGTCGATGATTCCACCAACTGCGTGATCCAGGCTTGCGGTGCCGACGTCGCCATCAGTAAGTTTGATGACCCCGGTGTTCAGTTCAAACCATCCGAGCCAATCCCCCTCCCCCCTCCGCTCCCGGCTAACCCCCGCTTCCCAGACAAGGTCCTCCCAGGCGCCGACAACTACTGCAAAGCCGTCACCGCCGCCGCCTCCGCCCACACCGCGTCCAAGACCTCCACACCCGCCGCATCCGGCACCGCCGCCGCCACCGGCTCCCCCTCCCCCTCCGTGACCGACGCCGCCGCCTCGCCGCCGGCCACCACCCCCGCGCCGACCGGCTCCGGCTCCGCCAATGCTCCGCCACCGGCCACCACTACCAGCTCTGCCGGTGCCGCCAATGCCGGCTCCGTCGGCCTGGTCGCCATGCTCGGTCTCGGCGCTCTTGCTGCTCTCTAGGTTTAGTTTGGCGGACGAGTTGAGGTGGGATGTGCGTCCTGCGTTGTGTCGCGTTCGACGGGGTACGCCGAGTCTCGGTGCAAGGACGGGGGAACGTGGTAGATAGTGTATTGGTAAATTCTTGTATAGCATAGCTTGCCTCTTTATCGGGACGCGAGTTCTTGTGTGTGGTGACCCATTGATGGGTCCTGTTGATCCGCCTGCCAGAGAAACCGCTTTTCAGTTTGCAGGTATCCCCACCACGACCGCCTTTGCCCACCCTTTTCCCATCCCAGTCATGTCTTGCCCATGTGTCTTTCGTTCTCGGGGGCTCGCTCCTGGCGGTTCTGCTTCCTAACGTAGTGGAAGGAGGTCAGACTCATGTATATCCTTGGCCGAGTCCGGGGGAGCAAAGTGGCAAGTCAAAACTTGTGAGCCATCGGGCGTCTGAAGCCTATGCGTCCCTTACTAGACTCCAACTAAGCCCAACTCTTCTAGTGGGGAAGTTTCCCAGTCAATCCGTTTGGTGGTTGAAAATTCCCCGACTGTATAGCAAGCGTCCCCATTGCTATTTCTTGAGATAGCCACCTTATATACGCAAAAAGGAATAGGGGCCAGGCCTTACCCTGACTAATCCATCGTCTACTGCAACTTAAGGGTTACTTAGTTCTTGCCTACTTGCCTTTACCGCCCTTTCTCTTCTTGGCGCAGATGTCCAACAACTCTCGACCATGGAACTATGCGAGATTGTCTGCTCAAGTCGAGACCTTGAATTCAGCCAACCTCGGGACCGCCAACAAATTGGCTAGACAGAACGCCATCATTCTTTTGTGGCTGGCCACCCGTGAAATAATTTGTCTCCATTAAACACAACGACGACAGGACTAGACTTTCAAGGCGAAGAGACGAGGTTTTCCGAGCAGGTTGTCGTCATGCGCAATGAGTCAGTTCCAAATTCGGTTATATTAAAGTTCGAGGCTGCTGCATTCAAATCCATGAACTCCGAGGTACCCAAATGTCGTCCTGATTAGATTAGTCAGTCGGTGCAGTTGCAAGCATTTTCAAGGACTAAATGGATCTCGGGCTCTTGGCAGGCTTTCGGAATGGAGTAGGGGTAGCATGTCTACTGCCTTGCTGCCTTCTTATCAATAGGGTTGGTCAAGCACGTCACGCCGAAAGCCACTTCGTCGGAGTTTGTATACAAATAGGCCTGTTGGAGTTTCTGCCCGCGTACCGGCACTGCTTCTGTGTTAAATTGATATTCAAGACACAGCCATGCAGAGTGAATCGAGTCAGACTTCTGCATCAGTAACCCCAACTGCACTTCTAGCACTAGTTTTTTTCAGCACCCATGCGTCAACATGTCTACTCTCATGCGACGGATCCAAAAGCTCTGCCCCTGCCGGCGTCGAGGGGATGTAGAAGAACAAGACGATGCACACGAGACACAGGACGATGAACGGGAGAGACAAGGGCAGCAGGACAAAGGTGGATCGGAGCAGCAATCTCGAATGCTCCTCACTCTGCGCGACCTGCAGCGCACCATGAACCCCTTGATAGCAGCCCAAGTCTTCAACAACAATCACAGTCCCATTGGCCGGCTGCCGAAAGAGCTCTTGCTTTACATCCGCCACTGCATAGGGGACGGCATTCTTACCCTGTACTGCCTCTGGCGTGTCTCGAGGACTTTCCGGCATCTTATCGACGACCCAACCATTTGGAAACACATGGTGCGTCCACTTTCACACAGATCCAGGCGTATGACTGAAGCTATTTGGAAGTTCCCCTTTGACCTGCAGGATCAACTTCGACAGCGCTTACAAGAAGACGGGATGTGCAATGAGTGCATACTCTGGTGCAATGTTCCTATCAAAGGATTGTTAAGACGGATCATCCGGGCTTCGAACCTTGATACCAACCGTCGTCGAGCAATTGGGGACCTTTGCAAATTCGAGACTGAGCTTGGTGCTGTCCTTTACTGCAATGCCTGCGGCAGCTACCAGAATGTGCTAGAGTTTTCCTCTTCCAATCAGGATCCTGACAAGCGAGAGCGACAGTGTCTGGGTCGCCAAGGAGCCGTGCAGCTGTGTGAGCATGTCCATGTCTCCTGGGCCGACGTTGAAGCCCATATAGCCTACTGGCAGCAGCGCAAGCCTGGAGAGTGGAAGCCCTGCTTCAACCACTCCATTGTCGAGTGCCATCATCCAAGTCACGACACATGCTGCACAGCCGAGGTAGCCCCGACCTGGCCTCGAGCCCGTCTCCAGAGCGACGATGAGGACCGGGCCCAGGTGGTTCTCAGTCTGGAATGGAAACCCCATAGCGGTCTCGATGCTTTTACCCGCGCCCCGGATGGGCGGGCCCGTCCCGCGGAGCTAAGGGCGCTGTTTCAGAGGTATCGACAGGGGCCAGCCAGCATTCTGCTGTCTTCGTACCCTTCGAATCCCTTGCCCGAGATGATATGTTTTGACACTTCCAAGTGTCGCTGCCTTCACTACAAGATGGGGAATAACAAGAGACCGAGTGCTGCGGGTCGTGGAACGAAACACGGAAGCTTCTTCCGCAATGACTGGCCGCGTGGATGCCCCACCTGTCATTGCCATTTGAGGTATTTCGGAAAGATTGGCGAAAGAGTAGACATGAGGAAACATTGGCCTAGGGGTAGGAGCAAATCAGCATGTCTGGTCACCGTCTATCAGCGCCATGTCTGGTCTGCGACAAGACGGACCGTGGCAAGATCAACCCCACCCACGCGTGGTTCCATGCCATGGATCCTGACACATACCTTCCTTCGTCCAAATGCCGGTCACGCCCCCACCTTTGTGCAAGGACAAGGGCTGCATGAACTATTATCGAAGACCACAGTCCTACTGCTGTGAATAACGCACTGCCTAGATGCCAGGCAGGAATCTTGGCCAAATGCAGAGCGGAGGATGAGGGAGACGACATAATACCAGCTGGGTCATAGGGAGGAGGCCAGGAGGTAGCAGCTAGAAGGCAGGGGAGCAAGCGGTCATCACATGAATCGCTGGCTACCTCCCCTTCTCGCGAAACGGTGACAGGACATAGGCCATCAAGTCGACCGCTTTGGCTGCCTAACCCACAAAGCGGTTGCCTCCTCCTTGGTATCCCTTCGCTGCTGAGACGGCCCGGTCCCATACGCCGGGGATCCGGGGCCCAAACCACCAAACCACGGCCATGACAGCCATCATCTGGGAAAACCGGACGGGCAGGGATGGCCGAACGTTGTTCTCAATGGCCACAATGACTGCTAGGAGTTTCTCGAGGAGGGTGACGAACCGCTCCTCCAATGTCTCTTTTGTGGTAGGAATGGATTTGATCAGCGTGGTTATGGTAGTTCGCACTACCGTGGGCTGAAACAGGTCGGCCACGAGGCCGAGAAGAACGAGCAGCAGCAGCAGCAGAAGGCCCTGGACTTCTTCCAAAGCCGAATAGGTACTGACTTCCTTGAAGGATGATTCGGCCTTATCAAGCTTAAGACTGGAAGCTTCGACTGGGCCTACACTACGCCAAGAATTTGGAGCCCACCTACGATCCGGCTCACAACATCCCATTTCACGAGGACCTTTGGCCGACAGAGTGGTGTGAACGGCAGAACGCACTCTCCACGTTCCTGAGACATTGGCGACAACGCTACGCCAGAGAAGGTATTCTTGCCCTTCTTGCCTTTACCACCCTTTCCCTTCTCGGTGAAGAGATGTAACAACAGTCCGCAATAGATATATTAAAGGAGATTGCGAGGTTGTCTCCCCGAGTCGAGGCCTCGCGTCGCCGCGGAGAAACTCCGCACCACTACTGCCCGACAACGCGTCACCGAGGCCAAAGTCAAAACTGTCACAGCCCATCTTCGCGCTGCCGATGTCAAGCAACGCGCTGCGGAGACTAGGCGCCGCGCCGCCGAGACCAAGCGCCGCGCCGCCGCCACTAAGATCCGGGCCGATCGTCGGGCGACCATCGCCAATCGGCGCGCTGACAAGGCCGAAGCGATGCTGAAAGAGGTGGTCAAGGCCTTTAGCGGATATTCGGAGGGTAGGCAAGGCTCTGTCGAGGAGATGTTGACCGGCTTGGAGCAAGCGAAGGCCCAATGGCGCTAGAATAAGCAGACGGTTGTGGTTGTCGCTTGTGTAGACAAGGGGGTGGGTGGGCGGATGGTGCAGCTAAGCAAGTATCGCTGACGACAAAGACAACACATATTAATTACTAGAACGATGTGAAGGAGAGGAGTTTTGGAAGCCCAGGGTTTCTCTTTGGTCGACCAATACATACCCGAGACAGAGCAGAAATACTGAAAAGGAGTGAAAAGTTACGGCATGTGGGAGATCACCTGAAGGGGATAGTATGAAGGCCATTCTCAAGGTCAGGGAAATTCTAGACACACATGCATCCACGTACTTTTCGAAAATACGATCTGGCAGCACAGCACGTCTTTTAGGGCCATTGATCAGCCGTCACGGCTGATCAGCTATCCCTAATCTTGCCCCTGGTTTTCTGTTTTGTTGTTTTGGCCATACTGGGCGAAATCCAGGACTTCGCCCTGTTTCAATACCTACAGGCATAAGCGCTTGACAACACATGGAGAGTCATTTTGCCGCACAATAAACAACAACGCCCACGGTGGAATACCTGATCCGACTGCTTCACGTGGTGCCGGAGCTCGTAGATGCCTACCTCTGAGAAGGAGCACTTCATTCTAGAAAGCGAACTCCAGCGTACTCCCTCCCCAAAAAAATAAAATAAAACGCCAGCTCCCAGCACCAAAGGTACCCCTCCTCTTCCCAGAACCACCGTGACCAAATCCTTACTCGCCAGAGCCACCACCAAGCCCCCACCCTGCAGCGGCGTAAGCACCGCCAGCGGAAAAGCGCAAGGGCTAGACAACGAGGGAACCACCTAGAAGGCCTTGTAGCAGACGAAGACACCAAAGCTTAGGCAAGTGAGAAAACGGTGACGGGAAAGTGAGAAAGCGGTGACGCCGCAGGCGGAAACCACGGGGAAAGGACCAACCCAGCCCGGCAAGCCTGAAGATATATCAACACCACTCCCGAACACCTCACCACCGCACCTCCACACCCTACACCTTTTCCATTCACACACGACAAGCCTCACTTCTTTGAAGGAGCCACATTGCCCGCCAGCATGGCTTCAAAAGACAGATACAAGGGCGACGCAACGGCTATGCGACTCATTCTTGCCAGGGGCTTACAACCGCGACGCGGTCATCAAGCTACTGTCCCGCGCCAACCCACACGACGGCAGCAAGATCCTTTCCTCTCACCAAACGTGGGGCAACCTGATCATGTCGTTCGGCAATCTCCAGACCTGGCTTGGGGACGACCAAACCCAATCGGCGTGGCAGCGATATGAAGCCATGGGAAAGTGGCCGAAACTGCCCAATCGCGACGCACTGGGAGCAGTGACGGTTCTTCCGAGCAACAAGAACAATGCGACAACATTCCCTACCCATTTTGACAGGGAATTTCTCTGCAGGTATGCGCCATTTGCTCTGCAGGTAGGTGGCAAGTTGGCAACAGCTGCGTTGCTGTTACTATTGCTATTTCTAGCAATGGCAATAACGATGGACAGCAACGGCAGGAGTGACAGGAGTGACAGCAAGAGCGATAGATGGCAATAGCAATAGCGATAGACAGCAATGGCAAGAGCGATAGACAGCAATGGCAAGAGCGATAGACAGCAATGGCAAGAGCGATAGACAGCAACTGCCACCTGTGATGCACTAACCGCCTGCCCGGGGAGCAATAGCGCATGCCCCTGGAGAAATTCCCTTTCGACAAGTGGATTGCCGACACGAACCTTGGGGGCATAGCGGAGGAAGATGGCAAACGGCGATACCACCTCTACTGGCCGTCTGCCATGTTGTGGCTTCAGGACAAGGCCGCTCTACCGCTTGACGAATGGCGGAAACGGTTCGCTAGCGAGGGTTGCACTTGGGACGCCCGCACGAAGTAGATGCTACCGCCGGTCAAGCTGGCCGCGTTCGAATATGCAGCCAATCCACCTTGAGGATGACTGCACCGTCGGCCTGCCCGCTGCTGGCCCACAGACCAAGAGACGAATGGAATGGCCATCGGCGGCGATCAAAAAGAAGACAAAACAATCAACAGCCCCGAGCCTGCGCGATAACGATACGTCACAGACCAAAGTCGACGATTCCCAAATGCTACGGGCAAGGATAGAGATTCAAACAACATTTGACAGTGGACACACTGAAGGACGTTGCGAAGTTGTCTGCCCGAGTCGAGACCCTCGAGGCAGCCAATGCCAGGCACGAGACCGAGCTGGCGGAACTACGCGAGAGAGTGCGACGCGCCGAAGTCAACCAAGTCTCCGAAAAACGCGAGCTGGGACCCCACGGGCTATATTAGAGGCACAATATGCGCATGTACAGGCACACTGCGTGGTAGTGGTCTTTTGTTTTGGTTCGTTTTTCTTTTTTCTTTTTTTTTTCACTCGCTTGCCTTCGTTGGCAGGACGCCATCATTCTCGCCATCTGTGGCATAGCATTGGTGATGGCAATGGAGATGGGGAAGAGAGGAAGAGGAGACAGGCGACGGGCTTGGCCGATGGGGCATTGTTGCCCTTGCATTAGCGCTGGGGCGTAGTGGGTGGGGTAGCGTGGTTGGGACTGGCCTAGACTCGCCCTTCAGCTCGTGCTAGTGCCAGCAGTCTTTCCCTTTGTGGCGGCGGCCCATGTGGGGATTCCCAAGCCACTTCCGATGATCCGGACGTACCAGAAAAGTTGCTGCTAATAAACTCACTCTTGATGATCCTGCTTGCATCCATCGTTATTATCGCATCGGTCACTGCTTGCCTCATCCGTTCCTGCCAGTGTGGCCTAGGTCTCTTGGCGGAGATGCTAGCGTGGACAACAGCTTCATTTGCTGGTTCGCGCTTGGGCGGATTGCTTGTCTCCACCACAGCTGATGGAAAGCAGAACAGCTGGATTATATCCGAGCATCTCTAATTGGCTGCAGAGCCCCGTTAGTGAGAGACTATCGACTCTGCAAATAGGCCGTGCAGGAAGAGAACAATAGCTTCGTACACGGATCCAACTGACGGTTCCCACGGTAATTAGCCCACGGTTCAACTGCATGATGGCTCCAACAGATATATATTCCTGTGCTGCTCTTGGTGGAGACAGAGATGCGCGCTCTATCGTGAACCTCTTCCCCCCCACAGTGTCCTGAAAAGCTGTATCCAATATGAAGGCTTTCTCGCCCCTTCTCCTTGCTGCCCTGGCCGCCCCTCTTGGGGTCGTTGCCGATTGCACGCACAATAACTGCCTTCGAGGTATGGGAAATCATGCATGATAAGCGACGGGAACAACACTGACCACAAGTTACGCATTTAGCTGTCATCGGGCAATCCTTTCCTGACAGGAATGGCACAGCCGATTGCCAGTCGATCTTGCGGAAGGTGCGGGTTACCGTAACTCCGGCGACAAGGTACGCGTCTCCATATCATGTACAAGGTAGAAAGAATACTTGCTGACCACGTATCTCTCCTTCAGCACCTTCACCGCAACGGTGACAGTGCCGACCGAAGTCGTGGTCTCGGCAACCGAAGTGGAGGTGTCTACTCAAGTCGACATCGTCGTAGTCGCGACGCAGACGAACGTGGAGGAGCAGACCGAGACTGTCTCGGAAACATTGACCGTGGTAGACACCATCTTAACTACCCAGACTGTCCCGCCTGCTCAGACTGTCCCGCCTGCTCAGACTGTCCCGCCTGCTCAGACTGTCCCGCCTGCTCAGACTGTCCCGCCTGCTCAGACCCTCACCTTCAAGCGCGGGGTTCTTGGCAAGCGGTGCGAACAGCGGCCGTTCCCAACCTACGCTTCCGCATGTTCGTCGTTCAAGACATGGGCCTCTGCATGCTCGTGCATCGGCGTCTTCCCCAGCACCACCACCGTGGCTGCCCCCTCGACGACCATCACGGTGACTGAGGTAACCACTGTTCTCAACACCGTGGTCACTACCACGTCCACCACCGAGACGATCCTGTCGTCGGTCACCGACACCACTCTCACCACGAGCGTGACCACCTTGACTACGACAGACGCCACCACGACCGTCCTGACGACCGCCATCACCACCGTGACCGCCACGCCGGACCCCAACATCGTCAAGAACGGCGGCTTCGAGACGGGCAGTCTGCAGAGCTGGAAGCTCTCCGCCGGGTCCATCGGCGCATCGGCCGTCAAGCCCGGAAGCAGCTCGGTCTACAGCCTCAAGACGGGCAACCTGTACGACAACAACCTGTTCGAGCTGTCCCAGACGCTCACCGGGGTGGCGGGCTCGACGTACGCGTGCTCGTACAGCTGGAAGTACACAAACTACTACGAGACGAAGTACAGCGACGACGTCACGTACGTGCCGTACGTGCACGTCTACATCAACAACGACATCGTGTCCAACCGCAGACCCGACGCCGGCTCCGTCAACCAGTGGCAGACGGCCTACTTCGACTTCACGTCCAGCGGCCAGGACACGCTCTGGTTCGACTGCGCCAGCCCCCAGCCCAGGTTTGGCAGCAAGGGCGGGAACAATTACCTGTCGCTCGACGATGTTTCCTGCGTGCCGATTGTGTGATGCGCTTGATCGGGAGGCGGTTTATTACTTCTGGACAAGGGGGTTTGCATTGGGCGGGCGGGTTTGCGTGTAGGTAACAATTGGGTAATAATGGAGGGGATGGTTTGGTGGGTTGGTGGGTTGGCTTCAGCATGTACTAGCTAGATAATCTTCTTATATATAAATACTGTCCAGATAGACGCATCTGAGCCCATCACAAGGGTCGTACTTCCGTCTATCCAGTTGTTGGCGACCTTGGAGCCGAGCGTGTCTTTCCATCTACCCGGCCGCATTTCGAGTATGTTGCCGTGTTCCCGTCAATGGACATGTCACGGGCTTATCTGGCGGCCAATGATGGACCGATGTGGTCGACGATTGCTTGGCGCGAGGGAGAGCAACAGTTGAACGGCTAGACTCGCCCTGCAAATGCTGGCCTGCGAGTGGATGGAAGGTCTGAAGCAAGGAGTTTACGAATGGAAGTGGCGTCGATGGCAGAACACTGGCGGAATCTTCCTGGTTTGTAGGCCATGGCCAAATAGAAAGAGACGGCGAGGACGTCAAATAGCAGGCATCATTTATTGGACGATCTTGGCGACAGGAGGTCGATGACGATTGGCATTGATGACAGGGAGTGGGCAAGAATCGCGTTCCGGCTAGGTAATCGGTGCGCTCGCTGCTTCCGACCCTGTCGGGCTCTGTCTGCCTGTCTCGGCTTGATAGCAATCCGGAATATCCCAGCCCTTGTTGGCTTTTGGCCAACGGCAATTCGAGAGACAGACAAGTCGCTGCCGGCATGCCTTCATCACTCGGTGGTGTGTATTGGGTGTCTGCGATACGTGGTGCAGCTTCGATCAGAACCTTCTGAAAATCAGCATAAATGTTTCCTGACAGCACCCTGGCGGAGAATGGGCTACCAACCTAGCCAGCCCAAACGCCGCTGGTTCTTCCAAAGCCAAAATCGTAGCCCGCACAGCGCCCCTATTGAACCAAGAACTCCTCGATATCCTTATCCTCCTCCTCCTCCTTCGACTCCTGCAGCTTCCTCTCCTCCGCCTCCAACAGCTTCCTGATGACGGCGCGCTGCCTCCTCCGCGCCTTCTTGCCCCAGTCGGCCCCGGACGTCCGGCCGCCCAATCCCCGGGCCCCGCCCTCCTCCTCGTCGTCATCCTCGTCGCTGCTGTCTTCCGGTATCTCGACCTGGCCGCGCAGCTGGTTCGGCGAGATGGCCGCCTTGGCCGTTGTGTCCTCCTCCGAGTCCTTGCCGTGCGCCCTCATCTGCAACTTCTCGCCCAGCTTCATCAGGAACGGCCGCAGGAGCATGTACGCGCCCACGATGATCACCAGCCGGATCCACTTCTCCGGCGTCAGGTTGGAAAAGGTCGACTGGATGTTGGTCGTGAAGCGCTTGCCCGCCGTGGCGAGGAGGTTGGTGAGGCCGTCGAGTGGGGAGGCCATGGTCGGTAGGAGAGGATTCGCGGTATTACTTTGCGGGAGTGCAGGGGTTCGTAGAGGGGTCGCGCGAGGGGGCTTTTGGATAGCAGAAATATGCCCGATTCGGGTAAAGGGTTGCTGGTAGAGGTAATGGTCGCTCGATGTATGATAGATGGAGGGGAATATCTTGATCTCGGAATCGCCGGAGCAAAGACGCGACTCGGAATTGGAGCTTGGTTGCGGCGAGAAAAAAAATCCCCGTTGGAAATCCTCTCTCTAATGTGGGGCATTACTTTAAAGCACGCTAAGGCGCGCGCCGGGATTATGACCGACCGTTATGTATCCGTACCTGGCTTCCGTCTCGCACCCACGTCATCTTGAGATAAAGCCCAGCCAAAAGGTTAGGTCACGTGGGAATAGGAGACCGTTTTAGAAACGAACAGTTAAAACGGCCACTTTGGCACTTTCTGGGTCGAAAGACGTCGCAAAACGGTTGCTCTTCAAAACGCGTAATTTTTCTTTTCTGGCAATCACCAGGAAGACTTGGATTTCCTTGCTTTCCACCATCTTGAACCCCACAATCCATTTCATCGACGGCTTTCTTTTCATCGTCCGAGACCAACGCAAATCGGTCTTTACACCCACCACGCTTGTTTTCCCACCTGAGAACCGCTCATCCGCGTGCTTCTAGAATGCCGGGTCGAGTGCAGAGCTCTTGCGCGCCACACAATCAATCGGAAAAGTTAGAGTCCCAACAATGAATGCAGCGCATGGTATCGGCCTCGAGAAAAAGCTGGCTGGAAGTTTGGGAACCTAACAATCGGGATAGAAGGTTTGCGGATTTGTGGTGTGGATTTTCAGCTTGGACGGCGGAGGGGCCCGTAGCTTGGCGCGCCCGCCCGGTTAGGACCGGAGCCGGGCCGGCGTTGTATAAAATTCTGTGACCTAAAACTTTCAAGTGTTAACAACCTAATGCGCAACCACCGTGGCCAACGTTCTAACGATGTCCCCATGTTATTTCAACTTCAACAGTAAGGATGTGGGGGTATTTTGTGACAAAGAACCAGTTCCCCCATATCCCGGCGCCGGCGGATGAGACTCTATCCTTAACACGGCCCCACGCCGTGCCGAGGCACGCATTTGAGCTTGAGGTGTTTCCCCACAATTGCCAAGTCCTAGCACCGAAAGACCGAGGTCTTTAGAAGCAAAACCACCAATAACATTGCAGCACGCACCTGCCAAAGATTTAGCAGCCTACTGGCACCTGTGACGCACAGACCCCCCGCAGGAGCAATTGGGCACATGCCAACGGAGACGTTTCTCGGAGCGAATTGCGATTCTCTTTCCTCCACCATCTCAGCAACAATGGCAAGCACACTCTTAGACCAAGTATCGGTGGAGGAGTCGGGTCCCGACCAATTCGTCTCCCGCTTCAACCCGGGCCGCATGGGAAACACGGCGAACATCGCCTACGGAGGATGCACCCTCGCCGCCGCCGTACAAGCGGCGTGCCGGACGGTCTCGCCGGAATACCTCCTCTACTCGACCCTCGGCAACTACCTCGGGCCGGCCCTGACGGACCGCAAGCTGACCTGCTCGGTGCGCCGGGTGCGCGACACGAGGACATTCGCCACGCGGCAAGTCGAGGTCAGCCAGGAGCAGCAGGACGGCGCGCCGAGGCGCCTGTGCATGGTCGTCCTGGCGGACTTCCAGGTGCGCGAGCCGGCGTCGCTGCTGGCCTACTCGGCACCGCCCTCGAGGTCCTACTCCCCGGTCGAGAGGTGCCTCGGCGCGGCGGAGGCGGGCGAGGAGATGGTCCGGAGCGGGGTCGTGCCGCGCAAGCTGGTCGGGCTGCACGGCGTCATCTTCGGCCTCATGGCCCGGTTCTTCGAGACCCGGCAGGCGCCCGAGGGGGTCTCGGCGCAGAACCTGGGTGGCCTGGCGAAGGGGGTTAGGACGGACCAGGACGACCTCCCCATCACGTCCAAGACGTCGGCGGACTGGTTTCGCTGCCGCCACCGTCTCGATCGGCGGGAGGACCATCACGCCGGCTTGGCGTTTGTGATGGATGGGGCGCTGTCCTTCATGCCGTTGACGCACAGCGGCATGTTTGTCGACGATGTTGCGGCGTGCTCCAGTCTCGACTTTGCTCTGCGATTCTTCACGGGCGATGTGGACTTGAACAATTGGCACCTGAGGGAGCTGAAAACAGTTGCCGGTGGAGAGGGAAGAACGTACACCGAGTCTCGGCTCTGGGATCAGTCTGGCACCCTGGTCGCGAGCATGACGCAGCAATCCATATTGCGACCGAAAAGGACGGCTAAACCGGCCCTTTGATCTTGATTCAATTACTCCGTCTTGTACAGATTCCCAGCTCGACAGCGAGTAGGGCAGTCTTGATTCTCAGTCCGGAAAAGGAAATATAGAACTAGAAGGACGAAGCTAAGCGGCGACTTGGCGGGAGTTCCGCGATGCAAATCAGGAGGGCATCTAGATCAGTCAAAGCGAAGATGGAGGTCACTCGAATGCTTTCTGATCCCTTCTCGCAATCATAGGAAGGATTTATATCACTCAAAAGTCACTCCAGAATTGGGCGGCTACGATATTCAGGATGGGCAGTGTCCCGTCGATGCCAAGATCTCGGACTCGAAACTCCACGCCGCTGTCAGACTTTGTCCACGGTGATGTCGCTGCCGAAACCCAAGAGAGGCTTTGACACTGTCTGCCCTCCGTGCTGACAGCAATTCACTTGTTACTGAGCTAGCTCGAGTCAGGAGTCTGCGAGTCCGGTGTGTTCATCAGTGGGTCATTTCATCATTGATGGTCGTGGCATGATTCTACATGGACGCGAGTCCTAAGGTGTATGCGGACGGGAGATATGGCTCCAAGGACAGAAAATTCAACGCAGCCGGGGTGGTCATCGCCCACTCATCCCACCGCCATACCCCCCGGGACTCCTCACCGCATCCTATTCTCGGACTCGTAGACCTCGAACTCGACCGTCTTGCTGATGCCGACGCGTTTTGGGTCCATGACCTCGAGGTCGATGTCCGACGGCGTCGTCCGCGACGACGAGCCGGCTTCGATGATGCGCTCCTGCGAGCTCGTCCTGTGCCCGCTCCTCCCTCCTCCTCCTGCACCGCCTCCTCCATGTCCACCTCCGCCCCCCTGCACCTCGATGACGTGCTCGCCCCGGGACGCCGTGTACGTCCCCTCGCCTTTTCTGCTCGTGACGAACTGCCGCGGGTACGACTTGCCGCGGCTGCGGGACGACGAGTCGTAGACCTGGTTGGTGAACACTAGCTTGGAGGCGAGGATGTCGATGCTGGTGGTTGTTAGCCGTGGGGAAGGAAGAGCGGGTGAGGTGGGGCAGGGCAGCACTGACAACATGATGACGGGGAAGAGACACTCCATGGTGTACGCGAATCGGTCCAGCTGGCTGGCCACGTTGGTCGCGCTCTGGGCCGTGGCCTGGAACGAGTACGTGATGGCGCGCATGGTGCCGAGGATGGCGAGGAGGGCGAGGCGGATCTCGGTACTCCGCATCAGGTACTGAAAGAGCCCCGTCTTGATGGCCGCCCTAAGGGACGTCGTCTTGGCCGAGGCGAAGATGGTGAGCAGGAAGTAGGAGGACACGCACTCGACGACGGCGATTAGGACGAAGTAACCAATATGCAGGTGGTTGATGGTGGTCTGGAGCCCGTCATTGTCGTCCAGGATGAGCCTGACGCGCATGACGGCAATCATGATGCGCACGACGGCGATGGCGAGGATGGTCGTCCAGAAGAGAACCGCGAAGACGTACCACTGCCGGCCGCGCAGGACCCGGCTGAGGATCACGTAGCTGTAGAACGAGAGGCCTGCTTCTTGCACCTGTTGTTTCCCAGAGAGTCAGCCTTGAGGAACATGTTTAAATCCAACACAAGACGGGGACACCACCGGCATACCATCCATAGCAGATCCGCAAACGCCGATGCGACGGCCTGGTTCGTCTTGCCGTTTGTCTCATCGTAAAAGGCATAGTAACAGAGCCCGTTGGCGACGGCGCCGGCGGCGGAGGTGACGATCGGGACGGCAGCCACGGGGGAGAAGTTGGTGATGCCGACGACGAGGATGCCGAAGAGGACGTTTGCGGCCCCGATGGTGCTGAGGATGGACCAGCTCAGCTCAAAATAAACTGGCACGACGATGTCGGCGGACGACATGATGGCGAAGGCGATGGACTCCCGTGTTGAAGCTACCACGCTGGAAGGGTGGTAACAACAGTATCGACTTGAAAATGCGCCTGGCACCAATTAATACCATTCAATGCATGGTTGTTTCGTTGACAGTCAACAGGTCTAGGGGCTGGCACAAGCCATTGTCGAAGGTTCTGTCTGTTGTTCTTTTATTGAATGGCAATGTGGAGCGAGTCGCCTCATCCGGGGTCAGTAGCCTTAGAGCTAAGGGGTGTCATAGCGGTGTTTGGAGCCTGTGAGTGGCTGCTAGAAGGCCAAGCCGCTTCCTGAAGATTGAAGCCAGGACGCCACACTGGGGGAAGTCGAACCACTTCGTCTGCCTGTCAACTTTACATAATTAGTAGCTGCGGCGGCGGTGTGGGCCTTTTGCGGAGGTCCAGGGGATGGAACGGAGATAGGATTGTCGACGGAGCTGGAGATCATCGATGACTTGACAGCGGCTTGTTGATCTGTTTTGTTGATGACTGACAATGGCGGCAAAAACAGGAGGATTTCGTTCCACAAATTTGGCGTTGACCCGAATGGACATGACGATCTATCCGGAACTTCGATACTTCCATGAAGGACTTACTCCATACTCCATACGCTGGCCAGTAATATCACTACTCCATATTGGGATATCGCTTGCCTATGGTCTCCTAGAAAATGATGGCACCTGTCAAATCAAGGTAGTACAGTTCCTGAAATGTCGCTTGGTACTGTGTGTGTACGGGGAGCTGAACGTGGCAACAAGGATTGTGGTGGAAGAGGGGAGTGGAGATTCAGATAGTACATACATTACGTACCTCTACCTAGAGGTATGTTTACTGTACCTACATCCAGGTGCAAATATTGAGAGCATAACCTGGAATAATACAGATGCAGTCCCTCATATCGAGGGTCATATTCAAGAAATTCCGGGTTTGCGCTCAGAAATGCCCTGAAATGCACGAGGCAAAAACTTCGCAAAATATGCCGAAAATGAGGAGCTCGGGGAGCCGGGGACAAAAGCCTGCGCTGCCAAGTGGGTGAAACAATGACGCACAGGGCATATCCTTGTCGTCGCCCAGGTACGAATTGCCGGGGTTTTCCGGGGCCTGGCTGCTGGATTTACGTAGTAGTAGTGCTCATGCCCCGGAGCTGTCTACGCCCCGGAACTGTCTCGACAAGGCACCGGGGCGAGGCCGGTGCACGGGATATCGACGCGGAGCTAGCTAGCAACACATGGAAACCATCCATAGAAAGGAGAGGCAAGGGTGCTAATGCTTCGTTACGATATCGGGGCAAATCCGAGCGGCGATCTGACGAGTCATATTGTCAATCTGTCGAGCACGATAGAGTTTTGAGGGGCCACGGCAGGGGCTGAAATAGGGTAGTAATGAATGATGCGATGCTCGATAGCAAGGTGACTAGTGTGTGTCCAGAACGCTGCTCCCTGAACCTAACCTAACCCCGTTTCTGCGACCGACGTCACTGGCTGAGAATAAATTGTCCCCAATGAGCGCCCATTTCCCGGCAAGAACTGCATACTTAGTATGTACGCATGCAGGTAGTGTATTGAACCGGGGTTCATCAGTTTATGCGCTGCCCTGTCAGTCTCGCTGCCGTTGTTGCCATGCTTAAAATCAGGCGGGGTGACAGAAAAAGAAAAGAAAGGGGAGGATCGGCAGAGTCCGCAGATGCTGCAAGCCCCACTCTTTGCCGGGGGTGCAACCTGGATTTCTGATTGCGAGCCTTGGAATTCCCGCCCAGGTAGAAACAAGCACGCGTCAAGATGCAGGGTTCCCTGGAGCCATTCGATTAATTAACATCATGCACCAGCCATGTGGCCTCGCTTCAGCTACCACAGTATACTTGCTAACAAAACGCCGGTGTATCAGCTAGGCCCTTGGCGAAATATTCGGAAAAAGCAAGCTGGTAAGCGAGGATAATAATGTCGATAGAGTAGCTCAGTAGGTAGGTAGTTTTGGGTCATCTTTCGCAGGTCGTTCATATCACATGATATGTCGCCTCTCTCATCCTGGCGCGTCACCTCCACCTCGTGCACAAGCCATCTCGGCGCTCTCGGCAAATTCACGCCAAGAAAAGGTTTCCTCGTCAAACGCACCGTTTCCGACCGTTGTTCTGCCCCATCCGTCCACCTGATTGATTGATTGATCGCGTTTCGCAGAAAGCTGGAACAAGAGAGGGAGAGAGAGAGGAGAATAAAAGAGGAATGAAAAACAGAGCAAGACGATGGCTTCCCCAGCGGTGACTAGCCTACGGTCATGCCTGACCTGCAAAGAACGCAAGGTGAGGTGCGACCGTCGGCAGCCCTGTAGTAACTGCGTGCGATTCGATCAGCGGTGCAGCTTCCCCCAATCGCAAATACGCCGTAGACGGGCTCGGGCGAAGAAGAATAACGCCGCAGGGCATGTCTCGACTGTCGTGGAGGCCGACCAGTTGCCGTCGGGTCCCTCGCCCCGATCGGGCAGTGGACTGGTGAACGACCACGCCGCCAATGTCACCATTTCAGGGACCGACAAACCCTTACCGTCCAGTGTCAAGGGTCGCTTGGTGGTCGGGAAGGGCGGCCACAGCCGCTTGCTCGCCGAGAATGCGTGGGCAAATGTGAAGGCTGAGGAGGTGAGCTGCTACTGCTACTGCTCCTCCTACTGCTGACATGCCATTCTGTCCTCGTGTGTCCCTTCAAATTAGCTGATGTCTTCAATGGAGGATAATTTCTCGCGTGCGCTTCTGAAAGATGCGAACGAGGATACACCTTGGTCTTCAACCCCGGCACAACACCGCCTAAATGCCCCGTACAGACACCCCTTGGCCTCCCAGTCTTGGATACCGAGTCCTGCTGAGCTGGAACTGTGTTGGTACATCTACGTCGACAACGTCGACCCTATCGTGCGCATCTTGCACAAACCCACGGTGCACAAGCTGCTACTCGAGGCTCAGCAGCAGCAATTCGAGCTCCTGGACGCCACTCCACAGGCTCTCCTGCTCGCCGTGTGCTTCGCCGCCATTCAAAGCCTTGACTCTCGGCGATGCGAGATCCTGTTCGGGGGTGATCCGCGCCGGACAAGGCGACTCTGCCAGCGATCTGTCGAACTTGCCCTTTCCAAGGCGCGGCTGACCCAGACGCACAATATACAGGTGGTCCAGGCATTCACACTCTTTCTCGTAAGTGACACCAGAGTGACACCTTCCTTCCAATTGTCTGTTGGTCCACGCGATGTAGGGCAAATCACTGACTGCCTACCAGGCCTGTATCCGCCGCGACGGGTCCAGCTCAGTCTGGGCCCTCGTCGGACTCGCCCTGCGGATCGCCATGTCGCTTGGCCTCCACTGTGATGGCACGCAGCACGGCCTGACGCCCTTCGAGACCGAGATGCGCCGCCGGCTCTGGTGGGAGCTCCGGCTGCTCGACGCCCGCGCCTCCGAGGACTGCGGCGCCGCCCCGAGCGCTTTCGCCAACGCTGACACGCGCCTGCCGATGAACATCGACGACGGCGACCTAGACCCCTCGGCAGAGCTGCCACCACCGGAACGGGAAGGCCCGACCGAGATGCTGTACAGCCTCCTGCGGTTCGAGCTGTGCTCCATAGCCCCCTCGCTGTCGAAGCTGTGCGCGGACGGATCCTCGGCGCCGTCATCCTCGTCATCGACGATGGCGGGCAACCGAGAATCCGCCCACCAGCAGCAGCTCCGGGCCAAGGAGAAAGCCGTCGACGAGTTCAGCGCGCACATGCGCCGCAAATACCCCACCTTCTTCGACGACAACATATCCCCGCCGTCGGCCTTTGCCCGCTTCGCCGCCGAGACGAGCCGGCTCGTCCTGACCAAGGTCCGGCTGCAGCTGCACTTCCGGTCCATCCAGCGCGCCGAGGACGCGCCGTCGTCCACCACCACGGGCGGCGGGGCCAAAGCCCCCGACGACGACGACGACGACGACCTCCTCCTCCTAGACGAGCTCTTCCGGTCGTCGGTGGCGCTGCTGGAGACGTGCAACCGCCTCGGCGCGGACGAGGGCCTGGCCCGCTGGAAGTGGCTCCTGCACCGCTACACGCAGTGGCACGCCGTCTCGTTCGTGCTGTCGCAGCTCGGCCTCCGCATCGACGCCCTCGCGGTCGGCCTGCCCGTCTCGCCCGCCGCCCTGCCGGAGGTGCTCCGGCGGGCGTGGGACGCCATCGAGATCGCGTTCGGGGACCAGGAGGTGGGGTGCGACGGCGGCGGGTGTGGTGGCGGCCCTTGGGGACTGCTCGAGTGCCTGAGGCAGCGTGTACGGGGCAAGTTGGACTTGCCGGATGCGGGTGGGGGGCCCGATTCTGTGCCCCAAGGGGGGTTGTCGTCCTTGTCGTCATCGTGGTCGATAGAGGCTGCGTTGGACCAGCCTGGTCCGGTGGCTTTCGATACGGAGCTTTCCTTTGGCCCGGAAGACGATCTGTCATTCCTGTGGGGGACTTCCTTGGATTTCATGACCTAATGAATGCTGGAGTCATCGTCTGGGGACCATCCTCGGGCGTGAATATGATGGATGTTCACAGTATGGTGGTCGGTTATTGAGACAACAGTGAACTCGAGATATCAATTGGCCAGTTTCTCCACTAACTACTTCGCATTCATCAGGCAATTGGCAATTGGCACTTCTTAATTGAATGAATTACCCTTCGACGCTTGATGCTCCTCATTGATTCCCGTCTTGGTCGTTTCGGCGGTTTCGTCGGTCGTTTCGGTCCTCTCGGCGGTCCCAACATGCATATTCCTTCACGCAATCGCCAATAGAATGGTCACCTCGGCCTTTTACCATTTAAGGTCCCCTCAAATGCAGCAATTCAACCGGAAATATAAAAAGGATGGCAATCGCCCAGGCGGCGCTCTTTCACTCGGCCTCACAACCACCATCCATCGTCACTAAACGATAATTCCAAGCAGTTTCCCCCTTCCATCATGCTATCCGCCACCGTCCTCATCGTCGGGGCCGGCCCAGTCGGCCTCTGGCTGGCCCTCGAGCTCCGGCGCGGCGCCGTCGACGTCCTCGTCATCGACACCAAGGCCTCGCGCGACAACCGCGACGGCTTCTCCAAGGCGCTGAACATGTCGGCCGGCACGCTCGCCACCTTCGACTCCCGCGGCCTGGCGACGCCATTCCTCGCCGAGGGCTTCCCCCTGCCCAAGGCGCACTTCGGCGCGCTGGAGACGCTCCTGGACCTGAACGAGCAGGTGCTCGGCCTCCGCCACTCGTACAACCTGGCCATCCCCCAGGCCCGCACCGAGGCCATCCTGCTGCGCCAGTGCGAAGACGCCGGCGTGCGGTTCGCCTGGGGCCTCCGGTTCCTCCGCCTGGACCAGCTCGCCGACTCCGTGGTAGCCACCACCAGAAAAGTGACCGGCGACGGTCCAGACGGGGACGGCGAGACGGTCGACATCGAGGCCGCGTACCTCGTGGGGTGCGACGGCACGCACAGCGCCGTCCGCGCCGCCGCGGGCATCCCCTTCTTGGGCACCCCCGGCGCCGTGACGGGCGTTCTAGCCGACGTCCAACTCACGCAGCTCCCCTTCGCCGCGGGCTCCAGCTGGGCGGTCCGTCGCACGGCCAAGGGCAGCGCCATGATCGTGACGACGGGCGACGGCACGCACTACCGGTTCGTGTGCATGGTCCGCGACGCGCGCGACGCGCCCGCCTCGCAACCCCTGGCCATGGACGAGGTGCGCGCCCACCTGCGCGACGCCTACGGCTCCGACCTGGGCGCCCACTCGCCCGCCTGGCTGTCGCGCTTCGGCAGCGCCTGCCGCGTCGCGGGCGGGATGCGCGCCGGCCGCGTCCTGATCGCCGGCGACGCCGCGCACCAGTTCCTGCCCGCCGGGGGGCAGGGCATGAACCTCGGCCTGCAGGACGCCACCAACCTGGGCTGGAAGCTGGCGTTTGCCGTTAACCACCACCGCCACGCCGACGCCGTGGTCGAGCGCGTCCTCGACAGCTACTCGCGCGAGCGCGTCCCCGTCGCCAGGGAGGTGGTGGACAACGTGCTCGCGCAGCTGGCCCTGCTGCTGGCCGAGAAGCCGCACGAGAACGCCCTCCGCGCCGTGGTCCGCGAGTCGCTGACTGTGCCGGCCGTCAACGCCCTGTGGGCGCGGCGCATGACGGGGCTGGGGGAGCCGCAGGCGCCGTACCGCGTGGATGACGGGGACGATACCCTGGTGGGCTTGAGGGTCGCGCACCTGCATGCTGCTCCCGCCGGCGAGGCGGACGGTGACGACCTGCTCGTCCGCGCCATGGAGCCGGGCCGTTTCGTGCTGCTGCTGCGGGGTGACCAGGCCGGGGACGAGGACGGCCATGCGGAGCTGCGGGCCGAGGCGGCGCGTTGGGCGGGTGGTGTTGACGTGCTGGCGTGCGATACCCGCGCCAGTGATTCGCGGTGGGACGGCGTCACGGCTGTGCTTCTTCGTCCGGACGAGCGGGTCGCCTGGGCGGGACGGGCGGGGACACCGGGTGTGGCCTTGAGGACGTCGCTTGCGGGGGTGCTAGGGCGGTGGCTTGGGGAGCGAGCCCAGGGAGCCTGATGCGACGTTCCGGCGGGATCGGATGTCGATTCCACTTGGAAGGGAAGTGTCGTGCATTAGGGTAGGCGTGTGCGTGTACATGATAGAAGTCTGGAGTCACTTTCTCACTCCCATCTTGATATCGGCCGGGCCTGTTGAGCTTCGGACGGAGATGCTAGCGTGATGGTTCACCAAAAAGGTATTTTTGATAGCTCTACCAATCGTTTAGATAGAGATGAAACCTAACCGAGTACCGTTGTACCATACACGCGAGAAGTTGTGGTGCCTGTTGGCGAGGGCGCAGCGTCGACTGCATTGTCCCATCGTATCGACATGCCCCATTGAAACAAACTCCTCATCAGCGTGCCCAGACTCTGCAGTCAACCAGTAAAACCGTAATAATACAAATCAGACATACCTACCGCGGCCATCCATCGGCCACCAATTGTAACTTCCATGCAAAGGAGGGACTAGAAGGACAGAAAAGAGGTAAAAAGACCATGGGCCAGGATCCAGCCCTTCCGAATAACGCCACATCAACACCTGAACCCAACGTTCCCCCTCCCTCCTCACGGCCTCGGCCTCGGCCTCCCGCCCAACAGCTCAAAATACTGCTCCACAAGCACAGGCTGATCCTTCTTGAACCTGTCCACGGGCTCCAGCGTCTCCTCAACATAGCCCAGCCACTCGACCCGCAGGCAAAGCTTGTTCACGGTGTGCTTGGCCCTGACCGACGCCTTGCCCCGCCGGGCCGGCAGCCGCGTCTTGACCCACTCGTGCCCGCGCACGGCGAACACCTCGTACGGCCGCACAGACAGGCGCCCGCCCTCGACCGTCGCCCAGTACGCGGCCACGGCGTCGCGCGCCCCCAGCTGCAGCTGGTCCTCGGGCTCCCACGTCGACGCCTCGTCCGGGTCCTCCCATTGGACGAGGAGCTCGATTAGGCCGTCGGGGGTGAGGCGGTGGGAGGAGACGTGGTCGACGGGATATTCCTTCGCTTCTTCGTCGTCGTTGTCGTCGGCGTCGGCGTTGGCGTCGGGGGTCTGGTCGAGGATGTTGGAGTAAACGATAACCTGTTTGTTGTTGTTTTGACGGCCACGACGGCGGCCGGGGACGCTCTTGTTCTTCGCCTCGCTCGCTGCTTCGGCGGGGCTAGCTGCTTCGATGGTGGCTTCTTCGGCAGGGGTGGCTGCTTCAATTGTTGGTTCTTCGGCAAGGTCAACAGCTTCGATAGTTGCCTCTCCGTTGACGACCTCGGCCACTTGGATGCTTGGGTCGTGATCACTGTGTCTCTCCTCGACGTGGTCGCCCTCGACGCTGCTAGCATCTTCCTCGACATCGGCGTCTTCGGTATCGTCGACACTGATCGCCATGTCGGCTACAGGAACAGGCGACCCGACCACGACGGACTTCACCTGCTCGTCGAGCGACGGCATGGCGAGGCCATTGTTCTTGACATGGGATTCGTCGTCGGCAGGCTCGTGGAAACCGGAGTCATCGTGCAGGGCCGGCATGGCAACCTCCTTGTTACCAGTAATGTCTTCGTCTTGTTGGTCCTCGTGGAAACCCGAATCGCGCTTGCCGGATGCACGCTCGAAGGGTATCGGGGAGCTACTGGACATGGCGGGCTGCGGTTGTGTCCATGTCGGCTTCTCTCGCTCGACCGCTCGGCTCTCGGGGTCTGGCCGACAGTCAGCATTGGCGACTTGGGGGGTTGGGGGGGCGCTGGAGTGGAGGGAGGGAGGGAAAGATCACATACTCAGCACCGAAGAGACGTTCTGGCGCTTCGGAGCGAAAAACCCTAGGTCATCGCTCAGGTCGGGACTCCGCTGTCTCTTCTTGGCGAGTGCATTGGCAGAGATGGCGGCGAGGGGGCTCGACGCAGCGGCGCGGGCGAGGGCGTGCGAATGAAAGAGCTTGCCGCTGCGCGGCTCCTGGGCCGATTTCGCTGAGGAGATGGGAGGCGACATGATGTTGTCAAGAGAGTAGGGATCACGACAGGATGGCGGGCTGGAAGTCATGGTGATGGAATTGTTGGAAGTCGAATAGATCGAGAGATAAGAATTCGAATGTGGGCAATCCCGAAATGTCTAAAAGTAGAAATCTATCTGGGGGAGGAGACGGGGACAATGGCACCAGACTGGGAGTTGAAGAGGAATTGGCTTGCGCGACGCGACACGACGCGTCAAAGCGCGACTGCCACCAACAGATATTATGAACTATGTGGGGCGCCGACGCCTCCACACTGATTCCTTGCTGGTCACATGACCAAATACTGATTGCAGAGAAGCGAGGTGAATCCACGGCGGGAGATGTAGATCAGCCCTACGAAATCAGGGGCCACTGCCATGGATGGCTGCAATTGGTGATGCAGACTTGTAGGTCGGCCCGGTCCATCCATGTTCCCTATATACCTATACCTGCTCATTTTTGCTGGATCTGGATCCCTCTTCCTCGCACTTTTACGACTTATCATGGTGCTGGAGCTGGACGGAGAGTCTCCCACCTCGACAGCAAGCCCCCTTGAACGAATGGCCGTACCCGCTGATCCGGTGCGCATAAGCACACGAATGTCGAGAGGGGATTGCCCACCGGTAAGTCCCTGGACACAGGTGATTCTCAGCAGGATTTCGCTTTTTCTCCTTCCCTTCCCATTTGTTCTCTCCCTCCCTCCTCCCCCTACCAACCCGTGCCCCCTCCCCCCCGCTGAGGATGAGCTGCCGGCCTTCCTGAAAGCCACGAAGACGGGGCTTACCAGGTCATGCGGCTGCTCCCGGCCGTTGCCGAGGCGTGTCAAGGCGGGCGACAAACGGTGGACCAGCCCCTTGACGGCTTTGGGGTAATCTAAGATTCGATTGTCTCGCAGATACGCGTGTCATCTTTTGCTATTGACGGTTCGGACACCTGGTGGTCCTCGTGCATCAATTCGAATACCTGCGTTTTTACTCCTCCACCTCGCCTCGAAGCCGGGCATTTTCGTATACCCGTCACGTCACCTGCATGTCTTCATTGGGACTGTAATCTGTATGCCGGCGGAGTCCATCCCCTAATTAAACCTTGCCAAGACCTTGAAGACAAAATAACCGTTGAGCTGTCCTACCGAGAGTGGGCCCATTCATTCCATGATAATATGAGTTCATTAGAATCAAGCTGCATGGTGTCCTGTACATTACCCCTTGTCGATGGACGGCGACAATGTCTTGCTAACCATTCCGATTAATATCCAGGCGTCATAATCTCCTTCGTCACAGTCTTTTGCAGCAATCGCCGGTCTAGAGATCGGCCTCGAGAAGGCGGCACAGTACCTTACCTACCTCTAGTAGGTTTGGCCGGCAGGCTTTTGGATGGACCGAACGCGGCATTGAACCTAACTAATGTAGGTACTGCACAATACATGCCCGTTGACCGAGTAGAACTCTAAATTGGGCGAGCTAATATTTCCCGTCAGTATCCAAGCACCAGAGTTGCTTTTCTCCGCCACGGCTGGCTAATTCTCGTTCCTCTCACTTTGCTCTTCCACGTCCCCGACCGTCTTCAACTTCCCTGTCCCCACCAAGTTAAACACCCATTCTCTGTCACTATGACGTCCCAAAGTAATATCGACAGCTCTGAAGAGACGGAACGCTCATTCGTATCCTCGGCGCTGCGAAATACCGATGGAACCGACCGGTACACCACAGGAACGGACCTGACGGAGTTGCCCGCAGATGTCGTCCTCCAGCAATCACTCACTTTGAACTCGGTCATCTCGACGACGTCTTCTTTTGCCAGGCGCGCCTCGCATCCGTCCTCTCACCTCGAGTTCCAGCAACCCATCCAGATTGGAGAGGGCAAGCAAGGTGCCATCTTTGAGAAGGGTGGATTCAGCGTGGCCACGAAGAAAGAGAAGCCAGGAAACGAAACGCTGCGATCGAATCTGCAAAATGAATTCCGTCTCCACCTAAAAGTCCTGGATGCTTTCCGCCGCTATATCGACTTGATTGATGACAGCGTGCTGGTGCCTCGTCCGTTCGTCATGGTTCACAAGTCGGACATGAAGTTCCCGGAGGAAGGGCTCGACGAGTTTCCGGAAGGATACCGCACGCCCAGCGATAGGTTCATGATGGAGAGAATCCTTCCCCTTCCCAAGATCGTCAGGCGAGCTTTGGTCACGCTATTCTATCCGCGCGAGACAGGGACGGCGGTTGATCAGGCCACCATCAACAGCATTCTGAACCACACCCCGAACAAGCACTGTCTTGCCCGAACATACCTGGGGAAGGATGATGGAACGTTTGAGAGGGACAACTTTTCCCTGAGGAATTTCCCCCTCTTCCTGAAATCGATTGAGCAACTTGGCCCGGATCCGACCGCGCTGGCCTCTAACATGGGCAAAGCGTTTGCAATCATGCACTGGGCCGCAGGTGTGAACGGCGACGACGTCGAGTTTGTTCTCGGGACATCACAAGAGCTGGTCCTCCCCCGGCCCGAGCCCCCACAGCCGGGCTTCCAGCATCGACGGGTCGGTTTCTACCTGCTGGATTTCGGCCAGTGCGAGTCGGTAGATCTCATGCGCGAACATGTCGATGTCGTATACCAGGCTTTCAAGGGTGCAATGGTCACCGGGGACAACCAACTGTTCATCCCGCATTATCGGAGGAGTCCGGAGCTGTTCGCTGCATTCAAGGCCGCATACATCGCGACGGGAAGAGTCATTCTGGCAGATCAGCGATGGGGGGACAAGTTCAGCGTGGAGGAATTTATGGAGGAATATCAAGAATACGCCGAGGATTTCTTAGTGTGATCACATCGAGGTACTATCAAGTTACCTAGGCAACATTCATTCCGGCAGACTTGATGGCACTCGGAGAACAATCCGAGCCTGGGCTGGGGGCAGGCCGGCAGGATTTCTAGCAGGTGGCAATATGTTCTTGCCCTGCCATGACCATCGCTATTGCTGTTGCTCTCTATCGCTATTGCTGTTGCTCTCTATCGCTGTTTCCGTCGTTGCCCATCGCCATTGCCATCGCTGCCCATCGCTACTGCTGTCGCCGTCTATCGTCATTGCCATCGCTGCCTATCATTCCTATGCAGTCCTCGTATTCATCATAAGCCCCCTGGGCGGCGGCATTAGGGTGCTCGGATCCAATGAGCGTGTAAGCGCCGTACAGCTGCACACGGCGATAGGCGTAACCCTCAGGGCTAACGCGAAGGTTGGGTGGGGAATTCGAAGGCTATTGCTGTCGCCGTCTCGCCATTGCCGTCACCAATGCTGTCAAATTGTGACCTTGGGTTTCTCGTCCTGTACTTTTCCCTTGTCCTTGGGCGTCGACGGATGTTTTTTTTTTCGGCCGTTTCCTTGCCCTCAGCGGGCGGCGGCGAAGGCGAATCATCATCGGGCGTCTTGCCCTTCCGGCGGCCTCTCCGCCCAGATCCCATGCTCGCTGGAGATTTTTCTCGGCAGCTGTAACAACGCGCAGGTTAGCAGGAGAATGCCTAGAGTAGCCAGATAAGAGAAGAATAATAGCCTTCTCGATAATGTTATGCGGCGGAAGTTGCGCTGCGGCGATCGTGCTGCTCAGGTCGTCCTTCAATGTGAAGGCTGAAATGTTGGCAGCCGTGGGGTCACCTGGCAAAGCTTTCCCGGCCCGCCGCCACCTGCAGCGTAGATTCTAGTCGTGAGTTGCAAACTGCCCAGGTCCCCATACGCAAGAAAGGAACGATCAGCCTGAGAATCCCGGATTTTCCCTGACTTGGCAATTTGGAGCTTAATCTAACGTTCTAACACGATTCTGGAGTGTCAGAAAACAAATCATTTGCAGATCAATCCCTGCCCGGCCCGGAATCTGTCTTGTCTTGCTGCTTACGTCATCAGATTTCGCCATTGGTCAGAGCTTCATAGCAAGCTTTAGAGGCCGAATCTATCACAGAAGCGGGGCACGATGGCGGAGTGGTTAACGCGCGAGCCTGCTAAGCTCGTTCCTTCGGGAGCATGAGTTCGAATCTCATTCGTGTCGATTTTTTTTTGCTGTTTGTATCTTCTCCCCTTGAACTCACCGGATCCCCCCGGTAGTGTATGTGGAGATGTTGATCTCGTTGTTCGTTATTTATTTTTAGGTGCTTGGTATGTTACTGTTATGCTGCAACAGAAAAGAGTTGGAGCGGAGTTCTGTTGGCGATAATTACTCTGGATTAGTGATGGGGAGTCTGTGTTTGCTATCTACTAGAAGTATTAGTCGGTTTTCTGTTTCTCAACACTTTAAGCGAATACACTTAAACATGTGATTCGTTCCATCTTGGGGTCTGATTAGCAAGCATCTTGGTCAGGGATATTACGGATAGATATGGGAGTGTGTTAGAGAGCTGGGTCAGATGTCCAGTCTCGGTGTATGCCTTGTTGCTGAGTTCTTCAGGCCGAGGCCTTGTTCCGATGACGAGACCGCTTTGGGAGCACATGTTAATTAAGGTAAGGCCTAGCAAGCACCCGCGAACTTGAGCAGCTCCTGATTAAATCGCTCAGGTTCCTCATAGAATAGCCAATGGCCCGAGTCGAACACTATCATCTCAGCCATCTGATTGCCGCCCTTCCTTGCCCTCTCCATCGTCTCCGCCAACCCCTCCAGCGTGAAGCACCCACTCCTCCGCGCAGCCATTACCAGCAACGGCCTTGTAATGCCCTCGATCGCCTCCCGATGATCATACCTCGTATGGTCCGCCAACAACCTCGCGAGCCACCCCCCATCGCACAGTGCACTAATCCCCGTGAAAAACTTCTCATCCCTGTCCTTCTCCTCCTCCCCCACCCCGTCCCCTTCCTCCGGGCAGAACCGATACCCCAAACACTCCCTCACCAACCCCCGATGCGTCTCCGCGGGGTCGTTAATCCACGCCTCCTGCGCAGCAAGCATACTCTCCTCGTCGAAACACCCTTTATGCGCAAACCGCTCATCCCACGGTCCGTTCAACCCGAACCGCGACCGATCCTGCAGCGGCGCCTGATCCACAAAGACATAGCCGGCGAGGTCTGCCTCCTCGCCAAAGAGTTCAACATAGGTCCACACCACCGCCGCGCCGATGGAGCAGCCCACGGGGACAAACTTGAGGCTCCGCCCCGCGTCTGACGCTGCACGACGAAGGAGGGTGAGAAGCTCGCGTAGATCGGCTGCGAGGCGTGCCACGTGATAGCCGCCGCGGGAGGGGTTATGGCCAGAGTCGCCGTGGCCGCGCAAGTCGGGGGCGATGGTCCAGTGGTGGGCGGACAGGATGGGGAGGTTGCGGGCGAAGTAGGCGGAGGAGCCGGAGAAGCCATGGATGAGGAGGATGCAAGTTAGGGCTTGGGTTCCATCACCATGGGGGAGAGCGCCGAGCGGGTGGGAGGTTTGGAAGCTGATGCGGCAGGAGTCGGAGGTGGTGAATGTTTCGCGGTGCATGGTGATGGCGGGAGGGGCTGGGATGGAATTTGGAGGCGGCATGGTCTTTGAAGCTCGAGGTGGGGAGGTGATTTTGAGACCATGGGCAGGAGAGAAGTGATGGAGAGAGAAAAGATAAGCCTAAAGTCCCTCACTCAACATTGCAAATTACCTGGTAATTACCTTATTGCCGATTTACCGAGCTAAATGCCTCTGTTGTGCTGCTGTCATGCAAGCTGAATGGTCACAATTGCTGGACTGTCAGAGACAACAGTGCAGCAGGTGCTGGATGGGTAAACAGGATGCGGTCAAGAAATCCCAAGATCCTGTTGGAGGCTGCCTCGGAGCAAATCGGGCGAGCGTGACATTGATTGGCAGCTGAACCCTAAAACCAAGGTACCTAGGTCCCTTAGGTAAGCAGGTATAACGCCAACTGAAATGAACCTTCTAGCGCATTCTAGTCGCTTACAGCATCTTCACGTTTCAACCTGGAAGTGTTGGATGGTCGGTTCTCGACATTTCTCACAGATTCGTAATCGCAGTTGCCTGCACAACATGATGTTTCCTGATAAACGAGTGATGGAGATAGCTGTGTATTTAAATCCGGCGATTTCCCAGTTTCATGAGTCTCATCTTCAGCAGAAAATAGCACAGCTCCAACTTTGAGACAAAGAGTATCGTCATTTATCAGCACTCCAACCTTCTTCAAGGCGTTATCAGTCAGCGTAACAACACGCTCACCACGCTTAGTATCATCTCCTCTCTCCACAAAAAATAATACTTCCCACGCATCAATTTCAAGATGATATCTCTGTTCCCTAGCTCGTTCTGTTCCCCCACCGCTGCCGACGTGAGCTTCACTCCACTCTTCCGCTTTCTCGACGACTTTGACACCTACTCCCGCGAAGCCCAGAGATCTGAAACCGGCTCTGCTCCCCGCCGCCATCATCACCACAGGCAGCGCCGCTCCCAGCTCGCCACCTTCAACCCAAAGTTTGACGTCCGCGAGACGGGGGAGACATACGAGCTGCACGGAGAGCTTCCAGGCCTAAACCGCGAGAATGTGAACATTGAGTTCACCGACGCCCAAACCATTGTCATTAGCGGCCGCGTCGAGCGCCGCTACGGTTCCGAGCCAAACACCACCACCCCCACCGCCACGAACAACAACAACAACAACAACAGCATCGCCGAAGCCGGCGAGGCCGAGACGGAAAAGCCCCGGCGTAACTCTCACCAGGCCACAGTCGAAGACGACCCGGAGGACACACCCGCCTCAACCCCGGGCGTCAGCACTCCCGCGACTGAAGTCACCAAGCTTGCCACCGAGCCCGAGACATCCCAGGCGGTGACGCAGACGCAGACGCAGACGCAGACGGAACCCCGGGACGAGCCCAAGCACTGGCACTGGGAGCGATCGGTCGGCGAGTTCTCACGCGCTTTTACATTCCAGGCGCGCGTGGATCACGATCGTGTCGCCGCTAGCTTGAACAATGGCATCTTGAGTGTGACGGTGCCGAAGTCGAGGAAGCCGGTTACGAGGAGGATCGAGGTCAGCGCCTGAGGATGAATTGGCTGGTAACTTTTGGTACGGGGCCGGATGGCCTCAGTCTGGAGGATGGAACATGGATGGGTTTATTGGTCATTGGTATTTGGGATTCATGTTGGCAATGGTCGATAGCAGCATGTACTAGACTTTTCGGGTAGTTCCTCTAGACTGTCCTCGGCAGGCGGTACAACATCAGGGCCTATTTTTTCTGCTTTCCCGTCGTCCATGGGGTTGGAGTCTCGTGGGAGTTGCCAAGGCATGTCAGTCGACTCTGGCTGTGACGTAGAAATGGGCCACCGTCAGCAGAGCTGACTTGCATTTGTATCTGTGTATAGTGGTTGGATAAACCCGATGAGAGAAGGGGTGTCAGACATGCCGTTCAGTTATTAATGGGTGATTTCTTGTTCGCCACGGGAAGATTAGCACGGTGTGCGTAGAACCAGGAGAGGCTGACAAAGCCTACCTAAATAGTGTAGGTCTAGGTTGCCATTTTCGGAAGGCCAAACACCAACACAGGAACTCTACCTGAAATGCTCCAAACTCTCATTCACATAGGTACTTATAGTTAGCCACAAAGTGTCGCCATTCCGCAAACCGCCTAGTAAACCAAGCGCGCCATCTTCAGCTTCCAGAATGCTGTCGCTACTCGAAGCTCTCCCCATCGAGCTGGTTGAGCCCATCGTGACACGGCTTGAATTCAGCGACATCGCCTCTCTCCGACTGACGAGTCGCACCATAGAGGCCAAGGCATCCAATGGGTGTTTTGATTCCTTCCTCAAGCACAAGAAAATTGAGTTGACGACAAAAACGCTGCAATTATTTGTGCAAGCGACCGAACAGGGCCGGCGAGGTTGCCTCCTGCGACATTGTACCATCACAGGCATCGCACGAAGCGATACTACGGCTCATGCGGACAGCACGAAGCATGAGCGTCTTCCAGGCAAGGCCTTCGGCAACCTGAAGCGATGGTCACCGGAGAGTTCACTTGCCTCGCTAAGCCTCTGCGTCACCGCACGCGTCGAGGATTCCAAGGGCGGGCTCGTCGAGCCGGGCGAATTTCGCTCCGGGCGAGAGGTCTGGAAAGCCACGCTGCGCACCTTCCTAGTTGCCATGGCGGCGCTGCGCGAGTCGCAGCTGCCTGTGACCGAGAAGTTGGATGTCTTTGGCAGCATCCGAGGCTGTAGTCTTGCATGTGATGCCTTTCTGGCCAACTTTGCACCAGAGTCGACCTTGAGGAGGCATATCTTCGGGTCCTCCATGAGATTGATAGTAAGCTTGTCGGCGCCGCCGAAGCTGGACGAGGCTGGGACAGAGCATGAATCCGAATCCGAGTCCGAGGGCGAGATAACCGCCGCCGAGTTACACGCTCCTCGACCAGCCCAAGAGAGCTGGCAGGCGCATCGCATTCTTCAAGAGATCCTGCATGTGTTGCCTACTATGCCAAAACTGGAAAGCCTCGACTTACACTGGTACACTCTTAGAGAGAGTAATGTGTCCGCTCCGCTAGTCCCGCCCGCAATGACTCTCCAGGAACGCAGCACTGGCTCAGTTATCCCCATTTCAGAGAATGCAGTCTCCGCGGGATTCACACGTCGGAAAGCGATCTTGTCCACTTCCTCTCAGCCATCCGACCCGCAACAGTCACACTGACCGACGTTCGCCTCATCTCAGGGACGTATGGTCCGGTATTCCAATACCTAACGAGCAGAGACAGCCCCGTCACAAGCTACCACCTCGACGACGTCTACGAGTGAACCAAACTCGTGCACTTCGAGGTGCTGGGGACATCCAAGTTCCGGTACTCGGGCGTCATCATGGGGCCCAGCACTCTCTCGCGAGAAGGCGGCCACGTCAAGGAGGTAATCCCCTATTGCTTTTCGTCAAGGAGAGTCATGGGGTCAGGGGAGAGGAATCGCTGGAGAAGAAGCAAGGCGCAGGAGTTTGGGGGGCCAGACCGGGACGCTTATGATTTTGTTAAGCTGAATTCGGAGGATGCAACGATAGTTGCGGACGATGATGGCTCGGACAATGATTGATCTCTTTCCTATACGGTAATTAGTTACTGGCTGACGTGGATAGGCTCTCCTTGGCCGAGCACGGCACTTCCTCATACTCAAGAGTCAACGGATGATACAAGCCTTGAGGCGGAAAGATGGTTTGGCTTATTCGTGCTTATTCGTGCTTATTATACCTTAACAAACCCTTCTCCTAGGGCAAATTTACATCAATTGGGACGTATTTACAATGCTTTAAGTGGGTAAGCAAGACTAACATGTGTCTCTTATTAATCTTCCTAAAACGGAAGGTGTGATCTAGTGGGTAACAGTAAAGTTTGAACAACACCTGATGTATTCGCCGATCACCTAGTCCTAATTGGCTGTGTACCCCTTACTTGTACTACACGTACTACGTAGTAACAGTATCGAGCGGGGCACCGTCGGGCGTCAACTATTTGAGGGGGTATGCCTGCACTCTGCGGCTTGAAGCGGACTAAGGATAACTGTGGGGAGAAGACATAGACTGACTACTAATACCGTCAAGATAGGGGCAACCAGAACTATCAAGATACCCCACAACAATTTCTTTTGCTCCTTCGACCACTTCCTTCTATTCAGCCCGACCTTTTGCTTCTACTTGACTCTACCCTACCAAGTTGCATCCACTCCATCTTCTTGTCCCACCATGCCTACGACATTGCTATCTTCTAGCCGTGCCGAAGCCACCCATGCGTGTGCTACCGTCATGCATGCGTTCTCTAGCTGGGATAGCTTCAAGGCAGCCATACAAGTTCAAAACACTCTAGCAGATGGCCAGACGAACTACGTCAATGCGGACCCCGTTTGGATGAATGAAGGCGAGCTTTTGCTAATTGCACGAGTGATGCTTGAGGATCATTATTAACTTTCTTCCTTAGACTTGGAGCCCACGCCACCACATAAGCGAAGTGAGTACTCAACGGATGCGCCTGCCTGCCCATGCAAGTATCTCTAATGGAGATCTTCTAGCATGGGGCTTCTATACGTACTGCTTGTTCTACTTTGGAGTGTCTTTTGGCAATTGGAATCTAGGCGCAGTAGGCTTCAACGTTACTGAACCCTCTCTACCATGGTGGATACTGACTGCTGTCGCCTCCCTAGACAATGATCGGAATTGGCCTCAGCTGGTGGCAGGCTATTCTTGTCATCTTCGTGGCTCAGGTTATCTCCGCAATCGCCCAGGCCTTCAATACTCGTCCTTCAGCTACATATCACCTAGGGTTCCCAGCTATCTGTAGGGTTGTCTTTGGCATGTACGGCAGCTTCTTCTTTGTTGGAGTTCGAGCTCTCCTGGCGTTGGTTTGGTATGGGGTGCAACGTAAGCAGCACAGTTTCCGATTCCCACGAGGGAGATTACTGACCCCATAAGTCTACTCGGGAGCCAGCCACGTCGGCAACATGCTTCGGGCCATCTTCGGTGACGCCTACAACAACATCCCAAATCACCTCCCTGAATCCGCCGGAATCACGACCAAGAAGATGCTTGCTTTCGTCATCTTCTGGCTTATCCACTTCGTCTTCTGTTTCTTCCGGCCGTACCAGCTCACTCGCTTTTTCTGGTTCAAGGGATTCATCATGCTCCCGGCCGTTTTCGGCGTCTTCATATACTGTATGATTGTGAGCGGCGGCAAAGTGGGCAGCACACTGGCCCAGACAAACGTGACCGGTGGAATTGGATGGGCCATCATGCATGGCATTAACAGCGGCATGGGGTATGAATCCGCGATACACTCATCCATTCAACACTAATTGCTAATGCTTATACCGCACGATATAGCAATACCGCGACCTTGATCACAAATCAGCCAGACATTGCGCGTTGGAGTAAAACTCGGTCGGCAGCGATCACTTCTCAGTTGGTAAGCTTTCCATCGTTGTCCTCCATAACGTGGTCACTCGATGCGAGAAGCTGACACCACTCTATTGCAGATGGTACAACCTTTAGCCGTGGCGACAGCTGCAAGTCTCGGTATCCTAGCCACTGCCGCAATCAATGGAAAATGGGGTCTACAACTCTGGTATGTGCATTGTGCATCTACCATTGCTCTTCCCGCTCACTTATCTTCTTTTCTCTGTAGGAACCCCTGGGATCTCTTGGATGCTATCCAGGACCGCCACGACAGCCCAGCCGCGCGGTTTGCAATCTTCCTCGCCGCGTTTGTTTGGACGGTCAGCATCTTGGGCACAAACATTGCCGCCAACATGATTTCCTTCGGCGCCGATGTCTCGCTGCTTTGGCCTCGCTACATCGATATGAAACGTGGATTCTTCTTGGTCGAGTTTCTGGCATTCGCCATCGTGCCTTGGAAAATCATGGCCTCGGCTGCCGCCTTCACCCAGTTCCTTTCCGGATATGGTCTCTTCATGGCCAGCGTCGTAGCCATCATGATCGCTGACTGTAAGTGATCGAGCATCCAACCTAGAAATAGAGAGTAATACCAACTAACGAACTGGTCTAGACTACCTCCTAACCAAGGGGAACATCATGACTGCTTGGGTTTTTGATCCGACAAAGTCCAACGTGCACTATCGTTATCACAAGGGCTGGAATCTGCAAGCTCTGGCTGCTTATATCTGTGGTCTCGCATTACCGTTCCCCGGCTTCGTTTCGTCTCTAGGTGCAAGGGGGGTGAATCAGGCGGGCAAGAGTTTATTTTACATTGCCTGGCTGCTGTCCTTTTGCGTCTCGTTTGTTTCGTACGTTGCCATTTGCAGATTCTGGCCCACTCGCAACCAGAAGTTGATTCGTGAGGACGGTCTTGGTTGGGAAGAGAGTGCATGTAAAACACTAGAAGCGGAGGATGGTGCAGCAGAAGAAATTGGCGTTCAACAAGTTAGAGTTGATGACCTAGTTACTGAGAAGCAGGCTACTGTTTAGGGCCAAGTTAACAACGACACTATATCATTTCAAACGGCCCTTGTTGTAACGAGTTTTGGGCAATAATTATATTGCAACTGGTTAGGCTACTCTATACCACCCTGAAGCTGAATAAAAAGAAAGGAAGGAACCTGCTCCTCGCATCTACCTTACTTGGCTGGGCACGGCACGTCCTCATACTCGAGAGTCAACGGATGATACGTATACTCTGGATCCGTCGGCAAGCCCCATCTAATGTTTCCCCAAGCCGGTGAGCCGCCAGGCGTTTGCCCCAGAACCCCAAGAGGCATATACAGCGGCTCGGGCAGACTCATGTACGGATAGCTCCCCAGCGTACAAGTCAGGCCCTTGGAGCACGGGTCGGCGTCCTTCCTGCACGTGGCGTACACGTACTTGTAGGCGTCACTCCCGATGGACGCGAATAAGTCCACGTAGGAAGTGTCGTACATCTGCACTCGCCCGTCGAGGGGGGTGAGGTAGACCTGCAGCGTGCCCATGAAGCTGGGGAGGTCCCAGTCGTATCCGACTAGCTTGCCTGTGTCGGTTAGGTAGAACACGCTCCCGTTGTAGTACATCGTGTCGAGGCCGATGGCTATGCCGATCGCGTAGCGGAGGTACCTGCCTTCGGCCCAGGGTAGGTTGCGGGCTTTGATCTTGAAACAGGAGTTGGTCGATGATGGAGGGAGAACCGTCTCCGTGACTGTCCCGGCCGTCCTGACAGTGGTGACGCCCATGTCCTTGGTCCATGTCGTGCTCGTCCTCTGCGTCACGAGCGGGCCGTACTGGTTGCTGGTGATGGTGGCCGTTGTGGTGGTGATGCCGGACGAAGTGGTGAGGGTGACCGTGGACGAGACGGTGGATTTGCCCGTGGCAATTTGCTTGCACGCGTACGACATCTTGGTGGCGTCCCACCCAGCCGCCACGGCTGGTGTTGCGATGGCTCGTCTCTCAACTGGAGCAGGAGCCGGGGCCGGAGTGGGCTCTGCCAGGTCCTCCCGCTTGAAGTGTTGCGACGGGAAGGTCGCTGACTTGCCGCTTGCTGTCACCGTGATGGTAGTAGCGGCCAGGGTGCTTGTGAGCCAGGTTTCGTAGCTGATGTTGATCGTCTCAGTCACGGTCTTGGTGGTCGAAACCTGGGTCGTGGTCCAGCTTGTGACGGTGCTGCTTGGCACTACGACGGTTCTGGTTGAGACAGATGTCGTTGTCGGGACTTGGTAGTTGATATAGGATGTGCAGAATGGGCCGCCGACAGCCTGGAGTGTTTGCATCTCATCTGGAGAGGGAGCCACAGCAGGGACACCGAAGCACTGGCCGACGCTGGCACTCTGACCGTTGTACAGCGACAAGACAGACCCGTCACCAGGAGAAATGCCGCTCATGGAGTTGACGTAAGTATTCACCGCCAGAGTGTTGGCGGGGCAGTTGTAAGTCCCAGCGGTAAACGAGTACGTGGACTTGAGGCCGACAACGGTTTGCGAGGTGATCGAGGGGGCAATGTTGATCATGCCGTACAGATCGACCTCGAGCTGAACAGCCCACCTCATGTACGGCGTGATACTAACAGACGCTCCCGTTTTGAAGGCCGGGAGAGTGAATGACACGGCAGGCTTCCAGTTCTGGCTCGACTTGACCGTGTTGGTCAAGAGGTCCAATGTCGCGGCCGCGTTGCTCAGGGAAAACTGCGCTCCAGCCGTGACGTCGACGGCCGAGTCGGTCGAAAAGTCAGCGCCGATCCCATAGAGGACAGTCGGTTTGATGCTAAATGCGCTGTCGACGGCAATGGAACCGAGGTCCACAGAGTCGAAGATGTAACTCCAGCTGCCACTCCAGTCTGCGTCCGACTGGAGCCTCACAACCATGTTGGCCACTCCCGAAATGCCCGGCGTCACCTCGGCAGACTGTATGCTGAGGTCGCCCTCCTTGACATTGACGATGATCTTGCCACCGAAGGTGATGCTCGAAATCGAGAAACCACAGTTCACGCAGGAGAGAACCCTGTTGTCTCCCACCTTGGTGAGCCAGCTAGCAACCGACGGGAAGTTGAGCTGCCATTCGTAGGTAAAGTCGTACGTGGTCTCCTGTGTCACGACATACTGGGGAGTCTGACACCCGCCAAACAGGCATTTGAAGGCATCTCGGTTGTCGGCAAGAGACTTTCCACCGCACACGGCTTGAAGGGTCTTGCCTCCAAGGTCGGTGAATGTTCCCAGAATCCCGGTGACCATGTCGTCGCACGAAGTTGACCAACCTTTGTTGTCGTCGCGAGCTTTCAGCATTCTGGCCATCTCCCGGGCGTAGTTGCGGGCTCGTCGAACACGGGCCCTGGCACCACTCTCCCGCGGCGTTCGAGTCAAGGGGTGGCCACCCAGACTTCTCTTGGCCACAGTCGTGGGAGCGTCGCAGACACCGTTCAATCCGGAGGAAGCCTCGGATGCAAGGGCGGAAGGTGGCGAAAGGCCGAGGGTTTGAAAGACATTCTCGAGCTGTTCTTGCTTGCTGAGATCATCTGGGTCATACGGCGCAACTTGGATCTGGGTTGTGTTTTGGCTGGGGACGTGGTAGTCGAGGTTTCCATTGGCATCCAACTGGATGTTCGCCATCAAAAAGTCGTATAGCTCTCTCGCGGCTGGAGTCAGGTCTGCCAAGCTGGTTGGGAGAGGCCGGTCAGTTGAGGATGGAGTTGGCTCAGAGGGTGATGGTGACGATGTGCTGTCTGAGGAGGGTGAAGCTGAAGCAGAGCTCGAAACGGGCAAGCAGGCGGTAGCAGCTGGGAAGGTGGGCTCCGTCGGTAAGCCAGACACGGTCGACGTGAACGTCTCAATGCCGCTTTCGACAGTTCCATAAAGGATGGTCAACTTGGTTGCAATCTGGGTCATGTTGCGCTCCGCTGCGGCAAAAGTAATGGTCGTTGCATCTGACGCTGAGGTCTGCACACCTTGAACCTCCCAGAAACCTCTCGCCGTGTCACTGTTGCACCCTGCTGCGTGGGTGACGAGGACGAATCCGGATTCCGGCCATTGGTCGAGAGCTGCAGTGAGGTCGGAGCTCGACGAAAAGGAGAGAGTCACTTCAGAGGCGTTGCAATGGACTTCTGCGATTCGGTTGGTGTTCTCAATCATGATTGCCTGTTTCGACAAGTCGACTTCCAGCTGCGCGACGCGGTCTCCGGACTCTTCTGCATAATTGAGGACAAGCTGCGAAACGAGGGCCAATCGATCCATGGAAGATCTATCAACATCCGCATCCTGAGAAGGCAGAAACGTGGAAGGGCCTGCAGTGGCGCAGGCTGTCTCAGAAGGTACCGAAGAGATCGAAGACTGACTGGCGGATGCGGTAGGCGACGGATCAGACTGACCTGCCTTCCCCCGGTATCGCCCAGTCCAGACCCAGGGCGACGATGACGGTGAATTCAGCCGGTCTTTCATGTAGCAAGCACCGCCCGAGAAGGAAACATCGACACATGCCGGTTCGGCGTCACAAGCGTCGAGGCAGGCCTCGAAATTGCTGACAGGCACCATTCTCAGGTCACCTCCACCGTAGTCAACCTGGCAGAGGATGTCGTACTCGTTCCCTGCGGGCGTCGTGAAGATGGTGCCATTGTTCTGGCCATTCTCACAACTGAGCGGCGGATTTGAGGGTTTGGTCGAGGTCTTCCTGCCCGTCCAGATCCCGGCGGCAGCGTTTGCAGACGTGATCCTGTCCTTCAAATAGCAGGCAGATCCGACATAGGACACGTCGACGCAACCCTGGGTGGCATCGCACAGATCCATACACTGCCTAAACGTCGGTTGACTCGAGGCAGCCATGTCGCCCCCGCCGTAGTCGACACCACAGAGAACAAGGAACGAGCTGTTGGCTGACTTGTAGACGGTATTGTTGCTTGCATTGCCCTGGCAGGTGATGATGGACGCCGGGTCGACATTCTTGCGAGCGGTCCAGATGCCATTTGCTGCCGATGCTGTCGTTGTGTCGCCCTTCATGTAACAAGTCTGGGAGCCCGAGGCATAAGAAACATCAACACAACGCTCATCCGTATCGCAGGCCGCGATACAAGCGTCAAATGTCGCAGCGTGTACGGCAGCCAGGTCGCCCCCGGCATAATCAATACCGCAAAGGATCAGGAAAGAATTTTCGGCCGCCGCGAAGACGGTATTGTTGTTGGCAGGGTCGGAGCAACTGACGGTGGCGGTAGTCGAGTCCGCCTTCTTGCGTGCTGTCCAGATGCCGCCGTTCTTGGCGAGGGTGTTCAACTGGGTCTTCATGTAGCACGCTTGGTTGCCGGCCCCGTACGAAACGTCGGCGCATTTGTCCTCGAGGTCGCACGCGTCGATGCAGTCGCGGAAGGTGGCGGCAGAGATGGCCTTGTAGTCGCCGCCGGCATAGTCATAATCGCAGAGGATGTCGAAGTCGCTCTGGGTGGCATGGAAGGTGGTCCCGTTGACTCCGGAGACTGTGCAATCCGGAGCACTCGATGCGACTTGTCGAGGATCAAATAACTGGGCTGCGTTGGTGGCCGAGAGCAGAAGGCATGCTGCCAAAATTGCAGGCGTGGAGAGATGAAAGAGAGACATGACGGGAGCCGCAGCGATCCGCGAAAACGAATGGCTAGAGTTAATCCTCTAGAGCAAGTCCAGAGCCAGGACGCGCTCCCGCAGTTGGCGATGCAAGCAAAATCTGACGATAGCCAAGATTTGGGAATATCCGGGGTTATCATGTCCCAAGCGGCCAAGGAGGGCCTGGCCCGTCGGCCTCAAAGGGAGAAAGTCACCTTGGGGCATTGAGCTGAACATGGGCGCCCCATACTTGAAGCTATCGATTTTAGATCCCCGGCTGCTATCAAATTTGCTCTGGAGACCCTGGCTCGTCACACTAACAGAATATGCTGGCCAGACCCAAACCTTAACTTGGCTTGGCTCCATCGATTCTAGACCCGTCCCCCTGGTCAAATACCACCATGCGACGTGAAATTTGCTCCCAGCTCGTCGCACTAAGAGGCAGTAGTTATGTATACGTGTAGAGGCTAGAACAAATATGACAAGCTGCTGTGCTATTTGATTTTCAGCCTGATCTAGTGTCGATTTATCGACATTTTTGGAAAAGCGCCAGGGCTCGCCGCGTGCTGAACTTTGGAACAATCCAGATCCAGGAGACAACGTTCCGGCCGTCCGTCAATTAGTGGCACATCGAACGCCACATTGGTGACGGTAATTAAATTGAGCGCTAATTACCGCTTCACATCGTCGGCCTCTTTGATCTCGAACGACACCTTCCCATCCACTAGGCCGTCAAACGCCTTCGCTATCAGCACCCTTGGGTTGCTATCGCCGTCGGGGACCTCGTGGTCCGAACCCGTGTAAGAGAAGCTTACCGACTAGCCAGATTCGGCGACGTTGTGAGATCGCGCTCGTCTCAAAGCAAAGCTGCGAGCCCGGTATGGAGGGAGCGTGTCGGTTAGCTCGGGATCTGTCTGGGCTCTTTTACATCCCCCTCTGCCCACTATACCTCAATCCCAGAGGTCAGCTTGCGAAACTCAATTGCTGCTGTCGGCGATGGCGTCCCTGGCGACACACCTCGAGGCGGTGGGAGGCTCGGCGCACGTGTGCACTTGTCCTCTCGGTCAGCCCCGGGTTGGTCGAGGAAGTGCGCCATCCCCTCGGTCCAGCCTCGGACGGCGACGGACGACGATCCGCCCCGCCCCGCTCCGCTTGGTGCTGCAGTACCGCTGGACTGTCCACTCCGTGGCCTGGTGCGGGGTGCCCATGTCGGTAATGATGCGCTCGGAATAATACGGTATCCTGTCATTTACATGACAGCATCGCATCCTTTCAGTCATGCTTAAAATGAATGTCTTGAGTCCTGCGACTGGGCATCGGGGTTTCCCTTTCGAGGTGGCGTGTCTCTCACTGAGCCACTGCGAGCAACACGAGCTACCACTTATCATTGGCATACTGGCGGGGGTTGGAATAGCTGATCGAAATACCGTTAGAACATTCTCCGGAACATGGTCTGGAATACATGTTGGCGTGGGGAAATGGGGTATCAAGTCGGCTTCGCTCCCCTGTCCCGCCCTGTCCAAGTCCTACTCCGGATTTGGGATGAACTCGTACCAGGGGTTAATCTGGTCCTTGACCAGGGCCCACGTCTCCCGGTAAGGGGGTACTCGAACCGGAAACCCGGGATCTCGACAACATCTGGCGCCACCCGGTAATGTCGGCAATTTTTATCGCTCCCCGACCGCCGGCACTCGTATCCCGGAACGGTGGCGCAGGACGTGCGCGTATCTCGAGATACGTATGAGACGAAACCAATAGCCATCGAGACACTTTACGTTTGTTACCCCTTTTTGACCCCGCTACCCCTCCTACATTCTTCGTTTTAAGGCCATATTTTTGGAGTCACGTTTTATTCCCGTGCATCGATGCCTGTTCCATTGCGCATGCTTGGAACAACGATACTTGGCCATCGTCAATTTTGCATTTGGTGGCATTCCCAAATCCCATTGAAGCGGTTTGATGGAAATGATATTACCAGTCCGCTAATGGCATATCCCTCGTGCAGTTAATAAATATACATAGACTCTCCCCTTCTCCCTTCCGTGCTCATTATGATGTCTAAAAATGCACCCATCCCATCCCCGGTCATCCAGATTTAAATCCATGCCACCGAATAAGTTAACTTCAGACTTTAAGAAAAAAATGGGACCAAATGGTCAGATGAAGAAAGAAAAAAAAAACCCTCAGCACTTCTTGATCTGCGTGATGGTGATGGTGGTGTCGTCGACGGTGAGGGTGCCCGAGACGGCCGAGTTGGAGGCCTGGAGGATGGCGCGGTTGCGGATCTCGAAGTTGACGTTCTGCTGGTTGGGGGAGTTGATGGTGGCCTTTGCGGTGAGGGTGTCCTGCTTGGTGTAGACGCCGCCGCCGCCCCAGCTGGCCGAGGTGAAGGTGGTCGTCGGCGTGCTGCCGGTGAGAGAGCCGGGGGAGAGGTTGTAGCTGGCCTGGAGGGTGCCGGTGACGCCGCTGTCTATCTGGGCGAAGCCGTGGTAGGTGGTGGAGATGGAGGCCGAAGAGCAGCCGACGGGGAAGCGCAGGCCCAGGAAGATGTTGCAGTCCTCCTCGCGTTGGTTGGTCTGGGGCCCGACGAGGGTCTGGTAGCTGTCGAAGCCGAAGGTGATGACGGTGCCGTCTGGGCTGATGCTGGTGGAGAAGGAGCCCTGCGGGCATCCTGCGCCGGACGCTGTGACGGAGGTGATCTGGATCTGACCGGCCTGTCTGGGGTCCAAGCTTGTCGGGGCGGCCAGGGCCAGGGCCGGGAGAAGAAGTGCGGAGAGGAACTTCATTGTGGCTGTTTGGGTGGGGTAATGTCGAGGCTTGGCTTACAACTGGCGATACAAGAAGGAGTGATGCGGTGTCCGTGTGCGTGTGCGTGTCGCTTGAGGACATCTGGAATCAAGGAGAAGGGTAAGTAATGTTATATAGACATGTCGGGTTTCAAGAAAGCGAAAGCGCAAGCCGCAAGCCCTGGAGGATGGCATCGCAAGCTTCCAAGCTACTGCCTTCGACACTACGTTGCTGGACGGCACAATGACACTCACCTCACACACCGCCCCAAGGCGAGGTCATGGCGAATGGTCAGACGGTCGGACGTGGGCTTGTTCTGCAGGCTCCCTTCAATAGTCTCAGCTCGCCAATTCGTGTCTGCGGTGGGGATTGGACGGAGGCCGTGCAGACGGATTCGAGACGGCGCTAGCACGAAAACCGACCGAGGAAGACTGAGCAAGAGAGAGCAAGACTGAGCAAGACTGAGTGGCCTGGGAGGGTCAGACGCGAGAACAAAAATGGAGGGAAGGGCCCACCCCAAGAGCGACCCCAAGAACCGGGTGGTGACATCGATCCCGCCTGCGCATCAATAAATCGCTGCAATGACGGGACAGTCGCGCGGGAAATTCCCAGGAACGAAAGGCGGGCCACAGACCACGGACCATCATGGCGGTGTTTCTGCCTGGCCGTTGGGTCGCTTATTTTGGGAACATTTCTAGACGAATAAGCTTACCGGGGATGCTTGCAATAACGTCATCTGTCATCCAGGAAGGGTTAAGCCTCCCTCCCCTGACCCCCCTTTTACCCCCCTTTTTAATCTGTACCGTCCCCTACCACCACCACAGCCTCCACACCCACCCACACACCATCCCACACGTTCATTCTCGCGAATGCAGCCCTGGGTAGATTACGAGTCGCTTGTTCATCTGACCCCGACATGGTGCCGCTTAGGTTCGGTACCGCGAGATTCCGGCACGGCACCGCAGTAAAAGGACAACCGCGAGTTAGCCGCACAAACATCATCATCTACTTCCCCGACACATACTGCGTACATTAGTTTGTAGCTGCCAAGCGTCTAGGCAGACCGAATGCGCAACCAATTGAAGCTGCAGGGCGGCAGCAGTCGCATTCAATAATTTGGCGGAAGGACGGGCTGGTGTGGCCACGACGCGGCTCGGGTGCAGTTGGAATGGATGGAAGGAGAAGGAAGTGAGGGGGTAAGGCACAAAGAGGCACCTTCATGATGAAGATACAGGTGACATTCACATCGGCCATACCATACTCGAGTCTGACCGACGAAGGAATATTCTGGTGTAACCACAGGCGGGGTGCCCGATTTCGATCACTGCGCCGCGTCTGCTTCTCAGCCACCCCGCGGGATTCGTTCATGATGTGCGTGACTCGACGATGATGATGGTTAGAATACGGACTCTCAGAGTCAGGGGGTTCTTTTCGCAGGTTCGCTCCAATGGCTATTTTCGTCCAGGCAGCGTGGTCTTGGCACCATTCGACCGACACTTCCCCTCACCTTGGACATAATAATCGCATTGGAGTCACAAGCATGTAGGGATGAACGATACACGCAACGGTCGAGAACCAGTACCCACAATCGATTATCCCTCGTGGCCTCGTCCCGTTTCTTGGCAGATTCGGTGACGGTCCATCGTATGTATGGCCCTCACGGACCCCTCCCCGGCTGGCGCTGACCAAGGCCACACGGGCTGCAATGGAACAATCCTACCCGGGAGAAATATTGGCAAGTGACACTTATTTTTAGGGAGCAGGCCGAAGGAGGCGGCTCGGCATGTCAAGAGACCGGCCATTACGTCAACGACCGGGACCGCAGCGAAGGCCCCGGCCTCAGAACCAGGGACAGGTTGGAGTTCGTCCGAATTATCATCCCGTTGATTACGGATTACGCCGTGCACCCGCAGGAGATCTACCCCAAACCACAAAAGATGTTATCTTGGGCTGTTGTAGGACAGAACCAGGAGAGAAGACTGATTTTAGGAGAACCCAGATGGAACTTCCGCCGATCCCCCCAAGGAGCTGGAATGCCACGGTTGACGTTGATAGGGCTGTCCTGCGATGGCGTTTCCGACCCGTAAGCGAGTGGGAGACTTGGGCTAGACGGATCTCTTTGGCCCTACCCCACCGGACATCTCTCCCTAGATCTCCGTCGGACCGCTGCATCAAATAGTCTCAGACGCTGCAGTTCGCTCAAACTCCCTCGCCCGGATCCCGCAGACCTATCTCAAGCCCCGGTGGCTACCTCGTGGGAAAATTGCTGCCTAACCCCGTTCTGGACGAGCTCGTATGCACGCTAAAAACCAAATACCGAAGCGTGCATGTCTTGGGACCATTAGCGCACGCCTCGTCCACGTCAGAAAGGACCCTGGCAGAATGGAGCATATCGGTTTGTACACTCGGCGACAAGAGAGGTGCGAGTCCCTTGAGGGCATCACTCTAGCTGTTTTCTACTGTGTCCGCGATCGGCATCGTCGCAACCGTCACAACGATGTAGAGTGATATCCACAGAAACGCCATCGTGTCCCATCGCCGGTCGCCACAGCCTGTAAGCTTCTAGTGCTGATGCAGTACTCGGTCATCGTTGGGGTCGAGCGGGTGGCAGTCGAGATGTCTGGTTCCCACGAGTGAAAGGAAAGACCAATATTGTGTTGTCTTGCAGTGGTGGTTTCTATTTTTGCTCTATCTCTTTCCATAAATCCATTACCAAGCCATGTTTTTCTAATTGTTTGAAGAGGAGAGGCGGTTACAAAATATAATTACAGGTTGCTTCTGTTTACCGGAACCGGGACCCTAAAAGCGGACAAGCAGTTTCCAGCCAGTACGTCTGATCCTCGCCACGAGCACAAAGGTAGTGCCAGCAAGACAAAACACCCCAGAGAAGACCTTGAGGCCAACCCAACCGCCCGAGTTGTCCAGTATAGCGCCGTTGATGGGATTCGTCGTCAAGCCCCCAATAGCAGTGACGAAGAGGACGATGCCAGTGCGGAACCCAATCTCCGCCATCGGCGAGATCTGCATGACCAGAGGCGTAATGAGCGAGACATACGCGCCGGAGAAGAAACCGAACAGCAGAGCGAAGGCGATGAGCGCCGGATCGCTTGTGTCGGGCAACCAAAGTGCCAGGATCCAGATGGCGGACAGGTAGCAGACGACGACGAAGGTGTTGAATCGACCGATCTTGTCGCTCACAAAGCCCGAGAAGAGACGCCCGAACAGCGACGCCGCATTCAGTATGGGCAGCAGATAATGGGCCAGGTCGGGATCCATGCCCGAGCTGAGTGCCTGCACGGGGAGATAGTTGATGGGAACGAAGAAGCCGTAGCTAAAGCAAAATAAACCGGCAGTGAGGAGGAGGAATTCCGTCTCGGTGAGGGGCTTGAGGAGCTGGGCGCCGGTGATTTTGTGCGGGGATGGAGGGCGATAGGCGCGGACGGTGAGGTTGGCGATGATCAAGAGGAAGAGCATGAGAAAGCCGGAAATGCGCATGGCCCAGCCGTAGCCGACCTCACGGATTAGATGTGACAGCATTATGGGGAACATGACACCGCCAATACTTGAGCCCGTAAATAATATTCCGAAGGCCGCGCCGCGCCTGTGGTTGAACCAGCCGGCTACACAGGTGACGGCTGGGACGACAGTTAGCACACTGGCGTGTCATGGTGCGAACACGTAGGAGTGGCGAGCAGCATACATACCGGGTTGAAAGATTGCCGACACACCAATGGCTGAGCACAGCCCCTGCGCAAGGAGTATTTGGTAGTACTCGGTGCCAAGGCTTGCCATCATGATGCCGAAGATATGGAGAAGGCTGCCAACCATGATCAGCCACCGCGGACCAAATCGATCGTATATGATGCCGACGATCGGACCCTGAGGAAAAATATCAGCAATCTGACTCTAATGACAGCAAAGAGAAAAGCATGGAACCCACCATGCCCATCATGAAAAAGATTTGCAGCGATGGAATCCACGAGATGGTGCTGGGCGAGTAGCCGCTGAGCAATTCGTTTTGGTAGTACTCCTGGAAGACTCCAACACCTGTTGCTGTCAGCGTACTTGGGAGTACAATGGGATGCAGTCGTACTGTTAAGCCAGCCAAAACTGCAAAATGAGGTGCACCAGGCACCAAGCAAGACGAGCCAAGCGAGAAGACCGCCGTCCGGGGTGTCATCGCCGGGAGACCTTGGCTGCGTAGCCTTCTCAGCATCGTGGTCATGCAAGATAGATGACGGGGTGTCCGAGTGGCCGCCTTGATATTCTGCGTTTTCCGTCTCTCTTTCGACCGGCAGGCTCCCGGCTGGTGTGGCAGCCGGTTGTTTCGGGTGCGGCATAGTTATGTCTAGGGGTTAAACTTGGATATGAGGAATGAGGGGAAAAGAAAATGCTTTGGGCTAAATCTTGAATCATTTTGTTCCTCCATTTGAGCTGGTACTTATAGGCCGGAAGGCGGAGAACACCCCCCTGTCGAAACGCTCATGTTCCGCTGGAGTCGGAGGTACTGGAGGCCGAAGAAGGGGGTGAAAGTGTGGCCGCAGATAAGTCCTCGATGGGAGGGCGAGCCATTTTGTGCTGGATTACCAGCGATCGATTGTGGTTTGGCTTCAACCGATTGACCGGGCAGTTTTCATGGTCGAAGAAAAGCAGGGGCCGGGTGTTGGCAGGGCAAGCTTCGGACTCGGTGGTAAAATACTAGCAACAGCGGCCGACGACTTGTTAAAAGCCCGGCTGACTAAGCGGCTCGGCCCTAGGATTTCGGCTCGGTCGGGGGCAAGTCATTATTGACTGATCTCGGACGGACACAATCTCAAACCATCGGCCGGGCTTTCTGCTGTTTCTGAGTCAAGCACAATTCGATATTGAACATGGAATCCGAGCCATTAGCCGCCAACTCCAGCCTCACCTCGCGCTCCGAGCCCGAGTTGGAGCAGCAGACGAGTTCAACAGTTGCGGGCTCGCAGAGCAACCGCTCAGTTCCCCGTTCGTGCTACGGCTGCCATCGCAAAAAAGTCCGATGTGACAAAAAAGAGCCATGTTTGTCATGTACACGGGCTGGGAAGCCCTGCGCCTACCCGCCGCCGGGTCCACGGATACGGCGACCCAAGAAGACTATCATGGCCGACATGGCCTCTCGCATTTCCGACCTGGAGAGATCTGTTGGCAAAGCTACCTCTAGAGATGAAGAGACATCGGTTCCGGTCCCGACGACTCCAGTTTCTGAAAGCTCTGATACTATATCCTTGGCGCAGCCGGCCGCGTCGGTGCCCTCGAGCGGCAACTTGAGTAAGAGATCCAGGGATGACATACTGGTCCAGAAGGGATCATCCAGTCAGTACTTTAACGAGATCCTTTTGTCCAGGGTTATAGAAGAGGTTAGCTGCACCGAAGCCATATCGATATGGAAAACATCAATCGCAGCTGTGTAATTCTGACGCTGGTATAGGAACGAAACATCGAGTCCATCTTGACGACTCCGCAGGCAGAGTCCCCACACCCTCTGACCTCTCCATTCAATGCCTTGGGGATCCTCTCCGCCGCCTCCCTCTCACAAGTACCCTCCAGCTTTCACCCGCCTACGCCACTGGCCGTGAGACTATGGAACATCTACGTGCACAATGTGGAGGGTTGTATAGGTTTAAAACTTCTACATCTTCCCACCGATGAGAAGAAGGTTTATTCAGTTATCGATGACCCCACCAAGGCATCGTTTGAGAACCTCACCCTCTGTTTCGCCGTCTACTTTGCGTCAACAGTCTCTCTTGAAGACGGTCAAGAAGCCCAGGGGATTTTAGGCCAGGATAAACATGCGCTTCTACTTAGCTTCAAGGTCGGTCTAGAACAAGCTTTCGCCCATGGAGACTTCTTAGACTGTCCAACACTGACTGGGCTCCACGCCCTGGCCATCTATCTGGTATGTTCTCTCTTTCCATCTACTACTCAACTTGCAAAAACGAAACCTAAGTCATCTACAGTCGGCCCTACGCGTCCATAACCGCGGCAAAGGGATCTGGATTCTGAACGGCCTGGCAATCCGTATAGCGCAGTCGCTGGGTCTCCATCGCGACGGAAAGCGACTCGGTCTCCCGCCCTTCCAATCCGAGATCCGCCGCCGCCTCTGGTGGCATCTGCTGAGCCGAGATGGCCGCGCAGGCGAGGACTACGGTCTGGAACACACAAACGGCCTGACACTCGTGTCCGACGTCGGCCTGCCCCTCAACGTCGACGACACAGATCTCTACCCGGAGATGGAGGCGCTTCCTGTGCCGAAACGGAGCTGGACGGCCATGACCTTCTCGCTGATCAATATCGACCTTACAAAGTCGATGCAAAGGTTGGCAGCCGCTGCGGCAGCTTCGTCGCCTTCGTCCCCTCCGAGAGAAGACGTGAGAGCAAGAGTCATCGAGGAGACTAAAGCGCGGGTTGAGGAGTGGCTGGAGAGCTGCAACCCCATAATACCCCAGCATCGCATGACGCTGTTTTGCTCCCGTTTCCTCCTCCGGAAGCTCGATTTTATCACCAGGCTACAGTGGCTTTTATTGCGGCATGCTGGGCCAGGCGCGGATTTCGCGACGGAGGAGAACCTCTCCGAGGCGTTGGCGATCCTGGAACCGAGACTCTACAGTGAAGACGGCTTATTGACGCAGTTTGCGTGGGCGCGGAAGGCCTATCCACAATACCATGTCGCGCTGTACGTTCTGTGGCACCTGTGTGTCAAGCCCGAGGGCCCCAATGTCGACAGGGCGTGGGAGGAGGTCGAAGTCTTGTTCTCTCACGAGCTGTGGGACGAGTCTAGCATAAGGCTTGGATCAAAGTCGGCGGTGCTGGCGGCCCTCAAGGCCAAGGCTGTGTCTGTGAGGGAGAAGACGCAGAGACTCAGGAGCCCGGCGAAGAACGCGGGACATAGCGACTGTAATTCGGGCCTAGTATCGGGAGAAGACCCGTCTGGTGGTGGAGACCTTCCTGTTTATCTGCTTGGAGATATGGGCAGTGATGGGCTTGATTTCAACATGGGCGGGGATGAATGGCCAAACTGGGCAACACTAGTTCAGGGGTTCCAGCCTGATGGTCCTGATGTTTTGTGGCACTGAGTACGCTATCGCTTTCTGACGGGCCATTTACCCGTCAACATTACTGTATACTAATGTAATTATATATTCCCAGTGCATGTGAACAGGGTGACTGCATGGAGCTGTGGATGTGCGACGATGGGAGGGAGAAGGAGCGCAGAGGAGGGAGGGTGGAGTCCGATAAGCGTGCCAACCCAGGTACCCTAGCTACAATACCCTAGTATCGTATGGCGCTGTTTTGCCCTCGCTTCCTCCTCCGGAAGCTTGAGTTTATCACAAGGCTACAGTGGCTTCTATTGCAGCATGCCATCAGTGTGACTTAAGCTTTCTCTAAGGCCTTCCCTTTCCTATACCCTCCCCAGAATACCCTGAGGGGTTGCGGCCTTGGTCACAAGCACAATACAGCCACCGAAGAGGCACATAGCTCCACTGAACATGGATAACTGCAAAAAGCCCCCGTACCTGTCGACGATGGCGCCATTCACCGGAGGGCCTATCAGACCCCCAGAGCGCTGATGGACATGCCCATTCCCATGTACGTCCCCATGTCCCGGGCGTCTGTGGTGCAGATGGAGATGGATGCGGAAGCCCCTGAGATGATAGTCCCCGACACGAAACCAAAGACAACCGAGTATACGATCAGCGCCGCATTGGTCGTCGTCGAGTTCAAGCAGAAGACGACGATGCCGGTGGATATCCCGCCAAATGCGAACACGTTCAGCCGCCCGTATCTATCCGCCAGCACGCCCGGGATGATGCGTCCAAATGTCGAAGCCGCGTTGACGATGGCGAGCAGGTAGCCGGCCAGCGTCGGGTCCGTGCCTCTCGTGACGGCGTATATCGGGATGAAGAAGAGCGGGGTGAACATGCCGATGAAGATGAAGAACAAGGCGGCGATGATGAGGAGGAATTTGACGTCCTTGTACGCCGCAGGGATCCAGAAGGTGCTTGTCCTTGATGGCAGGCGAGCCCGGATGGCGACGCATGCGAAAACTAGGATGGGCGTGATGAGGAAGCCGATGACTCGCACCGACCACCCAAACCCCAGAGAAGAGCTGTTCAGCATCTTTGACAGGGCAATGGGGATGACGATGCCGCCGATGGATGATCCGGACACCACCACGCCGAAGGCCGCCGCTCGTTTCTTATCGAAGTAGTGCGACACTGCTGCGAAAGCCGGAAATTGTAGGAGGCCCATGACGATGCCCATTAGGACTCCCTGCACGAGCATGACTTGCCAATACTTGTTGCACAGGCTTAGCATCATTATGGCGAAGATGTAAGCAACCGCAGCCGGCCGGATAACCTGGATACTGCCATGTTAGTGGGCCAGCCCAAACGACAACCGGTTGAAGGTCAAAAGACAACAGAGAAAAGAGAAAAGAGGAGAAGGTTGACCTGCCCATGCGCCGAAACGATCAAACAACGGTCCTCCGACCATGCACCGCCGCGAACTGGAGGAAGGCCGACAGGGATCCAATCCAGGCGATGTTATCCGGCGATTCATCACGGAGCTGGTGTGTTGAGTAGTACTGTGCAAAGGCGCCGAATGCGTTTGAGACGCCCAGGCAACAGAAGAAGATCGAAGAACCCGCCGCCGCAACGAGCCAGGCTCTAGCACCGCCGTCGGGTGCTTCCTCGAAATCGAGAGGACCGGGGGGGACTTTCTCTTGAACGAACCCGGTGGCTATGGTTGTGTTCTGCTCCTCATCTTGGCGAGAGACTTCCGACTCGTTCACTGCAGTCGCCATGTTGGAAATCGGGGGGATAGGGGGGCTAGGGGAGGCGGCTTGGCTGTGAGACCCCTGGTAGAATGTGCTGAGATGTGGCGAGACGGATACATTGCGAGCGAAAACAAGGGGATACTGCACCTATATAAAAAGGCGTCTCGTCTGGGAAGTTGATTCTTTCCATGCCTCTCGCTATGCTATCGGAGGATGATGCCTCGGGAGCCACCTGTTCGGCAGCGGACTCGGACTCGGCTGGAAATCCTCGGCAGCCAATTGGTGGGAATCGACCAGCCACGGAAGTCTCGGATATAAATCGGGGCACATCATAAATCGGCACGGGGCGGACTTGGTCCTTCCTCCATAAACAACGGTTTTCCATTTCTCTGGCCTCCCGTGAGGAAAGCCCGTCGGAGATACCGATAGTTCTGAATGGGGAAAAGAGTACAGCCCAAGCTTAGCCATGAATGAGCCTGACCGTCGGCGCAGAAGGCCCGCAGTGTAGGTTGGAAATGGAATCCCCTATCGGGGGTAATCTCTCTGACGAGCAACAGTTCGTGCTCTCTCTGCAGAAGGCGCAAGATCCGATGCAGCCGAGAAACTCCCTGCAGCAATTGCCTGCGGTCCGGAAACAGGGCTTGCGTCTATGAGGCACACCCTCCTCAACCTCCGCGGCAACAACTTAGCCGGGGCCAGCCTCGAGAGCTGATGCCTATTGGCCTGGCTTCCACCACAAGCAGAGAATCGACAGTCCCAAGTCATCCGCCCGGATCACTCGTGACCGAGATAACCAACGCATCGACTCTTGCGAGTCAACTCTCTGCTCCGGATGTCGAGGCTATGAGGAGCCGGATTCGGCAACTTGAAGAACAGCTATCCAGGGCGACCCTGACGTCTACCCAGCATCATGTTTCGACCCCGGGCTCGAACATAGAGACGGCGACTTCGCGACTAGGTGGAACCTTCCATCTCCTTCACGATAACCGCCTGCCCAGCCAACCTCAGGCCATCACCCGCAGCGTAACGCATAAGACGCGCCTTTTTGGCCAAAGCCATTGGGTTAATGCGAGTGTCCTGGTAAGTCCATCTGCTGATTATCCATCGAGGTTTGCTGGACGGCACGCAGGTAGCCTAAACAAAACCATTTAATTAGCTGCTAGATATTTTCGAGATAAGTGAGCCGCATCTACGAGAAGAGGGATCAAAGGCCTTCGCCAGCATACAAAGATGCAAATCCTTGGCAAAGGTCATCAAGTCACGGCGGGCACCTCGGTGGCCCACGCCGCCCACGCCCGACTTGCCCCCGAAAGACGTTGCCGACGAGCTCGTCGACTGCTACCTACGGACGATCGAGACCGTGTACCGAATCCTGCACGTCCCCACCTTCAGAAGGGACTATGAAGCGGTCTGGGTGTCGGGTGCCGAGCCCGATACGGCGTTTCTGGTCCAACTTAAGCTGGTGCTCGCCATCGGTGCTACCACGTACGACGAGAACTTCTCCCTACGAGTCTCGGCCATTCGATGGGTGTACGAGGCGCAAACCTGGGCTTCGGAGCCGGAATTCAAGTCCCGACTCGGCATCCAGTCTCTGCAGACGAATCTCCTCCTCCTACTTGCCCGAGAAACAGCAGGTATCGGCGGAGGCCTGACCTGGATCTCGGCCGGCGCACTCCTCAGAACGGCAGTGTACATGGGCCTGCATCGAGATCCCTCGCGCCTGCCAAAGAGGTCGATTTTCGCCGCCGAGATGCGCCGGAGACTGTGGAACTCGATTCTGGAGCTGACTCTGCAATCGAGCCTGACCTCGGGGGGTCCACCGCTCATCTCCCTCGACGACTTCGACACCGAGCCTCCCGGCAACTTCGACGACGACCAGCTCGGGGCCGAGGATCCCGCGCCGAAGCCGGAAGACTGCTTCACCCAAATGTCCGTCACAATAGCCCTCCGCAAGACGTTCCCGCTCCGCCTCGCAGTCACCAAGTTCCTGAACGACCTCGGCTCGCACGGCACATACGAGGAAACGCTCCGCCTCGACGCACAGCTAAGGGCCTCGTACAAAGCCCTGAGCCGCACCCTCCAAGCATGCACCTCGACCACCGGACCATCGCCGTCGCGGTTCCAAATCCGCGTCGTGGACTTCCTCATGCACCGCCACCTCTCCTCCCTCCACGCCCCGTTCTTCGGCCCGGCGCTGCACGAGACGGCCTACGCCTTCTCCCGCAAGGTGGTGGTCGAGACCTCGCTCAAGATCTGGTGCGCCGCGTGCCCGTCCTCCACCATCATGGCGGCCCAGCGCCGGCGCCGCGGCGACGACGCCGCAACCTCGGCGGACCGAGACGACCTGGAGCGCCTCACGGCGTGCGGGTCCGCGTTCTATCGCACCGTCGCCATGCAGGCTGCGCTGCTCGTCGCCGTGGAGCTCCGGACGCAGCTGCAGGAGGAGGAGAGCCTTGGGCCCGTGCCGCTGCGGCCGGATCTGCTGTCCGTGCTGGATGAGGCGAGGACTTGGAGTTTGCGGTGCATCGAGGCTGGGGAGACGAATATGAAGGGGTATCTGCTCGTCTGCGTGGTTGCTGCGCAGATTGGAGGGCTCATGCGAGGGGTTGCGATGGAGGAGGTCCCGGGTTTGTTGGTCAGGGCTGCTGAAGACGCTGGAGAGACATGCTTGCCGATGCTTGAGAAAATGGCGGCCCAGGAACGAGCTGAGGGAGGTGGAGATGGGCTTCAGACGACCCTGGGCACGCCGGCGCCTGAGGGGATGGAGGACTGGGACTTTATGGTAAGTGGATGCCTGTTAGATTTGCCCATCACTCACAATTATATCAGATGTCAGATGCCATGTTCAACCCGGCAAATGCGGAGCCAATGAGCTGGATGTTCAATGATGAAAATACACAAGGGCCGTCATTTTGGTGACAAAGAGCTGTGATCTGGCCGACAACTGCCTTGGAGCTTTGTTCACAACGGAAAGGGGTGTTTTGATCACTTGGCTGTGGTCCTGCCTGGAATTGGAATAATGGAATAATGGTGGCAATGAGTTACAAGCGGTTCTCATTATTTGAGGCATTTAGGCATGATTGGATGTTGTTTTCATTATTTTCCTCTTCTCTCAGGGTTCTTTCTTGTTCCTTGCTGCAGGCTTAAAAGTGCAAGGAGGGTTCTCGTATGTGAGCGAAGTAAATAAATGGTATCCATTGCCGGTCTGAAGCCGGATAATCACCTCTAGACTCTAAGGAGGCGTCTTGAGGACCTTGAGGGCCTTCAAAGTTTGAGCTTCGGAGGATTGAAGCAGGGAAACCAGAGGGAAACCAGAGGGAAAGGTTAAACTTCGGAGATACTCATGGTGCATAACACGCACAAAAAATACTTGATTTACCTTTCATCCCGCCCTAACAAATTAGGTTAGCGCGGTTGGCAAACTTCAAACACGGTCGCCACTTTGTCCGGGTCCTCCTGAATTTCAGCCTAAGAAATTCCTTTTATACCAACGGTGTGCCTTGATATTTGGCCACATCATAGCCCTCTGACCTACCAAGACCCGGCTCATTTATACCGGGACCATGTCTGGTTTGCAATCATCCAACTGGCGCAGCGGCGCCTCGCCTAGGCCCGATGTCGGCACCAAGACAGGGCCGAGCTCGGGCTGGCAAAGGCCTACTCGGCGCACCAACAACAACAACAACAACGAGGGCGGCGGCAGCAGCAGCCAGAGCCCCAACGGCGGTGCCGGCGACGCAGACGCCCTCAACGAGGGCCGGCGCATCTACCTGGGGAACCTGTCGTACAGCGTCAAGCCGGCCGAGGTGGAGCAGATGCTCTGCGACAACGGGCTGGGCCAGTTCGAGAAGATCCACATCTCGGTCGACGCCTTCACGGGCCGGAACCCGGGCTACTGCTTCGCCGAGTTCGGCAGCCGCGAGGACGCCGAGCGCGCCCTGGCCTCGCTCGCCGGCGTGGCCATCCACGACCGCCCGCTCAAGGTCGGGCCGTGCCACCCCAAGGGGTCGTCGCAGTCCGAGAGGAGGGCGCCCGGAGGAGCTGGAGCCACGGCCGGGGCCGGAGCTGGGGGCCGCGAGTACCAGCCCACTTTTGAGAGGTGGGGGGACTGGAAGGGCGAGAGGCGCGGGGCCGGCCGGGCCGAGCAGGGCCCGTATGGGGCGCTTTCGCGCGTGGCTGAGATGAGCCTGGCCGAGCAGATGCCGAGGGTCTTTGTTGGCGGGTTGGGGAAGATGCTCGACCAGCCCCAGAATGACGAGGAAGTCAGGGAGTACTTCGCCGGGTTCAATGTGTAGGGTCTCCTTCCCCGGGATGACTTGGATCCTGATTCTAGGGTCGATCTAGTCGTTCGTTTGCTAACCCGAGCATGCAGCAAGGCCATCAGCAAGCGGATCACCCCTCATCCGACGGCGCAGGAGAGGCCTGGGAATCACCACTACTGCTTCGTCGATCTTGAGAGCGTCGAGGAGGCAGAAGCCGCCATTGCGAAGCTGAACGGGAAATCCGTGCCCAGTGGCACACTGCGCGTCCAGCTGGCCAAGCGGCCTGCCGCGCTCGCGCCGGGGAGGACTGGGACGTGGCGGGGACGAGCGAAGCCCGAAGAAGGGCGGGGACAGAATGGCGAGGCAGCGGCGGCGCCAACAGAGACGACGGCTGAGGCGTAATTAGTGCGTATTGGCGGCGACTGGAAGATCCAGCCTAGACAAGCAAGGTGGTACGGTACTGGTTGATGGCGGCGTCTTGAAAGACATCCTTTTTGGTTTTCTTTCCTGGTTCCGACTCCCGAGTCTTTAGTTCTCACAGGCCGAGTTTGAGCGAGTCGTACTTAATGTTCCCCAGGGCGTTTCCCCAAGAAGAACCAAGCAAGACTCGGTCAGAAGGACTCTTTTTATTTTTTATTCTTTTAAATGCGGCACCGGAATCGCAGTTCCGGTTGACACGCGTTTCTCCCCGGGGATCTACACATACTAACAGATGGTCCCAGAAGCTCTACACTACCTATAATTAGAGCCTGGAGAGTCGCATCAAAACCAGCAGATCTGGAACGGCCATCCAGCCGAGCGTCAATCCTGCATCCACTAACCCACAATGGTTTGCTCTTGGGCTCTTGGCAGGCCGCGGTACTGCGGTAAGGTACCCGCACTAGCTGTCCACTATGACGCGTGCACAAACTGCACAAATCCGGGTTTCTAGCTTTATCCTTACCTTCATCGAGAAACTTAGCACAGTTAGCACAGGCCCTCGGTTACCCGGTTTTGTTTGACTGGGAGGCACGTGCTGATGCTGCGTGATTAACCAGGAGTCACGGAATTAACACGACTCCCAGGAATTTTAATACGAGGTCACAATTAACCAACCCGCGTATCTTGAACCTCAAGAATCCTTCCCAAATAAAGAGGGCGAACCAACATGGAGTCCAGAACGTCCAGAACCATGTTGGCTGGGTTCCTGAGTGATTACGGAAGTCGGGGGACTCGGCTGGAAATTCGAATCAGGAAAGCTGGACGGCTACTGGCTGTTGGTTTAATATGCATGAAATCCTCAATGAATCGATTGGAACCTTTCAGGGGCGTGAGCTCTGGTCTTCCGCCAATCAGGCGGCCCAGCTCAGTCGGGCTATCCCCAATCAGGACGCTGCAACCGACCTCGCATCGCCAGGAAATCTCAACCCCAGCTGCCCCAAGGTCTAGCCAGATCGTAGCCTTGAGTTAGTGGTTCCTAAACCAGCTTCGGAAATAAGCTTTTCAGGGCCCTGGGCCAATGATTCGCTCGGGGGAGCTCGCTGCGGAGAAAATCCCCAATACCCAGTGGGCCTCTTGTGGGTTTCGCGCCGGGGAATGGGCTCATCCCAGGCTAGTCAGGGGCCAAAAGGGGGGTTGCATTCAGGAACAAGCAATTTCACGGCATCACCAGTTGGTCGATTCGCCGCCCGCCTGCTTGGGACAAAAAGGCGACCCTCCTCCACTCCGGTCCTTTCTCTTCCCTCTCTCCTCCTCCACCCACATTCAACGCTCTTTTCAGACCTCTCCAGCTTTCAGCTTTGCAAAGCGTCCATTCGTTCACTTACGACTCAACACCAACCCTAATACATCCTTCAAAATGAAGTACGCTATCGCTGCCCTCGCCTTCGCTGGCGCCGTCGCCGCCCAGGTTGACGCCATCCCGGAGTGCGCCAAGTCCTGCATCGAGAATGCTCTCACCACCGTCGGCTGCGAGGAGAATGACTACGCCTGTGCCTGCGCCAACATGAGCGCCATCGAGATTGAGGCCGGCCCCTGCGCCGCCGTTGCTTGCACCGGCGACGAGATCTGTATGTCTCCCCCCCTACCCCGTACCTTGAGAGCAACCAACCCGCTGACTCCCGATGCCCCTTTTTCTAGCCGAGACCCTCGCCGCTGTCCAGGAGATCTGCGCTAACCTCCCTGAGCCCACCGAGCCCGCGGAGCCCACTGACACCGCGGAGCCCACTGAGCCCGCCACCGAGGAGCCCAGCTACCCCTCCGCCACGGAGACCGCCACCGCGACCGCCACGGGCTACCCCTCCGGGTCTGAGACCGAGTCGGCCGCCGGCTACCCCACCGAGACGCCCACCTCGTACGAGGAGATGGTCACCAGCACCATCTACGCCACCAAGGTCTACACCGTCACGTCGTGCGCCGCCTACGTTACCGACTGCCCGGCCCACTCGACCTACCTGACCACCGAGACGGTCGCCGTCTCCACCACCGTCTGCCCGGCCAGCGAGGTGACCTACCCGCCCAAGGTGCCCACCTACCCCGTCCCTCCCCCGTCCTACCCCGCCGAGACCCCCACCGTCATCACCTCGTATGTCGGCACCGGCACCCCCGGCGGCTACCCCACCAAGACCGCCACCTCTTCCCAGGTCGAGGTCACTGCCGGCGCTGCCGTTGTCGGCTCCATGGGCGGTGTCGCTGCCCTTGCCCTGGCTGCCCTTGCCGTCTTCTAAATGGACAGTCGGGTAGTTGGGATGGGAGTGGGGATGTATTTAGGGTGGTTGTGGAGGATCATTGTCACATAAAACAGAAAAAACTTGGGGATGGATGGGAAATGTCTGTCATGTCTGATATGCCAAGTTTACGTTTAGTAAAGATGTGAAAATAGTCACGACTGTCCTGACCCGCATCTTGTTCGTCCTCGTGAATTTTGCTGGTGCAAATGCGCTTTTTACTCGTCTCGCGCGGATGTGACTCTTTGACCGATGGCAATCGCTTTAGGTGTTAGCTTCTGGATCCATCCTGTCTTCGTGTTGGGGGGCCCTCGAACAGACGAGATGAGATGAGACGATTTCCAGTTTCCCTGGCGTGCGTCATAGGCTGGGCGGACCTGGGCAAACATGAGCGCATGGCCTGTCAAGGGAGAGAATGGATGTGCCGGATTTGCCACTCCGCAGGATTCCCCTCACCTGACCCAGGTCTGGGCCCCCTCAGGTTCCTCCCCGACTGGTCAGCTGGCGTTTATTGTTTACATTTGGCCAAGTGTGGGTCCCCAACCAAGCGCGTCAAGGAGATGACGCGACAGAATCCGCCTTCCTCATTCTGGCTCCCGCATGGGAGATTGGTCTTTCGCAGATGTGACCGTGCGCGATGAGTTGAGGAGTTGACGATGGATGGCAGCCCTTCTTTTCTGGTTGAGAACCGAATAAGCCCAGGGCTCGGTCTCCACGCGTACCCGGGGTGCGTGCGGTGATTGATTAGCTGGGGGAACACCCGAGGCAATGCAACTCTCCGGAGTGCCCATTCGGGAGTCCCGAATCGGGATCCTGACAATGGTCGTGCTAAACAACAGCCGTGTCAACCAGTCCCGGGTATTGTCCGTAAGATGATTTCCGTTAGACCACCACCGTCTCCCTGACCCACATACCTACAGTACCTGACCTGCTGGTGCTGCAGACGGATACCTACCTGGCCTCCCAGACCCGGATGGGTGAGAGGCTTGGAGGAGCCGGACACGTAGTCACCTGGCCGACATCTACCCTCTGCCTGCCTCTCCCCCCACATGTAGCATAGCCCGCCCGAAGCGGGGAACGCCCGGTAGACGGATTCGCGAGCGGATTGGGATGCTGCGTGCACGGCGGGGCCGGCATGAACGCAGCCGGGGTTCCGTTTTCGGCAGGTGCTCATCGGGTGGCACAATGCTGTTGATACCTCTTGTTGCTATCGTGGAGAAGCGACCGGTGGATGGGGAGCGGCATGATCTTGGCTCGTGTCGGTGGCCTGCCAGTACTCGCTTTCTTAACGTTTGGATTTGTTGTGTTTTCCGTCACCTGGGTAGATACGTCTGCGTAAACATGCCGTTAGACTAGCCCAGTGGACGCAAAAGAAGATAGATGGGAGTTCCAGGCACACCAACCGGCATTCATTCATCGGTGATGCGCGACGGGTTGTGTGATTGGCGACACTCCTCATTGTCATCGAATGGCGGCCTCATCCATGTTGAAGTACAGCTTGGCCGACATGGGCACCGGTGATCAGCGACGCCTTGCCCTAGATGAACAAGCGATAAACCTAAGCCATGCGCCAGAACTGAAGACGTTTGGATGGACATTTTGGTGGGGCAGAGAAATCCCGAGGTTGGTGGTGTTTTGGGGGTGCGCGCAGGATGGCTTGACGTAGCTGATATCTTTGGAGTCGAAATTGGATTCATAACCTCTGGGGATCTCAAGAAGAATAAAGAGAAATAAGATCAGGAGGGGATGGTAGTTAATATTAAGTAGTTGGAAAAAAGGAGTTGGAAAAAAGTCGTGCTCCATGGGTGGAATGTTGTGATATGTGGGCCGTGCGGAGGTTTGGGTGGACGTCATGAACATATTACGCTCGTTAAATGAGGTGCTCTCAACGTGGGAGACCCGTACGAGTGGTCAAGTTGGATTGCGGTGCATTTGAATAAACAAAATGCCCACCGAGCAGCCAGCGCCCCCTCAGACACGACCCGTCACCCCTGCCTCAGGTTTCCGTCACGGGAGGCCTTGCATGTCCCAAGACACCATATAAGGGGCGAGGTGACGACAGTCGCAAATAAATACCCGCAAGCCGAAAGGCAGGGGGTGCAGTAGCTGCGGCACGAAAGACCGTAGGCTGGACCTGAACAGATGCAACGGCTGGGGGAGTGGGACACCGGGGGACAAACAGTGAGGCCAACTGAGGGAAAAGTGAGACGGGGGAGGAGGGCTCGAGACTGGCTCAAACCTTTCTTTTTGCCTTTTTTCTCCCTTTGCACTTGTTTGCTATCTTGACCTGACTTAGAATGTTACAATCTTGCAACTTCCAAACCTATTTGTTATGTATAGCGTCTTTTCCATGTTAGCTATGAAGATAGGAGAGAGGCTAGCTAGGAGGGCGTTGCTGATGTCATTCTTGACACTGCTAGCATGGCAATAAAGGCGTAGTTTATGCACATCTCGCCGCTGCTAATCTTGTTTAACTATGTCTATGCGAAGATAGCTTTCTCATTCTGCAGCTGGTGCGGGATAGGCTAGTGCGGGCACTTAATGCTAGTCAAGTTGTCGCACTGCCTGCCCACGTCTCTTTGGTACCTAAGGTTGCCTACCTCTTAAGGCAAAACACTTGATAATAGTGTAGATGACGAGCTAGTCCTTAAGGTCTTGCAACGTCGGGTTGTCATGGTTATACTAAATTGACATAAGCCACTGCTGCAGAGAAGATCCGCTTATCTAAGTCGATGCCTTTTCCAAAGATAGTGACTCTGCGATTCCAACTCTAGGAACTAGTTAACATTGTCACTGTACTTGGCTATCACAAACGATGTGCATGGGAATGGGAAGAATTATCATAACTATCGATGTAAACTCTCTGCTAAAGTCATTTCCCACTTAGCTGAGCCACGGCATAAGGCACTGAATGACTTCCTCCACCAAGTCTTTACTCCTAAGTACCAGGACTAGCATCTAGACGATTGACTTCGCCAACGCGCGCCCATTCGCCACGGTTATCGCGATGGGCTCATCTGACCACCAAGTATTATCCCATCAAACTTGCCTTTCCAAATCATCGCAGCGTCCCCACAACCCCTCCAATTCCGTCAGGAACGCCTTAGCAACAACAAAATCTTTCTTGACTCTGCACAACATCTCCGCCACGGCCTGTCGCTGCTTAATCTCTCGAGCTCGAGCACCAGCTACTCTCAAAGGAAACAAGAACAGCAGAGGCGAGAGGCTTGAGCCTTTCAAAGCTGCCCTGCTGAATAAGATGATAGCATCGAAGTGCTTCGTGACGTCCTCCAAGGAGAGGATGGGGATGGGAATTTTAAATGACTGCCAGAGTTGCATATCATAATCATAGTTACCAGAAAGATAGATGCTAGTTGCGGCAAAGAAGGTTTTGGCGAGCGCTATCTCATCTTCTGTGGCTGCCGACGAAGCAGATTCCATCTTCCAGCTTTCGAGGGCATCTCTTAAACAAAACCCTTCTGCGGCTAGTTGCTGTGCTATTGTGATGTTATCAACTGTGGGAGGTGCTGAGAGGGCTTCGACGAATTGGGCGGTCCTAATGTCTCTTGTCTTAGTTTTCCCTTAATCGTCATGAGCATTTCTGGGAATTAATACGAACCGAACTCGTAGGTTGGAGCACATAACCACCAGATCTAGCAGTGCGTCTTGCGGTGACCACTCACCTGTGAGGCTGTCGCCTAACAGATTGCCCGTCAATTGCAACCAATCGGGATTTGAAAGAAACGTAGACTCGTTGAATATGATGGATCTGCAGACTTCAAAGGTGCGGGCCTGGATGAAGAACGTCCGAGTCGATCCTGACGTGCAAGCTGATGGCCCGCTTGCGATGAGAGCTTGTGACGTGCCATAGACCATATGCCGAAGCCATAGCTGTCCGGAAGCATCTTGCATAAGCTGCGCAGCTCCAGATATATCAGTCATGCGTACAAGGAATAATAAATCCCCGTGTTAGACTGACCTCAAATAAGCCTAGGAAGAATGTTGTCCAGAGGATGCCGGCTCTTGTTAGGACATCCATGTGTGAGGATATCGACGACACCGCATCCCGGAGACCGCTGATCGATTGTGCGTAGGACTCTAGCGCAAATCGCAACGACACATGGCGCTTGGTATCAACAGAAAGATTGTGCATCTGCATGGATCCCAGGGCTAACGCGGCGCTCAGTAAAGGGGAACCCGGCTCTCCCGGCCGGTGCGCAACTTTCATGAGGCTTTTGACGTCAGCGAGGAAGGACGGCTCCCGTCCGGTGAAGTTGTTCCTCTGGATGAATATGTCGAAGTAGTACAGATAGCTGCCCATCATGTCTGGAAGCGGTGCCTGGGGTGCATTCTTCGTCGTGAAGGTCTTGGCCGTCAAGTGCTTCCCCCGGTCCAAGGCGATAATGCCTCCCCGAGCCGAGGACGGCAGAGTAGGGAAACCACAACAAATCCTCCGCCTTTGGCATTGGGTGCATGGGTAATGCCCAGAGCACTCGTGTTATTAGCGCGAGAACAAGACCGGAAGCTGTCGGACCTAGCCATCTGGGAGGTTGGCAGGTGAAGCAAAACTCACTTTAGAATGGCTTGTCGCGCATTGGGTGCAGCGTGAACGCTTTGTTCGACGATCGAACGGCCCGGTTGGCATCGCGAGAATATTTCCGAGTATGGAAAGGAGGCATCGTGACTCTACCGTCTACAATAGATGGACGCGATGCAATTTTTTCATGTAGTGCCGTGGTCGTGGTTGACTCGTCATCGCATCAAGCTATGCTTGCGGAGTCTTGCGTCGAATTGGAACACGCCAAACCCAATGCGGCAGCAATTGGGCGACGCTAGACCAACCTAGATTCAGGGGCGGGCTATTAACACCAAATTCCAGCCCCTGACGCCCAACAACATCGAGGCGCAGTATTTTCTCACTCCACTGTGCCAGCCTGAGAATGGAAGTCATCGCGCGAAGGTCTCCGGGCCACCTAGACAGAAACCGAATGGACCTCGGGTCTAGAGGTATAAGATGCACGAATTCCGGCCCAAAGACTCTTCTCGACTTGACTTCATCCCACATCATCTCCAAATCGTGAGCCTATTTTGCAACAGCCACTCAACTTATCCATTAATTGATAATATAATGATATCGACTATCTTGATCAGCATCCTGGCTGCAACAGCGGGGGCTGTACTCGTGTCCGGGCCGACAGGACCTTACGCCGTGTCCATGTCCGTTCAGGGGCTGACCGACAACTCACGATCCGACCCCTACGCCCCTGCAGACAACCGGCACCCCCGCAGAGTCATGATCTCGACGTTCACACCGGTCGACGAGACCAAGACACCCTGTCGACGCCGACAAGCCGTCCCGTATATGACTCCCTTGGTGGCTGGGGAATACGATGAGCTCGGAGCTGCTCTTGGCCTCTCAAACGGCACTTTCTCGTCCTTTGAGATGAACTTATGCGTTCCGAAAGCCTCGTCCTGCCGTTCCGGCCTTGCCTCCTACCCCCTTGTCTTGTTCTCGCCTGGTTCGGGTAATCCTCGTCTGCTGTACGGCGCGATGGCGCGCGAAGTTGCCAGTTACGGTTACGCGGTCGTGACCATCGACCACCCCTACGACGCTTCCTTTGTCGAATTCCCGGATGGGACTGTCTTCCGAGCAGTGGACATTGATGACGAGGACACGACCGCATTGGAGCTCCTCCTGAAGGCGAGCTCCCTACGACCAAGCCAACGCATATTGGAAGATGCTGATTCTACGTATTTCAGGTTCGTGCCGAAGATTCTTCCTTCGTCCTCTCTCACCTTTTCGAAAACCCCGTCCCGGGCATCGACTTTTCCCGTGCCATCATGTACGGCCACTCCCTTGGCGGCACCACCGCCGCGACGGCCATGCTTTCCGACCCGCGCATCCGGGGTGGCATAAACTTCGACGGCCGGCTGCTTGGTCCCGCCCTGAGCGCTGGGCTAGACAAACCATTCCTGCTGGCGGGACGACCAAAGCACATGGAGGAAGACTCGACGTGGGACATGTTCTACAGCAAGCTGCGCCATGGGGCCTTGGTCGAGGTTGGAGGGACGACACACGGGTCATTCACCGATGTTCCAACGTTGATACAATCGCTGAACCTGACCTTGCCGGAGGAGTTGAAGTCAATCTTGCAGAGCCAGTTCGGAACTCTGGAGTTTGGGAGAGCCGGGAGAGTTGTTGCAGGAATTGTCTCGGCTTTTTCGGACTTCGTTTTAGAGAAGAAGATGGGGTCAATGTTTACCGCGGGAGATGATGAGTACCCCGAGGTGGCAGTGTTGCGAGCAGATTTGTAAAGGCTTAGCATCGTGCGCAAAGGCGTCGGTCTGGTTACTTAGGTCCAAAGCTAGAGATTGCTAGGGGATTATAAATTAAGTACTCTCAGGGTCGTTCAGTGTCAGAAGTACCAGTTAGGTATGGACTAAAGGTGGACTAAAGGCGAAGCGTGGCTTTTGAATAGGCAGACGAGATTTCTATATTAATTTCATATCATATACCTTACATCGATAGATAGAAGCATGGGCTCTCCCTGTGGTTTGCTATTATTCGCAGCCCAATATCAAACTCGACCTAGTTATCTTCTATCTCATACCCGAGCACAGGATTCACATAGAAAGAAAATGAGAAACTGAGAATCCTCATCTCTCTCTTGAATTCCAACCCTCACCCCCGCGACCAGCAGCAGGCCCATCCCAAATATACAACTCGTTCTGCCTGCTCCATTGCGCCGGAGGGGACACCGCAGCCTCCCCGTCGTCAAACCGATCATGGGGCGCAATCCCAGCTGGCGGCGTCACGGGTGGCGGCCCGGCGACGCGGAAGACGCGAATCTCCTGCTGGCCCGCCGCGAGCTCCTGCCTTGGTCCGGTGGCGGAGGTTATTATCTCTTGCCCGCCGAGCTCCGAGAGGGTGCTGACCCTCGCTGCGTCCGGGTCGGCCTCGGAGGGGACCACCTGGCCGTAGTGGGCGCCTTCGTAGCCCTGCGGGGGCGTGTTGCTGAAGGCGCTGCCGCAAGGACGATTGCGGGCGCGATGACCCGCCACCCATTGTCGGCGAGCTCGGCGGGTACAGGGAGGGCGTCATGTGCATGTTGCTGTGGTACGTGTCTGCGGCTTCCCTCGTAGTTAGCGCGTGTTTCGGACCTGGATAACTCTGCATGCCCGGCGGGGGCTGCTTGCTCACCTCGATATGATGTGAAATCCGGGCTCGGCTCGGCGGTCCCATCCGTGGAGAGCGACCCGATGAACGACTTGGTGTAGGACTCGCGGTCCTTCTTCCGGCTTGAGTACCGTCCTCGCTTGAACGTGTAGACGCAGCCCACGACGATGGCGAGGACTAACACGGCGGTCCCGACGGCGATGCCGGCTATAGCCCCGGGCGACAGTGATATTCTTGAGCCGCCCGCTGATACCTCCGTGTTGCTTGATGTAGCACTACTAGCTGGTTTCGTGTTGCTGGGCGTGCTTGTACTAGTAGCAGAGGTCAAGAACATACCCCTGGCGGCGCTGTTGGAGCTCAGTTCGGCAGGGTAGAGATCCCCCTCCGGACACGCCCCCGTGTTGCAAGGATTGACCGAGCAGCATCCTAGGAACGGTGGTTTCAGGTCCTGGCATGTGAACTAGAGAGCCTTGTTGTCACTGCAGCTCTGCGCGGGAATATCTTCGTAGTGGTCGAACGAGAATGAGGAGTTGCGCAGGTCGCTTCCAGGGCACACGCCGGAGCCGCCGGTGCACGGGTCCACGGTGCAGCATCCCAGGAACTCAATGTCGCTGTCCTGGCAGATGTAAATGGTCCCGCCGCTCGGGCAGCTCAGGCCCATCGACTTGTATGGGTCCGGCATGGCCTGGCTACCGGAACCGGATGAAAGCTGGGTCTTCTCGTGGGTGAAATAGGAGATGGTCCGCCCATGTGCAAGTGGGACTGGGGAAGAGGGGGCTTGCCGGTTGATCTTTCTGCTTACATGGCATGGGCCGAGTGATTACGGTTCCACTGACTGAGCCCGATCCAACAACCTCAGCTCCCGCAGCCTCCATGAAGCAGGCTAGGCCCCGTGGGGGGAATCGACAACCGGCTGATTTGAGAATGGAAAACAAATAAATACATGGAATAACAGGGAGCAGGAGTCCTACACTGGAACATTTGCGGGTAAGTTCTTCTCATCTCCAGGACGTTGGGGCGTACGTCTACGCAGTATGAATAGGAATACAGTAAACCGCTGCAAGACTGGCGAGGATGACATCGGGTGACTTGGTGCCCCTCGAAGTCGAGAGATATTAGGCTGCACAATTTTGGGATGACCTCAGCTTTGCAAGGAATAATGGGGGCCAAGATCGGGCGCATTCCCCGCCGATTCTCTGGGTGTGGTTAGATTGTGCAACTGGAGGCGTTTTTTGGTCATTGTACATCTCTCAACGTGTGTGATTCGTTGTTTTGGCCAAGACGTAACGAGCGAAGTTGCTCTGCTCGTGGGATACGAATTCGGCTCTATTTGGGGTTGGCCTTCACGACGCGGGGATAGCGTGATGGGGTCCTGCTTAACAGTATTATTTGACAGCTGGAAGCGCCGGGCAAGCCACGAACTAGGAAAATGGTGAAGGTACCTACCTACCGACAAAAGAATCCTGCTATTTTGCTTGCTCAACTGCTAGACCTCGTCGCAGGCATAGCCGCCCCCCATTGCGCCATTACGTTAGTGTAGCCTCTTACTGCAGCCCAGCTGAAGACGAAGGATTCGCTGACCTCAGCAGTTGTGCAACTGTGGCGCTCACTATAACACAAACGGCTGTAGGTACAGAACCCCGCTGCCCGTCTGCATCCTCATTGCTATCAGCGTTGTTGTCGTACCCAAACAGGGCAACGCCCTGGTAGTAGTCCAAGTACGGGACATGGTATTTGTAATTGTAGGAAGTTATGCCAAATCCCAGGTATAAGCCCGATGAGCACGGACGACCTGCCGGGTATTGTCAAATCAAACGGTCAATATTGCTCGCTCTAGCTACAATGTGCAGTGGCGTGGAAAGGAAGCTTACAGGGTGTTGTGTGCTGCGATTGAAATTGCCGTTGGGCGGGATCGTCAATAGAAGCCAAGCTCTGCGGAGCCATAATGAATGCCCACGTATTGTGCTTTGCGGCGTTGAAGAGAGAGACATCCAGGCCTCTAACCATGTTGGTAGCCAGATCGAAACCGTAAAAGGTGAAATATCCTAGGTACATATAATTAGTAAAGGTCCTGCCAGAAGTGGCAGTATGCTATGATCAAATGTCAGATAAAAGGTCTCATACGAGAGAGGGTTGAGCCGGGGGGGGGGGGGGGTTGACTGCTCCCTTCAATACTCACAACGTAAACGGCAGACACGACCACGAGAACGGTACAGCCCGTGAGTTCCGTGTTGCCCATGCCGGCTAGCCACTGTGCGTCGTCATTGAGCGACGCGCTGCTGAACGCCTGCTGGATGCAGAAGCTGAGAGCCAAGGTCAAAGCCGCCGGTTCACGCGGGGGGACATATTCAGTTGAGGCCGGCCGCTGTGTTCTGACCCATCAGATAGTTCGCTATGTTGTACTGTCGCGGTTAGTGAGTCGGCGCTTCTCGATAATGTGCTCTCCGTCCAACTCCTGTACCATCCAAGCTAATTGTCAGAAACATTTACTGATCATTTTCGCCAGCCGCCACGGATCGAGGTCTGCTTTCTGGTCGGATCTGATGGCTGTCTGTTGTTGTTCTCGAGTCATGACAGTCCACGGCGGTAATATGAAGGGCCTCGAGGCTATCTGGCGGGTATTACATACTGCGTGACTAGTCGGTGCGGTGTAAATTCTGTACTAAAGAGTCACCAACGGCTATTAATCTCCGAGTCGAGCTGCAAAGCGACGCTGTAAAAAGTCTTCTGTAACCTCGCAAATCCGGCTTGTCAACCGCCGACCCGTCGACCCTCGGCCCTGCTTCGGTACAAATTTATCTCTGCAGCATCGATGCACGCGCAGAGTAGCGACGCAGTTAGGTGTAGCAAAAGTAGGGTTTCAACAATGCGACCCTTCAGCAAGCAGCGTATAATCGACGAATGTTGACTTAATAGTGGGTGCGAACTTATCTTGACGCAAATATATAAAGATAAGACCATTCAACAACCATAATGTAGTAAAGAGGCAGACAGATTCCGATCGTCACAATGCTCAGTTCCCCGGTATACGTTCTGCTGTTCCTGCTCACGGGATTCAGTTCGGCCCGCCGCAACTGTTCCCCGAGCTCGCCATCGCCCAGCCCCTCGTCGCCCTCCGAGCCAGCGGCGGCTGCTACTGTCAATCTCGACTCGCACATTCTTGTCGACCAGTTCGGTTACCGCCCTGCAGATCCAAAGGTCGCTGTCGTGCGTAATCCGCAGAACGGTTACGATGCCGCAGACACGTTCACACCAGGCTCTACCTATCAGGTACGCCAGGCCAGCGACGGAACGGTCGCATATTCTGGCTCGCCCACGGCCTGGAACAACGGAACCGTACAGACCTCCTCGGGGGACAACGGCTGGTGGTTCGATTTCTCGACACTAAGCACACCCGGGACCTACTTCGTCTACGACGTCTCGGGCCAGGTCCGCTCGCCCGTGTTTACCATCCGCCAGGGGGTCTACAAAGATGTCCTCAAGGCCGCAGTACGCATGTATTTCTACCAGCGCGCGGGCACGGGCAGCGGTGGAGGATCGAAGCAGCCACCTTACGTCGATGAGTGCTGGGCCGACGACCCTACATACGTCGGTCCCGGCCAGGACACGGAGGCTCACGATGTCACAGACCGGAACAACTCGGCCAAAGTGCACGACCTGAGCGGTGGCTGGTTCGATGCGGGCGATACGAACAAATATGTCACCTTCGCGACCGCCGCGGTGCACCAGCTGCTGAGTGCCTACCAGGAGAACCCGGCCGTGTTCACCGACGACTTCAACATTCCCGAGTCCGGAAACGGCATACCCGATGTGATCGATGAGGTGAAGTACGAGACGGACTGGCTGAAGAGGATGCAGTTCAGCTCCGACGGCAGTGTGGCCCTGAAGGTGGGCGTGCTCGGCAATCCCTCGGGTCTGCCGAGCTCCGACACCAGCGCTCGCTTCTATGTGCCAAGCTGCACGTCTTCAACGATTGCCGCAGCGGGGATGTTTGCCCACGCTTCCTACGTGTATGCCGAGTTCCCGGAGCTGGCCTCGGAAGCCGCCGACCTCAAGAGCCGTGCGATCAGGGCCTGGGACAACTACCAAAGCATCCCGACCAAGCAGGAGAACTGCGACACCGGGGTCGTGAGGGCGGGGGACGCGGATTGGGATGCTCCCACGCAGCAGGCCGAGGCGGTTGTCGCGGCGGTCTGGCTCTATGCCGTGACAGGCAATGCGACGTACAGCACGTATGTGAAGGACAACTACAAGATCACGAGGCCTTACAACGACATCGGCTGGACGCGTTACTCGGCGGAGCAGGGCAAGGCACTATTGTTCTACACGACGCTACCCAACGCGGATGCGACGCTCAAGAGCACCATTGCGGCGGACAAGCTGGGTGACGTGCAGGGTGGCTATCAGATATACGGCCTGACGGCGACGGATGATCTGTATCGCAATTTCATGCACGACCCGCAGTACCACTGGGGCAGCCATCAGGTGCGCGCCAACTACGGCAACAGCAACGCGGACGTGCTGAGGTATGACATTGCAGTGTCGAACACCGCACCGTACACGACACGTGCTCTCGAAACGCTGCACTATTTCCACGGCGTCAATCCGTTCGGGATGGTCTACCTCTCCAACATGGGCTCGTACGGTGCGACCTCCTCGCTCAACGAGATCTATCACTCCTGGTACTGGCCGGGGACGAAATGGGCGGATGCAAAGACTTCGGAGTGCGGCCCTGCGCCCGGCTACATTCCAGGCGGCCCTAACGCCGCCACTGACGGCATTCCCAGCTCACTGACGCCCCCGGTCAACCAGCCGTTGCAGAAGTCCTATCGGGACTGGAACGGGGTTGTAGGGGATCCCCAGACGTCGTGGGAGATCAGCGAGCCTGCTATCTACTATCAGGCCGCCTACGTGGAACTACTCTCCCAATTTGCGAACTGACCGTACGCCGGGGCGGGGCACGGGTGATCCTGCTGCTGGGTCTGTTGGAATCTTGATTCAGTGGATGCCAAGAATATGAATCCAACCCAATGTGCATACCTAATCCTACGCTGGTGTAGTTGTCGCTTAAGGCAACCCCACTTAGTATGCTAAGGTTACTATAGTAAAGGCGCAAAGACTTAGCTTTTTCATCAAGGACTGTTTCAGCTTTGCAAAGTCTCATTCGTCGGTTGAGCCGCCTTTGCTCTCCTGGGTTTGGCCAGCTTGTCAGTCTCATCCTACAACCCCTGAAACTCGAAGGATTCGCACCCCTGCTGAGCCAGCATCAAGAGTCAGATCCCTTACCGAAGGCGCAGCAACAATTCGAGTCCAAGACTTTGAGGAAGTAATGTCCATGTAACTAGCACGCCGATATTACCAGATGCAGCCTGTTTTTTGAAGACCCAGAATATTTGACCCGGTACCTCGCTCGCGGGCCTCTTCCACGCGCCGGGCTGGAAGAAAGCCGCGGCGATCAACGCGACCGCCATCACCGTCTTCTCGGCATTCCTGCTCGCAGCCTTGATATTCGGATACGTTCGAGCAGGTGGTCTGAATGCCGCCCTCATCCTGCACCGGGGGCCGTGCAAGCAGTCAAAGGTCATCAACCTGGTGCTTCAATGCGTGGCAACTCGATAGGCCTATCGGACTTTGGTTTCGCCGGCCTCGGGTATCCTACCAAAGGAATGCTTGTCTCCATAGTCATATTTGCCGTCATCATCTGCGCCCCGTTGGTGCTCGGGTTCCGGAAGGTACCGTGCGAGATGGTTGTTGTGGGCAGCAACTCCTTGGCGATAGCGGCCGCGTGTCACACATCGACAATATCTAAAGCCAGACTAGACGGCCCAGAGAAGGCACAGTAGGATGCAGCAGGTTGGTCTAGTGAATCGAGACACCTAATAGACGAAGAAGCTCCTTTACCAAATCCGGCCATGGGAGACAACCAGGGAGGGGTAAATAAAAGCAGAATATTGGTCTTGTCGAGGCTGGCAGAAAGTAGGATCAAGTGGGGGTTCGTGACCATGCCCCCAGCTTTCTATGACGAGTTCAAGGAGGGAATGAGGGCTAGTGAGGTCGGACATTTTGAGTTTCGGGGTGGAGGAGGATCAAGTGCAGAAGCCTACACGTGCACAGTGGTATGCATGAAGGGTTACCATGAGGCAGATCTTGCTGCCGTCGTCAAAATAATCGGCGTTCTCTAGCACGTTGCCCACCCTTTCCGCCGTATCCTTGAGGTGGAATGGAGTCAAGTTTGCCGAGAAGTGGGACTTGTTAGAGGTCTACCAACGCCGGCAAGCCCTGTGTATCATGTCTACCTAGCATGACCCGTCTAGGTGATAAAAACACATGCCAGCCACGTCCAGGACATGCCTAGGTGATAAAAATACATGCCAGACACGTCCAGGACACAAACACCTCCAACACCAAAAATGACCAGGACATGTCCAAGTCTAGACAATGAACTCTCCCTGCGCCCGAGCTCCAGCCTCTGCGGCCTCCTGTCTCCTTTTCTTCTCCATCTCGATAAGACTGCTGATAAACATGGATGGCAACTGAAGGGCCTCGGTACCGTGTTCCTCCTGCTTGATGATATCCTCTGAGGTGCAGAGGTATGTAGTGACAAAGGCGTTCCAGAGGCTCTTCTCGAGCCGCCCCTTCTGGAGTGGCTTTGACAGATAGGGGTCATTTATCTTCACGGCCTCGACAGCCTGATCGACACCGGCCTTGTCCAGGGTGATGGTCTTCACCTGGTTGAAGTCTAGGACCCAGAGCTCCGTGATGCGGTGGAAGAAGTCCTCAGCACCAACCTTGCGTGATGGTGGGCCGGTATACGACCCTGTCTTGAGCATCCGGAGCTCCTTGAGGCTGGCAACTTTCTTTTTCGACGAGCTGCCCAGAACAAATTCGACATCGCGGGCGTCGGTCATCGCAGCCCAGTGCATCAGTGCCAAGGCTTTGGCCATCCTACGGGCCAACCCTTCGACGTCAAGACCAACTGCAGCCCTTTTGGTTCAGATGCATTTTAAAGTTCCTTAGAGAAGAACATGCCGCCGCTTTTCCCTTGCGAGGAGCCGAGGTAGACCCTGACAAGGCAGTCCTTGTTGGCCGGATCGGCGAAAGCCTGTGCCTTGATCCGGGGCGCACAGTACAGGGAGATAAGCAACTCCCGGATAGGGGCAGTGAGAGGCAGGATGCGTTCGGTGACGAGGGGGGTTGTTGGGAGGTTGCAGACTGGCTCGGCTGCCTTGACAAGGGTTGGATATTTCGCAAAGAACTCGGCATCGTCCTTGGGCACATGGAAGTAACATGCTGGAATCCTCACCTCCCCAAATCTGTAGGCGTCAAAATGATAGGCGATGGTAGAGTGCATCATGAAGTCGTTCCACAAGGCCTTGTGGTCGGACTTTGCAAGCTTGGTGACGATGCATGTTCCGTCTTGGGCAAAGACCACACCTCAAGCGCCAGCCCCGATCCGCTGGTAAGACTTGTAGTCCCGTGCTTGTGCGGTGGCATGCCGCTGGGCGGTAGAGGACGCCATACTTGTTGTTGGCCGAAGATTTTGGTGGTGGGAGACGGGAACTCTAATAGCCACCGAGAACTTGAGGTTTGTTAGTCCGGAGCCCTTGTCGTGGTCGCTTGTTCCGATTGCGCCGCAACGCCAATGCCGCGTAACAGCATTAACTTATCTGTGAACTGGCAATTTGCTGAATAACGTAGACGATACACCTGTAGCTTGGATCAGTTCTACTAGAAAACTTGACGAGGTGCGAATGCTTTACTGCTAGCGCATGCGTAGGGTTAGAAGGTCGATCCGGCCAGGTAGCTGAATCTTTGTCCACGGTCGTTATGCGAGGTCAGCTAGGGATTTCTCATGTCAAGCTAAGTGAACACTTCGACCCTCCGAATATCATCTGGGCCTCGAAACGACCACCACTTGAAGGCGCTTGCCAGTCTTGTGCCCTTGTGCGGTGTCCCGATGAAGAGCAAGCCGGCGATTGAGCGATAAATTTTCTGGAATCATCCGTAGAAGCCAATATCATAGCCTAAACAGCGATATCAATGGTAAGTAGTTTGCCATCATCATCGGAGCACGTGTGGTCCATCCTCACTCAACAGGAAAACGGAGATAGATCTTTTTGATGACCAAGCCGCCGAAACTGTGACCCACTAAGATAATGGGAACTTCGTCTTTGCCCTGCTCCAAGGTAAGCGCGGAATGTCTAGCGAAGAAAAAAAAAGATGTAACCTTCTCAGCAAGCTCCGAAAGGAGGGAGAGAGCCTGATCTTGAATCTCGGTCGAAAGGGTTGTGCGAATGTGATGAGGGTATTTCCAGAAGAACAAAACGGCCCGTACGCTTGCGATGGCCACTTCCGCGAGCGATGTTGTAACGCGCAGGGACGGACTGATCAACCCTATGGATAATAATAGGCCGGCGGATATGGCGAGCCAATGTCTCATCGGGAAGGTGATAGTGGATCTGGCCACGCTGCGGGCTTGGGCCCGAAGAATTGGATTCTCGCCTCAGAAATATCGAGCGGAAGCAAGTCTGACAGCCAATACACCCCTTTTTTTCGTCATGAACTTTGCCTTAGTCGGCTGGCCCAGCACAGTCGCTAATTACTAGCCAGCGAGGAGTCTCAGGTACGGGTGGGCGCAGCTTAAAAATCTAGGCAGGGAATTATTGACGGCTTCATATCACGGTCTATAGCATCTCAAGCAGTGACCGGCTGTCGTGTATCTTCGTATCGTTTCAACGTTAGGACAAAGATATTTGCTATGTTTGGCATCAACGCAGCACCCTCACACCCCAGTCACGGTATCTCGAAAACATCACGGTTGCTCAGGTACGGTCATAGGCTAAATAGTCCGCAAAATTCGGGTTTAGAGGGAAGAGAACCCAACCAATCACCATGATCATCATGTGTGCGTTTCATCAATATTCCCTCGCCATGCCCCGTCCTGGCTATCTCTTCATTCCATCCTACCTAGGTACATGCTGTTGCATGTGTGTAGGCAAGTTATAGCTGGCGTAGTCAACATGCACAAACGCCCGATCCACGATTGGCACAGACTCTAGAACGTACTGTAGACTCTCGCTGTCCGCTGCGATTAGCATCTGATTAAAGGGGTCGGACACAAGGTGATTCGGAACTCACCCCAAGTCATGACTATCCCTGAGTGATGTATTGGCATCCAAGACGATGTCGACCTCCACATTAAGCCGATCCCCTGAGTGGTAAGCCTGAAGGCCCTGGATCTGCTTGATCGTCTTTGCGAACCGCATTGTCAAATACAGGACTGTAATTATCTAGTCAGCATGTCCGCCTGGCGATGAAAGGGACAAGGGACGTACGGATTTGTCTCTGGTCTGGGGTGGCTGAGAAACCAGACAGATGCTTGACATGCTCAGAGGCAGTCCGGCTCCAGGTGAATATCACCACGAGAGATAGGAGGAGGCCACCCAGGGCGTCAAGCCACCATATTCGTGCGTAGAATCCAACTGCAGCGAGGTCAGACCGGTGCGGTTGTTATTATAGCTTGGAATGGGGACTCACTAATTGGAAATGCTATAGAACCGGTGTTGAATATGACATCTGTTGATTGACTCCAAGTTAGATCTCTCTGTGGGAGACGCGGGTGAGTGATGCATATTTACCGGTACTCGCATCAGCAGCCCTAGGAGATCGAGTCAGTCGGTGGGTGAAGAGCTGGAAGTGGCCGACTCACAATGCCTGAACACTTGAATTCTTGACGAGGCGACACCACAGCCAGCACATGCCCTTGATGACAATTGTGCCTATCATGATGGCGATGGCGGGGATCCCCAGTTCGATTATCTCGTGATCCGGCGACCTGAGCCGCTGGATCGCCTCTAGAGCCACCTGAACGAACGCCGTAATCATGATGACGGCAAATACCAGAACGCCGATCGGTTCAAGTCTAGGAAAAAAAAACGAAGCATCAGTGCCCCAAATTCTCAACTGAAGAGGTTTTGCAAGAACCGGAACCTACCTCCGCCTGCCGGTCGGGTATCGGTACTGGTCGTGGTGGCTGATGAGCCACGTGGTCACCCAGACGATGCCGGTCGAGAGGAAATCCAGCGCCGCGTCAACCAGGCTCGCCATCACCGACACGGACGGGACGGAAAAGACGACGGCGATCTTGCCGGCCAGGAGGACAGCGTTCGCGGCGAAGTTGATGTAGATGGCCAGGGTGACGATGCGGTCGCCGCTGTCGACGTCATCGTCCTCGAGCCACGGGATGTCGGGCTTCGGGTCGAGGCCATCCTCGTCGTCGTCGTCGTCGTTGTCCCCGTCCGTGCCCGAGAAGAGCGGTGTCAGCTCATTGGGATGGTAGATGTTCCTGGGCGTCCGGTTCACCTTCTTGGTGGTGTTGGTGGAATGCGGAACCAAGTGCGAGCTATGAGTAGGCGAGGCTTCACCATCGGACGGGGGCAAGGAAGAAGGCTCCTCGGTCATGGTGTCGAGGATCTGGACTCCTCGGGGCGCCAAGGCGGGCACATTGTTGTACTCGTTGAGCAGGTCATGCGGCAGTGACGAGTCCAGCAGTTTGTCAATATACAAGTATTGCTGTATGAGGTAGTTTGTCCGCTCGTAATACTGGCGCAGTGGCTTCTTCATGCGGGCCAGTTGGTCCTCCGTCTTCCAATAGCGGTCCCAGCGATAGCGCGGGTTGGTATTCCCAATCAGGCGCATGCTGCGCATCTGCGGACCGTTCAAGATGGCGCTCATGCGGCGCTTGTCCACGCGCTGCGACTCGTCATCATAAAGATCACCCGAGCCCATTAATGCGTCCTCCTCGTCTCGCCGCTGCACCGCATGCAGCGACGTCGTCGAGCGGCTTCGGACAAGGGACAATAACGCCCCATGGCCCATTGAGGTCAGGGGGGCCGGCTCATTGTTGATGAGCGGGGAGGAGCCCCGGCGGTGCCATGAAGCCATCGTGGGTGGCAGGTTCTAATTACCAAGCTTGACCGATAAGGTTGAACTCTTTTCCTGTTCCTGATGATGGTCAGCACGTGGAGGAAGTGTGGCTTAGCACAATGCGAACTGACACAGTGTGGCTGTATCTTAGATAGCCGATAAATAACCCCGCTTATTGATCCGGGCCTTGTCACGTTCATTACGGATACTTACACTCGCATTACTTCATAGCCACGCAATCCGTCCGACTGTCGCCCACAGAAGTCTGCTTGCCCTTTGTTGAGCTTCAAAACGAATTACTCCGCATGGCTCAGGAGTGATATAAATGATTGTATTTTTGATGTAAACCTGTGACAATTAAGACAAAAGGAAGTTTAGGCGAAAACTGATCCCTGTTTGTGGCTGGTATGCATGCCACCAGTACGAAATACTTGTTTTATTTATCCTTCCTGGTGATCATGAAATCGGAGAAGCCTAATGTGCCTTGGCCAGTAATTCTTGGCCACCTTGGCCAACCTAACTAACCTAACTCTGTAATAGTTAGCACCTTGCATTGCCGCTTTCGTGTTTTGTGGCAAACAGGACCACTTTTTGTCTCAGCATTTTTGTATGACGAAAAAGCCTAAACTAAGGGCCACGCCTCAAGCTCGCATTGAGGGATTTCCTCTACGGGGCTAGACGTTTTGAGTTCCCGATTCTTCTGAAGCTTCCCTTCTTCATACACAGTCTCCTCATCACTGCCATACTGGAGGGGTGGGAAATTCGCCATGCAAGCCGCAGCTCCGCTGATAACGACGGCCCTGCCGCGCATCGATTTTAAGACATCTTGACTGGGATGATGTCATCGTCCAGGGACGAACCCGGGGAGCAGAGTTCTCGCGAAGATCCGCGGAAGGATCTGCAAGGGCCAGGGCAGATTGGGGAGGGTGGCAGCGGCAGCGGCAGCGGTAACGTCAGTCCCAGTGGCGGAAGAGGTGCTGCCGGCAACGATGGTAAAGGGAAGGAGAAGAAGAGGGTAGGCTTTCTGGGGGATCACCAGCGCGAACCATCTGAAGACTACTTCTCGTTCCCCGGCACGCCCGGGTCGACGCCCAGCGGCGCAAACACGCCGGGCCGTGGGGAGCAGCTTACTCGGGAAGAGCTGAGCGCTGCGCTGCAAAAGATCCTGGGAGCGGAGCAGCGACAATCACCATCGCCACGTGGATTGCAGGTTCCCGTCCCGCCGCGGCCTCGCCCAGTCTTGCGGAAGCAGGCTACTCAGGAGCGCCAGGATCCAGTCGATATGGTGGCCGGCTCGCCGGGACATCCGCATCGATCCGAGGTCGAGGCCCGGGACCGGGCAGATCGTCTCGCATCGGCTCTGTCTTCACGGAACAGCTGGCAAGCAGATGGGGGATCCTCCCACCCTCTCAGACGCAACATGTCCGGTCATGACGACCGAGACAGCCTCGAGACAGAGGAGAACATGGGGCTTCGTTTACGCCGCAGGTCACAGCAGGCTGCGACGGAGCTCGTCAGGTCGCACTCACGGCGCCAAAGAGAGTCCTCGCCACAACGCGACCGAGACGATGAGGGCTTCCACTCGGGCCAGATGACTCCGATAGCCCCGGACGTCGAGTACGTACCGCGTCCAAACACCTACCGCGGTGGTATCTTGGCTTTGCTGCTCAAGCTGCAGAACAACGCCGATGACAGGAGTGGGCCCGGTAGCAGCGTGGCAAGCACGCCGGCAAGCTCGCCCCCGGCCTCCGGGGCCAGCACCCCGGTTGGGAGACCAGGGAGACAGGGAAGACCGGGCGAGCGGCCAACCGGCGGGCTCTTCGGGCTGCGGGGCCACCACACGACATCGGGATCGGCGACCCCGACGCTCAGCAACCTGATCGGATCGTCGTCGGCCATGTTCACCGCGCCGGGCGTCGCCAGCGAAAACCTCGCGGAGAAGCTGCGCGACCTGCGCGGCCGGTCCCAGTCGCCGGGGGCCCGGAAGGCGCACAAGAAGAAGTCCAAGGCAGCGGCCAAGCGGGCCCGGAAGGAGGACGAGCTCCGCATCACGGTGCACATTGCTGAGATCATCAGCCGCTGCCGCTATCTAGTCAAGCTGTGCCGGGGCCTCATGATGTACGGCGCCCCGACCCACCGCCTCGAGGCATACATGTCCATGTCTGCCCGCGTGCTCGGCATCGAGGGCCAGTTCCTCTACCTGCCGGGCTGCATGGTCATATCGTTCGTCGACAGCAGCACCCACACGACCGAGGTGCACATTGTGAGGACCAGCCAGGGCGTCGACCTTGGCAAGCTGAGGGATGTGCACCACATTTATAAGGAGGTGGTGCACGACTTGATTGGCGTCGACGAGGCGACAGAGCGGCTGGACGAGGTGTTTAGCCGGAAGAACAAGTTCGCACCCCTGCTCCGCGTCTTCGTGTTTGGGCTGGCCTCGGTGTGCGTGGCGCCGTTCGCATTCGAGGGGCGCCTGATCGACCTCCCAATCGCCTTCATCCTAGGCTGCATCGTCGGCCTGCTGCAGCTGATATTCGCGCCGTCCAACGAGCTGTACGCCAACGTCTTCGAGATCACCGCCACTGTCATCACCTCCTTTCTCGCGCGCGCCTTTGGGTCGATAAGGGGCGGGAGGCTGTTCTGCTTTTCCGCCCTCGCGCAGTCGTCCATCGCCCTCATCCTGCCAGGATACACGGTCCTCTCGGCCAGCCTCGAGCTGCAGAGCCGCCAGATCGTGTCCGGGTCGGTGCGCATGGTCTACGCCATGATATACTCTCTCGTCCTCGGCTACGGAATCACCATCGGCTCCGTGCTGTACGGATACATCGACAAAGACGCCACCAGCAGCATCCACTGCAGCAACCCGCTCAGCAACAACCGGAATTGGAGCCTTCTCTTCGTGCCGCTCTTCACGCTCTGCCTGTGCGTCGTCAACCAGGCCAAGTGGAAGCAGATGCCCGTCATGATCGGCATCTCGCTGGCCGGCTACTGCGTCAACAGCTACTCGTCGTCGTACTTCCGCGGCAACGTCCAGATCTCAAACACCCTCGGCGCCCTGTCCGTCGGCGTCATGGCGAACCTGTACTCGCGCCTCAGCCGCCACGTCGAGAACTTCTGCCTCGACGTCTGGGAGTTCCACCTCGAGCCGCGCCTGACGAGGCGCGGCCGCCTCCGCCGCGCCAAGAGCCACAGCTCCTCCGACTCGGGCTACCCGCTCGGCCCGTACACCTCCGACTCCCAGGCCGACCCGGAGACGGCCGCCGCGTCCGACCACCACCACCAGAAACAGCAGCAGCAGCACGACAAGCACGGCGCCCCCCGCCTGCAGCGGCAGGTCGGGTACGCGCTCGCCGCGGCCGCCATGCTGCCCGCCATCTTCGTGCAGGTGCCGTCGGGCCTGGCGGCCGGCGGGTCGCTGCTCAGCGGGGTCAACAGCGCGAACCAGATCACGGGCAACTCGACGACGTCGGCGTCGGTGCCGTCGCCGACGTCATCGAACCAGTCGCCGGATCCGTCGACGGACCTTAACGGCACGGCGTTCAATGTCCTGCTCAGCGTTATACAGGTCGCTATTGGGATCTCGGTGGGGCTGTCGCTGAGCGCGCTGATTGTGTATCCGTTTGGGAAGAGGAGGAGTGGGTTGTTTAGTTTCTGAGGGGGGGGGGGGGTTGTGTTTTATGGGATTTGATAATGGAGTATGAATTAGATGGGGGAGCATTGTATTTGGACTGCGGGTGTGGAATTGGTGTTTTTGGGATTATATACAAGCATAATGTTTAAGGGCCTTGTTGCGAGAGATAGACAAAGTCACATGTGTCAATATTGTGATGATACGTATCAACAGCATTGGGCCAAACCCCAACCAGGGGCAAATATCTCCAGAGGCAGTCGCAGTGATCAAGTTGAAGGGCCGCTTATCTTTTCCGTTCAAGCCGTAAGATGATGGATCGCTAGATATGCGGAGCATTCAAGTATATGTATAACAGGTAAGCCCTAGCAAACATGGGGTGGGTTCATATTAACCCAAATTGGTTTTGATATAGTTACAGCAACGGGCCGGGTCTTCGTTTGCGACATTAACAACGCGGCGCAGCAGATCCCTACGTCTCCAAATAATGGTTGTACCGTACATACATTAACCCGCCAAGCCCTCACGAGTCGAACCGCCCGCCTTTTCCCGTCAACCGCCAAGAAGAAAACGACTACAAATCAATAACAACGAGTATCCATAGCATAGCATGGACGTTCCAGCGGCAATCCCTACACAACAGCACAGCCCAGCCCAGTCCTCCACACTACAAGTCAACTTCTCGTGGAAGAAGTTCAAAGCCCTCATCACCGAACAAGACAACCCTTCCAATCCAGTCTACGTTGTGCACTTCAAGCCCCTCAAGTCACCACAAATTGAAATAAAATCCGGAACCGACGACAGCACCATCGGAAACGGCACCTTCTCCACCTTCTCCATCGACGCCCACTTCGAAATCCGAGGCCAAAAAGGCACCCTGAAAGCCCTCAAGCGCTTCAAGACGGTGTACACCCACCTGTCACGAGCCTTCTCCGACAACGACTCCCCGGTCACCATGACATGGAACAAGAGCAGCGGCCTGAAGACGTGGGACTTTGTCTGCCTGGACGAGCAGCAGATGCCCGTGGCAAGATTGTCGGCAAACGTGTGGGCCGCGGAGAAGCTGGGCAAGATTGAGTTTCTAGGGCCAAAAGCTACGTCTGTGGCGGTTAGGGACGAGATTGTGGTCACGGCATTGACGCTATTTTACTGTACGGCGCACCGTTCCAGCAGCATCCTCAACTTATTCGGTGCTATGTTTGCTCGGCCGGGTCCTCTTGGAAAGGATGGGCCGGCGGAGACGCACTTGGAGGGCGGGAGGAGTAATAACCGGGGTGGCAGCTTGGACTAATCAAGGGACAGGTGTCGGGTACATATTCGGAAGCGCACAAATAGGGGTGGCCTCTCCAAGGCGAGATGAACATTTCCAGTTCAGCGTCACTAAGGGAGTGGCCCGCTGCGACCCGTAAACGGGGTACCGTAACCCTTCGTTGTGGGATCCTATCCGCACGTTTAGAGCCCTGGGAAAAGACCACGTGGAAACGATATGATGACATATAGAAAACTGAAAACACAAGCTCCCAAACGTTCTGCTGAGCGTTTCTAAACACTTGTAGAGAACGCAGTATTTGAGCTACTTTCCATGTCATTCTTCAAAAGGATATCGGGTTCTGTTCAAAATATCAGCATGCTCTTCCACATTATAATCACACTAGGGGCTCTGTCTTACGCTCTACGTAGTGATGGAACCCTTCTTGTCCATCAAGCACAACATTATGACAGCTGCTTTACACTCCCAGTCTGGCGCGCTCCCAGGTTTCGGTGACAATCTTCCAGTACCGTGTCTCGTCTGACCTGACATGAGCGACATGCAAGCCATCCTGGAATAGCTCTTTCCGCACTACAAAACCCCTTGCCTCAGCCTGCTTCGCATGAATCTCAACATGTCTCCAGTCGACCATGACATCCTTAGCCCCGTAGATATAAGCGCGATTTGTCTCCCGGTTCTCCTCGGGATCATTGTGAAATTTGGAATTGGCGGCCAGCCTGTCCGGGCGACCCAAACGGATTATGATCCAGACATACGCATTCAACAGATGCACGAGAAACCCCACGATCCACCGCCGTATCCCCTTTGGAACGCCGGCCATGACGGCATCCTGAGTGGCTGCATACGAGTACTGGCCGGGGCATGAATCATAGACCGTCGCGTGTATAGGGAAGGCATGGCCCGTCTGCCGGCGGTATGAGTTGAACAAGGCCTTCGTGCTCGCTATACCGCCGTTGGAAAAGAGGTGGACCAGGATTTCGGGCCGCGAAGGCGACACTGACAAGTATCCAGAATCCAGCTGAGATCGCAGGTACGAGACCGCTGGTTGCATAGCTTTGGTGACGGTCGACTCGAAGAGCATCTGCTTGAAGATGAACTTGACGATCAGGACCTTGGATGTGGGATAGAGAGCCTGGTATCGGGCAATGTATTTCGCGACGTGCGGATCGCGTGCATCCATCCAGCTCGCCACGACAATCAGCTTGGGCGTGACGGCACCGGCTGAGTTCTGCGCCGGAGTCTCCGCCGGCTCGTAGAACGAGACGAACGGCGAGAGCTTGGTTATCATGGCCATGGCTGCCTGCGCGATGAGAATTGGCGTGGGCAATTTGCTTGCGTGGAAGGGACCCACCGCTTATATGTCGTGCTGTACGGATTACACTAGGAAGGAACCTCGGCTCAAGCCCCTGTCGCACTCCTTCTACCCCTGCCTGGCACGCGCGGGCATGGTTCGCTATTTTTGGATACCCTCCTCAGCCACAGAACATCTCTTAGCGTGTGCCTGTGCCAGGTCCGTGCACGACGAGCCGGCTCGTGCGGGACCAGAAACCCCCGTGCTCGTCTATAACCTTCGGCCCCATCCGACGACCTTGCCTCCTGGGGTGTGGTCATGTAACGGAGGGCTCTGCTGCTAAAACAGTCAATCGACACCTCCGCCTCCCTTCCTTCCCACCCCGCGATGATCATCTGGAGCGGTTCCGATTCCCTTCATATGAAAGGTCTTGTCAGGGTTATTCCAGCCTCTGCTGACCGTGCGCTACTTAGAGTGGGTCCTTGCCACGAAGCTTTTTCCTCTCAGCTCCGTTATGGGATACTTACGACGGACGCTGGCGACGTGGATTACGGCGTCAATCCCGGCACCGACATCCGCAAAGGCGCCGGCATTCTCGAAATCAATCGGCCCATGGAAGCTGAAAAGTGAATTGTGGATGGCAGAGGTTGGTTGTCGAGTGGATGCCTACGATACGGAGAGAAGTGCAGATTCATCTTGAAAGGTGTGCTAGCTGACTCATTCCAAAATCAGCAAATTGAAGCACACGATTCTAGAGGTAGTTGCACAGAAACACGAGTGCAGTACTGATCGGGGTTTTCATCAGACCATGTACCCAAATTTACGTCTCTGATAGCGAGAACTTAACCTGATTTGATGTGTCCTTATCGCAATTCACGACGACAGCGACCTGGTACCAATTACCGGCCCCAGGTACCACCGTACCGGTCACCTCCCCTGTATGGTTCGGCATCAAATGGTTTCTGCCGGCCTGGTGTCTCCTTGGTACCCCGCACTAACTACGGCTGACCATAGAAGCCACCTGTACAGGCCAGGTACTAACAAATCGATCAATTCTCGGCAGGTGGCCATTAATGTAGGTAGCTATCAGCAGCAACAGCAGAAACCGTCGACATGTCGAGATGGCCGAGTCCGAAGCCAGTGACCTCTGGAGAATAACATCCCTAGGTAATTTCTCCAAATCCGTTGCTGCAAAGTACTGGAGGGGTCTCCAGAGCCTTAAGCCACAGACCATGTACACATTGGTGGGGAGAAGTTGGAGAGACAGTTGGAGACAGTGGCGGGGTAACAGACAGCCTGGTTGAGAAAAAGGAACTTTGCTACTCGTAATATCTACAACCTATCTAGGTAGGTAGGGCAGTGAAGAAAGCTTTTGGTATTGGCCTCTACATTCCAGGGTAGTTGCCCGACTTCCTGGCCCTCTTCATCGGGACAAATTAGGCTATGCCGTGGTCTCTCCTACAGCCCGCCGTAATTCGGCGAAAACGCCGGTCGCCCCCCCCACTCCCGACATCGGTTCCCCGCAATGGCGCAGACTTTGCAGCACTGATTATTTTCCAGGTTATCAAAGTTCAGTGTTTATATACCTTCCATTATACCCTCTCTCTTGTGGCTTAGTATTCAAGATATAGTTTTGTTCCCGCCAAATTTCCCCCCCCACCATCCTTGAAACCCAAGACTTAAGTACAAGGCCCCAGGGTTGACGTCGCGACAAAAATGAAACTTCTCTACCCCAACTCGCTCAAGCTCGACATAAAGAGCATCGAGGGATTCGCCGTCACGCTCCACCAGTACGATGTCAACGCTCCCATTCCCGAGGAGCTGATCGACGCCGAGATCCTGGTGACTTGGACCAACTCCGCCTCCAACCTCAAGGATGCCGCCAGCCGGATGAAGAATATCCGCTGGATCCAGTCGCTCGCCGCGGGGCCCAACGACGTGCTCAACGCCGGTTTTGACACATCAGCCATCACCGTGACCACGGGCTCAGGCCTGCACGACCACACCGTCGCCGAGCACACGCTTGGCCTCCTTCTCACCGCGGCGCGCCGCTTCCACGAGATGCGCGACTACCAGCTGCGGTCCGAGTGGCCGGGGCACCTGGGCGGCCCGCAGCCCGACCGGCCGGCCGGCTCCTTCCGGACGCTGCGCGACGCCCGCGTCCTCATCTGGGGCTACGGCAACATCGCCAAGACCCTGACCCCGCACCTGACCGCGCTCGGCGCCCGCGTCCGCGGCGTCGCCCGCCACGCCGGCGTCCGCGGCGGCGTCGAGGTCGCCGACGAGTCGGCGCTGCCGCAGTTGCTGGCCGAGACCGACGCCCTTGTCATGATCCTGCCGGGATCCGACGCGACGCGCCACGCCCTCAACGCCGAGCGCCTGCGCCAGCTGCCCAAGCACGCGTGGGTCGTCAACGTCGGCCGCGGCATGTCGGTCGACGAGGACGCGCTCGTCGCCGCGCTGGAGAAGGGCGAGATCGGCGGTGCTGCCCTCGACGTGTTCGAGACGGAGCCGCTGCCGTCGTCGAGCCCGCTGTGGAAGGCCCCGAACCTGTTTGTCTCGCCCCACGGCGCCGGGGGGAGGCCACAGGGCTCCGAGGCGTTGATTGCGGAGAATTTGAGGCGCTTCTTGGCGGGACAGCCGCTGAACAATGTCATCAGCATCAAGGGGAAGCTGTAGGCACGCACATAGATACATAGATGTACACTTTCTATTCAATGTCCAAATCTGTCTATAGCATCTCGAGAGTCTATATCTTCGCCATAATCTACCCCAAGAATGCATTCTCAGTGACTCCCGAGACGGACAGCGATCGGCAGCCGTGGGAAGTGAGGTGCTTCCATACAGAAACTGAATTATTAATCGAGCATAACGCAGGCCGAGACCATAGCCACTGTTGGCAACGAGATGGGAATATTCCTTCCGTCCGCCTCTCTCCTCTCCCTCCCGGAGTCACATTGTAAGGTGATCTAGCAGGCGACTTCTATTCACCAGCTATCAGGTTAGCTTATCAGTCTAGTATTCTTTCACGCTACACCCCCTCGTCGGACGCTTCCCCCCCTGCAGCACGGTCAACTCCAGCGAGGTCCCGAGCAGCTATACGGTCCGGTGGAACGCCGGTACTCGGGGACCTTCAACCCGGAACCCCAGCGCCCACGGGGCCTTCTCCGGGTCAGAGGTCTCAAATGCGGCCCGACGGAAATACTGTTCCTCCCGCAACAATTGCCGAAGATCAAGAGTCAAATGCTACCAGGGGGAGAAGGGGGGGTGGGGGGGATGTTTGACGAGCCTCCCTCCTCACCCAGCGCACCCCTCTGCCCACGGATCTCTTCGGCGTTTTCGCTTGGGTACGGATGGGCAAGTAGTCTCCTTGTTACCCTGCCATATTGCGACAGGTTGTGGGTGGAGAGGCTGAGGACGAGCCATTGTGTTTTCGTTTGAGTGAGTTGGGTCGACAGGAAATGATGGGTTTGGAATGGGAGAATTGCTGGCTAGACAAGACTCGTGTATATCACTTGGAAATAATCACACTCATCCTTCTCCAGTATACTTTCCAACTGCGAGACAGGCTGGCGAACCAGTAGAACAAAGTGCCCATATGCCCCAGAGAAATTGTTGCTGCCCAATATGTTGAGGGAATATTTCAAGTAAGGTATTAAAAGTAATATTAAAACATGACAAGCCTTAACTAGAAAGGGTAGTAGGTAGGCGCTGAAGACTCGGGTGGTACAGAGCGGGGTATCTCAGCCGCGGAGGCACAAGCAGGAGGTGGAGCCCGATCTTCGAACCCAACTGCTTCATACTATTACCTACTTATCCCCGAGAGGTCTGGCTCGTGGTCTGCGCCTGCCAGGACTTCCCTTGGCTGAAATTACCCCCGAGCTAAGCATCCTTGCTGTGCAGGTTCCTTGAGCTGTGTCCGTGTGGTGATAGCCCGACGCGGATAAGAACTCGGGTTTTCGAGATGGTATGTTGATATGGCGGTCCTCGTGCAACCCCAAAGGCCCATAATGTCGAATTCGAGGAGTTGCTAATGGGCGTCAATAGTGGAAACGGCTGAATGCTGGCAGGAATGGGGCGTCGACTAATAGGTCGTCGCCAGCCACGGCTGGGCCTTCGTCTGAACAAGCTTCGATAGCGAGCCAGGCCAGTTCGTTTGACCGCCTGCTACACCGTCCGGCCCCCGCCCCCCGCCCCCGAGGCTTCGCCTTCCTTTTCTATGCCATCAACGGCAACCTCTACTATGCGAAGCCCCGAATCAGCTGTCCAGAGAAGTCAAGACCCACACGGTCTTCTAGTCTTGCACGACCCTCCAGAACGATCAGTGGATGTCCTCTTCATCCATGGCCTGGGCGGGACGAGCTTACGAACTTGGTGCCATAATCGGGACTTGGAGAATCTTTGGCCCCAACTCTGGCTTCCCCAGGAGCTCCCCTCGGCTCGAATCCTGACTTTTGGCTACAATGCCGATTTCTCGTCCAGGAAGAAGCGGACGCCGCTGACGATTGGAGATTTCGCAAACGACCTCTTGTTTCGGATGAAACACGGAGAGAATGGAACCAACCGGCTAGGCCAGGTGCCTATCATCGTTGTCGCCCATTCGATGGGTGGCCTGGTCTTCAAGAAGGCGTTCATACAGGGCCATTTGAACGACGAGTATCGGGACGTGATTCGTATGATCAAGGCCGTCTTGTTTCTTGCGACTCCCCACCGAGGCACAGATTTGGCCGACACTCTCAATAAGGTCCTCGCCGGCTCGGTCTTCGGACACTCGCCAAAAGGTTATGTCTCGGACCTTGCTAAGGGAAGCCCGACAATTGACGAGTTGAATGAAGCGTTCCGACACGTCGCGTCAAAACTTCAGATATTCTCGTTTTACGAGAGGCTGAAAACCTCAGTGGGGCCCATTTCAGTCATGATTGTGGATAAGAACTCTTCCGTTATGGGCTATCCCGGCGAGACCCAACAGCCACTCTCCGCCGACCACCACAACGTCTGCAAGTTCACGGGGGTGGGCGACCCGAATTATGCATCCGTTATAGGGGCTCTCCGCAGTGCCGTCACCGCACTTGGTTCCCCCAAGGAAACCGACAGTGCCTCCAAGGAGGATGCCGACAGTGCCTTCAAGGAAGACCTCAAACTCATCAAGAACTTTCTCGGCGTTTCTGGGCCTCCAGGGGAGGACATCGCCGCCAGTCGCGCCGTGAGAAAGCCAGGAACCTGCGAGAGCTTCCTGGCATGTCCGGAAATGAAAAGCTGGCTCGGTTCGGAATCGAGTCGTGTACTCTGGGCTCATGCTGGCCCGGGAAGTGGGAAATCGACACTATGCTCCTTCGTCATCGACCATCTTCTGGATGGAGGCCACCATTGCGCCTATTTCTTCTTCAACCACGGGAGTCGCGAGCAACGATCTGTCGCCAACATGCTTCGATCTCTGGCATATCAGACGGCGATTCGAATCCCCGCCTTTCGACACGCGCTGGCAGATCTGGCGAGATCTGGGTTACAAATACACAACGCAGAGGCCCTCCCCGTATGGCAAAAGCTGTATTCGGCAGTATTACCCGCGGTCAAGAGCGAGGGTGATGTTTTCTGGGTGGTTGACGGCGTTGATGAATCCGAGTCGAGTAGACAGGTCGTGGAGTTCCTCTCTAACGTCACTGACCTCGCAAGCTACATTCGGATACTGGTATTCAGTCGGCCTTTGCCTACCATTAACCAGGCCTTCCAGGTCGCGAAAAAGAGGATTCCTGTGGTCGACATTCCCTTGCCGAACAATGCAGATGACATTCGCCTCGTTGTGGCTGGAGAGATTGACTATCTTCCCTCTACCGACGATTTCAAGACGGAAACGGTCGACAAGATCGCATCCCGCTCGCAAGGGAATTTTCTCTGGACCAGCCTAGTGCTCCAACGTGTCGCTAGATGTCGCCGCCAGGAGCAGGTGAAGCAGGTCCTTGACTCCACGCCGGATGGGATGGACAAGCTTTACGATCGCATGCTGGACGCTATCATGCAGCTTGATATGGAGGATGACAAGTCCCTCTCCAGGGTCCTCCTCTCTTGGGCCATGTACGCGAAGGCACCACTGACGGTGGAAGAGCTCTCCGAGGCCTACTCTGCCGAGTTGAGCTTGATCATACATCTGAACCACACTGTCAGCGAGGTCTGTGGACAGTTTGTCACCATCAGCCCGGACAACAGGGTGACTCTGGTCCACCACCCCTACGGAAGACGACGACGCGCAAACCGTTCTCTCTGGACCCAGAAAAGGCCAACGAAGAACTTTTCGGTAAATGTCTCGAAGCCCTCTGCGATACGGATCTGCGAATGAAGATCAGTTCGTCCAAGATGCCCCTGTTTCTCCCCTACGCTGCAAAATCATGGGCCTTTCACCTCGAAACCGGCTCACTCGACTCAGAGAGCGTATTCGATGCACTTGTCAAGTTCTTTAGCGGCAAATTCCCGCTTTCCTGGATTCAGTGCCTCGCCACGGGCGGCGGGCTCACCGAGCTTCTCGGGGCTTCCCGGGCGCTCACGGCCTTTGTGAGAAGGCGGAGAAAATCAGACACCGAGAGGTCCCCAAATCTTCACCGATCGTCGGACCTCTCCCTGATTGAGTCCTGGGCAGTCGATCTGATGAGGATACCTGCAAAGTTCGGTAGATATCTGTCAGAGGACCCGGTTCAGATCTACAAGTGCATACCTCCTCTCTGTCCCACCTCTTCCGCCATTTACCGGAATTTTAATGACAGTCTTGCTGCCACCTTGTCTGTTTCTGGTCTGTCGAATGCTGATTGGGATGACTGCTTGGCTCGGGTGTTGGTGAGACTTGGAACAACATATAGGCTGGCGGTGTCATCCTTGCATCTTGCTATCGCGACCTTCGAGCTGGAAGGCTGCAGCATCACATTGTTTGACACCAACCTGTTTGAAGAGTACACGACCTTCAATGTGGCGGACTATATCTGTGATATCGCGCTCAACGAGTCCGGCTCAATGTTATCGTGTTATTGTCTCTCCCAGACATTCGTGTGGAAGGTCCAGGATGGATCTCTGGAATCAGCGACAAATAACCCCTACGTAGGGTACGCCGCCGACTTCAGATTTGATAACGACACGCTGATGATGGTGTCTCACGATCGGCGGGTCTATAAGCTGTTGTGTGACAGAGAGGATGAAGAGCCATCCTGGGCACAGCTAGACTTGGCATTGCTGGAAGAAATGCCCCCATCTGATAAGACTTTCAGCCAGGATCGCTCATTAGCATTTAACCACAACTGCACCCAGATAGTGTTCGCTACCGGGCCATCCTCCCTCTCTGTATGGAACTTGGATCCGCCCGAGATGGTGGCCCTGCTCAAGAAGAACCGGGTCCAGGCCCAACGTTATGTCCGCCCCGCCTGGCACCCTTCTGGCACGCTGATCTTTGGCATCTCCAACGACGTCGTGTTCAAGTGGAATCTTGTGGATGACAACTACGATGAATTGAAGGCCGAGGCTGCCATATTATACATCGAATGCAGTCCAAACGGCATTTTCTTCCTCACTTACAACATGCGGGACTGGATTATGATCTACGATGTTTCTTCCATGTTGCTAGTGTACAAACTGGAGCTCCCGGAAGTCAGCGCCCATATTCGTTTCAGCCCTGAGAGTGACCGGTTTTATACTCTTGTCGGTTCGCACTGCAGCATCCGGGAGCCAAGCTGTCTCACCCGACTCGTCGATGCGGCGGCTCCTGGACGGAGCAGTACTGCAGACACCGCACCGAACATCTCCTGGCCAGGGGTGGATGATACTCACAGCATGCCCATATCGCTTCCCCCGTCTGAGAGTCATGCGGACAGAAAGCCCGGGATAGTGTCCGTCGCTATAAGTTGCAGACACTCCGACCTCGTTGCATACGTCAGCGGGGATCAAAACATGAATATTTACGACCCGATAGACAACAGAACTTATACGATTGGCCAGGTTTCATTTCCAGGGGACCTTGGGTGCCTGGTTTGGAACAGAAAGCATGACCAGTTGGCTTACTCTACCTGGGACAGCGCCACCGTCAAGGCAGTCGCTGTCAGGGACACGCCGCCACGACAGGTGTCTGCCACAGATCTCTATGCCGAGAATATATCCGAACATTGTGGCATGATACGACAACTTGTCTTCGATGAGACGGATAAGTTACTCTTATTTTACGGAGCGAGGAAATCCCGGGTCCTATCCTTCCCCGGCGGGGAGATCGTGGGCGACCGCGACACTCCCAATCAAGAGACGGCTGTCTGGGTACCACACCCCTTGAAGCCAGAGCTGTTGCTCCTTTTCACTGCTGAAGCCGTGGCCATCTTTACGTGGCGACTAGAAAGGCAAGGCTCGACACCACTGCACATGAACCTGGACGACGCCTCTGGCCCCGTGTTCAACCTTAGGCACTTGCCTAGCTACTGCCCGAGATTTCTTCTCCTCGCATTCTTTGCTATCTCACCTGGGTTCATAGTCCTGCCGACAAACGCCATCTCCTCCGAAAACGAAGGTGGCGAATCCCCGACCCCGATCAAGCCGGTCGTGGTCCCCCGAACCGCCCAACACGCGGCGGGCATACTACCCGACGGACGTCTCGTGTTCCTGGACCAGGATCTGTGGGTGTGCACGGTGCAGTTACACGATGGGGGTGGGGCCATTGAACGCCACTTCTTCCTACCGCATGACTGGGTTGAAGACAAGGAAATTCGCCTGTGCCAGGTGCTTGGGGACGGGACGTTCATTTGCCCTAGTAAGGGGGAGGTTGCTGTTATTAAGAGCAACCTGATGTCGACCTGGTGATTATTGTGCGGCTGGTTAGACGCATAGTATCCATATTCTTGGCCGAGCGGCCTGACTGAACAATGTATCGATGGATCCGATTCCTAGGTCGACGGTAATGAGTATTAGAGAGAGAACGGAATAGGTACAGGAAATCAAAAGCGGTTATAAAATGATCGAGTCCCATGGCCCTACCACTTTCAGCGCCTTTTGGCCGAGGGGGGCTACATATTAAATAATTAGATATTAGGAACCCCCATTTTAGCACGGATTCACAAGACCTGAACGACGCCCCGTCGCTACAGCCAAGCCTCAGCCAAGCTTAAGCCCAACAAAGTACAGCCAAAAGCCGCACAGTGCCTGCTTCTATTCGAACAAGGGGGGGGGGCGAAGAGCACTATTTCATTGGGTTTGATACTGTCAAACTGGTTGTAGAGTCTCCCGAATCTCCATCCAGTCTCATCGCCGCTAAGCAACTTCTTGGCTGTGGATCTAATTCCTTCGAGAAGACGGGGAAGACAGCTGGTATATATTCTTTTGGCTTGGCTTCAGATACAATGTGTAGCTGCAGTAGGAGATAATTACGATCAATTCCACGGCATACAAACCCGCTGCAGGTTACATTTACCGCTGCGACACCTGGGGTGGTACCGTATGCTGTATCACGTCAAAGGATTCGGTGCCCCGATTTTATCAGAACGTCGATGCTCCCTTGCCTACAATGGCTGCCTCAATGCATCTTATCACACTACTAGAATATTTTAGGACAATCCCTGTGTGCCGCTCACTTGTTGCCTGCATTAAATATAGCAGTGATCTGCGGGTAAAATCAATGTTTTCTGCATGCGAGAATGCGACACATCCAAGGGCTTTCGGGTGATCGTTTCGGTGTTCTTTCTTGGACACAGTTGGTTCTTCCAGAAGCTCAACTTGGACTGTTAGCTGGTAATATAGTGGTATTACAGTGTACCGTTGGAGCACAGCTTGTAAAGTTCCAGAGAAAATCAGCTAGTAAGCTTGGTAATGTCTCTACTCTCACCAGATTAAACAAGTCTAAGCCGTCTAGACGGAACTCAAAAATCGCTATATTGTCATTCTAGTTGGCCGTTCACCTCCCACAATCACACAATCTTGCCTCGTCCACCATGCCTTTCAGGGGTTCGTTATCAGCCAAGCTAACCAATATGCATTTCCATCTTTCGTAATTATTAGTCTTTAAAATGACAACCAACAGCATAACCACGGTACTGCTTAATTATTTTGTGTTCCTAAATTCGCCTAAAGGCAAACAACAGACCTCCCAAGCACCTAAGTCTTGGAAATGTCCACACAGGCACGTACGATTTCGCACCAACGAACAGGGCATAAATATATCGACTCCGGATTATTGGGGACCTGTGTGGGTAGTGTAGGGCCAGTGATTGGGAGAAAACCAAAGTGAGGTGATGCAATGCGATGTAGGAATGCACCTGCGTATCGGCCCGGAACTGAACCCCATACTCGCATATCTCGATCCCAGGCACGCTAATTCTTTCAGGCCACTGAATCCACTGCCTTCCGCGGTGTGGCTGCTGGCCTGCGTCAAGGCAATATCGGACGATATTGCAGATCCCGTCAGCGGTTGTGGTCATTCGCTACGATACGGCGTGAACTTAGCCGGTAGGCGCGCGGGATGTGCCCGTGAACGTTAAGGTTGTCTGAGATTATTGGTTACATTGCTCCTGGCTTAATGCCATGCTGTACAACATTGAGTTCTAATAATTGTCCAATTGTCAGGAGAGACGTGGGGAGATGTGAGGATTCTGGTGAATCCTTGGGGAATCCTTCTCGTGTTTCAACCTCACCCGCTAGACAGGCACACTTGTCCTGCCCATCTACGTGCCTGCCACCGAGAAGCGAAATTGTACAGCGGTTAGTGAGTTAGGGTCGTCAGCCGGCGTTAATATATTTTTCTTTCTTTCTTTCTTTCTTTCTTTCTCTCTCTTACACCAGTCGTCACGCCGTGACAGGCCCCCGCGTCGGGGGAACCTCACTCTTGCAGCTGAGCTCGGAAGAATCGGATCTCGCGGTGGGTCAGGTCAGCATTGAACATTCCTGTGAGCCTTGTGTTCCAAGGTAGGAAGGTAGCGTCGTTCCGCGGTAGCCATGCTGACCTGGTGAGCAACTAAGCTCGCTAGTTTGGTGTCATCGCCGAATCCCTCCTGCATCCATACCACCGAGGAGCCGTCGAAACCAGCAATGGAACACCCCCGGGGCGGGTTGCGCGCGAGCTCCAGCCACACCGGCCCGCGCATAAGCGCAACCCGGCTTGCTGACCTGCTGTCTACCACCTGCAGTTTCGTGCTGCGGACCTGCTACGACCCGGAGATGGAACGGGGTTGTTGAAGGATGGTTTCGAGGCCATCGACGTCGGCCCCCACCCGGATGGCGACGGGTTCTGCCGTCTGCCGTCTGGATCCTGGAGCTCCACTACGTGGTCCGGGGCCGCCGGAGGGTAACTCAAGTATCCGGATGAGGAGCGGGCGTCCAATTGTTGAAGGTCGGTGCTGGTCCGCGGTGGGTGCTTGCTCACGCCCGTTGAGCGATCCACACTCTAAGGGTGGGCATTGCTACCATGTCTCGGCGTATGATGGGGAAGGTGGTGCCCACCGGAAGGTAGTTCCCGGAAAGGAGCTAAACGCTCCGCCAAACCTGGGGAGCCCTGCTGCAGCCTCAAGGCTATATAGAGTGGGCTTCTTCCTGTATTTTAGGTCTCGACCTCTTCGTCTCTTCCTTCTCTCCTATCTTCTTAGAATCAATCTTTTGTCGACTCAATCCTAATCAGCAACAATGCTAGTTATGTGGTTATTTGTTTGCTCTTGTTCCCAGAAAGGGCATTCCTTCTGACCCATTTCAGCCAAAGTCTTGAAGACCTCGCCTCTGGAGTTAGGACCGATCACCAATAGGTAGGGTTCATTGGAGCTGCTTGCAACAAAGTACAGGCACTTGCTTGAACATGTTTGAGGACAAGGCTTGTTCTCTGCTCGAGGCAGCTCAGCAGCACAGCTTCTCACAAATATACAGTTAATATGCGCAGCTCATTGCATTAAGTTTGAGGTTGAGTTTGAGCTTGCGCACACCATCGTGGACCTCGGCATTGAGAGTTTATCTACGGTTGCTGAGACTGAACTGGCAGCGAGTATTGCTTGGACCCCGTCCAACGCAAATTGAATAAACCAAATAAATATGCGCAGCTCATGATCTCCTAATCCAAGCTTGCCTGGCAGGCATCGGAACCCTGAACACCGCAACACAGAGTAGGTTGCCAGATGCAGATGAGCCACTTGTTGGGCAACAGACACTCGTGCTCTCAAGGGAAGAACGACACAAACAAGCAGAGACGAGTGCTGACTTCCAGGGTGGTGGCGATTGAGAGGCTGCCCACAGCCGACAGACAGGGGTAGCTGTGGGTCTCCAAGACGGAACGGGTCCAGGCGGTGCCCGCAATCACATGCCGGAGAACTGCGGGGGATGGGATGGGGGATGGGGGATCTCCATTAAGGTCTACCGTTGACGCCGAGCTTGCAAGCGTAGCCGTAGGGGTATAATCTGGTGATTTCGGCAAGAGGAGAGGGCCCCCTTACTCCGGGGGATCACGGAACACTCCGGTCTGGTGGTTATGACGCTTCCGAAGGCTTCCATCACGAAAAATTGGAGGCGCTGGATTATTGTGGGACCCCAAGCAAAAGATCACGCCACTTTCAGAGTCAGCCACCAAACTCGGAAGCCAAGGCCAGGCTAAGCTTGCAACCGAATCGAGCGGCACGCAAAAAAACAACCGGGGGTTCTCTACGTCATGCAGGGTGGCGGTCAGTGGGATTTGCGGTGTCTGATCAGAGCAGCGCTGTCGGTCGAGGAGCAATAGAGACCAGGGTTGGGTCAATATCATGTTGCCTACTGCCAGCCGCACACTAATAAACGGCATCAATTATGATGCCCGCGGGGTTGGGTGCGCTGGCCAAGTCTCCGACTACCGGCGAGAACGGGACCCTTGCAGCGCCGACCCTGAACCCCACAGTGGGGCATGCTAGGGGGCTGCCATTCTGTCATTCTTGCCACTTCTTCCTTCATAAAACACCGTCTCCCAACCTTGATCCCGCCGTCGAGTAGGTTGGAAGTTGCTCCGGGGTGATAAAGGACATTTTCATTGAGGACCTGTACTCTCGAGATACGAATTAATCAACGTCAACTGGCCGTATCGCGCCCAAGCCATTCACCCTGCTGACCGCTCTTGAGGCGGACATTTTCCAATGTGAGTCGCAGCCCAACTCGTGTGCCCCATTTCCCCATTTCCGCAGCTTGCTAACCTTCAATTTCCCTCTCGTTTCTACAGACGCGCCCTTCTTCGCCATCTATCTGCCGCTACAGCCACTACAGCCAGAGCCGTCGACGGGCCGAGCCCTCCTCACCGAACAAACAAACCCAAGAACACACCCACACCGCCTCGCAATCCACCCCCGCCACAATGAAATTCACCCGACTCGTCTCCGTGACCAACTTCGTGGTCGCCTCCTCGGCATTGGGCTTCCAGGTCTTCGTCCTGTACCCGTGGCACACTCAGCTAGACCACGGCTTTGAGGAGCTGAAGAAGGAGCACCTCAAGGTCTTGGAATCAGTGCGCGGCAAGATCAGCAACGAGGAGCAGCAGGGGTTGAAGGACCGGATCGAGAAGCTGGGGCAGAACAGGTGGCGCTGGTTCTAGGGAATACCTGATTTTTTTGGTTGTTTGGCGTCCCTCGTCGCATGTCGGACAGTATCGTGGCATTGATACCCCCATCTTCTTGGCCTCCCTCGAGGAGGGAGCCTTGGTGCGTACTAGATGGAGTCGAATAGATTTTCTCTTTAATGCAAGATATGCTCCCACCCGTGCTCACGGCTACAGTCTCTGACGTCAAGGTTGCGTGCTCCCTCTGTAGTGTCTACTGGATTGTCGGCTGGATTGTCGTGAAGGACTCCCACGATGTTGATCCTCGGTCAATCTCCAGAGTTGAACCAAATATTGTTAACGGCTGCCGTGGTATAGAGAACCGCTGGATTTCAACGTTATATGGCGAATCGTTCGGTGGGACCAGTGCTTCGAGTCTCCGGATCCCGCGCTCGACGGCGGTCCTCAACCGGTTGATTGAACGGCCCCTCAAGGGTCGCTCCGAGCTCCCGTCACTGTCCTCAAGATCTATCCTGGCCTTTGGAAGCGGCCGGGGTGTCATATTGCAGCCACAGGTCGAGACCATCAGGAGTGAGTCGCTGGCATCATCCTAGCAAAGTCTTTCAAGGTGATGAAGAATTGGGAAATATGTCAACCTCTCGATTGGCGGAGGGGCAAGTGTAGATGCAGGTGCATTGCACATCGATAATACATAACGGCGTTGCCGTCCGCACGTCTGGTTTCAACCCAATCGGGACCAAATCCGGGTTCTGCAGTTTCAATCCTTCCCTAGGAAACAGGGTTCTAATACGCCTCTGTCGTAGTAGCGGTTAGAAATGGGATGCATGCAGTCCCGTATGCATAACAATCACCAACTGATATTGAGAGCACGGGGACCCGATTGGGTGTTGTGTGAGGGGTCTTTCCTTCTCTTCTCGACTTCAAATGTGAGAAATGATATGATGCGTGAAGTTCCCTACTTGAACAGGGACAGACATCCACCCACCTCTATGTCCTCGCGATGACTACCCTTATTTCTTCGGCTAGGCCACCAAGTTCCAGAAGGTCAAGACAAAATGGCTAGCAACAAGGAAGACTCTCCCGCGTCGCCGCGAGCTCCCGGTTCGGCGACACCAGCAGCGGTGACCTTACCCGGGCGCGCGACGTCCTCCCCACAGTCTCCAGCAAAGCCGACGGGGACGATCGAGGCCAAAGACGACGACGATGATTCCGCCCTCGGACACCAAAGCCTCCTGTCCACGGAGTCAGTCGCACCAAGCATCCTCTCGTACCGGAAGCTGCACGGGCGCACCTACGCCAACGTCAAGAACACGGAATACTGGGGTCCCAACGACGCGCGCATGAACGAGGGTCTAGACCTGATCCACAACTCTCTGACGATGCTCCTGCACGACAAGCTCTTCCTCGCGCCCATCGACAAGGCCAACCCGGGCCGCGTGCTGGACGTGGGCACCGGCACCGGCATCAGGGCCATGGACTTTGCCGACGAGTTCCCGGCCGCCGACGTCGTCGGCACCGACCTCAGCCCCATCCAGCCCACCTGGGTGCCGTCGAACCTGCAGTTTGTGATTGATGATTGTTTGCTGGACTGGACGTGGCCAGAGAACCACTTCGATTTCATCCATATGCGCGGCCTGTACGGCTGCGTGCCTGACTGGACGGCTCTGCATAGGAAGGTGCTCAAGCACCTCAAGCCCGGGGGCTGGTTTGAGCAGGTCGAGACGGGCTGTCAGGGCTACTCGGATGTCGTGGAGCTGCCGGCGGACCACGTGTTTAACCGGTGGGCGCAGGCGTTCTATGCCGGGGGGGAGAAGATGGGGCGACCGTTTACGATCTGTTGCGACGATAATATCAAGAGGCACATGGAGGAGGCGGGGTTTGCGGATATCACTCAGACTAGATTTAAACTGCCGGTCAACATGTGGGCTAAGGAGGAGAGACTGAAGCAGGCTGGCGGATTCGCACAGCTTGCGCTGGAGCAGGATATGGAGGGCTTAGCTATGTACTTGCTGACGCAGGTGCTGGACTGGACGCCGGAGGTGCTTGTGCTGGCCGGGAATATGCGGAAGGAAATCAGGAGGAAGTCGATCCAGCCGTATACCATCGTGTAAGTTGCCCTCAGATTCCGCCATGTCCTTTATTTGGTTGCCTAACATTTGGGCTCTAGGACGGTCGTAAATGGACGGAAGCCCCTAGAGGCTTGAGAGATGGCGTTTTACATTTGGGTTTATATCGTAGCAGCTAGAACACTTTCCCAGTTATGGTCATTTATGAGGATTTCGGAAGCCCAGAATGTGTTAGTCCTATCCAACATACAATAATTAGCTGTATATCAGGCACAGGAAGCAAAATACGGCTGTATATGGCTAATGAATACACAGTGCTCCCTGATCTCTCCAAATTTCTGCCAACAACAGACAGATTCCTGACTTTCTTCACAGCCCCGTCATGGAGAAACCTCATCATCCGGTTTGGTGAACGTAGGCACAAGTCGGGCGCCGGTGACTGATGGATCCTTCTGAGGGTCATATTTATCAATCCCATCGATTGGAGCATACTTCTCACAGAGATAGCACATGTTGTTATAAGCACTGTCATGAAGGGTCAGCTTTGGTGTCATATTCATCGTCGTCCGAATGCAAGAACTCACGTCTGCCGCACAATGCATCCGGGGTGCCCAGCGGAATAATTAATCGTCCCCTTGAGACTGTAGAGTCGGTTCCGATCATCGAACTCTTCCGCCGGCTCTGCGGCAGGATAATGCCGCAGATACTGTCGTGGATATATCGGCGATCGGAGGTGCGAACAGAAGTCGGCTCTCCATTGTCCCAGGTCCATCTCATTATGAGCGTAGTACGACCCAACGTCGTACATCATGAGCTCGCCAGTCTCCAGATTGATTCCCAAGTTTGGTTCCCAGAGATCTCCGTGGATGATACACGGTTTAATAGGTTCGCCATCGTGCCGAAGGTTTCCGAGCAGACGCGGTATAACCTTGGTGATAAGCTGCTCTGTGGCCCGCTCCATCTCCGGCCACGGTCCATTCGTCTCTCTGTCAATCTTGCAAATGCCCTGGAGGAGTCTCCCAAAGAAGACGGCCCAGCTATCCTGCCAATCCACCGTATGTGGCATTTTGCCATCGCAGGTCACGACGTGGAATCCGAACTTTCCGGTCGGAGACTCGCTCTTCTTGTGCAGTTCGGCAAGCTTGGTAGCAAACTCTCCCGGGTCTGGAGCTGTGGTGATGTCCATGTCGATAAACTCGGACAAGTAGAAGTACGGGACTGGGTTTGACACCTTGTATCGACCGTATGCGAACGGCTGGGGAATAAACCCCGGCATGAGTCTGTATATCTCCTTGGCCGACTCGAATTCGCCCTTGAGCATCACCCCACCGTGCTCGCCATATGCGATCTGTGATTGATCCAGTAAGCATGCCGTTTTCAGCCTAATCATCGGACAGGGGACTGGATCAGACTTTGAGGAAATAAGCCTTTTCAGTCCCATCCGGCTCCCTTGCCATGACTTTTCCGGTAACCGTCCAGGCACTCGTGCCAAATGGCTCCGCCGAGAGGAAAGTCGAACCCTGTGGCAAAGCTACACGAAGACTTGAGGTCAATGTCTCTGGTCGCAATGTAATTTCCTCAAGAGTAGTAGTCCCTAGAGTCCCTACCTTCGACCACGGCCTCATCCATTGGAAAAACCCCATCAAGCCCAGACAGAACATCTTTCGTACTTATCGGTTCGAGGACCGCCGGCTCCTCCGGTGGAGACACCACGATCAATGTCTCCGTCGCCATTCCGTTGTCCCTTGAAGAGGCTTTGATCCTTGAGCAATATCTTTTCGTGACCACGGAATCGAACAAGAGAGTGATGAGTCCTCGTCCAAAGATCGGAACTTGGGAGTTGAGCCGCCCCTCTTTGGGTGCTCTCGCCAACAAATAAAACGCTCCCCATAGCCGCCGGGCAAGCTGAGTTGTACCATTCGGCGGTTGCTGCGCCTCCAGAGTGCAGGATCCTGCAGCCGCCCACCAATCCCAAGACGCCCACATCTTCAAGCCCCGCCTAACCCCTCCCCCCCATGCATGGCTCCTTGAATGTGGCCTAGCTAATAATATCTTACCGACTCCGGAGCGATGCGGCTGAATGGAAGGGGATGTCACCAGTTCGACATGTGGAAGGCCTTGCACTGCATGAAACCCACCGCCTCGAAGTCACGTTCCGCTCGAAAAGACACCGGCTATCTCAGGTCTAGCTTGTAGGGCCTGGGATGAAAGTGAAGGGTGCCCGGCATGGTGGTAGTGGCCCGCAAACTGAAGTAACAATGGTCTGGACCCAAACCCCCGTCCCACTTCCTCAATTGAACCCCGCGCGACCCAGGCTAACAGACGTCGATTACACCACGCGCAGTTTAATAAGAAGTTCTCCTTCCGCAAGAAAAGAGGAGAGAGCCGAGACGAGCCCGACCATGACCGAATTTTCCCCAGCGATCCGAGCGCTGACACGCTGGCGGTGCCTGGTGCATCGAACTCGACCGATATTGCTGCCCCACGACGCGATTCATCGCCCAGCTCGAACTCTCTGCGCTCGAGCCTTCTCGATCGAAAGCGCACCAGTTCCTCAACTTTCATCTCTCAGACCGTTGGCTATGGCGATCGCGATGGCGACACCGCGGATAAAGACCCCCTCGGCCTGAAGGTGATCCACCGACCAAGTAAAGACCGGACGGTCGACATTGTATTTGTGCATGGCCTTGGTGGTAGTAGCCGGAGGACATGGAGCAAGGACCATAACCTTGATTTCTTCTGGCCGCTGAAGTTCCTGCCATTCGAGCCAGGCATCAGCGAAGCGCGAATCTCCACCTTCGGATACAATTCCAACTTTCGATCCGGGAGTCGGAGAAACAAGATGTCGCTGCTAGATTTCGCCAAGAATCTCCTTTTCGATCTAAAGTATGCCCAAGATGATTCTATGGGACAGCTGGAGGATCTTGGGATGGGGGAGGTGGGTTGGCCATGTTCTGTTCCTCCAGCCAACGCCCCTGGCATGGGATGCTGCAATAACTGACATCCCCCATCTTAGAGGCCCATCGTCTTCGTGGTACATTCAATGGGCGGTTTGATCGTTAAAGAAGTATGTTCTCCAAACCCCCAAAATGAGATAAGTGGCGAACAACTAATACTTCTTGCCCAAAACAAGGCGTATATGCAAGGCCAGAACGACCCAAAGTACGAGGCCATCATCAAATCGGTCTCCGCAATCGTTTTTCTCTCGACTCCCCACCGGGGAACCAACCTGGCCGAGACTTTGAACCGCATTCTACAAGTCTCTTTCGTGTCCAACCCCATGCAATACATCGCGGAGCTGGCCGCGGGCTCGCAGACGTTACAGAAGCTCAATGAACAGTTTCGACATATAGCTCCCAAGCTGGAGATTGTCAGTTTCTACGAGACCCGGCCGACGACAGTTTTCTCCAAGACCCAGATTGTAAGAACTCTAGCGAATATGGGGGACGTTCTAACCATCTTCTAACTATTCTTTAAGATGGTTCTGGAAAAGGATTCGGCAGTGCTCGGATATCCGGGCGAAGTCTCAATGCCACTCGACGCAGACCATCATGGTGTGTGCAAATACGCAAGCCGAGTTGACCCTCGCTATGTCACTGTTCGAAATGTACTGAAGAACCTTATCAGAAAGGGCATGCCTTCAGGCAAGTCACCTGTGTGACTCACTAACCGAGACGTAACCAACTAACAATAGCTGTTGGCGTGTAGACCAATCCCAAACAACCACAGGTAAAACCTCAAAATCAACCTTTGAACAGCTTCTCTCTGTTCCCGAGTCCCCAGAAAGAGACTATAGCGTCTTCCGTGACCGTTGGACGCCAGGAACCTGTTCTTGGATCCTCGACCACCCCGCTTTCGTCGAGTGGCTAGAAGACACTCAATCAGATCCCAGAGTCTTATGGATCCAAGGGAATGCAGCGAGTGGGAAGTCGGTCCTTTCTTCCTTTGTTATCGACCACCTCGTCCAACTTGGACTCCCGTGCCAGTACTTCTTTGTCCGCTTCGAGGATAAGAAAAAACGAGCGCTCAACACAATCCTCCGTTCGTTGGCCTGCCAGCTTGCCAACACAACACCTGCATACGCACACCAACTCCGCCAACTTGAAACGGCCGGCGCTGACCTTAAGAGCCAAGATTACCGGAATCTCTGGCAGTGGCTGTATAAGCAGAGTTTATTCCACCTACCTGTCAGCTACCCAATTTTCTGGGTTCTCGACGGCATTGACGAATCCGACAGTCCCCGTTCTCTGCTCAACCTTCTTTCTGAGCTCCGCTCCATCAACATCCCCATCCGAATTCTAATCGTGAGTCGAAAGACGCACGACATCGCCATGTCCTTCCAGCAACTAAGTGACCAGTTGAAAATCGAAACAGTCACCACCGAAGGAAACCACGATGACTTTCACCGGTATATCAGCCGGGAGATGCACCTGGCCGGCGACAATTCCTACAGAGAGGGCATCATTGCCGAGGTCCTCAAGCGGGCACAGGGCAATTTCCTCTGGGTGCATCTCGCAGTTCAGAGGATTAATAAGTGTCATACAAAAGTGGATGTAAGCAACGCGTTGAACGACCTTCCTCCAGGGATGGAAGCACTGTACAACCGCATGGCCAACTCCGTCCAGACCGAGCCGCATAGCGACAATCCCACCCTCGGCGAAAGGATTCTGGGCTGGGCGACCTACGTCCAGCGCCCACTCAGCGTCGAAGAGCTCAGCGACGCGTTGGACGACGACGGCGTCCTAGAAATCCACCGGACAATCGGGGACCTTTGCGGAGGGTTTGTGGTTGTAGATCATGAGGGAAAAGTCGCCCTGATCCACGAGACGGCTCGAGAGTACCTGTCTCGGGGAAACCAGCAAGGTGTCCCGTTGGTCATGGAACCGAAGCTTATACACAACAAGCTGTTCACTAGATGCATCACGCGCTTAATGGACAAGACACTCCGAGCCCACATCAACCAGGACCGGCAGCCGGCGTTGCTGGACTACGCGACGAGCGCCTGGGTCTTTCATCTTTCTCACGGCTCGGCCACCAGTCGCGAGAACCTGGAAATCCTGATGAAGTTCTTCCAGGGCCCGCCGGTCCTCACATGGATCCAGGCAGCTGCCAGAGGGAAACAGCTCAGGTCGCTGGTGACAGCATCTCGTCGCCTGACTGACATTGTCGAGCGGCTGCGGCGATTCAACGACGAGGAATCCTTGCTCCACCGCCAGGCGATAGAAACCCTCACACGCTGGGCCACGGACCTCGTTAAGCTCGTCGGAAAATTCGGGACCTCCCTGCTCCAGAAGCCAGACGCGATCTACAAACTGATCCCGCCCTTCTGCCCGGAGGACTCGGCCATCTACCAGCAATTCGGCCTCAAGGAGAGCAAGGCGCTGCGCATCTCGGGGCTCACCAGGGGCACCTGGGACGACTGCCTCGCGCGCCTGTCCCTCGAGCCCGGCGCCGTCGCATCCGCCGTGCACGCATCGGGGAGCCGCATCGCCGTCCTGGCCAACCGGCAGAAGGTGGGCCACATCTTCGTGTACAACTCGGTCACCTGGGAGGAGGAGCGGCGCATCGCGCACCCGGAACGTGTGTCCAGGATCCGGGTCGACGCCGCGGGCGCCACGCTGGTGAGCTACGGGTACAAGACTACCAAGCTGTGGAGCCTGTCCTCGGGGGAGTGCGTCAAGACGGTGGCGAATCCTGCGGGCCGGCCTAGGCCGCACAGCATCGTCTTCCTCGAGAAGAACAAGACGGTGCTGATCGGGAGTGAGGACCGGTGCGCCAGGTCTGTCAAGGTTGACGGCGACTCGACTGAGTGGGAGACCAGGGCGCGGATCGAGGAGGAAGCCCCGGAATATGGCGTGCTTAACGCGCCAACGTGCTCGGCTCTCAGCCCCGATGGGGAGATGATTGCGTTTGGATATCGCGGGCATCCCGTCACGGTATGGCAGCTGGGGTCCGAGGAACTCGTCGGGCGATGCAACATGACTCCGGATGGGACGGCTGTCACGAATCAGGAGAACACGTTTGGGGAGATCACGCAACTTACCTGGCACCCATTCAGCGGGGAGGTCCTCGGTCTGCATCGCGAAGGGCTGCTGTTCAAATGGGACCCGTACGACGACGAAGCTAGTGCAAAGGTTCAGGCAGGAGCGCACTTTCTGGCAGTGTCCCTGGACGGGTCACTCGTCGCGACAGGAGATACCCGCGGAACCGTCAAAGTCTACACGACTGCCGACTTCTCGCTGCTTTATCAGTTGTCGTCCCCGGATCCCGTTCTCGATATCGCATTCAGCACTGATTCCAGGCGCCTGTACGATACACGGGGTGCATACGGGAATGTCTGGGAACCCAATGCTCTGGTCCGTCTGGCCGAGAGTTCCGAGCTCACCGACCATAGCAGCGATGCCTGGGGCGAAAACGACAGTCTCGCGAAACAGTCCCCCCAGACCGCGCAACACTTCCCCGGAGTCGACAACGTCGTTGCAATTTCGGGGCAACCCAACGGGCCGCTCTATTGCTACGGCACAGAAGACGGCGTTGCAGTGCTGGGCGAAGTCGGGCGCGGTACAGTGGCCGAGCTGGGGAGATCGGCGAGTTTCATGTCCGTCGAGCACATGGCATGGAGCGAGGACGGGAAGCTCGTGGCACTTGCAGATCTGAGCCGCAGGATCGCCGTCATGAGTATCGCGAAGACAGACCAAGCCGGACCCACGTGGCGGGTCAACCACGACTTCCATCTAACCCTCCCCTCACAGGACGGCTTCACCCAGCTTCTCTTCCAGCCCAACGGCCATAGGTTATTGGCTGTATCTCCCACCGCACTATTCGTTGTCGATATCGAATCTCGCGCCGTCCAGGTATCGAAAATCCCTGATGGAGCGCCGAGGATGAGATTCATGTGCCATCCGACGAAGCCCGATTACCTTCTAGCCTTTGGAAATACCAAGGGCCATGTCTTGACTTGGGATGGCCTCCGGCAGGTGGCCAAGCACACTTACTTCCCCCCTCGACTCAACAGAGTCGCAACCTTATCCGCAAGTTCTCCCTCGTACAGACCGGGGAGCTCCGGGCCCGCCGAAGAGACGCTGGGTCGACTCATCTCGTGTCCCGGCTCTCCCGACATCCTGCTGGAAGTCTCGCGGCTCGCCGATACGGGACGACCCGGGAGACAGTATCTGCTCTTCGAGGCCGACGACATCGAGCTGGACCCCGAGAAGAATCACGGCGCGACCGACGAGACAGGGGCCGCGGAGAGCTGCAACAACTTGCCATATACAACCTTGTCCGCGGAGATTGCGTGTCGCATACGGGAGCCACTGGCCATCCTGTCTCGCAGGAGGCTCGTATTCCTGGATGTCGACCGGTGGATTTGTACGTGGCGCATATCCGCTCTGCCGCAAGCACCGGGGCGGCCGTCGGGCGGGAGGGGATCGGAGTCGGGTTCCAGGGGAATAGAGGCCCATTACTTCCTCCCCGGCGATTGGGTCACTGCTAATGAGGCACCTCTCTGTACCGTCATGCCCGATGGGACTTTACTCTGCACCAGGAATGGTGAGGTGGGCGCCGTTCAGTGTGCCAAAATTCGGAGATAGAGCGACGCCTTATATAGCGGTATCCGTAGTTGTGAGGAAAAAAAGAACAGGAAAAGTGGGAAAGGAATGCAGGTTGAGAGGCGCGAGGACGGGAAAAAAAAAATGACAAAAAATAATAGCACAGATCCGTTTCGATCAGATGACCTCCGGGTTATGAGCCCGGCGCGCTTCCACTGCGCCACTGTGCTTATTGCTTGTTGATGTCTTCTAGAACCCAATTAGTGCCTAAGTAGGTCGTCCCGCAGCGCCAATCGTATTCGCCCCTCCTCATCCACATCCACCAACAAAAAAGTTTTCTTGAAGCTTAGGGGTGGGTCATACCCCATAGCCCGTGCTGCGTTTAATCTGAGTACTTCGTAACACCAACTGAGGCATATCCTATGTCTTTGGAGCCATATGATTACTTTCACTTGGTGTACCAGCTGGGGGTTCTTGGCCGCTCTCGCTGAGGAGCTGCTGTCCCACTGGTTTCCGGGTGCAAGCAACCATTTGCCTCTTCCGCCTCCATTGCATGCCTTTCAACCTACTAATTATGACCGAAACCACGCCGGTGACTCCCACAAAGAGCGCAAAGATGGTAAAGTACCACCCCCTCCCTACCGCGTCTATTATTGGCTGCAGCACGGCCACCGATGCAGCGCTCAAGCCGCACCTCACCACCTGCCCGGAAGCATAGGCCGTGCTAGACATGCCGGGGAAGATGTCGACGAGGAGGGCGTTGGATGTGTGGGTCAATATAGTGGATGTCCCGCAGATGAAAAAGTGCAGGACTAAAGGCACCGATGGGTGGACGTGATACTGGACCGCCCACCCGTAGCCGGCGATCAGGGCCACTTCTAGAAGAATAAAAGGCATGCATCTTCTGTACCGTGCCATTTCCAGGGGAAACTCGCCACCGTCTTCTCGTTTCTCCCGGTCGAGGTTGGCGTCACACCTCCGCGCGACTCGGGCGTAGTTCCTATCAATCAGCTTGCCGGCAACGATGCCACCAATCGTGAGGCCGGCAAACACGGGCAACAGCGCGAGACCGATCTCCAATTCGTTGTAGCCGTATATCTCGGCGAATATGACCGGTACGGCGGCCTGGAATGTGTAGTAGACGGAATACGACGAGGCCACCATCCAGAGAACCGCCGCAGCATCAGGATACAGGATGATGCGGAGCGGGACAAGCGCGTCCATGGGATGCCAAGATGAGACACCATTTATTTCGGGAGCTTCCTGCGCGACGTGCCCGACATCCTCGCGCCTAGCTCGTTCCCTCGGCGAAATAAACGACCACCAAGTCCTCCACACCCCCCTTGCCGGCCGCGACCCATCGTCAACGACATTACGCCCCGTCTCCGGGAGCGCCAACCCAACCGAGACCAGCAGCGCCAGCGCGACGATCAGCAGCGCGATGAAGACCCACGCATAGCCACCCGTACCGAGCGCAAGCGCGCCGCCGACGACGGGCCCGGCGGCGCAGATGGCGTTGCAGGTGGCGAGCATGGGGCCCAGCATGGCGCCGCGCAGGGGGACGTCGGCGACGTCGGCGACGACGCCGTAGGCGATGGGCACGGTGGCGGAGCCGCCGACGCTCTGCAGGGCGCGGAGGGCGAGAAGGGCGGCGAAGCTGCCGCGGTTGAGGGCGAGGCCGAGGCTAGCGCACGCGTACAGGGCGATGATGGCCAGGAGGACGGGGCGGCGGCCGAAGGCGTCTGCGAGCGAGGAGAAGAGCGCCGGGGAGATGGCTTGGCAGATGGCGTAGACGGTGACGGTGGTGTTGATAGCTTGGATGGAAACCGAGAAGCTGGTGCCGAGCATGGGGATTAGGGGCGAGTAAATGGTAGATGTGAGGGTTGATATGAGCATGATGAGGCCGAGGTGGTACGTCAAGTAGGTGCGGGTAGCCGGTGAGAACACTGAATAGACGCCGGCCTTTTCCGTGGCAGGGTCCCGGTTTGTACTCCCGGCCTCGGTGTTTGCCGGGGCTGGCGCCGATGCCAATGGCTCGGGGCTCAGTACCCCTCCTGGCGCCATCTCGGTTCGTACCTACGATAACCTGAAAGGTCCTAGTTGAAGGTTTACCCCTGGGTGTGGTGATCCCGAAAGGCAGGGCCCGAGGAGCGGCGATACGCAACGAAAGGACCAAGTTAAAGGCCCCGTATTGTAGGTATGCTTGCGAACAGCTTTTGGTGGTTAAATCATGTTGAATGAAGGCTTAATGAGGGGTCAATCAAGGCTCAGTTGTTTGGTCACGTGGCTCCCTCATGCCTGGCGAAAGATCACCACCCGAGAGGCATGTTCACCTAAGCTCAAGCATAGTCTCGTCGTGAGGTTCACTATTCCGCTTTACATGAGTGTGTTTTGGCAAACTACCTTGGTGGGATGCACGGGATACGTTGAGGTGGGCAGGACTCTCATTGAGAGCCCGTAAAACAGAACGAAGAAAAGCATGTGAAGAGATAGAAAAAACGGTGCAACTAATTTTTTGGCTAATGTGGCTTCCCTATATTATGGTCTTGAAGCTCGACTGAGTGGCAGTTGCAACTGAGCTCCTTGGATTTTTCCTTTTCTTCTTGTGTCCCTTCTCCCCCCTTTCTGTCCAGTTCACCAGGCCGACGCTAAGGAAACTCCTCAGCCCTGAACTCACAAAATATGAAATGGAGTCGCTTGGAATTATTATAGGAGAGATCTGGGCTTTGCGATCGATTCTTGCGGGTGACCTTGATCCTATGCAGTACAATACAATCTCTCCCAGCAGCCGTTCTTCGGATTCGAACACTTGAAGTACATGTCAAAGGTCACACCCATGGCTCTAAAGCCTTGAATTTGGGTAGCAACGGCATAATGACGCTTTGCCCATGTTGCCCAGATATTGGCGGAGGTTCGCCCCTGAGCAAACTTCTCCACCCACCCCCACAAACACCACATCCGTGGCGGTCCATCAAGGCTAGCTAAATTGGATGAGCCTGTGGCGGGATGTGCCTCATCCTAGGACTTCTCCGTTGATTGAGGAGGAGTCGGTTCCATTGCCGGCGCGCCCTCGGCCAAATAACTTCATCGGCAGGCTGGTCTGGGTCTTCTTGCCGCCGGGATCTCCCCCTTCCTTGATCGAATCCGGGTTCACGTGCGACCGCGGGAACACGCCATACTTGCCCTTGCTGTTCGTCCCAGACCAGCACCAGTGGTCTTGGTACAACCCTTCAACCGGCCATGTCAGCAAGCCGAGTCGGTAAAATACAAGGTTACGTGCACAGTGGCAGCGTGAAAAGGAAGACGCGCGAGTGTGTAACTTACAGCCGATATTCCGGATCGTATCCCCCTTGTCGAAAACCATCCATCCAGTCCGCCCGTTGTCCTTGGGATCCCACTTCCACCGCGTGACCACCGACACCCCGCTGTTGGACTGCAGCGATATCTCGCTCTGCCTCGGCCCCTCGATCTCGACCAGCTTCGCCGGAAACGCCCCCCGCACGCCATCATGCCAGCCCACGCACCACTTCCCGCCCCACCTCTCGGGGAACTCAACGCCGACGATCCTAGCCCCAACAAGGAACTTGAGCACGTCACCGTTCCCGTCCGGGTCGACGAGCGGCTTCTCGCCGAACCTCCGGACGTGGCTCTTGAGCGCCGTGGCGGAGGGGAAGCAGGCCAGGGCCATGGACGGGACGGGGCTGGGGGCGGGCGGGTCCGGGAAGTGCAGATCGTAGTCCTCTGCCAGGTCCGCGTCGTCCTCGCCGACCCTTCCGTAGAGGACCGTCACGCCGGGCACCGGGGCCAGGGGCTGCGGGTGCCGCGACAGGTGCCGCAGGAGCTGGTCCTGGCTGAAGAAGACGGTCGCGTCGCCCTCGCGCACCGTCTGGCCGGCGTGCGTGCAGAAGAGGCAGGCGTAGCGCATCGAGGCGAGATCGGTGATGGTCAGGTGGGACTTGAAGAGGAAGCGGGTGCGGTACATGACGCCGGATTTCATGAAGTTGGCTCGGGCTGGGTGGGAGTTAGCTTGGGAGCCAGTTTCACCGGGACGGGGTCCCTTGGTTGGTACTCACAATCCTTATCCAGATCCATCGCGATCTCGCTGAAGATGTGGTAATACTCGCAATCCGAGCAGCGTCCGACAGTGACAGGCTCGCCCTGGTAAATATTCATCAGCTCCATGCATCCACACCCCCCCCCCCCCCCAGCTGACACAAAACTCACATAAGCCGAAGCCTTCTTCACACCCTGCGCATGCCCATTCAGCCTGAACCCAACCGCCCCATCGCAGAACCCCTTGAGCTGGTGAAACGAGCTCTTCGGCCCAATCGCGCACGCCGCCTCCCTATCTAGCGCCGACGACGACCTCGCGCCGCCGCCGGCGTCGGAGAGCGTCCGCTCCTCGGCCGCCAGCATCAGGCCGTCCTCGTGCTCGCCGACAGGCGGCAGCGCAATCGGCGCCATGTGGCTGGCGTCCAGGTGGAGGAACGAGAACGACGACGAGGCCGCGGCCCTCACCTCGGCGTCGCGGCTGGGGATGTTGGGCGACGGGCCTGTCGACGGGCTCGACGACGTGTTGGTGTCGGAGAAGAGAGACGTGCGGTTCGTCGTCGCGGGGCTGGTCGGGTCGAAGACGGAGCTGGCGGGCGTGTAGCCGTGGTAGTGGTGGTGGGGATGCTGCTCGCCTCGTCGCCCGATCTGCACGGGGCTGCCGACGATGACGCGCGTCGCCACGGCCGCGTTCTCTGGTATCGACGCCTGTAGCGGCCAGGCGGCGCGCGGGGCCCCGCCTGTCTGGTCACTGATCCAGGCGGACGTCCGGGGCGAGGAGGAGGTCGAGGGGGAGGTCACGATGCGCACGCGCTCGAGTTCGTCGCCGAGGATGTCGGGGCTAGATGGACGCCGCTCGTGCAAGCGTTGCGGTTGGGGCGGACCTGGTTTCGTAGCCGGTGCGGTCCACGAGTCTGCCCTCCTGGGCGGCCCGCCGTCGGTCGTGTAGACGGACGAGCCGCGCGAGCTGGTGGTGGCGGTCCTCTGTAGGACCTGTGGCCTGATTTGCCGTCCGCCCGAACTTCTCCGCGAACCGTTGGATGTGAAACTCTCATGTCGAGCCGCCTGGGTGCCGGCGGGAAGGTGGGGGAGAGCGGGTGGAGGAATCACGGTCACGACGCTCTCGGCTGGGGAATCGGCACCTCGCGTGCCGGGTCTCGACGAGCCGTGCGACTGTGTTCGGAGGGGAGGGAGGGGCGGCAGAGGGGGGAATGCGTGGATCGGAGTCGCCGGCGCTGAGACGTCGATCTTCAACCGCCTGATGGTGTCCAGGGCGTGGAGGGCGAATGCCTTGGTCGCGGCCTGCAATTCGGCAAACTTGTCCCCGTCGAATGAATCGATGTCGATGAAATCGTCAAAGTCGTATAGGAGGTCGCCGAGGATGCGTCGCTTGTCGGCGATCTCGTCTCGTTTCCGTCAGCTGCGCCCTCGTGCCATATGATCATGTCGGATTGTGCGCCGAAGAGGGCCGAGGAGGGCTCACCGTTCTCTCTCATGGTCTCCTTGAAGTCATCGCCATATTTCTCCACCTGGCTATCCCACAGCGGCTGCAATCTCTTGAGTGCGCGCTCGCCTCCCTTCATGACGGCCTGCGCCGCTTTCGCCATCTCCTTGGACAGCTCTGGGTCGTCATCCTGGGCGGCTTCGGCGTTAGCGGCGGCCTCCTTTCCCCTCTCGACCACCTCCCGAAACGGCTCCAAGATCAAAACTTCAACGTCGATGGCCATATTAAGCCTGAACTGACAGCATTAGCCCGCATGCATGGGTGAGCAAGTGATGTGCGGGTGGTGTGCAATTGATGTGCAAGCTATGTTTGCAATCCCACCGCCGATCAAGTCCCCGCAGATCGCCCATGATGCGGATTAAGGGGACGTGAAAAGTGGGAATATAGACAGCGGCTGGGTGAGGCGAGAAACGTCATTTGAGGAACACGGAACAGGGGTGCTCTCTGTTTCCTCTGTTTCCTCAAGATATATCAACCAGCCAGTCGAGCACGTGGCCGATCTAACGAAGGCGCCAAGCCAGACCTGTGAGACCCGTGGGGGTGGGGGGTAGAAACTTGTGGGAACGGACTGCGGGAGGGCTGACGGCGCTATTGGATGGCTTGTACGAATCCGTAGCGACGTTTCCTTTTTATTCGTTAGGCTGGGCTTTCTGCACCGGGTTCCCCCTGCAGATCAAAAACGGGGACAGGGTTATGGGTGATATGCTCTGTAGCAACACCTCCTTTTTCGAAGACAAGCATACAATAGCCTCTTATGTGGCTAAAATTCTCAGCACCCTTGTCTTTGCGTTGTACACTATGTTTATCACTTGCCCAGCTTAGTATCTGGCGGATGAAAAGCTTATTGTTAGAATGAATGCATGTCCTGCTTCGGTGCATAGACATCAGCAAGCAACCCATCAACAACGCTCGCCCCCTCCCTCACATATCTGCAAGCTGCCGACTGATCCCTTCCTTGATTTCCAAGAACAAAGCATCAACGTCCCGCGTCGAGTCTATCAATGTGATTTCTTTTTCCTCCTCCAGCGGCTCTTGAATATCTGCTATCTTCTCTCCCATAATCCTCTCAGCCAATTTCGGCTCTTCCGCTCCTAAAATCCTCTCAGACAGCGTCTTTTTCGTAATGTGCATAGTGTCAAATATTGGTTTGATCGAGTGTGCCAGCATAACATCCCGAATGACGTCTCGAGCTGGCTTACGCATCGCATAGCAAGAGATGAGTGCCGGAGTCACGCGTCAACTCAGGAGTTGAGGCCTTCTCCGTTCTCTATGCCAGATTCCCAAGATGCATAGACAAAATACCCTTCCCAATTTCCTGCAGGATAGCTATCCCACCTCTCTAGGTAGAAGGAGGTAGAATCATCCCCCCACACGTCTCCCCTGCAACGCATGCAGTAGATTCCCCCCTGAACGGCAATCTCAGTTCCATATTTGTCTTCCTTACCTCGTAACACTCCTCACATACACATCCCTTTAGAACGAAGGCGGACTCCGACCTTCCCTTGAGACCCCGGACTGATCCTCACATGTCAGGGATGACCGTCGGGCTCCCCTCGGACGCGCAAGGCAAACTCGCCGGCAGAATACCCCACTGACCATCGCTCGCCAAGCTCCGATGCGACAACATGAACGCCAGGCCCCAACTCCCCGCCCAGAAACTCCACCAGCACCTCCGGGACATAGGCGCTGCGGTAACACGCGGGGAAATTGCTCCGGAAGACGACACGCTCCAGCCTCGGCAGACGGCGCAGCAGCGGCAGCAGCGTGTCGGCCTGGGCGTCGAGCCAGCGGTCCACGTCAGCGACGCGGACGGGCATGGCGTGCATCTCGAGGACCAGCTGACGCAGCTCTGAGGCACCGTCGAGCATCCGCGCCAGGTTGGCTCCCCAGCCCAGGTTGCCCCACTCGGCGTTGTGGCGCGAGTTGGTCATGACGACGAGCTTGTGCAGTCGCGAGAGGCGCAGCGGCGCGTGCCCCGACTTGGCTAGAATGAAGGAGCGCCGGCCTTTGTCAAAGCGGTGGTACCGCATGCTGAACATGGCGACAGCGGCCTCGCCGAAGACCAGGGGCGCGAGGTCGTCGTAGAGACGCTTGCAGGTGGTCATTAGATGCAGGAGGGTTGTCGCGGTCGCGGCCCCGTCTGAGGAGAGGTGGTGATCGTCGGAGAAGAAGAAAGGGTCGAAGTCGGGGGCCCAGACCTTGGCAATGATGAACTTGTCCCTGGCGAATTGCAGGTGGAGGCGGTATATCTGCTGGCGTAGTTCGGACGGGAGTCGAAAGAAGGGCGATTGCGTCTGCATATAGTCGACTCCTTGCCCTGCCTTGTCGTTGCCGCATGCAGGGCCGGACTGTCTCTCGACACCCTCCATTTTCGTCGACATTTCAATCTGTCAAATCCGATTTTCCAACTCAACGTTGATGTAATTATCGACTGTCAAGCGTTTCAACCGAAGGAGTGGGTGATGCAGGATGAGTCATGCTAAAGGATGGGCCGGCACCGGATTAACACCTAGGTACCTATGGTAGGTGCAACAGATCGCCATTACGCAGAAACCTCAAATCCAAGCTCCCAAAATTTTGTCTCTTTCCCTTCTCGCCCATCAAGGTCTACTGTATCCACAACGGTAAAACTATCAAATCGATTGCTGACAAAGTCCTCGCCCAAGAATACGACCCATTTGTCCCATGCTACCGACACCCCTAGCGAAGCTTGACATTTAGCTGAGTCTGCTATACACATCTAGCTCACTGCAGCCACAACTCTCCTAGAGATACGGCCGGTTTTCCATCGTTTCCCTCAATCTTTTGGGTCTTCGCATCGAACACAATCGCAAATAGACGAATCCAAGTATCGCCTCGGTTCGACAAACTGGACGATTGAGTGACATTAGCGTTAATACTGCTAAGTTATTGTGGCTGTCTAGATAATGAGTCATCAGACTTACGCATGCATTGCACCCCTCTGGATGACAACCTCGCCAGGGTGACAGACAGTCTCAACAGTCTCTGTATAACTGCCTCTGCCATCCTTAGCGTCAAACGAAGAGGCCGGCGTAATTAGAACGGGAGAGCCGGTTTGGACAATCAGGTAGTCGTTAGAAACTGTGCGATGCTAAAAATGGGCATGTCAGTTACGGGCAGGCAACACAGCCGCATAAGATAGGTGGAAAATCCCATAGCGTACCATAGGAGTAGTGTATCCCGGGGCCAGATCTAGGAAGTAAAGGTTCGCGCCGCCAGGCAGGACAACGCCTGCACCAGGAGCGGCAACTGTGGTATGGCTGGGTGAACAAACCAATCAGCAAGGGGGCTTAACTAGCATCTATGGCGGTCCCGTGATTCAACTCGGGGAATGCAAAGTGCAAGAACTCACGGTCCGTCGTTGGTCGCAGGGATTGTGATCGTCCCAATGTTGGCTCTTTTCATAACCCCTCCAAAGATCTCGTCAGCCTCGACAGCCTCTGTGACTACCTCGACCGCCGGTTCATTTCCACTGCCGTGTCCAGCAAGGTCTTTCGTAGCGTTGGATATGACGATCCGCCGGGGGGTGGGAAGGCTGTATGAAGACATATTGGCATGCAATGTGGTGAAATATCAACCAAGCAGTGTGGTTGTAAAGATCAACCACCATCGGAACCAGCGAACAGTCATGTGTGAACATTTATATACGTAATTATAGTCTGCAAGGGATTGAATCCTTCAAACCCACTGCCGATCACAAACCGATCACTGCTTGATAATCCATGTGTTGCTGTCGCCGTAAGCACTATATCTTCATGCTAGGCAGAAACCACGACCCAATGACTCGCTGTGCTTGGAAATCAAATTGTCGCGCCCCACAGCATGATTCGTTTGTGTGTGCCACCCTTCCCAAACATCAAAAATTATCTGCAACGCTCTAAACATAGCCGCTGTTTGCCAGTACTCGAGATTTTTGTCGACATTGTTCACACACCTTGAACGCGTGATTCTGGGATACTGGGACGAAAGATGACACCGCCCGTTACTACGTAGACCATAACTTTCAATATAACTGGACACATTATGCTCGCTGTGGAACTCGCTCGCCGCATAAGACCTCCCTGGTAAACAGGTCCAAATAATCCGTATTACGCCCTCGCAAACTCCACGGTCAACCCCGCACCGCCACCCCCCACCGCTCCATACTCTCGATACCAAACGTGATCTCAAGCATAGCCTGTCCAAACTCGTCGACCTCGTCGGGCCGCGCCTCGACAAACAGCCTCTGCGTCTGCGCGCGCGGCATGAACCACACGTCGACCTCGGCGCACAGGCCGGCCCACGCGAACGCCGACCCGGCCGCCCACACGCCGCGCCGCGTCGTGAACATGAGCCCGCCCGGGCACGGCGCCTGCCCGCGCTGCAGCGTCGTGTACACGGCCTCGACGCCGCTCGCCAGCAGCCACGTGCGCCGCACGCTCTCGGCCAGGATCCACGCGTGCCACAGCGCCTCCTCCTCCTCGCGGTCCACCACCGGCGCCAGGGATTGTCTGCTGTCCGCGCCGCCGCCGCCGGAGGAAATGCCGCACACCAGCAGGGCGCCCGTGCGCGCCGTGTGCGCGGCGCTGTCCAGCATCTGCCGGTTCCACAGCGCGAGGGTCGCCAACACCTGCTCGGCCTCGTGGCGGTGGCGGATGTCGCCGTCGAAGAGGCGGATGGTCTGGTAGATTAGCAGGGCCTGGACGCGGGCGACGTGCTCAAAGGTGTCGAGGTGCCGCTCGGGCGCCTCCTGGTCCGCCACCAGCTGGGCGGCCCGGTCGGAGATGATGCGCATGGCCGTGTCCTCGTTCGCCTGCGTCTTGGACAGGTAGCACAGAAGCGACGTGTAGGCGTCCTGCATGCAGCGCGGGAACCGAACCCGGTACAGGCGCGGGTGGATGAAGGGGTTGCCGCCCTGGGTGACCCATTGCGAGAGCCAGCTCTGTAGCGCGGCAATGAAGCGCTTCAGAGCTACGCTGTCGAAGGGGCCATGTTCTCTGCTGGGCAGGTGGTCGATGGACCACGTTTCTGGCGTCAGAAACCAGGCCTTGCGGAGGTCGCCTAGGGAGGGGGAGATGAGGAAAGGTGGGATCGCAATCACGTCGAGGGGTGCCGGTGCTGGTGCTGCTGCGGGGGGGATCGGGTCGCTCGCCGGATTAATACCTCCGGGCACGCATGCTGGACTGTCATATGTCATGGTTTGGGCGCTGACAAAGTCGTCCTCTTGGCTGAAGAGCATGAAACAGGTGGGTTTTGGTGCTGGGTACACACAGTCGAGCCCCTTGTGCCTGCATCTTTCGCAAGCCGGCACCTGCTTTCCGCACTTCCGTTTAGCCTTGGCACATCCATCGCATGCATTTGCTTTTATTGCGCATGCCATGGTCGGTCAGCCATGTTTCTGAGGGAAGCAAGAAGTGAATCTGGCAATCAGTTGGTCGGGCAGGGTTGATTTGTCATTTCCAGCCCTCTGAGGCATTGCGGGCCGATGGCGTGCTGTGCTGACAGGATTGCGGACGCTAACCCTTTTTGGTTAGTTGGCCGCAACAGCGGACACGGAGCGGAGCGGTGGGGTTGCATATGGCGGGACAAGGGCAGATTGGCACCGTCTAAACCGCCGCTTCGGGGCCGGCAAGCGCCCCTTGTTGCGGAAACCCATGTTTCTGTATCACCCGAACTGACAGTTTCTTTGTTCCGAGACTTGACAAATCAGCATTGCGCAATGGCTTCTCAAAGATGATTATGAAGGAACGATTATCAAGCAATATGAGCATCCGCAAACAAACATCGAGTTCTCCCTGTGCGAAAACGCGTGCAGGAGACGTATAAGAGTGTCGCCAGATTCCCAGATCTTGTTGTTTGGAAAGCTTCAAGTCTCGAACAAGTCTCCTTCTCCTCATCAGATAATCCACAGCCCACCCCCCTTCTTCAGACCAACACGGACAAAGACCCCAACAACTCTCATCCAAAATGTCGTCCCACCTCTCAGTCGCAACCGACGTGACCAAGGTCATCCACCGGACCGAATACGCCACCATCTCGCCCTCTCGCCCCGAGCTCAGCCAGGCCGGCAAGACGGTCCTCGTGACGGGCGGCTCGGCGGGCATCGGCTTCGCCATCGCGCAGGCCTTTGTCCGCGCCGCCGCCGCCACCGTCATCATCGTGGGCCGGCGCCGCGACGTGCTCGACAAGGCGCGCGCCGAGCTCGAGGCCCAGGCCGGGCAGCAGCAGACCGCCATCATCGCCGAGAACGTCGACGTGGTCGACCGCGCGGGCGTCAAGGCGCTGTGGGAGGGGCTCGCGGCTAGGGGCGTCGTCGTCGATGTGCTCGTGCTCAACTCGGCAAAGTTCACCGAGGCGGGGCCGCTCCTCGAGCTCGGCGTCGATGAGGTGTGGTCCCAATTCGAGGCTAATGTTCGCGGGCCGCTCGACTTTGCCGAGAGGTTCTACAAGCAGAAGGGGGACTCGACCAAGGTAAGAAAGCGACTTCGGATGGCAGGCAGCGTTGGATGGCGAGACGAGAATCTAACCCGGGATTTTGCACAGTTCCTCGTCAACGTGTCGACCCAGGCCATCAACCTCTTCTACGACTCGCAGCTCCCCGTCGCGGCCGAGAGACCGGCGTACAGCCTCACCAAGAACGCCGGCACGCTCACGGCCCAGCTGATCGCCAACGGCGCGTCGCCCGACAAGCTCCAGGTCGTGAGCTACCACCCCGGAGTCATCTATAGTAATGCGTGGAAGCTGGCCGGCGCCCCTGCGGATGCGCTGCCGTTCGATGATGGTGAGTTTTGCCCCTAGTTTTGTGTGTCTCGATGCTGCAGAGCCCAGATACACAAAGTGAAAAAATGAAACAAATACTGATTTGGCAATGCAGCAACTCTGCCGGGCGCGTTTGCGGTTTGGGCCGCCTCGAAGGAGGCCCGGTTCCTCCACGGTAGGTTCGTTTGGGCCTCGTGGGATGTCAATGAGCTGGCCACGGGGGAGATCAGGAAGCGGATTGATGAGGATGAGAACTACCTCAGGATCGGGGTCGTTGGTCTGAAAGGGTCTTTCAAGGCTTAGACGGCGTCCATTAGTCGCGCTTCGTCTGTCAGTTTTATTCATTCAGACCAGTATCCTTCGTACTTTGAGCTTCATCGTGGCGGACCTCTAAGCCACTTGCTATTTCTTGTCCTTGTCACTGTGGAAGCGGCCGCTGTTCCATTGATGTAACTTGGGCCGTCCGGCGCGATAGATGAGTCGGACTGACTGGCTCCGGATCAACTAGGAGCAGTGAAAAAGAAGACTTGTTATTGGATTGGCAACTCGGCCTCCTGATGCGTCCTGGATTTCCTGGAGTTGCGGTGCAGAATGGTGTAGCTCCCTTACCCCTCTAACGGCTTGCAGCTAGATGTCAGTAGAACGCTCTTGAGAACGGAGACTACTCCGGCCAGACGACGGGGGCCGGGAAATCACCAAAGCACTGGGTGTTGACTCGCGCACATTACCTCGGGTAGGATAGCAGAAAGCGGCGTTGTGTGCTGGAGAAACATGTTTGAAGGGCATAGCTTTTTCGACTGGATGAACTTGGTTGATCGGCCGGAACCATCTTCTCGGCTTCGTTTCCTACGCCCCTATCCAGTCGACCGGCAGGCCGTGTTTTAGACTTCACGGCACAATGCCGCTCGACGAGGAGCGGTGGCGTGAGATGGCCCATTAGTTTTGGTCGTGGGTACGAGCCCACCCGTGCCTACGAGGACGTATTGAGGGAAGACGCTGGATAATGGGGATGCAGACCGGGATACAGATGGGATGCAGAGGGGGTTGACATACAGCAATTGTATCAAGTGCCCTTGGCAAACGCTCCCCGCCCGCTGGCTACTCGGTCTCAGTCCCGGCTGGCCCGGGACAAGCCGCGCGGGGAATCCCGCAGATGCCATGCATATCATCGGAGTTCGGATGCAAGGGATGTCCACACTAGACCGAGGAGGCTTCAGGGAACCCAACCGATTGGTCAACCGGGACGGAAAGTAAACTCACTCTAAACAAGCATCGAGCTCTCATTGAATCAGAATTTGGCAATTACATGGTATCTAAGCACCCCGACACGCCACCGCCAAGAAGGATGCTACTTGATACCGACAAGAAACGTCGTGGTTTCGACATCCACAGCCAGGAAAAAGAAACGAAACAGAACCATTTCAGTGCGTCGCAACCTCCCTGATGCTGCTGCGATGGATCTTCGCGAGCCACGTCTTGGCCATGAAGGCGCGGATCTTCTTCCCCCAGAGCATGAAGATGATGAGCGACAGGTTGTTAGCCAGCACCAGCCCGCAGAAGACGCCGGCGATCATGACGGTGTAGCCGTGGCTGTTGATCCACTCGAGCAGGTTGATGCCCATGCCGAAGCTGATGGCCTGCTTGCCGAGGTTCATGGCGATGAGCATCTCGCTGATGTTTGCGTTGTAGCTGTCGATGGCGTAGGCCAGCGTGAAGGTGAAGTAGAAGTAGCTGGCGAACTGCGTCATCCCCACCCCAAAGAAGTACGCGACCCAGTGCAGCTTCTTCTCCGCCGCGAACCCGTACAGGATCAGCCCGGCGGGGGCGATCAGCATGGCCGGGAGCATCACACCTAGGCGCATCTCTGCCTCGCGCAGGCCGTCGTTCTTGCGCGTCAGGCGGGCGGCGAGGCGGTCGGACGACGTGGTGAAGGGGATTGCGAGCCCGTAGCCGATGATGGTCGAGATGGTCACCAGGCCGGAGCTGGTCTGGGACCAGTTGTAGGGCTCGGCGACGATGAGTTGAGGGAAGGTGAAGTTGAATGTCAGGGCGCCGAGGCCGATATAGATACCTAAGAAGGGGGAAGTAAGTAACTTGTGTGTGTGGGAGTAACACGGCACGGGTCAGCCGACTCGAACCGGGGAATCAATAACTTACCGTATGTGGTGATGACCCAGAAGACATGGGGGACGAGGAAGTACGAGAAAGCCCGGACCTGCATCATGAAGAAGGGCGAGTCCTTCTCCCATATGCCCCAGAACTTGAGTGTCTGGACGAAGGTCTTGCGCTTCGGGATGACGGAAGTCCGGACCTCGGAGGTCACGGCCGAAGGCTTGTCCTCGTCGTTGTCATTAATGGACCCGTCCGAGGAGGAATCCTGCGGCGTCTTGCGGTGGTAGGTGGACTCCTCGACGACGAAGAAGGCGAATACGAGAAGAGCCATGGCGAAAGCGAATTCGACGTAGAAGAAGAGACGCCACGAGTAGCCTCCGGCCAACATGTATCCGGCGAAGAGAGGGCCAGTGGCGCCGAAGCAGAGGCACACTGGGAGAGGGGTTAGCCACTGGTCGGTAAGTGATTGGGCGCAACCCCTATTCGACAATCGGTGCCTTACCTGTGTAGTAACCCAGGCGTGTTCCGCGCTCGTGCAGGAAGAAGATGTCGTTGACGAGCTGGACGGGCAGCGCCTCGCATACACCGGAGCCAAAGCCATGGATGACACGGGCAACCATAAGTCCGGCAAAGGAAGTAGCCTGGGAGGCTCCGATAAGACCAGCACAGTACTGAAGAAAGATCCCATGTCAGCATTGAACACTTCCTCCACTTCCAGGGTCGCACGTACGAAGACGAGGGAGCCGAGCATCACGGGCCGGCGGCCAATCTTGTGATACAACGGGACCAAGAAGAGGGATCCTAGAAGATCCGTTAGCACCCAGTCCGAAGTCGGAACGGCAGATCAGGCGTTATCGGAAACTCACCGAATCCGAAGGCAAGGTTGGGGTAGTTGATCAGGCCGCTGGCTTCGTTCGGCGTGACGCCAAATTCCTCAGCGTATATGCCAATGTAGACCGAGGGCCCGAGCAGGGCAGAGTTTCCGAGGAACGAGTACAGAGAACAGGTGATGAGAACAGCGAGCTTCCGAGCCTTTGGCCATTGTAGGGGGTCATTGGGATCTTCGGCCGGCACGGGGAACAGCGCCTGGCCGTATGCAGTGTCATCGCCCTCTGGAGAACGCAGATCGGTTAGCTTCTTGAAACATATTCCGTCTTCCCTGCCGCTGCTGCTGCGGCTGTTGTCGTCCTTGTCTGCGGGCGTTGAGGGGAAAAGGGGGCCACACAACTTACCGGCAGCTTTCAGGTAAACAGTTCCGGGAACATCTCCTTCGCGGGCATGACTGTCGAAGTGTAAGTGATTTTGTCCCTCCTTTCTTGCGACTTTGCTTTCTCCGAGCAGGCCAATTGGGCGGGTGCAATGCCTACCTGTGCACCAAGTGCGGCATCCCAGGTGGTGTTGCGTCTTCGCCCATCTTCGGTTTGGTTGTGTTTTGAGGGAGAGACCCGGTTCCTTCTGACACTCTTGGACTGGCGACAAATCCCGTTTCCGTTGTCGAGGCAGATGGACCGCCGTCTCAATAAGAGCAAAATGTTGGGAGGACGTGAGAATGCCAAGTTTGGGGAACTGGGTGCCAAGCTTTTACATAGACCCATGCTTCGATGGAACAGGCCTAACGCCTTCTCCAAGATATAATATCACCGTACACGTAGCAATTTCTCCCTCCCCTGGTTTCCCCATGGGCCATGGAGTTATCTGGTGGAGCCCCTCTATCAACACATTACTTTGCCTGAATCCCTCGGATTGATTCGATGTCAACATGCGGGGTTACACTGAGATCCTCGAGATCCCCCAATCAAGGGCCAAGTTTCGACTCCACCTGCTCGAGGGAGTCAATAAATTTAGGCACAGACAGTAGCAATAATCAGCCATTGCCGCCGATGCGAGTGCGGGGGTGGCGGTTGGTCTTGCCCTACAGAGCTGTCTTTGATCCGGCAGTTGTTTATCTCCGCCCACCTTTCCACTATTCCAGTGAAGGTTGATATCGCATGATCGCGGACAAGACAGACATGCCCTTGCGAGGGGTGCGCTGCCACGGTAGTCTACTGCAGTACACAGTTAGAGCCTCCTTTCACACGGACGTGACCCGAAGGGCCATGGACTGGCTTGGCACTCGCTCCAGCTTCCAATAAGATGACTAGAGATGGTCGATGGTCTGTTTTCCGGGGTAGCTTCCCCCGGAATTCGGATGACCCCGTGGAGATGACACCAGGCTAATGGATCTGTCAGCAGGGGCATCAATTTAAGCGTCCCCCTCGGCGCGCATTCTCTTCTCGCTGGCCAGGCTTGACGAACGGATAGCTGGGCCACCGTGTCTTGTCCCCTGGGTCTAGACCTTGCATTGCGTGCCTCTTATCTCGAGAGCAAGGGGGAGAGCTAAAGAGCGGCCGAGGAGGAGGTTAGGCTTGACGATGGCATTCTAGCTTGTTGTTGTTCAGAGGCAGAATCCCTTGCTCGAACCTCAATCCTCAATGCCAAATGCAATGGGGCAGAACATGCCCTTGTTAAAACCTTGCATTGTACATGCTATGGTAAGCTAACAATGAACTGCCGTCGCAATGAGCCGCCAACGCCAAACCTCTCGCCTCCACCCACGCACACGCCTCTTCCCCAAAGATGCAAACGCGCTAGGATTTCGGGCTTCGGCATTGGTGGCAGCTACATATGTGGCTCCGCAGCCCTCATCAGCCGACGCCTTCTCTCTTGTTTGTTGCACCTTGAAACAGACTCCACGTGGGTCCCCGGGGCTGGTCCAGCCAACAAAACGTCAAGGCAGACAATTACAAATGCGTGACTCAGGGGAATATGGAGTTGTAGACTGATCACGACCGTGCGATAGATACTCTCTATTATTCTCTACTTTCTGGGCCTCGCCCTAGGCATGCATTAGTCAATGACTTCATCGCTCCACGGCTGCATCCAACTTGCCTGCCATCTATCTGCCTACCGGTGAAGTTGAGAATAAGCCGAGATGGGATGGCCCATTCCTTGACTTGGATTCGGAGACAGTCTCCGGAAGATAGAAATCTCTCCCCTATCACTTTAACTGCGATAAACAGAAGCATCTCCCCAACAAACACTCCACATTCCCAGGGCTCAGATCTTGAGCAAACAAGCGAGAGTGACCACATGAGACTCACCCAGGCCTGGATTTCCCAACTCCAAGACGGCGACCATGCTATTTTGGACCCCCTTTGCCAAGAACCCAACCCCAGATCAAGTCAAGATTGCAGGGCATGAATACCACGCTAGGCCATTCCTGCTTCCCCGCATGCCTGCCTAGGTGCGCATACATGGCTAGCTCTGGGGAAGGTTTGCGGAATACATAACTCGCTCGCCAAGAACACCAGCTCGTGTCCCCTCTCGCTACGCTACTGGGCAACGACAAAGAGCCAGAACATATGATCTTGGTCCACGATGCCCCCTGCCTCTACCATTCTGCCTCGGTCCGTCCGGATACATGGCAAGGTTGGTTGAGCAAGGATGCCATGAAATCGATACGCCAACCGATTGGGGCAGACTCACCGCATATCTATTGATTTCCACGGACCTCAAGGGGGGCCCTGCACTGCCTGTGTCGAGAGACCCCGGAGTAGAGTCGCAGTGGGCGGTTCTCGTTCTTTAATTAGGTACCCACGCAGGCACCACCTGCATCCACGCGGTATGTATCATCGACTCACCTGTCGCCCATCTCCCGCTTCTGTGGGGTTGAGACATGTACGCATGTAGGTACGCCCACGTGGTTGACACATTCCCGCAGGCGCGACCTGGGATCCGATTAAGTCGGTGGTGGGATGTTCCGCCTCGCAAGGACATCACCAACGAGAGGATATCCCTGGGAGCCTGGCTAGAAAAGGAGGCCACACCAATGGGGCTGCTTGCCGGGCTCCCCACTCTTGGGGGCGGAATCCGTTCCGAGTTTGGGCTGATGGCTTTCGCTAGCGTCGTCGCACATCGGTTGTGGTCAAGGATATGCCCGGCTTGTTTCTTGGGAGCACAGCACGCGAGCGAGCCGTCGTCTTATTTTTAGGGGGGATGTTGGCGTGCAAGTATTGGCTTAAAGCCTAGCCCGTCAGTGAGGTCCTTACGAGAATTACGGAATGAATAAATGCAGAATCGGAATGATGACCAAGGTCGCCAAGGCAACAAGTGAATCCATCGAGGCCCGAGTCAGGACAAGGGGTGAACTACCTTATTCCCGAAGGCTATCTCCGAAGCCTAGGCCTGGGATCGCAGACATACATGCTCAATCGCCCTTGAGGGATGCGGGGATAGGTTAGCTGGCTGGGCAGCGAGCGAGGAGTAGACGCAGAGGCAGCACAATGTCAACCCCGGCCCCATTGCTCCAAATATTGTCTTTGTTCGCGTGACCGAGTTTCGCAGCAGCATTGCACGGGCGAGGAGGATCAGGAGGGGGGAAGTCGAGGGGGCGGCCGTGGCGGCTGGTTCCCGCCAACGGTGGAAGGTGGAACGGAAGTCGGCAGCTGGCAACGCTTGTTTGCGGCACACAGGCGGCAGAAAAGAGACGGGGTGGAACGATGGAAGCTTTCGATGGTCGGGAAGTAAATGATCTTATCTTGCCTGGTAAGCACTAAGCACGGCAAATCAATTTACGCAAATGAATTGCCTTCTGAAGATCGGATATGCTTGCCGAAAATGGCACCGGCAAGCCACAACAACAATGACAACAACAACAATGACAACCCAGCCCAGCCCCCACGCATACAAATCATCTTCATCGGGCTGGTAAACGTCTGGCTGGATACAGGGAAATAATGGCTCTGCGCGTCGAAGCCAACCGAGTCACATATTTACGATGGCACAAATGCATCGTGGTCAAACGGAGTATCTGGCAAGGGGTGATTACTCGATTGCTCTGCTCCTGATCCTCATCCGATCCCATGGTCCACGCACGTGGCCTTCTCTGCTGGAGACCACTGGTGACGCATTACTCCTAGGAGCTGCAGTTGCAAATTGAACCCCGAGGTAATTGATATGCCAGCTAATGCTTCAGACACAACATCCACCGTAGAAAACTCCCCTCGGAATAGACTCCTCAACCCCACCATTTCCTTATGAGAATCTTGGCCGACGCCCCAACCGCTCCCGCCGCAGCACCGATGGCCGCGCCCGCCGCCGTCCCTACGACGGGCAGGACGCTCCCCACCAGCGCCCCGACAGCCGCCCCGGCCGCCGCACCAGCCAGGACCCCGGTACCGGCCCCCGCGGCCGCGGCCCCCTGCTTTCCGAGGTGACCCTGCACCCACTGCGAGTTCTCCACCTTGTCGGCCACGTACCCTCCGACCCCGGCCCCCACAGCTGCGCCCCCGAGCGCTGCCCCCGCCACCACCGTCGCCGTCGCGCCCGCCACGGTCGCCGCGCTGGTGAGGGTGCCGGCCTTGACGGCCCCCGCCACGGCCGTGACGCCCAGGCCGGTGAGGCCGGAGCCCAGGTCGAGGCCGGACTGGACGCGGTCGCTGACCTTGCGCGTGGCGTCAGTGGCGGCGTAGGCCTGGAAGGGCGCGGCCACGACGGTCAGGCCGAAGGCGAGGGGCCCGAGGTACTTTGCGCCGGAGCCGAGGACCTTTGCGAGGCCGCCGGCCTTGTTGATCAGGGCCATGGCGCTGGCGTCGAGGCTCCGGCGCGCCGCCACCAGGGCCGGGTTGTCGGCGTGGACGATCAGGGCCTCGACCTGGCCGGCCTCCTGCAGGACGCCCTGGATCTTGCTCGTCATGGCGTTCCACCCGGCGGACCCCTCCTCCACGCCGCGGATCGTCACCGCCAGCTGCGTCTTGCCCCAGTCCTTGCCCAGCTCGGCCGCCACGTTGGCCGAGTGCTTGCTGAGCTGCGCCAGGATCTCGTCGGCGCCCTGGAAGGCCTGCTCCACGAGGCCCTCGGCCAGCGAGCCGTCCTCGGCGGCGTACTTGGCAAAGTCCATGAGCTTGTGCTCGAAAGCCCGCTTCATGCCCGGGAACATGAAGTCGATGAAGCTGGACCCCAGGCGGCCGCCCGTCTCGGCGCTGGGCATGTACTGCTCGAACTTTGCCGCCGCCTCCCCGACCGTGGCGCCCCCGGCCAGCAGCTGGTTCTGGAGCATCATGGCGAAGTCCATGGACGCCAGGCGCCCGTACACGCGCCACTCGCGCAGGCCCGACACCCATGACGGCAGGTTCTCGAACACGACCCAGTCGCGCGCCCGCTGCGTCATGGCCCCGACGCCCCAGCCGAGCGCCTCGGCCGGCGCCGCCGCTGCCGGGCCTGCTGCCTTGCCTCCCGGGTCCGCCAGCATGACAGGGTTGCCGTGCGAGTACTGGTACAGGTTGGGCCCGTCGGCGGCGCCGTCCGGGTCGGCCGACACGAACCTGCCGAGCCAGGCCGCGTAGTACCGCGCCCCGAAGTGGTACAGCCCCGTGTCGTCGCGCTCCTTACCCAGGAACCGGTACCGTTTGGGGATTTCCGTGTCACGGTACACGGCCCTCAGCGACGACACGCCGTAGGGGGTGTACTCCTCGTACGAGATGAGGTTCGCGTCCTCGTCCACCTCCACCGTCGCCGATCCCTGATTGTTGCCCAGCTGGTACCGGTACAGCACTCCGGGAGCCCGGCTGTCTCCGCCGACGGTGCGATTCTCGATCAGGAGCAGTCGACGGCCCGACTCGGCAATGCTGAGGCTGTGGACTTCCAGCGAGACATCCCCGGAGCCACTGTACCGCCGGAATACCTCAAACGCCCCACCGATATACACGGTCTCCTTGACGATGGCTGGTTCCCGCGGCTGATCATCACCACCGCCGCACCGCTCCGTCACCTTCCGCACCCGCTGCCCAGTCGCATCATATCGATAATACGTCCTCTCCCTCGCCTCCCCGCCCCTCCCAACAGTCTGCACCGACAAAGCCATCCTCTCCCCATAATCATACTCTATGCCCGGCAACCCCGGCATACCCGTCATGTTCCCCGTCTCCGCCTCAGGCGCATCATACCGGTACTCCTCCACCACCCTACCGACCCGCGTCCGACTGAGCCGATTCCCCACCTCCCCTGCTTCGACCCGACTCGCCTCGCAGTACTCATACCTCCTCGTCCACCCTCCCCCACCGCCAGCCGGGCTCGTGTGCCGCACACTCACCAAGTTGTTAGCCGCGTCGTAGACGTACCTCTCCACGTACCTCCCCACCGCCTTAGCGTCGTTGGCGTGGTCGGCCCGGCCCGCTGGCGACGGCGGCGGCGTGTGGTGCCCGATGCCCTGTATCTGGGTCTGGGCCTGCCCCACGTGCTCGCGCCCCGTCGCCTCGACGAGCCGGTAGATGGAGTCGTAGACGAACGACTGGCCGGCGTCGACGCGCTCGTTGCGGAAGAAGGTCGCCTGCCTCGCGGCGTCGGACACGTGCGTCAGGTTGCCGGCCGCGTCGTAGACGTAGCGCAGGTCTTGTAGGTGCTCTGTCTTTGTGCGGCTGCGTCTGCGGAGGCGGGGAGGAGGGGTGACTGTGCCGTTGTTTTCGCTGTCGGTGTCGCTGCTGCTGCTGCTGCTGCGGGTCCGGTGCCGGGTGGTCAGGATCCGGGATATTCGGAATGTCTCCTTGTCGTAGAAGGTTTGCGTCTGTACCCCGTTCCCCAGGATGACGCGCGCGCGCTGGCCCTTGGCGTCGTATTCCATGTCACGGATCACCTCGGTGGAGGTGCCGGTCCCGGTCACGGCCGTGGTGACGCTGTTCGCCAGGCCGCGCTCGTTGTAGCTGTACGTCGCGGTGGTGCCGTCGGGGAGGATCGTGCGAGTGGGCTTCCCCAGCGCATTGTAGAAGATCTTCTCATCGTAGGTCGCTGACTGGACTTCAGGCTGACCAGCCCAGTCTATGATCCCCTTGTAATCCTTAGCAAGCTGCCGACTGCTCCCCATCACATTCCCCCTAAAGTCGTAATCCGGAGTTCGCGTGATACCGCTCTGGTCAAACGCACGCACGATCCTCCCCCTCGCATTGCGCAGCTCGCCATCCGGCTCCGTCTCCCCATACACCGACCTCTCAACAAGGTACTCCCTCCCCCCCTGCTCAAGATACATCCCAACGATCCTCCCACCCCGATCATACTCCGTCCTAAACCTCTGCCCCCGCCCATTCCACGCAAGAATCGCCCTCCCAGCCCCATCCTTCAGCGCCCACCTCGTCCCCCCATCCATGCTAGTCTCGGCGATCACCACCCCACCAATAGCAAACACACTCCTCGCCGACGTCCGCCCCAGCGCATCCTCCATCCTGAAAGGCAGGCCCTGGACATCCAGAAACACGGGCTGGCGCAGCACCTCCTCCCCATCCCCGCCCGCCCGGCGGACGACCTCGAACCCGACGCACACGCGACCCAGCGCATCGAAGCAGCTCGTCGACGGCGTCCGCGCCGACACCGCCGCGGCCCCCGCCGCGGCCTCGCGGTGCAGCCGGCCGAGCCGCTGCTGGCGCGCGTACCAGGTGGGCAGGTAGTCGTGCGCGGGGAGGCGGCGGAACAGCGGGCCGACGTCCGGGTCGGCGGCCGGGTCGGGCTCGAGGACGGTGTCGTTGGCGTCCCAGTCGTCGGAGCCCCAGGGGTGGAAGGTGACTTTGGTCCAGGCGTGGTCCGGGGAGATGACGGCGACGGGGCGGGATAGGGCGTCGTAGAGGAGGGTGGAGGAGACGCCGTGGATGGCGCGCGATTGGAAGGTGGGTGTGGCGCTGAAGAAGGGCTCGAATTGTCGGATGGGTTTGTTCTTGTTGTTGAGGATTACCCATGAGCTGGTGAGCCACCGTTTTGTGACTTGGGGTTCGGGGTTCTTGTCTCCTTTTGGATCGTCGGCTTCGTCGTTCAGTGGAGTCAGCGGCCCCGGCTCGCACTGCAGCTTCGTCTGGATAGACCTCCCCGACCCGTCAGAGAACGAGATAGAGACAAACACCCGGCTGTCCGTCCCCGCCGGCAGATCGGAGAGGGTGGTTTCCCTCGTTAGCCCCGCCGTCCAGTTGGGCTGAGGGTGAGCGTGGTGCCTTGTCCGGTGATACGCAAAGAAGTCGTACACCGTCCGCGCCGTAGCCCCGCCCAGGAGCCGCTTGCCCACCTCGACGGGATTGCCGAAGAACTCTCGAGTCTCTGCGCCATCCAGCGACGGGTTAACTCCCTTCAGCGAATCTCCGAGGTCCTCCTCCGGCTTCCCCCTACTCGCCGAAGCAACGACATTACCCATGACATCGAACACAACCTCTGCGCAATTCCGGTTCGCATCCATGATCAAAAATGGCGCCAGCACCCTATAATCATACCCCGGCCGAACAAGCGGCCGCTCCGGATCCACATCCCTCTCCCCGACCGTCAGCCTATTCCCATACGGATCGCGCACCTCCTTCACCGCAAAGTCATACGCATCATACTCGTAGAACGACTCAGCCGGCCTATCCTCCCTATCAAACGGCGGCCGGCTCCGCCGCACAAGGAAGAAGTGCTCCCTCGCCATGCGGAGCTCCTCCGCGGCGCCGTCCCGCCGGTCGCCCGAGAAGAACGCCTCGCCCGACGGGGCCCACCACCCGGTCTCACCCGGCACCCGCACGTAGTTGCAGTCGTCCCCAAACACGCTTTGCAGCCGGTCGGCGGGGATCTTGCCTGCCTCGACGTAGCGCGCCGCCTGGTCGTCGGTGAATGCGAGCTGGAGGTTCTGGGAGGGGATGGCGAGTCGCTCGACGACGCCGATGGGGAGTGGGCCGGTGAGGTCGTCGCGCCGGTAGATGGCGCGGCTGTGCTTGAGGAGACGCCGGTGTGCGGCTGTGTTGGATGGATAGGGCCCTGCGAAGTTCTCGAAGGGGACGTCGAATTTGCCTGTGGAGAGAAGGATCGCGGTGTGGAGGGCTTCTTCGAAAGGCACCAGCCCTCCACCGTCCCCTCCCCGGTGCTGTTCTCGGCAGGCGGCGCCGATGTTGATGACCTCGTAGACGCGCGACTCGGCTGGTTTCGGGAGGAGATACGTCTCCACGTCGTCGAAGCTGTTGGTAGACGTCGCCTCGGACAGGACAGCGTAGGTATGTCTCTGCCGCTCCCTGTCCTCGTCGGTGAGTCTCGGATCGGGGTCTTCCAGGCGCCTGCCGTAGCTGATCGTCATGGACCGCAGCGGGTTTCCGTAGAAGTCGGTCTCCAGGACCAGGGTGTGCGCGATGCGCGGGTCGAAGCGCCCGCATGGGTATATCTTCCTGTCGTACACCACCTCGAGGGTCTCCTTGGGCCGCACGAAGAAGACGGCGTGGCGGTTCCGGCCGAGGGGCTGACGCTGCTCTAGCTGCATGTTGGCTTGCTTGACCGTGTAGGGGATGTCTTGCAGATTGGTTCCGTCGACGGCGTAGACCTCGGACCTGAGCACCGAGCCACGCAGGGCCCGGCACGCTTCCCTCCTCTCCTGATGGCTCGCTCTGTATGGGACGGAGCCGCGCTTGGTGATGATTGAGGATGGGAGTCCAGTCGATCCGAGGGTTGCGAAGGTATTGGCGGATACTCCGGATCCTCCGGTTTCAATCCAGTACGGGACGTCAGGGTACCGACTGGTGGCCTCCCCGTTGAGATATTCCCCGGTGTGGTACCAGGTCTTGGTCAAGACGGGCGGCATATTGGAGTGTTTGCTGATGTTGGAGTAACAGCCGTCGAGCTGTTCGAGACTCGAATACTTCTCCGTGTCCCACGTCTCAACCATGCCGAAACCACGGAATTCCCGTTCCGGCCCATCAAAGTACCCATCGTGGTAGGCATACCTAGTCGTGAATATGTTCTTACCAACCCGATCCACCGCCTCCGTCTTCTCGACGCACTGCACGGGGAACGGCAGGTGGGATGTCCACGGCCGGCCCGCTTTCTTGTCACGGGCAAAGAACTGCGTCGAGCTCTCGTACGTGACCCGCGTCTCCCAGCCCATGTTGTTGTCCATTCCGACGAGCAGGTACGGCTTACCGGCCTCCATCAGATCGAGGTACCGGATCTGGCGACCCGAGTCTCCAGGGAGAACGGATGACCAGACCAGACATCCTGTGCCGCGACCGAGCAGGTCTATAACCTGCACTTTCGTGGTGGCATCTATCCCCGGAAATCCCGTAATGGGAATCCCCCTGCTCCAGCCGTTCCCCGAGAGGTTCTGGTAGATCATTGGCGTCTCGTTGCCGAGATAGATGAGGTCCGTCGTGCCGGACCCGTCGACGTCGGCGAGCCGTAGGAAGGCCTGGTCGAACATGTCGGGACTGTCGAACTTGGGCGCACCAGACATGACGACCTTGGAGTCGAACCTCCCGTACCCGAGATTCGGCCAGTAGCAGACCTCGCAATGGCGGATGCGAACTAGATCGGCGAGCCCATCGCCCGTCATGTCGGCGGTGTAGATGGCCTCCACCCCGTCCCAGAACAGCAACCGAGAGCCGGAATAGGAGTCGTCCTCGAGCGGAGGGGGCGTGTGCAATGGCCCGCCAAACCCGCTGTCGCCCAGTCCCGTGTAAAACGTCAGCACCTGGTCCTGCAAGATGACAATATCTGCAATCCCATCCCCGGTCACGTCAATAAACTTGAGATTCTTATCATCCCAGGCAAGGTTAGGGAACGACTCAAAAGGGCGGAAGCCAGCCCACCCCGACTCCTCGTCCCAGTCGCGCGTGTAGAAGCCCGGCACGGCCCCGCCCATCTGCACGAGCTCGACCTTGCCGCCGCCCGAGAGATCCATCCACCGCTCGTTGCCGCCGCCGCTGCGGAACACGGCGGCCGGGTTCGTCGGCAGCGGCTCGGCGGGCCCGAACTCGCCGTTTCCCAGATTGGGCACGTACAGCAGGCTGCCGTCGATGCGGGTCACCACGCCGGGGAGGCCTTGGCCTTCTAGATCGACGAGCTCGTAGGTGTCGCTGAGGCCGGCGGGGAGGTTGGCTAGGGAGGATGAGTTTAGGACTCGGGAGTGCTTGGCTGGCTGTGCCATTGAGTAGGTGAAGTCGAGGGGCGGGAGGGACTGCCTCTTGTATCCTCCTTTTCCATCCCTCTGCCAATGCTCCTGGCTGACGGATTTGATGATGGTGGCGACGGAGAGCCCGGTGGACTCGTCGTGGCCGATTGACTCGTAGCCAATGTTGAAGGATGCGACGACGCAGTCCCGACCCACACCGGGCTCGTCAGGGAAGTGGTGGAACATGAGAACCCTTCTGCAGAGCCGGTAGGTTCGTATGTCGAAGCCCGACCGGCGTGAGGAGAAGGGGTCTGGGCGCGAGGGCCAGGGCCGGGATTCCTGGGCCGTAGGATGGTCGCTGTCGTGATCGCCGTAATCAAAGACAACCTCGAATAGCCAATGGTTGCGAGTTGCGAATGTTGGGTTAAGTCCCGATACAGAGTTTCCGTACTTGATCCGCTTGGGATACCGTGCCGCCGACCTACCTGTTACCGTCCTACGCTGTTCAGACAGGCAGTCGACGTCAATGCCGAGAGAATTCTCGGCTTTGTATTCGTACACAGTCTCGTTCCCCTTGTCGTCGTATGTCCTGCTGGGCAGCCACTCGAAGACGTGCGACGGATCCAGGGGATCAAAGACCCGGCAGTTGTCGCTGTCGCCAAAGATGGTGGTCACGTTGCTGTCCGTCTTTACTTCCCAGTGGGTGTCACAAGTCTCGGTATCGGTGATCCGCAGGATTCTTAGAAAGCCGCTCTCGATCCGGGGCTGATAACGAGCGACTCGCACCCATCTCCCCCCTTCCTCGCGAAACTCGACCTTCTTCTCCCCAAAGGTGCCATCCGCATTCACATCCAACACAGGCACAAGATCCTCGGTTCCCGCGAGAAGAAAGACGTCAGACTCATCCTCGTCCCGATACTGCGGGAGGCCCTTGTCCGTCTTCCGCACGATGGATTGGTTGGAGATCTGCCAGCCGAGCCCGAACGGACCGTTGCCGACACCGGAGTTGTACGACAGGCTGAGCTGCACTGAGCTCCCGCCCCGGCCGGGACTGGTCTTGATCGGGACCGAGAAGCTGCCCGTGCCGGTGGCCGGACTCACTGAGAAGCTTTCACCGATTCCCTTAATGGCACCACCGCCCTTGGGCAGAGACACGGATGGCAGGTTGTGAGGGCTCTGAGCGGTGTCGGGACCCGACTGCCCGGTGGTTGCTCCGCTGTTGTCGCGCTGGGTAGTCGCCTGGGGACCAACACTCTGCGATGTGCTGGACTGGGCTCCGTTCTGGCCGTCCTCGGGCCGTGTAAATGGATACATCGTCTCGGACGATTCCGTTCTTCTGGGGTTAAAAGGTCAGGGTGCACTCACCTTGAACTGCGATGGTTATTGTCGCCCGGTGATGCGCCAACCTGGGGAGCGCCCTACTAGTAGTTAGAAAGTAAGCAGGCACGTGTCTGAGGGCGTCAATGGGATAGGAAACAGTTCGGCAGCCTTGCTTTTGATCCCAATCTAGATGCAACGTTGGTAGAGGTGACCAAAACCACACCACCACTTTGCCATGGGTTTCACAAAACTTGCAGCTACATTCACGTTCTCGGTCTGGAAGTAAAGCTGGCCAGTAAGGACTCTCGAAGAGAGTAGGGGTTGTCAACCTGCGGCTGACCTTCTCACTACCTCCGACTGCCCACCTCTCAGCCGCAGGAGGGGAAGGCCAACTGACCTGCACAACAAGGCACCTCATTGGTAGACATGTTCCTACACCTGTTGCGAGAGGCGTTCGTTAGCGACTCCAAGGAACCACAAGACAAGCCATTCGACGTACCTCAACCAGCCAGATTTCACCCTCGTCGTATATCGGATATGGCAGCTCAGCCCTAAATCACATTCACATGATGTAGTGATTGCCTTCTTGTGTGCAGCAAAACATTGCCATCCATATTGAGTTCCCACCGGATAATCGAGGCACTGGTCTTGGAGTTCTTCTGATAAACCCGTCGTCTCTGTTCAGATTATCATTCCCTCTGGTTACTCGCTCATACGTACCTACTCCGTCTTTTTTTCTTCCAGCGTTGAGCATCGTCACTTGCTACTCTCCTTTACAATTGCCGCGGCCCAACATGTCGACTTCAGACTTCCTCATCGTCCGCATCATCCCCACCCAGCCCGTCGGGCCAACCGCCTTCAGGGCCGCGCTGCAGGGCATGACCATTATCGCGTGGGATAAGTGGGTTCGCGATGCCCAGAACGACAGGGAGCTAGGTAGGGCCACCGGGCTCGCCACAAGGCCGCAGAACGGGGTTCCTCTCTCAGACATCCCTCTGCTGGGCCTCTCCGGGACCCCGCCTGTGCTGCAGCAGACCATCATGCAGCACTTTGGTGTCCTGCCAAACAACCAATACCAGATGTACTCGGTGGCGACGGCCGTCATCGTAGTCAACCGGGCAGCACTGGACGGTCCCGACAAGGAATATCCCACGCCCACTTCGTACGATGTGAGACTGGAGTTGGGCGCCTCTGCGGGCCCGATTGCAGTTGTGAGCCGCCAAAAGATAGTAGACTTCAACATCAAGCCCGTCACGGCCACACTGTCCAAGAGCCAGCCTTTCTACATGAAGATAGCCACGGATGTATACCTTCCCGTCGACGTACCGGTATCTCCACTCCCTGCCGGCACCAACGTCGTCACCCCCAGTCGAGACGGGACGCCTCCGAGCTTCTCGGCCCTGAAGGACGCCATTAACTCGGTTCTCGCCAAGGACTCGCCCGACGGGGCATCGTCACTGGAGACCATGACAACCTACCTCAGCACAGCCCAGGCCCAGCAGATCGCAGCCGAGCTGATCAACAACAGACTCCTGGATCCAGCCCCCGTCGCCCCGTATCCCACCACGGACCTCGTAAACGGGAACCCAGGCACCATCTTCGAGGACATGTACACGATCGCCGACACAGGCGGCCAAGTCGAGCAATCCATCGACGAGGCGCGGACCAAATTCGAGGGCGAGCGATCCTCGTACTACGCCCTCCACACCTCCGACTCCCTCCAGCTAGCCAACTTCGTCTTCTCCGTCATCGCCGCCATCTACGCCGAGTTCTACACCTCCCAAGCCCCCCGCGCCGCCCTCGAGGTACCCATCAAATCCAACATCAACCACGTCTCCGCGATCAGCACCCCAACAATCTCCCTCTCGGGCCCCAACGGCGGCCCCCTAGACCCCCCCTTCACCGTCCCAGCAGCCTTCTTCTACGCCCTAACCACCACCTACGCCATCTCCCAAGACCCCAACACACGCCTCAACCTCCTCCTAACCACCCCCGCCTCCACCCTCACCAGCACCCTCTCCCTCGCCATCTCCGCCGGCGTCCTCGGCCCCGCCCCGATAACATGCACCAGCACCCTCCAAACCAGCGCCTCCACAACCCTGACGCCCGCGCAGGCGATCCGCCGCCTTTCCGCGCTGCAGGCATCCGCGCGCCCCGCCCCATCGCAGCAGGTCGTTGATCTCGGCGCCGTCGACGCCGACGTCCGCGGCCTGGTATCCGCGTGGCTGGGGTTCGCGGGCGCCGACGCAGACGTCGCCGAACAGGTGTGGTTCCCCGCGGCGCGGGCGCGGGCGTACCTTGCGGCGGTGCTGGAGGTCGTGGCGCCGGGGGACGAGGCGCTGATTGGGGAGGTGCTGGTTGATCTTCGGATGCCGCCTGGGGCCGGGGGGACGACGGGGTTGGGGGGTGTGGTGCAGGATGTGGATGATTTGCTGCTGGTCACGGAGACGCAGTGGTTGGAGTTTTTTACGCGGCATGGGGAGTTGTTGCCTAGGCAGTACTTGCTTGGCGATCTGGCGAGTCGGGTGCATTCGTTTGTGCAGGATGTGACGAAGGTGCTGTTTGTCTTGCCGCCGCCGCAGGGTGCTCCGGGCCCGGCTAGCCAACCGGCTATTCCGAGTCTGGGTGGTGCCTCGGACGGGGATGTTCTGGTGCTGTTCTTTAGTAGTTACGGTAGCTTCTCACTCTCGGACACGCTGGACGAGGCTAAGCTCGAGGACATCAAGGCGGCGGCGCTTCAGCTGTTCGGAGGGGACGAAGGCGTCGCAGCTTTTGTTGCTTCCGCCGTCTACGAGCTGTGGGTTCTCTATCAGCTTACGGACTTGAAAGGTAGGTGCTAAACTGATAAATTAGTGCTGCCCGAGTCTACTGTCAATCCGGACAGAGTCTCTAACTGTCATCACAGACTCCCAGGATCCGAGCAAGCCAATCGACAACTCGCTCAGATTCTCATACATGGAAGCCCTCCACTCGAGGGGCTTTACCAGCGCAGACAAGGTACGAGTCATCGCCCGGTCGCTCTTCCCCAGCGCCCTGTCTGGAACGGTCGCCTTCCCCCGAGCCGAGGAGATTCACGACAAGGCGATGGACCTTCCCTCCGATCCTGACTCCGATTCCGGCGACTACGGCCCAGAGCCGGGCCAGGTGTTCAAGCCCATTAATCCGGGAAACCTGGTGAACTGCGAGCCGCCCTGCCATCTCTCCCCGTTCGGCCCAGTGCAGTACCTCAACCACCTGCTCTCCCTCTCATCCGGCACCCAGACACTCGGCGGCGTGCTGGCGAGTCGGCGAGGGCCGCTTGCGAGCCTGCTCGTCACGGACGCGAATCTCAACACTCCAGTCCCCGTCATCGACCTCGTCAACGAGAGTCTCGAGGCACTAGCAGCCGATCCCCAAGCTGGGCACGGTGCTGTCTACAACACCGCCGACAGCGGCCTCTCGGAGCTGGACATCGCTGGGACCCCACCACTGGTCATCGCCCCCACGCTGACAGCGCAGGACATCGTGAGGGCCCTACCACAGCACTCAGCACCGCACCTACCGCTAGACCAGCCCACCGTCTACGACGCCCTCAAGACCTCGGTGGCCGGGCCGAACCTACCCTACGCGCAGGGCCTAGACTTCTCGCGCACCTACCTGGAACCCCTGGGCACGTCGCGCTTCGAGGTGCTGCGCACCTTCCGGCGGGACATCACCGAGCTCGCGCAGGACGCCGCGGGCGAGCCCGACTCGTTCCAGCGGGAGCTGTGGCGCCTGCCGGTGCGGTACGAGGCGGCGCTCGAGTACCTGGGCGTCTCGCCGGACGAGGCGACCGTGATCTACGGCGGCGACATGGCCGCGTCGACGGCGATGCAGCTGCTGGGGCTGCGGGACGCCGACGCCGACACCGCTGCCAACCTGCTGCAGGTGGCCGTGTTCGTCCGCGTCGCCGGCATCACGTACTGCGAGTTCCTCGAGCTGCATCGCAGTCGCTTGGTCAATTTCGGGCCGGCTGGCGGCGGGGAGTTCCCCGAGTGCATGCCCTGCTGCCCTGACAAGGTGGTCATGTCGTTTCCCGGGGAGAGGTCCGCCGCCGCCGAGATCCTCAAGCTCGTTATCTTCGTCCGGCTCTGGCGGAGTGTCACCGGGGTCGGCGGGCTGCCTATCTCGATGAAGATCCTGGCGGATATCTGCGAGGTGCTCGGCCTGTTCACGGACAGGAACGTCAACCCGGGGTTCCTGCGCCAGCTCGCCTCGCTGCTGATGCTTCAGCAGATCTGGGACCTGCCCTGGACAAGCCCTACCCTGGCTGACCCATCAGCCGACCAGCCAGATCAGCGCACCACCCTCCTAGCCATATGGGCCGGACACGGGATAGGCACGGACGAGTTCAAGTGGGCAGTCGAGGCGCTCCTCCACGGCATCGAGAAGCACAGCATCCACAAATACGAGTGTCCGAAGCGGCCAGCGTCGTGGCACAAGCTGATAGCCGCGAACCTCGACGCGCTGGCTACACTGGCGGGGTTCGACGCGGCCCACACGTGGTACTCGAAGCCGACCTGCACGATCCGTTTCGTCGAGGTCCTGGCCAAGCTGTACGTGTCGTCCTTCACCGTCGGCGAGATCCTGTTCCTGTTCACGACGCGAGACCACCTCCGGTCCGACGACCCGTTCCCCTTCACCGAAGCAGACGAGTCGTACGACGACCCGCTGAACGTCCCCGAGGACGACGAAGAAACCGGGCTCTGGGCGCTGCGCCGCAAGCTGCTGGATGTCGACGTCGAGGTCTGCGACGAAGACGCCGAGCTCTGGACCTGGCCCGCGATAGACGCCGCCCTCCACGAGATGGGGTACCGGCCACACGGGGAGGAATACTCGCTAGCCTACTTGGCAGAGCACTTCTTCCCCGAGATCCTGCAGGAGCACGGCCACCACGTCCCGGCAGACAAGCGCCGCTTCACCGCGCCCATCTCGGGCCCCACCTCGGCGCAGATCTGGCAACCCGCCAACAGCTGCTCGCCCTTCCACTATGTCGCGGCCCTCGACTCCCGCGAGTCCCCCGCCACCTTGTGGGCCCAGCTCCCGCTGCGCGACGGCGACGTCCTGCACACGCTGCGCGACCTCCGCCAGCTGACCGGGCCCGAGGCCTCGGCGGTCAGGGAGGTGTATCTGAAGCCGCGGGCCGCGCTCGCGCCGTTCGCGCTGCTGTTCTCCAACTTCGACCACGCGGCGGGGGCTCTAATCCAGGAGCCGTGCGTGCGCAAGCGGTTCGCCTTCTTCCGGCGCGAGTTTGCAAAGTTCCACCGGCGGTGCGGGATCATCGCCCGGCATATCCACGACGCCGTGTCCTCGGCGGCCGAGATGGACAGCGAGGAGTGCCGGCGCGCGGAGGACTACAGGAAGCACGGGGCACAGGTGGCCCGGCGCATCCTCCTGAGCCTCGTCGCGGACGAGAACAGGCCCGCGTCGCCGTGGGAGGCTGCCGACGACAGCGGGGCTGACCCGGCCCCGACGGACTTTGCGTGGGACCCCTGGTTTTCCGGCGGGGCGTTTGCGGCGCTGCTGGGGCTGGCCGGCACTGGGATCGAGGGCGTGTACGAAGTCTCGCAGGGAAACACCGTCTGGAAGGAGGTGCGGGGCGGACTAGCCGGGTGGGGGGGGGAGTGTGACGAGTGGAACACGCCCGTGCCGACGGTGCTGCCGAGGCTGACGATTGCCCCGTCTGATGACCAGAGCACGCTCGTCTCCTTCAAGAACGGCTTCACTCTTTCCCAGGCGTCGGGGAATGAGATATCCGGCGCCGAACCCTTCGAGGGCGTGTGGAAGGGGGTCCTGCTGGTCGAGAGGGCGGGCTGTTACCGCTTTGCTTTTACGTGTCCCGTTAATGCGGGCGAGCATAGCCACCACGACCACGACCACCACAACCACCATCGCCACCACTGCGAGGGCCCCCACCAGTGGAGTGTCAAGATAGAACGTGGCCAGAAGAAATGGACTCTCCTCAACCGTGGGATCGACAAGAACGATGAGGACGTTTCGGAGAGCCACTCCAGGCAGGTCCCGCTCCGCCACGGCGCCTACGACATCACCGTCGTCTTCCGGCAGCCAGAGCCGGACTTTGACGACGACGAAGACCTCCGCAAGCTACACACCGGCTTCCGGCTGTCATATACGGGCCCCGACACGCACGACTGCCCCGTCGAAGTCCCGCTCAAGGCGCTCTATATCAAGAGCAAGGACGGACCACTGTGGACCGGAGAGGAGGTGCCCAGGGTGATTGTCGAGGTCCTCAACCTGAGGTACATCCCGACCCTGCGAGATGTCCGGCGGACATACCAGCGGGCCTTCAAGGCAGTTCTGTTCGCGCACCGGTTCCGGCTGTCGGCCATACCAACCCATTGCGAGAGGGAGTCGGAGCTCGGATACCTGCTGAGCCACCCCGACGACTTCCGCGGCACGTCCTACTACTGGGACGGCCTGTCACCGCCGACGGTCAAGACCCACTACGCCAACTTGGACTTCAACTTCCTGCCCGTCACCGACGCCTACCTCCCGCCCTCGGCGACCACAGACCAGCGAGTCCAACCCTCATCCCAGCGCCAGGCCGCCATGTTCGACTGGTTCGAGCGCATCTTCGACTACACCACGCTGCGTCACGAGGTGCGGACGAAATGCGAGCCCCCGCTCTGGCTTCTCTTCCACCACGCCAGCTCAGACTCCCCCCAGCGCGCCGACCAGCTCCTCCGCTTCCTGGCCATCGAGATCCACCTCGCGCCCCTCGCCCTCGAATACTCCGCCACACCAGACAACCTCTTCGACATCAGCGCCGACGCGGGCAACCTCGCCGACGAGCGCTGGGCGGTCCGGGTCTGGAAATCCGGGCGCTGGCTCGACCGCGTCCGCCAGCACTTCTACGCGCCCACCACGGAACTGGCGCTCAGCCGCCCCGCGTTATGGGCCACGACGCCGGACCCGAACGCGCCTGTCGTCACCAGCACGACGCCGCCGACAAGCGGGAACATCAACCTCGCGCGCCTCGTCCAGCGCTCCAGCCTCTCCACAACGGCCGCGGCCCCGCGCCCGCGCCTGATCGCGCGCCTCAGCGACGGGCTGCGGGTGCGCGCACGCGCCGCCCTGCTGGCGTACCTGGCCCGACCGGTCGGCGAAGTGTCGGACCATCTCTTACTAGACGTCGACGCGGGGATCGGCGAGGCAGCGACGCGCGTCGACGACGGGGTGGCGGCGGCGCAGCGGTTCGTGCAGAGGGCTGTGCTCGGGCTGGAGCCGGAGTTCCCCGTGGGCGAGGAGTTGCTGCGGAGGTGGGAGGGGTGCGGGTTGGGGTCGTTTGAAGGGTGGAGGGCGGGGCGGCGGAGGGAGTGGTATCGTGAGAATTGGTTGCTGTGGGAGGAGGCGGGGCGGGCGGGCCAGAGCGAGGGGGGCCGGAGCTTGGAGTTGGGGATGCAGTCTGGGGTGACGACTGTTGCGACGCTGGCGAGGGACTTGACGTGGGGGGCCGCTGCTGTCGTGCCAAGACAGCCGGGAAAGCGTTCTGTCTCGGGATACCAGGGGTTCGTCTTGGGGGAGCAACGTCAGGCTTTGGATGAAGGGCTTGGGTTGATGGGAACGCCAGATCACAGCGCTAGGCCGACCTGGTTGACACCACTCAAGGCACTGGCCGATGCTCCTTCTTCAGGGAGTGGAGGAGGGGGCGACGATGATGGCGGAGGAATCAGCCTGAAAGAGGCGATGGTCCTGACACCCAACTCCGTGGAACCCCCATTCCCCGCAGCTGCCTCCCTCCAGTCGATTCCGCTCTGGATCCAGGCCGCTCTCCGACTGGGCACGAGATTCATCCGCGTCGCCGCGTCGAACGTGCCCATCGCGGCGCCGTACGGACACCCTCACAAGGAGGTTTCGACCTGTGGGCAGTGCGGCAAGGAGCACGCGCCCGTCATCGACGAGTACTACTTCTGGCTGCAGGACTCGCGGCGCTTCGACCCCACCGACGCCCCCGCCCCGCAGAACGCCGACGCGCACAACAACGTGCCCGGCGTGGACCAGACGCTGGACCCGAACCAGTCGCAGATCGACCCGCGCACCATCCAGGCGGACCCGACGTCAGATTGGGACGCCCCAACGGCCAAGATGCTGTTCTGGAAGTCGGAGCCGGCGGTGCACCTGCACTGGACGAGGGTGCACATGGGCGTGCTGCAAGACCCGCGGCGGTCGACCGAGGCCATCCCGCTGGTCGACGCGGACCTGTCCAGCCTGTACCTGGACCTGCGCGGCAGGGCCGTCGACTCTCTGCTCTTCAACGTCAAGAAGGGCGATTCCACCACGGGGTTCCGCTACGACATCGCCACCGACACCGCGGTGCCCGTTCCCGAAGCCGTCGAGAGAGACCCGCCGCCGCCGCTGCCCCTACCGGCGACGCTCGCCGACGCCCTCGCCGCGTTCCCGTACTTCCTCTACTTCGACGCCGGCGCGCCGCTCGTGCCGACGGGGACGTTCGGGACGAGCTTGCTAATCGCGTCCTCGCTGCGCGCCGATTGCCACTACCAGGCTTCCACGAGCTGGCTGAGGCTCGCGTACGACCCCCTGTCCAGAGACAACAGCTGGGCGCCGTGTCCTGATAGTGAAGCCGCCAGAGAGGCGGTATTACCAGCCAACCCCGATTCCGCCTCCACGGACCTGTTCTCCAGCAACTCCAGTCTCAGTCATGCTCTCGCGGCAACAGAGACAGTAGACGTAAATGACACAGTCGTCGCCGTCGCCGTCACCGAACGGTCTCGATTCCCCCAAGACGGGACATGCTGCGACACAGCCCCCGCCAAAGCAGGCAGGGCCAGGAGCAGGGCCGTGGCGCTCGAATACCTCGAGACGCTCCTCCTCTGGTCGGAGGGGCTGCTGTGCCGCAACTCGCTCGAGGCCGACCAGCAGGCCCTGACGCTGCTGACCGTCGCCGCCAGGGTCCTGGGCCCGCGGCCGAAGCAAGTCGACGCCGCCGACCTGACGGGCGGGACCATGACGGTGGCGACCTTCCAGGCGTCGTCGCCCGCGCTGAACCCGAGGCTCGTGGGCCTGTACGACGCCGTCGCGCACCGCCTCGCCGCGATCCGGAGCTCCGTGAATAGGCGGGGGCTGCCGGGGGGCGCGCTCGACAAGGACAGGGCGGTCTGGGGGTCTCACAGGAGGTTCGACCTCGGGGACCACCACGGCGGCCTGAGCGACGAGTGTGGCACGTCGTCGTGCGTGTACTCGTGCTGCCAGCCGTACCGCTTCAGCGCGATCCTGCCCAAGGCCAACGAGTGGGTGGCCATAACCAAGTCAACGGGTGCGGCGCTGCTCTCTGCGTTCGAGCGGGCCGACGGCGAGGCTCTATCGGCACTCCGGACGGCGCAGGAGCGGCAGGTGACGGAGCTGGGGCTCGATGTGTCCAAGAACCAGTACCGTGCCGCCGACTGGGACGTGCAGGCGCTGGACAAGCAGATGGCGGGAGCGGTGGCACGGCTGCAGTACTACCAGCGGCTGATCCAGGACGGGCTCATCGCCAACGAGATGGGCTACGTGTTCGGCACGACGGCGTCCATGGCCAGCCGCACGAGCGCCACCATCTCCGAGGGCGTGGGCCAGGGCATGGCGTCGGTGCCGGACATGTGGATGGGCATCGCCGGCACCATGGGCAGCCCGCTGCAGTTCCAGCAGATGCCCATGGGCAACAAGATGGGTGCGGGCTTCGCCGCCGCCGCCCGCATCCTCAACACCGTCGCCGACATCGCGGGGTCGGGCGCCGGCCTGCACGCCACCCAGGGCGGCTGGGACCGCCGCGAGCAGGAGTGGCAGCACGAGTGCGACGCCCTCGTCTACGAGATCCAGCAGATCAAGCGCCAGCGCCTGGCTGCCCGGCGCAGGCTCGACGTCTCGCTGGCCGAGATCAACATCACCCAGCGGCGCATCGAGCACTCGGCCGAGGTCCAGGACTTCACACGCGACAAGCTTACGAAACACGAGCTGTGGCTATACCTCGCGCAGGAGAACGCCGCTCTCTACAGACAGACCTACGACGCCGCCGCCCGGGCCGCCCGCGAGGCCCAGCAGGCGGCGCGCTACGAGCTCGGCGACGCGGAACTGGACTTCATCCCTTCCGCCGCGGGCGCCTGGGACAGCCTGCACGAGGGCCTGCTAGCGGGAGAGAAGCTGGAACTCGGGCTACGATCGATGGAGCGGGCGTACATGAGCCGCAACTGCCGCGAGTACGAGCTGACCAAGCACATCTCGCTGCGGCTGCACTTCCCGGCGGCCTTTGTGCTGCTCAAGTCGACGGGCCGCTGCGAGGTCGACGTGCCCGAGTGGCTGTTCGACCTCGACTACCCGGGCCACTACATGCGCCGCATCAGGAACGTGTCGCTGACCATCCCCTGCGTCGCGGGGCCCTACACCGGCATCCACTGCCGCCTGCAGCAGCTGAGCAGCTCGATCCGCGTGCGCCCTACGGTGGCGCCGTCGGGCCACTGCGCCTGCTGCGAGGAGGAGCAAAAGCAGGGTACCACCAAGGCCCCCCGGCGCTGCACCCACGACGCCAACCTAGCCACGCGCTTCGCCGGCACCGAGGCAATCGCCACGTCGAGCGGGCAGGGCGACGCGGGGCTCTTCGAGGTCAGCTTCAGCGACCCGCGGTACCTACCGTTCGAGTACACGGGCGCCGTCTCGCGCTGGCGCATCGACCTCCCGCCCGAGAACAACCAATTCGACCTCGACAGCCTGAGCGACCTGGTCATGCACGTCAACTTCACGGCGCGCGAGGGCGGGCCCGACCTCCGGCGCGCCCGCCACGCCGTCGCGCAGGCCCACCTGCCCGCCGATGGCCTGCGGTTCTTCGATCTGCGGCACGAGATGCCCGAGGCGTGGGCTGTCCTGAGGCGCGACGATGGCGGCGGGAAGGATGTTGACCATCACCGCCGCCACGAGAGTCGCGCCGGAGAACAGCACAGACGCCCCCACCACAGACACCACCCCGGGCGCGCCTTCCGGCTCGCGCTCTCGCGCCAGATGTTCCCGTTCATGACCTCGCGGCGTCGCATCGCCGTCGTCGCTGTCGACGTCTTGCTCGATGTCCGTGACGATGTGCCTGTGTTCCAGATGCGGTTCACGCCCGCGGAAGGGGCTCATTGTCCCGACACGGAGGTGGTGCCGTTTGTGCGCACCGCTGGGGGGATTTGGAGGGGCGGGTTGGAGCTCGCGCGGCCGGTGCCGTTGCCGGAGCGGGGAGGGAGGGAGGCTGGAGCGGGTGGGGAGGGCGTGCTGGGAACGTTCGAGGTGCCGGCCGGGGTAAGGGGTGTGACGGGGGCTTGGGTGCTGTGTCGGTATGAGGTGGTCAAGGAGTAGAGCTCTCGCTTGGCTGGGTTTTGGGAGGAGTCGTGCTTGTTGTTTGTTTCTCGAACTTGCCCTCCGGACCAGGAAGCTATGCCAGTTACCTAGTGGGGGAATAATGGGTTAGCAATTGGTATTCACATCTGATAGCATGCGACAGCCTGTATTCCTCCAGCAAACCATGACGTGTCTGTAGAAGCAACGGCGTAAAAGTGTGGAATGATGTCAATTGATTGTCCAGATTGTCAGAGTGATTCTTCTCGATAGCCATCCTGGCTGCAAATTCCGTGCCTCGCTCGGATGGCACAATCCGCATGCTATTCTTCAAGCAAACCGCACTTGGAAGCGTGATCTTCCGCGGAAGTGCATTTGCGATTAGATAAAGTGGGTCAGGTCCTCTCTGACAGGCAATTGATCTCGTGACCTTGGTACCGAGGCATGCGAGGTGCTTCTGACGAGAGAGCCAGTTCCAGATTTCCCTGGAATCGAATCCACACTCAGCGGGATAATTTGACCGAGCGATACGATTGGCTCATGCGCCGGTCACATCTCTTCAGGGCTGCATTCGTCCAAGTGTCGCATGCTAGTGCTACCTGGGTTGTATGTACCAACAAGACCCTTCCTGTCCCCTCCTATGAAACAAGGGGACCAATGGCGCCCATTCGGCCCCCAATTGCGGAGCAATAAATTTGTCACGCCGTCGAGGACCAGAACGGCCCAATGTCAGGATCGCAAGGAAAGCAAACAGGGAGGAGGAGTGCGAAGCTATGCCACTCGCGGTATTTTACCTCCCTTCAGAGGTTTAGAAATCAGCCGTTGATGTCAGGTATGAATGTGAAAACGAGGAAAGGCAGCATCATCGTTGTCGGTCTGTGCCTTCAGCCTTGAAGATCACCTCATTGCCGGGACGGGCGGAATTGGTTCCTGGGTGCCTTTATTATTATTAGGGTGTGTGGAGACTGGCTCAATTACGGGCAATGTAAGCCTTGCGCAGGGGCCAAGGACGCAGCCAAGTCTCGCCCTCGCTCAATTTCGAAGGCTAGCATCCTCCCAACGATGCAGCCATTCATTTTGTTTGCGAGGGTGGGGCAGGCCAGGCAGACATCAATTTTACTCATTTATCACCGCAATAGGGTGACAGAACCCGGCACTACTGCTTCAATATGGAGGTCCACAGTCCAAGTGAAGAAACAGAAGGTGGTACTTTTTCCGCCCCCAGGTCTGTGCGCAAAGGGGTATCCGGCACGTCTTGAGCCCCCCCTGTAACCCGTTTCTAACGTCTCGGTCGCCCTGCCTTCCCCCTTGACTGCCTATTTTCCTAAGCCTGAAATGGCCCGAAGGATTCACAATATTGGCCCAGATTTGGGGGCGACACAGGACTGTGCCGCACAGTAACCAGTATACATATGGAGTGGAAACCCCGGATCGACGCTGATCGACACACACTCACGATAATTAATTCGGACATTTCGTTGTTTTTGTTGTTGTTGTTGCTCCTCTGGGCGCCCGACACATGCTTTCAATCTTTTGCTTTTGCTTTTGCCTTGGCTTTGGCTTCGCTGCCAACGTTGCGCCCCAGCATCCTTGCGCTGCTGACGATGACTTCAATTTCGCATCAGTCGTTGCCCGCGACTTGCTCCTCATGAATGACACTTCCGCGCCTTCTGCTCCAGACTTCTATGCTCGCATATTACCCTTGGGCGCATCCATCGTCTACGGGTACGACTCCATCAGCGGCAATGGGTGAGTTATTATTCCATTCCTGGAGCGCAATGACCAACGGCTGACCCTGCGCCACCTTAGATTCCGCAAGCCACTCAGGGATTCCCTGGCTCAGGCCTCATGGAAAGTCAACATGGTGGGCTCCAAGAAGGCGGGCAGCATGCCTGACAATGTATGCCAACTCTCATGATCTTGGCCACGAGACGCCTACCTAGTCTCTCCTCTCCTATCCTGCCCCCAGACCATCAAGTAACGAACTTCTCCCTCCTCGCAGAATGTGGAAGCCCATCCAGGCGACGTCATCGATGATGTCTACAATGCTGCAGGGTTGTCTATCCGGTACCAACCCAACATTGTCCTCATCCACGCCGGCACCAACGATGCCATCCAGGACCTTGACATCTTGAACGCCGGCAAGAGGATGGGCCACCTGCTGGACCGGCTCTACTCGGAGATCCCCGGCGTGACCGTGGTCCTGTCCACCCTTCTCCCGGCCAAGAACATCAACCGCAACGCCGCCGTCAACGGCCCGACCATCAACGCCCAGCTGCGCGACCTCGTGTGCGCACGCCGCAGCAGCGGCCAGAAGATCGTGCTGGCCGACATGCAGCCGCCGAACATGACGCTCATCACCGTCGACAACAGCGGCGGCACGGGCGGCGACATCGACGACGACATCCACCCCAACGACGGCGGCCACAAGAAGATGGCCGCCGTCTGGCTGCGCGCCATCAATATCGCCCAGCGGAGGGGCTTCCTCACCCCGCCCAAGGACACCCCCGCCGTCAACGACGACGACGCCAGCGCCGCCAGCACCTGCGGGGGGTGGCTGACATGGGGCCACGGGCCTGGGAAGTCTGGGGGGTCCTGCTGGCTGGTCTGGCTATACATGGCCGTCTTTACTTTCCTGTTCTTGGATTTCTTTGCTTCTTCCTTCTCGGAGCTCCCTTCCCTGCCAGAGATTCCTTCTTTGCCAGAGCTCCCCTCTCTACCCGAGCTTCCTGCCCTATCTGAACTTCCTTCTCTATCAGAGCTCCCGTCATTACCTGAGCTTCCCTCATCATCGGGCCAGCCACGCATACATCGAGCGATGCGTTCAGTTAGCCAGAAATATAGTTAGCATTGCATGCGCTGCGTTTGCCCGGTTTCACGTGTTTGGCTTCGTTTTCTTCCACTACGTGACAGGCCTGGAACCCAATCTGATTGTCAGAAATGAGGTTACTTCACTCCTGACTTGCCAAGGCGCCAGTTTTGGGTCCGGGGCTTCCTCAGGTCAACTTGGACCGACCAATAGGGTGGCTTTAGACTTCCCACGTTTGTCATTCTCGAACTGGACCCAATGCAAGTCACCACGGTAAGTGACGAAGGACCCCATCCCAGAGGCCTAAACGTTATACTGATGTCCTATTAGCCTTTACCCGAAGTCAAGATGGGCGCCAAGATTACAAAAAGCAGCTGGTTTTTATGGGCCTGTCTGATGATTTGGGTTTGGAGTCGGTATGTACGGATTCGGATACTTCGAAGTAATTTCTAAGTGAATCGACTCTCTCATTAGCACGGCAACGAAATAGAGGCCAAACACTAAGCCAGCCAATGTGGGAGGATGGTGAGGCTGGAATCAATCCACCATGGCTCCCTGACGAGCCTGGAATCAGCTATCCGAGACTGAGGGGTCCGCTATGGGAACAGATGATTGAGTAAAGTACATCACCAAGTGAGAAACCTACACCATCTATTTTCGGTATCTCATCGCGCACAAGACACCTGTCACCCTGCACAACTGGTCATATCGCTTAAATTCATAGCATACTATCGAGACTGAAGTTAAAGAACAGGTATCCTCTAGTCTTTATATATTCTGTACTCGGGATCCGGTGAAGCCGATGATGTGACATGATCCTTCAGGGCCCACAGCATTCCAGCACCCTGAGGACGTCCTTATTTCGCTTACCCCTTTCCTGAATCCTTCACCTGCGCCTGAGACCACGCCCTCGGTGGCTGTATGCAGATGCCGTTGCGCACGCAGAACCCGCTCCACCCACAGCTATTTACAAATCTCCTATGAGCACCTTATGGCGGCCAAGCCACAGGAAATAAAACCCGTATGTTTGATATACAAATAACCACTCAATCATAAAGGCACCATACGCTGATATCCAGAAAAAGAGCAGCTCATAAAAACGATATCATGCCAAGAACGGAAGATCCGTCTCTTGACAGAGCTTGGGAGACTCGGCGTTCAATGCCTGGAAGCCTCATGATCTTTATTATATCCTGGCAGTGAGTCCCCAATCACACACTCCAGGAGGGCGGCGTGCAAAATAAAGATCTAAGACATAAATGCAAGCACCAGGAGGTTAGTCTTGAGAAACGAGGCAGGTCACGTGAATGTCATGTGCAGGCGGAAGGTTGCATCTTTGGTCGCGAATACCACCTTCGACTCCCCGATACCCAATAGCCTCCCTCGGTCCTCATAATCCGGGGCGGCGGGTCCGGCGAAGGCATGTTCGGAAGGAGTTGCTAATTTCCGCGCCGAAAAAGCAGGCCGATGAGCAAAATCAATCCGGTGACGCCATTCGGAGATCGGTCGGATCTATCGGCCCGTAGCCTGGATCTTTTTCTTTCTGTAAACGTCAAGGCGACACCTTCTTGCCCTGTCACTCACTTCACCCGCAACCGCCCTTCACCCCCCCCTGGGATCTCTCGGCGATGATTTCAAAGTTCGGCAGATATGTCTTCCACGAATCGGGCCTTCGCTCGGTCTACTCGACGGGGCGCGACGCCTGGCTGATCATCCTCTGCCGGACGTGCCGCATGTTCGCGCACGGCGCCATCTCGCTGATCCTCGCGCTCTTCTTCGCCGAGCTCCGCGTCTCGGACTCGCACATCGGCCTGTTCATGACCCTGACCCTCGCCGGCGACGTCGTGCTGTCTCTCGCCCTGACCCTCGTCGCCGACCACGTCGGCCGCCGCCGCACGCTTGCCGTCGGCGCGGTCCTGATGATCATGTCCGGCACCGCCTTCGCCCTGTGCGAGAACTACTGGGTCCTCCTGCTCGCGGCCGTCGTCGGCGTCATCAGCGCCACCGGCGGCGACTTTGGGCCCTTCCGCGCCATCGAGGAGTCCACCCTGTCGGAGCTGACCACCCCGACCACGCGCCCCGACGTGCTCGTGTGGTACGTGACCACCGCCAGCCTCGGATCCGCCGTCGGCACCGAGATGTCCGGCCGCATCGTCGAGGCGCTGCGTGCTCGGGATGGCTGGACGCTGCTTGACGCGTATCACGCGTGCTTTTGGATCTACGGCGTGATGGGTGCGACGAACCTCCTCTCCAACATGCTGCTGTCGGAGAGGTGCGAGCTCAGAGGGACGAAAGGGCCTGCTCCTATACCAGATCAACTTGAGTCAGAACCCCTGCTTGAGGGCTCTACAGAGGAGCCCCTAGATGCGCCGGGGACTCCCAAGGCCAGAGACATCGACGCACCGCCAGCCAAGAGGAGCCGGTTTGGCCAGATATCCCTCGAGACGCGCTCCATAATGTACGCGCTGTGGTTCCTCCTCATGGTCGACTCCCTCGCCGACGGCATGGTAAGCATGTCCCTAACGACCTACTACATGGACCAGAAATTCCACCTCCCCAAATCGACCCTCGGCGACGTCGTGTCGGCAAGCTACCTCCTCTCCTCATGCTCGACCATCTTCGCGGGGCCGCTGGCCCGCCGCATCGGCCTCGTCAACACCATGGTCTTCACGCACATCCCGTCCTCAGCCGCGGTCCTGCTGTTCCCGCTGCCGCGCACCGTCCCGCTCACCTTCGCGCTCCTGCTCGTCCGCGTCGGCCTCAACAACATGGACCAGGCGCCGCGGTCCGCGCTCATCGCCGCCGTCGTGCGCCCCGAGGAGCGCACCGCCGTCATGGGCGTCACGGGCATGCTGCGCACCCTGGCTGCCACCGCGGGGCCGTCGGTCACGGGCGTGCTCGCTGGCGGCGGCCGCTTCTGGGTCGCGTACGTGGCGGCGGGGGCGCTGAGGCTGGCGTATGACTTGGGCCTGTTTGCTATGTTTATCAATATCAAGCTGCATAGGCATGAGCCTGTTGAGGCGGCTGAGGAGAGAGGGGAGGCTGATGAGGAGGACAGTGATGGGGAGCAGGCTGGCGTGCGGGAGAGGTAGCTTGAAGGGGGGGAGGACTACTGGTTGGGCTTTGTCTTTGCCTTTATCTGCGACTTGGCCCTATGGATTGTCAACTTGACTCGTATTCAAGCGGACACTTGTCCAAGATTTGTTCAGCCATGGTCAGTCCGAATGTCCAAGTCTGCCACACCTGCACTAGGTATTGGATGCGTCGTAAGGTTTGCAATACTTGGGTCGCGGCAGGGCTTTAAGTCTCTGCTGTGGATGCAGTTGGCGCGTTGGCAGGGGGCTACTTTAATAGCAATCTAGTGATATTGTACGAAGTAAAAGTGGTGATGATATTCGGTGGTTTCTACGCAGAGGGTGCGTAGGCTTTGACTGACCCGCGCTAGCGCACAGGCCAGGCCACAGGCCACTGGGCGCCTGCCTGGGTGTTACCAACGAGTGAGAGGTCACTGGCATCAAAGAGTTCCAGGTTGGAGTGGGGAGTCGGATAATCCCACATTCTGCGGACCAAGACGGAACACACACTGGATTCCCCAATAAACTACCTTTTTTTGTTGTGCTTCTAATAGGCGGGCTCATCGCATCATCTGCCACGTTGACAAACGCCTGCCGCTGCGCTGCGCAGGCTGAAAATTTGCTTCTGGTTGATGCCCGGTCCAAGTAAGCCAATGGCACGTCTACTGTCGCTTCCTAGGCAAGCTGCAGAATGTTGGTGGGTGTCAATGAAGATACGAATTACTTTATTGGTTTAGCTATCGTTTGGCATGACGTAATATGCACGCCGGATTGTCTTGTCGCTCTCCGGTTTGTTCACGCCAACCGCGCTTCTTTTTGGGGCATTCAGCTATGCAGGCTGTGTCGAGCTGGCCAGCTTATGGACACAATTGACATTGCAGCAGTCACTGTCGGCGCATCTCACTTATCTATCACCCGCGAGGCTCATGTCCGCGCTCGACACCTCAATGTCTCACTGGTATCGTCTAGTTTCGAGCTCGCAAGTATTTGACATGTTTGGGCTGATCTTAGCCTTGATCTGGGCGTTTCCGAACTATGTGCGGGCGATGGACGGAACGGACTTCGCAAACAACCTGTTCAGTGATTTAGGTTCGTCACCGTCATTCCCAGTGCTGCTGCCTTTGGATATATTCGTCTATTCGAATCAGCGAACTAATGATGGTAGGTCCCCTTCTGACTCTTTTCGGGGAGCGGGTCGCAATCCAGTATCTGAGTCACAGCACCACATGGATAGAGGGCCTGATATTCGCCTGCGCGCCGATTGGTATTTTGACGGCCGTGGTCTCTGCTATTAGGGTTGGTGGGAGTCGATGGCTGAAGGCAATTGTTGGACGAGCAAGAGAACCCGATGCAGATGTGGAGCTCGAGTTAATGAGGTGAGCAATTGCATATCAAAGATGCCTTCTGGTGTATGTCAGAGAACGTTGCTGCCTGGTAATACTGACGCCTCTTCCCTAATAGCTCTACTTCTTCGGATGTTTGCGAGCTATGGAATGGCGCTGGGATCGTCCGCGTCGTTGGAAGCCCGTCGATTATCGAGTTGATATATCGCAGCCCCGACGAGGCGAACCTTTGCAACGACGGCACAGACGGGGACAAGTTAGTCGACACTCTCGACACGGCTAAAAAGAGTGGTCTTTTTGTGCTCGCATCTGGTCGTGGCGAGGCCACGCACGACCGCCACGACTCGTTCGATAGAGATAAAGAGGAAGAGAGCCTCGCATCGAGCAATGCCGATATCGAAGTATCCAGGAGATTCTCTGCCTCGCCGCCGAATATTGTTCTGAACGTATCCGGCGGTATCGTCCGTGGTTGGGAACTGATGATTGCCGCGGCGATTGGGATGGTCCTCCAGGCAGGAGTTCTGGTCTATGACGGGCTCATTACCTACCGTTTAAATGTTACACGAGGTGTGAAGGTGAATGGGGACGCGCTCCCGTTGACTGTCGTGGGGACTATGGGGCTGATGCTAGGGACCTTCCTCTGTGCGCTCGTGGTCGAAAATAGTACGGAGGAAGAGGTGTGGGAGGCCACTTGTCCGAAGAAACAGGCACTCCGCATAGTATGGTTGCAACGGGGTAAATTGGTTGGAGACCAGGACTTTGGGTCCTTCGTTATCCACGACACGCACCATCAACAACGGATAAGGACATCGCGGAAAATCGCGAATACCAAGAGGTTGGAGATCTGGACGCTACTTGGATCAAGCTTAACCATAATCAGTAAGTTAGAAAGATGACCGCCCTTTTAGCCTTCCTCTGCTAATTAATGTTTCATAAGGCTTTGTACTTCAATTTGTCGGGTGAGTCTCCACCTACCTAGCTAGTCGTGATCGCCTTTGTTAATTTTATATAATTAACCAGAGTTCGGGAGATGCACTGGTCTGCGTCAGTTGCACAGCTGCTGGCAACCGGAATCATGGTTATCGTGAGACTTGCCATCTATCGAAAGATTTCCATGATGCCGAGAACGAGTCAGCTGCCACGGGGATATGAGCTGGACGCCATGGCCAAGATCATCAACGGATGCCAGGACTGGAGGATTCTCACCCCCCATTCAACACAAGGTCTGATACAAGCGCTGTCCCAGGATACCTCACGTCTTGCCACTCGGGTCTTGCAGACGCGGATCAGGTTAGGGCAACTCTCGGGGTGGTCAAGCGAATGTGCCCAGGTGGTCGACCAGGTATCCCAGGCTATGGAAGCGGTGCTAAATCACGTTTACAATCCGAATGGAGACGTTACCATAAAACAGAGTTTCCAACAGAAGGCAGAATTCGAGTGGAATCTAGGAGTGGCGGTCGCAAAAGACGAGAAGGACTTTCGGGGCAAGCTGAAGATCGTTCTGAGAAGATCCAAATCCGAAGACAAGTGGACGCGATGGCGAGTGCAGAGTGAAGAAGTCGAGGCCGCACTCTCTCTGTGGATGTCGCACTTCTCGCAAACGTCGACCCAGTCGCGAAACTTGTGGATTATCGGCCCTAATACCCCCCTCAATCAGATTGTCTACGACTGGTGGATACACCGTGGCACAGACGGGATCCGAATAGACGACGTAGAGTCATACTGCGCCCTCCGCTTCGTTGACAAAAGCCGAGTGTTCGATGTCGACGGGTCCCAGTGGAGGACCCGGGCCGCGGATTTGAAAGAAGCGGGACTCCTCGCAGCCGTTACTAACGACAGTTTGCCGAGGATGTGCGGCCAGTTTCTCTTAGGGTGCTTCATCAAGAGTACGATAGCATGTGTCCAGGAGCTTGATGGAGCAACGAGGGTCACTCCAGGGACGAGTCCTGGCCAGTTCCTCCTGGTAAATAATGCTGTACGGGGGCTTGCAGACGCACTGCAACAGAGCGGCCTCGTTTCCATCGAAGATTCATATAGGCTCGCCGTGCCTGCCCTGAATGACGCCAGTATACTGCCAGGCCCGTTCGACGTCCTCGAGGATATCGTTGCAATAGCCAAAGCCAAAGGAGACACAGTCGATACACTCGACAACACATTTACGCGCCTCATTTATGTGTGCCGGGATAGAGCGAAGACTCAGAGCTGCGAAGAGCATTGGGCGAAAGCTGGCCGTACCTTTACACGTCTGATCGAGATCTTGTCAAATGCTATGGGGCCACATGCCGCGTCTACATTGAAGGCCAAAGAAGCCATGGATCAGTTCGCGATTGACTTCATGGAATCGAGCATTTCCACGTCTATCGACGACAAAGATCGACTCAGAGGGTTCGACGAGCCATTCAGGCTGCATGCCGCATCATCGAAGGGTCTCATCGGTCAGGTGCTTCAAGCACTCCTAGACGGTGTCGGAGTGGACACCTGGGACGACGAACACGAGACTCCCATCAGCTTGGCTATAAAGCGGGGTTACTTGGACATTGCCCGGTTGGTGATATTCTATGGTGCCCCTGTCGATCACGATCTCCTCTCCATCGCGATTGACAAGAACGGCAACGGACTCTACCCTAATTGCGACCAAATGGTTCGCCTACTGCTATTAAACCTCCAGAACCAGACAGAAGTGTTGTTGGAGGCGTGCGAAAAGGGATATAGCATGATCGAACTGCTTCTTGAGATTGGTATCGACGCAACTGTCAAGGACAGCAAAGGCTTCACGCCGCTACATATCGCCTCGATGAACGGCTTCGTGAAGGTTGTTGAGATCCTTCTTGCTAAAAATGCAGACGTCGCCGCCAAAACGCCCAATGGACAGACGGCGCTACATCTCGCTGTAGAAAGAGGACATAACGAGGTGGTCATGCAGCTTCTCAACGCCAAAGCCAGCCTGGACTCTCGAAACGAGCTGGGACAGACCCCACTGCACATAGCGGCAGAGAGGGATATTTTGGATATCATCAAGATCCTCGTGGAGAGGGGAGCAGACCCGAACGGACGGCAGGCCGATGGAAAGACGGCTCTTCATATCGCTGCCTTCAACAACAACGCGGAGGTCGTCGGGTGGCTCATGGACCACGGGGGCGTAGATATAGTGGCTAGAGACAAAGACCAGGCCACGGCGCTACACTTGGCGACCCGGAATCGCCACGACAAGGTGATCGAGATCCTGACAGAGGCGAGGGAAGTGGTGCTACGAGCAAAGGACAAATACGGGCAAACCCCTCTCATCGTGGCCTCACGGGAGGATGGGCGCGAGTCCATGATAAGGATCATGATTGAGCGCGGAGCGGACATGGCAGCACGCGATGAGTCCGGCCGCGGCCCGCTCGAGTACGCCGCCAGCTCTGGCCACGCCGCGGCGGTGCGGCTGCTGGTCGAGAAGGGGGCGCCGCGGGACAACAGGGACGGCTTCGGCCGGACGGCCCTGCATTACGCATCCATGAGCAATCACACCGCCATCGTCAGCCCGCTGGTCGACGGCGGCGCCCCCATCGACGCCATCGACAAGGACGGCTGGACTGCCCTCCACTATGCATACTGCACTGAGAGTTGGGCCGTGGTCGACCTGTTAACGGAGAAGGGCGCGGACCCCTCGCGCAAGGATCGCCTCGGCCGCACGGCCGAGTCTTACAGGGACGAAAAGTTTGAGATCAACTTCTGGACCAGAGCTCTCCCGCCTCCCTATCCTAAAGTTGTGCTAGCTTAGATGAGGAGGGCGACTCTGTTCCAAACAATCATTATTTTCTCACTTAACATCACCGACACTGCTTATCCGGATCGCTGAACATTAATTGAAGCTCACCAGCGTTAGGTTATCCACCGGGTCTTCTAAACATAGATACTGCAGAATGGATTGAGAAAAAGATGCGAATCTCGAGGAGCCAAGAAGACAGGCTCAGAGACAATTGCCAGCGGCCCGGCTCTCTACACTCACAATCTAGGTCTGACTCTACCTCATGATGCCTCCTTGGCCCCCTCATCACTCCAGGAGGGGAAGCGGCAGGCTTTCTAAATTGGCAGGCCCTCAGGGGTGGATGATAAGGGATGGATAACAGCTCGTATCTTCTCTCAACCCTGCTTCGGCTTCCCCCCTGTGCATCTTCATTTCAGCAGCGAATGAGAGCGAGACAGTGCCTTGCGCCAAGTCTGCGGGAGAAACTTTGATTCCCGACTGCAAGGTATGGGCATGTGACGTCGTCTTGCATGCCGCTGGGACTGGGACCGTTGAGGGGTAGACGGGGTTATTTTAAGAATTGTTTGTATTTTGGCACCAGCAGGCTCCAACCGCTGTTCCCGCCGCCAATTCCTTCTGTCGAGAGATTCCCATGCACTCCACAACCGTGTCCGCATTCCATCCTCAATCTCACCAGCTCACCAGCCATGGCCTCTCTCCAACCGCTCGTCCAATCCAACATCCCCGCCGCCGGCGAGATATACGCCCCACTCAACCCTCGCAATATCCGCATCCTCACCCTCCTCCCAGGAAAGCCAGGTGACGCTCTTCACTGCCGTCTCGAAGTCTCCTCCCTAGACGCCAACCCAGACTACGAAGCCCTGTCCTACGTATGGGGCAGCCAGGACGACCCCGCCGCCATCAGCCTCGGCGGCCGGCCTTACCACGTCACGCCGAACCTGGCCGCCGCGCTGAGGCAGCTGAGGTCCGAGACGGCGGGGCGCAGGCTGTGGGTCGACGCCGTCTGCATCGACCAGTCCAACCCCGCCGAGCGCGGCGAGCAGGTCCGGCAGATGCACGTCATCTTTGCCGGCGCACGGGAGGTCGTCGGCTGGCTCGGCGTCCTGGATGATCCGTTGTTGAGCTACCTAGGCGTCTCCGGGGAGGAGACGGGCTGGTTCCTGGCGATTGTCCGGGAGGCCGAGGCGAGGCGGTTTGATGTGTCTTGGATGAGAGGGATGCTGCGCGAGAATGCGGGGAGGCTGTTCAACCCTCTCAGAGGGCTGCTGGTGAGGGAATATTGGAGGCGGCTGTGGGTTGTCCAGGAAATCGTGCATGCGAAGCGGGTGAGGCTCATGTGCGGATCGACGTCGATTGTGATGGGCAGCTTGGTCCGGTTCCTCAACGCTATTTTTTGGGCAACCTTTGACACACCTGACGAGGAGATCAGGGTAGCAGCGCTCAAGGGAGTGGAGCTATTCACGCTGTATTTCACCCCCCTGCAGGACCATCTGTCGGCCATGAAACACATCGTCTATCTCGGGAACAATAAGCGGTGCAGGGATCTCAGGGACAAGCTGTTCGGCGTCCGGAGCTTGCTGCCGGAGGAGCTTCAGGAGTGCATTGATGTGGATTACTCGGCGAGCGTGGGGGACGTGTATGCCTCTGCCACGAGGAAGATCATCGAGTCGGTCGGCGCCCTGGACGGAATCCTGTGGAGGCCATTCCAATGGGACCAGACTGAGCTCTGTGGAGACTTGGATATACCTACGTGGGCCATCAGCCTGATCGAGGAAAACAACATGCCGACGTCCGAATGCGCACTGGGCAACACCTTCCGAGCAAGCGCTGGGTTTCCGGCCTTCTACAGCTTCTCGGGGCGGCAGCTTGAGACGCGAGGAGTCCGCATTGGCGTCATACGGCAGTCTCGTATGAACAATCTGGGGCGTGATCAGAGAATGGCCTTCCGTTTTAGCGACTTCATCAAGCACTCGAGGAGCTGGCTTGAGAAGATTCGGTGGCCCTGTGCTGCGGCAGATATCGACCGTCGGACCTACGCCATGACTCTCCTCTGTGGGGGCTGGCCTGAGCTTGTGGAGCGCGTGGAGAGGAACGTGTTTGGCGAGATGGATGAACTTGACGACATCCAAGACCGCAGGCTTGGTGAGATGCTGTTGCCCCTGGCGGAGAGAGAGGCGATGATCTTTGAGCCTACTCGGGCTGGGTTGTTAAGCGGCCCCTACGCCGAGGAAGGAACGACTTTCAAGTATATGGGTCTCACGAGTAACAGGTGGGTATTTGAGGGTGATGTCGTTTGTGTGTTGCTTGGGTTCAAGACCCCGGTGATCCTTAAGCCGGTGGGGGACAAGTACGAACTGATTGGGGATGCGTATATACGCATCTACATGGACGGTGAGGCTATGGCTGGGTTCAGCGGTGATGTTGACGAGTTGGAAAGCTTCACTCTGATTTGACGAATCGACAGTAAATAGACTGGGGGTTGTTCATGAGGCTACATTAACCAGGCCAGTGCCACACACACCTTGCCATTCTGTGGGATTTCCCTCATCTTGGTCTGATGCAGAGTTCCATACTAGGCAAGTCTCTGTGTCACTTTAGACACGAAAGTCTTGGGTGTCCGTGGGGAGAGCATAAGAGTCACCAACCATTACGCGGCGTGACAACCCCTCCGAGATGTCAAGCATTTCCCAATGACAACGCCCTGTCCAGCTTAGAACGCAGGTAACGCATCATGGATTTCTTTCCCACATAATTCTCAGTGCCTCGTATGACAAACTACCTATCAGCTCCCTACGTTCATACCTTGCTCTTGAGTCGCATTATCCTTCCAGGAGTGGATGGCGTCACGTTTCGCCATGTCGATGCCTTGCATCACTGGAACTGCCAAAGACCCAAGCGCACTTCCTTTGTTACCATCTCCCGAAAGGCGGGAAAAGAGGCCTGGACTGAGGAGCTGAAAGCGACTGGGGTTACATACAGGACTCCAACCATACTAGCCACGGTCCCTGCATATTCAGCAGCCTGGATCCTTGATACTTGCGGTATGGAACACGGCCGACGTATTGGCGTGGATGGAAGCTCTCGACTAGCGAGTCAATTCGAAGAGTGGCGGGTGGGTTGGGTAACACAATACTTCTACAGGCTCTCTCCTCTTGTAATACTCCAGTTGTGAGTCAAATATCATGCTGCTACGGATTTAGACCCCGTTTCATTAGTGACAACGAGGACCTTAAAAGTTACAATACTATCACCTCGATGTGGCTGGTATTTGCTCTGTAATTACTTTGAAGGTGGAAGTTATTTTGATGGTGAAGTGGGACCTCTTAGACATCGAAGAAAGACGATACTGTGTTTCTAATTTTACCACCGTCAAACAATGGATTCGAATCGTTACTCTTTGTCACCTCTTTCCTCAGCCACGCTCTCATCAAAGACAAGTGATTGTTCAATGGCACTTGCTTCCCGTCACAATGGACCCAGAGGAGACCCCAACCCACCTGACATTTTGCGTCCATGAATTACATATAAAAGAAGCAGACCCTGACTTCAACTTCAGATCTCCGTTCCCACCATCAACCACGACATTGAAGCCAGTTACCATCCCCATACCACTGCAAACTCGCGAGCGCAACAATGACCTACACAATCAGCATCCGGGACCCCCGGATCAACATCGAACTCGTGGTCAACATGCACACCGGCAGAGCGTCCAAGCCAGACCATGCCCCAACTTTCGCGGCAATGCTGTTCCGCTTCAGCCTGTCGCTCGGGCTCCCCGTCGCCGTCGCTTACATCCAGGCCGCGGCTCTATGCGGTTTCGGGCTGGCCGTCTGCGACGCCATTCTCGGGCAGCCAGACATCAACTGGTACAGAACTCTCCGGCTGCTAACGGTTCTCTGTTCGGTGTTGTGGTTCTGGGTGTGGCGCGAATGGGTGGGGTCGAACACGAAGCCGGTTCTGGTCCTCTTCCGTGGCTATCTCGGGGACGCACTTGGGTCCTGCCGGGCTAGGCTGGGAGGGGTACAGAATGTGGGTGCCCCGGATCTGGCGGAGAAGGAGAAGGAGGGCTGAGGTGATACGTGGAGGCAAAAGTGAGGATGCAGTCACGCAGTTGTAAACTTCGAAGTTCCTAGGGGCAAATAAACCTTTGTAGGAGAACACCATGCACTACGTATGCCTAAAATATAAGACGACCCAACACCTGATGAACCACTGCTGCTGAGCTGCTAGGAACGAATGGTCTAAGAAATAGCAATCTCGGACGTAATCCGCTGCATTTCATTCCTGACCACCCTCAGTCTTTCCTCCACTCTCTGTCGAAAGTCCTGATCGCTCTCACTCTCAAGTGCAACATTGTCATCCTTAACAATGTTGAGCGTGTTCACGATAACTGATAGATGCCCTTGAGCGGCAGCTTGGATATCAGTTTGAAGCCCCTCCGCCAGCGTCGAAAAACTTCGTTTGAACTGGGTCATCAAGTCATCAAATAGTCTCGCATCTGCGAGTCTTCTGTTGATGATCCCTTTCCGGCGGCTGTCACTGCCGCTGCCTAGTTGAGGACAAGGTATCAGCGGACAGCATAAACACAATCTACAGGATGGATGATGGGCTTACCACTTTCGCGGCGGCACGCATTGTATGATTCCTCCATTGCTTTCCCCATCATTGAAGTACGAATACCAGAGAGTGCATCAGTTCTCAGCATGCTGGTAGCCAATCGTTAGCTGGATAGCTTTGAGAGATAGACCATGAAAATCACTGACGAAAGCTGTTGCCCGAATACATCACAGATATCTTCAACGTTGGCAAGTAGCAGACGTTGACGGGATAAGAATGCCTGCCTAAGGGTGGCAGTGGACAGCGAGTCGGCCCCGAGCTCGGTGTCTGCAGAACACATCAGTGAATGGCCGCCAATCATGAAGTCGTCTTCATAGTTTACCTAGGTATTGCGGTGCCGACTCCAGACAATCTTGAATCAACGCCATGGTTGTCTCTTGATGGCTATCGATTTCTGAGAGAAGCTCAGCCCACTGAGGCTCCAAGTCCTCCATCATAGCTTCAATAGCCTCCTCGTTCCAGTTGTGTGAGCCAGCGGTGGGGGTAGAATGGTCTCCGTAGTTTCGACAAAAGGCCGAATACGTTGCTGATAGCATGATCAGAATCTGGACCGGCATTAAATGGACAACTAGAACTCACAATGGTGCCACTGAAGTCGTGTTAACAGACCTGATTCGGTGATATGATATTAGGTGAATGCAGAAGACTTACCCCTGTCCATTCGCCGCTAGCATTCCTCGCGCACTGCCTCCATGCAGTATTACGCTGTCCTTTATAAAAAGTCAGAACGAGGAATATTGGTTAAGGGGAAAGGCAACACGTACTGAATCTGTCCATCACCTTGTCTTTGAACTCATCCTTCATTGACTTGCTAATATCATTCATCCTTGAACCGGCCCCGGTTAAATCCTAACGCAGTACATCAGCCACAACCATAATCGGACTTGATCAGCGACTTTTTTACTCTTGTCAACCTGGCCTCCACCGCATCAAGAGTCTGTCGGACAACTCTCTTGCGCTCGGCATCCATGGTCCCCGCACCGGACTGCACCCACAGATCGACGTCGCCAAGAAGCGCCGGGATGTCGTCTCGGATGTACCTTGTGGCGATCCGCAGCTGACTCTCCGTCACCATTGATAGGCAGTGTTTGCGGATCTGGAGAACCCCGCTCAGCTGGAGATACGGCAGAGCCTCGTCTTTGGGCATGGGTCGGTGGTCCCAGTATAGCGTGTTGCTAACGCAGAACACTTTGACGCCGTCGCCTGGCACCCGCGGACCGTAAAGGTCTTCTATGCTCGTTGTCACACTGGCATTGCGCGTGTTGATAAGGTATTTGACCAACCTGGCGGGCCCGTCTGTCAGTATTATAGCTGTGGAAGGCAATGTTGTCGGAGGCGTGGACTTACTGGAACTCATGCTCCCTCTTCCGTTTCCTACTTCACTGTCAGCATTTGCTTTTCTCAGAGGAAGTCACATATGCATTACGTCGCTGCCCTGGATCGACGAAGAAGGTTGAGTTGATGGTCCTTTTCCTCGTCCAACAAGTCGTCCTCTTCGCCGTACTCATCAAGCTCATCCTTGATCTTCTTCAAATCACGTCGATCGGCCTCCACAATGTCGATGCGCTTCTGGATCTCCTTCGCGCGGTCGCCTTTCCAATCTTTCTTGGCCTCCTCGGGACGAATGTCCTATTATCTGTTTTAGTTTGACGTGTCGAAAGTGGCGCCAACAAGGATGGACTTACATCGGCCTTTGTACAGATAACCCCAACGTTCGAGAGCTTAGCTTGGCGCGCCAAATTAAAGACTCCCATAACCCCGGCGTCAGTGGTGGCTCTGCCAATGTAGCAGACGGCGAAGATCTCGTCGCACTGGAGCATATACCGCTCCGTAATGTTACGACGGGCCGCATTCAAGTCTCGAAGGCCTGGAGAAAAAGAGAATATCAGTGGAAAAGTCCAATTACCCCGTGCAAAATGCATGCAGCCAAAACACACCTGGAAGATCGACAAGAATGAGGCCATTTCGAAGAATATGAGCCCTCAGGTAGACCCTGCTGGCAATTAGTCAAGCTCAATGGAAAAGGGCTCGGGAGCCATAGTCAGGAACTGAGCAACACGAACCTGATTTTGCGGATATAAGGCCACATGGCCGGCTCTTTGGAAGATGCGCTCTCAGATGTGAGCTTCATGAGAAGTGCGGAACACTCAGCCAGCGAAGACGCCACCAAGTTGCGTCCGGCGTTGGATGAGGGGGCCACAACCTTTGCCCACGAGCGGAGGGTTTCCATGACGGAATCCTCGTCCCAATCCACGAGGAACTTTTCGTCGGCAAGCCTGCTGCGGAACATGGCCCGGAAGGTGTCCAAGGCAACGTTGGCCCTGTCCTGGAAGTCTTGCCTCTCGTCTCTGTCCATCTCGTCGCGGTGGTGATGGAAGTGGCGATAGGCTTGAAGGAGATCCGTAAGTTGGGCCTCGACCTCATCCATGGTAAACATATCCACCCCGGCTTCGAAATGGTCCTTGTCATGGTAGATGTACTCTGTGACGACGCATGTGCACGCTGCACCGCTGTTGCTCTGCAAATGCATCAGGCCAAAGCGTACTAATAAGGGGTTGTGGTGCTGTTACTCACTGTTCTTGCCAATCCCTGATGATCCAGGAGCGAGTTGAGAAGGCTGCTTTTACCTGAAAAGGTACTGTTAGCTAACCCATAGAGACACACCAAATTGAAGAACACAAACACTTACCGACACCGGAATCGCCAACAAAGCCCACGATACGAGTGGAAGGACACAGAAAGCGGGACAGCGCCTCCGCCTCTCCATGGAGACGTCGCATGGTCGAGTCCGGCTCCGCATGCAGGGAGAGGGAGCTGCTCTCAAGGACACCGGTCAGATCGGCCACGGCGCGCTTCGCGTCAGCAAAGGCCTGCTGGAAGCCGGGCTCGTGGAAGCGATCACGGGGCGGCTCTTCGTCTCGAACGTCGTGCGGAGTCGTGATCTTCACCCGCGAGCTGGAGCGTCGCCGGGAAGCAGAAGAAGCTGCCTGAACCCCCTCGCTGGATGGGGGAGTCCGGCTCGGGGACAGGGCCCCGGCTCCCGAACCGCCGGCAACGTCGTCGAGCGCGGCTGCGACGTGGGACATGTCGAGACTGGAATCCGGAGTCGAGAGGCGGATTGTGCCCAGAGTCTGGCGGATGTTGTCAATCGTTCCGCGGTTTGCTGCGTCGCCGGGGAATGATGGAGTTGCCCTGCTCCCCGAGCTGTCCGAAGGGGGAGGAGTGTATGTGAAGGATGGATTGCGGCTGTGCAAGGCTCCACTCATGGTATGGTTTCGACTTGATGGCGCACTGGAGTCACCCTCAATTGAGGAAAGGAGAGTCTTGTCAGAGACCAAGCCATTGTCGCTTCCGGCGAGGTCAGCAGCTCCTCTGAAGGAAAACACAGATCCGCAAGAAGTGGATGATGGAGTTTCCATTGCGTCGGAGGAGGATGTGATGCTCTGTGGATTCATTTCGAATTAGAAGGCCTCTCACAACAAGAGACGAAGCGACCGGAATGCGTGGGGCAGCTGCCATATAATTTGGGTGATGGGAACAGGGAACAGCTTGTAAGACAAGCTAGACTTCGACGCAAGTGCAATTCTGCTTTGGCAAGAGACGCAAGGCGACTGGAGAACAGGTGGAGGGGCAAAGCACCTTAAATGAAGTCAAAAGGCAGTTGGAGAATGATCCACGACCACGATCAATTGAGTCGGTGATTGGGAATGGGCACATTTATCCCCAAACACATACCCCTCTATAGGGGCAAGAGGGGCAGTGAAAGTGGAGATCAGAAACAACAATATGCAGTTGGTTCTCGTTTGGTGGGTGAAGGCCAATAGGAGACTCCCGCCGAGACTGGAAGTCCACCTCTCCACACATGGGCCTAAACTTGTGATTGGTTGTTATAAATACAATGCCATCAACGTGACAGAAAGAACAAGCGCCAGGCCCCGAGAACGGGCATTAGGGCCGACACCGCGCCATTTGCGACATCGAGTGTCTGGCCCTGGCAGCTGTACGCGCCCAGGAACGCCTCCTTCTCGGATCTCAGAGCATCGGCCTGGAGCAGGAAAGACGGGTCTGTTGACGAGACTGCGGGATTTTGGAGGACAATTGGCGGTGATGGGGCGGTGATGGGAGATTTGCTTCCGGTTTTGCCCATCGACCTAGAGGTCGATAAAGCTCTTGCTCTCAAGGTTGTTAGCCATCGTTTAAAACGGGGTCAGTGGCACTCACAAGGTGTCGTCAACAGCGACTTCGATGGTCAGGGTTTCCATGTGGAAGGGATACATACCACTGCCACTGATCGATGTTACCGTTGAGCATGATGGGACACTCGAGAGGTGTGGGGGTGTCATTCGGGTTCCGCACAGGAAACGTTTCTGCCATGGACCCCAAAAGGATTTAAGGGTCCAGGGGGGCGTGTCTTAGCAAGACGGCCCCGCGGCAAGCTTGGCTCGACTACCCGAATTAGATCGCCAGCCACAGTTTCTCATCAAGATATTGCAGCGGTGGAAGGGAGAGCCCTTCCCTCATTCACGCAGTCTCTAGAGCTTCCTTGGCACTCGGCCGATCACCAGGCCTGAATGCCAGCACCCACCGTACCATCACGAACAGAGCATCCCTCCCCCACATTAAGAATCGTCATGCCTTTATCGCCTCGTGGCTCCTGTATGCTGTCTTCAAAGCGCTAGTTCCATGACCACACGGATCGACCCTCCAGGGGTTGACCTTCTCTGGTGAACTGTCTCGACCGCATTTCCCATTTCCCCCACAACTCGAGTGGCAGAAGGCCAAGTGCGTCGACCTGCTCGCACGTCATGTCATCTTGTGTCGCCAGCAGGCCGTCGAATAACAATCTCTGGCCGAGGATAGCCTATATGGAGCAGGCGAGACTCCAGATATCGGACGCAAAAGACAAGGGCTTTGTCGGCTCAAACCGAGCTTCTGGAGTCCGGATTTCGAGCGGTGTGTGGGACTCGTACCTCGATTCTTGCGAGGGGCAGAAGGCGACCCCAAAGTCGGCGGGCACGAGCTTCGCATCAGCAAGTGCGATTTTCTCGCTCGGCTCGCCAAGCCAGACCGGCGAGATGACGTGTGATGTAACCCCGGGTGGAAGTGGCGTTCCGTCTCGCTGGGCCGGCTTGGGTTCAGGCGCCCCAAATTTCTCGTACAGCTGTTCCTCCGATGGGTAATCAAGACCTGATAGCAATTGGAGGAGGACGTTGCCGAGATATAGATCTGAGGAAGGGTATTGTCAAAATTCGCTGTACTTGTCCTGCGTCGCCAGTGACACCCACCTCCATGGACGTATCCATGATCGTGGATGTTGCCGACGGCGATGGCGAGCTGAGCGGCAAGAGATCGGGCTACTTGGAGCTGGAACAGACCGGAATTTGACGCCTCTTTCGTATCAGCAAGACTACATCGTGCCGGGGTTGTCACGAGGCAGGAATGCTGTCAACCAGAGCACGTAGTTTTACCTCCAAAAAAATCTGTCTCTCTCTTTTTCTTCTTCTTCTCCAATAACGAGAGATTAGTAAAGACTGTAAGAAGTGAACAAGCCATATTCCAACCATCACCACTCCTAAACAGTTATCCCATCGAGGCTGACGCAAACCTTGTGACAACTAGAAGTTCCTGAAATGACACATTCGACCAATCTGAGACAAGATGTGACCTAGCCACTGAAGTAGCTTAAGCAGAACCCAAAAGCCTCCTTTCCCGAACCAAGTCACTGTTGGCTATTCCTTGCACTCTTCCTTGCTACCACGGAAGCCTCAATCTTCAGCTGGGAAGCCGCCATGTGGGGGACCATGGTGACCGGAACCATGGTGACGGTCACCACCGTGATGGTGACCATGCGAAGGAGTACCATGGTGGGGGGGACCGTGGTGGTCATCACCCTCTATCTCCTCCTGCTGATCGCGCTCCGTGAGATCAGAAAACCCATGATGCGGCGGACCTTTGTGAGAGGGACCATGGTGATGGTCACCATCATGATGGTGACCATGGTGCGGAGGACCGTGGTGGTCGTCTCCCTGTATCTCTTCCGGCTCCTCGCGGTCCATGAGAGCTGAAAACCCATGGTGCGGTGGATTTTTGTGAGGGGGACCATGGTCGTGATGACCCTTGTGCGTTGGGGGGCTATGATGAGGGGTCCCATGGTGGGGAGGACCATGGTGGTCGGTTCCATCTACTTCCTGCTCCTCGCGGTTCATGAGAGCGGAGAACCCATGATGCGGTGAACCTTTGTGAGGTTTACCATGGTGGTGGTGATGCTCGTGCGGTGGGGGACCATGGTGGTCAGCCCCATCTACTTCCTCTCCCAGCGCCTGTTCACTGGTTAGATTCTGCTCACATATAGATCCTATCTCCGGCTATCTGGCACCGATCCCCGGGGTACCTACAGCGCGGCCAGCAAAAGCGATGCCGTTGTGGACCGGCAGAGCCAGGATAGGCGAGAGCAGCAACATTGCGAGGAGGAGCTTGCGTGCCATGGTGGTTAACTTGGGGAGAAGTGACGGAAGAATAAGCGAAAGACCTTTCGAACTAACAAGGACCCTGTGAGAGAGGTAAGGGGTTGGAGTCTATTAATATTTGTCCAAAACCTGGACAAGCCTGACATTTTATAATAACGACGATGGTTGTGATAAGCCAAAGATGCTGTCTTTTATTTAATGTGCTTACGACGATATATACAGCATGTAGATGAAGGCACTATGGAAGACAGGATAATCCCGTATTTGCAAAATACTTCTCTATCCCTGACCTGGTCAGGTTGAGGAAGTGCTGCCGAGAACTTTCTTAGAAAACAATGGCACGAGAAGAAACAGCACAGAGAGGAAATAACAACTACCACCGTTTCCAGGTGCAAAACTTGTTTCTGGGATATTAAAACGCGGGTGACGCGTAGGAGGAGAAGCATCAAGCAGGAGCATCCGCCACCGACCTGATGCAAGACGGCTACCGGCTTTCGAGGTTCAGATCTACGGGCGATGTCATTTCTGGAAGCAGCCTCATAAACCTGGTTATGAGCGACGACACGCGTCTCTCTCTGAAAGCTGCCGTTATGTTGAAGGGTTCTCAGTTCTGCGGCGCTATGGCTTAATTAGCTAAACCGAGACAGACAGCACAGAAGGGTTCGGTATGTTGATGCAATGGCAGGAGACTCGGATCATCGGCTCAGCTCGTCCCTTGGTCCCACAGCACAGCATAACGCCATATGGTGCAAGTCCTTCGGGGCTATATTGCCAAGGCTTTGTCCGAAACATGAAACCTGGGAGTTGGGCTGTCGGGGCGAGTGGGGGGACGTCATATAATATAAATTCCCGCGGGGTACGGAGTTACATGGCCATCACTTAATTATGTCCGGATTAACAAAGCTTGTTCCCAACTGAATGGGCTGGCTGGAACGGCAGCTACTTTAGCCCAGCGCCCTGAGTGGGACTAAGACATGCGTTAGATCTGGGGGAAACCTTGACTGACTTGCAAAGATCATCGGAGAGAATATGGAGGGCCCCACTTGTCCTCCACCGTCTACATGACCTGACTAATAATGCGACTCGCATCTCCAGCAACCAATGATGCCTTCTGGATCTTGCCTGCTAATGGTTGGAAGAGTCGTTCAAGACCTGCTTGTGATGGTCTAGCAGTGTATCTAGAACCTTTAATTATCTTCTTTGCTCACTCTTATGATCTCATCTCCTGGGCACCCCGTTCCCCGGCTACTTATGTGAGGGGATAATTATTTCCCAACGATTGCTATAATTAGCAATGCCTAATCGGACACGGCAACACGTCTGCTTCCTGGTAGAATTTACTTGGACCACAATATTCAGTTCGTCCAGAGCATGCCGACCGATCCGGATGCCAACCCCCACCACATATTGACAAGGTTCAAGAGGAGCTGGGATGGGTGTGTGAAAGTAAATCGCGTCTGTGCACCCATCGTAGTCCTCGGCATGGCATCCGTGTGGTCTCTAAAGACGGCTGGTTACAATAGGTGCGTGTGTTAATAACTTCTGTCCCGAATATGTTCGTCAGCTTCATGGTCCCAAGAGCTCACGTACATTCCCATATTACTGCTCTGGAATCTCACGCTTTCTGTGTCAATGGGACCACCAGGTTAACACATTGTGCTTCCTCGTTTCCAGTTTCCCGTATGGCAGATTCAGGGGGCTTACGAATCAGATAATTTGGCAAAATTTCATTTTGGTCAAGTTTGGTTAGTCGACGCTGATCATGGGGGGCTCGGAATACCTTGGTTCGCCATATCATGATCGGTATAGTACGTTCATCTTCCATCTGGGTCTCTCGGGTAGACTCTGAATTCTGCCAAGGAGAAGGTCATTCCTGGGTAAAGCACGATGTCGGGTGAGACGGCTTGTCGCATACTCTCTCCAATTCACGCCAGAATGGTATCGACTTGTCGCCTCTTCCATAGGATCGCCGCTGGCGACATATGCCACGACATGGCGTAAGCATACGGTATCGACCTGTCCATCTCCCTACGCACGAAGCCCCTGCTGTCCACGCTGACTGCTCAAGCCCAATGACGTCGCGGCTGAGGGCCATTAGACGCACCTCACGTCTGACGTCTTCAACTCGAGCATGTCAGTCTCTCGACGTTGGCCGACCGCATGCGGCAAGAACATGCACATCGATGTACCACGCTAATCAAAGCTATCGTGCGGTTGTCCGTCTTATGGGACCACGAAGGCTGGTCCTTTGATACTCTCACCAAGCTCATCAACGACAGGGGAGGAAGGCGGATATTGGCATACTTCAAGGTCGAGGTCAAGGAGGTGCTCTGGAAGAGGGTTCAAGACCGGAAGGGAAGCAAGGGTAAGCTAGGGGGAGAAAGGGATGGTGATGGGACATTTGACGTCACGAAGGAAGTGCTAGACGGCTTCTGAGCGGGGTACGAGGAGCCGCACGGCGAGGGCGAGTGAGTTATGCGGTTACAAAGGCAATAGACACTATATGGCGCATCTTTGACGATCCACAGTCCTTAGAGCAAGGTGCGGTCCAGGAGGGTGCTTCCGGTGGATATGTGTTGAATATAACCGCTATACCATTTAAGACAAAAATTTGCAGCTGCAACGTCTAGTACATTAAGCAGTATATATTCTAACAATATATCACGAGGCCCACGTGGGGTAAGCGTAATCACCAAAAAATGTGTTTGAGAGACTTCCCCCGTACTCTAGGTTTCAACGATACGGCATCCCCTACACTCAGCCACCGACGGATCCAACGCGTCTCAGGGCGACTGGTTCCTCGATAGCTTCACCCATTTCCAGGCCTCCAGAAGCGCCGAAATTCTTGTCGTCATGGGCACTCCGGCCGACGCGTTGCCGCAGCCGCTCAGCGAAGACGCCATCCATGCACTGCTGCGGGCGAAGGGCCTCCCTAAAGCCACATCCGTCATATCCCCCAAGGTGACGGCGCAGTACCACGCCATCTACTTCATCACGCTTCCCGCCTCCGAGGCATCGCGCGGCCACTCCGAGCTAGTCCTTCGCGTGTCGGGCCGCCACCTTCCCAGCATCAAGACCAAGAATGAAATAGGCATCATGACCTGGATCGCCAAGTACACCACAATTCCCATCCCAGCCTGGATAGCGTACGACGCTTCCGAGGAGAACCTCATCGGCCACGAGTACATCTTGCTCTCTCGCGTCCGCCTGCTTCGCCTCGCCTTTGCAGGAGAGCATGCAGACGGTGGCCGACTTCCTGCGCGCCATCGTCGAGGTCTCCCCGCGGGGCCAACGGCAGGATCTCGTACAGGTTTGGAAGGCTACGGTACTGCAGAATCTGGAGCCTTTTGGCGCTTAGCGACTACGGAGCAACGTGCGGCAAGGGGTATCGAATAGAATCTTGGAGGAGCACAAGGGTAGGCAGGTAGTGGCCGAGAGAAGCGAGGGCAGTGAGACTGTTGAACTGCTTTTCTCACATGGCGGGACAGTGTCGGACCCGGCCCTGCGCCTGACTCTACTTGACGTGGGCACCGAGAGCGAGCCAGTCAGCATTTGCCAGCGGCTCCTCGGAGGACCAGACCACCAGGCACAGCCTCACAGGCAGGGACTGCTATGGTTGGACGCCTGTATTGCTTGCCTATCAGGGCCGGCACACAGAAATCGCCGATTCATTCAAAGCTTACGACACGGGGGGCCTGCTGGAGAGCCTTGGCGCCAAGGAGGGCCCACCGACTCATTGGACCGCCGACCCGGAGGACGCGTAATGGCAAGCAAATCGGCGTCTCGGAGGGTGGGATAAAGGCTTTCCGCAGATTCAGGCGCCGCGGAGTAGCCTGAGTTAAAGGGCCGAGTGGTCTGGGGTTTACAAGGGCAGACTTCAATCGATTCCGTACCCGATTTGCTATGATTCCGTCTTCGCAGCACTCAGCCACCTCGTATAAGGCCACAGACCCCGGGCGGCGATGGATGAATACGAGTTTGGTGACCGGTTTTTGCCCAAGGAAGAGTGCTCCTAGCCTACCTAGTGCGTGCAGTGTGATCCTACCCTGCTTTCCGTCTAGAAAGACCCTCACTACAAAATACACCTTACACTGAAAGCAAATGCAACGTCCTGTAAACCCTAGGCTCGGATATATAAATCACTTCTTTACCTTCACTGGTTTCTTTTTGTCCCGCTCATATGCGCATCTCTTTCCGGCGCATTTCCACGATGCTTCGGTTTCTGTGGGCTCGAAAACGTTCCCTTAGAATCGCACTCGTCCTTGCCCCCATCTTCATCTTCTTGAGAACGCTTTGGGCGAGTCCAAACTGGACCGATAGATCTGTTCACACGGTCTTGCGATTCGACCCGACGCAACTAGATCTGAACTCGCCTGACACAAAGAGGGACCTATGCAAACGCCACAACTGGAAGCCATTCTACCCCAAGAATCAGCAATCTTCGAGAAGGCTATATGACCTGCTCATGGTCAACACGAAACTGGAATGGCTAGAAGTCAGACTTAACACCACATACGACCATATCGACTACTTCGTCATTGTTGAATCTCCAAAGACTTTCACGAACCGCGACAAGCCGATGATCGTCAGAGAGAACCTGGGAAAGTTGGCTGCTTATCGAGACAAGATAATCTACCACCAGTTGGAGATCCCGGAAGGGTTTCATTCAGATCGGGCCAACCCTGCTTGGGCATGGGAGGACCTTCAGCGCAATGCTATGTACGACCAGGCTCTGGTCCGGTTGAAGGGCAACCCAGCTCCGGTGCAAGGAGACGCCATCATCGTGGCAGACATGGACGAAATTCTCCGCCCCGAGACCATCGCTATCCTCAAGGCTTGCAATTTCCCGCTTCGCCTCAAACCTCCGAAAAGTGAATTCTATTACTACGGCTTTCGGTTCCGACACAAAGGTGTGGAGTGGGCACATCCACAGGCCACATACTATCGAGGCAGCAAAACCATCCTGCCAGTCAACTTGCGCAACTCTGACGGAAGGATCCAGCCGTTGATAAAACTAGATACGGCTGATCTTTGGAATGCGGGATGGCATTGTTCCTCTTGCTTTGCTACCATCGAGGAGCTTCTCACGAAACTATCCTCGTTCTCTCATTAGTGGATGAATGCGGAGGAATATCGAAATAAATACCGGATAGTTTCGTACCTCAGACAAGGGAAAGACCTTTGGGACAGGGTAGGCGAGGTTTATGAAAGGATCGACAACAACCAGGATCTACCCAGAATCCTGCTAGACCAGCGAGAGAGGTTTTCCCATCTCTTGGACAGAGATGGGCAAAACGCGGGATTTAAAGACCACCCCTAGAATAGACACGTTGGCATCGGAACTCGGGACACGTTAGCTCAACGCTGGGGAAAACTGGCCACCATATCTCTACACTCTCCCTCGGCCAAGACGAAGCTCTGGGCTGGCCATCCCGCGACGCTGACGAGCATCCCCTGGCGAATCAGTCACGGGGCGGATTGGGTAAGTATCGGGCACCCATTTTTGCTCCGTTGCCGCCTGATGCTTGATGCGCACTATCCTTCCCGCTCAGCCAGCTTGCCATAGTCAAAGACGAGAGAACGCACGACCTGCTCGGGCGGTCCAAGATAATGCTATTCAACGGCTAGTCAAAATCATGTCTGATACCGTTCAATCCTCTCAATGCAATGTCTGCAGTATACAACTCACAAGAAACGGCTCTCAGCTGACGAATCAACAGCCTACGATCGCCGAGACGCCGACCGGCTTCCTCAGCCTCCCCAGCGAGCTTCGAAACGAGATATACGAGCTGATACTCTTGTGCCAAGAGCCGATCGATCCTTGCGATGAATACAATCGACGCCAACAGCAGCTTACACTTGGCCTGCTCCGCACGAACAAGGCCGTCCATGACGAAGCCAGCTCGCTATTCTACAGCCGGAACCGCTTCGACTTCACCAATGCCACCCCCGAGGAAGTATCCTTATTCATCGAGAAAATTGGGAGCAGCAACGCAGGCTGTATTCGACATATCCTTATCGAATTTCCGCAGTTTCTCCATCTAGGCTCTGACGATGTCACCCTCGTGGAGGACAGCGCCAGCATCCTCGCGATCATTCAGAGCGGCTGCGCCAACTTGAGCACCCTTACGACATCCATAGACAGCACAAGCGCTATGGAGTCTAGGCTAGACGGCCTGGATAACTATAAGGTCGCCACGGAGGTGTTGAACCTGGTTGATGCTCGCTTCAAAGCCATTTCATCCCTGCAACATATCATTCTCGAGGTATACGAGGACGGCCCGAGCGACCATATTAGAAGGGCAATGGAGAGCTACGGATGGACAATGAACACAAGAGAATATGTGGAGGAAGACGAAGGCTACTCGATCGGGGGTTTCAGTGACTTTGAGGATGGTTATCGCTACTATGGCGATGATTCTGATGATTACGACATTGACAATGACAGTGACTTCTGGAGGAGGGCTGCGGACTGAATTAATCGCAATATTATTCTCGTACCTAGGACCTAATTCACTAGATATTGGCGATATAACACTCAGCCTGCTATGGAGCACATCATGCTACCATTTCAACTCTGTCATGGTCCTGTTCCCCGCCGCTATGTCAGGCGCGTTGTCGGTACCCAAGTGCTCGGCAATAGTCAGACGGATAATCCACCCCCATAAGCGCCAGCTGCCGAACTGGCCGGTGCCGCGGTACCGGCAGAGGGTGACGGCGAACACGAAGGTATCGTCAGCCTTATAGGTGGGCATGGCGGTGCGCCGGGCCAGGCAGTCCTGCAAGGCCGGCGCCAGGAAACGCACCTGCGCGTCGGCGTGCTTCCCGTTGGTCGTCTGGGCGTTGCCGGCGTCGCCCAGGGCAAACACGTCGGCGTGGCCCCTCGCCTGCAGCGTGTCGCGGTCGACCCTGACGCGGCCGTCGGCGGCGAGCATGGCCGCCGGCACGAAGCCCGTGTTGGGCCGCACGCCAAAGGCGGGGATGAAGAGGTCCGTTTCGAGCGTCGTCGTGGCCGTGTCCGCCGTCTCGTTGGTCTTGTTCTTGCCGCTGCTGGTCCGCAGCGCCAGGGACTGCTTGCCCGCCGGCGTGGTCGTGGCGTCCAGGACGCGTGTGCTCGCCACAATCTTGACTTTCAGCTTGGCTAGGTTGCGGCCCACCGTCCGGCGCACGTCGTCACGCGCCTCGGGCCCCAGCGGTAGGGCGTCGTCGGCTGTCAGCGTGATCTCCTTTGTCCCCGCGAGCCCGTATTCCTGGCCCAGCTCGCCCGCCACCTCGACGCCCGTCTGGCCGGCACCGGCCATGACGATGGACGGCGCCGCTGCAATCTTGTTTCGGAGACTGTGGATCTCGTTCTTGGTGGTCGCCGTGTCGGCTAGGTTCTTGAAGGGCATGGCTTCCTTGAAGGAGGGGCCGGTTGCGACGACGAGGGTGTCGTAGTCGATGGTCCGCTGCTGTTGATCGTTGGCTTTCGTCGATACCACCACGCAGTTTGTCTCGGAGTCCAGGCTCTGCGCCGTGCCCACCACGTGCTCAAACTTGGAGGCCCCGTACTTGGCGAAGCCCGGCGCTAGGGGGAGGAAGACCTTCGCGTCGCCGAACATGTCGGGCAGAATGGCGCGGACCGTGGCATAGGCCCACAGCAGCTCGTCGTTGGGACTGACCAGCACCACATGCAGGCCCACCGACGCCGGCGTGTGCTTTAGCAGGTGGTGGGTGAGCGGTCAACTCCAGACACATCCCAGGTGGGCTACTACCGAAGAGTCCAGCTAGGCAGGGTCCGACAAGACCGAGCTTGTGAAACGGATCGTAGCCCAAGCCGATGGCGTGTTTCTGGGCCTTCTTCGTGACGCGCTCATTACGAGAAGACCTTTCCAACGGCGATGTGTTCGCAGATCTGCATAAAAATCTCAACGGCTTACCGACGGACCTAGAGCAGTTGTTCAAGCACATGCTGGAAAGGGTGGACCAAATCGACCACCCTAAGATGGCTGGCATTTTGCAAGCCGCCGCTCACGCGTTAGAGCCTCTACACACCGACCTGTACTGGCAGGTGGAAAGGGGGTTCGAGGAACACGACTATGCCTATCGCTGTCCGATAGGGGCTGGGCCATCCGAGTAAAGTTTCGAAGCAGAGAGAGCCGACAAGCCGCAGCATAACGAAAAGACAAAGGGCCTGCTCAAACTCGTAGATCAACGGGTCGAGTTTCTCCACAGGACGGTGAAGGACTTCGTCTTGACTAGAGATACGGAGGAGTACCTGCACAGCAAGCTTCCAGCGGACTATAACGGCTTCATCTCCATCGCCACCGCATACCTCGGCTTCATTTCTCGGCGATGAGTGCTTCGACGGCTATTTCAGGACTCTGGACGCGTTCTTGCGGGCTGGCGCTAGCCTGAGTGTTCCGAGCATTAGAGTGGCGGACCCGGATGCGGGGCCGGCGTTCGGGAACCTTGCGAGAGCGCGGCCGGAGGAGTTGGTGCTCGTGTCGTATTGCACCGAACTGAAGAGCCTTCTGGCGAGATTGTCCGCTGATCCGGAGAGAGCCCGGTTCGTCTCGTCTGTGACGGAGAAGCTTGTTTTGCATTGTTCCGACAGGGAAGAAGGCCTGCGAGAGTTGTCATTGGCGATATCTGAGGGCTGCCCCGGGCATGTTGCCGAGCCGCTGTTGGGGCTAATTGAGGATGAGTTGGAGCTAGGCAGGAGACGGGGAGGGTCACAGAAGAGACACCGGGAGAGTGGGGGCGATGGGCCGTCAGGTTCTGTGTCAAGCATTTCAAAGGAGAGTAAGACGATACCTGCTTTATGTTAGAGTACTGCCCCAGGAATGCCATTGATCCTGTGAGTGTGCATGATAAGCCACAACCAAGCCACCGACCAACTAAATTTAGATACATCACGTTATTCGCCCTCACAGCAGGGCAAACCTTGACGTCGCATTTCACTTCTACCAGGGGTATTCTCCCCCAATACGAAATACGAAACATCCCCGCAACGTGTTAAATACTTCTGAGGTACACGAACAAATGCAAACATCACTGACGCCGCGCGACGCAGATATGTTCATGTCTCCCGACAAGGGATTCGACGAGTTACGACGCGTGCAAGGAGCACCGCCAATGCAGCCGGACGTCGCTCACGACGCGAGTAGAGGAGAGCCTAGTAACACTCCCGTCAGCCGCCCCCGACTCCGACTCCCCAGGCCGTGGCAACTCAGCAGAAACCGAAATGGTTATCCTCCAAACTCCTTCATCACAATGGCAGATAAGAGGCATGTACTATCTGCTGTCTATGTAGGTTTCCCTTTCGTTGACAGTCCTTAAACGGCGCTTCTCCCACCTGTTGATGTACTGAGAAGCTAACACTCATAGTTTATCTACTGGCTTGCATTGTTAGGCTACGCGGTTACGGTACGCGTAGCTGCAGCACCTGGAACTGGTCCTGGACGGACATTAGGTTATATCGATCGAGCGCAAGACATTGAAGTTTACTGTACTGTGGTCGTAGCCCTGCTTATCACCGCTGCCTTTGGGCCACTTGCGATCTTAGTTGTCCCAATGTCAGCCGTCGCTATTGGTTTGTGTATCATGGAGGCTATTAGGCTATCACAGGTAAGTACAAATTATAATTGTATGATATTTTTGCTCGAACAGTGGCTAAATTTGACCAACAGAATCCCCATCGAAGGCATGAGTATATCATGCTCTCTGTTCTTCCAGGCCTCATATTTTTACCCATGTTGCTGAATATAAGAGAGGTTTGGGTATGGTATGAGTGGTATATAAAGGGGGGGAAGGAGCTCCCGGATGTAAATATAGTACAATAAAGGTGTAAAGAGACCCTCCTATCGTCGGCCATCTTCCATTAAGTCAGCTTATTAATATCCTAGTTCTGCAGTATCTCGAATCTCCACTGCCGCTCATGACTGAACACGTCGTAGTCCATCTCCCTCATTCGCGGCCGCTCGACCAGAGTTCGGCAGCCTTTCCGCCCCCACCGTGTCAGACGAAGCACTCAACCGCAAGCTTACTCGTCCTTCTGCTTTTGGGGAATGGGGTTGCCCTTCTCGTCTACCAAACCCTTTTCGCGCATGACTCGCAACGCGTCGTGGATCGGATCCAGTTCCGGCTGAGGGGCTCTATGCGAGCCGAAGTAGCTGTCCGCCCAGGTAAAGTACTGGCCGTAGTTGACGGTAAAATACATGTGGTGTAGCGTGTGGTGTGCCGGGCTGTTGATGTACTTCTCGAACCAGTGGCCCGTGATCATATCGCCGTCGTGGATGAAGATGGTCCAGATCTGCACCAGGCCGAAGAGCATCATGTAAAGGTACTTCTGCACGGGAAAGATGAAGACAAAGACACTATCACGGCTGTCAGCAAGCGGGAGAACCTAACAAAAACAGTATCGCCAGATACAGAGAATGGGGTACGCACTGGTATGGCAGAGACTGGACATATCCGTCAAGCGGGTGGAACGCCAGGGCTGCCCAAGGCGTTGGCACTGGGCTTCATTAGCTTTCGCTCTTCCATTCTTCAAGGGCACAAAACGCCGACTCACCAATCCACTTGTGGTGGGGCTTATGGATATACTTGTACACGCTGGGGTGGTGCTCGAGCCGGTGAATCCAGTAGATCATGAAGTCGTTCCAAATCATAAACAACACGGTTGAGATCGCAACCCACGACCAGCCGTACTCGTCTATGTTGGTGTAGAGCAAGCTGTGGCCACGCACCTCGGCCAGGAAGAATGGGAGAGTAAGGATGTTGATCCAGGGGACGGCGCTCATTGATGAGATGATCTCCTGCCGAACCTGGTTCTTGAGGAAGCGCGGGTGGTGCTCCAAGCGCCGGTCAAAGACGAAGTAGTAGGACAAGGCGCTGAAGACCCAATACAGCGATGTGGCGCCGATTTGGGTGATGACCAGGATGGAGATGCATTGTCGCAGAATGTTGTCACGTGGCCAGGCTGACTCGGCTGATGCGGAAATCGGATCAGGGGCGGAGAGCGTCGCGTTCCAGTCGTTGGCGGGCGTCGCACGCGGGACAAAGCAGGCGTATGCTTTGTCCAAGATGAGAGGGTCGAGGATCTCAAGGGCTACATCCATTTTGAATCGATTACGCCATGCCAGGGACAAACAGAGACAGAGAGAGTTGCGATGTTTGGTTGATGAAGCGAGCTCGAACGGCCAAGTTGCCATCCCCAGTTTTTTAGGAATTTTTAATCTTACCAATTCCTGCCAAGCCCCTATTTCGGAGCCGACAACCGCGCACCACCTCAGCCAATCAATTTAGCCGATAGGTACAACACGGTGTGAGCTCCAAACCCGATACATATTTTTTCTTGTTTAGGTGGGTTCTGTAACTAGGTGCCCTTTCTAAGCTTGAGATTTTATGCGAAACCCTTTCAACATTTTCGCTGCGGTTGCAATGCTCCAGAAGCTTCTGCGCAACCGCTATGGGATACGGCCTGTCATTTTAATATTCCCAAGCATCTTCATGAGGTGTCACGGGGGGATCGAGGGGTTCACAAAGAACAATGGTCAACCGAATATAATTATATCTACAAGAAAAGTCATCAAACATATTTACACACATATCATATGCAGGAACTGCTTCTCGACTGAATGCTAATTCTAGCTATCGATCACCTCCGTTAGCCCTCATTTTCCGTAAAGCCCTTGACCGCTCTAAACCATGGCTGCACTCAACTTCAAAATTGACGGGCTAGACAACCCTGTAGCCGGAGGAGACAAAGCAGCGATGTCCCCCGCCCCCGAGAGCATTCCGTCCTTGTTCTCCAAATTCCGTCGCCTCGCCCTCAAGGACAGGGCGTACAAGAGCACGGGCACGACGGCGGCCCAATTCAACAAACAAGCCTTCCTCATCCTCAACGACTTTCTCCAGCCCGAGCCCCACTGTCGACGGAAGTTGCAGCAGTCGGCGATAGCTTACTAGAACAAAAAATGTCCGATTGGTGTAGCGGTAACACAGAGGGAGTAGTCGCAGTAGGACGCATGAAGCAATAAGTCGGCCAAGTTATACCTCAGGTCCTCGGTTCGACTCCGAGATCGGACAATTCTTTTTTTTGTCCTTTTAATTTTTTCCCTTCGAATTCATTCCTTCTATTGATCTATATGCCCGTATCCCATGCTTTTAGTTTTTTCCGCCTTGGTAACAATACGAAAATGCGTCTCTGAGGTTGGAGGGGCTTTTAGTAGCGAGGTCATCATTGTTGCTTGGATAGGAGAGGGTTGATTGATAACCACAGCTCCTCCCTCCTGCGACGGATTCGGAGAACTCCATACAAGTGTCAGTGAGATCACAGTACCAAGAATTCCTCCGACCCAATGCTTCCCCACTCCCTCCCCGGCCAAACATAGAACATCCCCCTCCTGGGGCTTCCTCCGGCGCGATCCCAAAGGTGACGTTTTACTCGATGAACCCCGCCAGTTCTCGATTGTGGCATGGGAGTAGCACGCCGTCACTTCGTCAATCGTTTCATCCAGCAGGGAATAACCAAGTCATCTTCTCAGATGCCTTTCAACCATCTCGCTAATCCTCGCTCCATTGATCACCCGGTCAGATATTAATACACTGTTAAGCGGCTTACATACGGTTTGATCATAGCTACAATCCGTTCCCCAGCCCCTCTCAGACCTTCTCCACCCTTTCGCTATCAACGACCAGCGCCTGCTTGACAGCCTGATCATAGGCTTCCCCCACATTCGCGCCCTCCATGTTGGTGATCTGGGCACCGATGCCAGTGGAGATAAAGCTGCGCGATTTCCAAGCAGGGACCTTTGAATGGAACAGATCGTCCAGCTCTTCCAGACTTCGCCCCTTCATCTCAGGCACCACGAAGAATACGAAGACAATGGCCAGGATGGAGATGCTGCCGTATATCATCCCAACTCGTGATCCGAGGTTTCCGGGCTCGTTCTGGACGAAGGGGTTGATGTATGTGACCAGGATGCTCGTCGAGAAACCGCCCACGGTGGCTATAGCCATGGTCCGTTCACGAAGCTGGGAGGTCCCGACCTCGGCTACGAAGGCTCACGTTAGTTGTTGTCTTCGGGGTATGAAGAGGAGCTCGTGTTGGACCTACCGGTTACTGTCCACATCACCGATCCCCAGCAAGCAGCTGCGAAAGCGCCCTGTGAAAATGATAAGCAACCAACTCAGGCATTCCTTGAAGATCTAGCTTCCGGGGATGGACTCACGTAGAGCAATATGGCGGCAATAGCCCCCTGCGCAGACGCGCCAGACACGCCACCCGGAGTCCAACTAGCCAGACCGCTGACCGTCCACATGAGGCCCGCCATGAAGAAGGCGCCACCCATTAGCATGGGACGTCGTCCGATCTTATCCGACAGGTAAAAGGCCAAGATACTTCCTCCAAGGCAGCAGCACAAATTGGCACAGGTGATCAACTGCGGGTCGGCGACGCCGACCTGGTTCAGGAAGATGACGAGGTACGAGCTGGTAAAGGAATTGCCCTGCGCCTGCTGCAGGCACTGGACACCCATGGCGACCAGAGTCCGGTGGGCGTTGGATCCCCTGAAGCAGTCGGCATAGGTAGTAGCGCGGTGGATCTCCATCTCGTGCTGCATGGCCTGGTCCACCAGCCTGAGCTCCATCACCACCTCTTCCTCGTTCGAGACGCCGTGGCGCATGTACGCGAGCGCCTTGCGCGCGTCGTCCATCCGGCCTTTCTGGAGGAGCCAGCGAGGCGATTCGGGGATGAACCAGACGGCGCAGAGGAGCATGCATGGCGGGGCTAGCTGGACGACAATCGCTGGATTTTTGGTATGTCAGTCAACCCACCCTGGTTGGAATATTTGAAGGGGTCCCTGTCTTGTCACATACGCGTCATGTACGTCCATTGTCCGACGAGATGCTTCGTAGAAGCGTATACAGTGGCGGATGCCAGTACACCTCCGACGTATAACCAGGTCTGGTAGAGGTTGACGAGACCGCCGCGGGTGGATGCTGGTGCAAGCTCGGCCATGTACATGGGAACGCAGTTGGCCTCGATTCCTGGAAATAACTTGTTATTCTCTCACTCTTGTCGCGTAAACGCGCAAAGGGGGTTTGGGATGAGGTAGTTACCCATAGACAAGGCATTGACGAGCCTTCCAGCCATCAACCCCCAGTAGTTGTGGATGGCACACTGCAGAATCATGCCGAGGAGCGCGATGAGGCAGACAATGACAATCGTCTTCTTGCGGCCGAGCGTGCTTGTCAGATAGCTCGCGATCACGCAGCCCACAATCCAGCCGGCGATGGGGGTGCCGCTGGCGATGGAGATCCAGCTCGAGGGCAGGGTCCGAGGTTGGCCGGGCCCGTTGTTCTGGCCGTAGTCGTCGATGAAACTCTGCGCGTTGATGACGCCGGACCACCAGTTGTTGTCATATCCAAAGTTCTGAGGTTGTGTTATGCGTCAGCGCAACCTCGTTTCAACGAGCAATCCCTGCTCGTTCTAAACATGCTGGCATGACAAGACGCACCATAGCACCAATCTGTTCAGATTTGGTTAGCATTACGTTTCCAATCCCACTATCCAAAGGGTACGAACCGATGCGAAGAGATGGATACGCAGCAGGCGTGGGGTGAGTTCCCGTAAGGCCGATGGTTTCTTGAACACCATGATTCCCCGGCAGCAGCCAACTTTCCACTATTGAACGGTTTGGTATATTGGGATGTGTCAGAGGATGCTGGGTAAACCAGAAACGAATCGCCTTGGTCGAGTAAATGGGGGCATCTTCAACTTATTAATAATAGCATGGCCCATCGGGTGAGCCATCCCTGATTTCGGCAGCGATAAGTGGTGCCCAGTTCATCAAGAAAAAAAACGACGTCGCCCCGCGCGCAACTCGCTTTTGCGGGGTTATGGGGATCTGGCCAATCGCAGGCCTCGTATTTCTGGTTGATTAATTTCCCCTCAGAGTCTCCAGGCCTGTCTCCCCGCACTCTAGTGGACGCTAACCCGCCCTTGAGATTTATCATTTTTATACGCCCCGCGGGCTTCTCGCTCTTGTCATCCTCGGTCGTCAATTCCTCCACTTCCAACGTCTCTGCCGAGTATGTGGACCACGTCCAGACCCTGATAGACTTGGCTGTCTCTCCAAGATGGCCGATGCAGCGCAGAACGGCAGTGCAGACTCTACCGGGACCGTGGCCTCCAGACCATATCGGTCCAAGAAGCAGCGCCCGTAAGTACCTACCCCAGGATCTCTTAGTTCCGGCGCATTTGAAGCTTGACAATCTACATTCAACAGGTGCGATAGCTGTCGGCGCCGCCGAGTTGGATGCTTCGTTGAGTCGAACCAGAAGGACTGCGCATTATGCCGCCACAGGGGTATCAGTTGCACATTCGAGTCAGCAGCTCCTGTGAAAAAGGGGCGTGCCCCTAAACCCCAGCCCAGGCATGCGCCCGATGTTGCAAGCGAGGTACATGTGGGGACACTTCCCAACCTGTCAACTTCACCTCAGCTTCGGTTCCCTCCACCGCCTGAAGTTGCAGGTAACGAATTGCACCGAAGCACGGTTGTTCCCGGTCGCACCGTCCTGTACACGGGCAATAGTAGCGACCAGGATGTCTACCTACTTCGGCATCTGCCTTTTGACCAGACGAATAGCTTTGGACACTCAAACTGGCGGGTGTGGAAGATCTTTCCCGATGAGGCAGCCCCGGCATATTTCACAGTATGCTTCAATTTCCTCGGCGCTGTGGCTCAGGGGCTGTGGGCATTGCTAACCTCCATCCAGTCATATCCAAACACCCTTCTAGACGCCAACACGGGCATGTATGACCTGGAAAGGGTCAATTCCGTCGTCGAACCTTACCAAAGAGAGCTGCTAAGTCTTTACTACACCTATGTATATCCCAGCCTGCCCATCCTGGAGGACCGGGGTCGCCTGGAGGCCTCGATCTCGGCGGGCTCCGTTCCAACATCCCTGATAGCAGCCATATACGGTTCAGCCATCCGTTTCTGGCATCTCTCACCAGCCTTGAAGGGGGTTGAACACATCTCGGCGGAACCCTTATATGACTTTGTCTTCACATCTATGACTCTTGAAGCCAGGACCCCGTCTTTAAGAACGATCCAGGCGATGCTGCTGCACATGCAGATTCCCCCATCGCGTGTACGTGAGCCGAACCACCCCGGATTCTGGGCATTGACTTGCCAAGTGAGTACGGTTCTCAGTTGTGGGGCCCCAGTCCATTTCCTCCCCCACATAGCAACATGGGAAACCCAGCTGATCGGTTGCAGCTCGTGGCTCTCGCTCAAGATACGGGGCTCCACGTGGAGCCTGCAGCCTGGAACATATCCTCATCTGAGAGGAAGACCCGCCGGATACTTTGGTGGGCAGTCTACATGCAGGATAAGTGGTAAGATTGCAGAGCAACTAAAACCAGGGCATCGGTTCTCGGGCTAACGATGACAAGGCTATCTCACTGGCTAGGAAGGCCCAGCCACATCAACGATAGACAATTCAGTGTTGCACCATTGACGGTGGATGACTTTGTGGCAGGGATGAATACCGTCGATAGCTATCTCAGTCATTCCATCGCGGCTTTCGTCACAATCTCGAGACTTACAACAGTGCTTTCGACCGTGCTCGACAGCTTCTACACTATCAACCGCAATCCCTGCGCGATGACGCCGGAAGAGGCTCTCTTCCACGCCAGCCAGTGTCAGGCTCAACTGAGCGAATATGACTCGCAACAAGGATCTGGCCTGCTCCGGCCAAGCAGGGTCATCAACGGTGAGAAAAGCACCACCGTCACTCGCAAGGGAAGTAATTGCATGCTGAACCGCGCTCCAGATTACGCCTTTGTATTTGCGTATTACGGCATCGCCGTATCGATCCAACGCGCGCTGTTCGCGTGCGTAGGGGGAACATCGTATTACGACATCGAGCGCGAGACGCTTCTCTTCCAGGACCTATTCGGCGTCTTTGAGGATCTCCTCAAGCAGGACCTCGATGGCCTCTGGCTCAGCTGTAAGCAGACCCTCCGATCCCCGGCGGAGAAGCCAGTCGTGCCGGAAGTTAGAACTGACGGGTTCCTTTTGGAGACTGCAAATCCAACATCGCCGTCATAGGGAGCTTCATCATAACGGCGCTGCTGTCGAGCACGGATGACAACGTGTACCAGACCCGTCGCTCTACCTTAGAAGGGTTTCGACTTCTTCTGTATCGGTTGGCGGACCGGTTTGAGTTCGCGGCTCTGCCACTGCTGCGGCTTAACTTACTGCTGGAACGCTTCACCGATAATGGGCCGGGTGAAAATGACACGAGTCCGGAAGCGGAAGCGGTCATGGCGTGGGAAGAAGCGTAGAGTATTCCTGGAAATTATAGGGATTACTTTCGGAGCTGGGCTGGAGTTCTTGCTGCGCCCCGCGAAAACGGGTCTCGGCGATAGACGCGTCATGCCTCGGGATTAACGCAATTCACAGCTCACGGGGTTCGACTTACCACCATATTAGGGAGGAGGAGAGCCGGAGTAAAGTGCCGTGGATTGGTGGGGTCCATGGTGGGCCTAAGACAGCCACCTGCATTAGTGGGTGGTCTTGGCAGATCTTCACCGATCCTTGGTGCAAGGTCCCAGTCGCCCCGCGGCCAACTCAGCCCGCAGGCCGATGCGAGCACGATGAAGCTCGTCCAGGGGGGGATAAAAGACTCAGGCCTGTAAAAGCTTGGGATCTTTTCAGACGAACTGTAATAACATTCTCACCATATCGTCGCCTATCTAGTTGCCAACTGAAATCCAACTATTCTTAAAATTAGAGACTCCTGCAAGAACAAACATGGGTTCCCATCAGGTAGACGTCAAACAGGAGCATTATCCGTGAGCATAACTTCACTTTCCCCGTTTCCCTTCTGCCCTCTTTGATGGAAAACTGACATCTTCCCCCAGCTGTCCCCTCTTGGAGAAGAGATTCTCCAAACTGAAGCAGTCCATCATCAAGCCCGAGGACCGAGACAGAGTCATCGAATCCTACCACCGCCTGACCAAGGCACTGGAGGCCGAGGCCAACCGGATCTCCAAGCTCGGGCCCAAGGCCATCCCGGAGATCGACTTCTCCACCATCGAGGCCAACAATGGGCACCTGCCCGACGGCCTCGCCGACATAGTCCGGCAGACCGGGTGCGTCGTCATCCGCGGCGTCGTCCCCGAGGAGCAGGCCACGGGCTGGGAGCAGGAGCTGAAGGCGTACACGAAGAAGCACCCCAAGATTGCTGGGTTCCCCAAGCACGACCCCCAGAACTTCAGCCTCTTCTGGACGAGGCCGCAGGTCCAGATCCGGAGCCACCCGCGCGTGCTCAAGGCCATGCACTCGGTCAGCCAGCTGTGGCATCTCAGTCGGGAGGACGGCCTGTTTGATATGGCTAGCCAAGTGGTTTATGCGGACAGATTCCGAATCCGGCATCCGTCCCTGGGTACGTAACCCCCAATCTTCCCCCAGATAAAATAATTTCCAGGCTGATGGGCGACAGACGCGGAGTACACTCTGAATGCTCACCAAGACAGCGGGGCAATGGAGCGCTGGGAGGACCCGGAGTATCGCGCATGCTACCAGCCAATCTTCGAGGGCAGGTGGGAAGACTACGATCCATGGAACGCGGACCACCGTTCTGATGCCAAGACAGACCTGTACTCGACCGGAAGTAAGTACTCCTGGGTTAGCAGCCCTATCGAGAAGAGAACTTTGGCATGCTAACCCCACAAACCCAGTGTCCTGCTCTGCCTTCCGCTCCCTCCAAGGCTGGATAAGCCTCTCGCACACCGGCACCGGCGAAGGCACTCTCCGCCTGGTCCCGCAGCTCAAGCTCGCCGCCGCCTACCAGCTCCTCCGGCCCTTCTTCATCCTGGACGAGACCTTCGACGACGTGACTCCCCTCTTCCCCGGCGCCTCGCCGGGCGAGCTGCAGTTCTTCCCGACGGACGAGCTGCACCCGCACCTCCTGATGCAGAAGAGCATGGTGGGCATCCCGCCGGTGAGGCCCGGGGACTACGTGTTCTGGCACTGCGACATCGTCCACGAGGTCGACAAGTTCCACCCTGGGACCCGCGACTCGTCCGTCAGCTACAACGGGTGCGTGCCGCTTTGCCCGTACAACCTCGAGAACTTGGTCGAGATGCGCGAGAGCTTCCTGGGCGTGAGCCCGCCGAGGGACTTTGAGAAGTATGAGCATGGGGAGTTGGAGAAGGAGCACGAGGACCACGGCGCGAAGCGGGAGAATGTGCTGTCGCTGGAGGGGCTGCGGGCGCTGGGGTTGGAGCCGTTTGATGAGATGGAGGAGGGGATTACTACTGGCCAGCGCGAGATGAGGAGGTTGGCGAACGAGAGGCTTGGGTTTGCGACCGCTTAGATTTAGATTCTTTCGGCGAAATAGTACAATACATAATGTGTCCTTACCACCTTCATGACTTCACTCCCACCTGTATCCTTCCTCTACCAGTATGCTGGACGAGCTAGTCTCCAAGCAACTCAAGGCCAAGTGGTTACAACTTACATGTCAAATGAACGAGCCGGTGGTGGTTCGATGATGGGCCAAATTGTCATCACTAAGGGAATGTAAAATTATTAGTTCCCAGTCAGGTACGGAGGTCTTCCGACGATGACTGGTGTCCACTCCCCCATCGAAGGGGCGCGCTAATCATGCCAGACGCCCCGCGGCCAACTCTGCGGTGCCGCTTTAATTACCTTACCCACCGAAGGCCAAGACATTAACCCCGGCCCCTTCTCGGTAGTTGGGGGAGAAGTGGAGGAAGGCACTCTTGGCTGGATTGGTATCTCCCATAGAAGTAATTCGTATGCCTTTAAACCCGCAGATTGTACCCCCCTTCCCGGACTTCACAGACTTCAGCAATGGGCCCTCCCTACAAGATCCAAGACTGGCGCAAAGCCTGCGCCGACAAACGCCAGGCACTCTGGGAATCGATACCAACAAGCCACAGGCTGCCTCCCGATCTCGCCGAGAAAGCAGCCAAGGACGAGCTTCTGCCCTCCGATGAAAGCGTGCTCGGATGCGGCATCCTGTCTCCCCTGGATCTGGAGATCACAGACATCGACGACGCTGCTGTCCTCGTAGATCGCATCGCATCCCGCAGGTACACTTCCGTCCAGGTGACCGAGGCCTTCTGCAGGCGCGCCAGCATCGCCCAGCAGACGACGAATTGCCTCACCGAGATCCTGTACGATCGAGCGCTGGAGCGCGCCCGGTGGCTGGATGAGTATCTGGAAAGGGAGGGGAGGACGGTTGGGATGTTGCATGGGCTGCCGGTGTCATTGAAGGTGAGCCACCCCCCGGTTCCTTCCCTCGATCGCAACTACCTAGAGAATGAACAAAGCACTTACCCACCCCACCCAACCACAGGACTCCTTCGGCATCAAAGGCATCCCCACGACAGCAGGACTAGCCTCATGGATCCCCAACATTTCACCCGTCGACAGCTCCGTGACCAAGGCCCTCCTAGCCGCCGGCGCAGTCCTCTACGCCAAGACGAACGTCTCGCAGGCTTACTTGATGGTCGAGAGCATCAACAACGTCTTCGGGACGACCAAGAACCCCTACAACCTCGCCCTCTCCGTCGGCGGCTCCAGCGGCGGCGAGGCGAGTCTCGTGGCGGCGCGGGGGAGCGTGCTTGCATCGGGCACGGATGGGGGTGGGAGTATCCGGTTTCCGTCGGCGTTTTGTGGACTTTGTGAGTTGTTACTTTTACCGAAAGGAAAGAAGAGAGACTGACATGGTACTGACAGGGGGGTTGAAATGCTCCAAAGGGCGCATCCCAGCAATGGGTATCATGGCGCCGGATGACGGTAATGAGTCGGTCAACATGGGCCTCGGTCCCATGGCTCGCACCGTGTCGTCTCTGGAGCTGTGGCTTAAGGCTCAGCTGCATAACCAGCCGTGGGACTCCGACCCCAGCTGTATTCCCATGCCGTGGAACCTCAAAGAAGCCGAAAGAACGACCAAGAGGCTGGTTATCGGTGTGCTGTGGGACGACGGAGTCATCTACCCGACTCCCCCCGTAACCGTAAGCAGCCTGACACTCATCCCTCCCGCTGACACATCCAACTAACACAAAACCAGCGCGCGGTAAAAGAAACAGTCTCCCTCCTCAAATCAGCCGGCCACACCATAATCGACCTCCCCGCCTCCGAGATGCACGACCTCCACCGCCGCGCCACCTCCTGCGCCATGAAGTCCAACGTGCAATCCGGCGGGTCCACCATCGCAACCCACCTCGCCGCCTCAGGCGAGCCGCCCGTCCCGCGGACCGCGACCGGCTCGCCAGCCTCATTCCTGACGACTCCGGAGGTGTTCGCGAACCACCTGGAGCGCGCGGCCATCGCGGGGCGGTACAACGAGCTGTGGGCGCGGTTCGGCCTCGATGCGGTCGTCGCGCCGGCCGTGGCGCACCCGGCGCCGCCGCATGGGATGTATGTGTCGAATTCGTATGCGGGGGTGTATAATATGCTGGATTATGCGACGGGGAGCGTGCCGGTGACGAGGGTGGATCTGGAGGTGGATGTCGCGCCGAGGGAGTGGTATGAGAGGGAGGTGTATCCGCGGATTGAGGAGGAGAGGTTCCCGTATGATTGGGGGGATAGGGAGATGCAGGAGCTGTATGTTGGGCCGCATGTATATAGGGATTCGCCGGTGGGGGTGCAGGTGGTGTGTCGGAGGTTGAGGGAGGAGAAACTGGTGGGGATTTTGAAGGAGGTTGAGGCTTTGATGGCCAGCCGGCCTGCGAAGGGGGTTGGTTTGGCGTAGGTCTCTTCATGGAGGACAGACAGCTAAGACAGTTTAGCGGGACAGATATACTTGACTTCTTTACTTGTTCTTCACCACTTGTCTCCCAACCTCTGGCCAGTACCTGCTGACCCTCGCAACGACGCCCGGCCAGTTTATTTGTTCCCCTTTAGTGACATTCTCCCACCCACCGAGCGGCTAGCCCTCATTATAACCGCTTTGGTCGTGAAGGGATCTCCATCCCACACGATCATTCTGTAAGACACCAGTGATAGCAGAAGTGTGGCCAGTTGTCGAGAACTGGGTCCATTCTATCCCTCAACTTGCATCAATCGCGGATCAAGGCGTGCAATAATGCTAGCTTGAGGTCACAGGGGGGTCTGTTCCTCTGCTGACCATAATACATCGGTGCGGATAACGAGGAGAAACGCATCGCCAGTCATCCTGCCGTGCTAGAAAAAGGGGTTCAGGGGGTTACCCCTGTCCTGTTAAGCACATTAATACTTAAACAGCTTCTTGGGAACGTGAACTGATCACAGTTCGCCCCAAGTGGCCCCGACCCCGGATCCAGGTGGGGATGGATGATCTTCATATATTCGGCGGCTGAATACGCTCTCTGCTACCCTCCAAGCTTGGCGCTCGGTAGTCGGAATGAGGATTGCGCGACAATTGGAAGGGACTCCGGCTATCTTTGGACACTTTGCGGGGAAGCATGGGGGGCGGGTGATCAGCCGGAATTATTGTACTCTTGACATGACTGGATATGTAGTATCCGCCCGCCCGATCTTCAATTGTTGGGCCTTGGCTGGGACGTAGTAATTATGTTCGACTGTGTCCCGCGCAAGGTGCTCGGTGTCAATCGACCCGACGATATACATATATGCACTGGGGTCCTGTGGCCTCATAATTACGTTCCGGTGGCCGACTCCCTTTTCGCATGCCTTGCGAGATTCACAGCGGCCGACGTTCAAACATGGCGCATTTCTCGGTCGGGTGTCTTCTCGTCGCAGCGTTGCTGGCGCCGGTCAGGGGCGGCGTGACTTATCCAGACTGCGCCAATGGCCCCTTAAAGTCCAATCTGGTATGTAATACGTCGGCGGCCCCCGATGCGCGGGCGACAGCCCTTGTGGCGGCCATGAGCAACAACGATAAGCTGGCAAACCTGGTCAAGTTCGTAGACACTCTTGTTCCGATTCCCACTCCTATCCTGCATTCACTTCCGGCCTGTCGAAATACTGGCATCTGACATGGCTGGATCTGCTAGCAACTCGCCAGGATTCCAGGGACTCGGCATGGCGGCATACCAGTGGTGGAACGAGGCTCTCCACGGCGTGGCCCACAACCGAGGAAACACGTGGGGCGGCCAGTTCAACGCCGCGACGCAGTTCCCGCAAGCGATCACGAGCGGGGCGGCCTTTGATGACGACCTGATCGAGCAGATAGGCACCGCCATCAGCACCGAGGCGCGGGCATGGGCGAACAACGGGCGCTCGCACCTAGACTTCTGGACGCCCAACATCAACCCGTTCCGCGATCCGAGATGGGGCAGGGGCCACGAGACCCCCGGCGAGGACGCCTTCAGAAACAGGAAATTCGGCGAGGCATACGTCCGGGGCATGCAGGGGACAGAGACGACGCACCGGGTGATCGCGACGTGCAAGCACTACGCAGCGTACGACCTTGAGGTCTCGGGCAGCACCACCCGGTTCAACTTCGACGCCAAGGTGTCCCTCCAAGACCTGGCAGAGTACTACCTGCCGCCATTCGAGGGCTGCGCTCGGGATGCAAAGGCAGGGTCAATCATGTGCTCCTACAATGCCGTTAACGGGGTGCCGGCCTGCGCGAACTCTTACCTCATGGAAACGATCCTGCGCAAGCACTGGAACTGGACCGACGATAACCAGTACATTGTGACCGACTGCGACGCCGTCTACTACCTCGGCAACGCAAATGGCGGCCACCGCTACAAGTCCAGCTACGCGCAAGCCATCGGCGCTGCGTTCGAGGCCGGCAGCGACAACATCTGCTGGGCGAGCGGGGGCACGGCTCCGGACCCGGCATCGGCGTTTAGCCAGAAGCAGTTCAGCCAGGCGACGCTTGACAAGATGATGGTCCGGCAATACCAAGGACTGATCAGGGCGGGGTACTTCGACGGGCCGAATGGGAAGTACCGCAACCTCGGGGTCTCGAATATCAACACAGCCAGCTCCAAGGATCTCGCGCTCCGGGCGGCCCAGGAGGGTATCGTGCTGCTCAAGAACGACGGCGTGCTCCCGATCGACGTGTCGGGCTCGAAGCCCTCCATGGCCATGATCGGGTTCTGGGCCAACAAGGCGGACAAGATGCTCGGTGGGTACAGCGGAGACCCGCCCTTCAACCACGACCCGGTCACGGCCGCGAAGCAGCTGGGCATCACCGTCAACTACGTCGACGGGCCTCTTGCCCAGGGATCCGCCGACACATCACAGGCCGTATCCGCCGCCCAGAAGTCAGACGTCATCATCTACTTTGGCGGGATCGACAACACCGTCGAGAAGGAGAGCACCGACCGGACATCGATTTCCTGGCCGGGCGGGCAGCTATCCATGATCCAGAAGCTGGCCGGGCTGGGCAAGCCTGTCATCGTAGTCAAGCTAGGGACGCACGTCGACGACACGCCGCTGCTAAGCCTGCCCAACATCAAGGCCATCCTCTGGGCCGGGTACCCAGGCCAGGACGGTGGCACGGCAGTCATGAACATCATCACGGGCGCGGCAGCGCCGGCGGGACGCCTGACGGCAACCATGTACCCAACGGCGTATGCCAACCAGGCGCCCATGACCAACATGAACCTGCGGCCGTCGGGCTCGTACCCGGGCCGCACCTACCGCTGGTACAAGGATGCCGTGTTCCCGTTTGGGCACGGCCTCCACTACACCAACTTCACGGTAACCCCAGGCTCCTTCCCGGCGACCTTCTCCATCCAGGACCTGCTCGCCTCGTGCAGCCAGACGACGTACCTCGACCTGTGCCCCTTCAAGCCCCTGCCCATAACCGTGTCCAACACGGGGGCGCGCGCATCCGACTACGTCGCGCTCGGGTTCGTCGCGGGGAGCTTTGGCCCGTCTCCCGCGCCGATCAAGACGCTGGCCGCGTACAAGCGGGTGTCCAACGTGAGGGCGGGGGAAAGTCAGGAGGTGTCGCTGGCGTGGACTCTGGGAAACCTGGCGCGCGTGGACGCGGGCGGGAACAGGGTGCTGTATCCCGGTACGTACGAGGTGCTGCTTGACCAGCCCACGGCGGCGAACGTCACGTTTACGCTTACGGGGACTGAGGCGACGCTGGATAAGTGGCCGCAGCCGTCGTAGGATGGAAGCCATTGGTTGTACGTAAGCTAGGGTCATGTTAATGGGCGTCAGTGGGCGTGGAATTGACTGTATTGAAGCTGAAATGGGGAGAAATGGGGACAAATCGGAATGGGAAAGGGGAGAAGAGAGAAGGCAATAAACAGGCAAATACCGACGCGTGGATGAAAAGATGTGAAATGCCCTTCTCTTTCTGACGCTTGTCCATTTTCAGTGCATCACTACCTCTCTACGGAATAGTGCTCACATAATACTAGTGATTACCGAATAAATAAAAAAATCATTCGAGATGCAAATCTTCGGACGCTAAGTCAGCGCTAATGTAGCGCTAATGCCGTCGCTTCGAAGGCCGTTGAATTTGGCCGGAATCCACGGCGGAGATAACCTCTTAGCCCCAGGCCGGCAGGCTTCCATGCTGACGCGACGCAACGCAGGTCACCTATTAAATAAGTGACGATAACCCAGCAAACAGGGTCACAAAAGTAGTCTTCTTCTTCACTCCCACACCACAACCACAACTCCAATCTCATCCAGCCTCACCCAGCGCCATCCGGAAACACCAACGCCGAAATGCATCTCATATTAACCGGCGCGACCGGCCTGGTCGGCTCGGGCGTGCTCGACGCCATGATCAAGATGAAAGACGTCACAAAGATTTCCGTCATCAGCAGGCGGCCGGTGCCGATGGCCGAGGACGCAAAAGACCCCAAGATAAACGTCATAATCCACAAGGACTTTGAGAAGTACGACGCAGACCTGCTCTCGCAGCTAAAGGGCGCCTCCGGCTGCGTATGGGCGCTGGGAATCAGCCAGACCAAGGTCGGAAAAGAGCAAGTTCATCCTTCCCCCCATATCCGGGATTCCAGAGGCTAACGACCCGTGCAGAGAGTACGTAAAGATCACAAAAGACTACGCCCTCGCCGCCGCCAAGGCCTTCCAATCGCTCCCAGGCGACGACGCCAGCAACAAGGACGAACCATTCCGGTTCGTGTACGTCTCGGGCGCAGGCTCGACTCTGAAGCCCGGCCTATTCACGTCCCTGTTCGCGCGCGTCAAGGGCGAGACCGAGCTATCGCTGTCCGAGATGCGCGCCGCCAACCCGCTGTTCGGCGCCACGTCGGTGCGGCCCGCCTTCATCGACTACCACGCGCACGCCGCCATCAAGCCGTACATACCGGCGCAGGGCGCCATGATGGACACGTTGGCCTCGGTGCTGGGGCCGGCCATCAGGGTCGGGTATAAGAGCATGTGGAGCCCGACGGCGCAGCTGGGGCAGTTTCTGACGGAGATGGCGATGGGGAGGTTTGATGATAGGTTGCAGGGCGAGGGGGTGGAGAGGTTGGGGGAGTTTGCTATTCTGGAGAACTCGGCTTTCCGGAGGTTGGCGGGGCTGGATAATAATGGGAGGGTGTAGTTGGAGCGGTTTGGGCTAAATTTATGTACGATGATTGTGATGACGATACCACTGGTAGATCCCGGCGCAAGAGCCACCCCCCTCCTTTGTTCACCTTATCAAGAAGCTTGCCTTGAGTGATAAGTTGGGCCTCACTGGGAAACCTAGAAACGGGGTCCATTTGCCTTCAAACCTACAGCCTCTCGTTTGCCCAAGCTGTACATCTTCACTGTCACGGCTGATTCAAACAGTGGTAATGAAGGTTGAAAGTATATTGACGGCCAATCGCGCCAGGCATTGGGCAGTTGTATCTGACGATTGTGCGGTGAGGATTCCAGCCTCACAGAACTCTCGGAAGCAGGCGAAACAAGCAATGAATGATTAATGGGCACTTGCAGAAAAACAAAACGGATTTGCCCCCAGGGCTGAAGTTCGACAAAGATAGCCACCCGAATAACAACCCATCTGATGTCAACAGTAAAGAGCCTCACTGCCTGCAGTGATCGATTAGTGCCAACAAGATGACTGGTCCGTTTTTTGATTCCCCCATGACTCCTCCCATGTGGGCAGCGGCGGTCGAAAACTCGGGCGGCTGGTCCATCAAGTTAGCATCGACAAGAACCAAAAATCAAGGCGATATTCATTCAGTCCTACCTTGTTTTATACCCGCATGATCCGTTGAAGCCCCAGTACTCGGTCCCCGTCTGTCTGGAGCCATCCCGGATAATACACCGTTCGTGCGGGCGGGCTATCCTCAAGGGAACCCTTCCTGGGCCTTCGATTATGTAGATATGTCCCTGGAGCTGGACGTTTTCGAGGGATTCACCTATAAAGACAGTGAGGTGCGGGTCTGCCGGTACCTGTTCTCCCGTGATTTTGAGTGTTAGTGTGTCTCTCTCACGCACCGTGTTGTGGTTTACTCTCCTGTTTTTCCATGTTAGTGAACACGATATGGGGAAGCGAAGGAGGGGCTCATCAACTCACCGAATGGCCACACATGGGAACCCGAGTCTTCTGGCCTCGGTCCTTGCGATATACTCGCAAGCATTTGCTCTTTCGCTCGAGATGATCCGGAGATCGCAGAGCCAGCAAACCTGGGAAACATGTCAGCTAATTGATGTTTCCAAAGCCGGGCACCTGGGGGGTTGGGCGGGGGGAGAGAGGGCTTGGGAATCATGACAACATACTAGAGGATATTCGATTGTGCCTGCTCCTGTCGAGTGGAACAGTCGCAGCATCTGGCCTAAACGGTTTTGAGGGACGGGACCTCCCAGACCTACATTCTGTCCTGGTTGGTATTCCTGCTCAGTGGCTCGGGACATGGTTGAGAAGAGAAATGAAGTATATATGTGTGTAAATGTAGCGAACCTGCGCTTGGTGTGTAAGTTGGCAAATTGATGTTGAGAAATTGTTCGTGTCTGGATGCTTCAAATGGAGCAAGCCATACGGACGTACCTATTAAATAGTTATACTGATCGAGCAGTCGAGGATCGTGTCTCAAGATACACTTCCCCAGAGCCCATTGTTTCCCAATTGATCCATTGTCATGGAACGAATTGGGTCTTGGATCTAAATTAAGCAACTTCTTGGTTTGCAAACGAGCATATTCCTCGTTGTTACTTCGGCTAGGAAAGGGTTGGGAAATGGAGCTGGAATCTTCCCTTCTCCTGAAGCGTCGCTAGGCAACATTAGTCGAGCAGCATCAAAGGGGAGAATCATAAAGATTCTAATTCTGGAAATGCGATACAATTGAAATAAAGAGGGCAAGATGACAGTTTATAAGATTCGTTTCGAATGAGCTTTGTGTGTGCCTTGTGCTAAATCCGGCTGGCTTGGTCCAATGCCTTTCAACAAAGAGGAATGCGTTTTCTCCGTCTTCAAAGGGTGTGTGCGTTTCAGCACCAACAGATCTTTGAGGCCCATAGGGCCATTGGGAAGCGCTCTCTGAAATATGGGAAACCGCTGGGGTCACACACCTAATTATAAAGAGACGGGTCTGGGTAGCTTCCTTCAACATCTCTCGAATCTCCCAATCCGACCTTTCTGAAGCAACCTCAGCCAGCTATCAACATCTCAAGCAACTTTGAGTTCCTCAATTTCCATCGCACATCAACATAATCGTACATTCAGTTTTCAACTCGTCGCCATACTTCAAAAATGGCCATGACTTCGCAGTCAAGCCCCACCCTCGCCGCAAACGAAGTCGACTTCGCTCCAAACGAACTCGAGTTCGCCCCATACGAACTCGAACTCGACCAAGGCGAAGTCACTTGGGCCGGGCCCAGAATGTACGACGATTGGGAAGGTGAAGACATTGACCGCTACTTCCCAGGTGGTCTCCACCCCGTCGCTCTGGGCGACTTTCTCGACGCCGACGGCCGCTTCAAGGTCGTGCACAAGCTCGGGAACGGCGGTTTCGCGACCGTCTGGCTGTGCCGAGACACGCGGGAGAATAAATGGAGAGCCTTGAAGATCCTGGAAGCCGAGCTGTCCCGCGAGGACTGCGCCGAGATGAAGTTCCTCCAACTCCTGACCGAGGCTGGCGCCCTCGAGGAGGCGGCGGCAAACCACATCGTCCTGCCGCTGGAGCACTTCTACATCACCGGCCCCAACGGACGCCACCTCGCCTTTGTCCTCCCGCTCATGAGCGAGCCCGTCTCGGGCGTTTGGAGCGTCGAATCAATTGACCAGGACGTCCCGCTGATGAAGGACATCTGCTACCAGGCCGCAGAGGGCCTCGCCTTCCTCCACTCGAGAGGCATTTGCCACGGCGACTTCCGGGCCACCAACGTCATGCTCAGGGTCGAGGGTGTCGATGATCTTTCGGAGGAGGACATGCTGAAAGTGCTACGCCAGCCCATTTTGTACGAGTTGGGAGAACTAGATCACCCCAGCATGCCCAAGTACCTGGTCTACATGACTTGCTTCAGCGTCAAATCCCCCCACGTCGTCCCCGAGATTGGGATCGCCGACTTTGGAGAGTCCTTCCACGTCTCCAACGCCCCCAAGTCCTGCGGAATTCCCCCCGGCTTCCGGGCGCCCGAGCTCGTCTTCCGTCACGGCCCGGGGTTCGGCGTGGACATTTGGGCCCTGGCATGCCTGATCAGCGAGGTCAGGCATCAGATACCGCCAAACTGCGTGAGCTCAGACGTGGAGGAATTGGTGATGGAATGGGAGGAGCTGATCGGGCCCCTCCCCGAGCCTTTCCGTTCGACATATATCGAGCGAGGATACGCATGCCGGGGCGACGACGACGGCGGACCCAGAATGCCGCCGGCGGAGATACCTCTGACAGAGTCCTTGACTCGGACTCGGGATCATGCTGCTCGGTTGGCGGCTGGGAGACTCGAGCAGTACGGATTCGAAGACTTTCTTGAAGCGAGGTATCGTGGTCCGGTGACTATCTGGGAGTCATCCAAGAACGGTGGCGCCGGCGGAATGGTCGACTATCGAATCCCCGACGATGAGGCAATACAGTTGGTTGACCTCTTCCGCTGGGTCCTCAAGTACTCCGCCGAGGAGCGGCCGACTGTCAAGGAAATCATGCAGCACCCTTGGTTTGAGGGGCGGACAAGGAAGCAAGGCCCGACCGAGACGGCGCCGGACACACTGAAGACCGAGACCGTCATGGTTGATGGCGAGCTCGCAAACCGGCGATGGGGCTTGAACAATCTGAGGGCCTTTGCCTCTGTCATTTTTGGCTTCTTCCAGCAGCACCTGCGGTGGTAAATGATACTTCACCGTATTGGCGGTCAAAGCATGTCGAAGTAGGTAGTCTGTAGCCAGAGTAACGATTGTTGAGGATTGACTGAATGTTGAGGAAATAAAAAGAATGTAATCTTAGAAATGGGACGAGACTCTCTACTGTATGGGCTGTTTGCCAAACAATATTAAAACTTCTTACAACTGCAAGCTCCAACCCGGCCTCGGAGGTTGAGCTATCTCCAGTATCGTGATGACTATCTTTCCAACAAACTGCCCCCCATCCCGCTATTTCCGCTTTGGCAGGTAGATACTAAACTCCAACCCCTGCTGATAAGGCAGCGTTGAATTAACGAAGCCGCTCTCTGGATCACGCATGTAGTCAAGAAGCTCCTTGTACAGTGTCGCAGCTCCGACGGTGTTATCCGCGACCACCACGGCTCCGTAGCGCATCTTCGGCTGGACGAGCTTCAGCGTGGGCAAAGCCATCGGTGTCCAAACTGCACCCAACATCAGCAAAAAGACGAGCATCTAATAAGGGAACAAGATGGGAGCCATACTGTCCAGAAGCAAAAAGTCCACATTCTCCAGATCCTCCTTCAGCGTCTCCCTCAAATCGCCCTCGCGGAGGTCAATCGCTCCACTGACCACCTCCCCGCACTCGCGCCAATACTCCCTAGCGCGGGCCGCCTTCTCGGGCTCGTGCTCGGTGGCGACGACGCGAGCCTTCCCGCCGGTGGCCGCGGCGTTGGCGGACGCGGCCAGCGCGAGGTAGATGGTGCTGACGCCGTACGAGGTGCCGGCCTCGACGATGGTCTTGGCGTTGATGGCGCGGCACAGCTGGTACACGAACTGCGCCTTGTCCGCCTCGAGCGCGATGAACTTGTCGCGCATGATCACGTCTAGGGACTTGTTCGCGAAGTCCTCGCGGCGCAGGTCCTCCTCCTGCGCGGCCGACTCGGCGTGCAGGCGCGAGAGGAGCGAGAGGATGTGGTCGGGCACGCCCTGGAGGGGGTTCGCTGTTGCTGGGTCGGGGGCTGACATGGTGGGAGGGTGGGCGGCTTGCGACTGGAATGGTGGTGTGGATTCTGCTTGGGAAAAGTCGCCGACTGTTGGGTCTGGACACCCCTCAGATGGAGGAGCAGAGGGCTATTTCTACTTCTCGAGGTCGCCCATATAGACGGCCATCTATGCCGAGATCGGAGTATGGATCGTTTGTCCAGGCCCCGAATCCAGTCCCCGAAATGAGTGGACATTGCCATTGCATTCGACCACGACCAGTAAAAACCTGGGCCATCCCCCCAGCAGGTATGCATTATTGAAGCTTGGTGAATTTGGCTAACCTGTGTTTAGCGATGCCAGCCAGGGAGGTGCTGCAGAGTCGGGCCAACTTCCCTCCCTCCTCCAATCGCATTCCAGGCGTCTTACATCTGCCAGTCCATAATCATGCCGAGCCTCGCTTAGCTCGTTAGCACATGGTCAAGCTTTCTCTTCCGACAACCGATCCAGTTGCTGCGTTTCAATCTGATTAGATTAGATATGATTAGATGATCAGATAAGATCTGGCGGGACCTATGTCGCCCCGTAGTCTCGATCTCTCAATGAGAGCCAACATGACGGCTTCGTCCTCGCATCGGTGGGCATATAGCTGTTTACCAGGGTGTTTAGCCCCAACTGGCAGCGAGCTCTGTTTATTCCGATGCCGGAAGAAACGTCAAAGGAAGAGAAAAGCACACAGCTGCTGCAGCTGAAGACTGGAGGGGAAATTCTTAACCTGGTTAGCGAGACCTGCAGCCACGAGACAGTGTCGTATTTCGAGTGTCGTCGCCGGCGCATCCGCGGAACTCCCAATTCCCGGTCCCCATACTTTTCATCCCTGCCTGGTTACCTGTTCCAGACATTTTAAACGATTCCCGGGTTCAAATTTAGTAACTGTAGCAAAGCAGACAATTACGGCTGTACCTCAAATTTCATGACTCGCGGTCTCCATCGGCCCAAATCTATTAGCCCGGCCGAGAAAGGGTGGTTTGGTCCCGGAAAGGGTTTGATCATGTACTCGGCCATACATTCGACAACGTCGACATCATAATACCGTCTCAAGTCTCCCATCCCAACACCAAACGGCAACCAAGGAGCTATGTTGCCCCCTGGCGAATGTCATGCAGATCCCGCAGCTTCTTGACAACCTTCTGAGGGTTGGACAGGTCGACAAAAGACCACTTTGATCCCCGCACAATCTTCAGCAGCGCCCATATCCCGAGAAACACAAAGACCTGGAGGCGAGCGACCGTTAGCATTTCGTCAGATCATCCTCGCGCACCTAGATCAGTCCCACTTACAATAAGATACGACGACAGAAACGGCAAGGGATGAAATCCCTTCCACAGCGAAGTCCCATTTGCCACGACCAGGATGAAAAGACAGCCTGCCAAGGCAGCGTAGGCCAGCAGCGGCTGCCCGTGGCCGCGGTAGGGGTAGTCATGGTAGTCCTCCCGGCTCCAGCGTCGGACCTGGGAGAATTTCTGCGCCTCGAGGACTGAGCGGTGACGGTCGATGCTGCGTATCATTTAGCGAGGCACCGCCAACTGACTGCCTTCATGGGGCAGTGTTCATCCGTCAAAATTCCCTTGGACTTACCAATGGTAATACCTAATGAAGGCCAGGCACTCGCAGGCCCACACGATCAAGACTCCAACGGAACCCATCTCGGCCAAGACTTCGATGAACTAGTCTCTCGCATTAGCCCAGGATTCCGAATACACCCCCATCGGAGAATCATACCATGCCGATAGGCGTATCAGTAGATGTGCCCCCACTCAGCTGCAGAAACGGGACCCAGCAAAAAGCAAGAGCCGAGAAGATCATAGCGCGCATCGGCACCTTCCTATGATTCGTCCTGCCGAACCACGCCAGCAAGCGCAAGACCCACGGCTGCCCGGTCCCGCCGTCGAGCCGACTGGTCAGGCCGAACAGGGTGCGCGACGCGACGTACAGGTTCGTGTTGGCGCAGGTCAGGCACGTGAAGACGAGGAAGGCGTTGAAGACGTCGGCCAGGTGCGGGACCCGCGACTGGTACGCGATAGCGACGAAGGCAGACGCCGTGTTGGTCTCGGGCGACGGCGGCGACGAGGCCTGGCACGACGTTGCTGTCGCGTTGATCCAGCTGAGGCGCGGTAGCTGGCAGTCGTCGCGGGCGATGTCGAAGGTGGCAAGAAGGCCGCTGAGGGAGTATGCGATGGTGGCGAGGACGGAGATGAAGATGGCCGAGAACTTGACCGTCTTCCCGATCAACGTGTCGTTGGAGGGCCGGGCTAGGTCAGAGTTTGTTCGGGCTTCGACGATCTTCTGGGGCCATTCTGCTTCTAGGGCCGAGGCTGCGACGATCTCGACCCCGACGTATGCGAATGTGGCGATCGACATGGACATGCTAGTAGTGTCTTGTCAGTAACACCCAAGGAAGCGACCAGGCCCGGGCGACTCACAGCAAGGCGGTGCCCCAGTTGTTAGCAGCATCGGTGTCAATCGCGGTAGGCGAGCTCCAATCTGTCGGTCTTAGTGCTCAAGCTCGAGACGATGACACGGAGGGAGCTGACTTACACTGAGCGCCCAGATACCCTCTTCCACTCGGACCAGCTTCTCACAGTTAGTATGCGTTTCTCCCACGAGCAATCAATCGACTCAAGGGAAGGTTAGAGGGCCGAGGGGATTATTTGTTTGTACTCACCTCCCAGATTAATCGCAATCAAGGCAATCATTATGACGGCAAGGAACAGCAGCTTGATGGTGCCCGAGACTACCTCAATCAGGCCATATATCTTGGGAATTATCAGCACAGTCGTCTGATGATTGTTAACCGGAAGGACGGGATCAGCTCACCTCAATCCCAAACGCATTCACGAGAACAAGAGTAAACGGGATGCACAAGTAGATGATCCCCCCCTCGATACCCTTATTGCCCGCGACCCCAGGCCAGAAGTTAAACTCAGCGGCCGAGGTTGCAATAAGCGCAGCGAACGAGACCGAGTACGTAAACCTGCCAGAGTCATGAGCTGCCGGTACCTCAAACCCGCTTCCCCGAAATCACATACCAGTACGCGATGCCGACGGCGATGCCCAGCTCGTCGTCGACGAACTCGCTGACGTAGACGGACAGCGCGCCGGGGATGGGCCAGATGCACAGCATCTCGGTGATGCACTGCATGACTGCCCACGACAGGAGGCCCACCAGGAAGAAGGACAGGAGGACGGCCAGCGGACCCCCGAGCTCGAGGATCTGGCCGCCACGCCAGTAGAGGCCCGTCCCGAGCGTGCCGTTGATCGTGATCATCTGGTTGAGGTCAGCGCTGTGTGTAGATACACTCACGCATCCGTGCTCCAATCCAGGTGACAGGGTCAAAGGCCAATCAGACCTACAAATAGATGGATCCCCCGCAGCTTCCTCTTGACAGTCCTATCCGGGTTCGGCGTGACGATGATCTGTTTCGGCGGCGCACGCTTGAAGCCGTCGACGTTTTCCAGCTCAATGGAGGCAGCCTGGCTCGGAGACGCCGCCGTGTCTTGGCAGTCGTCTGTGGGGCCCGAAGCGTGGGGCGGATCTGTCGCCGGGCCGTCGCCGGGCGGGTCCTTCCGCGGTTCGCTCGCCGGTGCTGACGCCTTCGGGTACCATTCGGGCACCCATTCTGGTAACTCTCGCGACTGCGGCATGTCCTCGAGCGCATATGGGGGATTGCAGCTGTGCAGATGGCCGGCGAGAGAAAGTGGAATGGGGATATCTGGGGGGAGAGGGGCTGGAAAGGCGATAGGAATCGCGGTTTCAACTCTCAGCCGCACCGGAGCGTCGGAGGGCCTGGCCAGCGCGGATCGAAACACTCCCGCCCATGTACTCCGTACTGCGCAGTAGACGGGAATAAAGGCAGCGGCTCGAGCGCTGATGTTTGGGGGAGGGGGAAATTAATTGGGGTTGCCTCGCATCAGTGAAACCTGCTCCGCCAATGGTTGTTCCCCCTCGCAGGCAGCCGAATCACATCAGATGTAGTCCTATTGGTTCCTGTGCCTGCCTTGGAGTCCTCAGCTGAAGATCCCTTTTCCACGCTCTTTTAAATTTGCTGCCTTGTCTCGGTGTTGTGGCGCCGGGTGTGGCACGGCTGATGGAGGGCGATCAGGTGGTCGCAAGGATTGATGGATGCCTCTCGGCTTCTGTGACGTGTTTTTGACTCCTCAAGAGCCTCAGCAGGAGCTCTTGGCGCCCTACTTAACTGTCTCTCGCCATTGATTGTAGAATACAAAATCGGCATCACAAGTAATCCCCATTCCCCTTGAATACCGATATGACCAGGTATAGAATGCCGGACAGGGTCACACAAAACGTCACTTGCCGCTACATGAAGAAGTCCAGCCTGCAGGCACTGCTCGAGCGACTCTTCCCGGGGCAGAAAGAGTTCAACATCCGGGTAAGCCTTGCGCCCTTTGATCGATCGGTCGGTCGGCCGTGCAGTAGGTCCCGCGCATCGGATCGCATCGGCTAACGGAGAGGCTGGGGTAGATGAAGGACGACCAGTGGTGCTTTACGGCGCCGAGAAAAGTGACAGAAGTATGCAAGCCACCGGTGCATTTCAGGCTTGGGTTGTTGTTGGGTGTCGCTGCTAACGACTTTTGCGCCACAGGCCGACCTCGAGTAAGGACTCTCCCGGATTTTCGACGTTCCCAATCTGCCATTTACTGACCGAGCTCCTTTGCGGAATAGCGTAGCCCGAGACGATTGACCATCGCTGGCAGACCAGACGGCACCGCCATTGTGGAGGGGGCTTGGAGGGGGGCGCAGTGCGGACGACAGGGGGGCGTGGGCGGGCAGGGTAAAAAGCAGGCAGGATCGTCAGCAAATCCGAGGTCGCGAAACGGGGAAAGAAAAACGCCTCAGCGGTTGGAAGCGGCGTTTTTGCGCAATGTTAAATTTATCGATCGCTGGAACTTAAGGACAGGATGGATGGCATCGATATTCTCTTTTCTATTTTCGGGGGCATCTCTTAGAACTTGAGCACACGAATCTTTTCATAGCACTTTATCACGTCGAATCTTTTGGTTCCTTGAAACTATTATGGCGGCTTTGGACAACTGTTTCGTTGATCGAGTAATTGAGCCAGTGCAACTAATCGACGTCGGCGTGGTGGTGCCCGCGAGTGTGCCCGCAAATCCCCAACAAGTTCCCGAGCAATCCACGACACGATCTCACCACCAGCGATTCTCGACTTCGGACGAGCTGACCACATATCTTAATAACACCCAACAAGACAATTACACATGTCGCTATATGTGCGCCGCACTCTGCCCGCCGGAGTTGACCTCTGTGATTGTCATCTAACATTACCACAGATCGATATGTCAGCGCAACTCCTGGCGGCCCTTGCAGGCCACCAAGCCGATGCTAGACCTCATCGTCTCCAAACATGACATAAGCCCACCATTCTGGGACCTGCCGTCATGCTTCTATACGCGCAACTTGGACCTCGAGGAGGTATTTTGCGTCCCGTATACAGAAACTCGCAATGGCATCTTCATAGGTAATTACCCCCCTCGGCCATCCTGGCGACCTCGACCTAGAACCTTCCTTTGCTAAAATGCGCCATCAGAGATATCGTACACGGTGAAATACCCAGAGTACAAGCCAAGCGAGGACAAGTGGGCGATCCGGCAGAGCGCCATCTACCACCGCTTCAACACCAAGACGTCCCAGAGCACGTTCGTGCTGTTCAGCCCAACCCCCAACTCAAAGGCCCATCAGAGGGCCGAGGCGTGGCTGTCCAGCCATGGCCAGGAAGCCGAGAGCGAACCGTTCTGGCTGCACCGGGTGCTGTTCTCGACGTACTACCCCGCATATAGGCAGTACATCGCCGCCCTGGAGCGCGAGTTCCTCCCGATCGCCAACAGCACCTTCGCGACCTACATCGACGAGCCGCTGCGCCTGGGCTACGACAACCTGAGCGCGCTGATCAGTCTCGAGAACCGCTTCCTGCAGATCCCGTCCATCCTGGCCCCGGCGACCGACGTCCTGACCGAGCTCTGCGCGCTCCTGGGCTCCATGTCCGCGGCCGCGGCGAACCACCGGGGCACGCAGCAGCTGCAGAACCAGCGGCGGCAGTGCGTCGCCTACTCGCGGGCCGCGGAGCACCTGCGGCAGCGCGCGCAGACCACGGCGCAGCTGCTGGCCGACACGCTGTCGTTCCGCGACCAGGTGGTGGCCAAGGAGCAGAACGGGAACATGCTGCAGCTCAACAAGTCGGCCGTCTTCATCACCACCCTGAGCCTGCTGTACCTGCCGGCGTCGTTTGTGGCCGTGAGTTCTTTTGCCTTCACCTGCCCCCCTACCGGGATCGCAAACCCCCGCTAACAGGAACAGACCTTCTTCGGCATGAACTTCTTCGACATGGACCAATCCAGCGGCCGCATCGTCGGCTCGCCCATGATCTGGATCTTCGTCGCCTCCGCGGCCGCCCTGACCGCCGCCACCTTCCTCTTCTACTATTGGCTGCTGCAGCGCGACGGCGCCATGTTCCGCCGCCTCGCCCCAAAGGTCCGCATCGCCCCGGACTGGAACATCAGGGACCTGACCCGGCGCCTGACGGCGGGGGGGAAGGGCCAGGGGCTCGAGCTACCGGGGTCGAAGGCTTGAGACTGGATGAGCGTTGGGGGCTCGGGGGGGGGATTGGGAAAGGGGGGGGGGGGTTCATCGATTCTGTCCTGTTCTTTGTATTCGTACTCCGTATTTATTATCGTATCCCCCAGTCCCCTGACGGCATTATTCACCGTCTCCCCCCCTCCAACCCAGGCACTCTGACCCTATAAATCGCCCTCCGATTCGCCCCCACCAGCGCCGCGATCAGAACATACGCCTCCCCGCCGACGCCCGCCAACCTCTCCGTGAACTCGTCGTCATGCGCCAACCCCGGCAGCACGGCCAGCTCCCTGACGGCGACGGCGTCGGACGACCGCGGCACCGACAGCTCCAGCAGCAGCATCCGGTTGTTGGCCGAGGTCCGCCCCACCGCGAACATGGTGCCCGCCGCTGAGCCCGCCATCAGGCGCTGCACGCGGTAGTGGCGGATGTCGTGGCGCATCGCGGGTGTCGCGTCGTCGTCGTCGTCGTCGTCGGTGCCGGTGGTGGTGAGTTTTTGGATGTGCAGTGTCTTCTCGCGCGTCACGACGGCGCAGGTCGAGGCGTCGTGGCGGAGGGGCGCGAAGGTGGTGAAGAGGCCTGATGTGCTGCTGGTGTCGAGGCCCTGGGGGGAGAGGGGGTTAGGGAATCATTGAAAGAACAAGAGGGAAGTAAAAGGAGGATGAAATGTCGAAGGTGGACTGGTCAAAAGGGGAGCTGCTATAGTGAATGACTTACTCGTGATTCTATGATTAGAGTCTCCATCGTCTTGGTCCTGAGGCATAGGTGGACGATGGGAATCTTGTGCTCGCGGCTCTTTACGGTGAGTTCTGGTCGGACAACGATGTAGATGTCCTCGCTGGTGGGGAAGGACAAGTGTGTTACGTCGGCCGCCGGCCAGTCCAACTTGTCTGATGACCAGCGTTCGCTTCCGGACGTGTTGGATGTATTCCCTGCAGATCCGCCCGATGAGGTTCCGTCGGTCGATGTACTCGGCCTGGTGGGAACTTGGTCAGTAATCACGCATCATGCCAGTACTCTACGGGGTATTGAGGGATAAGAACATACGGCGTTTTTGCAATCTTGATCAGCTCCGAGATGGGAGCAAGGAATAACGAGCCCGGGTTCTGGTCTTCCTCCTTGCCCCGCAGGATGCAGGCCAGTGTTTGGTTGTCGGGCGAAATAGCCAGCTTGTTTATCTCGGGTCGCGGCAAGGCAACACGGTACCAATGATCGAGGCTGGCATCGACCGAGGGTCCTCGCTCGAGATCGAAGATGTAACACTTGAATTTAGCGGTGTTAGCGGATTACCGGGTAGGTCACTGGTGCTAGAATGGCCGAATTCACCTGAAAGTTGCCTCCCGTGGTGGAGGCTATCAAGTACCTCTGGGTCAAGCCGATGCTCTTCCATATGCAGTCGGTTCTTTCGAGCGAGTATTCCGCCGCCGGCGTCACCACGTTTTCATCCCCGGAGGATAAAGATTGCGCCGTGTACAGCGAGATCTTGATGTCGGTCCAGTATACAACGAGTGTTCCATCCGGGGAAATCTCGCAGCCCTTGAAGGCCTCGGAGGCGGAGAGGTACCACTCTTCTACTTGCCTATCGACAGCGAGTCCTGACCTGTGAGGCACGGGGTGATGAGTCAGTCAGGCCATTCAAATGATTCAGGGAGATACTAGGGATTCTGTTTCACCTTGGTCGCATTTTTTCCCAGAGAGCTTTGCCTAAGGGTTTCGATTGCTTTCCTCCTGGCTCTTGGTCCCTCCCCGTTTCCTGCAAGCTCCTATACTTCTTGAAAGTTTCGAGCAGCATTTCCTGCACCTCCTTTGCCCCCCGCCTCTTGAACTGGTTGATTTCAAATACTGCATCCTCAAGATACCTCAGCATGAACCTCACCGCATTGCCTTCACGGGAATCTCGTTGGCTGGCTTTATCGATGAGATGCGTATGCCACCTGGTAACCACCGGATGAACCTTGGTCGGCGTGAATCCCCTACCACGGAGGAAGAACCGGTCGTAGCCATCGGCGTTGGTGTGCTGCATCCTGGCCTCCTGGTATCGCGCCACGCCTTCGCTTCCCTCCTCCAGATACGCAAACACGACGCTGATGACGCACGCAAGTGACCAGACATCGCTCTCCGCCTTCATGCTGCGAGTCGACGAGATGGATTCGGGCGCCAGGTATGTGCCCTCCCCACGCCGGTTGAGAGTTGCCGACAGGGACGGGTCCTGTGGCCTTCGGCGTCGGACGAACCAGCTGTCGAAATCCTTCTCCCTCTCGCCGTCCTGCCCTCGGCGCCGAATCTTCACCCGGGACATGCCGAAGTCGCTCAGTTTCCAGATGTTGCGAGTTTCGCCATCTCTTTTCTCTCGGAAGATCAGGATGTTGTTGGGCTTGAGGTCCATGTGGTAGCAGACCAGGTCCTCCATATCGGATGTTTTCATCTCATTGTGGAGGAAGTTCAGCCCGCCCGCGAGACCCTCGGCGGAGAGGATTATCTTCGCCTTCTCCATGGTGGTGTTGGGCCTCGCTCGATGGTGCTCCATCATGTAGGCCCGGAGGTCGCAGATGGCGAGGGGCATGAACAGGCTGTACATGCTCGTGCCGATCTCGAGGGCGCCGTAGTTCTCGAGAATGTTCTCGCACCGCCGCCCGGAGCTGGTCAGGATCTTCTCCATGATCTCGCGCTCCCCGCTTACGCGGAACCCGCTGCCAATAAGGTAGTCCTTGCGCGCCATGTCCTCGGCATCGACGTTTGCTGTCCTGGTCTGGGGATCGAAGAAGTGGCCCTTGGCAATCTTGACCTTGAACACCTTGCCAAAGGATCCCTTCGCCAGCGGCTGCTCTTCCAGATAAGGCAGGCGCTGCGCCTCCACGTCCTCAACTCTGAGCTCCTCCCTCTTGCGGATCACGGCCGTGCAGAAACACGCCTGTTTCGTAAAGAACTTGTCCGCGGTGACGACGTTGCCGAACAACTCGATGAGCGCTTCCCGGTCCGCCGGCAAGGAGCAGATGATCTTGCCCCTTGCATCCCTCACAGGCCATGCATCGTTCGCCACAAGCTTGATGATAAAAGTACTGGCAGCCTCAAAGCCGCACGTTGCGAAGATCAGGATGGCCAGGAAATCATGGAGTTGCCTTTCATTTACCCTGGCGACGAGATCTTCCTCGGTGAGCTTGGACTGACCACGCGCTGTGCCGTCGGACAAGAGAAGGGTTCGGAAAAAGCGCAGCAGATTGTCGCGGTGAAGTACCTTCTTGGCGGTGCCCCTGGTGGCAAACCGACGCCTGTCGTCATTTTTCCTCTCCAACTTTTCTAATATCTCCTCGTATATTTCGTCGCATAGGGCATTATAGGTGCGGGAAGCCATGTCTGAGTGGGCGCAAACGCTGCGTGTGTCGTTGCATTGTGGAGGTGCAGGCTAATTAATTGACGGTGTCAGGCTCGAGATGGATGGATGGATGGATGATTAATGAAAGCGAGAAGAGAAGTGGCGCGCGGCTGATTCGCCTGGCTGTCATCAGGTTCCCTCCGTACTTCAGCCCTCGTTTCAGCTTCAGCCCAGGTCTGGGTAAAGTTTCCTGGGATGTGGGGATGAGCCACCTGACCGAATTAGACAAGAGCAAGGCGGCCTCCCATTGGCAGCTGCACCTGGAGAACCGAGAGATGAGGTTTCCCATTCTGGCAGGAGGACCTCTGCATTTACGTGGCATAAAGAGAATTGATCCTGTTTACATTTTCCCAGGAGATACTCTAATCGAGGTCACCTCTCAGCATACCAGCATCTCACTCGTACTCCCAGGTCTCCATAATGACATCCCCAATCACAGCATGGTCCTCCTCCTGCCTCAACCCACTGACCACCACCACCGCCACAACGCCCTCCACGCCCACGACCCGGATCGGCACGCCGCCGCCGTGGATGGCATAATCGGCGGCCCGCTCGGGGCTGATGCCCATGCGGGCGCGGAACGACGCGTCGTCGCCGAACCGGCGGTTGAGCAGCCACGTGCTGCGGCCGAAGCGCAGGACGGCGTTGCGCTTGCGCCGCACCCACTCCTCGTTGTCGGGCGTCGCGCCCGACCCCACGGCCGCCTGGAACAGCACCTGCCCGCCGGCCGCGAGCGAGATGGACACGAGCGTCGGCGACGTCGCCGAGAACGGGAGCAGGCGCGCGTGCAGCAGGTGGCCCAGCTCGTAGGCGTCGGCGGCCGTGAAGCTGCGGAAGGTGAAGCTGTCGCCGCCGGTGGGGGAGCTGAGGGTCTCGAGCTGTTGGTGGGGTTGCGTGTTTAGACCCTGGACTCGTGGATTCGGGTTGTATGTTCCGGGGTGTGTGTGTGAAGACTTACGTCGGATGGAGGAGCGGGGATCGGCCTCGCCTCTCCGGGGTTACGTATCGCGGCGAGATCCTGCTCTAAGCCATAACCAGAGGCGTTGCCACCACGGCGTTTGAGAACCTTTGAAGCCATTGTATGTCACGATGAGATGCGGCAAGGATATGAAGATACGATGGTGTTGATATGGTGGTGTTGAGGTTGATGCGGGGAACCATTAATTACCTCTCTCCAAGAAAGTCTATCAAACAATATATGTGGGAACAATTACGAGGGTAATTGGAGTTCTCCTTTCGCCCCACAATTGTCAATAAAATCCATAATATTACCTAAATCTGACAACATTGTGGGTTAAGAAGCTAGAAACAATCCATTGATCTTGGCGGTCGATGGCTTGCTTCTCGGCAAATAAATGCTCAGGGCACACGCCGTTCTCCACATGTTTGGCAAGCTCGGCAGATACCCTGTTGTCGGCCTCCTGTTTGCCAAGAGTATTAGACGGTATCCATCTTAGTCCTCAATCCTCTCAGGAAACGACATGCCTCTTTCGATGGTCGTGACAATCTGATATGCGATCCACTAGCTTGCCATGATTGTACGGGAGAGTGTAGTCAGGGGCCCGGATCCGATGGCTGCGAGAAGACCCCTGGCCATTGCCCACGGTGGAATGTAGTCGAGGTTGCGGATTAAAGTATGAGGCCAGGCTCCTTTTCAACCGCAAAGACGATATTTTGGCGGCTCCAATCACTCGTCATTCTCGCAGGCCTGGTTCATCAGACGTCGGCGACACAGGCCCAGTATTCTATGCAAAGGTATGGGTACAAGAAGTGTAATGTATGCAGAGCTCTATAACTTCAGGAGATAATATAATAAGCAAACTGCCAAATATAATTTCCAAATGGAATGCGTCGACTAAATGGGGCCCCCAATCCACTGATCTAGCCCCATCGTGTCACCACAGTCCAATAAACCCGGGCATCGTATAGCTCCCTAGGGTATCCAAGGTATAGGGTCTTCGGGGTCTGTCCAGAACGAGATCAGCACGCAACTCCACCAGACTATCAACTGCCCCAGAACACCCCACTTACACTTCCTAAACTGATAAACCATTCCGTCCCACGATCGCTTGGTGCCGAAGGGCGCCTTTGAGTGCGACCAGAGAACCCCCACCGTCGTCCAGTTGGAAAGGGAGATGCGGAAGGGGTCTCGGGTCTTGTCCTCCGTGTAACCAAGGAGGGAGACGCCGAGCGTGGCCGAGCACAGGATCACGTAGGGCGGATTCGCTGGCTGGATGAGCAGCCCCTTTTTAGTCCCTTCGACCTTGCGCAGTTCATCGATGGAGATGAGCTGGTAGCGCTTCTGGGCGCTATCTCGTTCCTCGGGGGGCATTTTGGGGGATTGTTGGCTTTGTTTGTCGGCTTAGGTAACTGTTATTAAGTCTTTGTTGCCAAAGAGCCCAAGCTTGGGGTTGAAGATAGGGGGAAGGTGCAGAATGTCCTGGGGTGTACTTGGTTTTATAGACCAATACTATCTTTCACTCACAGGGCAGTCTTGTCAGACACTCAGTTGTGTCCCTGCCATTATGACTGAAGGGAGGACGTTTAGCCTCGAGCTGAGCTCATCGTGGCCCTTATTCACAGCAAAACCTAGCGCTCAGTCTCCGTGCTAAACCAGTGACGTGGAGTTGGGCCTAGAGGCATCAGCGGATAATACAGAACCTAGAGTTAACACAGTCTTGGTATGAAATGAGGATCCTTGAGCTTCTCCTATCTCATGCAATATTCTTCTCTAACCATCGAGGACACTCACTGCTCGCAGTTCCCGACAATGTGATTCAGTACTTCGAGCGTACCTCCCACCCGATTGATGTACCACTGTTGACAAATACGTCATGGAAGACGTAATAGGATACAAGATGAGACTGGAATTGCACGGGGAAGCAATCACCTCTCAAGACCAAATGGCTGGACTCATAGGTGGTGATGACTCGTTTCCATGGCAGCCATGGCTAGGATTGTCAACACCTTTCCTAGAGGTCTTATAGGGGAAAAGGGAGGAAGGAGCAAAGTTACGGTCAATGAAAGAGCCCGTTAGGGTTTGAAAGCAAAATAAGGAAAACTTCAAGGGTCCAAAAAACCAACGCTGAATTGTATTTAGTCTCGTAATTAGTTACGACCCCCTAATTATCGGTTGCATTTAACAGGCATTTTCGCGTGCCTTAACTGCTCAATGTTCGAACTGCTTGCCAATCGCACAGCGTGGACAGTGGTAAAGGACTAACTCATTCAACTCGTCCTCGGTGAAGGAGTCCAACACGGACTCGTACAAGGCATGGATTCCATCCCTCCACACCTTGTCATCTTTGTAGAGGAGGAAGTCCTCACAACGCACCACCTTCTTCTCCGGGCTTCCGCTTGGCTTGCGGCATTTCTGGACGTTTTCATCGTGATGCTCGCAGCGTTTCAAATGGGCCTCTATCGTGTAGAAAAAGACCACCGGATGACTCTCGAAGGTCAGATCGCCGTTTTGGTCCCCGTTCACCTTGCGATACTCGGCTTGCAACCGAGTCATCCATTCTGCTTTGGCTGCGATTGACTTGGTGTAATCGCCGTCGCACGTCAGGTTATACTCAATTATCCTGCACATTGTGGCGCGGGCTGTCTGACAGTAGTTAATAGATCGTGATCGTCTTCTGATTGCGCAGCTGGATAGGCACTTACGTTCGAGTTCGAGGAAGGGGGCAGATTTAGAAGGTGCTGGAAGTCTGGAGAAGCGAAGTGAGAGTGAAGGTAGGAAGCTACTCGAAACTGTTGTCATGGAGTTCTGTTGTCGGAGAACGGGCTCAAAGGGGGCCAGGAGTTGAGATATTATATATCTGGACCTGCTCAAGCAGCGCAAGCATGTGCAACGTGCCGATAAGGTCATAGTTGGCTACAAATCGGTGATTCCCGTTCAGTATAATGATTGTGTTGGGAATGGCGACCCAATTTAACCATCAATTCACGACCATGAGAGGCAGTTATATCGGTCGGCATGACATCGCTGGTCCGATTCACATGCTGCATGCTCCTTCCTGGGTGAATCGCAACCCTGCGCGCGGCGATAAACAACATGGCTGGCTGCCAGGCCACCTCCATGTCTCCTTCAATACAGAGTTATGACCATGCCAGGCCGTGATGAGATTTTACGACGGATGTCGGAATCCCTTGCACAGTGGTGGGATTCCGCCGGACCTTTTTCTCTTGGCCAAGCTCTCGATTCAGTGCTAATTAGGTTTGCTCTTCGTCCTCGGGAATCTGCATTAATTCAATTCCTCTCCCGCCTACCATAAGGCTCGCAATTCTCCTCATCACCAACCTCGTTGACACCTCGCCTAGTGATCCAGTACGACACGTCGAGCATCTCAGCGGGACTAGCACATATACTCTCGAGATCGATGACCCCCCCATTCCATCTTAGTGTCCCCCGGCCAATCCAATCCTCCCATACTACCCGGTTTCAGTACCAAAATCTAGCCTTTTTTGGATCGCCCCTCTCTGGGTTAATTATACTTTACCAATATGCTCCCAAATCTGCGCAAATATGCCCTCATATCTGCGCATTGCATATGTGGCCCAATCCTTCAGAGACAGTAAACGAACGCCGCATTAGTCCACCACCAGGGCCATGACGCAGTATTAAAAACCCATTGACCACCTAATCTCTCGTTGTAATATCGCCCTCATCGTTCGTTGGAAGCCCTCTCGCCCACGATGCGATTTAAATCAGTGGCTCTCATCGCGGCGGCCGTCTTCAGATATACGGCAGACGCGCACTTTTGCGATGACGATCTCACCGTCCAGACCGGTGGCGGCGTGGTCCATGGCACAGTCGACAGCGCAACGCCGGCGGTGCGTCAATTCCTCGGCATCCCGTATGCGCAGCCACCCGTCAATGACCTACGGTTTGCGCCACCGCAGCCAGCGTTGCCATTCGGGGAATTGGATGCGAAGAAGATGCCTCCCAGCTGTATGCAGTACCTCAGTAACCTCGCCAGCATTAATACCGACGAGGTCCTCGAGTTTAACCTCGGCGGTTTGAACGGGACCACGGGTCCCATCAGCGAGGACTGTCTGACCCTTAGCATTTGGGCGCCGCGCGGCAAGACAAAAAAGCACCTCCCTGTTCTGATCTTCTTCTATGGCGGGGCGTTTATTGCTGGCGGTACTAATGTGCCGTACCAATTACCACCGCGGTGGATACAGCGAACACAGAGCCACATTGTGGTGTCTTTCAACCACCGGGATAACCTCTTCGGCTTCCCTAACGCCGCTGGTCTCCCTCTAGAGGAGCAGAATGTTGGTCTCCTGGACCAACGGCTAGCGATCGAGTGGGTGCGTGACAATATCGCGGCTTTTGGAGGAGACCCGAAACGGATTGGTATTTGGGGCCAGAGCTCCGGGGCTGTTGCCATTGCCTATTACAGCTACACCTACAGAGACGATCCCATCGTGAATAGCCTCATCATGGACTCGGGCAATGAGTTCATAGACATCCTGACGGTAGACCCGGCTCACGGCAACTTCACCTTTGTGGCTTCGCAATTCGGTTGCGGCAACCTCAGTTCCCCCGATGAGCTTTCCTGCATGCGACAAGTTGACGCATATGCCATTGAAGCCTTCATGCATACGTACTCCGACGCAGGCATGGCCCCCCTACTCACCTTCTCCCCCGTCGTGGACAACCGCACCGTCTTCGCAAACTACACCGCCCTCGCCCAGGCCGGAGAGATAGCCCGGCTTCCCGCGCTGATCGGCAGCAACGCACAGGACGGCGTGCCGTTTGTGCCGTACAGCCCGAGCGGCGTGGACACGGCCCTCGCAGACCTCACAACGATGGTCTTCTTCTTCTGCCCGACCTACCAATCGGCCAAGGCCCGCATCGCGGCCCACACGGGCCCCGTGTATCGCTACCTGTACGCGGGCAACTTCACCAACATCAGCCCGAGGGGATGGATGGGCGCGTGGCACGCGGCCGAGATGCCGCTCGTGTTCGGCACGCACCCGCTGTATCGCGGCAACTCGACGGCGCTCGAGTACATGACGAGCCACGCCATGCAGGACGCGTGGCTTGCCTTTGTGGCGACGGCGGGCGAGAGGCCGTCGATCGAGGGCTGGGACGCGTGGGACGAGGTTGATGGCGGCCGGGTGGTCGAGTTTGGGAACGGCGTCCCGGCGAGGCTGATAGATACCACGGAGATGGAGGAGAGCTGCAGCTCGTTGCCGCAGGGGTGATGTGTAGTGCTCCCTTGATATCTGAATATGATGGCCCATGAGAAGTGCCAAACTATCTGTTTCACTAATTAGAGAAAGCCTCCACGCTTGTTTGTCAGCGCGAAAGTGGTGTCAGATAGAGTATGGAGATCGCCACAATTAGGCTTGTCATCGCTTCAGATCAGAAGTGCATGTCCTGAGAGACGACATTGGAATCCCTTTCAAAGTGGTGGGATTCTGCCGGACGTTTGGTTATGCCGATCTGACATTGACGCCCAACGGTGAAATCCACACAGTACAAGGTACACTGTACACCACTTGATCTCGACAATCTGCGATTCCGTGGCCGCCGACATTCGAAGCCAAGGCCCATGAGCAGAAAGCGCCTCGACCATTAGAATCGGGGGTGGTAGTAAATGCTCCACCCCGCTTAAAGCCAGTCCCAATACATCAGGCAAAGTGATCATGGACCACGAGCCGGGCGATCCGCCTCCGAATCCACAGCCGAGACCTCACCCCGTAGAGGCTCATAGGGAGGGGGTGATGCCCGTCGCGGTGCCAGCCACCCATGATCCACCGGAAGAAACATGGCATGATGCACCAGAGGAACCACTGGCAGGGCCACCAACCCACCCCGACAGGCTGGAAGGGCACCCCCATCCCTTCCCGCCACCCCGCTTTCCCGACGGCGGACGCTATGTCCAGAACGAGGTATACCGAGCCCAGGCCGCAGCTCTGGAAGAATCGGACATCCCACTTCCCGCCCCGTCGCCGCGGCGGCTAGCCGACGCGGTCGTCGCGGTCGTCGCCCTCTCCGTCCTCGCCGGCATCATCATCCTGATCAAGGTCTTCATCTGGGACCGGTCCGGCGACGCCGGCTGGGTCTACGTCGTCGTGGTCTTCTTCCGCGTCACGGTCCTCGTCGGCGGCCTGCCCCGGCTGCTCCGGGAAGGCGGCCAAGTCTTCTCCGCCCTCGCCTGGCCGATCTGGGCCGTGCCGCCGTCGCCCGACTTCCTGGAGTGGGCGACGCCGCTGGCGCTGCCGGTTTTGACGTCGCTCGTCGTGAGGGCGGGTATTTGGGCCCCTTGCAAGGACGCCTGGAACGTCCACCAGTACCTGCCTGCTCGGACGAGGGAAAACATTCGCGCTCTGCTGCAGGCCTGGTGGGAGTTTTGCAAGGGGTCACTGCAGCTGTCTTTTGGGACTGCGGAGGCTCACAAGCTGGTTAGGAGCCCGGGGCAGTATATTATCTTAGTGATTGCTACGGCGTTGTGGGCAGTTGTCGAACTTGACCGCGGGCCATGCTTCATGGCAATCATGTTTCGGTCTTGGGGGCTTGCCCTCCTGTCTGCCTGTTTTGGGGCGTTTATTTTCAAGAATTGGCATGGCTTATGGAAGGACACGGAGCCTGGGGCTATTGCAAATGGCATTTTGTACTCTCTGGTTTTGTGGCTGACGTGGAGGATACCCCGTGAAGCCATTTGCAATGACCCAAAGTGTTGGTAGTTGCATTATTTCACAGAAGAGCGGCGCGCATGAGGATCATGATTGGGACCTTAGCTATGTAAACAGGCATGTCTGGAACCTATCCGACTAACGACGAAACGTTGATGAATGTAAATATGAACGCTATACTCGTTGAACATTCTGAACCAAATCCTGAAAAACGCATCGTCATCAAGTCTTAACATTGCATTCTTGGCTCGCTGGCATTTACCGAAAACACCACATAAAACCAGTCGTTTCGTCCGGTAATTGTTGGCGATCAATCACATATCACAGCAGAGAACAGCCCATGCCACGAGCAGGCCTAGGATTCACGTCAGCTCCAATCTTGCCTCTGCTTGCCCCCTCTCCGCCATCCCCAGTCCACCGACCCGCCCCACCCGGACCGAGACCAAGAATGCGACGGGCAAAGAAAAGAAAACTCACATGACCATCTACGGTGCAATTATGCTGACCCCGCCCAATACTCCCGTCCAACCCACCCCCTGCAGCGCAGTTCACCATCAGGCCCGCGACCTCGGGCGGAGCCGTGATGTTGCACGTGTTGGTGGCGAGGATGCACGTCCCTGTGGAGGCGGTCGTCTGGCGCTGGTCTAGGGACGATGGCAGGCCGGCGGCTCCGAGAGCCATTCCGAGGAGGCCGACCGCGGTAAGATACATTGCAACAGCTTTAGGAATACGGGGTTGGTGTGAGCTGGGTTTAGAACTGCTTCTGGGGAGGAGGGAGATGTGAGAGATGGGTGGTAGGTAGGGTCGAGGAATTGACAGGCCGGGAGATATTAGAGAGAGGGAAGAGAGGAGGAGCATATAATTATGCAGTTCATACCGTTGTGTCGATGCTTCCCAAGGGCCAAGCGCCCAACCCCCAACCCGAACCTGAGTCAGCGCATCAGCAATGAGTAAGCCCCTATACAGTGGGACCGGAACCACGAAGTCTCACTGGGCCGTTAACTTGATCTGGAAGCGATGTGACTGCAGGTGTTTCCTTGCTCACTTTATAATTGGATGCTTGGTTTGACCCGTCAAGAGCGGAACTGTTTTCCGAATCAAGCGACTGCCATAACTGTCGATACAGCGAACGATAGGAGGAAACAGACTGGTGCTGAAGGGCTAGATCAATCCTGCAGCTCAACGTGGTAATATTGGCTGACAACCTAAATAGGAGCGAAGTGTGCTCCAAGAAACACGCTCAGTGAATAACACTCCACCGATAGCCCGTCTTGCGAAGGTGTCCAGCGACAAACTCACGGTCCAGCTGCTTAGATGGGGTCTCCCCGGCGGTCCAATCCGATGGAACCGACCACGGCAACATCGAAAAGCGGGGGAAGTCCCAAGCCGCCTTCCACACGTGAGTGAGATATTGCTGGAACCTAACATCGTCTGGCCGCCTATGTACCTGGCAACAACGCCATCCGAACTGCTCGCCAAGTAGATCGTACATGACTTCGTCTTCCACCCCTCCATCAAGCCAGTCTTGGAAAATCGGAAGCTGCGGAATCATGCTCTCCTCCTGGCTGCAGACCTCGAAGATGTCGGGGTGGGGGCGACGGGAGTATCTCTGGTCCCCCTGGGAATCATCATAATCGTGAGGGACTGGTTGTTTGTGAAGACGCGCTGACTTCCTCCCAAAGTGAGGTTTCGTATTGCCAGAGGGGTCCTCCTTTCGCAGCCGATGAAGAAGGCCCTCCACTCGGCGAGCGGCTTGGACTTCCATGGCGAGCACTCGGAGCTGTAGTTTCAGAGAAGCAGGTTGAGAATTGGATTGATCGTCTGAGAGAAGGTAATGTTGAAGAAAATTGTCTAGCTGATTGATTAGGTATAATTAATGTGTCGTTAGCATTGGGCGTCAATATGTCTATCCTCTTGCAGGAATAGAATGGACTAACAAGACTTGGCGTAATCCTTCGCAAGAACATTTCTTCTCGCATCAGCTCGTTAATTGCCTCTTTCCATCTGATCCTCACTGTTTGGCCGCTATCGTCTATTTCTAGGCCTGAGAGATAGGTATCGTTGAGGATGTAACCGCCAGCGAATCCACCATTGAGCACACCTTCGCCCAGCCTGATGGTCGCGTTGCGATTTCTAGAAGTGTAGTTTGCCCAGTACCGTTTGAGGAGTTCGGGTGTGTTGCGTTCCGGACGCGCTATCGACCGCCAGCCCTGGAAGACAAACGAAGCCATCTCGGGCGACCCTGGCTTTTCGCTCACACCGTCAAAATTGAAGTCCGTGTTGTCTGATGTTGACTCATAATACAGAGTCAACGAAACGTGGCGAAGCCAAAAATCACGGAAGCGACGCTCAATGCGATGCTTCTGATGCGGCGAGAGCTGGCGCAGGGTGGTCCATTGGTAGGCCGGGTCGTCGTCAAAGACGTCCACCAAAGCCGACAGTATCTCCTCGGTAATCTCGAGAGGCAGGACTGGTACTGCCGTCGACAACGATGTTGTTGTCCCCATAGCTCGGAACTGCCTCATGGCTTCCACGTTTGCAGAACCGCAAGACAATCCAAGATGGCGCAGCCGGCAAAGGTGTTGGTGTTGTTGCCTGGTGTTGCACGTGAGCGGCTGTGGCACATCACACAGTCACTCCCAAATCCAAATGGCTGGCAGGGATTGACGCCCAACTTCCCGTTGAACGCACACCCTGGCCGCCTTCTCCTCCCCTGTTCTTCAGCGCTCAACGAGAAGTGCTTTGCGCTAACCGTTTGAAACCCTGGGATTGGTTTTCACAACAATCCCTCGTACCGAAGTATTGTACAATCCATCAATCACGATATTCGGCCGACCCGTCGCAGCCCGCCATGGCCTGTCAATTTCGAGGACCACTCATGAGGAGCAGCAGCTGTGGCGCGCGACCGTGCAGAGCTGAGGACAGGGGACATGGCGCCTTGCAGGGCGCCTTGCAGGGGGACCAAAGATAGAGAAGATTGGAGCCTGGCTCCAAACACGGCGTTACCGCCGAATGGATCTCCTATCCTGGTTCTGTCAGCCCCCCAGTTTTCAAAAAAACAATCGCGACCCACTCCACCTCTTCCCACGTCCTCAATCTGGAAGTCCACGATTAGCAGGTCCCAGCGTTACTGCCAACCGCCGAAATGTCTTCCAACGGTTCCGGGAAACAGACGGATTCGGATTCGGGCTCGGGTCAGAGCTCCGATGACGTGGCCAACCTGATCATTGCCGTGGTCGCCCTGATTATTTCCGTGATTGCTTTTGTAATCGCCACGCTGCAGGCGCTCCAGCAATACTACGGCACGGCGACCGGCTACTCTTCCTGCACCGAAGAGATAATGGGGAAATGGGCTGCCTTCACGCACCGGCGGATGAAGTGGTCCGAGTTCCGCTTCCAGGTCGAGTTCGAGGTGCCCGTCATCTTCGTCGCCAGGCCTGAGAACCAGAAGGGCCCACTGGGCAGCCACGACCAGAAGGCGATCGTGTTCATGGACGGCTCCCCGAGGAGCCTCGAGGAATCTCACACGCGGAGCCAGAAGGAGTTCAACCAGCGGCGGACCCAGCGGATCCTGGCCGGGACGCGCCAGGGCGTCCACACTGCCGACAACGAAGAAGCCAGCTGGCTCGCCCTGCTCATGGCCATCCAGCGCATGGAGGGCGAGTCTCGCGGGTGGCAGCAAACGCAGACGGGCTATTCCTCCCCCGTAGCGCACAACCCTCCACACTCCATCATCGCCTGTCTGCAGAGCAAGAAGAAGTCGTGGGATAGCATGCCCCCGAACCTGACGAAGCCCTACGCCTACACCACCATCGCCCACCTAGTGGAAATAGCGGCGATGCTGGGCATCTACTGGAAGGACTTCAACCTGAACGAAGACCGGTATCGCGCGCGGGGCAACGGCTTTAGCATCATCGGTTCCTACGTCGAGGGCCTTGGAATCGCCTTTACTTTCCAGAAGGTGGGGCCGACGTGGTTTGAGGAGAATCGTGTCGTCCCGAACTATCGGATCAAGGAACTGTGCTTTGGCTTCTGCCCCACCATCTTCCGGGGCGAGCATGACGTCCTGTATGCAGATGAGCCCAAGGACAGAGGCACGCTTCAACTCGGGAGTCTAGCCGAGATAGCAGAGACGCTTGTGGTCTTTGGGTGCAACAACAAGACGGTGAATTTCTTCAGAAAACACGACGAGAAGGCCCGATACAGCCATCTGTTTCCAGGTAAGACATCATTGCCCAAGACGGTTGCCCAGACCACCCCCACCCCCCCCCCCCAAATCTGAACACCGTGACGAGCGAGCCAATCTAACGCCGTAACCAAGTTCCGTTCGAGATCCTCGGCATGGTCGGGATCGTGTTGCAAGTCGAGAACACCGCCTTCCGGGCCCTGCCCAACCCCACGGTCTTCACCTGGGACACCGAGTCCTTCTCTCTGCACGCCCTGATGCTCGAGTACGCCTCTGCCCTGCAGGAGCGCCAGCGGTCCGGCGACAAGCTGCTGAAGGACAATCCCGAGATCGCCAAGATCCTGCTCGCCGCCGACAACATCGAGAACGCCTTCTCGGACTGGCAGCTGGGGCTGCCGATGGCCGGGGCGGCCAAGGACGCCGTCGTCACCCCGGACGTGTACCCGCCGGCGCTCCTCGCCGCGCTGCGTGCCGCCATCCGCGGCTGCGACGAGTACCTCAAGCAGCCCGACCGCCTGCGGCTGGTGCAGCAGGTGCTGCGCGTGCACGTGCAGGAGGTCCTGGACACGCTGAACCCCGACGACGACGAGGATGACGCCGACGACGGCAGGGGGGGTTCCGTGGCTTACGGTCGCGAGGTGCATCACCTAGGGGATGCCGCGGATGCGGGCGATTTCAGGGAACAATACAAAGGGAGCAAGGCGGTTCTGCAGAGCCTCGACTCGGCCTCGTCTGGGGAGCGGCATCGTCTGGCTGCGAAGCTGTACGTCTCGTTCCTGCGGCGGAGAGTCGTACAGGTCGTGTGTGGGGAGCTGGATATGGGGAGGAAGCGCGAGAGGCGCCTGTCCCTGGTGTCAACGGATACCATTAGCGGGGCGGCAGTGGGGAAACAGGTGAATGACACTTGGTGCATGCTGGTGTTTCGCATGATGTGCTGGTTGTTGCTGCATGACTTCCACAAAAAGGATATCCATGTCAGCAAGAGCGATGTATTTGAGAGCCGGATGCCGGTTTATGTCACTTGATGCTGTGGCAGATGGCAACAGTTCACGCTTTGGGGGCGGCCTGAGCTGGTATTCAAAGAGCGTGCGATATCTCTTCGCATCCACGGAAATGGCCATACCAGAGAGTGTAGGGCTCACGGACCGCGGGGGGCGGAGCAGAACGGGGGCACCGGAGCTAAGTAGGATCCATCAATGATCCATAATTGACTATATCATTGTCTTTTAGTTTGCATAACCAATCCCTAGACTGTGAGCGCTTTGGGCGACTGTCTCAACTCTTCGAGAGGAACATGCAAGCATCGACAAAAAGTGGGTAAAGTCCTGGCTGAAGGCCAGGATCAAAACGGAAGTGGGGCGCGACTAGCGGAGGGCTGATTGGCGGTTGATTCCCTCTGCTGCATTGCCGATGTTTTACCGGCCTTGTGACAACGCAAATGGCAGTAAACAAACAAGCGGATAATGACGATGGCTTCCTCTCTCTCCACTGCCGACGACCCCAATCCAATTGCGACAGAGCATCCAACAGAATGCGGCCTTCAGTGATAGCATCCTGGCTTCACGATATAGAAGTAGCCCAGACTTTACCTTCTTTAACCCTCTCGTCGTCCCCAGCGACGTCCTCCAGGAACGCGGCGAGTGCAGTACCCCGAAGTGCCAAGCGAAGACGAATCGGCGAGCCCGCGAAATCGACGTTCGACATATTCACATCAACCTCCGAAGCCGTATCGATAGACCAATCTCCCCCTCCTTCTCCCCGAGTCGGCGCTCTCCTCCCGATCGACCCCAACACACGATCCGGTCATCGACCTATGGCGACCAGGCCGGGTGATTGGAAGCCTACCCAGGGAGACGACAGCGCACCGCCAACGAAACGGGCTACGCGCACCCCTTCGCCGGGCAAACGGGCTTCGCAGCGCATAGCCAGCGTCCGCAACAGGGCACTATATGAGACAGAATGTCTGACCGAAGAAGTCGTCAACGAGATGGCCAGCGACGATCCAACCGGTCTAGACGACACGCCTCGAGCGAGCCGACGTGTGCCCCTCCGACCAGTCAATCTACCCGCCCCGACATATCCCCAGCTGCTAGCATCGGAGCCCCCGCCGGCCAGATCAAACTCGCCCTCCAAGGGCAGCCGATCCGAGTCCTCGACCAGCGGCGCCCCGTCATCCTCGCGGAGGTCCACGAGCCCCATTAAGCGTGTGGCGGGCCTCAGCAGCGTCGGCGCGGGCATATTCTACAAGGACATGAAGCGGCGTGGGGCGGAGCTGGGTCCAGACGGGAGGGAGCTCTGCAGGGCGCTGCTGGATGTCGCCGACAAGATGGAGATCTTCCCAGCCGCCCTCCCCGAGGACTGGTTGGCTCCTGGGGGCGACGATGAGGGGCTGGTCTGCATCAGGCCGCATCAGAGGAACTCCAACGACCGGCGGACGGAAGTTGAGCTTTTGTCGGAGCTCGGCGCCGTCAAGGAGATCAATCGGGCATCCCAGCGCTGTTCCGAGGATCTGGACAGCGAGCCGGAGTGGAACATGGCTGTGCATGGGCCCATGCTGCGACTGGCGGCTGGAAGGGGAGGACAGTCGGTTGACTTCAAATACATGTGAGAGCACCCTCCCCCAAATCATTCCGTTCCAGCTTGAGAGCCCTTTTCTGATTCGCCTGCCCTCCTCAAAGCACAAACGCTCGGATAGATCCATGCCATGTCCCGCCCCAGCTATCCGGTCTAGCCACAGCGACAAAGATGGTCGACTTTGCAATCTTCCTCGATCCGAGCATCGATCGCAGCGATGGTGCCCCCGACAAGAAAACGTCACCCTCCCTCGGCGACGTTATCTCCAGCATCACCTCCACGCCAACCGAGTCTATCAACCACACTACATACTACAGCCTCCGCCGGCGCCCCGTGGCCGTCAGCGTCGAGACCAAGACAATGAGCCGGACCGAGGAGGAGGCGCTGGTACAGCTCGGCGTCTGGGCCATGGCGCAGATGCAATCGATGCTCGCCCTCGCCCGCCGATTCGGAGTGCGACCCCAGGGATTGCTGGAAGAAGACATGAGTATTCGGGATCTGCCAGCAGGGCTGCTCGACCGCATGGTCCTGCCGCTAGTATACGTGCACTCGTCGCGGTGGACCGTCTTCTTCGCCCGCCCCCAGGCCGTCGCCGGCCGCGACGACGTGCGGGTCGACATATTCCGCGGCGTCGATGTCGGGGACACTTCGACGCCAGAGGGCACCTACCAGCTGCTGAGGGGCCTGCGGGAGCTGTGCAAGTGGGTGGACACGAGGTTTTATCGCTTGTGGGAGAATATCCTTGGAGTTGGGAGCCGGGATTTGGAACTCAGTTGCAATTGAACGATACTATTGGCTAAACGCTATTGCATATCCACACTAGCTATGGAGCTAGGCCGTATCAGGCATAACCAGCTCGTTCCACACTTCTGCACTGCTGCGGTATGGTAGGTTCATGCCCTGCTGCCCATCACACAGCGCCCGTTCATTGACAGGAAGGTTTACTGAGCCGGTTGAATATCCAATGGGGATGTAGCACAGTTGGTAGTGCGCATGCTTAGCAACGTTAAGCATCTCTGCATGAGGTCCTGGGTTCGATTCCCAGCATCTCCATTTTTTTGTACTTTTTGGCCTCTTATCTCTGTTCTGCCCTAGAGAACTGTTTCAGTTGGCACGACCCTGCCAGTCAGATAGGCTCCAGAATGATGATCCATTAATAAATGTCTTGGACAAGACTTTTCGAGTACAGCAATCGCAAACCCCGATAATTCCTTCCTTTCTTCCATATTTTCGGGCTTTGCGAAATCGACAGTAAGCTTTAAGAAGCGTCTTCCGAGTTCCGGCGCCAAGCCGGTGGAAAGCAGCGGGGCAATATCTATTCCCGCAACCTCCACAGCAGGACTGTAAAACCACAAGTTTAACGATATTTGCTATCTTAACGAAACAATAAGATATTTTTATCGAATAAAGAAGAGTCAATTGAATTTCCATCGTCTTCTTCGCCTATACTCCCTATTTTTCTACGCAGAATTTGCTCTTTTGGCTGTAAAATCATGGATTTTCCGATTTCTGCCGGGGACTTGCCGCCACTACCAAACAAACCAGAGCTGGATTCAGCTGAGTGGCGCTATACCTAAGCTGTACGCGCTATCAACATACTATGGGGTCCGCTTGCACGCCCCGGGGATCCAGTACCGCCTGTCACGATGGGCCAGGCCACGCTCTCGAGCGCTCTGGAGAGTGGATGCAAACGATATAATTTAACCCTCTTCGCTCTCCTCTTTTCCCCTTCTTTTCAGGTTTCTCAGCCCAGTTATTCATTTGGTAAAATTGCTTTCCTGTCACTCTTCCAAGATGGTTGTGACCAAGACGAGCGGCGTGCTTCTGCTGCAGGCGGCCGCCTTCTTCTCGGGTGTGGCCGCCCGGTGCACCCAAGCTTGCTCTCCCGACGATCCCGTGCTCGTCCTCCTCCGCTCCGACGATGCGGCCCTCCCCTTTTGCAGCGACTTTCTTGGCCTTCCGGTATCCACAGTCAGCGCGACGGTAACGCCTACAGTGTTAGTCACAACGATCCATCAGCCTCATACCAACAGTCATAGTAATATTGAGTTTGTGCGGCAGTGTGGCCACCGTGACCGAGACGAGCTATGTCACTGAAGTAGTCACCGAGATCGACAGCACGGTTACCGTCACAGTTCCTGCGTCGACAACTACACTGGCGCCTATAAAGCGAAACATGGCAAAGCGGTCCGTAGCCTACCCAACCTGGCTGCCCACCACATACCTCGCGAATCGCGTATCGTCGGCCTGCGCTTGCCTCAGCGTTCCCCTGTCCGTGGCCACCAACACCGCAACCGCCGAGGCAGTCACCCTTACCGCGCCCGTTACCGTTACCGAGACCACGACGAACATACTCCACTCGACCGTCATCGTCACCGAGACGGCCAAGCCCCTTGTCAGTAAGCGACGCGCCACGATCGAAATCCTCCGGAAAGATACACAAGCGTCTGTGGGATGGCTCTTTAACAGTAACGGCCTGGCCATCACCTCCAATGCTGCGCAGGCTATACCGGTCAACTTCACCCTGACCCCTGGCGCGACCACGGGATCGGCTGTGCGCATATATCTGGAGGACATGACACCACTAGCGCTAGGATTTGTCAAGACGAGCAATCCCACCAACGTCGTGGAGCTCGAGGATGGATAGTGCGTCGTCGCCCATCTCCTCCTGTCTGTCTCAGGCCCGCTCTGCTAACTATAAGTGAAAACAGTGGCTCACTGGCCGCAGTTCAGCCAAGTAAGTATCCCCGTTTCACCTGCAATCTACCTCGGACAGTTTTCTAATTGGTTACAGCACCGCCCGGCTCGCCCCCCGTCGCCTCGGGCAGCGACAAGTATGAGTCCGACATTGTAAGGGTCCCCGGCTCATTTTCACCCTCAATATCAGTGCACTAATAAATATATAAATCTGCAGTGGACCGTCGACACGGAAACAAGAATCATCGGCTGGCAATGGGTCGCCACCAGCGGAGCTCGTAAGTTTTGATTAATTACGTTTCAAAGATCGCTTCTGTAACTGACGGTGACATCAAGTCCCGACTATTCACCTATACCGCGTCGGCGGGCGCCTCTACCCCGTCGGCAATGTCAACGATTTCATGGTAGCTACGGGCGGTGTAAGCTCGTCCAAGTATGAGGTTGTCTTTAGGTACAGTGTGGTTTCCGAGTCCTGAGGCCGCAGTGAATAGTTGATCTTGCTACTATCTTGCATCAAGTGTCAACAACAGGGGTACGAGAGGTGAGAAGCTGCGGAGTGTATTGGAAAGTATAATCTATCTGAGGAGAAAGCCAGTTCTTATTGCTCTGTACAATCGGCGCCAGGTGAGGTCTGAACCAAGATCTCGCGGGATCTGTTGTCCAACTCGTGGGAAAAGGGGAAAGTAAAAGAATTCCAAATCGAACCAAACCGTGGTTGAAGTATGCCTGGAGCAGCACCAATTTCGTATTATTTTTGTCAGCCAGTGATACTCTCCTTGCCAGACGATCCTCAGTGACGACTCAAGAGAGTCAAGTCGCTCTGGGACCTGAGAAGGGACCCTTCCCCGGAACCGGACGCGAGAGCCCCGTCCTCCCGTCGTTCCCAGCAAGCGGCGCAGTAAAGCTTCCGGTCCGTCCTGGGCCGCTTGACGCACCTGTTCCGGTGGACGTGCTTGCACTTCGGGTGCTTCCCGCCCATGCACGCGAACTTGGAGTCCTTCTCGTCCTTGAGAATGACGTGCGAGCCCTCGTTCGGGTGCTGGAGGATCCAGTGGTAGAACTCTCCGCACTCATCCCACGCGTAATGGGCGTCCCCGAGTATCTTCTCGCACCTCCCCGATTTGTCGGAGCGCTTGTGGCACCCAGGGGTTGTGCATGCACACTGCCGCTGGGGGAAATAGTGGTAAGTGCACATCTTTGGCGATGTTACGGATGGCTGGTGTAAGAGGCGGTCGAGATTTGAGTTGCAGGGCAGTTCTAAGTGTGGAAGAGCTTCTTGGGAACTAACTCGAGGCAAGGCATGTCGGGGAATCGTGAGTGACTATGCTCAGATGAAAGTCAACCTGGGCTGCTTAGTGTCTGTGAAAAGGAGGCTATAGTAATTTGGTCGATAGTCATTGGTGTATGAACGCGGTTCAGGTCGACTTAGCGAAAGCTAGCATGGTCTACGAAGACTATCTTATGGCCTAGGCCATCAGTGAATATCAAATCATGTTCACAAGCATGGTCACTACAGGCTAAAGGGTTGTCCATTGCAGGGACCTTCCTAGACAAAGGCAGATATCTGCCCCCTTCAGAGGCCAGTCAGGAGTCTCGACTTGCAGCCCATAAGTAACGTGATTGACGTCCTAGGTCGCAGACATCGTTGAGGATATACGCCAACATTGTGCAGTTGCTAGCAGGGGACTCTTCTAACGCAGGCAGAACAGTCCCGCAAGGCCGATCTGGTTTTACGCAGGAAATTTGTAACCGTACACGGCGAGACGGGGACTCAAGTCTGTATTACGAGGGTTAATTACTGGGGACGGGAATAGGAGTCAACGACCGACAGTATCGCCCGTGTACCCTCCCGGAACTGCCTGATGCCATTCTTCATCGAAAAAATACCCGCACCACAAGACGCTGAACTTATCGTCCGACGCCTCAAACAGCCTGGTCGAGCAAGAGATGATCCCGGAGAAGCCCATGAGGTCGATCGAGCCCTAGAGACGGTCTCCGTCGAGAGTAAGCACGAGGCTGAACGGAAACCCGTCGTCGGGGGTGTAGTCCAGGGGTCGGATCTAGTATCGACCGTTCAGCAAGCCGAGGCGCCGCGATGGCGGATTCGGAGAGGAGGCCTGTTGGTCGTCGGGCCCTTCGTCGTCGCTGTATGGAGTGCTTCTGTACCGGGGCACTGGGAGAAGGGAAGTCGTGGCCCACGGCCTCCGAGTACGGAGGTGGGGGGTCGTCGTTGTCCGGTGCATTCCACATGTTTCCGCCGGAAACTTGGCCGCCCCGGAAAAGCTACCTCCTCGTCGTGCCGTCTGCTTCGTTTGTGGGGTCGAAGGAGGTCCCGGAGGGTTGCCGGGTGAGCCAGAAGCGGAAGCAGAACCGCCCCTGGTGCCTCGTCCAAGGCCACCTCCCCGTATTGCAGTCTGCTTCGTCCACGGTGCCGGTGGAGGTGCTTGTTTCTCGACGGGTCTCGCTGCTTTACCGCGCGACGCAGAAGTGCCCCGAGCAGTCTTGGGCGTTTTAGCGGGACTCGCCGTTGTTACCGCCGCGGATTCGGGTATCTTTCGTTTCTTGTCTGTCGCGGATTGTGCTCGCGATGGGTTGTTGGGGTCGGGGCGTGCAGCAGAGCTGGCTCTGCCTTGAGAAGGCTTCGGCCGAGCCTTGGAAGTGCTGGCTGCCGTCGTCTTCGGCGCTTCCGGCTTCTCTTTCTTCTTGTCTGCCGCAGGTTGGGGGCGCGAGGGGCGTAGCGGGGGCTCGATCCTGCTTCTTCCACTGTTTCTTCAGGTCGGCTTCCATGGACCGTAGATTGGTGGGGACGGCCAGGCCGCCCTTCTTGACGGAGTCATAGAGCCGCATCTTGGCGGTCCCCTTAACTCGGGAAGGCGGCAGGCCATAGTGCACGAGTTGCGCTTCATACCAGTGAGCGGGCTGGTCCTTCCCGCCGTCGGCATCGTTGAAGTGGGACTGGAACTCGGGCACCGTCGCGCGGCGATAGAGGTTGCGCCCGCTGGCTTTGACAAAGAGGGCTGGCTTTGACAAAGAGGGAGTCTCCTGCAAAAGAGAATATGCCCTGCGAGACCGGCGGGACGAGCGACATTTCGACGTTGCGATCGGGGGCCTCCCATGCGCGATGGAATTGATGTTGCTTGTTTCTTGGGGGGAAATGTCTGTGCTTGGTGACGTACCTTCCATCAGGTATCCACCTCAGGCACTCATTGATCCAGGGGAGTCGAGGCCCTATAAAAAGAGAGCCATCTGGCAGCTCCTGCCAGCTGCAGCCACCTGTGCTCACTGACCCTGACGACATATTAGATATGCGAGTAACCCCTACTTGCTCAGTTGCATTTGTTCAACCGCATCCGCTCTCCCTTAATCAGAAGCCTCGAGGGACTGTGAGAAGCTAATTACTTCCCCCATCCTTCAAGATGCACCACCCCCCACGTTGGGTGTGTTCGTTCGGGCACTCCCTCCTCCGACAAGGGTGCCAGCCTCGGTCTGTCAAACTAACACTACCAATCCTGTCTTCTAAAGACAACCCATTCGTGCGCTGTCTTCCAGTCTTGCCAGCTGCTCGGTTCTTTACATCATCCCCACCTGCACCCAGCCGTGATCCCTCACCAGAAAGCCAAATCAGAGATTGGCTCCGCAGGATAAAACACGACAAATGGGGCTGGGTCATCTACCGCTGCACCTACAGCGACGACGCAGCATGGGCCCGCTTCAAGCAGATGATCGAGCAGTGATCACGCAGAGAGATCGCCGAATCCGACACCCCCGAAGTGGCCGACAGTCTGGAGTGGACCTTTGTGGAGGACGCGTCCACGCTCGACGGCGCGTCGAGGGACCAGCTCCGCGCGCGCTTCCGGGCGTGGGTGCCTGGGGCGGCCAGGACGGAGCAGCCGCGTTCGGAGGATCGATTCGTCAAGAGAAACCCACGATACGGTCTCTTCATCCAGGTCGACGAGGACGTGTTGCGGAGCGTGGTCCCCGCCGCAGGTCAGCCGCCGCTGGAGGACGACTGGTGGGATGAAGGCTGGGTCAATCTCGTCGACGCTGACTGGCGACCATTGAGCGAATTGTTCCCCGATGAGGTTGTGGGCGACGGTGACGTTCATGAACCGATTGATGGATGCACCGAGGAGAATGTCGGGTGGGTGAGGATAGTGCCGTCTATGGTTTCGTCGCGATTTTACGTAGAATCTCCTGATGGATTCACTGGCGACTGGTATCCTTTCTTCAAACGCCCACCAGAGGTGATTTGTGATTGAAGGCCTTGGTTAGCAGGACAGTAACAAGTCCAGCCATTTGACGTATTTATTCCCATAATGACACCCAACGGACCCAGTTCTTCTGCCTTCGGGGAACGAGATCCCCGAAACTTGTTCGGTAACGAGTTACTTTAGCCCTCCATTTAGCAGCAAATACATGATGAAATCCCTCGTGATGGGTTGGTCGACTAGTATAACTGTCCTTGGTCCTCAGAACGACTGTTGCTATTCCCCCACTCATTATTTTGCGCCCCGTACGAGCCATACCTCGATCCCTGCCTGGGTCCAATCTCGGCCCGTTCGTGCTCATCCCTCCCGTATCCTCTCAAGCCGCTCCCCGCGCTAGCCAGGACAGACTCGGGCGGTATGTACGCAGCCCCCCCGCCACCGTCGTTGCTGTTGCCGCCGTATCCCACACTGCCGCCGGAACCGAGCCTCCCTGGTCCTCCAAACGGGCTGTAATACTCACGGTCTCCCCCCGGCGGTCCACGGGACGCGTTATCAAAAGAGAACGACGGGACGTGGGAACTTCCGCCCGCCAGGGACGGACGTCCGTATGAAGGATTCGGCGAGTGTTGCGGTCTGTTCCCGGGATCACCCCGGCCATTTCCGTCCTCGAAACCCAATCCCACACCCCGACCGGCCGGCGGCGATGCCCGAGGTGGCCCGTGGCCCCATCCCGACCCAGCCCGTCCCCCGGTCTGGGTTTGCTGGCCGTACTCAAAGTACCCCCTATTATTATTCTCGGCCGCCCCCGACGGCCGCGGACTCTTCCAGTGATCGGCCCGATCGTCCCTCTCGAACGCGAGCGCGCCGTCCGTGTTCCCCACCGTCTCCAGCATGTACTGGTCAAAGTCGTCGGTGATGCGATGGATCATCTCAAAGTGCTCGACGTCCAGCACCGGCCGCGGGGCCGGCACCGGCGCGTCCGAATCCGTGGCTGCTCGCTCGCGGAGCTGGGCGGCGTGCCTCTTGCGCGCGTCGAAGTAGGCCAGCGACGAGGCGATCTGGAAGGCGTTGCGGATTTGACGCCCGTTCCATCGCGCCTTGCCGTCGTCGTGGCAGAACTGCCGCACCGCGAAGTCGAGGATCTCCTTGTCGTGAATCTGCAGCGGCTGCTCGTCCGGGCTGCCCGCGCACCGCTGCTCCTCCATGGCGTGCAGCCGCTCCAGGTTCATCTGCCAGATGTCGCGCGTCTGCTCGAAGTCGAGCGGCGGGTAGTAGAGCTTGAGGTGGATGCGCGACTTGAAGGCTTCGTCGAGGGCGCCGGGCCGGTTGGTCGTCAGGAAGAGGAGCCCGTTGTAGTATTCTAGGACGCGGAGGAACACTGGGAATGATGGAGTTTGGGTGTTAGTACGTGCCGTATTGCCTCCGCACTGGGATGGGGGACTTACCCGAGACTAAGGCGTTCTTGGTTAGAGTAGCATCTCCCTTTGACCTCTGGGAGAAGAAGGTGTCGACCTCGTCGAGCAGCAAGACACAGTCCCATGCATTGGCAAGCCGGAAGATGCGGCGCAGCGCCGCTTCCACTTTGTTCGGCGTCAACCCAAGGTCTCCGCAGGTGATGGCAAACAGGGGCTTTCCATTCGCCTGCGCGACTGCCTCGGCCGTCGCCGTCTTCCCGACTCCGGGAACTCCGTGCAGCAGGATGAATAAGCCCTTGCCCTTCCCCTGGATAAGGTCCAGCGTGAGACGTCCCATGCCGTCCGTCTTCTCCTTGGACTTCTTCAGGAAATGGGCCTCCACGAGTCCCTGGACGATGGCCTTGTGGCGAGGGTTGATCTTGAGGCTGTCGAAGGCATTGAAGGACTCCTTGACCGGCCTGAGATACTGGCAGTCCAGCTGCACGAACTTGCGGTCCTGCAGAGCGTAGGCGAAGACGCGGACCGGGAGGAGCACCATGTCGCTCTCACGGAGGTCCTTGGAGGTGGTGGGACGGTTGTTCCTGTCGTTCTCTCGAATCTTGGCAAGGAATTCGTCTTCCCGGACGGCTTTGTTTCGCTCGTAGGTGGTGACTCCAGTCCTGAGTACGATAATCTCCGTCGTCTCCGCCAGCAATTTGGTTCGTTCAGCATCGGACCACCAGCACGTGTAAAACTCGTCGGCGGTGGTCGACGGCCTTGGGTCGGCATTCTTGATGATAGACTGCTGCGGCTTCCAAGCGGGGCAGGCCTGGAAAGCTTCCACAAAGTCGACGATGACCTCGCTATTGATGTGCTCGGGGCGCTTGAGCACGTTGCCCTCCACGTCGATGGCCGGCCCTCCACGGGGATCCCGCGTCATGGTCCACCAGTCGTATGCGGCGTGTTTGGTCTGGATGTATCGGAAGAAGTCCCCGCCAATCCCCATATACTTCTTGAGTTTTTCCTTATGATCCGTGACGAATCGCCAAGGGTACACGACAAGGGATTTGATCGGACGCTCGCCATCGTAGGGTTGAATCTCGAATCTGTCCTTGACTGCGCAGAACTCGTCCCCGGTGTAGTCAATGTAGTAGCAGAAAACAGCGAACGCGGAATTCTCCTCGTCGTCGTCGTCGCTCATATACTTCCGATGGTCGACAGGCGTGATCTGATACTTGGGCCAAAACGGTCTCGTGCCATATGCCCGCCAGGTCCTCTGGCCGATTGCCAGGCCGCCTGCGTCCTTGTTTGTCCCGGTCCCAATCGGTCGGTACACGAGCTCGCCGGGCCGGAAGAGGAACCACAGGTCGTGGAATCGTACCTTCGCGCTCGATGTGTCGTCCAGCTTGTCGAACTGATTGTAGAGAGGCATGATCTCGTCTGTAATAAATTGGATGTAGCATCTCATCTCGGCCAGCGCCGACGGGCTGTCGTCGACGGGGAATCTCACTTCTCCCTGATGTTCGGACGCATCATCCCGGCTTGCCGGTGTTCGAATTGCCCCGGGATGCTCAGCATGGCCCCACTTGGCTTCCAAGTCTTTCAGAGCCTCTGTAGCCTGCTCGTGGAAGTAGATGAGGGGACTGAAAGGACGAAAGTATGTTCGGGGCCGTCCGGTCCACGACTCCCTCATGATTCTTGACAAAATGGCCAGAATTGCAGGAGACTGGATCCGAATCCGCGAGATCCACTTGGCATCTGTTTGACCCGTGTGGATGGCCTGGTCGACCATGGTTGCGGCGGGTGCTATCTTGACCTTCGGTCGCTTCTCCTTGTGTTTGGATGGCGCCTTTGGAAGGCTCTGTCGAAGCTTGAGCTCGTCCTGGATCTCCTCGTCGAGGAGGGAATTGGACTCGAGAACATCGACAGCATACCGACCCTCCTGGACATTGAATCGATTCTTGAACTGCGCAATGTTGCACTTCCTTATCTTGGGAATTATCTCGCTCGGCCCGAGATGCAGGGTGCTCCCCTGCTCTTCTATCTCGTCGGATGCCTCAGTGCGGAAGTCCCCCTTGTGTCCTACCTCGATATCCGTCTTCCGATCTCCTTCAAGGTTGGAGATTCTTGCTTCTTGAGCCTTGATGTGGTCAAGAAGGGAAGCAAGGACGTCGGGGTCTGGAGCTCGGCGATTGCCATAAGTGCCCTGGACAGGCACATGCAGGGGGCTTGGAGAGCGATCTTCATCGTCGCCCTCTTCAAACCTCGCCACCAGGTTCGAATGCTTCGAGAAAGACCTACTCCCCTCCAGGCCGGGCATAATCTTGGGATGGTTAGCCACGTGCGGGTAGCTGGGCGGGAGAAGAACTTACGGCGTCGATATCCATCACCATCTAGAGCTGGGGGCGAGGCTAGTTCTCACGGCAATCACGTACGCGAGGTGTGCCAAAGGGGGGCAGATATCGAAAGACGGAGTTGAATGCAGAAAGGCCACGGGAAGAAGGCCGGTTTGCCCCAAGGTATATATTACCTACTTGCAATGCAAGGCTCCGGGTGCTCGGCTCCGGGTGCTTGAACAAAGGGCGCGAGTGCGGGGGTTTCTCACGCACGAAAAGGAAAGTGCACATTTGCACACCCACTGAGTGTAACTTGAACTGCACCTCGGCCGCAAAAGGCTGTCAATGACTGGCCGGGTGTGGGTGGTGGCGGCCTCAAACTCAAACCAAGGTGTGTCACTCTGCACTGCTGAACCAATCGCCAAGCCCTATCCGCCGCGATAAGCATTCACCGAAAATGAGGCTGTCACCACATGGCAAACCACGAGCGGGATCCACCCCCACGCCGAAATTAGGCAGCCAGACATCTTGATTGGCAGGAGATGGATGTATTGCAACCACACCGAAAATTTAAGGCTTTCCGCTGGGCATATTTATTGATACGCCCCTTTCCGTATTGCAGGGATAATGTTCCGTGGCAGCGAAAGCGAGGCTCCAGGCAATGTTCCAGGGCGCAGGGCGAACTTGGCCATCAAGTAATCCTGATTGTCCCATCTCCTTCATTTTTATTTTGGGTTGCCTCTGTTGGTTCACTTCTAAGGGGTGGCCTCCACAGTTCCCACGATGGCAGATGAACCCGATTCGAAAGAGGCCACCGACCTTGTGACAGAGTACCTCGAGAAGAAGGCGCCAGAGATGCACGAAGCATTCGGTGTGGGGTCGAGCTTCAACAAAGCGAAGTCACAGTATGAGGCAAAGGAAGAGAATCTGTAAGCGTTTGTACGGGACAGTAATATCAGGGACCGAGAAGCTCAAACCCCCCCCCCCGGCAGTGAATTCCTAGAAACTCTCCAACAGTACGAAACGCAGGCAGACGAGCCACTCGACTTCGACCCCACCCATTGTTCTTGGGAGAAAGTAATTGACGAGCTGAACAAGGCGCAAGACGCCGCTGCTGAGAGCGAGAGGCGAGGGCAAAGATTCTTCACCAAGGGCAGGAGAAAGCTAGCCCGGGTTGCGCCACTGATTACCCCAGGACTCCAAGCGCTGTCGGATGAGTTGAGCATTCTTCATGGAGGGCTAGCTGTGGTCTTCAACGTGAGCACCTCCCAAAAGTCGTATGGATAATGCAACCCATATTAACGTGTTGGATTTGCAGCTTGCCCACCATCGTGAGAGAAACAGAAAGCATATCCTTGACGCTTTTGAAGATATCCCAGAGATCATTCAGATGGCCCGGAACAAGTCTCGGAACTTTCCAGACGATACCAATCTCCGCGAGGCTATTTACAACTTGAGAAAGACCCTCTTGGCTACAATCCCATGCCTTGTTGAGCTGTTGAAGCCCGGGACATTCCGTCAGTGACTCCACCAACAAACACATGTACATATTTGCCCTTCAAAACAGCTAACATGCTCGCAAGTGGCCAAGGCTAGAAGTCCCTTTCGAGGGTCAGACATTGAAAGCTTGCTGGAGGTAGTTCAGAGAAGCGCCAACCAAGTCCAGGCGTGTGCCGAGGACCTTCGCGATGTTGTCATTATCAAAACCCACCACAACACGGAAACCATCGGAAAGACGACAACTCGAATCGAAGAAAAGCTATTATCCGTCGGCCAAGACATGGGTCATCATTTCGGAGGGGTCGACTCCCGCATGCTCGAGTTGAGGCACGAGCAACAGTTCATGGTCCAGCAAGTCACCGACGCTCTGTCCAGCCAGAACGGGATGTTCCAAATGTTGAAGGATGCTGTGTTGAGTAAGCGAACCCTGAATCCCCGTTGAAGCTGTGTGCGGCTGACACCGGGTAGAGCTCTTATACGAGCAAGAGTTCAACCTTGCGACAAGCCGTCCACGGACGCCATCATATCGGGAGAATCCTGCCGAACAGCTCGCAAGTCTCCTCGACAAACTCCACGTTCCAGACAAGCAAGACATCCATGACTTGACGACCATCCTCCAGCGAAGCCGTGCCTCCGAGTCGGCTGCTGCCACGTCTCAAGCAGGGGCCATTCTCAAGAGTGAACAATTCCAAAGATGGATGGGCTCCCGGGGATCAGACCTCTTGCTCATCGAGGGCCATCTGGACGACTCTAGATTCGGCAAAACCTCGCCCATGTCGTTCTTCAGCGCGAACCTCGTCCAAGTCTTCCGAGGGATCTCGCCAATGGTGGCGCTGCATTTCTTTTGCGGCCAGCATGTTGCCAGCAACGATGACCTCGCCGGCCCCAGGGGGCTTATCAGGAGCCTGCTGGCACAATTGGCCCGGACAGTTCTGCGGAACGGGCCAAACGATCCATCAAGCTCTGTCAACAGTGCGAATCTCGACAGTAATAACCACTTGGCGACGCCGACCGAGGACTTTTGCCAAGTTTTCCGACAGCTCCTGAGGCAGGTCCCATCCCATGTCGTCGTCTTTTGCGTCATCGATGACATATCTCGGTTCGAGAGAGATGGTTGGTTAGACGACTATGTGGCCTTGATGACTATGCTGTTCAGCCTGGCCTCGGATCAGAGAATGAGACTTAAGGTCCTGATGACGAGTCCAAAAAAAAGTAGGTGGCTTCAAGGCAAGCTGGCCCCGAGTCAGCACATGGAGCTCCGGGCCGGCGGGCAGGTGTTGAGTCCCGGAACGGAACGGTCACTTTGGTCAGCTGCTCTGGGGGCGATTTTGCCTGGATCGTGAGGGTGGAGCCAGACATGGCAGCATAACTGCCTTCACTACTGAGATCCATCGAAGCCGGGCAGTATTTCAACCACATAGCAATGCAAGCTGATTCGTCTGATCCATTTTAGAACATGTCTTGTTGAACCAAAGTATAAGACCCCTTATAAGAACCTAACTAGATGCAATCGTGATACACAATCCTCTTACGCAGAAAATATCATCCAATATCTTCAACCTTCAGCGTCCACCGTCCCGTGTACCCAATCACAGCCCAGCCCCCTAGACGGCGACTCACCAGCTGCCACACCATTCCCACCCCAATAGAAGTGCGCCTAGATTAACGTGTTGTAACGTAGCACACGAACACACCTCCAGGACGGAGGGATAGTTGTTCAGATTTACACGATATAATAGCGAACGGTTGGAGAATTCAGGACAATGGGCCAGATCAAGATGGACGAAGAGATTGGCGGTAGTTGAAGCAGATGACAGCGGCTGTGCCTTCGGGACCCAGGCATTCCGGCGAAGAGGAGGATGCCAGGAGGAGAAACGCTGTGCGACTTGACGGCAGTACGACTTTTAATATTGAGATATGCTGGTTTCGTTGGTCACAGCAATACAGAGGCTGACTACTTGTTTGGTCACCCTGTGTCTCCGAGGACTTCCACCAGCGTGACCCCTGCGGTGTTACGTTAGTAGCGCTGGTGATTCGCTCGCATTGCCCTACAATTAATTCCAGTTAATTCCCCGAGGTTTCTATTCGGTACATGACTGGTCACCCCCTGGCCTGGATAGATGGAGTCAGGCCCGGATAACACCTACGAACTAATCGCGCCTGTCAACAATCAATGAGAGCAAAGACCGGGTAAAAGCAGCGAAGGGGCCTGAATGTTCTTGTCATTGGGTCTAGCCCAACCAGACATGGAGATGGCAAGAGGTGGTTATCTGCGCCTAATCCTGAAAGTCAAGGGAATCGGCAACCATCAGGCCATCACCATCTTTAAGCTTAACCTAATTGCATGCATGGCCACGGTTGACAACCACCTCAACAGTGAGAAGCTCAAAATATCCGGGTACAATAAGCCTCCATCGATGGCTAGCCTCTCTTCGCGAGTCTTGGCAGCGATGGCCCCGAGCGGGAATATGCATCCGAACCTTCGGCACCGCTGAAGGCAACATGATGGGACATAGATGCCGTCTTTCGTTGAGATCTGCTTGGATGTTTGGTCGCGGGGCGCTCTCACCACAACCTTATTATAGCATGGGCCCCCAATATGTGCCTCTTTGGGCACCCCTGAGTGGCTGGATGTTCTGTCGAGCTTCCCCCCTCCGCCTAATCAGGATGGGCTCTTGTTAAATTTTAACTTCACATAGATTTGCCCCGGATTTATGAATATATTAATCGCTGTGGCTTCAATCAGCGGCAGTTGCTTGTTTCGCCTCTCACCAATTATCACCAAGTCTTATGACGATGGCCTTGGCTTTATCCAGACAGCCTTGACCTAGAGCGGACAAGCGGAGAACAGAAGAATGAGTAGCCAGTTCCCAGTCGGGTTTTCTTCCTTTTCTCTCCCTTCTTCTTCTTCTTCCACCCACCACCTTCTCTCTCACTCTCTCCCCGTCGTTTGAGAACTCCGAAGTTCGTTTTGAATTGGATCGACTCTACCAGACGCATAACAAAAACACACAATGTTGTTGAAGACCCTCGTGCCCGCCGTGGCGGTGCAGCTCGCCGCAGCCCAGGAGCTGATGCGCTTCGGGTGCTCGCAGCTGACCATCGACCGGATCGACCCCCTGGTCGAGCCCGGCAACCTGCCGTCGGCGCACATGCATCAAGTCATCGGAGGCAACTCCTTCAACGCCAGCATGGCCCCCGACGCGCACGACCCCCCGACGGCGTCGACCTGCACGAGCTGCACGTACTCGGAGGATTTCTCCAACTACTGGACCGCCAACGTCTACTTCAAGGCCCGCAACGGCTCCTACAAGCGTGTGCCCCAGGTCGCCAACTTGGGCCTCGGCGTCCAGGCCGGCATGACCGTCTACTATATCCGAGGCTACCAGGCCAGCGCCAAGGTCACTGCCTTCAAGCCGGTAAGTCGAATTTCCATGCAGCGGCGTTTAGGCGAAATGGAAGACAGAAATATGAAGGATGTGGGGGTCTGACCTGGGCCGAAAACAGGGCTTCCGCATGCTTGTCGGCGACAGCACAAACCGGGTTGCCAGCAAGGTTCCCAAGGGCCTGTGCTTCCGCTGCGAGGAGAACATGCAGCAGAACCCCTTCGGCGGCGCGCCCTGCACGGGCTCCGACATCCCCGGCTTCCCCAACAAGGTCTGCGGCGGCGGGTGGAGGGTGACGGTGACTTTCCCGTCGTGCTGGGACGGCAAGAACACGGACAGCCCCGACCACAAGAGTCACATCGCCTACCCGGCGTCGGGCACCTTCGAGTCCGGCGGCGCCTGCCCGGCCACGCACCCCGTCAAGATCCCGCAGGTCATGTACGAGACCATGTTCGACACGCGCCAGTTCAACAACAAGGCCGACTGGCCCGCCGACGGCTCCCAGCCCTTCTACTGGAGCATGGGCGACAACACCGGCTACGGCATCCACGGCGACTACCTGTTCGGCTGGAAGGGAGACGCCCTGCAGAAGGCCATGGACGGCAAGTGCGCCGGCGACAACTGTGCCCCACTCAAGAGGCAGACCGACGCCCAGGCGGTGGCCTGCACAAAGAGCCAGACCGCTCATGAGGATATCGGCGACGATTGTGAGTTGGCTCCTTCCCCCCTCCCCTCCCCCCCGCCTCCCAATCACTCGTGCGAACGGATACTGACAATTCCATTAATTAGGGCTCACTGAGCTCCCCGGCGCATCTGCCATGCACATGTGAGGAGAGGTTTGATCGGACACATAAAACCTTTCGAAGCTCGGTGATGTAGGCTGTTGATGAGAGACGGGGAGCTTGTCAGATTAACTTGCACTCTAAAGTTATCGTTCTTCAGATTGTCAAATATAGCTCTCTCTTCTGTTCTAATTCTATCAATAAGAGTAAGGTAGCGAAATATCAGACCTCCGGTCTTTACAGCCAATTCTAGATGCCTTGTTTAATTGGTTCGGGCCTAGACTCTTTTTCACCCCCTTCTTGGTTTACAGGCTAATTTGACTCTATGTCAAATAGAGTGGCCGGATTAGGTCATAGCAAAGGGTGGTATATCCTCAATTAGATAGCAGCTATTGACCTTCAAATTGGGGGTTTTATTACGAGTATGTGACTTGATTTGCCCGAGAAACGTGTAAATGACGGTTGGGAGGTCAAACTTCTGGGGACGGACCCGACTTTGCTTGTAGGCCACTGGGGATCCCTTCACTCCCAGAGGTAGCCCAGAGTATGATCCCAAGTAGGCAATATGTCTGTTAGCTATGTTCATTATCTGGCTTTGAGACTCATGTCACTTCGCGAAGTAGAACTGTTGGATGGCAGACCCGAAGGGGAGAAGGATGAAAGGAATACTGATGGCTGACTGCACGGCGGCGCTCGGGCTTCCTTCCTCTTTTCCAGGAGCCAAGAGGGATTCTACTCAAGGTGGTCTACCTAGACATCAGGTTGTCAGGAACACCGAAGCGGCGTCTCTGCCATGTCCGAGTGTCCCGTGTCCCTCGAGATTCTGCAGCTATTCGTGTAATTATATAAGCATAACTGCCCGTACAAACAACCCTACAAGGATTATGACCTTTAATATGCCGTGCGCTACTAATATGCCGTGCCTCTAATCTTTACGATGCCCCCGGGACCCTCCTTCTGTGCTGCACCTATCTATGGTGACATGGATGGACAGTATGGTACAACGTCATGCCAAACCAACAAGATGTTCTCCGCCCAGCAAGCCAATGGCAGCCTGCCACCTCGGGCGTCGGAGGTTACTGCACTGGAATATCCGGCGCTCGGCCCGGCCCGGTTGTGTTCCATTGGCCGGTCCCAATTCAGCTTCAGCTGCAACAGCTCCCGTGTCTAATGGTTTTTCGCGCGAGGCGTGAGCATGAACCACGGCTCTTGAGACCCCATGGCCGCCGTTCAACTCATCAGGGTGCGGCCTGAGTCTCCCTCGCCGTTTCGGGATTTAAAACTGGTCGGTGATATTTAATGTTTGTATAGCTGTGGATGTGGGGGCTGCAAGATGGTTGACGTCGCCGGTTCTCGGGCTTAGGAATTGAACATTTGAGGCAGTTATCTCGCTAGAAAGTTGGCTGGTTCAGGAACTGTCGATATTAGGAATGCTCACAGGAAGAGACATCACGAAACAGTCAGTAGACCCTTAGTAGCTCAACCAGGGCACATTATGAGCTGACATTCGGGGCGTGTTTGCATCCATAGCACATTTTAATTTACCAACGTCTATATGGATGCCATCTCGTCCTAGCCGGCGTCTAATATGGACTTCGCCTTGCCCAGCTAGACATATTGGCCTGCAAGTCCGACTCCGGGTCGGCAGCTAATCACCATCTGGAAGATTCGGTTAGCTAGATTGCCATATAGGTAACCAGATCAACGGCTGGACTTACGAGAAACACTCCGAATGTAGATACACCTCCTTCGAGCCAATCTTAGAGCCCAAGATCCTCAATTGCGCCGCCGCGGCCTCGTCCTGGGCCGCCTTGAGCACCCCCGCGGGCCCGCACACCGCAATGCCGACCGACACCCCCGACTCCAGCGTCGCATCCCGGACCGCGGCCGAGATGTCCGGGCGGCCTTCGAAAATCTTAAATGGGAGCTTAGCAGCAGCGGGAGCGCTCCGCTCCGCAACGGACACATGCTTCTCCTCGCTTTGCTCCGAGTCCTGTCCCGAGCTCTGCAGCCCGGGCCCGGCACCCGACGTCAGGTACACGAGGATCTCGACCCCGTCCAGCGTCAACGGCAGACGGTTTGCCTCCAGGAACTCGACCAGCGCGGTCTCGTACCATTCGACGATCCGGGCGTCCCTCGTCGAGACGACGACCCGCATCCTGCGCCCCGATTCCCCGTCCCCGCAACCGGGAGACCGCCGGGCCACGTCAAGGAGCCAATTCATAACGAAGGGCAGGGAGAACCCCGCGCCGGCACCGCAAGCGACGACCAGGCCGCGGTCGTACGCGTGCAGCGGGCGGGTCCGGACGCCGCCGTAGGGGCCGTCGATCAGGACCGGGACGCTGACGCCGGGCCGCTTGGCGGCCATGCTCGCGAGCCGGGCCGAGATGCCGCCCCGCGGCTGGACGTAGAAGACGAGGGCGGAGGAGGAGGAGCTCTCCTTGCCGCCGTCGGCTGGGGATGGCGCGTTCGGCGAGCTGCATATCGTAAAGGGGTGGGCTGTCAGGGCGTGCGCGCCGAGGGTCAGGAAGCGGAGGAAGACGTGCTCGCCGGGCTGCCAGGTCAGGTTGGAGATGGGGATCGTGACTTTTAGGGCGTGGTCCGAGACGGGGACGATGGTGGCGCGGAGGGAGATGCCGTGCTTGAGAAAGGTCCGGATCTGCGAGTAGAGCCAAGAGGCGGCGTAGAGAGCGCCGGCGGCGATGAAGTAGTCCCTGGGGATCAACAGCGTCAGACTTGACTGTAATTACCGGAAGCACGTCTACTGTGAGGTTCTGGTAAAAGGGGAAACTTACCAGGAGGTGAGGCGGTATTCGCAGTGAAGGAAGAAGAAGAACAGGAAAGCAATGGCAGCTATGTAGTGCGTTGCTTTGAAGAACTCGTAATAGGCGTTTCTGATATCAACACCGCATCAGTTCTTCTCCGCGGAGATCGCAGCATGGTGCATAACATACCGAATGTAGGGCAGGGACATGAAGGTGAGATATGCCTGCGGAATAAGAGCAGCAATGCCGGACCAATATACGAGGCCCGTGTTCCATTGCATGACCATATCTCCCTTCCAAATGTGGTGTACGATAAAGGGGAACGTGTGAATGAGCGCGAGGACGAGCATGGCCCACGCCACCCAGTTGTGGAAGACGATGAGCCGCTCATGTGACACGCCCGTCAGAGAAGCGATCATGTTTGCCTTGGTTCCCAGGATTCTGTGGAGTGATTTGTTATTAGCGAGACCTCCAATGTAGCTCCGCTTCCGAGAATAACCATGTTGGGGGAACCCACAGCAGGAAAGGAGTACAGGCCAACGCCATCCAACCGGTCCGGGTTGCGATTGGGGGCGAGTTGCCGTATGATAGGGTTCTAGTATTCTGCCAGTAGTACGGCTTCGGACCCAGAGTCATGGCTGAATGAGATAGCCATTAGCTGCGCGGTTTTCCTCGCTATGGTACAGTACATGTACATGTACATTTACACTCACCAAAGAAGAACACAGCGCCACTACCCAAGAGGAACAGGACGGCAATCGATGGCGTCTGCCACCGTAGTGCCTTGAGTTCATACCGGCGGTAGGATGCAAAGCGGAAAAGCCCAACTAATTTCTGCCACCAAGCCTGCCCCCAGAGCGAGGCCGGGGCCAGCTTGAGGAGCCAGAACCCAATCAAGCATACGCCGATGGCGGCGAGGAAGAAGTAAGTAGTCGAGAGACCGTAGACAAGATCTGCCTGGTACCTAGACGCGTGGGCAAGTCGTGATTAGAAGATCCGCGTGATTTCAGGACAACTTCCAGTGCTTACCAGTACCGCCAATACCCGGAGCGGTAGGCGCATTGCTCCGGCGTTAAGGTGCAGGTGTCGGCCCGGGACGAGTGCAGCATCACCGGCAGGGTGAGCCACCTATCTCCGTGTTCCATATTCGGTCTCGTTCGAACAGCACTGGTGGCAACTGTGGAATTCGGGATTTGAGGTTGCGGCATCGTTCATCGTCCGCATCATCAGACGCACGCAACTTGGTTTATTAATAAATCCGAGGAGCGACCCCGTGTCAGGTTCCATCGGGGTTTCCGCGCCATTTGCGCCGATCCCTCAAGTCCAGGCCCCGGATGACGGTTACAGAGGCCGAGAGCCGCGACTCTCCTCAAAGTCTGTTCCTGACGAAGCCAACCATGTAACCCGTTCTGCTGGAGATGATATTCTGCTTGGAAATGATCGGCGGTGTTAGAATTACCCGTTAAAACTAGGCCATATCAGGTTAGCGCGAGAACGTTTGCGAGCGTTTCGACTAAAAATGTGCTTCCCAATTCGGCAACATTGGCGTCGTCTTCCGCGTGCCCCACTAATCCAAGGCGCGCATTTCGATCCTCCTGTCACGTACGAGTCAGTTATCTATGACCGCTGTGAAACCTAAGATAGGATGCTCTAACAAAGATGGGATTACAAATAGGACAATCTTGTTTGGCTGCTCGTACCTTCTCCTCGGAAGAACATCATGTGACCTGTCACAAGGAGAAGGAGACATCGCATCCCGCCAACCGCGACACACGATCATGACAAGTCAAAGCTGAAAACGAATACTTACCAGTCTATACAGGCACGACAGGCCAAGCAAATGCGGGCGACAGCGGTCCGCAACTCATCTTGGCCAGCCTTGGCATTCTGTACCGCCTTGGCTAATTTCGCTCCAGGTGTGGAGGGCAGAGGCAGCCAACATTGGGTTATATTAAGTATGGCTGAACTACAGATGTTTATGGGGAGGCACCCGGCAAACGTTTAAGACTGGTCTCCCTCCCTCCATTGTTGACGGTGAGTGTTGCTCTCATCCCGCCGCACCATTAAACAGCCTTGGAATCCACATCGCTCTCCTTCTCCATCTCGTTCATCATGATCACTGCCCGCGCATTGTTCTTCTTCGACCGGTCCGTGCTGACGGTGCACATGGCCGCCACCGTGGCCGCTGCGCCGAACGCGATGGCGATCAGATACACGAGGCTGAAGCCCTTGACGTACGACTGCTTGACCGCGTCCTGCGCCAGCTCGATGAGCCGCGGCGTGGCCCCGGACACGGCCGCGAACGCCGCCGCCGTGTTGAGCTGCCCGGCCTTGACGAGGCTGGCCAGGAGGCCGTCGGAGAAGGGCACGTCCGACGCGTTGATCGCCGCCGCCATCTTGCCCGGCAGCACCTCGGTGAACCGCGACGAGTAGATGGCCGTGTAGATGGCCGTCGCCACGGCGCCGCCGAAGAGCCGGAAGGTCCCTGCTAGGCCGACGGCGATGCCACTGGTGGATGATGAGATCAGCACATTGTCTCTAGCCGCCTTCGCCATTGCAGGAGGAGAGAGACTTACAGGTCGGCTTGGTCCTCTAGCCCAAACGACAGCATAGTGAACGACAGGAGCTGCGGCGGCGTGATTGTCGTGGCCGCCAAGACCACCGTCACAATGGCCTGCGCAAGGGACGTGGACTTGACAGACGCCATGGAGCCGATGAGGGCCGTCTGGATGACCGTGAAAGCTACCAGCTGCCACTTTTCATGGTGGAGGCGCGAGCAGACGAAGACGGTTAGAAGGCCAGCCACTGGTCGGCTCTGTTAGCTGGGGGAATCCTGACACGTGAGCCTCTAATTACGCCCCGCAGAGACTTACTCCATGTTCCACACGAGAAGATGATGGCGTAGACACCTCGCATGATGACTTCGTCGGGCCCAATGAAGAAGGCCTGCGACTGCCGCGGCCAGAGTACGTTCATGCTGTAATATAGCATACCGCCGACAAAGCAGACGACGATAATCATGTCGAACCTGGTGTGGTTGAAGACGGTCAGCCCTCCTGTCAAAGACGGGTAATAACGGATAGTGTCTGGGAAGATACACGGGGACCGGAACCACTCACTCTCGGACTCTCTTGAACAGCTTTGGTGGGAACAGCGGGAACTTCAGGTCGGCATACGCTTCCCAGAACGCCACGGCGATGAAGCAGCAGCAGCCAAGGACGATGGGGGCGATGGTGCCCGCGTGGCTCCAGGGGTATGTCCGACCGCCAAAGTTGACGCCGAGGAGGAAGAGGACGCCGCCAGTGAGGAAGAGGAAGACACCGACGTAATCGAGCTGGCCAAGCAGCTGTAATTTGGTGTAGCCGTCCTGGCGATGCTTCGTCTTGAAGTCCGGGGGCTTGTAGAAGAGGAACAGCAGGATGAAGGCAAAGACGTGGTAGCTGAAGAGGTACCAGTAGGCACCGCGCCAGCCGATGGGCTGGTGGGCGATGAAGGCGTAGGCGATGACAGGCGAGCTGAAGGCAAGGGCAAGGGAGACGTCCAGCCCGCCCACGGCCATGACGCGGTAGCGGTTGGGCACAATCTCCTGGACACACGCGTAGCAGAGCTCCTGGAAGCCGCTGCCGATGCCGAACAGCGCCCCCGACACGATCATCTGGGGGATGCTCTTGCCCGTCGCGCCGACGATGGTTCCAATGATGGAGATCATGGCGCCGGTGAGCATGAAATACCGCCGGCCAAAGATGTCCGACAGCCGGCCGCCGATGGAGACGAGAATCGAGGCGCCGAGGGTCCAGCAAATGGTGATCCAGACGCTGTTCGGGTCTGGCCCCAGCTCCGCGTTGATGTACGGCAGCGTCGTGGCAGGGATCAGCATGGTCATGATATAGGCGTTGATCTGGCCACACAAAGCCTGGGACGTAGTTGGTCAGCAGGCGTCTCGAAAAGGAAGACAACATGGAGGCACCGCGAAACAGGACATACAATGTACGCGAGGATTATCTCCTTCGTGAGCTTCCCGTCCCCATGGTCCTCTTCCAGAGGCGACAAGGCCTCCGAACCCGAACCCTCGGCATGCTCACGAGCTTCGAGCTCAACTTTCTCATTGCCGCTATCCGACAAGTCGTTAGACGGCAGAGGTGCCGCAGAGATCCCCATGTCTGCCACTTGGAACCGCAGAGGTCCTTTGTGCCGAGAGAGAGGGACAGAGACGAATTGAAGGAGTATTCAAACCGACAGGCAGTAATCGCAGCACCAACAATAGAACTCCAATGTCTGTCCAGTGTCGATGCACAAGAAACAAGCTACATACCGCAAACATCAAGGATCGGCACCGGCCACGCTGCCCTTTAAGAAGTCAAGTTGGCACGCGTCTGGTCCAACGCGAGCTTCCGAGAACTCGGTAGCCTATTTCCTGAGTTGCTACCCCAGCCAACCCAGTGAACACCTGGGGGGGCTCTAGCTAGCTGCAGGACCGGCTTTTGGTCTGGGGAATCTGGGGAATGTCCAATCCTGACCCGCATCTGCCTTCATGTAGCTCCCCGCGAAGTCGAGTCTAGAACCCACTAGCCCTCTCATTGCATGGGGAACAACAGATATTTGCCCGGGTTTCTCTTCCCTGATGTCTAATTATTTGCCAGACCTAACCCCGCAGACAAGCTCCATTTCGTCCGGTCCGTACCTTTCTTGGCGAACGTTGGGTAAACGGATCTCGTAGTCCATGCCTTCATCCTCATCGTGCGGGGTATGCTAAGATTATAAATCTCCGTGAAACCTTTTCCGCACTCTTGGCCAGAAGCACAACATACAACCAGGTGATGATGCATAGCACACTCAGCTCTCACACTGCCGGAAAAGCGAGACATGTAAATGACCATGTCGGTGTTGTTGTCCCTTCCAACCTGCAGCCGAAAGGGATGGCTACAATGAGTTGTTGATCTGAGAGACACGGGGGAGATGGACCGACGAACAATGTTTTCGCTCGCAGGTCAAAACTTCGTCCCCGACCTTCCGGAAACCGTCTGCCGAGATTGGATCTTGACGTCTAAACGACAAGACAGCTGGCTCTGATATTCCCCGTCCTCGTTAGACACCTTGTATAGCATAGGAATACGGCTTGCAGCTTTGGCAGTCATTCTTCGCCCCCGAAATCTCAGCCAAAAAATGAGGGTAGTCGTCTTCGGCGCTTCAGGGGTGCAGGGCGCCGCACAGGTAGCCGCCGTCGCCCGCGCCGGACACCACCCCGTCGCCGTCAGCCGCAGCCCGAAGCCGCTCCAGATCGACGGGCAGACCGTCGAGACTGCGGCCGCCGACTTCACCGACCAAGCCGCTCTCGACAGCGCCGTCCGAGGCGCCGACATCGTCTTCCTCAACCTCCCCTCGACCTCCTTCCAGGAGGCCGAGCCCGTGATCGCGGCAGCCAAGGCAGTCGGCGAGGCCGTCATGCGGGCCCCCAGCGTCCAGCTGGTCGTCTTCAACACCAGCATGCCCGTGCCCCCCTCCAGCCACGGCATCGAGGCGCAGGAGCACCGGCGCGAGATCCGCGACCTCCTGCGGGCCAGGGGCATCCCCCTGGTCAGCATCCAGCCCGTCGTCTTCCTGGACAACCTCCTCGAGGGCTGGGCCCTGCCGCCGATCCTCGACACCTCCACCGTTGTCTACTGCCACGCCGAAACCCTCGACGTCTCGTGGATCTGCCACGACGACCTCGCCCGCCTCATGGTCGCCGCCATGGAGCGCGGCCCGGGGATCGTCGCCGGCCGCGACTTCGCCGTCGGAGGGCCCGAGACGGTGCGCCTGGCGCAGCTGACCGAGAGGTTGGCGCGCGGGTGGGGCCGGCCGCTGGACCACGAGAGCCAGTCTGTTGACGAGTTCTGCGACCGCATCAGCGAGGCGATGGGAGCGCGTTCGGGCCTCGACGCTGCTGTTGTCGTCGACCAGATGCGCCGAGCCTATACTTGGTATAATGAGGCGCCTGAGAGGCCGTTCCGGGTCGACATGGGACCCGTGCTGGAGGAGCTGCCGGCGGCGCTCACGACGATCGAGGAGTGGGCTCGGCGGCATCCGCTTCCGGACCGGGGGTAAGGGTTCTGGTCGAGGCGGGACGGGGCATCCATTGGCTACTTTAACTCGAAGCGCATGGAGGTGGTGTGGGTCTCGATTGCATTTAGACTTGGTCACGCATTATACGGAAGCCTTGGGAATACTTACCTGGAATGCTGTAGTTCAACAACCGCATGAAATGTCGTTTCCCCACTTCTTCCGACATTGACTAGGTAGGTATCTGCACCTAATAATCGGGTAATGAGGCAGTGAAGTTCCGCGTAGCTCGATAGCTTGAGAGGTAGCACAGGCAAGGGAGGAGGGCTGGGTGCGACTTGGTTCACAAGCATGGGCCTCACATATCAACCCACAAGGGTTCAACAACCACAATGTTAGTAAGATCTGCTGCCGTGAATGGAATTCCATACTATTTAAAGGCATGGCTTTCGAGCAACAATGAGGACGGCAAGCGACCGATATCCCTTATACAACCGTGAACCTATGACAGTTCAATTTCAGCTCTGATGGGTGAGTCCCCAAATGTCAATAGCCTTGAGGCTACATTTTTCTCTTTTTTGGCTATTTTCTTCCATACCTCAGTGACCTCTTTCTGTCTTCTGGTCCTAAAACTTCGCGAAGTAACGGACACCAGACATCCTTGCACCGTTAATATGGTACCTTGACAAGTGCGCCTCTTTCCAGCTATCATATGCCATCCACATATAACATTACCTCTCCCACTGCCGTCCTTAGCGTACGTTATTCAAGGCCCCGGGTAAGTGTACCCTTTATACGTCAGCGAAAAGAGACATTAGCCAGGAGCATCCGCCCTGCCGCGGCATTGGCACTCGGCCGGCCCGCTTCCAACTAGGAGCCCGCAGCCCGGGCGGGAAGATGGCCTGGGCATGGTTGTTGTGGTTGTACAACACAGTGCCGACCTGCGATACCAGAGATTTGTCTCCAAATTGCTGCCCGAAGCCCGGGATGAGCAGTTCCGTCTGTGAGACTTTCAATCATCCTCTAGAATTCCGATATTCTTGGTTTTCTGCACAGGCAGTGGCTAGGGCCGCCTGGCTCAAAGTTCACCGCTATTGATTCTACGATGCTTGTCACACTATTAGCTGGGACCCTGTAGTCTGCTAACCGATCGTGGTAAGCTAACCTTGCATTCTCAACCTTGAGTAATTTCCCTCGCTTGGACTCGTTGGTATCTTTGCCATGGCGACTCATACGAAGAGTAGTCGGTCAACGGAACGACGGGTAGATCCGAGTGCTCAGGGGTCTTAGGGGCCCCGTCCTTGTGCTTAGGACGCTGGAGCTTTCGCTGGAAACGAGAGAAGAGAGCCTTGATGTGAGATGAAGCCTTTTTCTTCGGATGTTTCAAGCTCTTGAGGGCTTCAAGAGTCTCGCAGAACTCGTACTCAAAACCGTCTTGCCCCCGGATGAGTGTCTCAATGCCGCAGCAGTGCAAAGCGAGTGAGTCTAGGGCACTAGTCCTGCCCGCTTGGACGGACTCCCTGGACCAGATCTCCCAGAGGAACTCCGCAATCAAAGAAATATAGTTCAGCCTCTTTGATTTGGACGTCAGTCGGAACTTCGATGAGAGCTTCAACGTAGGCAAGATCCTGAATGTGGCTCCTTCTAGTATTTTTTGCAGAGCAATCAAGACGGGGATGACCGAAGACGACGTCGATCTGTCGACGTGTTTCTCCCCTGAATGATCCATAATAGTGACGAGAAAGTGTATGAAATACCCCCAAAAGGCGTCGTGCGACGGATTGATGTAGCCATCCCCCTGTACAAGTCGTTTCCGACTGTTCTTCACCAGGTCCTTCGAGTTACGTTTCGAGAAAATACACTCCCGGATTGTCAGATAGCTATCGGGGATATTGGCCGCCATCGATGTCCTTACTCGAATATCGGTTTCCTCGGTAAAATGTAGCAGCATGTGAAAGGCTGTGAAGCGGTGATCGATCTCGGCAATCTCCACGTGATTCCGGAGATCCGGCTCCGGACTCTGGATCAAGCACGCGAATATGAAGGATTCCGGGTACGCCAGCTTCATTCTGGCACACCCAGCGCTGACAGATGCATTGAAAACCGTGAGCTGCTCCGTAAACGAGCTGAAGAGAGCAGGATCGTGCCAGTGAAATCGGATAACTCTGAGAAATTCTGGCAGATATGCTTTGTGGAATGTTTCTCTCGTGGTTTGGTCCAGCGCCTGCTCGTAGCTCAGCATGTGGGCAATGCGTGCACTGACCATTGTGCAGTCAGTTTCACTTCGTTGCGGGTAGGGCAGGGCTTTGATCTCTCTCAGAGCCGAAGATACGAGTGCCTCGTCTGCGTGGAAGAGGGGACCCGAGGAAGCCCGTATCCTGTCCCACACGACTCCGATGCGGAGGAATTCCGTCACGGTTCGGTGGATAAAATCGACCTTCTTGTTGAAAGCTGAAAACGCCAACGACGAGCGATGTTCTCGTGTCTCGATGAGTCCGCAACAGCGGCTCCGGAGCCGGCCTTCGGTGGCTTCGCATCGCCACACTTCCGCATTCGGCTCGATGGCTTCGATGGCTGCCGTCAGGGACCCGGAATAGTCTTCGTCTTCGGCAAATGACAACTGCAAGAGATAGAGCTCCACGTCCATCTCCATGCTTCGCAGGACCAGTTGGAGATACTTGGAACCCAGCACGCGGTGCTCCTGGCTCATGGCACCCAGCATGTGTTCGTATAGCTTTTCCAGGTCCGATGGCAGCTTTTCGATCTCGGCTTCCAGCTCGGCGACCGAGTCGTAGTCCTGGAGACGGGCCTTTAGTCTCTTCACGACAAGTATAACCCAGAGGAAGACGCCGCAGGCTTTCGAAGTGACGCTTTCGATCATCTGTGTTGTAAAGCCCTTCTGGTATGCCTCCATCTTGGCCATGAGCGGGTCGGAATCGAGCTTGTCCTTGACGTAGAGGGTGATGTCGGCCCGGGTAAGGTCCTGGAGGTGCAGTTTAGGGCAGTGGGAGAACTTTGCGACGCACGCCTGTATCGGACGGCTCGAGACCAGAATTTTGATGGATGGAGCATTGGTTGCCTCAGCGAACAAGTCGCAGATGTCGTTGTGGTCGCCCGAATACTCATCTAATCCGTCTACAAAGAAGAAGAGCCGGACGTCCTTGGGAATCGAGTCTACCAGCCTCGAGAAGGCCACTCTTATCTCCAAGTGGTCGAGTTCGACGGTGGGCGTCAGGATTTTCCCAGCCAAGATCGACCGGCACACGTCCGGGAAGAGAACGGGGCACATCTCGGGCCTGCACGAGAGGAAATAGAACAGCAGGCTTCGAAGCAGGCCTGTCTGGGATTTCTGGACCGGGGAGCCCGCGTACCAGAAGTAAAAAGACCCGGTGATGAGCTCGGTTCCCGCGGACTCTGCCACCCACTCTTGCAGGTACCCGTCAGTTCTGCGGTCCTGCTGGAGGAACTTCATCAGCGAAGACTTCCCCGAGCCAGCCTTGCCGCATAGCCAGTAGCAGCCGTTCCCGTGCTTGAGCCAGTCGCCGAGGTTGTCCCAAAGTGCCTCGCCTTCAGGGTTGGACGGGGCCCAAACCCACTCGAAAGTGTCACGGTATGTCTGTGGGATGGACTCTTTCCTGTAGCTAATCTCTCGGAAATGAAGAGAGTCGAGAAGCTTCCTGCTAAAGTTGGGTGGTGTGGGCCGCCTGCTGAAGTCGAGCAGAGGCCCCGTCATCGTGTTCTCTTGGTGGTGATACGTCGTTGTGGTCTTCAGGAGATCGGAGCGGCTCATCTGCTCGACAAACTTGGCTCCCGTCCGGTGGCCAGTGATCGCCTGAGAAGTTCCATTTCGGGCGGTGAAGATGGCCGCCATGGTCTCTTCGTGTTTCTGGTGAATCGTGTTCACGATGTCCTGCGTGCTGATGGACACGACCTCCACGATTTCTCGGCCGGAGTCTTGAAGACGATCTAGCTTCTTATTCTGCGCGTCATGGTGACTGTTGAGTACCAAGAGCAGCCTCAAGGTAAGCTGGGAGCGGTATTCCGTAAGCCGGAGGGCCAGCGTCTCGACATGTTCCCTCTGCCAGACAGAACAGAGAGCAGCCAGGAAGGTGGCCCATCTTGCATTCTTGCCCTTCTTGGCAACGAGCGATTTTAGACAGTCAGAAATCTCGGCGGCAAGCAGCTCGCATTGCCTAGCGAGGCCATAGAGACTGAGCTCCTCTTCGGACAACTCGGCTGCCTCGAGCGTCTGATAGCGTGTCTGCAGGCCACACCCGATATCTGCCAGATGGCCTGCCGCCTCCCCCACACGAGCGACCGTGACTGTGGACCCGGCGTCCATCACCTCCTTGGTTGCGTGGAACAGTTTGGAGCCGAAGTCCAGGAATTGTGCAACTGCACTGGCAAGGCCGAGCGCCGAGAGGGGATCCATTGCAGGAAACGGCTCCTAGGAGTACATATTTTTGAGGCTTCGGGATGAGTGACAGACGAAGGATACTATTAATTCGAATTTTAAGTGAGGGAAAAGAAACATGGAAGGTTGGCAAGGCTCAAGGCAGACCATCATTGCCATGGGGCATAGCATTGATTGAGCACACCGCCGGGCTCAGCTGGTGTGGCTGAGCAAATGTTGCATGATGCGCCACAGTGATCTCGCATCACGTCGGCGTCCTCCTGAATCTGACCAGCTTTTGCACTCGACTATCCCGTCCTGTCACCTCCCCCCTGCTATACACCTGGGCTAGTTTAACATCTAGAGTGAGTGTGGGCAACGTATCCTCATTTCGGGCTATATATTGAAGCATACTAGAATGGGAAGAAAGAAAGGGATCCCGGCAGGGGAATCGTCAAGCACCCCAGATTCTATACCCCTGCAGCTCTTCCTCGGTTATGCAGGAAGAGCCCATTTTACTGCCAAAAGTAGGCTTAGCTACATTGGTCCTGGGGCGGGTTATCACTCGGGTATCCACGGATACTCTGCCCACCCATAAAGATCGATGAAGTCCGAGTTCTCCTGGAACCCATCGTAAACGCCTCCGAGTTTACGGGTGGAAAGAAGTCCACAATGTCCCGAACCGCGTGCTAGTCGGCCCCTTGTCCCACTGCAGCGTGTGTTGCTGTTTAAGCTCCAGGCCACCTTCGATCCGTCGTTTTAGGTCAATTTCGTCCCGGCACGTTGCTCGAGATCCGTGCGATAGTATTCGTTCGCGATGCTTGGCCTCCTTGTACAGAACCGGATGCGGCGTGACCTGGAGACGGTTATACAGCTCCTGGCAGTCGGCGGCGACGCAGATATGGGCCACCGCCCTCAGCGCGCAGGGTCTGCGGCGGGCGAGCTCGGCAAGCGTGGTCGCGCGCGGCCGCAGGGGATACCAGATAATGTATGACAGGTCACTCTCCTCGGCCGTTGTGGCCAGGGACAAGTCGTTGCACATGATAAGGCGTGCAACGATGGCAATCTTGATTCCCAAACAGTCGGAACCGGGGCTCAAAGCTGCCTGCCTGCTCTCCAGCTCGTCTAACCACCACTTAGCGAACATGGTGTTGTGGCAAATGCCGCGGATGATGCAGAAGTACTCTATATGCATCAAGGGCGGCCGCCGGAGCCGGGCGTCGCGATCCACATTGCCTTCGTAGGCTGCCATGAAGATGAGAAGATCCTTGTTGGTTGTGGGCAGGTCCGCCGAGAGCGGCGAGTAGAGTCACTGCACCTCGACCGAGGCCAGGGGCTGAGGCAGCCTGCCGACGTCTTCCTCGCCGAGAAAGCCGTCCTCCATGATGTCAAAGCTGCAGTCTATCCGCAGGTAACCCGTGACGACATCAGCAAGTGCTTGTCGAAGGACAAGCACAGAACGTAGCTGGCTATCTCCGTTAAGGGAGACACCAGCCCATGGATGTTCCAAGTTCACCGTCCCTGTGCAATCATCCATGACGGCGTACCTGACGGGACGCGTGACAATATAGTTGAAGATAGCACCGCTAGTCTTGAAGTTGTCTCTCGCCTCCTCGGCTAGAGAGACATATGGTAGGAAGTCCAGCTGGCGATACAAGTCTGTATAACCTGCCACTGCGCATGCCCACCCGAAGTGATAGCGCATGGCCGGGTACCCGCGAGCCAACTCGCGGTACGTTTCCTCTGTTGCCTTGTCCGGGTGCCAAATACAGTAGGGAAATACTTCGGGATCGGCCATGTCGGGAACAATGTTGCTCATGATTAGGCGAGCGTGACAGGCGGGCAAAGTCCGAGTCATCCTCCGCGGCACATGGCTTCACCACCTCGGCAGAGTTAACAAAGGCTTCGTGATGCCTTATCACATAGACGACGCATTGGCGGGCTTGATAACTGGAAAGCTGAGAGTAGGGTCGGCATTTAGCAATGTTCTCTGAGCTTTGGTCAAATCGATGGGGCCTCGACATGATGATTGTGATGGTGATAAAGATATCCTTACAAGGTTGTGATGCCGGCAGCAGGGGATTGATGGGGTAAATGGCAGGAGAGTGGGATAACGCTCTTCGAGGTTCTCTCAGGGAACGGAGAACAAGTGGGCCTCTAAGCTAGGCAGCGAGTCAAGCGGAGATCGAATACGGACTGGAACGCGGAACACAGAGGGAACATGGAGAGAGAACAGACCAGAACACAGACACATGGCCGCAGAACCTATCACAGATACACAGCCACAGCACCTATCACAGGGCGGGATGAGAAATAGCTTGCACAATGTCATTCAGCCAGTCGATTAGCCGGTCTAGCGACATCCCAGAGGATCATCATTGCTCTAGGCTTTTCGACCTGCCATAGGAAGTGTTTGCGTTGATCTAAGGTCACAGTCTACTCCTACAGCACCATGATACCAACAAGATGGGATCAGATAATAAGACGAATGCATAAGTACGTCCTGAGACAGTCTCTATTTCTCTGCTTCTTGCCAACCTCGTCCATTCCCAGATATCCAAGACTCCCATTTTCCCAAATCCCCTCAGACGACTCATACCGCGGCCACTCTCACACCACTTCTCTTAGACTTGTCCGCCAGGTTCATGGTAGGGCTTTACCTTGCGAATTTCCTTTCTGTTATTGTTTTCGTGTTCCGTTGCTGTTGACGAGAGAGTTTGGGATTTTGCCCCCGACTTTGCCAAAGATATTATCCCTCCATTCCCTCCTCTGACTAATCCCGATGGTACCAATATCTCCGTGAAGAACCTGAGGGGTGCCCGCCTGTATGGATTCAAGGGCTGCTCACATGAGGAGGCGAATGAGATCACACAAGCATATGACGACTTCCATGTCTTGGCTGATCAGCCAGCGGTGTATAATAACATAGGCTGGAGAACCAGGGCAGCAACCGACTTCTGGTGTCCGGGCTCTGGGAGAAACGTGGTCCCAGCCAACACTCGCGCGGAAATTCAGCGTAAGTAAGGGGCCTTTCCAGACTTATCAGCGAGATTGCATCAGCGAGATTGCCTGTGTGCCGGCTAACGTCACCCCTAGAGATTTTTTTCTGCAGCCCAACAGGTATACTCGTTCCCTTGGGCTTGGCAGCCGCCATGGCTCTCGTGGCGATATCTATGGATCGAGGTATGTCCTTGAGTCTCTACCTTCCCACCATCATTCTGACAAGCATTACAGATTCGCTGCAGCGACAGCAAGCATGGACCATCCAGTACCGATCCAGACAACGTGTGCGGCGATGCCAAACCTAACGATGGAAAATGTCCCGATGGACGGTCTCCAGGCACTAGAGGTCCGAATGTTGCCCAAGCATTCAGTGATCCAGCACCAAGTGACTCGAGATACAGTCGAATACCTTTTGTAACGCCTTCTTCTCATTACCGACCTTCAAGGAAGCCATGGATTCCGGCAAAAAGCTACCTGTCAAGTCCAGGAATGATTTGGAGTTGTGGAACAACAGGGCTCGTTGCTTCTTCCACGAAATCGTCCATCTTGACTACTTCATGAACGCAGGGTCTGACGGCAACGCCAAGAGCTCATACGTCTCGGATTTGGAGATCGCCTATATCCCTCCTCGTAAGACCCGCCTTGAGTGGCACATCTGCTACGGGTTCTACCATGCCAAAATGCTCAGGAAAATGGGTTGACGACGATCCCCAATACTCGGGTTACTTTACCCAGCGAAACGCGGACAGCTATGCGTACTTTGCTCTTGCGAAATATGTGGAGAAGCTGACCGGCCGGTACCCAAGCAGTCCCAGGGTCCTGGGAGAAGGAAGCCACGGGAGAGCCCGCGGGACGCACAAACACATCAGGACCCCACGCTACGTCAAGGCAGAATTCCGCAGGGCCAAGATGCGGACTTGTTCCAGGGGAGGAAGTTGTGGATGACACGGTGTTTCCGGGTTGTAGTGACAAAGTTGGCCCAAAGGCAGTCGCTGGTCAGGCTGCCTCTTAGCAGCGCGCCCAAGTGGGAGAATTGCTCTGTGGTATCTGCGACTAGGAAGTGTTGTGTTTGCTAGGTGGTACGAGCTATTACCTGTTTCCTTGATTCCAACTCCCCGTCCCGGCGCCCCCGCCCCCTTTCCTCCCGGGGCCCAGCTTTGTCGGGGCGGTTCTCACCGTCCTTCAGGTATAGGGTCAAATAGGTGAAACCAACTCGCCTCGGGAGTAGAATGGTGCCGGCCTGGCTACCGAGCCCAGACATAGGCCCGAGGGATCTGCTGATCCGTTGAGGGAGGAATGGATTGCGGTGCTGACCGCATCATGGGGCCTTTAGATCGAGATGGTCGATTGAATTCCAACGGTTGCCGTTCCACCTGTTTCGTTCGTGGAACCTCAGTCTAAACGTTGAGTGACACCCACTCGCTTAAAACCTGGCATTGATTGGTCTGTCACTGGATCCGTAGTATGATATCGATCAAGACTTGATGGCCACAACCTCGGCGAGATGCGGTTGATCTTCGAGGGTACTGTAGGGTCCAGGGATGTCCCATTTTTTGTGCAAGAGTGGCTGTTGGTGACATCGTGCAAAATAAGTTTTGGGGGCTGACCAATCGGCGACGGCCCAAGATGATTACGCATTTCCTTTCTCAACAGGCAGGCACCTTTTCCCGATTTCACTCACTTTCCTCCTTTCAAATCTCCCCAACTACTATCCGCATCGACTTGAGCACAGCGCTGCTTACCATCTTGCCCACTTGAAGAATGTGGGTCGTTGACTATATCCGCGATCTTGTCAATCCAAGGCGTCCCTACGAGGCAAGCCCTGTACGCCAAGCCCTGTACGCCGAGGCCCCCCCTGTGTCTGTACGAGCAAGCCACACCCCCCACGCCCTTCGACAGAGCGCACTGTCTTTGGCACAACCTCTGTTTCGCTTTGGGGATGGCCGTCCCGAGGCGGATTCATTGTTCTCGAGCTTGTGTCGCCGGTAGATTTCGACTTCCTGGGCCTGGACCCCGTCCACCCGCCAATGCGCCGCGACCCCGACCAGGACGCCGAGGACAGGTTCTGCCAACAGCTGCTCCTGCTAGGCGCCAAGTGGTTCGACAGCCGCAAACGATACTATTTCATTTTAGAAGTCGAGGATGACGAGAAACCTGCTATCATTGAACTCGAAGAGGGCGACACGCCATTGCCGACGAGAATGGAACGGCGATTGGTCAAGGTCGGCATACAGAGTGGGCCGAACCCAGGACTGTGGGTTGCCGAGTATGAAACTACCATGTACGGCTTCCGGGAGAAGCGCAACTTTGTTCCAACCTGGGCGTCAAAAGTGACACTGGCGATGACAATGGAGCAGAGGTGCGAGATTCTGAAGAATATGGGAGCAAAGTTTTTCGCAACTCTCGACGACTACGATGGTGCCGGCTGCTTGAAGGCTTGGAAGGAGAAGAGTCAGGGTGAGGTTGGACCCCTCGTTCAGACACATTATACTAGCCCGCCAGCTGTCAGCCATTCCGGACCCACGATGCCATGTTGATTGAAGCCCTGGCACCACCGAGGACCCTTCTGCTGGCAATCTGAGTTCGACAGAGTGGCTAAAAAAAGAAAACTGCTGCTATGTATATGAGTGTTCAAGAACCCTTTTACTTAACAAATACAAGTTCTTACGTATCTCCGTTGAAGAACCCTAGCCTTGTGCCCCGCGGCCCCACTGAAAATACCAACGTCAACGGTGCGTCATCCCCGGAATGCCAAGCCGGCATGACGTTGCATCCCTGTCAAGTGTCAACAACTCTCCAGGTCTGTCTCTTTTAACCTCTCCTTTCGGATGTTCTGCATCGTAGGCCACGATGCAAAACTCTCTTAACTACTCTACCGTGGCGCCCCCATAACGCCTGCACCTTGTTCAATTAGTATTTTGCAGGGATCGCAAAGCATGGAGCTCTGTGCCGAGCCAGTAATCCAGAGTCGCAACTCCATTGAGGATGTTTGGGGACCACGCACTCCTTATAAAGATGAATGGCCAACCCGAGTGGACCAGACATGCGACGAAGAGCCCGAAAAATGGGTCCAGAGTGCATGTGTTCTTTGCAGGTGAACCACCCCGCTTCTAAATATTCGGACCCAGGCTTAGGTACTTACTTACCCCATGGAAGCAATGGCTGCGGGCTGGACATTGGCGTCAAAAACGGAAAGGTCGTCGGCGTGCGCGGACGCGCGACTGACCGAGTGAATAAGGGGCGACTGGGGCCAAAGGGCCTGCACGGGTAAGCAAGCATTCGAAGCCCCGGGCTCTAGGCATAGGCAGGACAGAACTCCCCAGCTTCGGTTAAAAGATCGCTCATTGTTCTCGCGTCGGCAGGTGGAAAGCCATCAATCACAAGGACAGGCTCACTCATCCCATGATCCGGAAGAATGGGCAGCTCGAGCCGGCGTCGTGGGACGAAGCTATGGACCTCATCGTCGCCAAGTCCAAAGAACTTCAGGAGCACTTGACCAACCACAGCATCGCATTCTATACGACTGGCCAGCTCTTCTTGGAGGAGTACTATGCCCTGGCGCTCGTCGGCAAGGCCGGTCTGCACACGCTCCATATGTGAGATGCCCCTGCTTGAATCAAACCCGGAGCACATCTTGGAAGACACATATATATAATATGTTCATCTAACTAACTGGCCGTTTCAGGGATGGAAACACACGGCTTTGCACCGCCACTGCAGCGGCATCGATGCGAGAATCCTTCGGCTCTGATGGTCAACCCAGTTCATACACGGACATAGACCACACAGACTGCCTCTTCATGGTGGGGCACAACATGGCAGCAACCCAAACCGTCCTTTGGTCGAGAGTATTGGACCGTCTAGAAGGACCCCAACCCCCGCGGCTCATCGTCGTTGACCCGCGCCTGTCCGAGACTGCGCGCAGGGCCACCGTCCATCTCGCCCCTCGCATAGGCACCAACCTGGCATTGCTGAACGGCATCCAGCATCTGATGCTGCAGAATGGCTGGATAGACGAAGACTTCATCTCGAAGCATACTGTCGGCCTGAGCGACCTGAGAGCGACGGTCGAGAACTACGACCCCGCGACCGTCCAAGAGCTGACAGGAGTCCCCATTGCGCAGCTCGAAGAGGCCGCCAGGATTCTCGGGACGACAAAGAGCCTCCTCTCCACCGCCCTGCAGGGCGTGTACCAGTCCAACCAGGCCACGGCCAGCGCATGCCAGATCAACAACATCAACCTGCTCCGGGGCCTGATCGGCAAGGCCGGCAGCGGCGTCCTCCAGATGAACGGCCAGCCGACCGCGCAGAACAACCGAGAGGCCGGCTGCGACGGCGAGTTCCCGGGCTTCCGCAACCACCAGAACCCGCGCCACATGGCCGACCTGGCGCGCCTGTGGAACATCGACCCGATCCGGGTGCCGCACTGGAACGAGCCGACCCACGTACAGAACCTGTTCAACTTCATCGAGAACGGCTCCGTCCGCATGATCTGGATATCGGGCACGAATCCCCTGGTTAGCCTGCCCAACCTGCCGCGCGTGCGGGGTCTCCTGACACAACCCGAGCTCTTCGTGGTGTGCCAGGACATCTATCTCACCGAAACCGCGGCCGTCGCCGACGTCGTGCTCCCCGCTGCCCAGTGGGGGGAGAAGACGGGGTGTTTCACCAACGTCGACCGCACCGTCCACATCTCCCACAAGGCAGTCGACCCCCCGGGCGAGTGCAAGTCCGACCTCGATATCTTCTTAGACTACGGCAGGAGGATGGGGTTCAAGGACAAGGACGGCGACGACCTTCTTCCCTGGAAGTCTCCGGAGGAAGTCTTCGAGGCTTGGAAGAAGGTGTCCCGCGGGCGGCCGTGTGACTATAGCGGCCTGAGCTACGAGCGGCTGACGGGCGGGTCGGGGGTCCAGTGGCCGTGTAACGAGGAGAACCCAAACGGCACCGAGAGGCTGTTCTCTAATGGTGTCTTCTACACCGACACGGACTACTGCGAGAGCTTCGGCCACGACCTAGAGACGGGGGCGCCGTACACGGAGGAGGAGTACAAGGCCCTGAACCCGGCCGGGAGGGCCATCCTCAAGGCGTGCCACTACACGGCGCCAATGGAGGGGCCAGACGAAGAATTCCCACTTAGGCTGTCCACCGGCCGGAACGTACACCATTTTCACACCCGAACCAAGACGGGGAGGACGGTGCTGCAGAAGGCTTGTCCGGAGCCGGAGGTCAGGATCTCCGAGAAGGATGCCGAGAGGTTTGGCGTCAAGGATGGCGAGATGGTTATTGTACGGTCGAGACGAGGCGCCGTGGAGATGATACTCCGGGTTGGACGTATCAAGGAGGGGCAGGCGTTCATGCCGTTTCACTTTGGCTATTGGGATTCTACCGATGGGAGGGCCAGGGCAGCCAACGAGCTGACAACCGGTAAGAGAGGCCACTCCCCCAATGGCCCGGGTGGGCGTGGCAGTGCCCTATTGAGACTGATTGCCTATGGTGCTAGAACGGTGGGATCCAATCTCGAAGCAACCGACTTTCAAAGCTGGAGCGGTCAAGATTGAGAAGATACTAGTGGACAAGGACAAAGTACGCATCCGAGAACAGCAAACAGCCGCGACCGAGAAGGCGGCCCTCAAAGACGCAGTCGGCACGACTTCAACCGACGACCTCACCAACCGCGAGCGGCAGCTCGAACAATGGCTAGGCGAGACATACGAGACGACAGTGCAGCTCCTCGACATCTACGAGCACCTGATGCCCCGCCTAATCCATGACCTCGAGGTGGAGGGCGGCCTACGGGTGGCGCACCGCATCGCGGAGGAGATGCGCGCGAGGCTGGAGCCGCAGGTGGCCAAGCTGGGGGAGAACCGGCAGCGCGGCAGGCACCGCGCGCACATCCTCCGGGAGGCGCTGTTCCCGCCCGAGGACGCGCGCCGGAGCCCGTACGAGGTGCTCGAGACGCTGCAGGGGCTCGCCGTGTATCTCGCGCACATCCAGTCGTCGCTGACGGCCCTGCAGCCGACGGCGCAGGCCATGTGGGACGGGGAGTTCTTCGACGCCGTCATGTTTGCGCAACGGTGCCTCCATCGGATGCAGGCGTGGGTCACGCAGCAGATCAAGGTGCGGAGTCCGCAGACGCTGCTTGTCCCGATTCGGACCGCTGGGGGGTGATCGTGGATCTCTTCCTCCTTCTCGGGGTCCGAACAATAGGTATAAAAACTAGTAATTGGCTTGATTGGCAACCAGTTATCCGATGAAACAACGTGAGAGGAACCCTGATCGCGTGCGGAACTGGGAAGTCGCGGCTCCTAACGGGGGCGAACCGGTGTTAATTAATGGGTATGATGCGTAGACTCGCAGAAATGATCGGCGGGGCGGCATAACGTCACCAGTACCGTCGGCTTGGATCCAGTCATCCTGGCATCCAATCGCCTAAAATGCACTTATCAATATGCGCGTAGAGCATGTTTAGCCCAGACACTCATACTCTTGACGTCATGCCTTCCACCAGACCTCATTGTGGACGGCCCGTGTGGAATTGATTGTATCAATCGCTCTCAGTTGAGAGAGATCGGGATGGCTAGCACCAAGAGTACCATTCCTCCACACAAATGCAAGGTGGAATGCCGCTCGTTTGAGCCAGTCGTAATCCCTCGTATCCAAGCTCACTCCCCGACATGGCACTATCCTACTCGGCCGCGCTCGAGAGGCTGCAGGAAGTAGCCCAATCCCTCCGAGCCTGCCGCACACGGCAGCAAGAAAGCGTCCCCCTAGAAGATGCAGTAGGCCGAATCGCCTCATGCGACCTCGCCAGCCCCAAGTCCACGCCCGAGCACGACACCTCGGCGATGGACGGGTACGCGATCCGCTCGCAGGCGACAACCGCGGCGTCACTCGAGAACCCAGCCGTGTTCAGGATTCACGGCACCGTCGCGGCCGGAGACGACCCACGGCACCTCGTCGCGGTACCGGACGGAGACGGGGTCGAGCCGTGCGTCGAGATCATGACGGGCGGGATCTTCCCGGACGGCGCGCCGGAGTTCGATGCGTGCGTCAAGGTCGAGGATACCCTCCTCGCGACGGCTCGGGGGCGGGGCTGCGAGAGGTACGTCCTCGTCACGAAGCCGGTGAACCCGAATGCGAATCGGAGATTTGCCGGCAACGACATTGGAAAGGGGGACGTGATAGTGAAAAGAGGCGAGACCATCCGATTATCCCACCTCATGCCTCTCGCCTCCGTCGGCTTCGAGTCGGCCCCCGTTCTTCGGAAACTGCGCGTCGGCGTCTTCTCGACCGGCAAGGAGCTCGTGAGAGGCAAGGGCGGCGCAGCGGACGTGAACGGGCCGTACCTAACCGCGGCGCTGAGGGACATGGCCGTTGATGCAGACTTCCTGGGGACGCTTGATGACGACCCCGCCACGCTCCAATATCACCTACAGAGAGAGGCAGACTCGGCTCTCTACGATGTCATACTGACCAGCGGGGCGGTATCAGTCGGGAAGTTTGACTTTGTTCGCCAGGTCTTGGATCGCATGAGCGCCGAGATCGTGTTCCATGGTCTGGCAATACGGCCGGGACATCCTGTGCTCTTTGCCCTCGTTCCTTCCGCGGATAGGAAGACGGCGTTCTTTGGTCTTCCCGGAAACCCAGGGGCTGCGGCTGCTTGCTTCCGGTTCCTCGTCGTCCCGTATCTACGCTCGGTCCAGGGGCAGGGGCTGGAACAGGCCGAGATGGCGAGTCTAAGACATTCCCCGGATCACAACCGACATAAAAATACGGGACCGGGCCGGGAACTAGACTCTTTCCGTCACGGGGTCCTGGAGGCCATTAACGGGGGGTTGGTAGTCGAGGCCACCGAGCAGCAGAGCCCGGCAAAGTTGTGGCCATTCATCAGGGCCAACTGTTGGATACACGTCGAGAGAGACCGTGAACTGGAGGAAGCAGGCCTCGTGAAGTGCTATCCAATCTCGCCAGGGAATGTAGCCGCGGCCTCGTAATTATCGGTGCAGCAGTCGCGGCGGCTTGACTGCCCCCGGTGGGTAGTCGAGGAAATGCAACAAGCCTGCTGCGGGTTCATCAAGATCAATATCATGGATGGTAATAATATCGTACCACGGGGACCCTGGGGTGTCTAGGTATGTTGGATCTGTGGCGCTTCTTCAGGGCGGTCAAGCACGGAGTTCTTCACAATAGTTCTAGATATTAGCAGCCGCATTTTGCATCGCACATGGTCGAAATTCGACAAAGCAGATCTTTGGTAGAGACGCCTGCAGTAGTCTCATATCTGAAGAAGGGATTTACCATGGTCCCATTTTCCCCCCCGAAAAGACAACAGACTTTACAGGACTTGTTCGCTCTGGCTCTAGTCTGCCGGACATACGGGATGACGAAGATGGTGTAATTATGGTAGAAACAATAATAGCGTCTCTTGACCAATGTTAGCATTCTATTACGTGTTTGGTACCTCCATGGTCATTGATCCCTTCCAATCACGTCATTCCAGGAAACACGGACTTTATTCATGGCGTGGCTGTGGGGCTTCCGACAGGGACCTTTCGCAGTGGTTACGACAGGATCTCCGGTATTTCCGCGCCATCCCGACGTAATTAATACCATGTTAGTGCATTTCTCCACGCCTTTTCCTGGCCGTCCTTGGACCACAATAATCATGTATCAACTTCTTTTAATCTTTCTCCTTGGCAGCTAGCAGTAGACTGTCAAGGTGACAACTGGCTGCCACGTGTTTCTCGATATGCAGCCGCCAAACGAGTCACCAACCTCTCCCGCCCGGCTGGCCCTCTACAACTTCACTTCACGATGGTTCCTCGTCCCTCAGGGGACCGGCATCACCGCCGTGATCCTGCACCAGCTGGACTACCAGTTCCACGGCCTCCAGATCATCTCCTACATCTTCTGGGTCATGACGATAACCCTCCTCCTCACCATGGTCCTCGTCTACACCATCCGCTGCATATGCTTCCCCCGGAAGGTCCTCACCGCGCTCAGCCGGGAGATGGACGAGCTAGCCTGTCTTAACAGCATCACCATCTCCTTCACCTCCATTATCCAAATGATGGCTCTCACGCTGGTGCAGGGTTGGGGCAAGGGTTGGGGCATCGCCGCCTACGTCCTCTGGTGGATCAACACCGCCATGGCGATTCTGGGGACCGTCATCGTCCCCTTCGTCTTCATCAGCCTCTACGCCAAGGGAGTACCGTATCTGTCTCCGACCACTCGGCTGCCGCTCATCTCGGCCCTGACCGCCGCGGCCGGCGGCGGGACCATCTGCCAGTACGCCGAGATCAGCAGCCAGCTCCAGATCCCCGTCATCGTGGTGTCGTACCTGCTCGTCGGCATGGCCCTTCCTCTCGCCTTCGGCCTGGACGTCCTTGTCTGGGCCCGGCTCGTCAAGCGCCTCGACAGGCAACACGTGTTCCAGGAGATGATCCTCTGCGGGCCCTGGGGCCAGGGGAGCTTCGCGTTGCAGGGTTTGGGCGGGGCGGTCATGCAGGGCAGCTTTGCCGCCTACGCCAGCGGCACCTTTCTCACGGCAAAAGCGGCCGAGCCGGTGGGCTTCGCGAGCATATTTCTGGGGGTCTTGGCATGGGGTATGGGCACGTTTTGGTGGATCTTCGCGATACTTAACATCCTGTTTGCTGCCATTAATCACTGGCGATGGAGAGGAATACCGTTTAGCCTTGCGACATGGTCTGTCGTCTTCCCTTGGGTGAGCCATGAACTAGCCGGTCTTCAACTTGTCCCCACCGCCGCTGACAAATCATGTTTGCTTAGGGAGTGTACACGAATGCGGCAGTGCAGCTTGGGAAGCTACTTGATTCGGCGGCGTTCAAGGTATGGTCGACAGCATTGGCCATTATGCTGGTCATCATATGGCTCATGAACATGTTTATGACGATCAAGGGCGTTATTTCCGGTTCCTTGCTTGGCATGGATAAGGGATGGAAGGTCAAGGTCTGCGAGAAACCAGATGAAGAACAGGGGCGGGCTGGCATGAGCAACGGGAAGGTCAAGCCATAGTGCAAGTAGGGAAAGCTCAAAGGCTCGTTGGGAGAGTAATTTTGACATAGCACTCTCTTGATATATCCCTCAATATCGGGGACGCCATAGTTCCCAAGACCAATAGACTGCAGCCGCTTAACACAAGTATCTAAATCCGACTTCCCGCCTCCCGGCCTGTTCGGCGTCAACATCTACACCAGCTCCGAGTGTCCCCTGCGCGAGCTCTGTCTCCGCAGCCTCGAGATTCTTGTTCTCGCGGATGTGAACGAAGCGCAACAAGAGCGCCAACAAAGCAACAAGCAAACAGATGACGGTATTGGCACTCCCACCCGGAACGTACTGTGGCGCCGCTGAAGATGGGTACATGTATGACCCGTATATGCTGGCCGTGTTGCCGATCATGTTGGCGATGGCAATGCACGCGGAGCGCTTAACCAGTGGGCGTGGGAAGGAGTTGGCGACCCACGAGACGATGATTTGGTCTGTGAATCAAATGTCAGGGTCCGGATGATGCAGGAGACATTTTGATGGGTTGGTTGGACTTACAAGCCGAAACTGCCCCCATCGGCATTAGAAACATGGCGAAGAATCTAGGTCCGACTGCAGTTGTCGCTGTTGCGATGGCGTTTCCGATTACTGCCACAAGCATCAGGCCGATGATGTGGAGGGAGCGGTCCTTTGTCTTGGCCGACGTCCAGGTTACGCAGACCGAGATGAGGAAGGTTGCGAACTGTGAGATCTCGGGCATTAGTATAACATCCTTGAGTAAGAGGAGGGGGGGGGGGGGGGGGGGATGTATTGGACAGCATAATTACCCAGACTGGTGCTGTCAACCACAGTGTGGTGATGGGGCCATAGCCCAGCGTTCCCACAATACTGGGGAAGAAGTACTGGAACGTTTGGCTGAGCAAGCTAACGTGTTGCAGCAAGACGAACAGATACAGTCTATAGTCCTTCACTGCAAGCTTGATGCCCGCCCAGGTGGATTTTGCGTGCCGGATGTCTTCCTCCTTGATATCGGCAATCAAGCGCCAGGCAGCGAATGCCCTTTCTTCCTCACTCAACCAGCGCGTCGTGTGCGGATAGTCCGGCAGCACAAATGCCGAGATGATGGCAAAGAATATGGTGATTGTGCCTTCCTGTGTATCTTGTCAGTCTCTGGCCAGCACACACGTCTCACCTTGCCATCTCCCCCCCTCCACTCACAATGATGAACAACCACCTCCAGCCCGCGAGCCCCTGCGCACCACTAAGGTTTCCCAAAATACCCGCCCCAAGCAAGCCGCCAAACATATTCGCCAGCGCGTTCCCTGAGTAGAACCACGCGACGCGCCGCGTCAGCTCGGCGCGCGTGTACCACGAGCTCATGAGGAAGATGGCGCCCGGAAAGAAGGGGGCCTCGACGAAGCCGAGGAAGAAGCGCACGGCCACGAGGCCCGGGAAGCTGTGCACGGCGGCGTTGCAGGTCGAGACGGCTCCCCACAGCGCCGTGGCGCTGGCGAGGTATAGCGACGGCCGCACCCGGGTGATGAGCATGTTGGACGGCAGCTGCATGAGCAGGTAGCCGACGAAGAAGATGGACGTCGCCAGGTTGAAATCAGTGCCGCTCATGCCGAGGTCTGCCTCGAGGGTTCCCTGGCGGGCCTGGGCGAGGTTGGACCGGTCGAGGAAGTTGAGGAGGTACATGACAATGAGGAAGGGGATGAGGTGCATGTCGACTTTTCGGACGAGCTTCTTTTCTGTCTGCCGGCGCCATGCTTCGTCCCGGCCTTCGAAGTGCTCTGTAAAGGCTCTAGCCGCATCGTGTGTGTCCTGGACTCCTGCGTCCTTCTTCTCTTCGAGCTCGACACTCACCGGCTTATCGTCCATCTTTCTCCTGATATCTCGCGTTTGTAGAGAGCAGTGTCCGTAGCGCTATTACGGCACCTGACCTGAACAAATCCGGCGGCTCTTTTGAACCTTATATCTGTCCATCCCCCTCCAGCTGCTTCCCCCGCAGAATTGCTCCACATTAGAGGCTTCCCCACATCTCCTCCCCCGCGCAACAGATCTGCGATCGGTGTTCCCGAGACGTTAGTGATCGGCGCACCAAGACAAAAGCCAAGGAAACAACGACACGCCGGGTCATGCAACGGCAGTTAAACCGACGTCTTCCGAGAGATATCTGGCCCACAATGCACCGAAGGCCGAGGTCTAGAATGACATGGGTATTGGCAGGACTGGGCTGTCGCAGGAATGTCAATCTTGTACGTTGCACAAAGACACCTTAGCGTAGATAAATTCTTGGGGTGAGAATGTCTTGGCGCGCGGGCAATAAGAAATGCGACTGCGACAGTGGAAAACGACCGCGGCGGGCGACGGGAACTGCCGTGACGCTAAGCAACGACGACTACGGCGGCAACTGCCTCGGCGTCGCTGTCGTACGGAAGGCGTAGCTCGGCCACCGAATCCGATGTTAAGAACGCAACTTTGCCCGCTGGGGAGACTGGTCCCTCCCTCCGGGGGGGATGGTCCCAGCTGAGAGGCGGGGAGACTAGGGTTTGGGTCAAAAGTTTTACCAGCGCCGAGGAGATGCCGAATTGAGCCACCTCTTGCCATTTCTTCAGGAGAACGCCTCCTCGCTCAGGGGTAAAATGAAAATCCAACACCTACTTGACAATAAAACGGGCCAAAGTCCTGGATTTAACACAGTGAGGCAAAACAACAACAGCAGGGAAAGTAGTAAAATCCAACCGACAGTCGAGTACAGCTTATCAGCCAGCAAAACAAAAGGCGTGTGGTGCTAGGCTATCGACTAGATGGTGCCGAGGGTGATGACGATGCCGGGTACACGTGACCAGTGGGCACGGACTGCACCATTTCGTGGTGAAAGGGCGACGGCGACGGCGACATGAACTGTAACCACGATAGCCATTGTAACAGACGGTGACGGTGACGATGACAGTATTTCAACAGTAACAGCAATAGCGGCAACAGTAATGTGACAAACAGAATTTCTGCCCCTCCTTTCTCCAATCCTCTGGCCCCACTCCGTGGACCCCTTAGCTGGCCCCCTGAGACAGCTACTTTACATTGACATGCCGGCCATTTCCTGACCATTACCGGGCAGTTGATCGAGCCCTATTATACACGTGATTAGCCCTGGGTCCTTTACATCTGAAGGACATGGAGAACTTACATCCATCGAGCTCCTCGTTCACGAAGTTCTTGACGGAGCACTTGTTCATCTCGGCCGCGGTCTGCGACTTGAGGGGGCGGCCATTTTCACAGGCGTTGAACATGCAGGACGAGTCCATGGCCTGCTGGAGCGTGTCGCCCTTCCAGCCAAAGATGTAGTCGGCGTGGGTGCCGTATCCGTTGTTGTCGCCAAAGCTCAGCACGAACGGGTTCGAGCCATCCGCAGGCCACATGTCGGCAAAATCCTGCGTTCGCCACAAGGCCTCATATGCCACCTGCGGCATCCGGACGGGATGCGAGGCTGGGCAGGGACCGGAGGCTTGGAATGCCTCCTTCACCGTGTTGTACATGTGAGACTGGTGGTCGGGGCTGTCGAGGTTCTTGCCGTCCCAGCATCTAGAAACTGGTCAGAGAATGGGGACTCAACCATAGCAAGGGAGCTAACTAACGCGGGGAAGTGATGGACAGTCATGATACCGGCCTTGCAGGGCTTCGTGGGGAAGTCGGGGAGCTCAGGGAACCTCGTCCCGGTGGTATCTAGGCAGACGAAGCGAAGGCCGATATGTCCCTTGGCATCGTTGAGGTTGTCAGTTGATACAGAGCCGACTGTCATGCGGAAGCCCTGGTCTAGTTAGTCTCTTATGGTCGCATAAACGCCAAATACCGTTGTACTCACTGGCTTGAAAGCTGTGATCTTCTCATTGCCGTTTGAGCTGAAATCCTGCTGCGTGTAATAGACAGTCATTCCACCGTTGATGCCGTTAGGCAAAGCAGCATTCTCCTGCATTGGTACACGCTTGTACGAGCCGTTCGAGTGCTTGAAGAACAAGGTGGCGGTCCAGTAGTTAGAGAAGTCCTCGGAGAAGGTGCAGGTTGTGCAGGTGGCCTGCTCGCCAATGTCCCCCGACATGGTCGCATTGAAGGCATTACCCCCCACGATCTTTTTTTTTGAGCAGCAAATATCAGTATGGAATATCTTCTTGGAACAAATCTGCAAGGAACCATATTACCTGGTGGAGATGGGCGGAAGGGATCTTGTCAGGCTCGACGAGGGGATCGAGGCGCTGGATGGTCAGAGTCGAGCATCCAAAGCGAAGCGCCGCCTCGGAAGGCGCAATGAGCGCAAGAGCGAGAGAAAGCCACTTCATCTTTGCGGGATGGAAGTCAGTGACGTGACGATGGAGATCGGAGAAGGCTCAAAAGCAGGGGAGCCTATATGTAGAATTCCTCACCACCGCCAGAACAAGATTAAAAAGATTCTCCCACGCTGTGAAAACTTGCCGTCTGCTAACTAACCAGGATACTTGATACTATATCATTTATCCGTCATCTATGTAAATCCGTGGGTGAAGGGTCCAATCCTGCAAATGTTTTCCCCGCAATTTCTTTACAAAAATTAGCCCAGATTCCGCCTAGAATTTACTAGCCAACCCTATTGGGGGGAATCTTGGTGGTTTGTATACTTACTTACGAGAGTTGGCACGGAAGATCTCGCATCAAACTGCAGACAACCTCCAAATTAAAAGGTACTCACTGGCAATTAATAAAGTTAGGACCGCCCACATCACTCTGCCTTATCCCTGACATGCAGTACTATGGGATGAGATGGGATGTTGGGCCTTGTACGACCTAGAAGCTCGCAAAAGGACATTCCTAAAATATGAGAGGTCCATTTTATATTATCCCGCCTAATAGAGTTAGAGCCATTCGTGGCGAACCGGGCTTGGCAGGTGTTTCAGGGGGCCAGGAGGTGCAAGGGGATTTAGCGCTGGTGCAAGTCTGGAGACAAGTGCCGAGAGAAGCCCGGGCTGGTGTAAGTCGTCCAGATTAACGACGGCTACGATACTGATGGATGTCACGGGAGGGCATCACAGGAGATGCTGCGTACGAAAGACGCAGGTCCTTGCTTCAATAATCAGCAAAACCTGGAGAATATCCTTCGGTAGGCACATATCTCAGGTTTGTAGACCCTTCGAGATCATAATTATAAGATTGTGGGAGTTAATTATGACCTCATCTGTGGACAAGAGAAGGACTAGCAAAGACAGCAGCTGATGTTCAATTAGAGATGGATTAACCATTATAGATTTATAGACGGGCGCTGGAGTGTGTAGAGAAAGCTATTTATAACTTTCTCAAGGCTCCGGCGAGGATTCGCCAACCAGCAAGACTCGTTGCCTGGTCGCTCGAGGGCCTGAGTTTATTTCGCAGTGGGATACCGCAGGGTATATACTGGCTTCCTGGTGGCAAAGGTTTGCACATCTTGCTTCTTGCGCACACATTGCGTGATTTGTTGATCAACAATTATCACCTTTGCTTTTCATTCCTGGCGCTCTAGACATGAGTGTTACTTCTAGAGTGATACATCCACGCGTTGCGCCCACTCCAGCGTCTCCCTTTGCTCCCACTCAAGCTTCCGGGTTCATGAATGTCCCCAAGTAGTCGACCTTGCCCAGCGGAACACCCTTCATGCGCAGGATGCTATACGCCGTCTGGAGATGAAAGAAGAAGTTGGGGACGGCGTAGGTCAGGACGTAATCCTTGCCGGAGAGATGCTTCGTGCCCGCGGGGCCGAGGCTCAGCTCCACCGTGGCGGTCTCCTTGCCCTCGACCTTCTTGGGGTCGACGGCCTTGAGCAGGGCGACGGTCTTCTCACACCGGGCGATGAGCTCGTCGAGTGTCTTCTCGTTGTCCTCCCAGACCTCGGCCTCTTCGCCCGTCAGCCGCCAGACGGACTTCTTGGCCGTGTTGGAGGCTGTCTGGACCTGGAAGGTGAGGGGGAGCATGTCCTCGCAGAGCTTGGCGTCGGGGAAGGAGGCGGCATCGGGGTGCTCTGCGGCCTTCTTGAGGATGTTGGCCAGGGTGGTCATGCCACGCCGGAGCAGGACGATGTTTGTGTCGTAGACGCTGAGGCCGGCCATATTGATGGTTGATGGAGGGGCGACGGGGTAAAAGAGACGAGGTAGAAGAGACGAGGCGCTGCTTTTTGGCGGAGGTAGAGAGACTGAAGGCACGAGATTGGTAAAGTCGATGAAGGAGCGCGAGCTGGGTAGGGAATGAGAATGGGAATGCTTTGGATGTCCTGACTTGTAGTCGAGCCCAATTGATGCGGGGAAGCTCCTGAGCTAAATACCCCTCACCGCCTGGACTCAGGGCGGACATCTAGCACATTCGACGCTGGGTGGATTAATAATCCACGACTGTATTGGGCGCCCGTCCCCCTAGCCAGCTCTCCACCTGCGGACCCCCTGAGCGTCAATTGGGCCGAGCTGACAAATGCATGAAATCAACGAAACTGCCACGTTGTTCAGTCGAGCTGCTCACCGCCAGCTGCATCATCCAAACTTTACAGTGGGGGGGGGGGGGGGGGGGGGGGGGGGGGGGTGGGGGTTTTTACCAAATTTTTTTTGTGCCGAATAAAAAAAAGAGATGGGGTTTTACCGGAGCTGTGGGGGGACGGTTGTTAAAGGCCG